TTGAGGAGATGGGTCGCGAGGATGCAATCGACCTCATGCAGGCCGCGGCACACGGCGCGACGGGGCAGCTGCGGACGATGGCGCGGGTGGAGGAGTCGGCGATGGCGGCGGGGACGGACCTGGCGGTGGCGATCAGTGCGACGGAGTCGGGCCGGGCGCTGGTGGAAATCGCAGCTACTGGAACGGCAACAGAGGACGGCATTCGCGGCGAGGGCGACGGTGGGAACGACACTATGGACGAGGACGAGGCGGCCGCGGTGGGGCAGATGGCGACCCAAGAGCAGGCCGTGCAAATGCTCGACCAGGGTGGAGCAGAAGGCAGTGCGCCTGAGGTTCTTGCGGCGGGCACTGACGTCGTGCTCGACCGCGACGAGGCGATCGCTTTCGTGCAAGCCACCTCCCACGCCGTGGTCGGACAGCTGCAGACGATGCACAGCGTCGAGGAGGCCGCAGCGAGCGGGGGTGTCGATCTGACGGTCGCGATCAATGCGACTGAGTCAGGCAGGGTGCTTGTCGACGTGCAGCCCACAGCCGAAGAGCCAGGCAAGTCGGCCGATGATGCGTCCGGCGGGATGGGCGAGGACGAGGCCGCCGCCGTGGTGCAGGTGGCGGCGCAGGCGCTGCTGGGGCAGATGGCGACGCTGGAGACCGCGGAGCACGCAGGGGAGCGCGTCGGTCACCCTCGCGGAGGAGAGCCCGTCGGCATGAGTGAGGACGAGGCAGCGGAGGTGGTGCAGGTGGCAGCTCACGGGCTGCTGGGGCAGATGGCGACGCTGGAGACCGTGGAACATGCTGATGTTGAGGCACCCGTGGACGATGAACGCCCGGCAGCGGGAACCGCCGAGCTGGAGAAGGTGGCGTCGATCAAGTCGATACTTGAGGGCGGCGGCGTGGTGCGGGAGACCGAGGAGGGGGACGACGGGGAGAGCGTGGGGAGCCCGGCGGCGACACCTCGGCGGGAGAGCGATGCGAGCGGGATGGGCGAGGACGAGGCGGCCGCGGTGGTGCAGGTGGCGGCGCAGGCGCTGCTGGGGCAGATGGCGACGCTGGAGGCCGCGGAGAGCTCTGGAGACGATCCAGCACATGCCGCACCAGCGATGGGCGAGGACGAGGCAGCGGAGGTGGTGCAGGCGGCGGCGCAGGCGCTGCTGGGGCAGATGGCGACGCTGGAGACCGTGGAACAGTCCGCGAGCTCGCCGGAGGAGGAGGCACGAGCGGCTCCTGCTGGCGCCGAGCTGGAGAAGGAGGGCGTGCGGAGCCCGACGGCGTCGCCGGCGGGCGAGGCCGCAGACGTGATGGGTCGCGGGGAGGCTATCGACCTCATGCAGGCCGCGGCGCACGGCGCGGCGGGTCAGCTGCGGACGATGGCGCGGGTGGAGGAGTCGGCGATGGCGGCGGGGACGGACCTGGCGGTGGCGATCAGTGCGACGGAGTCGGGCCGGGCGCTGGTGGACATCACGGCGAACGGAGAGGCCAGGTCGGTGGCAGCATCCGCGGAGACGCCGGCTGCAGACGAGGCCAAGGACCCAGACGAGGCGGCCGCGGCGGTGCAGGCCACCGCACGCGCGTTGCTGGACTTCATGTCGCTGTCGGAGCCCATGGACACGCTGGCGGAGGAGGACCCCGGGGCAGTGGCGGAGAAGGTGGGGGCGGCACTGGACGAGGGCGGACCAGGTGCGCTGGCGCATCACGTGTCGGAGGCGCTGCTGGGCGGGAGGATCGCCGAAGAGGAAGAGAGCGATGGGAGCCTGGCGGAGGAGGCTGGGGGCGAGGACGTGCCGGTGGAGTCGGAGCCGACAGAAGGTGTTGCGCCACAGGAGGAGGCAGCTGCGGAGCCGCCCACGGTAGAGGCGGCCGCGGCCCGATCGCGGCCGGTGGTCGTTGCCGCCGACACGCCCATCGGTCTGGCCGTGAATGAGACGGTCGATGACATGGTCGCAGGCATTGACGGCAACAACGCGGACGGGGGTGTGGCCGCGGAGAATGTGGCCAGGGAGGACGCAGATCGGCTGCCCGAGGAGGCCGCGGAGCAGGAGGCCGCAGCAGCGCGCGAGGCGGAGCGGCTCGAGGCGGAGCGCAAAGAAGCTGAACGGCGTGAGGCTGAGAGACTTGAAGCTGAGCGCCTGGAAGCTGAACGTCTGGAGGCAGAGAGGCTGGAAGCAGAGAGACTTGAAACTGAGCGCCTGGAAGCTGAACGTCTGGAGGCAGAGAGACTTGAAACTGAGCGCCTGGAAGCTGAACGGCTTGAAGCAGAGAGACTTGAAGCTGAGCGTCTGGAGGCCGAGCGTGCGGCGCGGGAGGCAGCTGCGGCCCAAGCAGCAGCGGAGCGTCACGCGGCCACAGCCATCCAGGCTTCGTGGCGTGGCTTTGCGACCCGCCGCGACCTCGCCCCGCGCATGGACGAGCTCCGCGCAGACCTCGCAGACCGCCGCAGGGCGCAGCAGGAGGCGGCTGCGCGAGAGATCCAATGCGTCATGCGCGGCTTCATCGCGCGCCGCAGCCTCAAACACCGCCAGTGGCTGGCGCGCCGCGAGGACCGCAAGGCCGTCGGCGCGATCATGGACTCGATGCTCAAGGCCCTGTCGGTGCGCCGGGAGAAGGCGGCCATCGAGATCCAGCGCGCGATTCGTGGCCGTCTGGCGCGCATGCGTCTGGGGCAGCTCCAGGAGGAGGACCGCACGACGGGCACGGACCCCGAGGCCGCCGCGGAGCTCCAGCGCCTCCGCGAGGCCTCCGGCGCGCACGTGCGCGAGAGAGCGCGCGTGTCTGATGTCGCGCGCCACCTGCGCGACAAGCTGAATGACGAGTCCCTGCGGCAGACGCGGACCATCAGCGATCAGGTCCCCGGGTGGTCGCGCGCGATGCGGAATGGCGGCGGCGGCGATCGCGCGCTAGACAAAGAGGCGTCAAGCATTCGCGAGCAGCTGCAGGGGGCGCAACAGGCGCGGGCGCATGCGCGGGAGGTGGCGGACAAGCTGGCTGCGCGCGCAAACGACCCGCCCGAGGCGCCGCGGCGGTCGGTCGGGGCACGTTTGAGCCAGGAGGCGTCGCTGCAGGACGCGGCATCCAAGGCAGAGAGCACGCCACGCGCCGTGCTGCCGTCTCTCAACGCGTCCCCCCGGAAGACACCGCGCGCGTCCGGGAACGGCGGCGCGAGCGCGAGGGAGTCCAGCGAGGGCTCCCCCGTGCGGCGCAAGAACATGTCGGCTGCAGAGCGGGCCCGCGCCCGGGCGGCGGCCGCGGCCGCCAAGGCGCGCGCCATTGAGGAGGCCTCGCCGATCTCGCCCAGTGGCAAGGTCATCCGCAAGACGCCCGCGAAGGTCGACGGCCTGAGCTCGTCGACCGAGAAGAGGGTCGTCCACGCGCAGCAGGCCGCTGTCGGGATGCCGTCGTCCAGCCACTTCTCACCGGCGTTTGACCTCGCGCCCACGCCGGGCTCGACGCCCCGCGCGCCGGTCGAGCTGCCGCCTGTGCGGGACCCGCGCGGCGCCGTCGACCCCAGCCCGCGCCGCAAGCCCGCAGTGCCCTCGCCGCTCCAGCCGCGCCGCCGGCAGCCGCCGCCGGTCCGGCCGCCTGCGGCCGTGATGCAGACCAAGCCGGAAGCCCGCGCCGCGCCCCGCCCCGCCGCGGGTCCCCCAGCGCCGCTCGCGATCGAGACAGAGGCGGAGAAGCGTGCGCGCCGGTCCCGGCACCGCAACCTGATGCGGGACCAGGAGAAGCGAGTGCGCGAGCGGCTGGAACGCGAGATGCAGCGCGCAGAGGAGGTCCGCGGCTGGCTCGAGGAGCAGGACATGGGCCGGAAGCAGCGCCTCGCGGAGATCGAGGAGCAGCGGCGGCGCGCGGTGGAGGCGCGGCTGCAGGAGCAGCAGCGGCGGCACGAGGAGCGCGCTCGGCTGCGCGAGAAGCTGCTGAAAGAGGGCAAGCCGCAGCGGAAGGTCCCGGCGTTCGTGGAGATGGAGCGCGAGTTCGAGGCGCGGGAGGCGGCGGCGCGGCGTGCGGAGGAGGAGGCGGCGCTGCGGCGGGTGCGCGGGCTGGACAAGATCCACGACACGCCGCGGGGCTCGCAGACGGAGCTCGATGGCGAGGCGTCGCAGGCGTCGGTGGGCAACGGCGCGCCCGGCGCCGCGCACGAGTCGGCGCTCGAGGTGTTGGAGGGCCCCGGGAAGCACGCGCAGCCGCCGGCGTTCGCGATGCCGCCGAACGAGAAGGCCGCGCGGAGGAGGCAGTACGCCGGGATCGTCAAGCAGCTGTACCGCCCGCCGCACGCGTCGACCGAGGCGGACACGTCGCCGAAGCCCGTGTGGGGGGCACGGCCAACGGAAGACATCCAGCGCCGGCTGCCGGGTCTGGGCGAGAAGAGCGAGGGCGCGCTGCCGGCGATCCCGACACGCAATCAGCGCGCCGCGCAGCGCAAGCCTGCGCAGAAGCCCGTCGGGATGCGCCCGGGGAAGCCCCTGCCTCCGCTGGGCGCGGCGCGGGGCAAGCAGAACGGAGCCGGTCGAGTTCGTGCGGGTCCGCCGGCGGCGGCGAACGGCGGAGGCGCGCGTGGGGTGGAGACGCAGCCGAGCGGCGACGGGCTGCTGGACCTCACGTGGGGGCGACCATAATCCAAGGGGGGAATGGGGGGTCAAATTTAGGGTTGTGGCGCGGCTTTAGACGATCTGGCGCAGCCGAGGGCACGGACGTACATCGGTCACGACCGACTGCCCGAGGTGGCGCCTCGATGAATTCATTTTGGAGCATTGACTGCGCGTCAAAGATGAGACATTAACTTCACCGTGATAGATCACGCTCAGCGCGTGTTCCCACCGCCTGTGCAGGCATAGACAAGGCACGACAGCAGCGACGTGCGTAGACCGCGAAATGTGAAAAGATCCGCTTCAAACCAATCACAACCCTTTAAAAATGTGATCTTTGTGGTCTCTGCTTTGGCAAGGCCCGACCCTCGCCTCCCTCCCCTCAGTCCGCACACAACCCCTCCCCCTACCCCCCCAGCACACTCACTCCACGAACATCGACCCCCCCGACGTCCCCCGCTCCTCCAGCTTCACCTTGAGTTCCACCTGCTTGCCTGCCCCCGGGCCCCTCGCCGCCCCGCGCAGCACCGTCACGCGCACCTCCTGCCCCGCCCTGCATCCGTCCAGCACGTCGTACAGGTCGCCGATCGTCTGCACCTCCTTCCCGTCCACCGCCACGATCACGTCGCCCAGGATAAGCCCGCCGCTGCTTCGGTCCCGCACCGTCGCCTGCATGCCCGCGCGCGCCGCCGGGCTGCCCGTCGGCACGTCGATCGGGAGCACGCCGCGCAGCCCGATCGCCTTGAGCGCCTCGTCCGGCGCCACGCGGATCCCCAGCGACGGCCGCATCACCTGCCCGTACTTGAGCAGCTGCTCCACGACCGGCTTGACGGTGTCGCTGGGGATCGCGAAGCCGACGCCGGCGTACGAGCCGGTACCCGAGAGGATCGCCGTGTTCACGCCGATGAGCCGGCCCTTTGAGTCGAGCAGCGGGCCGCCGGAGTTGCCAGGGTTGATGGCGGCGTCTGCGCGCGAGGGTTGGGGCGCGTGGGCGGGGGTGAATACGGGGAGGTCGGCCGAGCGGGGCGGGAGGCGGCTATGACGGGGCCCGGCCGGCGCGAGGGTCGCGGTCGTGGGCGGGGCAGTCGTGCCTGTTTGGATGGCCCCGCGGATGGGCATGGCACCCGCGCCGTTGATCTCGCGGCCGAGCCCGCTCACGATGCCCCCCGTGAGGGAGTGGTCGAGGGCGAACGGGTTTCCGAGCGCGTAGACGGACTGTCCCACCAGCAACGACGAGGAGCGCCCCACCTGCAGTGCAGTGGGGCCCCACACTCGCAGTCAGACCCGTGGCCCAACGCACTGCCAAAACGCTGAACTGGGGTGGCACGTAAGTGGGCGCTGCACTGGCGCGCGGGGGGCCCGCGCGCGGGTGAAGGAGAGGGGCCCGCGGGGGCCTGCGCACGACAACATCGGGAGCGCCCACCTCCAGTGGCTTGAGGCGGTCCAGGACGTCCTGCGGCGCCTTGATGCGGATGACCGCGATATCCTTGGAGGGGTCGACGCCCACGACCTCCGCGGGGTACGAGGTCTGGTCCAGGAGCGTCACGCGGAGCTGCGACCCGCCCCTGACGACGTGGTAGTTGGTGACGATGTTGCCGCCCTTGTTCCACACGAAGCCGCTGCCGGAGCCCGCGGGGATGTTGAAGATGTCGAGCGAGAGGCGGTCCTGCACGGTCTTGAGCTGCGTGACGTTCACGACCGACTCCCGGGTGTCCTCGAACAGCTTGACGACCTGCCTCTCGCGCGGGTCCAGGTCGACCGAGTCCGAGCTCGGCATGCCCGACGGCGTGGTGACGAAGCCCACGGGCGCCTTCCAGCGCGACGTCTCCGCGACCTGCGCACAGAGGTGAGGGACTGCGTCGGCGCATGATGCTTGCGGGCGCCCGGGGCGGAACCGAACGCAGAACGATACTGGACGCACGGACGCGACTCTCAGCGATCGACGGCCGCCGCTGCCACGCGTTTCAAGACCAGCGGCGCCCCGCAGGGACGCTGGAAGGGCAAGAGAGCGGTTCGGATGATGAATCTGCAATGCAGCTCGACTGAGTGGGTCACCTGGGTAACCTGCGCCCGTGCTTGCTCTGGAGGACTCGTGGCTGGCCTCGCGAACGCCGGACCGGCCAGAGCGACCGCTCCCGCGAGCACACTAGCGGCAAGCACGCCTACCCAGGAGTCTTGCCACGCCGGTTTCGCCGGGCTGGCGGAGCCACCGTGCCTGTGGCCGCCAGCCCTGCATCGCACCGACGTCATGAGCGCGGTGGCGCGCCGTCCGTGGCCGTGGGCGCCGTTGTGGAGCCGCGCTGAGCCAACCAACTCGAGGACCGGCGACGCCGGTGCGTGCCGTCGCCCCACGGGATAACCGTGGAGTGACCGGCGCAGATTCATTTGTGAAAGAGGTGGATCCCGAAGACGCGACGACGCTCCGCAGCGGATCGCTGCAGGCGCGGCAGCGGGCGAGGCTCTAGATGGAGCGGTGAGCCCGCTGCACGGCAGCTGCGAAATGCGCATCATGTGGCCGATGCGGAGCGCCCTCATGTCAAGAAATGCGCACGTTCCGGTACCGGCGTTGCATAATCTTGCCTCTGCGGCGACGAGGGGGGGTCGAAAGCTGAGCCACCTCACACACGACATGATGCCGCGTCCAGTACGTGTCCGCGTCTCGTCCCCCGCATCGCGACGAGGTACACGGCGGTGCCAGCTGCACGTACCGCTCAGCGGGTGAAACGGCGGCGCATTCTCTGCCGGGCACATCAATGTAAATGTGTGTCGCCACCTCCACATGTTTCGTGACAAGGCACAGTGGGTCCGGAGACGCAATCGACCCACGAAGAAGCTGCGCTGCGCAGAGGACATGCGAGGCCGCATCCAGGCAATCGCGCGCTCTCGGAAGCGCGTTGTCGACGTCTGTCTGCACCATGACGGCAGCGCATGCGAACCAAGCCGCTCCAGAGCGCGCGGCGCACGCCTTCCCCTCATCCGCCCCCCCAGTCCTGTCGCACCCGCTCTGTCCCGCCCCCGCGCCCGGTCGATGTTCCCGTCGCACGACGTGTCGAGCACGGACTTCACTTTGCCTTGCACATGTCAAATCGTCACGTGCGTCCCAGCCGCGGAACTGAGCTCGCGTGCGGCCCGCCTGCAGCATCGCGCATGATCGCGGCAGCCCCTGCGTGGTTCCCGCGAGGACCACGCAGCGAGCGGGGGGATGTGTTGCTCCTGACAGCGGGGTCTCAGCGTCCCTTCGCCGCCTGCCACGCGCATAGGCGGTCGACACCGGCGCGTGCGCCCGTACTTCGATCACACTGCGCACCGAGGCTGCATCGCGTCACCCATCGCGCGGGACGTCCCCTCGAGCGCCCCACCTCCGCAGCCTAGCCCGCACCCGCATCCTCTCTGGACCCGCTGCCGCCCAGCTCGCGCTCTTTCGGGCCCCGACCGCCGCGCGTGCACCGGCATGCAGGCCATCGGCAAGCCGCTCTGCACGCATTTTCGCCCCGCGAGCCTCCGGCGGCCCGCCGTCCGGCGCCTGCCCAGGCTCGCGGCCAGCGGCCCTCCTACACCCGGGCTCGACGAGTCGCTAGAGGTGGCCGTGCCGAGCGACCAGCGGCCCGTGAACCAGCTGAAGGAGCTCAAGGAAGGCGGGCTGTACAAGTGGGCGACGCTCGAGACCCCGCAGTACTTGACGCGGCTGGCCGTCTTGTGGGTCGTCTTCTTCACGCTCGTGGGCGCCCCCATCTCGTACCAGACGTTCGACCCCGCGGTCAATCCCGTCGAGTTCTTCCTCTCAGGTGCGCTGGACCGCGCCGCGCGCGCCCCGCGCCCGCGCCACGCGCCCCCCACGCGCCCCCACGCACCACCCGCTGCCTGCGCCTCCCCACCGCGCCGCGGATCGCCCCGCGCGCGCCCCTCCTCGCGCCGAGCCGCGTCGCAGCCCCTCCCTCCGATCCACCACCGCCGGGAAACCCACCCCTCGGCCCTCCTCCGCCCCCCACCGCCCGCGGAGGCCCCGTGCCCTACGCCCCGCCCACCGCGCGCCCCACTGGCTCCGCAGGCGCGACCGGCGCGTCGCTGGTCGTCGCGGTCGCCGTCACGCGCATCTACCTCGGGTGGTCCTACATCGGTAACCGCCTCCTCTCCGCGACCGTCGACTATGAGGAGACGGGGTGGTATGACGGACAGACCTTCGTCAAGCCCCCCGAGGTCCTCGCGCGGGACCGCCTCCTGGGCAACTACGAGGTCAGGCCGACGCTCCGGCGGCTCAAGTCCACCCTGATCGGCTCCGGCGCGACGCTCGCGACCATTTCGATCGTCCTGTCGGGCCTCATAGGCGCGGGCATGGACGAGAACGGAATGTACGGGCGGGCGGCGAGCGCGCCCGTGGCGCGGCAGACGGCGGGCGGGCTCACGTACGGACAGGGCACGGTGCGCGGCCCGCCCTGGCAGCGGAGCGTCGCTTGCGTCGGTCGCTGGTAAAGGGCGTAACGCAGAGCCGCACGCCCCGTGTCGACGTGCCCGCAGGACATCACGAAGCTCGCCGCGGACGACGACCTCGCGGCCGCGGAGGCGGCGGCGCAGGGCGGGCGGCCCGGGTTCTGCGGCAACCGGTACTACCGGGCGGCGGCGGGCGGCGCTGGCTCCGCGTGCAGCAAATACGACCCGTGACGCGGGGACTGGCCGCGGAGGCCGCCCAGCTGGACCGGTAGCTGGCGCTTGCGCTGTGAAACAAGACAAGAGCATCGGTGCGGCGGACGGCGTGGTTCCTTGCTCGCAGCGGTGCGCGGAGTTGCGAGGTAACAGTCTTGGCGCCAGCGTTGGTGCCAGGGCACGCTGGCGCATTGTGGCGGGCGCAGGGTCCGCGGCCCGCACGCGGTGCAGCGCGCGGCGGCGGTCAGGCGGTACGAACCCGCCGCCGCGGCGCTGCAGCAGTCGTCGGGGCGCGGCGGCCGTTCCCGGTTTGCGCCGCGCCCGTCATAGTCGCGCCGGACCGCGGCCCCGCGCCCGCGCCTAGGCCTCTTCGCGGCCGTCTGTACGTGCGCGCGGCTCGAGGCAGTCATCACGGAGACCCCCCCAGAGGGGGGGTTGTTGCTTGTACTAACGTTGCCGAATCGCGGCCTCGACGTCGGACAAGATGGCCCCGAGAGGCGCCATGCCGCCCGTGTCGAGCTTGGAGAACACGAGCTCGCCGTCGTAGAACACCTCGAACGCCCCGGTCTTGGTCAGGCTTTGAATCACGGTGTTGCCAACGAACCATGCGCCGAGCATGTACGGCATGCGCGACGGCACGACGCGCTCGGTGTACCACGACGGCACGGGCACGTTCAGGGCCGCGAGCGCCTGGTCGAGCAGCGCGATGCCGGCCAGGGCCGCGACCTGCCCGGCGCGCACAGCTGTCGCGGCCGCGGCGGCCGAGGGGTCGGTGGGGAAGGTGCTGTAGTCGATGTCGAGGTCCGGGTACCGCCTGTGGAGGGCCTCCCTGCGGCGGGCGGCGCGAGCGCGGCGCGCTGGTGTCCTGGCAGGGTGTGTGGGAGGGTGGAGTTGCGGCGGGGGCGTGGCTGGGCGCGCACCTGAGTTGCATGAAGGCCCCGGTGTAGCCTCAGGAAACGCAGAGGGCGACGTGAACTGAGCCTGCGATTGCACGCCAGGGCGCGCCGCATTACGTCATTACCTCATGATATGGAGCTGACGCCTCGTGGCCGCCACACACTGGACGAACGCGAATGATGATGCGTGCCCGTGCCTGCTCTGGAGCACGGGCTGTTCCGAGGAAGCATGGGTCCGGCAATCAGCGTCGTGAGCAGCGCACGGCCCCCTCGCAAGCTGGGCGGGACCAGCGCCGCTGGAGCTGCGGGGCGAGGCCAGATGGTGCATCGCGCCTCACCTGGCAGGCAAAGCGGCGCGACCTGCTCGTGGCGTGGGTGCGCTGTCGCCACCCCCAGGAGGAGCAACAGGAGCACAGCCACCCACGCAGTAGGGAAGCGGAGCCCCGCGGGGCGCATGTCGACGGAGCTGGTCCTCCGGGCCAGCACTGACCACGCTGCTGCCAGCGCGGTGCTGCGCGCGGCGCACATAGCGCGGCGAGAGACCACCCGCCCCGAGAGGTCGGTCAGGCATCCTGAATGAGACGGTCCGACTCATTCAGCGCACCCTCCTCGGGCAATGCTGGCGCCGAGCGGCGCGCTCACGCAGAAGCATCGCGGTCTACCTCTGCGGGATCAAAACAACCCCTGTGTCGGTCCCAGTACCGCCCTAGCCACCAGACTTGGCCTCTCGGCACCTCCGGCGCCCCAGCGAGTGGCCTGCGACACCAATCCGGTCTCCCGCTCTCTCACACTAGCTCCTCCGTGCGGATTAGCCGTCAAAGCCAGCATGCAGGCGGTCTCGCTGTCGCGGCCAGCATGCGGGTGCTCCATCCAGGCCAAGCTCCCCGCGCGCGCGGCCCGGGGGGCGGCTGTGCGCCCCGCTGTGCGCCCTGGAGCGCGCATGAACGCTCTCCGCGCGAACGATGGCAATGATCGGGCGGAACGCGTCGAGAGCGGCCCCGGGCGCCATTGGAGGTCGGCGGCGCTCCCTGCGGAAGACTCTGCGCCCGAGGGGGCCGGCGCGGTGTCGCGCGTCGTCGCGAAGCTCGCGGAAATGCCCCGCGCCGCTCTGATCGGCGTCTGCGTCTTCTTCCTGGTACGTTCCGCAGCCAGACGCGCACGCAACGCCCATCCGTGGCCCCGCGCTGGCGTCCTCCCACACCGCGCCTCCCGCGACGCTCCCCCGCCGCCGAACACGGATTCTCCGGCCGCCGACGCCCACCGCACAGCGCTCCTGATCCACCGTGCGCGCAGAGCCTCTGCGGGACCGTCGGCGCCGCGGAGGCCGCCAGGTCCGGTGGCCGCGCAGGAGGGTCCGCGTTCGCGGCGCGCCGCACGAGCTACACCTCGGGCTCGTCGCTCGCGAAGAGGTGCGCGCGCCCCGACCCACCACAGCCCCGCTCGCATCGCCACGCGCCGCACGCGCGCGCCCCTGCCCCGAAACCTACGCCGCCCCCCACACGGCATCGTCCCCGCCCGCTCCGCAGCTCGTCGTCGTCGCTGTCGTCCTCGCCGTCGTCGTACGGGCCCCGCACGACCACGCACCGGCACACCCACGTGCACGTCGGCCCCTCGTTCGGGCTGAGCTCGTTCTTCTTCCCTGGCTTTGGCTTTGGCATGGGGTACGGGTTCAACCCCTTCGGACCGCTGTTCCAGATCCTCACCATCATGTTCCTGGCCTACACCGCCTACCAGTTCTTCGGCAACAACGCCCTCGGCGACGGCGGCGACGACGGGTACTTTGGCTCGGAGAAGATCTCGACGATGAAGCTGCAGGTAGTCTCTCAACCTCGACTGCCAGCGCGCCCGACCTCCCCTCGCGCAGCCCCGGCCCGCAGCACGCGCGGGCGGCGACGCGCGACCGCTGCTTCGCCCCCCGCCGCCCCGCGCGCAGGTCGGGCTGATGGCGACCGCGGCGGACATCAAGCGCGACATCGAGAAGCAGGCCAAGCGCACCGACACGTCGGACCCGGAGTCGCTCCACTTCTTCCTCCAGGAGGTCGTGCTGTCGCTGATGCGCAACCAGGCCAAGTGCGTGTACGGGCACTCGGAGGGCAAGGTCGTCACGGGCCTGGACAAGGGCGAGGAGGCGTTCAACAACATGAGCCTCATGGAGCGGTCCAAGTTCGAGGAGGAGACCTTCGTGAACTACTCGGGACGGTCCAAGACGCGGACGTTCGCGGGGGGCAAGCGCGACGACCCCAACGAGCTCATCATGGTCACCATCCTCCTGGTGAGACGCAGCGCGACCGCGACGCGCGAACACATGCGACGCACGGACGAGAACGATGCGCGCACGCGCGAGGCGCCCGGGCGCCGATCGCGCGGCTGTCGCCGGCTCTGCCTCGTGAGTGACCGTGCGCTCGTGCTGTGTGCCGGCACCTCCCACCAGCGCAGGAGGTGAGCGAGTGCCACGTCTGTGCTGAATTGACCCCTGTGTGCGATCTGATCGCAGGCCGTGGAGGGCTCCGTGAAGCCGCCGAAGGTGAAGGACCGCACGACGCTGCAGCAGACGCTGACGCAGCTCGGGGGCCTGTCGACCTCGCAGGTGGTGGCGTGCGAGGTGCTGTGGACGCCCCAGGCGGACGGCGACACGTACTCGCGTGACGACCTCATCACCGACTACCCGTACATGCAGACGTTGTAGCGTCCGCGGCGGGCGGCGCGGGGGCGCGCTCGGTCGCGCTTTGTGTGACCTCCCAACCGCTGCTGGCACGTGCCCGGATAGACAGCGCGTCGAAGCATGCGAACTTTTGCAGGGGTCGATGCCTCCATGCCAGCGCACAGGGGTGGTGGCAAACACCTCGTCGATCGCGTCGGGGGGGATCGCGTCAACGCATCGCGTCCTTCACTCACAGGAACAACAGCCGCCACGCGCCGGCCTGCTCCCGCGCGCTCTCACTCGGGACGTTTCCGGATGACTGTGCGATACGACCGCAGCACCTCGATGGTCATCTCGATCAGCACCTTGCGCTCCGCCCGCGCAGCCACCGCCGCTGCCATCCGCGGCGACAGGCCCCCGCTGCTCAGCAGCTCCCTGTCCTGCGCAGCGCTCAGCAGCATCTCCGACTGGCGCGCACGGACCATGTCCTCCAGAATGCCTGCCGAGTCGAACTCGCGCTGCTTCTCTGGCTTCACGCCCCCCGGCCCGACGTCCCGCATCAACGGCAAGCTCTCGAACACGGAGTGCCACCGCCGCGCGTCCACCGTCGGGTCGATCTGCGCCGCCTTGCGCCCGCGCCTCGAGACGACGACGTCCCGTGCGCGCTCGAGGGTCGGCAGGTCGAGCGCGAGCAGCTCGCGCCGCATCTGCGGGGGCCGCGACCAGTGGGGGTCCTCGTCCAGATCGACTCCCTCGGGGGGCTGCGCGCATGACAGGCGGCGCGGCACGTCGAGCCTGTCGTTGGGGTTCCCGGACAGCGAGAAGCCGTAGTCGCGCATCAGCTCGTCGGAGGACTTGTCCTCGCCGTACGAAATGCAGAACTCGGTCCCGGCCTGCAGCGCGTCGAGCGGGTGAGAGCACGGCTCAAAACGAGAAAGCTGCTTGCTGCTGGGCAAGCACGACGCCAGCAGCGCACGTCGCCAGGGCCCCAACAGCCGCAGGGAGCGCCCGCACCCTACGCGTCAATCGAGGAGGCATGCTGCTCGCAGGGGCGCACCTCCATGTCCATGTTGGCCCACAGCCGGAACACCCCCGCGGCGTCGTCGACCTCGAACGTCGCGTTGTAGTCCGTGTCGTGGTTCGCGAGGTCCGCCACGGGCGCCAGCAGCACCAGCGACTCCCCGCCGCCGTTCTCAGGGTCGTCGGCGAACGTGCGACTGCGAACGCACCCCAGCGCCCACAACGTGTCCGCGGGCGTCCGCGCGAGCTTCAGCGCCCCGAGCTCGCCGCGCGTGGCGTCGAAGAACGCGTGGTGCAACCCGAACGCCCAGTCCCGCTGCCGCGACGCCTCGCGTTCCAGCGACATGGACTGCAGCTCGTATCTGTCGCTGGGCGCGAACATTAGCAGGCACGCGAGCTCCTCGCCGCTGGGCAGGGAGGCCGTGTACGCCTGCCACAGCGCCGTGGACTCCGGCGACCGGTCCGGGACGACATCGGGTTTCCGCGCCGTGCGCGCCATCCACAGCAGGAAGGCGGTCAGGCGGATGTCCCAGCGCTCGGCGGACCAGAGGAAGTCCTCCAGCTGCTCGGGCAGGGCGCCGTGGGCCTGCTGGAAGCGCCGGAGGTTCTCGGTCGAGATCACCGACGGCGTCGTGAGCGGGTCGACGGGTAGACACAAACAGTGGTGCAACGGCAGCTCCATGGCGGCGCCGTAGGGCGTGCCGTCGCGCGAGAAGAGCCCGCGTCCCCTGCGAGCGCCATTGGTGCGGAGACGGGAGCTCAGAGGAGTTGGCTTCCGGGCTGGAACATGAAGGAGCTACTGTGAATCCCTCCCGCGAGCGCAGAGAGCGTACCTTGGCCCGTCTCCCGCGCAGAGCGAGGTCTGAAGATCAAAGTGCTCTTGGGACAGCCTGAATAATTCGTCCATGCCTCCCGTGCTAGACGTAGGAGCCGAACCTGGCAGTGCAGGGTTCGACCGAACCACGCATCCAGCTCGTCCCTTGGGGAGGCCGCAGCGACCGGGCTGCCATCTGCATGCCAGGACGTGCCCCGCACGCAAACCAACGCGGGGCTTCACGCGGCAGCCTGTGAGGTGCGCCCTAGGGTACATGACTGAACCTGGCTCGAGCCACATCCTTCCGATACAGCCCGGTTTCGTGGTCGAACTGCATGCCAGCGCCCGCAGCGCGAGCACGACAGTGCGCAAGGCCGCCCAGCTGTCCACGACAAGCCAGCAGCGAGTGCCCAGCGGGGTCGTTTTTTTCCCCCGCCAGACGGACCGCGAAGTTTGCAGGGCCGGGCGCACCCATTGCCGCGCGACGGACCCCGGCGCGCGCCGTCCCCGTCGCCTGGTTCCGGAGAGGGCCGTAGGTCTCGCGCAGCGCTGCCCTGAGACGATGCACTTCACTATCCGTTCCCGCGTGTGCACGCAGCAACGCGCGGCCAGCGCGAACAGAGGGCGTGCGGCGGGCGCAGCTCGCTCTCGGCCGACTTCTCCATCGCAGTACGTGAAATCGCCCGCGAGCGTGGTCCAGAGTGGCGTCCGCGGGCCCTGCAGGGACGTTGCGAGGCGCAGGATGAGCGTGCGGGCCTCCGCGGCTCCTGAGTTCAAGAGCACTTCCGAGAGGAAGCCAAGGTGCGCGCCCGCCACACGGTGATCCATTCCATGGCCCGGTGTCCCCGCGCAAGCGACGCCTTTGGCGGGTGTGGCAGCGCGCGGGCGCCATCGCGCCAGTGCGACCGCGACGGCTGCGATCGATGCGTGTGTGCAGCTCCGAGGACCTCCTCATTGTCGGTCCGGGCGTTCTCGGGTCCGTCGCGGGCCTGAAGTGGCTCGAGGCCGCGCCGCAGGGCTCGACTGCTCTCGGGCAGACCAACACCGAGACGCGCCACGGCAAGCTGCGCGAGATGGGCCTCGCCGCCCGGACGCGCGAGGAAGCCGCCAACAGCACCGAGAAGTTCCCCTTCGTCCTCTTCAGCGCCCCGCCCTCAGGCGAGCAACTTCAACCCTGCAATTCAATTGTGCAAGGATCAGTTAGACTTCCTCGATTGAACAGCCTCAATCTAGACAGACAACCGCTATCCAATTCGAGGCGCTGCGCTCATGCCCGCGCCCGACGCTCGGTCCGCAGGGAGCGCCGACTACGTCGCGGAGGTCCAGGCGGCCCTCGATCTGTGGGACGGCACCGGCTCCTTCCTGTTCACCTCCTCAGGGAGCGTCTTCGAGGCCAAGGAGGGCAAAGTGACCGAAACGTCCCCGACGGCGCCCGAGGGCTCGCGGACGCCGGCCCAGGAGCGGCTCCTGCGCGCCGAGGCTGCGGTTCTCGAGCGCGGGGGCAACGTGTTGCGGCTGGTGGGGCTGTACCACGCAGGCCGCGGGGCGCACACTTACTTCCTCAAGGTGGGCGAGGTGGAGCGGTGGGGCGGGTACACGGTCAACCTGATCCACTACGAGGACGCCGCATCGCTGGCGGTGGCGATCCTGCGCGGGCGGGGGTCTGAGGGTTACTACCGGGGGAGTGTTTTTGTCGGGTCGGACAACCATCCGATCACGTTCGACGACATGATGGAGGCGACGCGCAAGTGCCCGCAGAGATACGAGGGCGCTAAGGAAGTCAAGTTCACGGGTACTGCCTGCGTCGCCGCGGCACCGCGCTGCTGCTATGACGGGATGCAACAATGCATGCCGCTGTTGGATGCAACGCCCGCTCCCCGACTGCGTTGTTCGTGCTTCGTGCTCGCAGCCACGGAGCCAGGGCCGGGCGGGCCAGGGAAGGAGGTGGACAGCTCTGCGACGAACGAGCAGCTCGGCTGGGGTCCGATTTACCTGTCGTTCCAGACATTCATGGCTGCGGGCGGCAAGGACAGATACACCGACGACCTCCCGATCTTCGTGGGCGCGCCGCACGCGTAATGTATTGAACATGCAGTGAGGTGAGGTGAGGTGTCACATTCTTCGCGTCGTCAGCCATAAGGCTTTGGGACCTGAAAAGATCATTCGACTAGGTGGCGAGTCATGCTAACCCCCCACCGTTATGGTAGCAACAGGTTCGGCAGTTGTGACAGAGTCAGCCATGTGACACATTGTCATCATGACCTGTCACACGGCAGCGCGGCTGCGTCGCGGGCACCGTGTCACGCGCGCACGGGCTTGTAGACAAAGATCCGCGGCGGAGCTTTGAGAAGCCAAGATGCAAGGTGCAGTCAATCGCGGCAATGTGTATGCTCGCCCACTTACTGCGTCTGGGGCAGCGCCGGTGCCGCGTCCGCCTGCGTGCACTCTCCAGCGTTTGCGGCGGGAGAGAATCCCCAGAACCCGGCCTGCTCCATGCCCGCCGCCCAAGCGGCATATTCGGTGTACGTCGACTCCTTCCGCCACTCCCTCCCCATGATCTGGACGCTCGTGCCCGACAAAAGCCGGTGGTAGACGCCGGGGACGGACGACGTCAGGTGGCCGGAGCCTGGGGCCGCCCCCCCCGTCGTCGCACGCCGCCATCGGGCTGAGCTCCGCGCCCACGGCGATCGCGCCACCGAGGGCCGCGAGGCCAATCTCCTGTCTGCCCGCGAGCAGGACCTTGTTGCGCAGCACTGTCAGAGCTCAATGAGATGGGAGCATCCCTGCCTGCTTCAGCCGTGGTGTTCTCCGCCTTTCTCGGATCCCCGCAATGGTATCACTTTCAGGAGAGCACCAGGCTGTCGGAGTATGACCCGCGCAAATGGCCTCATTCCCCATGGCGGGTGTTGGAACAATACGCCCCTGCTTCTTGAAGAAGATCTGCGGACCACCTTATCTGCGTGCCGCGTTCGACGTTCGTCGCAAGGGGTCTGCACGAGGCAGCTTGACGTCGGGGCCAATCCTCGTCTCCGCAGCGCGGCATGGCTTTCCCTGGTTTTGCTATGGCTGCAGCATTATTGATGTTGGCGCTCGTGACGTTCAGGCATGGGTTGCCAGCCGCCGGGGAGACTGCACGCGAGTCCTCGCGAGCAGACCCCGATGCAGCCGCTGAGACGGAGAGTCCCCCTGATCTCTTCGCCGTCAGTTCGCAACCACCAGCTGCACCTCAAGCGGCCCCTAGGCAGAGATATAACCGCGCGGACGTGACCGTCTACACGTCATATCCCGAACCAGACTCCGACGAATGCGTCAAGTACAGCGGATGCGAATACGAGGGCCAGTTCGCCGCCCTTCCGGATAAGATGGACCGCGCCTGGGTGTCGTCGACGAACATCGTTGCTGTCCACGAAGCGCACTTCCAGGTGAGATTGACGCACCAGCATGTCGCCGCTCTCGCCCGCAGCCGACACGTCGCGCCGCTGTCGGCACGCGCTGCCCCCCGGAGACGTAGGGATGCAGCCTGCGCTGCACGCAGGATCTCAAGCTCAAGCAGCTCCTCATTCGCGGCGACGACGGGCGCGAAATCGTCGTCAGGGTGTACGACATGTGCGCGGACGCCGACTGCGGCGGGTGTTGCACCCTCAACGCCGCCTCCACCGGCTTTCTCCTGGACCTGGAGTCTCACACCGCCCAGCGCTTCGGCCAGACGGAGGGCGTCGTTGAGTGGACGTGCCTCGACTGCTGACTCCTCCTCCTCCTCGTCTGCGCTCGTTGCCGAGCGTCATTCAATTCACCGCATGTCTTTCAGATCGTCGTTCGTTGGCATCACGATGGCGTACAGGATCTCGTGGGGGTCCCACTCGACGGCGAGCTTCGTCGCGACGGTCCTCGACGGCGGCACGAGGTACATGATGCGCTTCGGGAGCCCCTTGGAGGCGTCCGCTTTGATCTCCACGACCCCGGCGCGCCCCTTGGTGGCAAAGTCGTTCAGGAGCTCGATGAAGGCGCGGCGCTCGTTGCGCGCGGGGCTGCTGGTCAGGCGGCGCACGGCGCGCACGCGGGCGCGCTTGGAGGCGAGGACGTTGTCCAGCAGGTACTGGAGCTTGACGTACGCCGACATAAGGAGCTTCTCGGGCCACGCAGGCTCCTTCGCCTCGAAGTCGCTGGCCTGCGCGACGGCGGGCGTCGGGAAGTCCCTGCGCGCGCGGTCAACACGGGCCGCACTGCTGCGTTCGTTGCTGTGAGCGTGCGTGGGTGGCGATGTGTTGCGATTCACGCGGCGATGCAACTGCGCGGAAGACCAGGGAGCTGCCCACCTGCAGAACAGCTGACAGACGTGCAGCCCCTCTTTCGTCAGCGCTCCCTGGTAGCTCAGGCCGCGCCCCTGCGTCACCGTCGGCACCGGCGCACTGGGTGTGCTTTGGGGTGCAGAACTTCCGCCCGCGCTCTGCCGCGCCGCGATCGGCGCAGCGGCCTGCGCCGCGTTCGTCGCGGTGTCCGCTGCGACCACGGGGCGCGGCCGCTCGTTCCACCAGAAGTCCAGTCGCAGTAACGCGTCGCCCCCCAGACAGCCCCCGTGCAGCACTGCCCGCGCTTGCGCCGCAGCCGCCGCCGTCGCGTACCGCAGGAAGCCCCAGCCGCAGTGCTCGGGGAGCGCCGACTTCACGAGCGGGAGCCCGCAGCTCTCGACGGCTCGCAGCACGTCCGCGCGCGACACGTCTGGCGTCAGACCAGAGACGCGCAGCGTCGCGGGGGCGTCGGGGTAGAGCGTCGCCAGCGCAGCGAGCAGCCCGCTGGCCACGCGGTGGGCGCGCGCCTTGGTCGTCAGATCCAGCAAGACCGCCGACGTCGGGTAGGACAGCTGCGGCGCACATCCAAAGCACACGACATTGGATTGAGGTTGCAGTTGTGCCACGACGCGTGTTGCGGAGTGCGCGCCCTGCAGCTCGCGACGCTCGCAAAGGAAAGCAAGGGCTTGCCTGGACGGAGTCGAACTCGGCGCGCGTGGCTTCCGCTCCCTCTTCCCCCGCTTTGAGGATCTCCCTCACCTTTCCCAGCACGATCGGCAGCGTCTGGTCGTCCGCGCGCCCCACGTACACCCACGACCCGGACGCGTCGGTCGGCGCGACGTCGAGCCCCTCAGGATCGTGCGCGAGGAACTCGACGGTCACGCGCTTGCCGCCCAGTGTTGCCCGCGACAGCCGCTCCACGACCTGCGCGGCCGTGCGAACGGACCGCAGCGTCACCGTTGCGTCGCAGCGCCCCGGACGAACCGGCGGGAGCGTCTGCACGTGGAGCACGCTCTGCCGCGGCGCAGAGCGCGGCTGCCGGCCTGCATCACCCTGTTCGCCAGCGCACAGGCCCTCCACCAGCTCCGCCAGCCGGTCTCCGTCCAGCCCCGGCCCCGCGGACACGAGCAGCGTCGACGACGCCAGGGCCACGGGGAGCATCGGCACGCCGGCCTCCTCGTCGTCCTGCGCGGGGCAGCCGGGCCCGCAGTCCATCGTTTGCCATCGCAGCACGCAGCAACGGCAAGCGAGCGCGGCAAGCTCTGCCACGCACCCGCGCGGTTCCCACAACAGCGCTGAAAACGAGGGACCGCCCCCTGCGCACCTCGGGCACTGGCAGCTGGTCGCGCAGCTTGGCACCCCACAATTGTACCCCCGGGACGTCCTGCTCGGTGACCGACGCCATCCAGTGCTCGATCTCCCTCCGCGCCCACGTCGCCTCCCTCTTCCGGCCTCGGAACGCCTCCGGCAGCACGCGCGCCCCCTGCGGCGCGTGTTGCGCCACCTCCGCAGCACTCTCCCCCACCTCCCCCTCCTCCGCCTCGTCCACGAGCCGCGCGAGCGCGGCGTTCGCGGCGCGCTGCGCTTCCCACGGGTACGAGCTCGACCCCCTCGCGGCCGACAGCACCTCCTGGAGGACCCCCCCCGGGCACAGCCACAGCGCACGCTGCAGCGCCGACATGAGGGACGCTCGGGCCTCGTCGGGGCCGGCCAGCGCCGGGAGCGGCGCGTCGGCGTGTCGACGGCCGGATGACTTGGAGGCCGGGGCGTCGGTGCTGGCGATGCGGGTGAGCAGGAAGCGGACGGCGTCGGTAACGATGCGCCGCGCGGCGGCGACGGGCAGACCGCTGGCGACGGCTTCGGGGTCGATCTCGACGGCGCTGGCGGCGGCGCAGATCGCGGAGATGCCCTTGAGGGCCGCGAGGACGGTCAGGCGGACCTGCGGTTGCGCGCGGGCGCGGGGGGGGGCGGCGGTGAGGTTGTGAGACGTGCGCAGGGGGGCTCGCGGCGCCGGGGCGGCGCAGAGGTGCGCGGCGTACCTGGCACGGATAGGGATGCTCGTTGGGTTTGTGGACCGCCTCGCGGCAGAGCGCGAACTGCGCCTTGAGGGCGTCTGGCAGGCGGGCGGGAAAGGCCGAGGCGTAGGTGGCGATCAGGTGGGCAGCGGCTCTCTTGGCGCCGCAACTGCCCGTGGAGGCGATTTGGAGCACCGTCGAGAACCGCGGCTCGAGGTCGGCCGCGGTGGCGGTGTCAGCCGCGCGGAGCCGGCCCTCGACGCCTGTTGGCGACAGGCCCTCCTGCAGCGCGCGGGGCGGAAGTCTTCGGATTGTGAGCAGGATTCGAAAACGAAGAGTGGACGTGCGACCAGGGGCATGTTCACGGGGAAACGGCCCGCCGCGAGGCTGCACGGCTGGCACAAGTAGGTGCGCAGGATGGTGGTGGCGCGGGGGCGACACCTCCAGCGCCGTCATGCACTCGTACACGCTCCGCATCTCCGCCCTGTACATATCTCGTCGCGCAGGCGGAGCGCCGGCGTCGCCGTCGGCGGGGCGCTTGCTCCGCGGCATGTTGCGTCTGCCTACGTGTGCGCTGCCGCGCTCGCTCTCGCACGCCCCGATCCTACTATGTCAGCAAGCGCCTGGGATCCTTCGTGTGTGGGCCATGCTAGCACACAGCGCAAGACGCGTCGAAGCTCGCCCCCCAGCGTTGCCTGGAGAGCTAGACTATTGGCAATCAAGCGCCCGTGAGGCTACACACAAAGACGCTGTCGAGGAGCTGCACACGTGGCATCGAATCGCTCAATCTAGATGGCGCATGACAGCGCCGTTCCAAGGCCTTAGTGGGGGCGTACTGGCCTCGACGGCGCGGAGTAGTCACATGAGTACCCGGCCCAGCTCAGTTGCAGCATGTCTGACGGCCATCCGCGCATGGCACGCGGCATGCAGGTGACACTGTCGGTCGACCTGCGGGCGCCAGTCGCGGGCACAGCGCGACAGCACCCTGTCGGTCCACCATGACGATGTCCGCGCCAACGTACGCAGCCAGCCCCCGAGAAGCTGGTTCGCGTGTGCTGCACGCACCGCGCCGCCGGAGCCGCGCACGCCACCCTCGCGAGAACAGGGCGGGCGCTGGCGGCCGTGCACAGCACCCCTCCGCGCGCCCGAGGCCGCATCGCGGTGTTGTGCAGCGCTGCACTTCACTTCACGAGATAAACCATGCTCAGGGCGACGCCGACCAGGATGACGACGCCGAAGATCAGCGCGCCGAGCGCGCCGGTGCTGAGGCCGGAGCTGTCGCTCTCGTCCACGTACCCCTGCGGGCGGTCGGGGCCGGTCGGCGTCAGGCGCGGTGGCCCTCGGCACGTCGTGCGGGATCCAAGCAGGCAGGTTGCGCGGAGCGCTGCGCAGGTCGCGGCGAGCGCGCTGCACACTGGCGCGTGCACCGGCCGCATGGGGACCGCAGGGAGTGTTGAGAGCGCGGTGGTTTGTTTGACATTGTGCTGGGTCTGTGCGGGGGGAACACCTGGTCGCGGTACGTCTGCTCGGCGTCGAAGTTGTTCGACTCGAAGTCAGCCTTCACGACCCACCGCTCCTTGTCCAGCTTCACCTCCGCGGGCACCTGCGCAGCGGGGTGTGTGTGCGCGAGTTGGAGGGTCAGCGGGTCGGTGGGCTGGAAGGTGGCGATGCGCTGCAAGGTGAGTTGCTTCGCGGAGGCTCTGAATGTTCGGCTGCGCACCGGAAGGCCCAGTCCGAAGCCCACTAGCTCCGCAAAGCTCCCTGCAGGGCAGGAGGACGCCGTGGAGCTGCGAGTTCGCGTCGCGTGCGTTGTCGCGATACTACAAGCATGCGTTGAACGTTGGAGGAGGCGGCAACCGCGGCGGATGCGGCGTATGGAGGCCTGCGGACGAGGCGAAACTCACCTACAGTGAGTTTCCGCTTCTTGTACCCGAGACCCGAGTCCTCGTCATCCTTCGAGTCCGCATCGGCGTCCTTCGAGTCCTTGCCAGCCTGCGAGAAATGTCAGAAGGGTCATCAACTCGCAGTCAAGCCAAACAGCCAGCAATCTCGCACCAAAGGGGATCTGCCACTCACGGAACGCAGGGGCGATCAACGCGCGTCATTGGCATTCAACAGCACCGACGATGCGTATACCGCCCCCCTGCGGGTGCAAGCGCGGCGGGAGTTTCCCGTGCCAGGCCGTCGCAGCGCACCTTCACTGCACAGTGCCTGCGCGCCCGCGCTGTCTGGTGGGCCCAGTCCGCCGTGATCGGCGCACCCGTGGGTCTACGTAGCTGGCTGCGGCTCGGTCGCGCCGCGAGGCCCGCCACCGTGGCGGGACCACGCACACATGGCTTGGCCCCCATCATCCTGAAGTTTGCCCTTTTCGACGGTCGCCGCGGCACGCGGATGCGCTCCTGTAGCACCTACCGCGCTCCTTACATCCGCGCAGGGCTGCTCCGTGCGGCCATGTGCCTGCCGGCAGCGCACGCGGGTCCGACTGACAGCTAGGGCGGCGCTATGCCTAGTCAGTCCGTCTCCCGTCACGCGACGGTCTCACCCTGACGACACCCACGCGGCCCTGCTCCGGCGCTGTCCAGTTTGCTTAGCTCATCCGTTCTAGACCGTCGTCCCGGCCACAATCTGTCGTACTTTGAGTATTATCACAGGCAGTCTGGTTTGTGAGTCTTCCAGTCCTTCTGCCGGCACCGCACGCTGCAGTAGCTCACGCGCTCGCACCGCCCGCACGGCACCAGCTCCACGTCGCCCCCCGCGCTCCCGCACGCCCAGCACGCACCATGTGGGTCGCGCCCCTCCGCCGCCTGCTGCAGCGGCGCAGGCAGCACCACGTCCGCCCTCTCGCTGCCACGCAGCGACTCTCGGCCCACACGCGCCCGCTTCAGCTCCGCAGCAGCCGCGGCGAGCGTCGCTTTGCACGCCGGGTCGTTGCACGCCCTCCGTGCCTCGATCAACGCAAGCGGCAGCGCCGTCGCCTCCGCGCCCTGCCGCCGCCGCTCCTCGTCTCCGCCGCCCTGGAGCATGTGCAGCGCCGCGAACCCGAGCCGAGCGCGCGTGTGGTCGCTCGTCCCCGCCGCCCGAAGCGCACCCGCGATCGCATCCGCCCACCCCGCCGCAAGCGCCGCGTCGCGCCGCCGGCCCGCCCCGGCGTCGTCGCCGTGCACGAGCCACCCAGCCGCGATGGCCAGCGTCCGCAGCGGCGTGTCGCCCCTCGCGTCCCGCAGCGCGGCAGCAAGCACCTCCGCGGCCCCGCACGCCACCGCCGCCTCCCTCGGGCCCCCCCCCGACGCCAGCAGCGCCGCGAGCACCCCGCCCGCGCTCTCGCACGCCCCCTCGTCCGCCTGTCCGCGCAGCGCCTCCACCGTCGACCGCAACACGCCCTCCTGCGCTGCCCGCGCCACCCGGCTCTCGCGGTCGCCGCCGGCCTCGAGCATGGACCGCGCCACGGCGAGGAGCGTCCGGCGCACGTCGGGGCTCGCGTCCTCGCGCAGCGCGATGCTCAGCACGTCGAACAGGCCCGCTTGGCTCGCGAGGTCTGCGCGGCGATGGTGCTGCCCCTCCAGCATCGCGAGGGCCGGGCCGGCGAGCGCGACGCGCGCCTTGGACGACGGGGCGGACCGCAGGGCCGCGACGAGGGCGCGGACGACCCCTGCGGCCTCGGCGTCGTCCATCGCGGAGGCCGCAAGCATGGCGCGGTCGTGCAGGGAGGGCTCCGTGTGGACGCGCTTCAGGGGCGAGCTGCACTGTGCGAGGAGATCTTTGAACTCGGAACAGCACTCCAAGCACGCGTCCTCGGTCGTCGCCGACTCAAGGCTCTCCCGCAGAGGCACCCACCCCTGGCTGGAGAGCGTGGCCCGCAGCGGCGAACCGGAGGCGGAGCCCACCTGCGGAGCGGATGCGCGGCGATCGGCACCGTGAGCAGGGCGAAGGTGCGCGCGACGCGGCGCATGCGACGCGCGATCACGCGTCGAGGGCTGGTGATACAACCCAGTTGTGCCCAGGCCGTGCTGCTGCCAACACGGGCGGGTGCGGGCGCGTGTCAGGTCGCGTCTTGCTACCACACAAGTGAGGATGCTTCGCGCGCGAGGATATCGACCGAGTCTCCGTCTGCGCGCCCCCCTGGTCGTCCCACAAAAAGGGCGCGCTGCTCGGAGCGGCCCGCCGCGCTGTTCCGTACATTGGCCCCGAGCTGCACCCCTCCCGCCGCATCCCGTCCGCCCCTGCCGGCGGAGCCCGCTCCGCACCGGCGACTCGGCCGCCACGCACCTGTCGCGGCATCGTCTCAGGGCCCATGACTCGCCCAGTCGCGGGCGCCCGGAGGGCTCCCAACCCACAGGCGCGACGTTGCCAGACGGCAGTGCGTGTACCCCGGGCGCGGTTGGCCGGAACACCACGGCACGCGCGCGCGCCCCGCGGTCACCGCCGCGGCCGTCTGTTGCTCCGCGGTGCAGGCACCAAGCCGGAAGAGGGCCCGCGCAGGTCCGAAACACACACGATTGGGGTCGTTCGGGATGCGATGCGGACGGACCATGCGGCAGGTGCGGCCTTCTGCCCCGCGCGCGCCCCCCGCGGCAGGATTCTGTCCCCGCGGGCGAGCCAATGAGCACGAGTCCAGGCGGGCGGTTGCGTCAGGGCGCTGCCCCGGCGGCCCCCGTCCGCGCGGGGCCAAAGCGGCCGCGCCGCCCGGCGCTCCTGACTTCGAGCTCGCGTCCCCGGACGAGCGGCGCTGTGCTTGCGGCGCGCACACGACCGTATCCAACTTCGTCTATGCATGCTAGGCGTCTCGTCCCAGGGTAACTGTATCTGTGGATGGATTCCCCCCGCCTGCGGGGCCACAGGGCGTCCCCGTAGACGGCGGACGGTGTGAGGCGGCAGGTAGGGCGCGAGAGATCGCGTTTTCCGGCCCCTGTGCGCGGGGGCGGCACCCCGAAGCCCGCAGCGCTGATTTCCTCTCGCCGCGGAGATTGGGGCGCGTGCGGGGCCGTGGCGGACAGTCTCCGATCCCGGACGTCGCGACTGGCCCGCGGCTATCGTTTCAGCGCGTTGATCGCCGCCCACGCGGGGCCATTTCCGGCGCGAGCGGGGCCGCGCCGAGCTGTTGGCAGGGGCGGACGGCGCGCCGGCCCTGGGCGCGCGCGTGCGGCGCGCGAGTGACCCGGAGCCCCTTCTCCGCGCCGTTCGCATCACAGGGGAGGCCTGGCCTGGCGGGCGAGGGAGCCGATGGGGCGGAAGACGCGTCCGACGCGGGCAGGTCTGGGGACTGTTGCCTCGGCGGTGGAGCCGTCCTCGGCGGGCCCGTCGCGCGGCGGTCCCGCGGGCGCGGCTGCCCTTGCGCAGAAGAAGGGCGAGGAGACCGCGATAACGCGGGCGCAGGAGCTCGTCCAGTGGTCGCGCGAGCATGAGGGGCGCACGCCGCGGGAGATGGCCTGCTGCCGCGGGGCGCGCAAGGCGACGGCGACGCCGGAGGAGCTGCACGAGCATCAGTTCGGGCAGTGGCTAGCGAACCAGCGGATGGCGCTGAACGGCAAGGGGCGGCACAAGTCGCACCGAGCAGCGGTTGCGGTGCTGGACGCGCACTTTGGCCGGTCGTGGCGCGCGGCCGGGTCCGCGGCGGCGCGCGAGGAGGCCGCCATTCGCCGCGCGGAGGAGCTGGTGCAGTGGGCGAAGGACAACCCGGCCCGGGGCCTCCCGCAGCAGGTCTGGTTTCTACAGTCGGACCGCCGGGCGATAGCTACGGAGGCGGAGCTGCAGGAGCACGAGCTCGCGAAGTGGCTCTCGAACCAGCGGAGGGCGAGGAACGGCAAGGGGCGGCACAAGAGCTACCCCGGGGTCGTCAAAGTGCTCGACGACCACTTCGGCGAGCGGTGGCACAAGGCACAAAATTCCGTGTGTGGAAGGCCTTGATGACCTCGTCGAGCGCCTCCGGGACCCCTGCCGCCGCGTCAGCCCGCGCCTCGATGTCCCGCTGTGACAACAATTTTGATTTCGTTCGAGACTCACACAGCGCGGGTACTCCACCGCGTCGTTGCTCTCGGCCACCCCCCTTTCCTGGTTAACGTGACCTCCGGTGTGACACGTTTGTCACACTGCATGTTCAATACACAGCAGTCCGGACGCACGTGTGGGTGCGGGCATCGGGCAGCGAGCGGGAGCGGCCATGACAGCGGCCGCCGGCACAACGTCGCGCGGTTGGTCATGTTGCCACACACGTGCGACGTCGTCGACTTGTTCCCCCCACGAAGGGCGCGTGTCGTCGAACGGGACGCGCTGGTACACCGCCCACACCGCGTCAGAGACTTCTCCGTTCCAAAACGTGTTCGTTCGCCGCGTCCTAGGCATGGTGGTCGTCGCCCGGCTCCGTTCAGGCTACTGCTGCCGGGGGCGTGGTCCTGCACCGCGGCCGCGATCTGCGACGCGCCGATCGGTTCGGGTCGCCCCGAAGTAACCGTCGCGCGCCAGGTCTGGGGGGCACGTGAACGGGGGGCAGCGGGGCCGCCACGCGGGGGGCATCGCGTCGGAGCCGGCGTTCGATGAGCTCAAGAGCGACTCCGACGAGTCCTCAGGAGAGTGATGCCGGGACGCGTGATGGCGCGCGGGGACGGAACCAACATGTCACGCCCGAGAGACGTGGCGACGCGGGGTGATGCGACGAGCAAACCGACCGGCCGCGCGGCCGGTGGGGAGCAGCACCCGCTGCACTGCAGGCTGCCGCTGCCGCAGAACGCGGCGCTCTTGCGGCCCTCGGCCCTGTGAGAGCGCTACTATCCGTGCATGCCGCGCGGGGCATCAGCCGCCGCCGCGATCGCGCGGCAGCCTGCCGCAGGCCGTCTGGCAGCAACGCCCCCACGCCCCCCCTCCACACCCGGACCCCGCGCCCCTCGGGCGCGCTGGCGCTGCACGTGACCGCGACCGCTTCAAAGCACCTCACAACGACGTGTTCCAGGTTGGTTCAAAATGCTTCCCTGCACCAGGCCGAGCCCCCGCCCCCTCCTGGCAGGCGCCGCGCGAAGCCACGGCGCGAGACACGCATACGAGCCCGGCGAGCCCTACGCGCGCACGGCCCTGCGATCCCGCACGTGCGTCGTCCGGGGCGGAGAGAACGCGCAGGGGCTGGTCTCGCGCCCACCCGCGCCCGACGCGCCCCCGAACGACGCCCGCCCCGGCCGCGGGCTGTTGCGCCGCACGGCCGACACGGCCGTCTCCGTCGCCGGCACGCCCCGCGCCTGGCGCTTCTGCGGAGGGGTCCTCGGAACACCTGCACACAACGCGCGGCGCACACAGCTCTCAGCGCACGGCCACCGGCACGCGAACACGCCCGCGTCCGGACGCCGGACGCATCATGGTCGCAGGGCACGTTCCGCGGTGCCGGCACGAGTCAGACTGGGGCAGCAACCCGGAGAGGGACGGCGCGTGGTTCCGGAGCAGACGCGGGGTCGCACCTTGCGACGCGCTCGGCGTCGCCCGCTTCACGCGCTTGGCCGCAGCTGTCCCGCCCTTGCCGCCGCGCGGCGTCGCCCCCGGCGCCTCGTCGCGCACGTTCTCACGCGTGTGGCCGCTGACCTCCTCCGTGGCCTCGGAGGCGCTCGCCGTCGCCGCAGGGGCCTTCGCCTCGCTCTTTTTGCTCCCGCGCGCACGGTGCTGCAGGAGCTGCGCCTGCACCATGTGCGCGGCCGAGAGGAACCCGCGGCGGTTCGCTTCGTGGATGATGATGCCGGTGGGCACCATGCCGCGTCGCTTCATGCAAATGGACGAGTTGCAGATCCAGGCCTCGTCCGGGTGCTCGTCCTCGTAGCAGTGCGGGCACAGCCAGCCCTTGCCGGACTCCACCGCCGCGCGCACGTCCTCAAGGTGCAGGCCGTAACGCAGGAGGAGGCACTGCCTGCAGAAGCGGCCCGTCGCGCCGTGACACCTGCAGACGTAGCGGCACGGATGGAGACAGCGCTGAGCGCCGCTCCGGCGGATCTCTACGCGCTGTTTGGCTCTGTCTTGCCGGCAGGGGGGGGTGATGTGTTGGCAGCAGCGCAGGGGGTCGTTGGCGGTGGGCGTGCCTGGAGCACTCGCTCTTGCCGATGCAGGGCGCGTCGACGTCGCGGTGGGCGCAGCGCGGGCAGTCGTCCTCCCCGCACAGCTTCTTCTGCCGGCAGAAGTGGCACGTGACCCCCGCCTTGCTGTCGTAGAACGTCCCGCGCCCCTTGCCGCTGCACCGCGCCGCCTCGTACTTGGCCATCAGCGCCTCGTTGCCCTCGCCGCGCACGTCGTCGTACTGACTCAGCTGCAGTCCCCCCGCCTCCAGCGCCGCGAGGAACTCCGCCGAGGTGCGGCGCCGGTCGTCCGCGCCCAGGAAGAACTTGCCGGCGAGCGCCTCCTCGTTCAGCGCGCCGAACGCCGGCGCGCTGCCCTGCACGACCACACGCCGGGGCTGGGCGCTCAGCGGCCGAGTCGCGGTGTGCGTACACGCAGGGGCGCTGCAGGGGCTACGGTTGGGTACCTGGAGGCGGCCGGAGCGCCGCGCGGGGCCCCGCGGCTTCTTGGTGATCGTCCGGGGCCGGCGGTTGGCCGCTCGCGCGGCCGCGGCGTCCCGCTGTGCCTTGAGCATGGCTCGCTTGGCGTCGCTCACCCCCAGAGCTTCTGCGAGGGCGGGGCACCGGGCAGAGTCTCGGTTACGACGGACACGTGCGCTTTGGTGAAGCTTGACAAGCGACGCGGGCGCTCTGTGGTCCGTGGCGGGCGCTCCTGCTGGCATTGCAAGGCACCCGGCCAACGCGAGCTCACGCTCGGGGAGCGTCCGAGAAAACTGGATGTCTCGATGGGCGCGGTGATGTTTTGTCAGAAACCGCGTGGTTCCATGGGCCTGATGCGGTGTGCGCTCTGTGGTGGCCCTAAAACCCGTCAGTGGTTGGGTGGTCGATGGCAAGCGCCGTGGCGTCGCGTGACATGCCGGAACCGCGCCGCCCGTCCACGCATCGGGAAGAACGTGTGACAATCATGCGAATCATGCGGTAAAAAAGCTTACGGAAGCCACACCCGCCGCGCAAACCTAGGCACAGCTGTGCAGGGCGAGCGCGGGAAGAGATATGCTGTCGTCGACGGACACCAGGGCAGCAGAATGGGAAGGAACGCCGCGCCCCTGGCGTGATATGATATCAATCTGTCGACTCAAGCGGTCTCATTCTCGGGAGCGGCCGTGTGGTTCGCGCAACGCGGCTCGTTCCCCTGGTCGTGCGGCCTCGGGAGGCTCGCCGGCCCGTGGCGCCACGTGTGCACAGCTCCCGGGCCGGCGGGCGCTCCATGAATCAATGAACGCCATTTCGTTCCGGCGCCGTCCGTGCGCGCGCGTCGAGCGCGGCGCCCGCGAGCGGGGAGGCTCACCCATCTTCTCCCTGTTCCGAGCGATCCTGTCCTGCCTCGCGCGCTCATATTGACTGATGCTGACCGTCATGGCGCCTCGCGTTCTTCGGAGACACGGGTGCCGGGGCCACCAACCAGCCCTCGGAGCCCACGCGGGAGGTGACCTGCCCATGCTGGTTCTACCGCAGGTGCGTCACGTCAGGGCCCGGTCCGCCGCCAACGATGCTGTTGCCCGCGCACTCGCACGGCGCAGTGCACGTATTGACGCAGCGGGCTCCACCATCGAAGCCAGCAACGGCAGACGGTCGTTCCACACACACTGGGTGGCATCAAGCACTTCACAGCGGTGCGAGACGCCGCTGGGCGGGCTTCCACGCGCCTTGCGGGACTGCTGAGCTCGTAAGCACCCCTCACCGTCGATCGGGGCCTACTGTGGGACGCATGGCGGACGTGGACGCGGAGGCCATCGCGCGCACCCGGGAGCTGCTTGTGGAGCAGCATGGCGCGTTGGAAGATTGGGAGAAGGCCTTCTGCGATGACTCTTGCATCAGGCGGTATGTCAGGGCGCGCGGCACTCCAGCCAAGGCCGCTAAGGGCCTCCACGCGACGTTGACGTGGAGGAGGGAGGTGGACCCCGACGGTGCGTCGCAGCGCGGACTGCCAGCCCGCACGCACATGCCCCGCTCGCCAAGCCTACTGGCTATGCTGCACGGCGCCAGTGGCGCGCGAAGGCAACCACCGCCTGCGTGAAGCACCAACCTAGCCACACGCGCCCACGAGGCCCGTCCGCGGCCCTCCGGCCCGGACTTGCGGCCCAGACGACGCCGCGCGCCCACCTCGTTCCCTGCACGGCCGTAACGCCCACCTGCAGGGATCGCTGCGTCCGAGTTCGATGCTGAGTTCGACAAGGGGCGCCTGTATCTGTCCGGGGTGTCCGACGCCGGCGTGCCCGTCATGGTGACGCGCAAGCAGGCCGACGGGCTCGGCGAGGGCGGCGAGGAGCGCTACCTGCGGCACCTCGTCTTCACGCTCGAGAGCGCGGCCGCGTGCACAACCAACGGCGCCGAGCAGTGGGTGTGGATCATCGACCTGCGCGGGTACTCCCGCGCGAACTCCCCTCCGATCTCGACGTCGATCGCCACGCTCAAGGTCTTCGCGGACCACTACCCCGAGCGGCTGCGGCGGGCGTACATCGTCGACGCGCCCGGGATCTTCAGCCTGCTGTGGCGCGCGGTCTCGCCCTTCGTGCACGCGGCCACGCGCGCCAAGATCGCGTTCGTGACGAGCGCGGAGTACCGCGCCGCCGTCGACGCCGCGGACGGCCAGAAGCTGCTCGACCTTGACAAGAAGTGCCTGGGGTTCTCAGAGTTCTACCGGCACTGGCTGCAGCCGTACGACGCCGCCGCGTACCGGCGGCTCCTGCGCGACGTGTGCCGGCGCCCCGCGGAGCCGTCGCTCAAGGCCCGCGCCGGGCAGAGCGTGGCTGTCGACGCCGAAGCGCACGCGGCGTGACGGAGCGGCAGGGTGCGGTCCGCGCTCGACGAAGGACCGATCGCGCCAGCGTGGGCGCCAACCCGAGAGTATCGGCGAACGATAAAAAAGACAGGGCGCACGGCGAGACGTGTGCACGGCGGGAAGACAAGTCAGCGCGGCGCAGGCACATTGCTGCGCTGTGGAGCCCTCATTTGCCGTTTGGTCACAAGCGCACAGGTACAGCGCGCGCGGACGGCGCCTCACGGCGTGTACGGCTTGGGCGGCCTCTTCGACATCGGCGTCGTCCCGTGGGGCTTGACGTCCTCCTTGGGCGCCTCGCGGATGAACTCGTGCCAGTACTGCGGCAGCGTGCCGGCGAGGTCCAGCGCCTGCAGCTCGGTGCGCTTCTGGGGCGCGCCGCCGTCGTCGAACCCGTCCACCTCGATCTCGCCAGCGCCGTGCAGGAAGAGCGTCTCCAGGGTCACTGCGTGGTACAGCAGCTCCTGGATCGACCCGGACGCCTTGTCCATCATCGGACGCAGCGCCGACGCCACCGCCGCGGCCTGCAAGCGGTGCGCAGAGACACAACCTAGTGACGCGTCGTCTCGTGCACCTCAGAGCCGCTTTTGTACTCTGTTGTTTGCATTTCGAGTCGTGAAGGGCGAGACAGCGCGGTGTCGTGCGTGCGGATACGGCACACATGTGAGTCCTCGACGCGCACCTCGTCCTCACCGAGCCAGAGGTTGTCCCTCACGACGGGCAGGCTCCCCGACGCCGACGACCCGATGGCGAGCAGCTTGTCCGTCAGCACCTGCCGGACCTGGACCGTCTCCTCGAGGACGGAGCGCAGGGCCTCCCGCTTCTGGAAGATCGCGACGTCCGCGCCCTCCCCCGGCGGCTGCTGCGCGAGGATGCGGCAGGCGCGGCTGAAGATCGCCGACAACAGGTACCGGACCTGCTGCGTGTCGCCCGTCTCGGTGCACTGCGAGAGGACGAACTCGTAGATCTTGTCCGCCTCCTCCGGCCGCTGCCACAGCACGTGCTGCAGCAGCAGACAGTCGTACTTGCTGACGGACGTGCGCCCGTTGGCGTAGGCCGCGACACGCAGCATCGCCACCGCCTTGACCAGCCGCCGGTCCGACACGTACACCGGCGGCTCGCACTTGTCCTGCAGGAACTGCCGCAGGTCCGCGACCAGCTCCACCACGTCCCGCGGCACCGTCACCTCCTTGAGCGCCGCCGCCCGCACCTCCACCAGCCGCTCCGGGTCCAGCGCGGCCGTCGAGGACGCGCCGTTCCCGCTCGGCGTGGGGGCCTCCACGGGCGGCTCCGACAGCAGCGTGGTCAGGCCCGCGGCGGACACCTGCGCGACCTGCCGGCGGATCAGGAAGCGGTCATACAGCGCGTCCAGCTCCTCCGACTCAGGGAGCTCGTTCGACGCGCCGACGAGGCACATGAGCGGCACCTTGATGCGGTCGCTGCCGTTGTCGAACAGCCTGCGCGCACCTCGAGCGCGGGACTCGTTCAGCGAGGCGGGCCGACGGGGGACGGGTGCGTGTGCGCATGGCCGGGTTGTGGGGGCATGCGTGCGGCGGGGTGGTTGCCGAGCGGGTGGGACGCTTGGTGCGCGCGTGGTGACGTCCGGGGCCGCACCGTTCGTTCAGGATGGTGAGCAGGGTGTTGAGGATCGCCGAATTGGCTTTGAAGATCTCGTCGACGAAGGCGACCGTCGCCGAGGGCAGGTAGCCGTCGACCTGGCGAATGTACTGATCCTGCTCGAGCGCTCGCATCGACAGCGGGCCGAACAGCTCCTCCGGGACCGAGAACCGCGTCAGGAGGCGCTCGAAGTACCCCCCCTGACAGGCCCGGGAGAGCCGCCGGCCGAGCTCGGACTTGGCCGTGCCGGGCGGCCCGATGAGCAGGAGGTGCTCGCCGCACACCGCCGCGAGCAGGAGCAGCCGCACCTCCGTGTCGCGCTCGATGAGACCCACCTGCGGTGCACCGAACAGCACGTCAGCAGTCTGTGCCGGAATTCTCAGGAATGTGACTATCTACGGGCACGTTTCCGCTCGTTCCGCGTTGCCAGCGCCGTAGGCATTCCCCGAAGCGATCGATCGGAAGTGACGGATCTCACGGCGCAGCACGACGCGCACCTGGAGGGCGCCGATAGCCTTCTCAATCGCCTCTCGAGCCGACGCCGCGCCGTCCGGTCCGCTGCCGTCGGCGCCTCCCGGCGCCGCTCCTGCGAGCTGAGCGTCGATGTCGGCGAGCGTGTCGCGCATGCGCTGGTTCGCCATTTCGCGCAGGGCGTCGGCCTTGGTGGTGACCATGGTAGGGGACCCTCCGCCGCTGACGTCGTCGCCGCCCGGGCCGCCCGCGCCCGGTGGGCCAGGGAACGACCCCGGCAGGCCACCGACGTGCGCGATCACGCGTCCCCGAGCAGCCCTGCGTTCGCGGGATTAGGCGCTTGCCTCTTGCGCCACAGCCGATGGGCAACAGCGCGATTCGAGCCTGACGCGGGATGGCTCGGCACGCCCCGCTTCGAGGGATACGCTCAGGCGTCCATCGATGTAGCGTAACCGCGTTGAGGTGTCGTGGAGGTGCGCAATTCGGGCGGTCAGGGAGCCGGCGCTTTTGGGCCCTCAAGCGCGCGCATACCTGCGACTGTTGGCCTGGCCGCGGCGCAGCAGGTCATGAATGTGGCAAGCATTGCTGCGCGGGCGAGTCGACGCAGCCGCAGCGGCCCCGCTGACCGCCTGGCCCGCGAGAGAGCTGCAGTGGCACGCAGGCATCGCTCCGCGTCTGTCGTCGCGACGGGCTTCAAACCGAGCGCATGCCACACCAGGGCCCCCAATGTAGCACCGTGTGCGCGCACCAAGTCCAAGTAGCCCGGTGCATGGTGCAAATTCCAAGACCAAACTCCCCCCCTGCCGACTCGGGCGCTTCACGGCTCGCACAGCGCCGCTCCGCGCCACCGTCACCGCCGCCTCCCCGCAGCACGTACAGCCACGATGCAGCCCATCCACGGCGCCACCCTCACGCAACGCACTTGCACTGAGTCATGAGCACGACGTACTTGCGTGCGTGCTCACCGTCGCTCGGCTCCAACCTCTGCGTCACATCAGCGCCCGACCTACTCGTCGTCCCCGCCAGGCCCGCGCGGCTTCGGCCCGCCCGCCTGCTTCGCCATGATGATCTGGTCCACACGCAGCACGGTGTTGACCGCGTCCGCCGCGAGCCGCAGCGCCCACCACTTGGTTGTGTACACGTCGAAGTACCCGTCCGCGCCGATGTCGCGCACGCCGCCCGTCTCGATGTCCAGCCCGGCGTTCTGCTCGCCCTTGGCGTGCGCGGCGTACAGCGCCGACACCGCCGCCGTGGCGTCGATGCCCGAGTTCTCCGCCAGCACGCGCGGCACGACCTCGAGCGCCTCCCCGAACTTCTGGATCGAGTACTGCTCGAGCCCCTCCGTCTGCCGCGCCACCTCGGCCAGCCGGTGCGCGAGCTCCATCTCGGCGGCCCCGCCGGCCGGCAGGAGGCGCGCGTCGCGGCACAGGCACTTGTACGCGTTCACGCCGTCGTCCACGGCGCGCTCGAGGTCGTCGAGCATCTGCTTCGTCGCCCCGCGCAGCACGACCGTCGACAGCTGCCCCATCGCGCTGTCCTGCCGCACCACCGTGCACGTGGTCCCGCCAATCTCCTCCACCGCCACCGCCCGCGCGAAGCCCAGCTCGTCCTGCGTCGGCGGCTGCAGCTTCACCAGCGCCACGGCGCCCGTCGCCCGGCACAGCCGCCGCAGCTCGAACTTCGAGTTGATCCGCAGCACCATCAGCCCGTACTTCTCCAAAAAGTGCAGCGCGATCTCCGAGATGGCGCTGCCGGACACGACCAGCTTGACGCCCGCGTCCGCGATGCCCTTGACGATCGCCTCCATGCGCGCCTCCTCGCTCTTCGCGTAGTTCGTGAGCTCCTCGGCCGACTTGATGAGCACCGTGCCCTTGGTCTCGGTCATCGCGGCCTCGACGCCCTGCGCGAAGACGCAGACCTTGGCGTCCGAGACGCGCGTGACGGTGCCCTCGGCGCCGCGCGGGATGACCATGCCCTGCACGACCTCGCTGTTCGCCAGACCCCCCCCGGGGATCTTGCACGTGCGCACGTTGTCCACGTTGAAGTTCGCCGGGTTCTTCGCGGGGCACACCGCGATGCACGCCTTCGCGATCAGCGCCCCGAGCGCGTCCTCGTACCCGTACTGCTTCGACGCCACGCTCCCGCGGATCCGCTTCATCACGTCCTCGGCGTTGGTGGGGTCGAACCGCCCCGTGCCCTCCACCACGAGCGTCTCCAGCTCCGCGAGCGCGCGCTCCGTCGCCGTGCGGTACCCCTCCGCGATCTCCGTCGGCTGCAGCCCGTCCCGGATGAGGTCCTCCGCGTTCGACAGCAGCTCCCCCGCCAGCGAGATGACCAAGTTCGTGCCGTCGCCGATCTCCTGCTGCTGCGCCTGCGCAGCCAGGACGATCATGCGCGCGGCCGGGTGCTGGACCTCGAGCTCGGACGCGATCGCCGCGGTGTCGGAGGTCACGAAGAGCTTGTCCAGGTGGTTGATGATCATCTTGTTCATGCCTGCGGGGGCACACGGGGCGCGGGCGGGGTGGGCGGGGCGGCGGAGAAGTGAGGAGGCGGCCCGGGGGGGCCGGGCCGGCGGGAGGGGGCGGGCGGCGGAGGGACGCGGGCGGCGAGTGGGAGGGGAGGAGGATGGCGCGGGGTGGGGGCGCCGCGGGCGCGAGGGGCGAGGACTGTGACGGGCGTGAAGGGGGCCGGGCGGGCGTCGCTGCGGGGCGGCGAGTTTCGGATCGGAGAGCGGCCGCGCGGCGCGCGGCGACCCACAGCGCACGCAGGCGGCAGGTCAGGCGCGCGTGCGGCCGCCTCGGGGGCGCGCAGGGGACGTCCGCGGTCGTTTGGCGGCGCTGGGGTCCGAGAGACGCGCCCGGTATCGGCGGAGGGCGCAATTGGGCAGCGCGTGGTGCTGGAATGCGGGGACGCGGGCAACTGGGCCAAAACGGCTGCCCGTGGAGGGCGGACGCGGGGCGCCCAGCGGTCGTGTCGCAAGCGTAGCTCGCAGTGTGGTATTGCGGCAGCCGCGTGGACGCACCGTTGGGGCCCATCGACGTGCGCGTGATCTCGGCGAGGCCCTTGCATGCCTCGATGTTCCTCAGCACCGACTCGTCAAGCCCCTGGAAGTGCTTGTGCCCCTCCTTCAGCATGGCCTGGAGGCCATAAGGCAGTCCCGCCGTCGACATCTTGAAAACTCGTTCCCACGGCCCGGTCCCGCCGAGGCGGTCGTGTCGCGAACTGCTCTAGCGCTCCAGTTCCCGCGGAGAGAACTGTGTTGACCACGGACGATGCACGGCAGCGGAGGGCAGTATAAGGGCCACGCGCCGGTGCGGCCACACAACGTCGCCGCAGCCCCGGGGCCGCGCAACCGGACCCCTCCTGGGCTGACCCCTCCTGGCATCAAAGTGGTCTCGTTGCCGCGGCGCCCGGGACACGCACGCACTCCCTCCGCCGCCGCGACACACGCACCTCGCAGCGCCACACAAACGGTCCCGCTCGGACCCAGACCAGGCACGGGCGACGGCACACCTTGGTGTGTCACCCTCTCCGAGTCGCACTGCCGGCCGGCGCGCCGCAGCGATCCAGCCTCGCCCCTAGCCGGCGACGACGCCGCCAGGGCTCGGCGCCGGGCCACTTCCCGGCCGCGGAGCGACCGTCCCGGCGGGACTCGGCTTGCAAGGGCCCAGCGCGCTCGCAGACGCAATGGACGCGGACTTCGACGGGTTCCTGGAGAAGGTGAGCGAGGCGACGCGCCTCGTGGAGGGCCTGAAGGAGGGGAAGATCAACCCGGAGTATGTCGACAAAATCACCCAGGCGGACGCGGTGCGCCCCCGCCAGACATGTCCCGGCACCTTCCGTCCCCGCCCGCCCCCAGCGCGCCGCAGCGACGTCCTCCGCGGCGCTCGCGGCCTCCGCGACGAGCACCGCCGTCTGGCTCGCCACTCGTGCCCGCCGCCACGTCGTCGCGGCGCGAGGCCGCGTGAACGCTCGACGCGTCCTGTGCGCTGGCTTCGAGGCGCTCCCGGCGAGGCTCCTCGGTTTCCCGACCGCGCGCCGCTTTGCCCGCATGCAGGAGAAGAAGCGCAAGGAGCAGGAGAAGGTTGAGGCGGAGGAGCGGGAGCGCGCGGACCCGGAGCGGCAAGCGCGCCTGCAGGCCAAGGTGGAGGAAATCAAGGCCAACATGGAGCGCAAGCGGCGGGCGCGCGAGCGGTACGAGGCGCGGCAGGCAGAGAAGCGCGCGGCGCAGGGCGGCGCGGTCCGCGCGGGCGGTCCGACGGACTACGAGTCGTGGGACCTGTGGACGCCCAGCGACGAGGAGGACGAGCTCGTCAACAGCATGCTGCCGCAGGGCGCGGAGTTCAAGGCGATGGAGAAGGACATCGAGGAGCGCCACAAGCGGTGCGCGCCCGCGACAGCCGCGGCATCGCCCTCCTTTGTGTGTCCCACGTCCCCTGTTGCTGCCGTCGGACCGCGGTCTTCCCGGGAGGAACCGGTTCGCGTCGTTGCGGGCGTGCGTGCGCAGGATGACGGAGGCGCGACAGGCGGCGGAGCGCGCCCGCGTGCGCGGCAACGCGGAGTTCAAGCGCGGCAACTGGGCGGGCGCGTATCAGGAGTACTGCGACGGTCTGGCGCGGGAGAAGACCAACATGGCGCTGCACGGGAACGCCGCGATGGCCGCGATCAAGCGCGGGTGCTTCGTGCAGGCCGTCGACCACTGCGACCGCGTTGTGCACCTGGCTGAGTTCCTGCACGAGCGACCGCGCGACCCGCTTGTCGTGAAGGCGTACCAGCGGCGCGCGACGGCGCGCTCGGCGCTCGGGCACCTGCGCGAAGCCGGTGCGCGTCCCGCCCGCGAGCGAGCACGTGCGCGGGGGGCTGCACAGCGTCGGTGACGGTGGTGCCTCACGCCGTGGCGTGCGTCGGCTCGCTGTGCTGTGCAGTCGCGGATTTGGAGAAGGCGGTGGAGATCGAGCCGGGCAACGCGGAGGCCGCGGGGCAGCTGGCGCGGGCGCGGGAGGTGCTGGCGGAGGACCAGCGGGCGCGCAGGGCGGCGGCGGCGGCGCGCGGGGAGGCCGGCGCGGACGACGCGGCTCTCGACGCGCAGGCGGCGCAGGAGATGCGGATGCTGCGGGAGCTCGAGCGGCTCGCGGGCGCAGTGCGCGGGAGCGCAGGCCCCGTCACATCCGCGTTTGACCCGCTGAGCAAGGGCAAGGGCGGCGGGAGGCGGGGCGGAGGCGCGCAGGACGTGTCGGACGTGCTGGCGGAGCTGGCGAAGCTGGTCCGGGAGAGCGAGGCGTGTCGCGTGCACGTGCGGGCCTGTGGGGGACTCGAGGCTGTGTCCGACTGGACGCGGGCGCAGCTCGAGGGCGGGGGCTGCGCCCCGGGCCTGCGGTGCCTCGAGGCCGCGAGCTACAACGACTTCAACGGCGAGTGGCTGCAGGAGCACGGCGTGCTCGACAGCGTGGCGCGCGCTCTCCCGGGCCTGCTGGCGGGCGCGCGCGCGGACGCGGAGAGCGGGCTCCAGCTGCTGCTGACGTCGTCCACCGCGCCCGCGGTGCGCCAGGCGGTGTCAGCCGCGCTCGCCGCCGGGGACGGGGCGCCCGCGCTGACCGCCGTGCTCGCCGCGGCCGCCAGCACCACCAAGGCGAACGCGACGGCAGCGCTCGCCCTGGCGCTGCTCGCTCAGACCGCCGTCGACGCGCCCGTACGCGCGGCGATCGCGGCGCGCACGACGCAGCTCGCGGCCGCCCTCGCGCGGTGGCTCGACGCGCCGAAAGGGGGCGCGGCGCGCGACTGGCCTCAGGCGGAGCGCGCCGCGGCGTGCGCGGGCAACGTGCTCGGCGACGCGGTCGTGCGAGGGGCCGTCGCGCGGAGCTCTCCGCGCTGCCCGCGGCGCTCGCGCGCCTCGCGGCTGCGTGGGGGCCCAGCAGCGCCGGTGCGCAGACGTCGGCGACGAGCGCGGCGCTGGCGGCGCTGGGCAACGTTGCGGTGGAGGCGGCGGCGGTGGCGGCGCTTGGCGACGACGAGGCGCTCATGCGGTGGATTCCGGGCGCGATCCGGGCGTGTGCGATGGGCGTGACCCCTCGCGCGGCGCTCCTGGCGAGCCGCGTGGCGCGCAGCGAGGCCGGGCTGGGCGCGATGGTGGACGCCGGGCTGTGGGATGCGTGCGAGGAGGCGCTGCGGTGCAGCCCGGACAGCGTGGACGCGGTGGCGCGGACGTGCGCGATTGCCGCCGCGGGAGGCGGCGTGGGCCGGCGGTCGCTGGCGGCGCACGAGGGGATGCTCGCGGCGCTCGTGGGGGTGCTCTCGACGGCGAAGGCGTCCGAAGCGGCCGCGGGGAACGCCGCGCTGGCGCTCGGGGACGTCGCGGCGGACCCGGCAGGCCTGGAGGCGGCGCGCCGCCACGGGGCGGTGGCGCCGCTGGTGGAGGCGATGGTGCGGCGCGGCGGCCACGCGCAGAAGAATGCGGCGATCGCGTGCGCGAAGCTCGCGCAGGACGCGGGCCTGCGCAAGCAGCTGCAGGACCTGAATGGGGTTGAGATCATGATGCGCTATGTGCGGCCGTGAGCGCCCCGGCGGTGGGCGGCGGCGCCCGCCCAGCCCGCCGACGTGCTTGTGCAGCGCGGCGACGGCGTCCTCGGGGCAGCCCGCGCCGCTGCCGCTGCAGCAGGGGCGCATGTGATGTCGCACGTCGACGCTCGAGGCCGGCGTCGCGACCTGCGTCGTCGCGTCGCGGCAAGCTTGCGGCCCCGCGTAGAGACCGCATCAGGGCTGCGGCCGCCGGCGCCTGGCTGCCCGCCGCGGAGGCCACGGAGAGAGGCCGGGGCCTGGCGTCATTTGGGGCCTCAGGTAACTCGACGCCCTGACCCGCCGCCGCTGGCCGCCGTACGGGGTGATGCGGGCGACGGCGCGCGGGAGCGTGCTAGTTTGCAGCTCTCGGCCACTCCCCTGGTCTGTGGAGCCGTATAACGTGCTCCACGCGCTCGGGGCGGAGAAACGTGGTCGAATTCCAGTTGGCCCACAACCTGTGCGCAACCTGCGGCCAGCGCATTGCGCGGACGTTCTCGTTCGAGAGTTTCGAGCGTTACCTCGCTCAGCGCCGCAGGGTCACGCCCAGGCGCACCATCGGGGGCCGCAAGGGACACCGTGCCACACTCCGGCTGGACATGGTGCGCGAACCTGCGGACGTCGTCGTCGTCGCTTGCTTGCGCGTGTACGTTGGTCCACGATGCGCCCGCGATCGCGCACAGCCAACGAAACGCTCCTTTCGCACGCCGCAGGATTCCTCCGACGGAGCCTCCGCGCACGGAGGCGCGGCTCGGCAGGGCAGGCGCGGGCGCCCGGAAGATGACGTGTACGGTGGTTCCCCGCTCGACGCCGAAGGCGGAATCCCGGGGCGCTCGAGGCACTCGTCGCACGAGGAAGGTGAGCGCACGCAGCGAGCCACGAGCGCGCCGGGCAGCGGCGCAGTCGCCGCTCTTGATGCGTTCAACGTCGCAGTGCATTCTTGTTATCGAAAGGTCCGAGTCGCGCGGGCAGACCGCGGTGGATTGGCCGACGTCGTGCGGCCCGCGAGGCTGCCAGCTCTACCCTGGCCTCCGTCCCCACTTCGCCCGCTAGCGAGTCGCAGCCCGCGACCATGCGCGCCACGCGAAACTTCAGGACACGGCACGCCTACGGGCGCGTTTCCGGACCAATCCCCGACCCCTCCGGACTGCGCTGCCGCAGGTTGTGCCGCCATGAGGGGGCAGCCCGGAGCGCGCATCGCGCGCGGCGCCCAGGACAGCGCGCCCGGCACCGTATCCGAGGTGCCCCGCCAGGCCCTGCGGCCGGAAAAGGCGCGCCGCGGGTGCAGCCACTGCGGCCAGCCGGGCCACTACACCAACACTTGCAAGCTGCGGCAGCAACAGACCCTCGTCGAGCTCGAGGCGGCCCACCAGCAGCGCGCGCGCCGTCGGACGATCAAGAACGGCGGCGACGCTCAGGAAGGCGGCGCGGACCGCCCCGAGCTCCCGGGCCACACGAGCACCTCCTACGCAGCCCGGGGCCGCACGGCGCGGCGCGGCGCGCGCGGCGGGCACGGCGGGCACCGCGCTTCGTCAGTGAGCGACCCGGGCCGCGCGTCGCACGTCACGCCGCGCGGCCGCTCCGCCTCCCTGGGCCAACTGGTGTGGGGCGAGGGGCCTGCTTCGCCCGCCGCAGCCCGCCACGGCGCGCTCGCGCACCATCCGCCCGTCCCGGCCTTCCACGAGAACGTCACCTACGCGCCGCCGCCACCGGCGGCGCCGCCGCAGGCCGGCCCCGCTTACAGCGCGGAGGAGATGCAGTGCACGGCGACGCTGGCGCACATGCTGGCGCAGACGGAGCAGCACAGGCCGCAGCGGCCCGTCCAGCCCGCGCCGCCCAGCACCACCCTCGCGGGCTCGCTGGCACACGCCTTGGCGGAGCACCAGCACCAGCAGCAGCTGCACCAGCAGCAGCGCGCGATCTCCGCTCAGCACTCGGAGCGCGTCGCGCAACTCCTGTCCGTGCTGATGCGGATGCAGCAGGCCGAGGAGCAGCAGCGGCAGGCGCAGGCGTTCGCGCTTGGCCAGCGAGCTGCAGAGCAGGCGCACGCGCAGCTGACGATCCAGGCTGCGCTCGAGATGGCCATGCTGGGCGCGTCGGGCGGCGGCGGCGGCGGCGGCGGCGGCGGCGGCGGCGGCGGCGGCGGCGCGCAGTCGTGCATGGCGTGCAGCGCGGGTGTGGACCGCGCCGGGGCGTACGACATCGCCACGTGCGGGTCGTGCGGGCAGGGGATGTGCCTGGGCTGCCGCGCGGTGCGCTGCAACAACCAGTGCCTCGCCGCGGGGGACGAGGGCGCCCAGGGCGCGTGGAACTGCCCGCAGTGCAGGGCGCTCGCCACCGAGAGCGTCCACCTGCAGCGCCGGTGGCCTGCGTCGGCCCCCCTGGTGATGCAGCTGGTGTCGCAGGCCGGCGTGACGCAGCCCGACATCTTCGAGGAGGGCACCGTCGGGAGGGACATGTCGCGCGAGCGCCCCGTCACGCACATGCTCCAGCAGGTCGTCGACGCGAACCGGCGCCCCCCCGCCCCCGCCTTCGTCGCGCCAGCCAACTACCACTCCTGGCAGCACGCGGCGTCGAACGGGTTCGCGGAGACCAACTACGACAGCAGCTCCGGCATGTCGGAGGACGAGATGTCGCCGCGGGGCGCGGAGGTGCACGCAGCACACCACGCCTGGGACGGCCTTCAAATGCAGATGCAGATGCAGCCGCGCCGCGACCTGCCCGGAGCGCTGGGCTCCATCCTGGAGGGCGGGGCGGGGCCGGGCGTGGACGCGGCTTGCGAGAAGGCGCGCACGCCGGAAACCCCCCTGAGCGAGCCCCGGCGGACCACCAAGATGCCCACGGAGAGCCCCTGACCGCGCGAACACTCAACGCCACCGCGGCCATCCCTGCCTTGTCCACCGACACTGCATCGCTTCTTCCCTGCTCTGGAACCGCCTGTTGAGCCACAAGCACCACGGGTACTGCCCAGCGCAAGCCTGGACCTGAACCCCCCCCCTCCCCTAAACCTCCCCCTCCGCACCCCGGGCCCACACCACGACCGCGATGCTACCAGAAGTGTGCTGCAGCGGCGCCCATTTCTTTCGCGCGCGAGGCGGAGCTCCCACGCCACCCGAGGATGTGGGAACATGAGTTTGCGTGCCCTCCCGGCACATGCCCTGTCGTCCAACCATATGACCTGGACGATGCCCCTGTGCTGGCCGACGTGGCACGAATCGGCACTGCCTCGGACGTTGCGCGGCTGCCCGACACATCTCCACTGATGTTGACGGCTCTGCCCCCCAGACCCACCCGATCAGGCCCCCAACGCCCCTCCCTACGAACCACCCGCCCCTGCCCGAGCACTCGGCGCAGCAGCTGCAAGCGAATGCGTTAGGACTGAAGATGCGTGCACAATGCGTTTAGGTTAGAAACTTTGGAGCCCGCGACTCGGGTGCATCTGGAGCGTTTGCTCGCAGCCACGCTCCCTCAGCACCATGCCCTGATCAATTAGCATTGCGCATTTTCTTTCCAGTTCACCTGCTGTTAGCAGTCGACCGGCCTCTGTTCACGAAAACACCGCAGCCTCTCGCGGGCCGCGAACCTCGCGCCTGTCCGATGACACGGGCTGTCGAGGCCAGTGAACGACCACTGCTGTCCGCATGTTGTCTGTCTGACAAATGTTCTTTCCAGGAGGTACCCCTTCTCCCACCCCACCGTCCTTCGCCAGAGTCGAAGGAGCACACATCCTGCCCACGAAGACCACGTTCTCCTCCCGAGTGCGACCTCGAGGGTGATACCCCATGGCCGGCCCCGGCAGCAGCGACGCACCGAGCGCGGCGTGGCCCTTGGCCACAGATGCTCCCCCCAGTTTCGTTTCATTTCCGACTGTACCATGGACGCCACACGCGGCGTAGCGGAGACGCTGACGGCGGCATTGCGCGCTCTCTGTCACCCTGACGAGGCGCACGCGGTGTGGCGCTCGCAGCTCTTCGCCGGCATCCCCGAGGACCTCGTGCCTCCGTTTCGGCCGTTTATGACGAACAGCCACGACGGTGTACGCGAGATGGTGCAGGAGTACAACCGGTGTTCGCAACCGCGACACGCGGCCGACACTCGGAGGGCCCCCGTGCTGGACGGCGCCGACGTGACGCGCCTGTACACGCACATCCCGCACGGCGATGACGACGTGAACGGGCGGGGCCTGATCAACCGGGTCTGTCACTACATCTCCTTGGTGCACTCCGTCAACCACCCTGGCGAGAGGCTGTACCTGCACCTGCGCCGCGGCCTGGACGATCCTGCCTGGTCGTGGCTGCCGCACGACGCGAACCCGGAGGAGGCGTGGGCCGAAGACGACCCCCGGCGCAACTTCTACGTGCCGGGACTCCCCCTTCTGCACGAGCTCGTTCGCTTCCTCGTGACGAACTCGCACGTGTACTTCGGGGTCGAGATGGTCTACCGGCAGCGCGCTGGGGTCCCCATGGGCCTCTCGTGCTCGCCATACTTCGCCGACGTCTACATGTTCATGTGCGAGCTCGACTTTCTCCTGCAGTTCCGCAACCGCTGGGAGGAGTCGGGCGACCTCGCATGGCTCTCCGTGCTGTCGAGGTTCCGCTTCGTGCGGCGCTACATGGACGACAACCTCTCGGTGGGCAACCCATGGTACCGGTATTTCATTTCCAACCCCCGCCCCCCACTCCCCCCCGACACCCCCCCCTCCATCTCCCACGCCCTCCCCTCCCTACGCAACATCTACCCGCCCTGCCTCTCCCTCGTGCTGGACCGCCCGTCGGACCCCCTCGACGGCGTGACCTTTCTTGACCTGCGTGTGCGCCCGCACCCGCACTACCCCGCGTACCTGCTAGTGTCGCACTACGACAAGCGGTCCGACTTCCCCTCCCTCGACGTGATCCAGTACCCGCATATCACCAGCGCCTTGATGCGCAAACACCTTTACAACATCATTTACACGGAACACATCCGTATCGCCTCACAGGTGACCGACCGCGATAGCTACGTTCACGCTCTGGCCGCCAAGATCCGCTACATGATACACGAACGCGGGTATGACAGAACGCGCCTATATCGCCAGCACCGGACTGCATGCTTGAAACACGCTGTCCCACACTTTGCGCCCGCCACGCCAGAAGGTGTTCACGACCTCGTTGTCCGCGAAGTTGCGCGCCTTGACGCGGCCCGCGCACCCGCGAACCACGCGTACCCCGTCGACCGCACCCGACACGCGCCGTCGTACCACGCCCCCGCGCTGGCAGCGTGGCTTTCAGCGATCTCCCCGTGAACGATTACGGCTAATACACCCCCTCCCCCCCCAAACCCGACCCCCCCCCGCCCTCCACTCCCCCTCCCTCCCTCCCCCTCCCTTCCCTCCCCCAACCCCCTTCCTGGGGCCGTGCGGGTGTTCCGCGGCCCTGGAGCCCCATGACAACGTCATCGTCATGTTAACGATCACACGCACGAGCTTCCTGGGCACTGCACCCCCACCCCTGACAACCACCACGCGGGTCCGCTGCTCAACGTGTGCTTCCAGGAGCGGCCCGAACAGCGGGTGACGTGAGGGGCTGTCACCTGACATGCGTGATGTCTTGCGTATGTCTTGCCTGGGCAGGGTCGCCGGCCGACGACATCGGGACGCGTGGTGGGGCTTGCCGACGAGTACCCGCACGCCCGCGGGGCTCGTCACTCATCGAAGACTTCACTCGAGCTGCGTGCGCAGGTGCTGGGACCCCGACACCTGTTGCTGCAGCTTGCTCATCTTGCGTGCGGGTACTCCACCGCGTCGTTGCTCTCGGCCACCCCTTTCCTGGTTAACGTGACCTCCGGTGTGACACGTTTGTCACACTGCATGTTCAATACAGCAAGTGGTTCCCGCAAAAACACTCTCCATCGGCCACACGTGCGAGGCGGCCACCGCGCCCGCCCGCCCGCATGAGGCTCAGTCCAGGTCCGACTCCTCCGAGTCCAGCCCCCGGTCCCGCAGACGCGCCTTTCTGTCGTCCTCCTCCTTGGCTTGCAGCAACTGCTTCAGCAGGGCCTGCGTGTCCAGCCCAGCCATCGGCGCAGCGGGGCGGCTCGCCGGACCGCCCCCGGCCTGCAGTGCGTTGTCGACCGCGCGGCTCGGGTCGGCAGCGGCCTCCTGCTCGGCGACGGCCGCCACCAATTTGGGCTGCACGCCCAAGCGCTCGTCCTTGGCCGCGAAGTGGGCGTGTGGGCGGTCCGCCGACGCTCCGCGGCGCTTTGGTGACGTGGGTCCTGAGGCGGCGAACAGAGACGACTCCTGGGACTGCGCACCACGGAGCGAGGTGTTTTGCATGAGGGTGAGTTTGGGAAAGGGGGGGGGGAGTTTGGGGAGCGGGAGGATTTCAAGATGTTGCCACCGCGCAAGGCATGCTGCCGTCGTCAACAACCGTGGTGAGCGGTTCGGTCACGTGCTTCGCAGCCCTATGATGTCATGCATGTGACGTTCAGATGGAGCAGGCCTCGCACCGCGCGCACTGCAGCAGTGTCCACGACCGGCCCCGTGGACCCGGAGCCGTTCCGCGGTTCGTCCTTCGAGCCGCTCGGTTTGAACATCGCCGCCGCGTCGTCGTCGCCCTCCTCGGCCGCGCTGGGCGCCGGCGATGCCGCCCCGCTGCGCGCCACGGACCCGGCCTCCGACGCCGCCTGGGACGCCGCGCGGCTCCGCGCCGCCTTGACGCGCCAGGCCACCGCGTAGCCCTTCGCGGCCGCCTTGGCCATCTGCTCCTTGTCGACCTGGTCGCCCATGAGCGCCGTGACCACGCGCTGGGCGTGGTGCCACTGTACCGCGGGGTCCGGGGAGCTGGCCAGCAGCGACTGAATGTCGTGCTGCCGCTTGCGGTGCTGCACGACCCAGTCGTCCGGCAGGCAGACGAGCACGCACGCGGTGACGCACGAGAGCCGGCGGGACTCCCCCCCCGACACAAACACGGCGGCCTCGATCTGCTCGCCCGACTCGCGGTCCGCGAGCGTGCCCTTCATGAGGACGAACGCGTCGAGCTGCGGCACGGGGCTCCCCTTGCGCAGGTCGACCACGTCCGCGTTCAGGAAGTGCGTGCGCAGCTCCAGGTGTTCCATCTGGCGCACGCCCGGCGGGCCCGTGCGGTGCGCGACGCGCATGCCGGCGAGCTGGTTCGCGCGCTGGTGCACCTCGGGGAGCGCCTGCTCGAGCGCGAGGAAGTCCTCCGCGGCGAACTCGTACGCCTCGACCACCGTGTCGGCCACCACGTCAGCCTCTGGGCTCAGGCCGAGCAGGGCGCGCTCGATGCCGTAGACGGTCTTCGACGCCGCGATGCGCTTCGTGCGGTACTCCATCGACTTGCGGCGGATCTCCTCGGCCGCGGGGCCCTTTTTGGCAAACGTGGGGACCTCCAGGCTGCCGCGCCCGACCGTGATGTTCCGACCCATCGCCCCGATGCCTCCGGGCGCTGCACGGGACGCGGGATGGTGTGCGCGCGGGTGGGGATTGCGGAGGCGGCTGCGAGGGGGGCGACGGAGCGATCGTCATGTGTGGTGGTGGGGGGGGGAGGGGTTGTGCGCACCGTCCATGCTGCCGCGTCCCGGCGCGGTGATGCCGGCCTCGAACTCCCCCTGCGAGTTCCCCGCGGCGCGTTTGCCGTACACGCCCTTGCGGTACGACGTGAGCCCGCGCACGACGACCACGATGCGGTTGGCGTTCATCACCGCGGGCAGGATGCACTCGTCCTTGTCGAACACGCGGTACGTCGCCTTCGGGAGCACCTTGAGCTTGAACTGCGCGTACGGCAGCTTGTTGAACAGCAGCGACGACCACAGCGACATCTTCGGGCTGGGCATCTCCACGCGCGGGTCCGACCGGATCAGCGCGCAGATGCGGTCGTCCAGGCGCATCCGCAGCTGGACGCTCTCCTTGTCCTCGACGAGCCCCGCGTGCGCGAGGTGCCGCACGTACCGCTCCTTGTACATGAGCACGGTGCGCGCCACCTGCTTGGTCTTGATCGAACGGAGAATCTCCGGGTACGAGCACTTCAGGCCGCGGACGAACTCGTTCGCCTTGTGGATCCCCGCCTTGGCCTCGCGAATCACCTTGCGCGCCGCGATGCCCTCCATGCGCCGCACCGGGTCCACCGGCGCGCCGCCCTTGTTCTTGCCCGCGTCGTCCGGGTCGTTCTTGTCGACCAGCTCCGCGAGCGCCGACACGGACTCGATGTGCGCGAAGAGGTACGACGTGGAGAGCAGCACTACGCGCTGGAGCCGCTTGAAGAGCACCCACTTGCCCAGCCGCTGCAGCCCCCACACCTCCGAGGTCCAGCGCACCAGGAACAAGATCCACGCCGGGATGTGCAGGTCGTGGATCTCGAGCGGGAGCCAGTCGTCGATCTGCTGCTCGCAGTGGTCGAGCGCCACGTCCGCGCTCTCGTTCAGCCGCCGGATCATGTCCCCGGGGATGTATTCCTTCTCAAAGCCCTCCGCGTACACCTGCTTCACCGCGCGCAGGTACCGCGCGCGCTGGTCCTGGATGATCGACGTCAGCGACAGCTCGTCCTTCTCCCCCCCGCGCCCCCCCGCCGCCTCGCTGGTCTTCTGCCGCCGCGCCTTGAGGCGCGCCTTCCACGACTGCTTCTTGGCGTCGCCCTGCGCCACCTCCCGGACGAAGTTCACGATGGCCATCGACTGCCGCGCGAGGCCCGCCGCGCGGTTGCCCACCTGCATCGAGAACCGCGGCAGCGGCGCCGGCCGGTCCGAGCCGCCCTCGTCCATCCGCCCGCGCGCGCGATGGTCGCTGTTGCCCGCGGGGTTGCGCCCGTTGAAGGTCGGGTTCACCGCGACGGCGTCCTTCTCGCTGCTGCGCTTCCGCGCCCCCTCCGCCTTCCCGTGCAGCACCGCCAGCATCCGCGCCGACGCCACCACCTTGCCCTTCTGGCTCTTGTCCAGCCCGGCGACGCTGTTGTTGCCGCCCTCGTCCTCCGCCCCGGCGTCCACCAGCGCGGTGAGCTGGTTCACCTTGCGCCAGTCCGGGTCCCCCACGAGCGGGTCGTTCATCAGGTGCTTCAGCTTCTTCTCCGCGAGCTGCTCCATCTCCTCGAGCGCGTGGTCCAGGAACTGGTCCTTGGCCGGGTTCGACTGGTTCATCTTGAGCGCGGAGAGCACCCAGGGCGTGAGCGTGCCGTTGACGAGGAGCGTGACGACGGCCATGATGCCCATGTGCAGCAGCGCGATGTCCTTGTACCGCTGGTCCAGGATGGCCTCGTCGATGTTGATGATCAGCGCGATGGCGAGGCCGACGGCGCCGCGGAGGCCGCCCCAGGAGATGACGACGGACTGGCGCCAGTCGAGGCCGTAGCCCATGCGGCGCAGGACGGGCAGGAAGCAGAAGACCATGGCGAAGCGCACCACGTTGGCAAAGACGTACAGGCAGATGCCCCAGCCGAAGTCGCTGCCGGAGTAGTCGCCCTCGGAGATGCGCAGCGCGATGATGACGCCGGAGAGTACGAAGATGATCGTGTTCGCGAAGAACTCGAGCGTCTCCCAGATGGTCTCGATCGCGTGCTCCGACGACGGCGTGATGAACCCCTTGCCCACCGCGGCCATGAACACGCCGAGGAAGACCACCGCGAGCACGCCCGACACGCCGCAGAGCTCCTCCGCGACGAACCACGTCAGGAACGACGTCACCACCGTCAGGGTCACCTCGGCCTGCGCGTCGTTGTAGATGTACGACAACACCAGCGCCTCCGCCATGCCGAACGCGACGCCGACCGCGGGCCCGCCGATCGCGAGCTGCGCGAACTTCCCGATCGACGACCCGATCGTCCGCTCCACGCCCTCCACGCGCTCGGAGAAGAGGATGTAGATGACGAACGCAGTGCCGTCGTTCAGGAGAGACTCCCCCTCGATGAGGTGGCCCAGGGTCTTGGACGCGCCGACCTCCTTGAGGAGCGCGACGACGGCGACCGGGTCCGTCGCGCTGATCATCGCCGCGTACTGCGCGGCGCGGCGGGGCGCGGTTACGTTGCGTGCGCGTTGGTTGGTTGGCGGGGAGCGCGCGGGGTGGGGCGGGGCGGCGGAGGGGCTCACCGCGAGGCACTTGTCCCAGGACCATGCGTAGGGGAACGAGTAGTGGGCGAACGTGGCCACGAGGAGCACGCAGAAGAGCACGCCTGGCCCGGCCAGCAGCAGCATCTGCCACACGAGCTTCTTCACCAGGTGCCAGTCCATGCTGTAGCCCGACGCAAAGAGCAGGACGGGCAGGAACACCTGCGGACGCGGCGGGGCGCGGATCGACGCCGTCAGCGCGCGGCTACGCGGGGCGAATCTCCGCAGGGGCGGCGGGCGCCTCGAGGGGGAGGGGGGTGGTTCGAGGGGCGCTGGGTGCTCGAGTGGGCGGTATTCGGGGCGCGCAGGGGCGAGTGCGTCGCGGGGAATGCGGTTCGGCGGTCGCGCGCCGCCTGCGACGCGGCGCGGCGGGCGAGTGCGTGCCTGGAGGAGCAAGTGGGGGTCGATGCCCGTCCACACCGACAGCGAAGAGGAGAAGTGCTTCCAGTCTGGATCCTTGGATTCTGCGTAGCCGATGATCAGCCCGTAGATGAGCAGGAAGGCGGTGTAGGGCACTTTGATGCGCCGGAGGCCACGCCGCGCCAGGAGGCCGAAGAGCAGCGACGTGACGAGGAACAGCACGGTCTCGGTGCCCGAGTTGTGACCCCCTCCCCCGTGCTCGGCGGCGTCGCCGGCGTCCCCGTGCCCGGTGACCTCCGCGAGGAGCAGGCGCCCTGTAGGGACACCGAGGCAGTTGGGCAGGGGCGTTGGCGCTGCATGCGGCGGGCGCGCGCCGCGGGTGGCGCGGCGCCCTGAGGACGGAACGAGGAGTGACGCGGCGGGCGGGAATTCGCGTGAGGAAGACAACGCGGCTGCAGGCCCCGCGCGAAATGGGCGGCAGGCAACAGCCCGAGGTGCGAGCCTCGAGCTTGTCGGGCCTGGGCGCAGCGCGCCGCTGTGACGCTGCTCGCAAGGGCAGCTGGTGTCCCAGGGCGCAAGATTCGCCAAAGGGCCCGTTCGGGCAAGTGCGAGACGGAGGACGTTGGAAGCTGTTGAAGGAGGCGCGGAAAACGAGGCCGTACCAGCTCTAAAGATGCTCATGCTGGATCTGCTCGATATTACTAGGAAACTTGAGCCATCGCGGGCGCGAAGCCCTGCTAGCCAGCAGCGAGCTAGGCCGTCTCGAGGCGCGCCGGGATACCCCAGACGCTGCTGCCGCCGGTAAGTCGGATCCCTTGGTCCCGCGCCTATATTCCGAATGAGTCGCTCGCATCACTCCGCGGCGCGGGCCTTGCGCCCCACGGCGCGGCCGTCCGGGACCGTCCCGGACGGTCCCCTTGTTGGACGGTCCCCCCCACCCCCCCCTCGCCTCAGTCGAGCGGCGTCACACCAGCACCGCACGCAGCCCCCGCGCCACGCAGCGACGCTCTGGCGCCGCTGCCCGCGCGCACTCAGTTGTCGACCCGCTGTTGGTCCCCCATCTCAGTGGTCACGAACTTGGTCGGCCGCAGGAACTCCACCGCCCACACGCCCGACCCGACGTGCCGGTACGCCCGGCCCCACACCTCCGCCGCCATGAGGAAGTGTGGGCTCCCCGGCCACTGCGGTCCAACCGACACGGCAACGCGGTGCGCACTTGTCATGTCACCGCGGGCGGTCGAGCGGGCGGACGCGCCGTGCTTGCGGCGTCGAGCCGCGCGCAGGCCGGTGCGCGCAGCGAGGTTGTCGGAGTGTTCGCAGCCGTTCAGACCCCGTGGCGGGCCTCTGCCGCGGGGCTCTGTTAACTGCCAGCGTAACTGTGCCGGGTGCGCGGGCGCGCGGGGGGCACAGGCGCGTTGCTCTGCCGCCGTCATACTGGGGAGGCGCGGGAGGGGTCGGATGGCAGCTCCAAGACGGAGCTGCGCCGCCGGGCCTCCCCCCTGTTGTCGGCGGCGACACCATCACGTGCGCGTATGCGGGGCGTTCGGCGCGCCGGGCGGGCGCAGCTAAGCGACGCAGGGACAGATATATGCAGGCAGGGGCTAGCTGCACGGCGCACGCACCTTCATCTTGCTCCCTCGCGGAAATAGTGACGCTGTTGCCTGGTGCTGCGTGGGCCAGCAGTACAGTGCCGCGTCGAGGGGCGGCCACGCCCCGGCCCCGCGCCGCGCACTCGTGATCATGCCGAGGTGGTACTCCGTGTTCCCGTCGTACACCGACACCACGCGGTCCTTGTCGTCCGCCGAAACCACCTGCGTCGCAGCGGCGGCCAGCGCAGGGCGGTTCGGAGCCTCGGAACGAAACAGGCCGAGCCACGGCGGCCCCGAGCCACGCAGTCGGGACGCTGCGCCGGCAGCGGGAGCGGAGCTGCGCGCGGGGGGGTGTTTGCGCGCCTTGTAGAAGAGCCGCGGCGTCTTTATGACCTCGAGCTGCCACTCCTCCGGGATGTTATAGAAGCCGTGGCGGGCGGGCGCGAGCGCCGTGAGCACCGCGGCCCTGTCGACGTGAATGTCATCTCGGATGGTCTCCTGCGTGCGTGAGAGCGCGGGAGAGGTGATGCGCTTGAGGTGATGCCAGCGTGGCGCCCCCGCCGCGCGCAGGGACGGGAATGTGGAGGACTTCGGCGCAACGTGCCGCGTGGTCGCTGGTTCCGACCTTCAGCGCCGCGATGGCCTTGATTGCCCGCGCCCGGATGCCGTTGGGCGACTCCGAATCGTCTCTTCGCCGCGCCACCTCCGTGGCCATTTCCCCACGTCCTCCGCGCGGATGCGTGCCGCTCTGGCGCGCCGCCGAGTACTATATCACTGTGCTGCTTCGCGGGAAGGCCCGCTCAGCTGAGGGCCCACGGAGCGCTGCGGGCGCGTGGATGCAGCTGCTGACAATCAACGACACGGGCCGGGACGCCGTCCTGCGGGCAACACCGAGATCAATCTCTGGCAGTTCGCCTACTCTATCGCGATTCCGTCCAAGTGCGGCCGCCCCGCTGCGCGCAGGCCCGCTGAGCCGGTCACGCGGCCGGACTCGGCCAGCGACGGGCTCCTACCTGGTCGGGCGCGACCACCGCGGTCCCCCATGCCGCGCGGCGGCGGGCGCGCGAAGCGAGAGCTCAGCAGGCCGCCGAGAGGCCCTGCGTCCGCACAAGGGCCGTAGAAGCGCCGGAACTCGCCGCAGTTCGCTCCCGGTGCAATCCTCTGCAAGCCCGTCTCGCCCCGGCAGTCTCGCGCTCTCGTGTGTGGGTCGCGGAACGCAGTCACCGGCTTGACGCCAAGGCTTTGTTTTCCGCGCACAACTCCAGCTCCACCCGCGGGAACGGCCCCCGAGCAACGATGCACACTCCAGCGCTGATGAACCGCGTGGCGAGCACCGCCAGCGCGCCACACACAGGCATTCACGGCCCAACCCATAGGTACGTAGCAGTACGAGCCATCCGCGGCCCTCCTAGTGCACCCGCAGCCATCTGTGCAGCACACGGCTGGATGTCTCCATAGTAGGTAGCGCTGCGGCGGCGGTGGCGACGTCGCGCGTGTAGCGCTCGTGAACGGACCGCCTGACTCGTTCATGACGTCCACACATTGTGGCGCAGGTATCCCGGGTTTACGCGCCCCGCAGTGCCGCGTCAAGCGGTGGCAGCCAAGGCGACCGAGGCCGAAACGGCGAACGGCGCCGCACCGCCGGTTCCTGCGCGCGGCTTCACCCGTAAGGACCTCCTGGACTACGTCTACGAGAACTCCCCGCACCAGATCAGCAAGGCGGACTGCTCGGACATCGTGGACCTGGTCTTTGAAGGCGTCATCAACGCCGTCGTCCAGGTGCTGCCCCGCACCGCACGCACCACGCGACGGCCTCGCCCACCTGCCGCCTCTCTCGCTCACACGCACGGCCGCGGCGCGCGGCGTGGCACGCCGGCCGCGGTGGCGCGGCAACACGCATGACGTTTGCGCTCCGGTGCGTGCCGGGCAGCGTTCTCCGGCGCAGCGGACCGCGCTGGGCCCGTGGCGCTCGCCCGCTGATCCACCGCGCACGTGATCGCGCTGAGTCGACGCAGGGGGGGAGGATCACGATTCCTGGCTTCGGGACGTTTGCTGCGCGGGACCGGAAGGAGCGCCAGGGGCGGAATCCGCGGACCGGGGAGCCGCTGACGATCCCTGCGAAGCGCGTCGCGGCGTTCAAGGCTGGCGCGGCGTTCAGCGACGCCGTGGAGTCGGGCGAGGCCGCGGAGCTGCTGTAGGCTGGAGGTACCGTGTCGCGGGAGCGGCCGGGTGGTGTGCGGCCGAGGGCGCGGCGGGTTGCCTCGCGATGTGTGACGCAAGTATGTTGCGCGCGTGCGTCCAGAAGCCCCAGAAGGGCGAGGTCGACGGCCGATAGCGGCTTTCGGGCGCAACGACGGCCCATGCTTTCCCGTGACGCTTGGCTTCTCACGCGACCCGGCGCCAGCTCGCGGTCTGTCAGGCAGTCTTACAGAGATAGCCGGGACGTCCTTCGCTCCCTGTGTTAGACGAACGACGGCCCTCTCGCGTTCCAATGGTTCCACCCATTGGTACCTGTGCAAACGCCGCGGCTCCCGGACCGGCGCCCGCGCACTGCCGCTCGCTGCGCGCCGCCCCCTCACTGCGCCGCGGCCTGGTACCCGTGGCTGCTCTGCGGCGAGTCCGCCAGCCCGTCTCCGTCGAACCCCTCACCCGCTGGCCTCTCCTGCGGACCGATCTGCGCCTGCCCAGGCGTGCTCGGCCCGCCGTTCCTATCCCCCTCTGCGCCAGTCCCCTCCCGTCCGGAGCCCGCGTCAGACAGCGCCATGCCCTCCTGATCGGCGCCCACTACGTTCGGCCCGTCCTGCTCGGCAACGAGCGTCACGACGTCGATCGCGATGCCTTGCCCGGCCTGCATGATCTCCTCGTACGAGCGCGGGCACTGCGGCATCGCCGCCACGGCCCGCAGCACCGCCTCGACGTCCAGCACCGCCGCGGCAGCCTCCGCGCCTGGCAGCACGGCTGTGTCCACGACGGTCCGCCACTGCCGCAGCTGCCCTTGGTACGCGAGCGGGGGGCGGGTCCGGGGCGGAAGAACCGCCTTCGACGCGCTCTCGTCCCATCCGTCGCGCTTGCTGCCGTACGACTTGGTCTGACAGAGTGCCGCGGCGAGTAGCGACAGGGGGTCCGTGGGCGCGTCCTGGCGGGCGTACTTGGTGCTGATGGCCAGGAGCAGCCGCGCGAAGTTGTCGACCCCGACGGCGTTGGCCAGCATGCCTATGAGCCGCAGCACGCCCGCGCAGAGCCGCCCCTCCTCCAGTGCGCAGTCCATGAGGGCGATCAGGCCCTCCTGCGCCGCCTCGTCGTCGCCGACCGGCTCGCACGTCAGCAGGTACTGGAGCCTGCGCGGCAGCGGAGGCGCGGGGAGCCGTGCGACTGAGTCGTGCACCAGGACAGGGATAGATAGAGACCAGGATATTTGATCGTCATCGCGCGACACCATCAACACGTCGTGACTGTCCGCGTTGGGCGGGACGGACGCCAGGGGCACGCGCGCACCTGTAAGCCGTGAGCTGCAGGGTGTCCCTGACGCACACGTACCGCACCAGCTGCATCATACAAAACAGCGTCGGCGGCCCGTAGTCCTCCCGGTCGTCGCCCGCGGGCTCCAGGTCGAACACCGCCGCATACCGCGGCGACGCGCGCCGGCCGCTGCCCCCGCCCTGCCCGTCGTTCAGCGCGGCCACGGGCTGCATCGAAGCCAGCAGGTGATACCCCACAACTCGCGAGAGATCGGCCCTCCCGTGGCACACCAGGTCAAGGTAGGTCATGGCGTCCGCGGCGTTGCCGTTGCCAGGCTCGAGCGCCGTGTCGCACACGTTCCAGAGCACTTCGGTGTCGTTAAAGACGTCGAACGCGAACTTTGCGTCGTGGTACCAGCACACACTGCGCGCCTGGCCGCGGCGCGCCTCCCACGCGACCTTGTGCGGGTGGGCCTGGCCGACGGCGGGATCGCCGCGGCAGTCGATGCGTTTCGCGATCTCGATGAGCGCGGCGAGGCCGCAGCGCTCTGCGTCGCTCCTGCGCTGCACGCTCTGCACGGCGCTGTTGGACAGCGCGCACGCGAGCTCCTGACACATGCGCATGAGCGCGACGCCGAGTCCCTTACTGTCAGGGGACGCGTGATCCTGCACGAAAGGCGGCAGGCCGGGGCGTCGCACGGCGCCGACGACGAGCGACAGGGTGCGGCGTCAGGACGAACAAGGGCACACGCACGGCACAAGTCCGCGCTCGCGTTGTGGACGTCACGCGCTCACCTCGACGCACACCCGCAGAACGACCTCGGCGCCGACCGGGATCTGCAGCAGGCGCACCAGCAGCTCCTGCAGGTTGAGCGACAGGGTGAACGCCAGCTTGGCCCGGCGCGTGGTGTTCGTGCTCGACGGCACGATCATCGCGAAGTGCTCCAGCGTCGCCGCCACGATCTCCTCGAGCGCCTCCACCGCCGCGACGCCGGTCTCCGAGCCCGGGCTGGTCATCAGGTCACTGGCGTTCGTCGTGGCCACCGCCAGCGCGTCGCCCGCCGCAGTGGGCGCCGCACCGCCGCCGTGAACGCACAGATCCGACAGCGTCACCGCGGGCGGCATGAACTCGTCCTCGCCGAAGCCGTGGCGCGCGCGGCCCTCCGGGGACCGCAGCGCCGCCGCCGCTCTCAGGAACATCGCGGCGCACTCGGGGCTGCAAGAGCAGACCGCCGGAGCGAGCTCGACGCCGCCCGGGAGCTCCTCGTCCTGGTCGTCGGAGTCCTCGGACGAGGGGTTCGTGGCGGTCGACGGGTGCACGCTGTCGGGCACGCGCAGGAAGATCCCGAAAAGGAACCCCGCCACGACGCAGCTGAGGGCCGCGGCTGCGAGGGAACGTTGGGGCCGGGGCGCGGGCGTGAGGCGCGGCGAGGGCGGCGCGTCGGGTGGCTTGTGCGCGCGCGAGGGCTGCGTGGTGAGGGGAGGGGGGTGTCCCGCACCGAGGTGGTTCCAGTCGGCGGTCTGGGTGGGGTCGGTACGCGGGCGCTTGTGCGGGGAGGCGAGCTCCGCCGTGGGGCGCGGGGGAGGGGAGGAGTGCAGTGCATTGCAGCCGATCTGGGTCAGGCGCATGACCAGAGTGCAGTAGTCCCTGCAGAGCGTGTGGTGCTCCTGCAGCGCGAGGAGCCGCTCCAAGACGATGCGAGAGTGGATCCTGCCCGGGACGCGGGCCGGCCAGCCCCTGCGCGCACGCACGTGCAAGGAAAGGGGTCGTGAGCGATGTGACGTGCGTCGCAGACAGTGGAGGAGCACTCTTGGGGGGGGTTAGGGCGCTGACGACCACGGCAGTGCGTGTGCAGCAGCGCACGCACCCGAACTCGACGTCCTTGAGCGCGAGCTTCTTCTCGACCTCGCTTCCAGGCGACGTAGCGGCCTCCGGCGCAGCGGCACGCATCGTCGACGCCGTGGCCGCGCTCGCGGCCGCCGCCGCCGCCTCGGGCGACGTGCACGGCTCCGGGTCCCCGACGCGCTCGTACACCAGCATGTACGCGCTGTTCGGCCGGAGCATCGTCGCGCCGCCGACCGTCGCTGTCCCGCCGTAGCAGTCCTCCTCCAGGGCCTCAATGTCCCACTGCGTCACCAAGGTGTCATCGAACCGCAGCCACTGCCCGCCCGTCGGCACGCCGCCCTCGCCCGGAACACGCTCCTGGATGTACGAGTAGTAGTGGCCCGCGAACGCGCTCCCGGAGTGCACCACCACGCCGCGCAGCTCGTACTGGCAGCCCGCGGCGGTGTCCACGCTGCCGTGGGCGCTGAGCTCGGCCTCCCCGGCCTCGGTGAACTCCGTCATGTCGAGGTCGCGCGGGAACGCGAACCGGTCGCTGATCTTCAGCCGCTGGAAGGTGTCGTGGTCAAAGTCGAACCGCTTGAGGTGCACCAGGAGCGTGTGCGGGAGCCCGCGGAAGAGCGTGCGCCGGCTGGCGTCGACCTTGCGCCCGCATGGCTCGCAGTGGTAGCGGTTGTCGCCCTCGAGCAGCTCCGTGCGCACGTACGCGCGCAGCGCCTCAATCAGCCCTGAGTGGCCCGCGACGTCCACCGAGACGTTGATGAAGCCCTCCGTGGACTCGCTGCGGCAGTTGCACCCGTCCGGGTCGCGCGAAGCGACCTTGTGGACGAAGGTCCCGCCCAGAACCGACTGCAGCGCCGGCCGCAGCCGCACGTCCAGCAGGGGCTGGTCCACCATGTCCGCCAGCCGCGTGACGAACTCGTACGCATCCTGGTGCTCGTGCACATCGATCGGGTTGCCGTCGTAGTCCTTGTACGCGCGCCAGAACGCCTGCGGGATGAAGTACTCCTGCCGTGACATGGCCAGGTGCGCAAAGATGTCGCGCAGCTGCTCGTGCATCGACTCCTCCCCCGCCGACGCGGACGGCGCGCCGGGCCCGCCGTTCTGCGTGAGATCAAAGTCCACGCCCGGCGCGGGGGTCCCGAGGACGTTGGCGCGGATCGAGGGCTGCATGAAGAGCTGTTGGACCACGCTGTTCATATAGCACGTCGCCGCGGCGTTCTTGAGGCCGACGTAGCCGCTGGGCTGCGGTGGAAGCAGCGAGGGCTGCAGGTTGACGGACCGCGCCTGCAGGCGCTCGAGGTGGAGCTCGTACAGCTTGTCGCAGATGCGCGCATTGTCGCGCAGGCTGGCGCGCGCGATAGCGACGAGCACCGCCATGGCCGCGGAGCGAGCCGCGGGCGAGTGGCACGCGACGACGGGCACCGACTCCGGGCGGCTCATGCCGTTCGCGCGGGCCAGCCGCGGGAGCTCCGCGGGCGCCGCGCCCACCAGCGTCGCCAGGCCAGGCTGCGCGATGGCCTCCGGGAAGAGCATCGCGAGGCAGCGCTCCACGAGCGGCTCCTCCGCCGGCGTGCTCGAGCTCGGCGCGCCGACGAAGCGCACGAGCGCCTCGGTCGCGGTGAGCAGCTGCCTCAGCCACTCCTGGTGCGGCGGCGCGATGTCGTCCCGCGCGCTCCGCGGGACGGCCTGCGTGAGGCGCGCGAGCCACTTCCGCGCGAAGGACCGACGCGCATCGACGACGTGCGGCGGCGCTGACGAGTCGTTCGCCGCGCGCGAGGCCGCTGCCTGCACAATGAGAAACAACTGCACCTGCTGCGCGGGGTTGGGCGTGGCGGCGTCGCCCTGGCCGCACGTGGCGTCGTACGCGTCGGAGAGCCGCTGGAAGATCCACGTGACTGCGTCCGGCACGCTCGCGTCGTCGCTCGAGTCGTGCGCCATTGCGCTGTTCAGCAGCATGCGCCGGCACGCCGACGCGATTGCCTGCGGTGCCGCGCTCACCAGCGCCGTCACGACGAGGTCCGCGCTGACAGGGCACTCGATGAGCTCGCGCACGCCGTGCGGGGACGCGTGCACGCCGTTCCCCAGCAGCCGCAGCGCGCACACGACCTCGTCGGTGTGCAGCTCGAGCTCCGGGGACGCCTTCGCGGCGGGGCTCGACAGGAGCCACACCACTGCGCGGGCCGCGAAGTTCACGAAGCCGCGGAGCCGCCGGCCGCCGTCGTCCTTCGCGGCGTGCGCGTCCGCGACGGGCGACCCGCACGTGCGCGCGATCGCCAGCGCGGCCGCGACCAGGCGCCGCCCCGTGTCGTACCGACAGGGGGGCGTCTCCGACGACAGGGCCCCCAGGACCGCGTCGAGGACCAGGGGGAGCTCGCCGGAGTCCGTCAGCTGCTCGACGCGCCGCAGCGAGAAAGCGGTCGGGCCCGTCACGGGGTCCAGCTGCCCGCGCAACGCCTCGAGAGCGTACAGCAGCACGGTTGGGTTCGGGCCCGGCAGCGACGGGAGCGACGTGGGCGGCGCGCTCATCGCGTCCCTGCTGCCTCCGTTGTCGGCGTGCGCGCCGTCCGCAGCCTCCCCGCGCAGCGACGCCTCCAGGAGCCCGCGCAGACCCTCTCTGTTCGAGCCGTCGTCTGACGCCGCGCCGAGGGCCGCCTCGACGCCGTCGACGGTGGCTTTCCACGTCCACAGGTCGTCGAGGCATTGCTGTGCCGCGACGTGCGTGTCGCGCCCCGCGGCTGCGCTCCCCGCGCAGAAGAGCAAGCACCGATGCACCCACGGGTGCGTCGCCACCCACGCCGCAGCAGCCTCGTCCTCGGCCGAGTTCGCGCCACCCTCGGCGCCGGCGCCGGTGCCCTCGAGCAGGCGCAGCTCGGTGCCGTCGGCCATGCGGATGCTCGCCATGGTCTCACGGTCCAGCCCGATGCAGCGTGCGTGCGTTCCCGCATAGGTCAATCGAAGCCTCGTTTCGTCGTTACCGCCCAGAATCTGCGCGCGCAGGTCCGCGACGGTCGTGTTCGGGTCGAACCGCACCGAGAGCCGCTGCATCGTCGTGCTCGGGTAGTGCACTCTGCAGTCGCGGACGCCCAGCGAGGCCTTGAACGCAGCGCTGTGCGGGCGCAGCGTCGGAACGCCCCGCAGCGCGTCCCGCGCACCGGCGACCACCAGGTGCAGCACGCGGCAGCACCGCGCGGCCCGAGCGTCGGCCTCCGCAGCCGCTGCGCCGCCTGCGTCCAGGGCCGCCGCGCACAGCGCAAGCTCCTGCGCGCACCGCGCCGTGAGTGCGCGGGAGTTCTTTTGCCGCATGTCGCCCGCGACGTCGCCCTGGTGCAGGTTGATCGCGACCTTGATCGCCGTGTGCGACAGCTCCGGCGACGTCGCGCGCAGGGCGCACGCCCATATCGTTTCGAACCCGGGGAGGTGCGCGGCGTCGCCTGGGGCGCCCAGCCGGGCCTGGTAGGCGCGGATGCCCTGGAAGACGAGGGCGAGCGCGGCGTTCGTGATGTCGTCGACGTCGAGGGCGCGCAGGTGCTGCTCGAGGAGCCGCAGGAGCACGTCGTTCGAGAAATCGTCGACTGCTTGCAAAAAGTAATCGGCAAAGCAGTCGAGGGCCGCCGCGCGCTCGCGCGGGCCCGACGCCGCGACGCGCGCCGCGCCCATCGCCGCCCAGATCCGGTCGAGGTCCTCCGTGCCGATGCTCGTCTTCGTGATGCGGTGGTGGTGCGTCAGCACCGTCAGCAGACACGCCACGCTCGACCGCGCGTCGAGCGCCGTCCCGCGGTCCTCCTCCGCGCACGACGCGATCAGCGACAGCAGCTGCTCGCGCGCGCCCGCCGGCACGGACCCGGACAGCCGGATCGGCTCCCCGTCTCCGTGGCCCTCTTCCAAGTAGCGCAGCCGTTGCAGCACCGCCGCCAGCATCGCCGCGGCCGCCCGCCACTCCTTCGCCTCCCCCTCGCACAGCAGCCCGAACAGCCGCCGGACGAACTCCTCCGCGGGCGCGGGCTTCGAGGCCTTGCCGTACGCCTCGAGCACGCACGCCGTTGCCGCCTCGACCTGGCTCCACTCCTGCCGCGTCGACTCGCTCACCCGCATATGCCACAGCGCGTCCAGCAGCCCGCGCGCCATCGCCGCCTGCCGGCTGCCGTCGCCCTCGGCCGCGCGGATGAGCACCGCGCCGGCCTGCCGCGCCCCCTCGGCGCCTGTGGTCAGCATGGCCCTGACGCGGCCGAGAAGGTCGGCCTGACTGTCGCCCGGGAGGGCCGGCGCGAGGTCCGCGAGGAGCTCGAGGAGGCTCTCGCGGACCGCCGGGAAGGTGTCGGGGCGTTGCACGATGCGCCACAAGTCCTCCAGCGCCTCCCGCGGCAGCATGTCGAGCTCCGCGAGCTCCAAAAATACCTTGCGCACCTCCCGCATGTACTGCGCCTGGTGCAGGTGCGACTGCAGGAGCCGCCGCGACACCGTCAGCCGGCCCAGCCACTCCCGCGCCTCCTGCCCGAGCCCCCCCGGGGTGTCGTCGCTCAGGACGCCCCGCCCCCGGCTCAGAAGCTGCAGCACCGCGCTGAGCTCCCGCGCGCCGCACAGCGACGGACTGAACCCGCGCCGCGCCAGCAGCGCCTCGACGAGCGGCATGCGCGTTCGCACGGCCAGCGGGATCGCCGCGTCCACGCCCACGCCCGCACAGAGCGCCGACGTGCAGCGCGTCAGGAACGTCGACAGCCCAGACAAGTTCCGGTCGTCGCCGCACTGCGAGAGCGCCTCGATGTCGCCCGACGTGGCCGCGCGCCGCACGCCCGCGATGGCGGCCTGGAAGGCGTCCACGGCGATTTTGTGGCTGCGCGCGGTCAGCAGAGTGCCCAGGTCGTGCAGCATGGTGTGCAGGGCCTGCGCGGCGGCCTCGACGACCGCGAACGGAGCGCCGCGCTCTGCAGAAACACGGGGCGGCCCGGGATGGTCGTGGTGCGGGGGCAAGCGCACAGGCGCGCCGGGATGCCAGTGCAATGGCGCCGAGGGGGCTGCGCCGGAGACCGAGCTTGACATGCAGCACGGCGGGGCGGTTGGGGCGGCGCGCGCACCCCGGGCGGGCGGGGGGGTGTGGCGCGGACCTGCAACAATGTGGGCACACGTCTCGATGGTCCCCGAAGCGCCGTATCGGTTGAGGAGGCCCACGAGCCACGCGAACTGGCTGCCGTCGCTCGTGCGCTCCGACGTCGCCCAGGAATCGCCGAACGTCGCCTCGGGCGGACACGGCTGGGACGCGTGGTGGGCGTGGAACTCCGTCAACGGCGCCAGCGCGGTGGCCACGACGCGCAGCGTGCACGTCAGCCACTCCGCCTCCAGCTGCGCCGCACGAGCACGCACGCGGGACAACGTGAGCGGCCGCGTTCTGCGCAGCGCGGGGCCGTGCGGCGGCGGGCGCGTGCGTGTGTGCGACGGGGCGCGCTCGCACCTCAGACAGCTGCGCGCGCCGGCGCCCGAGCGCGACGACGATGTCGCCCGCGGCCATGAACGACAGGAGCGAGTCCCGCCGCAGCTCCGGGCTCCACGCCGGAAGATTGGAGCAGGAAATGATGCGCTGCGTTGCCTCCGGGAGCACGTCGGTCAGGAAGCGGTGGAACGCGCTGACCTCGTCCTTCGTGGGGACGCCGTGCTGCAGGATGTACGCCGCGCTCTCGCAGCAGGCGAGCAGGTGGCTCGGGTAGACGATCCAATGCGGCGACGCAAGGCCGTGGGAGAGCTGGACGAGGGAGTGGAGCGGGAACGAGCACAGCGCGCTGTCCTGAGGGTCCCTTGCATCGTTGACCTGCGCGCGGGGCGGGGGACGGCGCGTCTCGGGCGCGGCGTGCGCAGCAGTCCGGCGAGCGCAGGTGGAGGCTCTCTGGGCGCGCCGCGAGTCCTGGGGTCGCGAACGGATCCGAGGGCGCGGAAACCGGGAAGGGCCGACAAGGAACCGCTCGGAAACGGCGGGGCAGAGCGCTTGAGCGGGGCCTGAAACGTAGGGAGGCGCAAACGAGATTCGCTGTCTCGCGATGCCTCCTTGGGCCCAGACTGATGACGTGCGGGGCCGAAAAGCCAGGCAGACCACGTCGCGTCGGCCTGATGGATCTGGTCATGCGCGTCGCCGGACGAACGGCGACCTTGGCGATCGCAGACGTCTGCGCAACAGCCCATGAGACCTCGGTCTCCGCATAGAAGGGACAGTGTCGGCCCTCGCCGTCTGACGCGGACGGAGTACGGCACGAGGAGCGCCTGGCCCGGCGCGAAACGGTCTGTGCCGTCCCGCGGCGCCCATCGAAAGATGCCTCGGAGCCGCGAGGCCGCCCACGCGCAGTCAGCACAGCTCGCACAAGGCCACGGGCGACACTCCGCGCAGACGCGCGCCGACGGATGCCGGCTGCCCCGCGCGCGGGAGGCCTGCTCCTCGGCGACCGCCAGGCCGGGCGTCCGCGTGCGTGCACGCGCTCAGTACGCCGCTGCGGCCACGACGCGAGTGACCAGCCCCGCACGGACAGAGCCGCTCCCGGCACCGCACGGGGGCGTGGGCGCGAGAACGCGGCGCGTAAAAGCGAGATCGATGAGCGAGGAACCCGCACGCATCGATTGCGGCGAGTCAGACAGCGCGGGCGCGTCAGGATGCCTCCTCGCGCCCTGCCAGTCCTTTCGACGGGCAGGACGACGCTCCGCGCACCTCCATCGTGTTCTGAGACATTCTGAGGCCCCGCTGGCTGCTGGGTACCGCCTATGTCCCCCCTGCCCCCCCGCGGCCGCGCGACCGCGCCGCCAGGACCGGCAACGGGCGCGAGGCACCGCCTCTGCGCCGCAGCTCCTAGGTCCTCCTTGCCCGCGCCAGGGAGGCTCCCGAGCCAAGCCTCGGCTGCTACCGCCCCCCGCACACCGTCTTGGTCGAGAGGGCTGCCGCGGGGCCCGGCGGCGGCCTACTGCCGCGGCAAACGCCCTCCGCTGCTGTCGGCACTCTGCTTCGGTCCCCAGAGACCTGCGCGCGGGATTTCGCCCCTCACAGGCCCTGGGTGCGTCCAAGCGCCCACGTCTGTCCCGGGCGCGCCCGCCGGGCGCCCTTGAGCCACCGTACGGGGGTGTCTGAGCCACGTGAAGCAGGTACGAGTCGGTTGCCTACCGTGGGCCGCTGACTCAAGGGTCGTCGCGTACCGATCGTCTAGGGGCGCGCGCGGGCGCCGGAGAGGTCAGAGCGTCGCTGTCGCGCAAGTTCAGCGGGAACGGCGCGCCACGGAGCCGCGGGGCGCTGTACGGACTCGCGGGCTCGCGCTGAGCGGCCGGGTGGGAGGTGGAGGATGTCCGGGCTCGTGACGGACGCCGCGCGCCTCGCGGGGCTCGCGGAGGGCGCGAGCAGGCTCACGTCGATGGAGGTCATGCGCCACAGGTGCGCTGCGCTCACTGGACGCAACGTAGTGGCGGTCCGGCCGCCCACGGCGCATCGCACGCGCGCTCGGATGGTTTCGCGGCGCCGAAGTGAACACTCCGTGTCCCGTCGATCCGATCCGAGCACTTTGGGCCGGAATTTCGCGTTCCCGCGCCGTCCCGCCTGCTTCTCTGGCAACAGAACTTCAGTGCATCTCGCCCCGCATGGCTGACCGGAGTCCAACTACCCCCGGCCCCGCAGAGTCTCCGACCTCGAGGGGAAGATGAAGCTGCGCGTCATCGTCGATCACGAGTCAGGCCGCGAGGAGCAGGTGCGCGCCGAGGCTCCCTCGCGAGCGGCCGCTTGCAACGCGCCGTACCGAGCCCCCACGAGCACGAATCACGTCGGAGCGACGCCTCCCTCGCAGTCACAGCCATCAGACGCGCGTATTCGCCGCTGACCTCGGCCTCTGCCGCGTTTCCGGCGCCGCGCGCCCACCTGAGAAGTGCGCTGCGTACGGAGCGTCCGAGGCGGCCGTACGCCGCGCGCGAGGGACCTGAGCGTGCACGCCTCGCATGCAGGTCCCGATAGGCATCCTGGCGCGGAGCATAGAGCGGTACGCGACGATGCTGGTCGCCGGGCGGGACGGGCAGGGCGGCGCGGGGGTGCCGGGCGACCTCGACGGCCGCATCCACACCGCGCTGCGGGCGCTCGACAACCTCGTGTCGGTCGCCAACCACGGCAACGCGTACGCGAAGCACGTCCGGGCGTTCCTCGGTGACAAGAGCCCGGGGCACGGTGCGCGACCCCGCAGCCCGCAACCCTCCCTCGCGCATACCTCGCCGCCGCGGCCCCCTCGACCCACGCAGCTGCGTGGCGGACCTCCGCTGCCCCCCAGGAGCTCGCCGCTCCACCGTCCAGCTCGCAGCACTCGCGGCAACAGACAAGGTTGTGCACACTGGGGTGTTGCGATGCAGGCGGGGGCGGCGCGACGGTGTCGGAGCGCATCGTCGAGCTGTGCATTTCCGTCACGTGCTGGATCGCGGCCCAGCCGATCGAGACCGCGGACGGCCGCGCGTGGGGGCGGGGGAAGGACCGGTGCTCGAGCGCGGTCCTGGCGCTGAGCCTGCTGCGGTCCGTCCTCTCGGTGCGCTCGGACCGCGTGCTGAGCCAGGACGAGGAGGACGATGTCGCGCTGCTGTGGAAGGAGGTCCCCGCCGCGTTTCTGAAGGCTGACGTCAAGCGGAAGGGGGGGGTGCTGCGGGCGTGCTTCCAGTCCTGCGCCAACATGCTGCAGGTGCGCGCGCCGCGCACAGCGTCGCCGCCGCGCCGCGCCGTCGATCGGAACCGGCGCACGTCGCGTGTTGCGTCGCGGGACCGGCTGCTGAGTCAAGAGTATGACATGAAATGTTGACGGGGGTGTCCGTGCGCGCAGATGGTGAGCGTGTGCCTGAAGACGGGCATGAAGATGCTGGAGGAGGGCGAGGACGCGGACTGCGGGGACTCGATCAGCGGCGACGAGGAGGACGAGCCCGAGAACACCGACTCTGCACGCGCCCGCGGGCGCGACGTGGTCGAGGCGGCGTGCGCGATGGCCAAGCAGTGCTACCGCGCGCTCGACGACGTCTCTAGCTTGTGCGCGGTGCCGGACTTCGCGAAGCGCGTGCTGTCCACGCGCCCCTCGGACGTGACGACCGTCGTGGCACAACTGGACATTTTCGGGAGCGCCCTGGCCCTGCACCGGCGCGTGCAGGACGGCGCGGCGCTCCTGCTGCCGCCGGTGTCGCTGCACGGGCTGTCGCGCGACGCGGCCCCGCACGAGGACGCGTCGAAGCCCGCGGCGCCAGCGGAGACGCTGTCCGCGCTCGAGCTGTGCGCGGCGCAGGGGCTCGCGTGCTGGCAGGTGCTCGCGGAGTACGCGGGCGAGGGCGAGGACGAGCCGTGCGGGCCGGACGTGTACTGCGAGAGCGATCCGGAGGGTTGGGCGCACGGGAAGGTCAAGGAGAGGAACGCGGAGGTGATGGCGACGCTGTTGGCGGAGTGCGCGGCGTGCATGGAGCCGGACGTGTGCACGGGCGACAACCGCGCGATGGGCCGGCCGCTGCTGCCCGGGACGGGCCAGGCGGACCTCAACCTGATGCGCGTGGTGGAGTTGTTCTCCAACGACACCAACTACCGGCGGGAGATCATGGACGCGCTCGCGGGGCCGTGCGCGCGGCTCCTGGCGCAGCCGATGGAGGTCTTCCGGTCGTACTGGTGCATGGGCCGCGCGGCGATCGACGTCCACCGCAGCGACTGGGAAGAAGTGTTCAGCGTCACCGAGACGTCGATCTTCCACCGCGCGCGGACGCTGCACGCGGCGGCGAAGCTCATGGGCCCGACGAACAACATGCACGAGAGCCTCGCGCGCGGGTCGGCGCTCGCGCGCTGCATCTTGCTCTTCAAGTTGCTGGGCAACCTCAAGAGCTATTACGAGGGCACGTGCGAGGAGTACCTGCGGACGTACTTCGTCGAGCAGCTGGCGGCGCGGTGCCGGGACATAGACGGGCAGAAGGGCAAGGAGATCGAGGACGCGATCCAGCAGCTGAAGAGCGGGAACTTCAAAGGCGGCACCGGCAAGACGCGCAGGATCAATGCGAGCTCGAAGACGGGGCGGCGGATCCTGCGCAGCCTGCAGCGCGCGGACGCGCAGCAGAAGAAGCGGCAGAAGAACCGGAAGCACCCGGCGGTGGAGGCGTGCGTGTCGTGCAACGTGCTGGTCAGGGCCTGCGTCAAGGTGCAGCGGGTCATGCGCGACGACGGCGAGGCGATCATGACGGACGAGGAGGTCGACCTGACGCAAGCCGTCGCGGACGCGCTCGCCGAGGAGTTCCCGGACTTCGCGGTGGCCATCTCGCGCGCGGTCGCGGAGGTGAAGCGCGAACCAGAGGACGTGATGTTCGGGGCCCTGAGCGCCGCGGGCACCGTCGCGAACCCGAACAAGTGGAAGATCCCGAACATCGCGCACAGGTGACGCGCCCGACTGCACGCTGTCAACGCCCGGGCCCGCCACATGCGCATCTACGTCCCTCGCAGCACACTGCTGACGTGGACCGTTCTCGCAGGCACATTGAGGTGGTGTCGGCCGCGGAGTTGGAGGAGGAGGTGGAGAGCTACAGGGAGGACGTGGACTTCCGGCGCATCACCACGGTCGGCACGCAGAGGGTGATTGACGACCAGGACATCATGGACATGGACGACGACGCGCACGACGACGTCGATCCGCACGGGCACGCCGCGAGCTCGGACTCGGACTGCATCGTCCGCCTTCCAAACCGGGGCGCGAAGAAGCGGACGCGCAAGACGAAGAACGGGGAGGCGGCGGGGGGCAAGAGGGCGCGGAAGAAGAAAGGCGACGCGGAGGACGGAGCCGATGCGTAGGTGCCGCGGCGCGAGGTGACCGGAGCTGTGAGGTTCCTTCGGTCAGACCGAAGCGCGTTGTGGATCGCAGTCATGTGGCGCCTGCCACGGAGGGCCTGGCAGGGCGCGACCTCGCATGTGGCCCTAGATTGGCAGCGTGTCCGGGGGGTCGATGGGCTCCTCTGGCACCACGGGAGGCCCCAGGGGGTACTTGAAGGGGTAGTACGACCCGTAGCCCAGGGTGTCTTGGAACCGGCCGCCGTAGCCGAACAGCAGGTCGTCCGGGCTGTTTCCGAGGATCCAGCCGGTCCGCGGCCGGTAGTAGATTGGGTCTGCGGGAAACATGGCGCGGACCACGGGCGTGTCCTTGACGCCATGCGAAGAGCGCACCAGTGGTCTCAGTGCCCGTGCTCGTGGACGGTCAGGGCGTGAAAGTTTGTGTGTGCGGTGTGGTGCGCGCCGTCGGTTCTGGCGGCGCGTGCGTGCTTGTCTGGAGGCCGTCTCACCGCGTTGCGTGGGCCGGTAGATGTTGTAGTACCGGAACAGGTAGTCGTTGACCTCGTAGACGAGTCGCGGCCTGAGATACGGATAGCGGGTCGCAAGGGAGTATGGAGACGCCGCAGACGCCACCCCCACAACCGCCAGAAGCAGCGTGATGTTGATTACGGTGCATGTTCGAAGCATCGTGCCCGAAACCCTCACCAAGGGTCTTCGAGCCGTAATGAACAGACAGATGACGCGTCCTGAGCCGACAGAAGACAACGTGGTGCCCTCGAAACGCGCCAGCGTGGCAAACACGGCCCATGTGACGGGCCTCCAACTGGACACCCCCCGCGACGTCGCAGAGCAGATATCGGCGACACCGTTCCGCGCACAGCACTCCCCGCCCCATCACGGGCCTCTGTCTATCGCGGCAAGGATGTTGGGGTTGTGCACGCGCACCAGCCCGGCGGCCACGTGGAGCACCAAGCTTGCTTGCTTCGCTGCGGTGCTCCTGCTTCGACCAAGCTACGTTCAAGGTAAGAGTCCTCTCGGAGAGATCTCCGGTCGTTACCCGCGATGTCATGTCGCCCCGGCGCTGTTTCTGTCCCGACGGGGCGCACAAACACACCTGTTACAGTCTGTCCACGACAGTCGTCGTGGACAAGGCTCTCACCGCAAACTCGGGGCCACGTGCGGTGCAGCCGCCGGCCCGTACCGATTCGCCAGCCCCTTCTGGCCGTGGCCGTACAAATACTACCCCGCTCCGTTCCCGACATGGCTTGGTTTCACGTACCCATACACGAACTTTGATTACGCCGGAACGCTCCCCGTCGCACCAGCCACGCCCGTCCAAGGATCTCTGCTGCCTGACGACGTCCTGGCTCCGCGCCCTCCGAGGCTGTTCGAGGTCGTAGGTGAGACGCCTGCGCACTCAGTGTTCCCCCCCGTGATGTTCGTGCCCGCAGCACAAGTGTTCCGCGGTCTGCTCCTCGGTCCTTTCCCGTGGAGTTTCTCGCGCAATGTGCTGAACCCGCCCCCGGCTTTTGCCTGGCGAGATGTCACATCATACGGCGTCACGTACCCAGCCGCGCCCATCGGTGCGGCCTGGCCGTACGACATCGCGCCGTGGTTGTCGCTAGTCCCCGGTGAGCGCTCTCCGGCTGAAAGCGAAGGCCGGCCGTCAGTCATTCGCGTTGGATTGGTCTCAGACTTACTTTGTCGATGATTCATGAATACTGCGTGGAATTATGTTCAATGCTCGGCTGGGAGGCGCCCGTCGCGTCGCGCGTGCAGCACCACCGCAGCCGCGAGCTCCGCGCCCTCAGCGTCCGCAATGCAGGTTACGGCAACCCGTTCGGCTACGTCTTCGGATCAAACAGAGGCATCAGCGTCACGGGCGTCAACACTGGCTTCGCCGTCGGGAGCGGGCGCCCGGTCAACGACGACGTCACCAGCCTCGCGGACGACATCGCAGGCGACGCGCCGCTGCTCCCTACGCCGCTGCTCCCGCTGCCGTAGCGCATGAGATCCAGCCCACAGCAGATCAGGCCGGGGACGCGCCGCGGTGCCTGTCGACCGGCCATGCTGTCAGAGCAGAGCGCGACGTTGCTTTGTTTCGGCACCGCGCGCCACTGCAATCATCAATCATGTTGCTTGCACGGGCATTGTGTCGGAGAGACGGAACGATGTAACGTCCTCGCGGCCAGACAACCGTCACAGTGCGCACGCCGCACGGTCCGGCACGGGCCGCAACGTCCGCCTAGCTCGACTCGAACGAAAGCGTTCCTCCTGAGACGGTAAAAAGCGATCTTGGTGACCTGGTATCGTCATCTACTTCTTGATCCCGCGCATGATCATGATGGCGCCCCAGATCCACGACCACAGCCAGCCGGCGAACGGAATCACCAGCTGCAGGATCCCGATGATGATGTTGGCCACTGAGCCCTCCAGGATGCCGCCGATGAGGGTCCCGATGCCAGGGAAGGGGAAGTTGACCACGCCGAGCACGACCGTCACCGTGGGGTTCTCGGCCTGCGGGACCTTGAGGCCCGTGGTGTTGCCGATGATCTCGTTCACGAGGCCTGCGATGGGCGTGGTGACGCGACAGGTCGTTCGCGGTTGCGACAGCAGATGTGCTTGGCCGCGCGCTGCCTCGGGGATGCTCGTGCGCCCGCAGAGGCGGTGCGCGCAATCGCTCGCGCGGGGTCGCATGCCGTGCAGCCTCCCGCAGCGACGCTGTGTGTGTGTCGCAAGACATCAGAGGCGCGCGTGGCAGCGTTGAAAGCTGCCGGCCGCGTGCGCGCACAGCACTCCTGAGATAGTGTGTACACAGTGAGAGCGATGGGCGAGCGATGCCGGCCAGGTATGCGTTGCACGAGCGCAGAGCGGGCAGCTTATGCTCGCTGGGGCACGCGGCCGCGGCTTGTGCGTTGACGCGCCCCAAAATCGCAAAAGTTGGTCTCCAGCGCCTGTCGATCTACTCACCCATCTCGCCCAGCTGTCAGAGCGCCTCTTGTTGTCACCCGACGACGATCGCGCGCACTAAAGTGCTCGTGCAACTCTCGCGTGCGTGTCTCTCTGAAGGCTTCGAACAACCGATCGGGCGGCCGAACCACTCGTGTGAGTCCTCTCTCTGCGCGTACCACGCAGCCATCCATCACGTCGAGCGCGGAAACGGTTCCCCGTTGCGAGGGTGGGTGTCGAGCTCGCTGTGTCATGCGCCCGACCCTGGGCCGAGACCCCCCCGGCGACACCGTGTGGCCCCGGCGCGGCAACATGTTCTCGCCGAGCCCGCCGCGTTCCACACAGTCGTACAGACGCACAGGAGACCATGAACGCCATCTCTGCTCCCCGCACCTCCACGCTGTTCGCCAGCCGCAAGGCCCGCGTCTCGACGCGCGGCCAGGTGCGTGCCCGAAGCACCCCTTGCATCAGGGCCACGATTGCACGCGCACCGATCGAGCACATGCGCGCGTGCTTTGGATGACGGAGCGGCTGGGAATGTGCAGAGGGGGCGAGCTGCCGCGCGAGCGCTTGGGGCTCGCCTCGCACGACTTCCCAGCATCGTTCCGGGTAGCTCTTTCTCCCGTCTGCGCCCCAAGCCAATCACTTGCGTTGAATCAGCGCCCGCGACGCGCCGTAGCGGCCGCGTCTCCCTACGGCCGGAATGCGGCCCGTTCTCCCATCTCTTGCATCGATTCGGCCGTTTCAACCTCAGCAGGGGCCGAACTATACGTAAATTCTCCATCGCTGTCGCGCATTGTCGCCTTGAGGCGCGGTCGACCGAAAACGGCGCGTCGAGTGCTCAGTGGCCAAGGATGGCCCGCCCCGTTTCCCGCGCCGCCTGCGCGCGCCTGCGCGCATTCGGCACCACATCCAGCGCCATTGTCGTCCCATTCGAGCGCGACCGGTCCGTCCGCCGCCCCTGCAGGTGACCGTGCGCGCCGAGTGGGAGAAGCTGGCCACGAAGGGCGACCTCGTCGACGGCCGCGTGGTGGTCAAGAACGCCGCCGGCACCAAGATCCTGCTGCAGGAGTACAAGGGCAAGATCTACGCCATCGCCAACAACTGCTCCCACCTCGGCCTGCCCCTCCAGGTGCGGTGCACCCCCGCCACGTCGCGGCGCGTCTGCACCGCCGCTCCGTCGCTGCCCGCGCTCGCCCTCCCCCTGCGGCACCGCCGCTCACGCCACTGTCCGCCGGCTCGCTGCAGGGCAAGATCCTCAAGGGCGAGGTCAACGACGGCTGCATTGTGTGCCCGGCGCACGGTACGACTGTCCCGCAGCCGCGGCTCAGCCCGCGCTTCGATCCGCTGCGTGCCTGCGCGAGTTGGTGGCTAGGCCTGGCCAGTCGCGAGGGAAGATGCGTGAAACAGCGCTTGTTGTTCGCGCAAACTCACAAGACCACTCCGCGCCGCGCTGTTGCTTGCAGGCACGAACTTCGACCTGAAGACGGGCGCCGTCGTCGGGGAGTGGTGCCCCAAGCTGCCCAACCTGCCCGTCGTGGGCAAGGGCCCGAAGGAGAAGCCGCAGCCGGTGTTCGAGTGCCGGACCAAGGGCGAGGACATCGAGGTCATGTGCTAGGCTGCCAAGCGACCACGACTGAGGTGTGAACCTGTCAGCACGGACGTACGACGCCCAGGGCGGACCAACGAACGTCACGCCGCGGGCCCGAAGTCGCCGTGCACACCTGAGGCCTGTGCGCGCGCAACTCCCGTCCACGCACGCTGGTGGCCGTGGGCCGCGATGTACGGCGCCGCACGACGCATCACAGCAGCTCAACGCCGCCGCGACTACCTCGCACAGCGCGCAGCTGCGCTGCACGGTCTCGCCGGTGACCTGGCGTTCGCCCATAGGTGCGCACTTAGAGGTTGTTATACCTCACCCGCGCAGGACACCCGTGCGACCTCCCGGGTCAGCGCCCGCAGCTGTGCCCGCCTGGGCCCGGAACAGCTCCTCCACGAGCACGTCACAGCTCGCCCCCGCTACCCCCCCCACGTCGCACTGACACCGTTCGCGACGTACGACCAAAAATCAGCGGCTGATTCTGTCCAGGTTCGACCCACGAGGACCGCGCACAGCGCGACCACCTCGCCGCCAGTCGCCGCGCTTCACTTGCCCCCGCGCCGCTTCTCGATGCGCTGCCTCGCGCGCAGAAACTCCTCCTCGCTCGGCTCCACATTCTCGCGGCTCTTCTTCTTGGCGCCGCCCCGCGCGCCCTTCTTCGACCGCGCCCCGTGCTTGTCCTCCAGCGCCGCCGCCACGTCCGCCAGCCTCCCGCCCTGCCGCGCCTGAATCAGCGCGACCAGATCCCCGCCCCCACCGTCAGCAGTGCCGCGACGCGGTGGACTGTCCGGGGCCAGCGGGTTCCTCGTCGGCCTGCGGCGCACACGGACCCGTCAGCACAGCTCAACGCAGCGCGCTGCGACCTGCCAGAACCGCCATATCTATTTCGAAAATAAAAAAAACACGAAACAAAGGCTTCTGCCTTTTCTTTCGCCTCTCGCGCGTTGCCTGCTCGTGCGCCCCCGCGGCGGAGCGCACCTGGGCTTCCGCGCCACCTTCTTCGCCCACGACTTGAACGCCGCGTACTCCTGGACCGCGCCCTGCAGCGCCGAACCCGCGCGGCGAGACACACCTCTCGTCAGCCCACGCAGACCCTCCCACGGCACGTCCAGCGAGGCGGTGCACGCGGCGCGCCGCGTACCTTCTCGATCGCCGCCTGCACCGCGTCCATGAAGCGGTGCGAGTCCACAGCCTCGCGCGAACACACCAGGCGCTCCATCACGCCTGGCATGTCGCCCTCGCACGCCTCGTACAGCTCGAGCAGCTCCGCGCGCTCCTCCTCGGACCCCCGGAAGCTCGCCTGGAACTCCGCGATGTCGTCCTCCGTCACGCGCCTGCGAGAAGCGTGGCACAAAGCATGCACCTTGCCTCCAGCCCGCAGAATCCGGCCCAGACGCGCGCTTCCGCCGCGTTCTGCGACGAGTTCGCGCCTCCAAGCACTCACTCGCCAGAACAGACCAGAAAAGGCCGCGGATGTCGCGGCAGCGCACCTGTAGAGCGACCTGTAGAAGGCCACGAGGTTGCTGAAGTTGTCGCCCGCGAGCTCGTCTGCGTCCTCGAACGAGCCTGTCTCATCGTACACCTTGCGCCTGCGGACGGACTCGCCGCGTTCGGGGCACTCGGGGGCGGCGAGCGGCGCTGTCCGCGTCGCGGGGTCGCTGGCGGGTGTGCGCGCTTTGAGAGAACGTGCGACAGGTGCCGGGGCGCGTGCGCGGGGCGCGGCTTCGGCGCGGGGCCGCTCGGCCGCAGAGCGCACCTGTCTGGGTCCGACAGGATGTCGTAGACCTTGCGCAGGGTGTGGAACTTCTCAGCGGCCTCGGAATCGTCTGGGTTCTTGTCCGGGTGCAGCCGGAGCGCCAGCTTCCTATACGCCTTCGTCAGGTCCGCCTTGCTGGCGTCCTTCTCCACCCCTATCAACTGCGGGCGGTGCGGAGCGGGGCGCAGCGAGCGTTCGGCCCCACCAGCACCGCACGGACCGCGCTGAAGCGCCACGCCTCGCGCCGGAGCCCTCAGGCGACGGGTGCGGCGTGAGTACCTCGTACAGACTCTTTCCCTTCTCGAGCTTCATCCTGCCGGCAGGGCAACCCCACGCCGCGCGGGCGAGGCGGCGCTGGTGCCTGCTGAGATGTGCCAAACGACTCCGAGCGCGGGAGTGCTGAAAACTCGACTGTCGATGCGCGAGGACTGCGCGGACGCTGCCGGGGGGCGGCCCCGTGGCCTGCGCGGCCGGCTGACTCATGCGGGTTGTTTTCGCAGCACCAACGTGGCACTGGGGGGGGCGTGCCGCGGCACTGTGGCATTTGGCCACGGACGGGGCGGGAACGAGGCGGGGCGGGCCCGCCGCGCCGCGCCAGACACTGGGCTCTGCAGTCACGCGAAGGCGGCTCTTAGGGACGATCGGCACGATGGCGAACGCGAGCACGCTCATGGGTGGAGTGGCCTCGATGTGCAGGCTGGCGCCGGGGATGCGTGCGAAGCCGTCGCAGCGCCAGGTCAGCGCGCATGCCCGCGGAACATCTCGTTGATTCCACGATCGCGCCCGTCGCACGGTGCCGACCTGTCTTTGCGAGCGTGCGACGAGCTGTTCACGAACTCGTCCTTTGCCGCCTTCGATGCCCCTGCACGATGGCTACTGGCCGCGATACTGTCCCCGACAGCGCTGTCTGTGTTTTTGGCCGTCGCAACACGCTGCGCTGCGCGCTCATCGGGGCTCGAGAGCTGCCGTCTCGCGCGTCTGAATGCTGTATGTGGGCGCAACGGCCCCGCCGCGACCCCGCCCGGCCATCCAACGGCCCGCATCGCTCGTGTCAGTTTTGTACATGCCACGCAATCGCCGTTCGCGCCCTCACGATTCCGACGAGGGCCCCCATCGAGCATCATCCAAGCCTGCCGGCCGAGGCTCGTCCTCGCGCCCCGCGCTCGCTCGCACCACGCCGCGCCAGCCTCCCGGGGGCCTCGCTGTCGTCCTCGCACCCCGGGAGCCCCCCAATGCCCCGCATTTCCCCGGGATCTCGTCTCCAGCCCCCCCAACCAACCCGTCCATTGCACCCCACTTCCGCCCGCCTGGGCCCACCCAGCGGTATTCCGGCCTCGGCCCCGGCCCCCCGACCGGCCCCTCCCGCCCCGCTCCGCCGTACAAGGCCGCAACCGCCCCGGCAGCCCCCCTGTCGGGTGCCGGGACCAGCTGCCCTGGCTGGCCAACTGCACGCCGGCTCTCCCGCGCGCCCCAGCCCGTAACCCGCCCCCCTCCCCCCTCCCGCGACGCACATTTCCGCCCGACATGCCGCTCCCGCGCTCCCGCGCCCCGCACGCCGCGCCCACCGCGCGCCCGGCCCGCCCCCTGCAGGTGGCCGCGTACGCGAGCTCGGCCAAGTTCTTCGTCGGCGGCAACTGGAAGATGAACGGCGACAAGGCCAGCGTCAGCGAGCTAGTGTCCAACCTCAACGCGGGCTCCGTGCCGGCGAACATCGACATCGTCTGCGCCCCGCCGTTTCCCTTCCTCTCCCAGGTCCTGGGGACGCTCGACGCGTCCAAGTTCGCGGTCGCGGCGCAGAACTGCTGGAGCGAGGGCAACGGCGCGTTCACGGGCGAGGTGAGCGCGGACATGCTCGCGGACCTGTCGGTCCCGTGGGTGATCCTGGGGCACTCGGAGCGGCGCCTCATCGTGGGGGAGTCGAACGAGGTCGTGGGCGCCAAGGTGAAGTACGCGCTGTCCAAGGGCCTCAAGGTGCTCCCGTGCATCGGCGAGACGCTCGAGCAGCGGGAAGCGGGCGAGCTGTGGAACGTGCTCGACGCGCAAATGCGCGCCATCGTCAGCAACATCGAAACGAACCAGTGGAGCGACGTCGTGATCGCGTACGAGCCCGTCTGGGCCATCGGTGCGTGCCCCCTCGGCGCCCGCGGCCCCGCGGCCCCGCTGGCACGCCCGCGCATGCGTTGTTCGTGCATGCGTCGTTCGTCGCGCTGGTGCGTGTGCACGCTGGCTGAGGTGCGTCGCCGTGCGCCGCCGCAGGTACGGGCGTGGTGGCGTCGCCGGAGCAGGCGCAGGAGGTGCACGCGTGGCTGCGGAAGTGGATGATCGACAACGTCGGCGCGGAGATTGCGGACACCACGCGGATCCTGTACGGCGGGTCCGTCAAGGGCGCGAACGCGGCCGAGCTCGGCGGGCAGGAGGACGTGGACGGGTTCCTCGTCGGCGGCGCGTCGCTCGACGCCAAGGAGTTCATTACCATCTGCAACGCAGCGCAGTGATGCGCGGGCGGCGCCGGGGACGGTGTGAGCGCCTCCAAGAGCGCGCGCGTGCGTGTGCGTGCGTGCGTGCGTGCGTGTGTGGAGTGCGAGCTGTTGGTGGGGTCGACGCGGAGGGCTCGTTTGATAGGATGCGCTGTGTGTGCGTGAGGGTAGCGGGGGGCGGAGGGTGTCTGGCGTTGACTGAGATGCGAGTCGCTGGGACGCGCGATGCGGCTCTCTGCGCTGCGCGGCGTGCTGGAAGTCGCGGGGCGCTGTCACGGCCCGTGGACGTCCGGGAGGGGGAACGATGCGTGTTGTGCCAGCAGCGCTTGCGACGACAGAGGGCGTCGCCGAGCGAGAGGCGCGTCCGGAGGAGGACGTCGCGGGCGCGTTCCCGGCGGCCGGGACCCGACTGCAGGACCCGTGTGCGACCCGGCAGGCCACAGACCTCCGAGCGGCTCGACTGTGCGTCAGGGGGCGAGCGGTGACCTGATAGGCGGCGCGCCGCGACCCTCGAGTGCAGTTCTTGAAGCTCCGGACCCGTATCTGCCCAGACCGGCCCCGGCGGCGCTCCTAGGCGTGGCGATCTGTGCTGGCAGAAGACACGACCGCGCGCCCCGTGACGCGCATGTTGGGAGTTGAACGGGGGCGTCGCTGAGAGTCGAGAGTCCAGCGGTGGGCGTCGCGGCACGATGATTGTGCGGGGCCTGCTTGCGGTCGTCCTTGGCCTCGCCGTTGCCTGCCAGAGCCTCGCTGCGTCCGCGCGCCCGCACCATGCGGCGCGACGACGGATCCAGAGCATGCAGAAGAAGAAGCTGCTCGACGACGGCCCAGATTACGAGTGGGAGGAGCGGTGGTTCGACACGCTCGAGGACAACTTCGGGTTCCAGCCGGAGGCCCGCACCTTCCCCCTCAGGCGCGCGCTTCCCGGCCCCGCGCGCATCCTGCAGGCTTGCGGCGCCGACGTCCGAGGTTCTGGCCCTGAACGCCGCCAGCGACGCAGCACGCGGGCTGCGGGGGCCGCGTCCTGCGCGAGCGCGGTGCATGCCTGGTGGTTGCTTGCCTCCTGGCCCCGCGCGACGCCACGCCGCGGTTTCTGCGCCCTTGAACGCGGCACATGTCATGATCCGCTCGACGCACGGCGAAGCGATGGGTTCGGACCGCTCGACGATGCGTCGAGGGGCCGCGCGGGCCGCTCACCACTCCGCAGCCTGCAGCCTCCGTCGCGGCCGTCTCCGCGCGCAAAGCGGCTCGCAGACAGCGCGTGCGCCGGCCCACGTTCGCCCCCAACCACCCCCCGCCCCGCGTCGCCCCGCAGATACCTGTTTAACGACTCGTGGTGGACCCCAGACGACAACGGGCCGATCTTCCTGTACGCCGGCAACGAGGGCGACATCGAGACCTTCGCGGACAACACGGGCCTCATGTGGGAGCTCGCGCCCGAGTTCGGCGCCCTGGTCGTTTTCGCGGAACACCGCTTCTACGGCAAGAGCATCCCGGGCCGCGGACGCGCGGCGCAGCTGTTCCCGGACGACGTGGCGTCCGCGGACAGCGCGGACCTCTCGCTGCTGACCGTCGAGCAGGCCATGGCGGACTACGCGGCGCTGTCAATGCACCTGAAGGACAAGCTCGACGCGCAGGGGTCCCCGATCATCGTGTTCGGCGGCTCGTACGGCGGAATGCTCGCGACGTACATGCGCGTGCGGTACCCGTGGGTGTTCGAGGGGGCCGTCGCCGCGAGCGCCCCGATCCTGTACTTCTCGGGTGCGCCGCATGACAGACTGACTCAGCCGCGAGCCACGGAGCCCCGCGCACCGCGCGAACTGCCGCCACGTCCTTGCTTGTTCCTTGGATGTAGGGCCTGACTGTGCGCGTTTCGTGGCCCCGAAATCACGACCGCGGACGCCCCGGCATGCTCTGGCGCGCAGGGGAGGCCGACGGGGGCTCGTTCTACGACATCGTCTCGCGGGACTTCGCGGCGTGCGCGGACTCGATCCAGCGCTCGTGGCAGGCCATGGAGGACGTCGCGTCGTCCGACAAGGGCTCCCAGCGCATGCTCGAAGCCCTCGGCATCTGCACGGGCGGCAAGGACGACGACGGCGCTCTCGGGTGGCGCGACGTCCGCGAGTGGGTCGCCGGCGTCTACGTCACGCTCGCCATGGTCAACTACCCCTACCCCGCCTCGTTCCTCGGCCCCATGCCCGCCTGGCCGGTGTCGCGCGCCTGCGAGGCCTTCTCCGGCACCGCCGACGGCGAGGACCTCCTCCGCGAGGTCCGCGACGCGGTCAGCGTCGCGCTCAACTACACGGGGAGCTGCGACTGCGAGTGCTTCGACGTCGAGGCCCCGCAGCCTGGTCTGGATGTCGATGTGTGGGAGTACCAGACGTGCACGGAGTTCGTGGAGCCGCTCGAGATGGACGGGGAGAACGACATGTTCTGGCGGGAGCCGTTCGTGTTCGACGACTGGTCGGACCACTGCTACGACGAGTTCGGCGTGCGCCCGCAGAGCGACCGCTACGCAAAGATGGCGTACGGCGGGAAGGACCTCCGCGCGGCGACCAACATCCTCTTCTCGAACGGCGACCTCGACCCGTGGTCCGGCGGCGGGGTCGGCGTCGGCGCGCGGCGGCGGGGCGGTCCGGGCGCCCCCGACGACTATAAGCAGCTGGTGTTTGTGGAGATAGCGCAGGGGGCGCACCACCTGGACCTGCGGGCGCCGAACAAGCACGACCCGGAGTCGGTGCGGACGGCGCGGGACAAGGAGATCGCGGCGATCAAGTCGTGGGTGGCGGGGTACTCTCGGCCGCTGTTCGGGGGGGACTACTCGCACATGGCGCACTGGCGCGTGCTGCTGCTGGGGATGGGCGTGGGGCTGTCGGGCGGGATCATCGCGACGACGATCGTCGCGGGCCTCGTCGCGATGGGCCACGTGAACCGGGATGCGGAGGGCGAGGAGCACGATGCGCTGCTGGCGTGATGTTTGGCGCGGGGCAGAACTCGGGCTGAGGGAGCTCGAGTGTTCTAGCGGCGCAACTTCCAGTACATACCCTATCTGGGCACGGCAGCGTCGGCGAGCGCGCGCGGCGCATCGCGACCGTCGACGGCTCGTGGTGTTACTTCCTAGGCAAGTGCCCTCGCGCGAGGTGACGTCACCGCTTTGGGCTCACACGGCACGCACAGAGGGAGGGCACAAAGCACTTGGCTGCTCGCGCGGGACCGGTACGCTGCTCGCGTTCACGTTCAAAACGATGGCGAGACTTCACCATTGCCAACTGCGATGTCTCAAGCCATGGTCCGGCGCGGGCGCCTGCGCTGCATCCGTTCGACCACGAGAGCCCCAGCTCCTCCGCTCACGCGTGCTGGGCGAGCCGCCAGAGCGACCGCAGGCTGTCAGCGTTCTTCGCCGCAGCTGCGCGCTGCATGCCTCGCACCAGCATCTGCGCCTCGAGCTCCGTGGCCTTCCCGGCCGCCCGCGTGATGACGCTCTCCGGCAGCCCCGCCAGCCGGGCCACGTTGACGCCGTACGAGAAGGGACACGATCCCTCTGCCAGCCTGCATGGGTGTGGGTGCCGCACACGAGCGTTTGTCGAACAGAAGCGGTGTCGACGCAACAAGCGCGTGGTATGTGTGCGCTGTGACTGGGACACGTGAGCCCGCGTGTCAAATCAGCGCGCCGAGCTTTGCGCGAGAAGTATTCAAGGATTTGCTTTCGTTGGGAGGGTTGCGCACTTGTACAGGAACGCGACGCTGGCGGGCTTGCCGTCCTCGGACTCCTCCACGTGGCACGCCATGTGCTTGATCGCCACGCCCGCGTCGCCCTCGTGGTCCCCAGCCAGCCGGTGGTAGTGCGTTGCAAACAGTCCGCGACACTTGGTGTCCGCCACGAGGCTGTCGAGCACCGCCGACGCAATGGCCGCGCCGTCCGACGTCGAGGTGCCGCGGCCCAGCTCGTCCAGAGCCACCAGCGACCGCGCCGTGGCCTTCGACAGCATCGTGGCCGTCTCCGACAGCTCCAAGAAGAACGTGCTCTGACCGGCCATGATGCGGTCCCTCGCGCCCATGCGCACGAAGATCGCGTCGCAGGGCGTCAGCTCGAGCGACTCCGCGGGCACGTACGCGCCGATCTGCGCCAGGATCGCCGTCAGACAGACCTGGCGTAGGAGTGTGCTCTTGCCGCCCATGTTCGGGCCCGTCAGCACCAGCATCGGCGCCGCGTCGCCGCCGAGACAGATGTCGTTCGGCACGAACGCCTGCCCCTGCTGCGTCCTGATGCCCGCCGGGTGCCGCAGCCCCGCGGCGCGGAACACGGAGCCGCCCGAGTCGGGCGCAACGATCCGCGGGCGACACATCGCGCCGTCGGACGTCGCGCACGCGACCGCGAGGCTCATGATCGCGTCGAGCTGCGAGGCCGCGGCGACCGCGCGCCGCCACAGCGCCGCGTGCGACGCGAAGCGCCCCATCAGCGCCGACAGCGCGTCTGACAGCACCACCTCCTTGGCAGCCAACGCGGCGTCCCTGTCCGCGACGAGGGCCTTGAGGTCCTCGCTGGTGTACCTGCGAGGCGGGAAAGGGGGGCGGGCAGCGTGCGGAGCTGGGTCGGGACCGCGGCGGGGCGGCGGGGGGATGTGTTGCAGGGGAGGGGGCTGGACGGACCTCTTGAAGCCCTTGCGCTGGCCCATGAGCTCCCAGTCAGACGGCACGCGCTTCCACGCGGCCTCGGGCACCTCGATGAGGTGCGAGTTCGACATGATCGACACGAACGCCACCTGGGAACTCCCCCCAAGACGCCCCCGGGCCTCCTCCAGGTACTCCTGCAGCGCGGCGTCGCAGGCGTCCTCCTGCGCGACCGCGTCGTCGAACGCCGCGTCCACGCCGCGGTTCAGCCGCACGCGGCCCTCCGTCGCCGCCGCGCCCCAGTCCGTCGCGCCCTCCAACTCCCCCAACTCCCCCCTGATGTCGGGCAGCTCCGCCGACCCCGGCGTCACCAGCGCCCGCAGCAGCGCGCTCTTGCACTCCCCGACCACGCCCGCGAACGCCTCCATCGCGTCCACGATGTTCCGCAGCCCCTGCATCGCCGACACCATCCCCCGGATGCGTCGCTTCGCCATGTCCTCGTACAGCACCACGCGCGCCGCGTCGCGGCCCGTGCCGCCGCCCGCGACGGCCGCAAACAGCCGCGCCAGCGCGCGCTCGAGGTCCGCCACCTTCGAAAGGCTCGTGCGCGCCTCCGCCATCGCGTCCGACGCCGCCCCGAGCAGGTCCGCCACCGCGCCCTGCCGGTCCGCGATCTCCGCGGGCTCCACGAGCGGACGCAGCAGCCACTCCCGCAGCAGCCGGCGGCCCGAGGACGTCACGCAGTTGTCCACGCAGTGCAGCAGGCTGCCCGCCGCGCCGCCGTCCGCGCTCTCCAGCACGTCGAGGTTCTCGAGGGCCGCGCCGTCGAGCAGGCACCGGGCGCCCGAGGGGGTGTCCGAGGGGGTGTCCGCGGGGGCGGCGCGCTCGCCGGTGCCCGCGAGGATCTCGATGCGCGCGAGCGGCAGCACGGCGCGGTCGAGCAGCACGTCGGACAAGTACTGCACCATGACCCCCAGGGCAGTCAGCCCCAACTCCCCCCCCGCGCCGGCGTCCGCGAGCGCCCCGAGGGCCTCCGGCGGCGGCACGCGCCGCGGGCCCTTCGCCGCATCGCCCCCGGCGCCCTCGCTGTAGTAACCCCCGCTCAGGAGCCGCTCGCGGGCTTCAGCGCCGTTGCCGCACGGCAGCGACTCGTACCGCGGGGACCGGAGGCAGCCCCGGAGGACCCTGAGCGTCGCCGCGGACGGCCGGAGCGCGTGTCCGTCCTTCGGCAGCAGCACTTCGACCGGCTGCAGCGCCGTGAGGTGCCGCCGCAGCGTGCTGCGCAGTGCGTCGTCCTCCCAAAAGCCGACGCGCACCTGCCCCGTGGCCACGTCGCAGAAGCACGCAGCGGCCGGCCCGCCGCGGCCGTCCCCGGCGGCGCGCGGCTCCACGAGCGCCATGATCCACGTCGCGTCCGTCGACCCGTGGAGCATTTCGGGGTCGTACAGCGTGCCGCGTGTGAGCACGGCCACGGCCTCGCGGCGCACGACGGTGTCCTTCTTCGTGCCCTTCGGGCGGCGGTCGTTGCGCTCGGCCAGCTGCTGCGGGGTCTCGGTCTGCTCCACGACGACCACGCGGTACCCCGCGCGCACCAGCATCTCCGCGTGCGCGTGGTAGTTGACCTCGGGGAAGCCCGCGTGCGGCTGGTCGCCGCGCATGATCGCCAGCCCGAGCACCTCCACGCCCACGTGCGCGTCCATCTCGAACATCTCGTAGAACTTGCCCATCTTGAACAGCAGCACGCTGCACCAAACAAAGCGCATTCAATACAACTCAAATCAAGCGACGCGAACGATGTTTCGCGCGCGCGGTGGCTTCGTGACCTGGCCGGGGGCGACAGGCCGTGGCTCGCGCACCTGTCGAAGTTCGCGGCCTTGAACTCCCACCACTGCTGTTGTCCCGGAGAGATCTTGGCCTCTTTGAAGAACCCGGGGGGTATTGCCAGCGTCCTGGGGTTATACCCCGGCTGACCGGGCCGCTTGCCCGCCGCGTCGCGGATCCGGTCGGGCCGCAGGAACGGGAACTTCGTGTGGTACCGCGGGAGGTAGCTCGCGGCCTCGCCCGTCATGTCGCCGTGACGCATGTGGCCCAGCACCACCGCGTACTTCCCGGAGCCGCCCCCCGCCGCCACGTCGTCCGCGCCGGCGCTGCCGTCGTCCAGCGCGCGCCGCAGCCGCGCCGCCTTCTTCGGGTCGCTCGCCGGCGTCTCAACCCCAGGCCTCGCAGCCGCGGGCGTCTCCTCCGCGCCGCCGTCAACGTCCATGCGCTCAGCGGGCGCCGGCGACGTGTCGGCGCGCGCCTTCGCCGCCGGCTTCTCCCTCTTTGCGGGCGCCGCCTTCTTGGCCCGCTTCGGGGCGCGCGGAGCCACGTCAGCGTCGGAGTCCTCCCCAGAGTCAGCGTCGTCCATGCTGGCGTCGTCGTCGACCGCGTCGTCGTCGTCCGCGGCCTCCTCCTCTGCGGTGCGGGCACGGGCGACGCGGTCCGGGGTCGGAATGCAGCCAAGCGCCCGCGTCATGACCAAACAGCAAACGAACCCACTTTTGTTGTTTCGCACCTGCGTCGGACGCGCCGGCCTCGAACTCGCTCGCCGAGTCCTCGTCGCCCTCCTCCGAGCCCTCCTCGTCGCTGTCCTCCAGCTCAGACATCCCGCTCTCGTCGTCGTCGGCCTTGGCCGCCTTTGCGCGACGCACAGCGCGGCGCGTGGGGCGGGCCGGCTTCGGCCCCGTGGGGCGCGTCTTCTCGCCCGCGAGCTCCAGCCACTCCTCGTCGCCGTCGTCGTACTCGACCAGGTGCTTGTCCTCGTCGGCGTCGTAGTCAGCGACGGCCCCAGCAAACCAGTCGGACTCGTCCTCCCAATACACCTCCAGGCGCGTGCCGATCGCGTCCGGGCCGGCGGGGATCCACTTCGAGCCCACGTCGCTCTCCTGCGCCCGCGAACGCGGCGTGGGGGGCTCGTTGGTGGCCACCGAGTACACGCAAACGGCAAGTGGCACCGGACAGGATGCGTGCGGCGGGGCTGAGCGCGGTTCGCCGGCGGGAAAACGGTGCTGTTTTCAGACACGCGCAGGTCGCGCGTGGGGCGCGGGACGCGGCGCGGGTGGCACGCGGCGTCGCACCTGCTTGTGCGCTGGAGTGGTTTCCTTGGGTGCCGGCGTTGCGGCCGCGACGTCCTTCGCGGCCTTCTTGTTCGGCGTGAATGCCTTCTCCTTCGCCTTCTGTGCCTTTTTAGCGGGCGTAGCGTCCTTGGACCGCTTCGCAGGGGGCGCGGCCGGCTCCCCGCCACTGGCCGTCCGCTTGGCAGTGCGCGAGCCCGTTTTCGACGGCGGCGTGGACCCAACCGGGAGCGTGGGCGGGTCCTCGGCCTCCTGCTGCACCTTGTTCTCAGGCGTACCGGCCGCGTCGGACGTTCGCGACGCCTTCAGCCCCGCCGCAGGCTTTGGCGCGGCCACAGGTGTTTGCCTGCTCGCGGCCGGCTTCGGAGCCTTCGCGAAGAAGCTCGCGATCGACTTCTGGCCCGGCGTGGCCACGAGGCCCTTCTTCGGCGCCATGGCGACGCGCAGCCGTGCCCTGGGGCACCGAGCGGGTCGAACGACGCCCTCCCGCCGCCCTGGGACGAATTCGCACCCCGTTCAGAGTGCGAGCGGGGAGAGCTGCGACGTCGCGCTGGCCACGGGCTCGCAGGTGTGTCCACGCCCTCACGGACGCGTTGTGGAGCAGCCAGCCGCGCGCGGACGGCGATTCGGCCGCGGGCGACGCCCCGGGACCGCAGCCTGTGTCGGTCGGGAGGCGCGCATCTGTCCGACCGCGTCGCAACGCTCTCGGGTGGCGCCACACGCCGCGTTCGCGACCCGGCGCGGACGGAGCACGATGACTTCATGCCACGGGCCGCCCAGAACGTGGCTATCGAGCCCCCGTCGCCAGCAGGGCAGGTCAGATCTGTCACAGTAGGGCATCTGACGCGTGATCGCTATGACCAGTGAGAAATCATCGCGGTGGGTGACTCGCGTCCGAGGAGACCGGTGCTCACACGTCCGTTGCGGGCTCGACGCCGCGCCGTGGGCCTGGTCAAACTACCCCCCGGGGCCTTCCGCTGCGCGTACCACTGCCTGGTGGTCCACGGTTCTACCTTTGCTGCACAAGCCACACGTGCTGCGACAGTACCTCCCCTGGAGCATCCACGCGGCGTCGCAGGCGCCCCATCCCGCCTGCTGCGCGCAGGTGTAGCCGCCTGGCGGTTGCACGTCGTCGCACGCGGCCTCGGAGCCGCAGCGCCCGCAAGTCACCATGCAGTAGCCCCCCTCGACGATCCACCGCTCGCCGCACTTCCCCCACTCCTTCTGCAGCTCGCACGGGTAGCGGCTGCCCGCCGGGAGCCTGTCCACGCAGCCGCCGGCCTGCATGACCTCCAAGCGTCGCTGCCGCTCCTGCTCGCGCTCCCGCTCCCGCTGGCGACGCATCTCGCTCGCACTCGCCTCCACGGCCGCCGCGTGCCGCTCCGCAACCGCCGCCACGTCGGCTCGCGTCAGGTTCGCCGGACACTCCCCGGGGAGGTCTCCCACGGCCCGCATGCGCGCAGCGTGGTTGTCGACGATCCGCATCGTCGACGTGTCGCTCAGCGTCACGCGGTACAGGTCCGTCGCCGCGTGCGACTCCCGGTACAGGTTCCAGAAGTTTGTGCCCTGCGTGTTGCCGCCCGCGAGCGCGTCGCGCTCCACCAGGTCGTACACGGCCTCGAAGAACTGGTTGCGCACCCAGAGCCCGTCCGCGACGCGCTCCCCGGGCATGAGCGCGTCGGGGATGCGGCTCAGCTTCGGCGACGGCAGCGCTTTGCCAAACTCCTGCACGATGGCTGCCTTGCCGATGCTCTTCGCGTCCTCGATGTGGGCGGCGATCCAGTTGCGCGTCCAGTCGAGCTTCTCGCGCCACAGGTCGCAGCCGTGCGTGTAGTCGAACGAGGGGTTGACGTAGGGCACGTCGCAGAAGTCCGCGTAGCCCAGCCAGTTGTCCGGCCACGCGTGGATGGTGACGGCGTCCAGGTGCGGCGAGGCGCCGTCGCGCATGAAGTCCTGCCCCTGCGACAGCTCAAAACGACGCACCCGCGGGCCCCGTGAGCCGCAGGCGCGTGGAACCCACGTGTACAACAACGCAGCGATTGCAGGACCGAGCGGCGAGGCAGGACATGCGCACCTCCTGCAACGCCCACGGGCTGCTCCCGATGCCGACCCGCCGCTTCCCGGCCCCGGGGTTGAGCCACACGCGGTCGCACGTGGACGAGTAGAAGCCCTCGGACCCCACCGTGACGATGTGGTTGGGGTCCATGGCCTTGACCGCCAGCGCCATCTCGTCGATCCAGGCCTGCATCGCCCAGCCGCAGCCGGTGCAGCGCGGCTCCGAGATCAGGTTGATCGCGAAGATCGTCTCGTCGTCGAGGTACTTGACGCCGTTGAAGGTGTTGCGGCGCGACAGCCACGTCCACACGTGCTGCTTGTACATCTCCCGCGCCTGCCAGTCCGTGTAGAAGTCGGTCTTGCTCTCCGCGTTGTCGCTCCACTCCACGTACCGGTCGATGCTCAGCCAAAAGTCCTCCAGCGCCACGATCAGCCGCAGGCCCCGCTTGCGGGCCTCCGCGAGAACGAAGTCCATCCCCCTGAACACCTTCTCGTCGTACGTCGTCGGAGTGAGGTGCAGGCGGTCCCGCCGCCTCTCCTCGGACTCCCCCGTGCCCAGCGAGAAGCCCCACGTGCGCCCCACCAGCCACCCGCGCGCCCTCATGTCGTCCAGCCGCTCCACGACCTCGTGCCGACGGTGCTCGTACCGAGCGAGGTCCATCAGGTCCCACGTGTTGCATCCGGCGCCGTACGCGAACCGCTCGCACCCGATCATCAGGCTCGCGTTCTGCACGCGCACGAACTTCGCCTCCCAACCCTCCGCCCGCGGACCGTCCCAGCGGCCGTCGAACGCGCGCCCGCTGCGCCAACGCATCCGCAGGCCCTGTCCGCCGCGCCACGAGCCGTACGGCAGCCCGGGATCCCCGTCGAGCACGACGCGGTACTCGCGGCCCGCGCGGATCCTGACAGACGCCGCCCAGCCTGCTGGGTCGGACTGGCCGGCCGTCGCGACCTGCCACCCGTCCTCGAAGACGTGGAGCTTCTGAGCATACCCGCGGCTGCAGATCTCGACGTCAAGGACGTCGTCCTCCGCGCCCGCACCGTCCGGCAGCCTCACCGCGTACACCGCATCAGGCGACCGCAGCGGATGCAGCGTGCACGGCGAGTACTTGTCCGCGTCCTCCGCGCGCAGGTCGTGCGGCCGCTGCGCGGACAGCGAGAGCACTTCCAGGCGCGGGCCGAGGCGGGGGACTTCCAGAAACACCCCCATGCTGTCAGGATCCATGTCGTCGTCGATCTCGACGACGCCGCGGAGCGTCACGTTCCGGCCGTCCGTCCGCACGATCGCGTGCGCGACCGTCCGCCGCACGCGCACCCCGTCGCGCATCGTGCCCTCCAGCACCACGTCCGTCGGCAGGCCCTTGCGTTCAGCGCCGCCGCGGTCCTCCGGGTTCGGCGTGTCGCTGATCACGCGCGCCTCCTCCGTCCCGCCGTCCGCGGTCTTGCTCTTGCGCCGCGCGAACTCCCCCTCGGCCTCGCCGTTGACCTTGCGGACCGACCCGGAGAGCGACACCACCGCGGTGATCATCACCAGGCGCCCAGGCGCGATGGGCTCGCCCGGAACGGCCGCGACCGGCACGGTGGGCGTGCGAACGACGACCTCCGAGGACGGCGCAGGGCTCCGCTGTTCCAGACGCTCGAACCCCTCCATCTTGCGCGCCACAGGTGCGTCGCGGAACGCCCCAAAGTACCACTCCAGCGCCGGGCAGGCGCGCCACGGGTGCTTGCCGGCCGTGCACGGCGGGGGCGGCGGCGGGGGCGGCGGCGGCCAGTCTGGGATGGCGGGCAGCGCAGGGCACTCGCTCGCGCCGCGCAGCTCGAGGGAGCTCACGTCGAGGCGGTTTTTGAACGTGCCGTCCTTGAAGCTGAGCATGACGCGCTTCCCGTCGCGCGAGCCCGCGATGTACCCGCCCGGCGGCAGCACGACGTCGCCGAAGTCCAGACGGATGCCGCGGTCGCGCTTCGTCCCGTCCGGCCACGCGATATCGGTGAGCCGAACGCCGATGCCAGTCGCGGGGCTCTTGCAGAGGTTCGTGCCGCTGACGGCGTCGCCGTTCCCGTCGTACATCGCCGCATACCAACAGTACAGTGAGAAGTAGGTGTTGGGGTCGCGAATGCGCTCCCACACGCCCTCGTACTTGGTGTGAACTGCCTGGCTGAATGGCAGGATGACGTACGCGCCGCGCAGCGACACGGGCATGGCGCCGTTGTTGACGATGCGCCCGCTCACGATGGCCTCGATGGTGTGGAACGGCAGGGACTTGTTCGCCGCCGCGCCGAGCCACGCCTCGGGAGGGTTGGAGTACAGCTCGCGCGATCCGCGGCCCGTCCAGCGGTCGCGCGGGTTGCAGAAGTCCACTTTGGCGGGCTGCGGAGGGGGAGGGGCGTGGGCGGGGCGCGTGGGTCCGGCGTGCGGGCTGCACTCTTGGCGGCTCGATGGTAGCAGCAGCTGCACGGGTCACTGCTATGGGATGACTCACCTCGCCGGGGAGGCACGTCCAAGGCATACCGCCCAGACGCAGCTCGAATTCGATGCCGGTCCCGCAGCCGCGTCCAGACGGAGGCGGCGGCGTCCACACGCACGCGTCTGCGGACTCGCCCGCGGCGTTGATCTCGTCCAGCGTCCGCGCGAACTCCCGTACCATCGCCGTCGATTCCGCGGCCTCGGGTGTCGCGGGCGGCACGTACACGCCGTAGCCGCCCCCGAAGCGGTCCAGCGGCGCGTAGTCCTGCAGGAACAGCGTTGCAGGAACGCAGACTATTGAAAAACAACAATTCGTCGGTTTGAGCGAACAACTCCTCGCCGTGTGTGCAGCCGGACCTGGTGGTACAGGATCCAGAACATGACGCCTCCGCAGGACCCTCCGCGCCGCGCGCTGTCCGTGCAGGCGTCGAACGCGGCCTGGTACACCTTGGACCGCTTCTGGACCTTGGCGCCGAACTCCTCGAGCACAACCGGCATTCCCAGCTCCTCCTCGGCGGCCTGCTGGTGGCCCAGGATCCACCGCTTCAGGAACCCAAGCTGCCCGCGCTCGTCCTTGCCCTCCGCGTCGCACAGCCACTGGTCCACGTAGAGGTGCATGGTGGCGAAGTCGATGCCGGGGACGTTGTGGTTGCGCACGAAGTCTGCAGGTGCGTCGCGCGGGGGTTCGGAACCGCGGTGTTGGTGTGTGGTGCTGCGTGGGGGTTTTGGGGTGGGGGGGTTGTGAGGTGGTGTCAAAGGGGCGGCGTACCGTTGCCTTCAATTTGGGCCCAGGCTCCGGGATTCGCGTGCAGGTGCAGCGGCGACGAGGGGCCGATGAAACCTGCAGAGAGCACGGAGCCGACGGGCCGCTGACGTGGGAACAGAAACATCGAAGGGATTTTCAAGTTGCAGACACCGCGCGTGCGGAGGAGCTGGGGCTGGTGCGCGCACCCTCTTGGCCCGTGGTGAGCAGGTGGACGGGGTCGATGGACTTGACGAAGGCCGCCATCTCCTCGATCCAGGCCTGCAGCGCTGCGCCGTCGTTTGTCGTGATGTTGTAGTCCGGCAGGGTCGGGTCCGTGCTGTTCCGGCGCTCGACATACAGGTCGAACGTGCTCCGGGGCTCGTTCATCAAGTTCCACGCGAATATGGTCGGGTCGTCGCGGTAGCGCCTCCCGTTGAATACGTTGATCCTCTCCAGCCATGTCCGGACGTGGTTCTTGTACATCGCCTTGGCCGCGGGGTCGACGAAGAAGTCGTCGCGGCACCAGAACTCGCCGTTGCACCTGCACACATATTTGTACGAAACAACCATCCACTTCTGTCCCGGGAGACACTCGTGCCGCAAGCGGGTCGCACGGACGGACGGCGCGGCACAGCACGCACCTCCCGGTCTCCATCTGGAAGCTCCACCGGTTGTACTGGTCCACGCCGCCTGCAGGCATCACGCTCCAGCACCGTCGATGCACGGACCATCCACATGCCTCGTCAAACAACAACCATTCAGCGCGCATCCACACACGCACGCACACGCACCGTAATGCGACCAGTAGTTGGCGAATACAGGGAGAACGCGCACGCCACGCAGCGACGCCTGGTGCAGCACCCAATCCATCCCGCGGAGCAGCTCTTCATCCCACTCCCCCGGAGCAGGCTGCAGAGTGCGCCACTGCCCGGGCCCGTCGCTGAACGCCCACGTACGCACCACTTTGAGACCCAGCTCCTGTGCGCGGTCGAGGACCTCCGCCACCTCGTGCCGCGTGTCTGGCCTTGCCGCGCGCAGCATCAGATAGTAATTGTTGAAGCCCGCGAAATGCCACGGCCGGCATCCGCCGTCGCCCGGAACAACGAAGCGCGTACCCGCGCGCTGCACGAAGTCCGTGACGAGCTGCCCGTCGGGGTGGCTGCCGTCGACGTGAGGCACGCTGGGCCGCAGGGCAGGGTCGCCCGCCGCGATGGAGAGCGCGGGCTGCTGCGGCTGCCCCTCGCGGTACTTCGTGAGGTTGAAGCCCCGCTCGCCGATCCGCACGTCGCGCAGAGAAGAGCTCCCGCGCCGTTCAATGTCCAGCAGCCGGGCCAGCACACCCGATCTTGCCAGCGACCGCGTCGCGTCGGCCTCGCCCGCGCCGCCCCACAGGCCGTTCAAGGCCTCGCGAGCGCTCTCTTCCGTCCAGACGACGGGCTCGTACTTGGGCGCGTTTCCTGGATCGCGCCGGGCCCTGCAAACGACATGTCGTTTGCAACTGTACAGTTACACATGGCTCTGAATGATGATTCCTGGGACGCGGTTTCCGCAGCCAGGGCGACGGAATTCCGCACCGGAGCAATAAGCACAGTCGAGCAGGCGTCCTCGCAAGTGGAAGAGCAAGTGGGACGCTCACCTCGCGTCCCTGTCATTGAAGTCTTCTGGGGCATCGAACTTCACGGGCACCGCCTGGGAGCTGGCAGCGACCGCGCACAAGCAGGATGAGATAGCGAGCAGCAGGCAGGCAATCGTCAGGTAGCGGGTCATCGGCGCGCGCTTCGCGCCAAGCGCGAAACGCGGCCTCCTGCAGTGAGCCATACGACCGTGCGTTTCCACTTCGGGGCGGCTGGCAACGGCACCTGCACGCGCAACCTGCCAGAATCCGGGCCCTCGGCGCACCCATGTCGCGGGAAGAGCCCTGCGTGCGCCAGATTCGCTGCTGGCATGACCTTGACTCAGGTATTGTGCCAGGTGGCGCAGGACGGCCGCGGGGCGCAACACCTCGGATTCGAAGGGCCAGTCCTGCGCAGACAGCTCGGTCGGACACTGCACCGTGCTTCGCACTCTGCGGGGGGGGGCGCGCCGGAGGGTTATCGCGCGGTCACATGGGGCGCGGGAAGGCGATGCATGCTACGCGTCGCCCTCTTCGGACGCCTCGGAGTCGGAATGGGCGCCGCCGCCCGCGATCCGCACTCTGCTGCTCGTGTTGCGGACGACCCGCGTGGACTTCATCGATCTGATTCTGCGCGATCAATCAAGAAAACAGCACTGCCAGCTTGTTCTTGTGCCAATGGGCCGCAACATGGGCCCACAGCCAGGCGCAGGCACGGCATGGCGCGCACACGTCCTTCGAGGCGACGCGCGAGGGCTCGCGCACACGTCCTTCGAGGCGACGCGCGAGGGCTCGCGCACCTGAAGTCGCGCTTCCTGCGCGTGGTCTGCAGGCGCTGCAGCCGCCCCAGCATGGCCTCCATCTGTTGCACCTCCGCCAGCCGCTCGCGCGGCATCGGCATGCTGTTCGCGATCGACAGCAGCGTCTGCATCATCATCTGCATCCGGACGTCCATGGTCTTCAGCATGATCTTCGTGTCGCCGTCGCCGTCCACCAGCTCCCAGAACGACGCGTCCTCCGTCGCGTTGCGCGACAGCGGCCCGGGCCCGTCTGCGACAGCCGTGCCCGCGTCGAACCGGACACCCGCCCTCCCGGCCGGCGGGCGGCCCGACGACATGTGCGCCGCCGCCAACCTTCGGCTCTGCTGCCGCCCCGCGGTGCCGACGGTGCGCACCACCGGAGGCGCGTGCAGAGGGCGCACCGCGCCCGCCTCGCGCACGCTGTCCCCCGGGGGGTGTCCTGACGGATGCTCCTTTGGCGGCTCGTGCCCCGACAACCCTTCTCCCCCCGACGCGGACGCGACCTTCCCGGGCAGGGGGATCTCGTCGCTCCCACGTGCCGCCTGCCCCGCGGCCGGCTGCGCCTGCTTCGCCGTCGCCACTGGCGGCACCTCCTGCCCCTCCTCCGTCGTCGTCTCCGCCTCCTCCTCCTCGAGGTCCTCCAGCTTGTCGTCGATCTTCTCGTCCTCCTGCTCCAGGTCGAACAGCGCCGCGGTGATCTCGTACAGCCCGCGGTCCAGCGCGCCGTAGAAGTGGATCGACGGCGGCGCGTCGTCGGCGCCCTCGGGCGACACCTCGTTCCCCGAGGCGCCCCGCTTCGGCCCCGTGGACGCGCGCCGCCGCCGCGCCCGCCAGACCCGCAGCCCGAGCCTCACGCGGCGCCGGTAGAACCACACCAGCCCCGTCATGACTACGTAGACGGCCAGCAGGGCCAGCGTGGTGCCGATGACGCCCCAGCTGTACGAGTCGCTGGCCTGCGCGTCGCCCTTCTCGATCTCGGTCTCGCCGTCGCCGAACGTCACCACGTTGGCCACGCTGTCGATGCCGTTTTCGTTCGGAAAGAACTCCCGCACCGACACCTCGTGCGTCTTCTCCGACGCCGACAGCGGCACCCGCTCCGTCGTGAACGACAGCAGCTCTGCGCGCGCACGCAAGCCACGACAGCCGCCGTCGCGTCAACACGCGTGCGTGCGCAGCGGCAAGCGACAACGAAATGGCGTCTCATCTCCGCGCAGGGCAAGGGTGGGCAGGTGCGGGCGCGGCGGGGAGCGGCACCTTCGTTGAGCGACCCGAGGTGCTCCCAGCCCTCGCGAGTGGCCAGCGCGATGTCGCCGGGCCAAAGGATCCCCGTCAGCGCCATGTCGTCGGGCACGAGGCCGCGGGAGATGATCCCGCGCGCCACGGGCCAGTCCAGGAGCGCGGTCTCCTGCGCGCCGGACGACACCCGCACCACGCAGGCCTCCTGGTCCGGCACGACGAACACCGCGGCGGGGCGCGTCGACGCCAGGAGCTCGGTCAAGTAGCCCTCGGTGGTGCACACGGTGCGGCCGTTGAGCTCGCGGAGGCCGCTGACGAACGTGAAGCGCGCGAGGCGCGTCTCCACCCACACGGCGGCCAATATACCGGACAGCGTCGAAATAAACAGCAGGCCGATGATCATCCACACGCCCGCCACGATGCGCCCCGAGCCGCTCACGGGCGCGAGGTCGCCGTACCCTGCGTCGCGCACCGAGCAGCTCGTGCGTTGGGCGACCGGGTTTCACGCGCGGCGCGGGCGCGGCGGTCGCAGTGCGCGGCTGCGTGTCGTCGCTGCGTCGCGGGGCGCACCAACGGTGGTGAGCGTGACGAGGCAGAGCCAGAGCGCGTCGTCGATGCCCATGAGGTACTTCGGGCTGATCTTCTTCGGCTGCATGCCCGACTCGACCCACCACATGATGTGCGCGACCACCATGAGCGCCATGAAGGTCCAGCACAGGACATTGATAAGCTCGGGCTGCACGAGGGCCTCGAAGAGCTTGCGGACCCCGGCGCTGCTGACCGAGGAGCGCGAGAGGATGCTCGCTCCGCTCGGGAGGTAGTCGTGCGTGAAGTCCAGGCAGCACGCGTTCGCCTCGCTCGGCACAGTGGTGAGCGCGGGGCAAGTCGAGTCGCAGCGGTCGCGCGTGGCGGTCTGGCTGATCGCCGCCGCGCCGATGTGGCAGCCCGAGGTCGCGCCCTCGCGCACCGCGTACAGGAGGTCGGTGCTGCTCGTGTAGAAGCGCACCTGCGGGTCAAGGGGCCCAACTGAAACTGCGTTCGACCACGTGGGGCCACGAGCAAGAGGGCGCTGCGGCTGCGGACGCCGCACGTCGACATATGCGCCGAATATGCGGGCGCTGGGGGTGGTTCGATGGCCGGAAAGGGAGGCATGCGCCGCAGAGCGCGCGCACAGGCGTGAGCTCGCTCCGAGGGGTCGCCCGGCGTACCTGGTAGTTCCACCCGAGCCGTCGCATGACGTTAGCGATCAGGTTGACCGTGACGCCCGTGTAGCGGGTCTCGAATTCTGCACCACGCAGCGCACGGGTGGGCAGGAGGTTGGCGGCGCTGCACCAACGTCTCTGGCCCAGGCTGCCGGTGCGCCCGCGACGCGTCCTCGACGCGTGCGCTCGCGCCTGCTGCGTATGCGTGGCTCCTCTGAACAGCCACCGTGCCACGGCCGCAGCGTGCGTCGAGAGACTTGCCTGCGCTTGTGAGCGTCTGCCCGACGTCAGCTTGGCCAAACGCGTTGACCTTCGGCTCCACGAAGGACAGGACGACAGTGCTGCATATCAGCACGGGGTCTGGCACGGTCTGGAGGCGGCGCTCCAGGGCCGCGCTCTCGCTCGCACATGACCCGTCGCACTCTGCACCCGTCCGCGCCGCCGCTGCGCCAAGAGACCCCGCGAGCAGCAGCGCGAGCACTGCCAAAAGGGCCCGTGCGGCCCGCATCGCGCTCGGTCCGCCCGGGGGCACGATGCACGGTGCGGGCGCGACACGGTCTCGCGCTCTCGCTGGGCGACTCGAACGGCGCAGGTAGGCTGCGCCTTTTTCCTCGTGTGCGCCGCACAGTTGTTCTGCATGCACAGCGCACCGCTGCGCGCCAGCGAGACCGGCTCTGGAGCCCCGGGCGGGGCGTGTCCGGGCCCGTCCAGGTGACCCAGCCCCCCCGTGCCAGCAACCGCTGCGACACGGCACGGGCCGCAAAAACACCGGTTCCAAGTCAGCGCCGTTGCCAACAACGCAGTAGACGCCCGGAGCCATCAACGGAGCGGAGATTCCGCGCTTCTATGCACCGCAGCCCTCTCAGGCACCCTCGTGTTACGCAGCGACACGTGCTCGCGCAGGAGGGGCAGCGGGCCCCACGGCCGTCCAACTGGGCTCACACGCGCACCGACGCGTCCACGACCCACCAGTCCTTTCGCGTCCGCGCTCGCACGCAGAACCCGTGCCGTCCCGCATGCGGCGCCTGTTTGTTGCTTCAGTCCACAACGAGCAGGTTGCTCTCGTTGCCCTCCTCGTCCATCACCGTCGGCCACTCCGGCGCGATGCGCCACTCGTCGTCCACCAGGAACTTGACCTGGTACTCCCCCGGCCGCAGCATGACCTCTCCCGCGAACCGCATAAACACCTGGTCGCCGAGCTCCTCCGCGGACAAGTCGATGCCGCGCGTCCACTCGTCGAAGTCCCCCATGAGCTTCACCTGCGGGCCGGGAACGAGCGACGCGGGCTGAGCTGACGACACTCCGGATGAGCTGAGAGAGGGGAGGGCGATTGTGCGACTCTGGGCCGCTGTCCGGGGACTGCGCAGGGGTCGGTGCTTCGTGATCGGTTGCTCAGCGAAGGGGTGGTGTCGCGGCGGAGCGGTGCGTGCGCGGGGCGGCGTTGCGGGAGGGGGGGGAGCGCACGTCGTTCGCGACGCCCACCCACGTGATGGGCACCAGCCGCGGCCGGAAGTTGTCCGACTTCTTGGCAGTCTGCACGCGAGGGGGGCCGGCGGGAGAGCGCGTCAGCGCCACCGCCCACCCACAGCAACAGCACCAGCACCAACGAACACAGCGCTTTGCGTGCGTGCAGATCGGGCGCGCACCTCTCTCAGGATCTTCTCCGTCTCCTCCAGACGCGCCATCAGCTTCCGCATGTCCTCCGCCGCGGCCTCCGGGTCCACCCCGAACTCGGCGCCGTCGGCCGTGCGCTTCGCGAGCCGCATCAGAGCGCTGACCTCCTGCGACGCCGCGTTCAGCAGCTCCGACTGCATCGTGATCTCCGCCATCCGCTCCTCCGCGTCCTCCTCCAGGAACACCGCGTACCTGCGCGGGGGGCGTTTTGGGGGGTGTAACACGGGGAACTTCCACTGGAACGTATGTGGGGCCTGTGACCGTGGGGGCGCGCGGGGGGGGTCGCGGGGTACCTCTTGGCGTCGGAGAGCTGCTCGCTGAGGCGCTGCTGGGACCGCTGGACCTGCTCGTACATGCGAATGTCCACCCCGCGGTGCCCTTGGAAACCGACCCCGCCGGCCGCTGGGCGGGGCCTTGCTGCGGCCGCCTGGCCTCCAATGGCGCCGCTCGGGGTCTGCGGGACGGTACCGAGGGTGAAGTCGCGATTGGGGCCGTCCGCGAGGCGCCTCGCCTCCGGGGGACGCGCGGTGTGGCGGCGAAGGGCGGTCAACTCGACCTAGGGGGCCGCTCCGCCTCGGCCCGGGGCCATTTCGGCGAATGCGCTGCCATGAAAGTGCGAGGCGGTCGTGATGTGGCGGTCCGAGGGTGGGAGTACCTGGGGCGGCCCTGGGGCGCGCGTGACAGTGGACGCCTTGGTCACGCTGGACACCTTGGACGCTGTGGACGATTTCACGCGCTCCAGCTCCTCCATGCTGGCCTTGCGCCGCTCCTGGAGCCGTCTCAGACGCTCACTAGCCTGCGATGGGCACACACAGTCCGGGTCGGCAGCCGGCCGCGCGTCGCCGTCTGGGTGGGCCGACGGTCAGCAGGGCCGGCAATGCGGCACACAGGGCGCGCCGTGAGGGGCGAACAGCCGACCGGTGCCTCACCGTGAGCTTCTGCTCCGGTTTATCGGCCGTTGGCGACGCCTTGGCGCCCCCGGAGCCGTTCGCCGTCGCCCTCGGCTGCTGGACTCTTCGCGGTGGCGGTCGCGGAGAAATACGCGGCGCGAACGGCCGGTTCAGGCCCTGCACGAGCTCCACCATCGTCAGTCGCGAGCCTGCGAACAGCACGTCCAAACGAGTCCACCTAACGTCGCCAATACGGAGATCCCTTCTGCGTTCCTACACGTCCGCAAACACCCGCAACGCGCGCGTCGACAGCAATGACGGCGTCCTCCCGGCCCCAAGAAGCGCAGACTCGACCCGTGCACGCAGCTCCGCGCCCGTCAAAGCCGCGGCAGGGCGCGTCGCGACAGCAGTCAGACCAGTCAGCAAAGCCGGAGACCTCCCCCCCCATTGGACGTCATCATCACACGCGGCGCGCCTACAGCGTCCCCCCAGACCCCTCCGTCAGCCTGCTGACGTCGAACATCACGTCCGAGGGCGGCAGCGATCCATCCACCAGTGACGACAGCTGTCGTGACGCGCCGGCCCGCCTGCTGCCCAGGCTGCCGCTCCGAGGCCACGGCGTGTGCGGCAGCGCGGCGCGCCGCTGCGGGCCGCTCGCGGGCGTCGCGCCGGTGGCGCGCGAGCTGGCGCCACTGCTGTCAGCCCGGTAGAACATGGGGGGACTGTGGGGCGTCGCCGGGGGCGCGAGGGCGGGCTGGGAGCGCGAGACGTGCAGGTGGGGCTTTGCGAGGGCGGCGTAGATCCGCGGGTGCGGCGCCGAGACGGACCGCGGACACTGCCCCCGGGGCCAATAGACGTTGTTGTCGGGCCTGGGTCCGACCACGGAGAGCGCCATGCGCGCCTTGGCGCGCTCCGTCGGGAGGCTCCACAGCGACATGCGCGAGCTGGAGGACGCGCCGCCGGTCGACGCGCCGCCGGGCCGCACGCCGTTGTGGCGGGAAGGGCGGCGCGGGGCACGGTGTTGCGTGACGGGGCCGTCCGGCGGCCGCACGATGCCCAGGCTGCGCAGCTCCGCCTCGAGGACGCGGAGAATCTCGCAGAAGCGAGGGCGGGCCGCGGGGTCCTGCGCCCAGCACGCCTCGATCAGTCGACGGATGGGCGCCGGGCACGAGTCCGGGACCTGGTGGCGCCATCCCGTCGACATCCTGCGCGAACACGGCCGGAAGGGACCGCCTCGCTGGTGCGTGCGTGTGCATGCGTGCGCTTGCGGTAGCGATTGAGAATCATCCATGAAAACATAATCGGAAAGCCCGCGCACCTGTATATGACCTGAATGCCCTCGAGGACCCCGTACGGCTTGAGCCCCGTGAGCGCCTCCCAGAGGAGGATCCCGAAGCTGAACACGTCGCACTTCTCGTCGATCGGCTCGTCCGTGAAGATCTCCGGCGCCATATACTGCACAGACAACAAGCGGCGCGCGGGTGTGAGCGGGGGCGAAAAGAGCAGCGCGAGCGGGTGGAGCCGCGGGGGCCACAAAGCAACCCGACCTGCACGGTCCCGACGTGTACGTGCTGCGTCGACAGGTACGTGCGGTCCTTGAGCCGCGACACCCCGAAGTCCGCCACCTTCGCCCTCGCGCCCTCGAACAGCAGCACGTTGTGCGGCTTGAGGTCGCGGTGCACCACGTTCGGATGCAGCGACATCATCGCCTCGGCTACGTCGCACGCGACCACCAGTGCCTCGCCGTAGGGCAGCGCGCCGCTGCCGGACGGCCCGTGCAGGCGGGACGCGAGGCTGCCGCCCGTCGCGAGCTCCGCGACGACGAAGACCTGCGGCGGCCGGAAACACGCCCCCAGGAACTGCACGACGCGCGGGTGTCGTTTCTCCGTCGCGTTGACCAGGATCTCGACCTCACGCAGGAAGTCCAGGTATTCGCGCTGCGCGGGCTCGTAGATGCCGAACAGGACCTTGATCGCCACGGAGCGCCCGCGCCAGTGCCCGGCGTACACGCATCCGAACCCGCCCGACCCGAGGAGCTCGTTGTCGGTGAAAGACACCTCGCCCTCGTCGACCTCGACGCAGACCGGGTTGGCCATCAGGCGCTGCGCGATCGCGACGGCCTCGTGGCTGACGCCCGCGCCGCCCTCGCGGAGCACGGCAGCGAGCTGCGACGGAGCGCGCAGGGTGTCGCCCGTTGCGCAGTCACGAGACGGGGCGCTCGAGTCGTGGTGGCGCGAGGAGTGCCGGTGCGCGGTCGAGGTGGGCCGGGAGCCCGCGTACAGCGTGCCGTGGGTGCCGAAGGGGTCTCCGGGCCCAGAGGGGGGACTGGCCAGGCCGCGATGACGTGGCAGCGGGACGCCCCCACCCCGTGGAGAGGGGCCCCGGGACGACCACGGGCGCGGGCCGCGCGCGGAGCCGTCGAACTCGACTGCCGTGGAGTTCACTTCCGTCCTCAGAGCCTGGAGCCATCAAGACAACCACGAAGCTCAATTGGCATCTTATTCATGCAATTATATTTGATATTTGTTGATATTTGTTCCGTACTCGATGATGCAAACCATCGATTCAGCGTGATGAATCGACGCGCGACTGCCCTCACCTGTCTGTACTCGTCGCTGACGGGCGTTGCGGAGGCGCCTCTGTCCCCCGGAGCTGTCCCGATCCGCTGAGTCAGCTCGCGGTTGCGTCTGACAGCGCGAACGACGAGGATCCCCGCGCCGCCGAGCACGATGGCCAAGAAGACCGAGCCGACGACGTACACCCACGTGCTCACGACCGCGCGGCGTCCCTCAGCCGCCTCCTGCACCTCGGGCGCCCTGTCAGGCGCGCCAGTGGGCACGGCCGGCGGCAGCGGTCCCACGGGCGCAGGCAGCCCTGCAGCGGGGCCCGCCGGCTCGGCCCCCGGCGCGACCGCGCTGGGCGCTTCGGTCGTGCTCGGACCCAGCGGTAGATCTGCGACACACACACACCAGGACAAAAAGCAAACGACGTCTCAATCCACGGAACGCGATTCACCAATGACCTGCACCGACCTCACCGCACCGCATTTCATTGCATTGCAGCGAGGACGCATCCTCACCGAAGATTGGCTTCGCGGCCGGCAGCTGTTCGCCCCCCCGGTCCGCCGCCATTCCCGACTGCTTCGACACCAGGCGGATGTCGTCGAGCGCCAGCGCAGGCGCCAGGCCCGTGGGCTCGGAGATCGTGATGCGGTTCCAGCCGGACTCCAGCTGACTCGACGCGGCTGCGGCCGCTGCTGTCAGGTTGAGCGTCAACACGCTCCAGGAGGACTCGGCAATAGGTCCCAAAGCCGCGAGATGAATCGCAGTGACGCCCGCGCCGTCCGCGCAGTCCAGTGCGACCTGCGCGCACCGCACCGCCGCCTGGATCCGCCCGACGTCGCCGTCGCTCGCCGTGGCGTTGAACGACAGCGACAGGTACGCGTTTGCAAGCCGGGCGCCGCCGAGGATCGAGAACTGCAGCGTGTCGTGCCCGAAGGCCGGGCCGAACGGCTGCGACGCGCAGAGCGAGAGGCCGCCCTGCGGCGCGAGCTGCGCGCCGAGCGATGCTTCGCCGCTGTACACCTGCGCCACCCACTGGTCGACGACGGTGGCGCCCCACGAGCAGCTGCGCCACCCCGCGGCCAAAGCGTCGTCGAACACCGCGGTCGACGAGGCCTCCGCGCGCGGGCTCTCCGCTGCAGAGCATTCGAGCGAGGAAAACGGCTCGCATCATGCAAGGATAAGATTTGACAATTGGTATTATCAAAACAGTTGATAAACCAGGGATGTCCGAGCCGCGGCCGGCCTCGTGGCGCACGCAGTGCAAGCGGGAGCGTGCCTGACGTGATGTCCGCGACGATGGAGAGGTCGTCGAGCAGAAACATGGGCTGCAGGCCGAGGTTGTCTAAAAAGGAGATGCGGTTGAAACGGGCCGCGAGCGACGCCGGGGTGACCGACGCCAGCGGCACGACGACCTGCGTCCACTCGCTGCGGCTGACCGTGCCGTACTCGCTCAGCGGGCGCGCCCAGAAGGCAGACGGCGCCACGTCAGACTGGCTATACTCCCCCACCGTCGCGAACCCCCCCGGGGAGGGCACACCGATCCGCCGCGACGCCGCCGATGCGTTGACGGGCAGGTTCGTCGCGTTCGCCGCCGCGAAGGACTCCCGGGAGAGCACGAGCTGCACGGCAGCCAGCGCTGACGTGCCAACGACCCAGAAGCGGAGCGCCGACGTCGCCGCAGCCGCCTCGTCGCCCCGCATCGGCGCGTGATCCGCGCAGAAGCTCAGCGCGCCGCCCTCGAGAAGATTCGCCGCGACGGCGGCGTCGCCAGCGAATGTGTTGATCACCCACCCAGGACCCTGCACAAAGAACTGGCCCCTGCAAGGCATCGTCCGCCACAGCGGAGGCCGTGAGAAGACAGACGGAGCATTGCGAGGGGCTGCTGCTGCGCTGCGCGAACGACGAGGCCGATGATGTGTGCAGGCGGGAACAGCAGCGGCGGGCTGCGCACCGGTACGAGCAGTCATACCAGCCGGGGCCGAGTCTGTCGTCGTACACGACCTCGACGGTCTCGAAGACCGGCCCCTGCGTGAGGCTCTTCGGCGGGCCCGCGTCGATCTTGGCCCCGCAGCAGAGGTGCTGCCGGCAGCCGTCGAGAGTGCTGCGGCAGTCGACGCCCGGCTGGAACGTCGAGGAGTGCGTCTGCGCGGGAGCGCCGGAGAACGCATCGCTGTCGTCGGAAAGCAGGCGCGGGAGCCGGCGGGGAGGGGCGGCGTGCGTGGCGGAGGGGAGCACAACGGTGCACAGGTCGAGCGCGCACCTCGCAGCTGGCTCCGTTGACCGCGACGTTGTCGAGATCGAGCCGAGAAATAGTGTCGGAGGAGAGGAAGAAGGCCGATGACGTCCGGTCGACGATCTGGAAGCTGATCTGCGCCGACCCGCCCGGCGCGAGGGTGGCGGTGCTGCCCGTGTTCGCCACGTCGATCGTTCCGTCCGTCTCGTCGTCGTCGATCATGACGGCCCCCCTGATGTCCGTGATGCGCACGTCCTCGCTCGGGTACCCGAACGTAACAAGGAGGTTCGTCACCTTTTCAGCCTGTCTGTTGTTGGTCAAGGTGAGGATGCCTCTGGTGGACGCAACCCGCGACGTCTCGTTGGTCAGCACGTACTCCAGCCACAGCTCCTGGTCCTCGCACGGCGCGGAGAACACGGAGGACGTCTTGCGCGCCGCTGGCGGCACTTCGAACTCGCTAGGCACCACGGCTTCAGCAGCGGCCTCTGCCGCGCGCTCTGCCGCCCCATCGAGTGCTTGCGCAACCCACAGCGCAAGGCCTAGTATGAAGTATCCCAGAAGCACGGACGTGCGAGCTCGAAACATCACGTACGGAGCGCCACGTAGCGTTTGTAGGCCCTGAATCACGCCCTCCCGCGCCGGGCCGCATCAGGGCGCTTCGCGTCGCGGGCGCGGCCTGCCGACGCCACAGGAAGGCGTCCTGTCCTCGTCCGGCGCGCAAGGAGACGGAATTGCGCGGCCGGCGCGCCACACCATGCGCTTTGTAGATCCAGAGGGGGGCAAGACGGAGGCACGCGCGCCTGAATCCCCCGACCTGGAGCCGCTCTACCGCACACACTTCGCGAACACCACCGCCGCAACGCTCCTCATACGCACGGGGACTTGCTCGGGTTCGCGTCAGCCCGGGGGGGGGTAGTAACAACCAAGCACCGACTCGGTCCGACACCGCCACGCACAAATCATACCACGCGCACCGTCACCCGAACGCGTCGAAATTGCCGTACCCGCCCGTCTTCTGCTTCTTCTTCGCCGGCGCCGGCCCCGTCGGAATGTCCGCGACGGGCCCAGCTCCCACCGCCCCCGTTCCCGCCTTGGGGAGGTACCTCCCGACTCCCCCCCCGGCCGCCGCGGGGGCGTTGGCCTGCCCCGGGTTCGAGAACCACGCCCCGCGCTTGTCCGTGCGCGCCAGGTTGTCCTTCGCCGCCTTGTCCCTCGCCCGCTTTTCCTCCTCCTACGCAGCTCACAGGCGCACCGATGATGTTGTTGTTTGAGCTGCGTGACGAATGTGCGCGCGCTGGCCGGGCCGGCGTGCGCCGAGGCGGCCCGGGCGTGGAGCTGGGTGCGGACTCGCGACCAGGGCCTGGGAAGGGAGCGCAGATCGAGGATTCAGGTCTCGCACCTCGTCGAGCTCCTTGAATGGGTCCACGAAGATCTCGCAGCCGACGATGCGGATCGTTCGCTTCGGCTTGTCGTCGTTGTCCGTCTCCACGCGCTCCATCGCCGTCAGCGTCTCCATCCCGCCCACTACCTGCACTCCCCCACACAACAACACAACCCCCCCTCAGCCACCACTCGCGCACACGCACCCGCCACGCACCGCCACCGCCTCGCGCACCCCCGCGCCACTCACCTTGCCAAACACCGTGTGCTTGTTATCGAGGTGCGGCGCCGACTTGTACAGGATGAAAAACTGGCTGCCGTTGGTGTCGGGCCCCGAGTTGGCCATCGACAGCACGCCGCGGCCGTCGTGCGTGAGCCGCAGGTCGAACTCGTCCTCGAACGTCTCCCCGAAGATGGACTCCCCGCCCGTCCCCGTGCCCGTCGGGTCGCCCCCCTGAATCATGAAGTTGCGGATGCTGCGGTGGAACACGCAGTTGTCGTAGAACCCGACCTCCGCCAGCGCCATGAAGTTCTCGCACGTCTTCGGCACGATGTCCGCGTGCAGCTCCACGTTCAGGTCCCCCAGGTTCGTCATGATCCGCAGATACCTGCACACAAACAAACAAATACGAATATACGAACATACACGCGGCGCGTTCGTTCTCGCGCGCGAATGAAGCGGGATCGCCAGACACGTGTCCGCTGCTGCGCGTCTGTCCCAGAAAGGCCCTCAGGCGCGTCGTCGTCGTCGTTGTCGCTCACCCTTTCTTCCTCGGCCTGCGCTGCACGCGCACCATCTCGCGCTCGACCTTCGTGCTCCCCGTGAACGCCGTCGACGTGAACCCGCGCGCCATCGACCCCGTCGAGTGCTTCGCGGGCTCCATCTTGTGCAGCCCCGGTTTCTTCTCCCGCAGCAGCGCCTGCAGCTTGCTCTCGCCAGCGCGCTTAGCAGCGGTGCCAGCGCGCTCGTCCGTGTCCCACGTGAGCGCGCCGGGCTTCTTCCGCAGCACCACGTCCTCCCTGCGCGCACGCGGGAGCCCCTCGGATCAACACCACCCAATCAATCAACCCGCAATTAGGAAACCACGACTTCGGAAACGACGTCGACCGCACGTCTCCAGCGAAACGCGCCGCGCGGCCGCCGCTGACACATGCCACGCAGACAGCCAGCGACCGGGTTCGCGCGCCTCTCAGGCGCCCGCAGCCGCGGGTCCTGCGGCCCCCCTCGCGGGCGCCCGGCCGCGTCCAGCGTGGCCCTCGCGGCGTCCCGCGCCGCCGCCTTCTTCGCCGCGTCCTCCTCCCGCTTCCCGAGGTCGCCCATCATCCGCTTCAGGTCGTCGGAGGCCGCCCCCAAATTCACCCCCGCGGCCTTGTCCTCCGACACCCCCTCCCCCGCCGTCAGGTCGTTCTTGACGTGGTCGAACTGGTCGAGCGTCTGCGCGCGCAGCTTGGCCGGGTCCTGGAGGTGGATGATGTCCGAGCGCTTGAAGGGTTCGTCCGAGATCAGATCCCGCCAGTTCTTGGCCTTGATGTTCAGCTCGTCCAGCGCCGTCCAGCAGTACACGTTGCCCGAGGGCTTCACCGCCGCGATGTGCGTGTGCTCCGTGAAGACCTTGCCCGTGACCGGGCACGCGTACTCGCCGTCGCCGTTCTTGTGCCACGTGAGCCTGGAGGCACAACAACGCGCACGCAGGGGGGGTGTGTCAGGTTGCGTCGCGCGGACGTGTGCGGCGAGCCGCAGGAGGGGCGCTGGCGCCCTGGACGCGGTGCGCGGCCCGAGGGGGGCGCGAAGTTTCGGCGTGGCGGGTCGTGGCAGTGTTGGATGCACAGGAGCGTCGCTGGGCGGCACCTGGTGAGGTCTTTGAGCGCGAGAGGCTCCCCGGAGACGGGGTGCTTGCCGAACTTGTTGACGTAGGGCACGATGTTGACGATGTCGAAGCAGGTGCCGTCGGGCGCGCAGACTGCATCCTCGAAGGGGGAGAACGACAGCGCGCAGCAGTAGAACGGGAGGTTGCGGTACGGCAGGTTGGCCTTGCCCTTAAAGCCCCCATACGTCTCCCTCCACTCCGTCGCGCTGAGGTGCAGGCGGTCCTTTGCCGCGCGCTTCTTGCCCATTGTGTCCTGGCGCTGCTACAGGATGCGCCACCGCGGCGCGCAGCTACGCGTACTGCCGCGAAACTCCCTATGGACGAATCGACCCGAGATTGATGGCTCGTGCGCCGAAGTACAACCGGCAACGTGCGCGACGGTGCGCGTCTAGGGGGCGCGTTGTGTCCGGGGAAACAGCGGGGCGCACATGCGCTGGAACCGCTTCCGATACACAAGCGGCTGTCCTATCGGCAGACTCCTACAGTCCCCAAGGCTCCGCGTCGCAATCGCCCCACGCCGCCGCGTCCTCAGTCCGTCCCGGGTCCACGTCTCCCCCCCGCCATCAGGCTGCGTGTGCTGCGCCCACACGCGCCATGCCCCGCGGCTGGCGCCGCGCGGGCCCACTTCGCTCAAGCAGGGCCTTGTCGAGTCGGGAGGGCATCGTAGGACGCCGGGCGCCTGGCAGGCTCCTCCACAGCGTCACAAACACACGTCAAGTTGTTCGCCTGAAGCCGCGAGTCTAGCCGGGGGGGCCGCAGGCGGGGACCACGCGAGCGCAGTGGCCATGTCGTCGCACGTGATCGCGCTGGCCAACCAGGTCAGGCGCGGCATTCCGTCGCTGCTCCGGAAGGTGGAAGTCTCCAAGCAAAACGAGGTCACCCTCACCGCGAGCGGACCCTCCGCCGTGCTCAGCATCCTCCGGGTGAGTGCCTGGACCACGGTCCCTGCACGGGCGTGCTCGGGACGGCCTCGCGCGGCCGTGCGGGCCCGGGAGCGGCCGTTTCGTGGACCCACCTCCCTCGATGCCGCGCGGCGTGGTGTGCTGTGCAGTATCTGCGGGATGACGCGAACCTGCAGTTCAAGCAGCTGATGGACGTCTGCGGGGTGGACTACCCGGAGCGCGAGAACCGGTTCGACGTCGTGTACCACCTCCTGAGCGTCCACAATGCCCAGCGGTGCGTCCCGGCGCGCCTGTGCCGCCCCGGCGGCAGCGCGCGCACCCGCGCGCTCCGTACACGCGTGGACTGCGCGCGCCGCGCTTCCCCGGGCCTGCGCGCGCGCGGCTGGAGCGCCGGGAGCGAGTTGATGGACCTCGGGTGCCGGGCTTTCTCCGCGTGCCCTGGGCTGCGTGGGGCACGAGACGCCTCAGCGCCGTCACGCCGTGAACGTTGTATTTTATCCCGGACGCTGATCCGCAGGATACGGCTCAAGGTGGACGTGGACGAGCTCACGCCGGTCCCCTCTGCGGTGGAGCTCTTCCCTGCCGCGAACTGGTTCGAGCGCGAGGCCTGGGACATGTACGGCGTCCGGTTTTCGAACCACCCCGATCTGCGCCGCATCCTCACCGACTACGGCTTCACGGGCCACCCCCTGCGCAAGGACTTCCCGCTCTCAGGCACGCCGCAACCACCCCTCCTCCCGCACGCGCACCCAGCAGCCCCGCCCGCGCTCGCCCGCCCGCCACCGCCCCACGCACCCCCTCCATGCGCCCGCGGTCGCCGGAACGCCGCAAGCACGCCCGGGGCCGCCGCACGCCCGCCCAGAACCCCCTGCTGCCTCTCCCCGGCGCGCAGGGTACGAGGAGGTGCGGTTCGACGACACGGAGAAGCGCGTGGTGTACGAGCCGCTCGAGCTCGCGCAGCAGTACCGCGCGTTCAGCCTCACGTCGCCCTGGGACAGCCGGATGGACCCCAAGGTGGAGACGGAGCAGATCGGGCCCGACGGGAAGAAGATCGGGGAGCCGGAGCCGGCGCCCGCGGAACCACCGAAGTGACGCGCTGCTGCGCGCGGGCGCTCCACGCTGTGACAGACTCTGCACGAGGCGCGCGTCGCGACAAAGAAGCCGCTCCGCGCTGGGGGGGCGCGGTGTGGTGCGCGCGAGCGGCGCGCTGCGAGAGGCGTATGTTCGCGCCGGATCGGTGCGCGCGCGGCCAGGCAGCGTGGGTGAATCGCGTTGGTCTCGCGCACCAGCGGGGGACCTGTCGAATAGTCCCCCATGTTGACATCCCCCCTCCCTGGTAGGGCGGGCGTTCCGGACCAAGTGCCACCGTGAGCGGGGTCCGTCCATACTTTGCTTGGGTGTGCCTAGCTCGATTACTGCGTTTGCCACCAGTGCGATGGCATGTCGCGTCTCTCGTGGTCAGGATCACCGAGGCACCTGCACTGCTCGGGTACGCCGTTTTCCCGCAACTAAGCGATCGCGACAGGCTCGCAGAAAATGAGTTCGTCAGCCGCATTCATCTGTTGTGTTCACCGGCGCTCCGCGAGGCGGCCCTCGCTCGGGGGACCCGAACATCTGGCCCTCGCTCCTGTCGCCCAGAGTCGCCGCCTGCAGCCGCACCGGCGGGCGAACCGTGCTTCGCTCATATAAGTTCGTTGAGGCGAGCGGCCAGCTCACAGACAAACCCCTTCGCGTGTCCCGTTTTCGAGGCCAATATCAACTTCCTCGACCCGCTGCTCACCACCAGTGCGAAGTCGGCTCCCTCATCCCGCCCACCTCAACGTCCTGTCTCAGGGATGTCGCGCACGAACGACCCGCACCCCCGCCCACACCACCGGTGCGCGCAGCGTGCATCGTGAGCCTGCATCAACGGACCTGCCCCGGTGCGTGCAACGGAGCCCCTCATAGCCCCCGCACACCGCGTGCACGTGCTCACTACAGCTGGCAGCAGCATTCAAGCACCTCTTCAGCGTCCCACCGCTCTCCCCCTGGCCGTGCCGGCCGCGATAGCTTTCCGGCGAACGAACCGTCCGGTGCCCGCGCCCGTCGTGTGGGGCTCGTTTGCGGGCTGTTGCTGCTGGCGCCGTGCGTGCTACTGCCGCGTGCGTGGCCGCAAGGGGCCGGGCGTGACGGCGGGGCGCCGTCGCGTCCGCCGACGGTCACTTCCCAGCGTCGCCGGGCCATGCTCGCCGCAGAAGCGCTGCCGAGGCACCCTGGGCGGTTGCTTGGAGCGGCGGACACGTACCTGCTCTTCCAAGGAGGCGCGGAGGCCAGGTGGCTCGGCGCGGCCTTCCAGGACAGGCAGTTCGCGACCCCAACTGCCTACATCAGTGCCAACGGTACTGTTGCCCGCATCACGGCCCGGGGTGCGCCCAGCATGCCGCGCTCAGCGTGCTCGCGGCCCGTCCTCGGGGCCGAGGTCGGCAAGCCGCTCCGCTGCAAGGCGCTCGCGGAACCGAGCGCCCTGGGTGGTCGCAGCGCTTGTTGACGACGTCCTACATGCCGGGTGCCGAGCCTGGCGCACCGGGCATGCAGGACGCCGTGAGCAAGCGGTGCGCGCACCCGAGGTGCCGGGGGCGGCGTGCCCCTTGCAGTGGAGCGGCTGGCCGCCCTCCGTGCCGTGGACAGGCGCGCGGGTGCGGCCAGCATGCCGCGCAGGGCGTGCTCGCGGCCCGTCCTCGGGACGGAGGGCGGCAAGCCGCTGCGCTGCAAGGAGTACGCCGAGCCGCCACCCTGTGTGCGCGCACTTGCGGTTCCTGACGTCGACCATGCCAGCTGCTGCGCCTGGCAAAGGTTCTGCACGTCCGTCATGCCAGGCGCAGCAGCTGACATGGTCGACGTCAGGAACCGGGCTGCGCGCACACAGGGTGGCGGCCTGTGTGCGCGCAGCGCGGTTCCTGACGTCCACCATGCCTGCTGCTGCGCCTGGCATGGTGGACGTGCAGAACCTATGCCACCTTTGCGCCTGGCAAAGGTTCTACACGTCGACCATCCCCGGCTTGGCAGAAGGCATGGTCGACGTCAGGAACCGGCGTTGCACGCGCCTAGGGTGCCGGCTCGGCGTGGCTGTACCAGTGCGACGCACTGCTCTCACACACCCTCACCTCGACGTCAAACCCGCCACACGTCGAAACGTGGCCGCGCGAGTCGCGCCCGCTCGGACGCGCACGCACCACGCTGCGTCCGCGCGCAACTCCCCCCCCCGTCGCACCCCCGTCCCGATGCCCTCTAGCAGGGGACCCAGGAGGCGTCGCAAGAACGTCACAGAGGCGCATCATCCCACAGCTCGCGTCGTCCACAGTACCAGCGCGCTGAACGCTCAAGAACCCGGAGTAGCCGCGGTGCAACGGAACAGCGCCCACAAGCCCCTCTGTGATGTCATGTCAGATGGCCCCTCACTCGCGCCACGGCGCGCCCGCTACTCCTTCTTCTCCCCCGCCTCGCCCTCGCCCTCCCGCGCCGCCACCTGACTCAGGTAGTTGAAGTCCACCGCCCTCCCCAGGTCGCCCAGCTTGTCCTTGGCCTGACGCAGGTCCCTCTCGAGCTCCTGCGCCGGCGCCGACACCAGCCCGACGAGCTCCGCGAAGGGCTCCCTGTCGTCCTTGAGCAGCTGCAGCAGCCGCCCCGTCTGCACGTGGTCGAGGTACTGCGTCGGCTGCGGCAACCCCACGTCCCGGGGCTGGAGCCGCCGCGTGGCGTTCGGGCGCACGCGCCGCATCCCGGACTCGTGGTTCGGAGGCAGAACCATGTCGGGGTGCTGCGCGAGGACGGCGTCGTCGTCGAAGGGCGGGCTGCCCGCGGCGGGGCGCTTGGCGGAGCGCACCGGGCGCCCAGATGGCTCCCGGGGGGGGAGTGACGTGGCGAGGGACCTGCTTGCAGATACGGATGGGCTGTGTGATGTGTGTGTGAGGATTTGGCGCACCGAACCACGCCCGGGGGGCGCGTTGTACCGCAATCTCGCGGCGTGTGTTGCGCAAGCAGCTTGAGGGGGCTGGCGAGCCGGTGTGATCGATCAGCGGGGTGGATTGGCTCAGGACGGCGAGGAGGTGGCGTGAGGATGGCGTACCTGTCCTGCGACAGCGCGGAGGCGAGGCCCGCGGCCTCCCCGACCGCCGCGGAGAGGCGCGAGGGCAGAGCGCGGACGACGGCCGCTCGCATGGTGGCGAACGTGTGCTTCGGGTGTGTACTCGGGCGAGGAACTGTCCAGATGCGCCCGCTCGGCCTGGCCATGAGCGCTCGGGGGCGACGGGGAGCGCGCGGGGGAGTGTGCAGCACAGGCAGACAGGAAATGCGTCAGGTTGGCCTCCGGCAACGCACCGCGCCGTCACCGCCGCAGGTCGGCGGCGCCCCGCAGCACTCCCGGCGGCCAAACCAGCGACCTGAGCGTTCTGTTCGACGCGCCGTTCCTTGCAAACAGTGCCACTGTGCGGCAGGAAGACCCGGGAGGCCCGTTCCTTTGGCGTCAAGCGCTGGGATACTTCGGGCTTGCCTCTGTCTGTCCGTTCGCGGCGTTGGGAGGGCGCGGAGCGACAGACTGTGGGCCGTGGCGCCTCCGTGCACAGGCCAAGTGAACGGGCGGCGACGCGGAGCCTGCCGCGCGCGCTAAGCGCCCGTGCGGCCTCTAGCTCCTCACCTCAGGGAGTTCCGCACCATGATTCCTGACGCGTGAGGTTGCAGCGTGAGGTGCTAGAGCGCACGGAGCTCCCGCGGGGTGCATTTTGTGCACCGGCCTAGCAGGATGATCACAACGCGGGTAAGCACGACGTCAGAATCCGTACCTCGAGCCTCGAAGTCGCTTCTCAGCGCGATAACACGCCCCGCGAAGGGGCCTCGCGCTCCGTCGAGGCGTGCTCGTCCCCACCAGCTTCGCCTCCTCTCCGCGCCCGTACCGCGCGACACACGACTGCCGGCCGCCGCCGCCTGCACAAACACCATCATCACCCCACGTTCGCGCGCCGCTGCGCCGCGCGCGCCCGTCCCCGCGCCTGCACTGCCCCCCACAGGCATGCCGCTGCCTCTCCACCGCGCCGTCCCGCCGAGCGCCCGCAGGGCCCCAACGCGATCACGCGGCAGGAGGAGCTGCCGCCAATGCCGTCCCTGCGCAACGTCAGCTACGCGTTGCCGTCCGAGGGCCGCGCCCGCAGCAACGTCACCTCCTACGCAGGTGCGTGCCCCCTCTGTCCGCCCGCACGGCGCCCCCCCGACCCCGGCGCACGCGCACCACCTCGAACGCGACACTCCGCGCCCCCGCAGCCACCTTGGAGGAGGGCGGCGGCAGCGGGAATGATTTCATACCGCAGCTGTCGCGTCTACAAACGATGAAGAAGGATGTGTCGCGGGCGCTGACGCGCCGGCAGCGGCACCGCTCGATGCAGTCTGGCAACGAGTACGACAGCGTGGCCGCGTCGGACTGGGAGGAAGGTGCCGCGCCCGCCCACGCGCGTCCGCTGCGCACGCGAACCTGCGTCGACGCTCGCTGACTCACCGCTCGGCCCCCGTGCGCAGACGACGGCGACGACGGCTCCGACGTCGTCTCGCGGCACTCGCGCTCGCGCTCGCTCGCGCGGAGCCGCTACTCCTCGGGCCGCCGGCGCGCGTCCGAGTCCCGGCGCGCGGAGGGCGACGCGGCGCCGCGGCGCGACGACGACGAGGGCGAGAGCGCGCTGTGGTGGGAGGAGAACCGCCGCCCGCCGAACCCGCACGCCGAGCAGGTGCGCGAGGAGATCGCCGTGATGCTCGCGGGCGACGCAGAGTACCAGAAGAGGCTCGCGCCGAACCGGAGGGCGGACGAGCACGCCACGGAGCGGCTCGCGCGGCCGCACCGGCGGCAGGCGGCGAACCGCGACGCGGCGGTGTACGCGGAGCGCGGCGCGGAGGGGTGGGTGCGGTGGAAGACGAAACGGGCTCCGGGGGCGCCGCTGGGGCCGATGGCGACGAAGGAGGTGCGCGACGCGATGGTGCGGGCGCGGCCGAAGGTGCGCGTCGGGCTGCGGCCGGCGACGCTCGACGGGCTCGCGCACGCGCACGGCGGCACGTACGCGCAGTGCGGGCGGTCGGGGGCGCCGCTCGAGCCGGTGCGGGCGTCGTCGGGGACGCAGAAGAAGCAGCAGAGGGCCCCGGACGCCGCGGCCGAGCTCCTGCCGACGATGTCGCCGCGGAGGAAGCCGCTGGCGCTGCCCACGACGCGGGCACACACGGAAGAGTGCGTGCCACACCCCCCCCCCTGTTTCGGCTTGCTGCGTGGCTCCCGGCGCGCGCAGGTCGCTCACACGCCACGCTTGCGTCCGGGACGTCGCAGGTTCGAGACCTGGCGGGCGCTGCGGGACCTGGAGCTGCAAGAGAAGCAGGCGGCGAAGCAGGAGTCCGAGCGGCAGCGGCGCGTGCTCGCGAAGGCGTACACGGCGCACGTGACGAGCAGGGCGTCGGACAAGCTCGCGGAGTACGCCGAGCGGCGGCGGGCGCAGTTGGAGCGCGGCAAGCAGCTGCGCCAGCAGCGGACGAGCCATTTCAACCTCACGAACGGCGGCGTGGTGACGCGCGCGCAGGGACCCGGCGAGCGCGCTCCGGGGGCCACGGGCCGCGGCGCGACGACCAAGCTGATGACCACGCGGCTGGGATGACGACGATGATGTGACGTGCGTGGGCGGTATAGTGGTGTTGACGCAGCGGCGTGCGTCGCGCCTGCTGGGCCGCGGACTGGCGTGGTGTGCTGCGCGATGTGCCGCTGGCGGACGCGTGAGGCTTGCGCAGGCGGTGCCGCTGCCACTGCATGCGCAGGCTCAAGCGACGCAGGCGCCTCTGCCGCGGCTGTGGCGTCTGCGAGACGATCGCGGCGGCTGCGGCCGGTGTCGCGGGAGGACGCGGTGGCATCTGCGCGCGACGGTGCCGGGCTGGCGGCGCGCGCGTTCACGCCACTGCGACCACCGTGGCGTCGAGCAGCACGCCATGCGGGCGTCCAGGGGCAGGCCGCCGCGACGTGACGAGGCGTTGCCGGCGCTGGTGCCAAGGCGGCACGCGTGCGCCGCTGCGGCTCGAGGCCGCGAGCGAGTGATGAGACCTCGAATTGAGCTGCCACGTTGCACATGAGTCTTCATTGGAGGTGCGGCAGACGCGGGTGGGGGCGCTTCTGCCGCTTTCGTTGCGCTCAGCGCCGAGTATATGCTTTACCCGCCTGGTGGGCGCGGCCAGAGCCGTGTTCGGTCCGCATCGATCGGACAGCGGCCGAAAAACGTTCCACGTTTTCCACCAGCGGGGCTCCCCCGGTTCCCCGCGTGGCTGCCGGGGACCCGCAGGGCCGCGTCGCCGCTTGTCGCGGCCACTTCGGCATTCGAAGGACGCTCCGCCCACAGTCTTAGCCTGAGCGGTCCGCGGCGCCCGGCCACGCTACGCGCCAAGGACGCACCCACATCACTGCAGCGTGCGGGGCGCGCAGCGCAGCAGGCGGCTCGCGTCCGCGCGGAAGGGCTTGTCCGTGAGCGGAAGAGTCCCGCGGGCACAGGCAGGATGATCACGAACCGCAACATGTTCCTGGACGAGGACCAGAGCCTGCCAGTGGAAACGCTGCCCGCCGGCCAGGGATACCCCAAAGCCTACTCCCGCGGCAACTCGAACGCTTCGGGCGCCTACCCCGAGCCCGTGCGGCCAGGCACCGGCGTCGCGTCCTCCACGGTGCGCGCTGCCACCCCTGTACTAACACCAAGCGGACGTTCGAACTTCCCCGCTCGCTGCCGGCCTCCGGCGCCCCGCTGGCCCGGCAGCGCCCTCCTCCCGGCGCATCCCGACCGCGCGCCCCTGCCCGCGCGGCGCCCCGCGGCCCCTACCGCGCAGTTGCGCGGCCTGGCCTGCAAGCTCGGCACGCGGGCTCTGGCGCCGCGTTCGAGCGCGTGCTTCGCTTTCCGACGCGTCTCACACGCGGTCCTGCCCTATTCCCGCAGTCGTACGGCGCGTCGCAGTACCGCGGGCAGGCACCCCGCGCGGGGCCGATGCCCAACCAGCGCCCGATGACTAGCGGAGGTGCTCCGCTCGGCGGGCGCACGCTGGCGAACCAGCAGTCCCTCAACAACCGCATGCAGCCGCAGTACACCGGAGGCGACGTCCTCGGCGGCGAGGGCGACGATTCGTCCGCGCCGCTCTCGTCGATGACTGCAGGCAAGTGTGCTGTGCTCACCCTGCACCCCACGCCGGGTGCCGCGCGGCCCTCCGCCCACGCGCGCCCGCGCTTGATTTTCCAGGCTCCCTGCCACTTCCGCCACAGCCCACGGTGCTCGGCCGCGGCGTTCCGCGGCCCCCGTCCCGCACCTGCCCGCGCGGCCAGGCAGGGATGGTTTGACGGCACCCGCCGCGCGTCGACGCCGCGCGCCGGGCGCCCCGGCCGCCGCGAGCGCGCCCTCCTCGGCACTCCCGAGGCACCCGCCCCGCCGCGAGCCGCCTCCCCGGGGCACACCGCGTCGCTGGCGCGCGTGCCGAGAGTTGCCACGACCACCTGCCCCGCGCGCGCCCGGCCGCCGCCCCGTGCGCCTGAAACCGCCCGTCCCTCGTCCCTCGCGCCTCGTTCGCCCGCCTCGCGGCGCCTCCGCGCCCGCAACCGCCGCCACGCCCGCCTCGCGCCCCCGCAACACATGCAAGTCCCACCCCCGGACAATCCTCGCCCACGCGCCCGCTCCTGCGTCCTCCGCCCCCGCAGCCGAGCGTATGAAGCGCCAGAAGCACCTCGCGGCCCAGAAGCGCTCGATGCGCCTGATGGGCTCGCTGGCCACCTCCAACCCCGCGCCGCGCCAGGGCGGCCTCGTCCCGCGGCCCCCCTCGGGCTCCCCGGGCTCCGTGCCGCTCCCGCACCACCAGGCCCCCGCGTCGCCCCCCGGCGCCGACGGCCAGCCGTACGGCCGCGTGACGCCCGACGGGCACCTGGAGGGCGCCCAGGACCCCGTGCCGTGGGCGACGGCGCCCGGGATGCAGCGGCAGCCGACGCCGCCGCAGGGCTACGTCGCGCCGCCTTCCCCGCAGCAGTACGTGCAGCCGCAGGCCCCGCCGACGCCGCCGCAGGCCGAGGTGCTGCACGTGCAGAACGGCATCCAGCAGCTCTCGCTGGCGCAGGACGCGCCGCCGCAGCAGGCGCCCGTGATGCAGGAGGCCGGCCTCGTCGACATCCAGCAGCCCGCGCCGCAGCAGATCGGCCCCGGCGGCGTGCCGTACACCAACGTGCTGTCCAACCCCGCGTACAACGCCGAGTCGTCCGCGGCGTCGCCGGCGGCGGCGGCGGGCGCGGCGCCGGCGTCCCCGGGCGGCGCGGTGCTGCAGCGCGGCAACTCGAGCGTCGTGGCCAAGCCGACGGCGCCGGCGACGCCGCAGGGCGCGCGGCGGTCGGACGACGCGGCGAGCGAGGACGGCGAGGACGGGACGCACCAGGTGGTCGCGGGGGGCGCGCCGGAGGGCGCGGCGCCCGCGGCGAACACGGTCGTGCGTCCGCGGATAAAGGACACGGTGGCGTTTCTGGACTCGCCCGCGCCGGCGGACTCGATCGTGCAGTGCTACATCATGCGCGAGAAGGTCGGGAAGCAGGTGGTGTACAAGCTGTACCTGAACGAGGACGACGGGTTCCTCCTCGCCGCGACGAAGCGCAAGCACAACCGCACGAGCAACTACCTGGTGTCGCTGGACGAGGACAACATGAACCGCGACAGCAAGGCCTTCTTCGGGAAGCTGCGGAGCAACTTCGTGGGCACGGAGTTCACGATCTACGACCACGGCATCAACCCGAAGAAGGCGCACAAGGAGTCGGGCGCCGAGGTGCGCTGCGAGCTCGGCGCCGTCATGTACCAGGCCAACATCCTCGGCACCAAGGGCCCGCGGAAGATGTCGGTCGTCATCCCCGTCGTCAACCAGGAGGGCCACCGCGTCGAGTTCCGCCCGCTCTCGGACAAGGACAGCATCCTCTCGCTGCTCAAGGACCGCTCGCGCCTGCGCGACATGATCCTGCTGAAGAACAAGAGCCCCAAGTGGAACGACGCGCTCGGGGCGTACTGCCTGAACTTCAACGGCCGCGTGACGCACGCGTCGATCAAGAACTTCCAGCTCATCTCGGACGACGACCCCGAGTACGTCGTCCTGCAGTTCGGCAAGGTCGGGCGCGACGCCTTCACCATGGACTACCGCTGGCCGATGTCCGCGCTGCAGGCCTTCTCGATCTGCCTGTCGTCGTTCGACTCGAAGCTCGCGTGCGAGTGAGCGCGCGGCCAAGCAGTTGCGGGCAAGCAGTTGCGCTTGCCGCAGACGGGGGGACCCGGGCTTGTGTCCCCCGAGTGATGTGAGTTGCTGATGATTAGGCGGTGCGGTGCGGAGCGGAGCGCCGCCTGTCGCGGACAGGGCAGCATCACCACTGCGACGGTGAGGGTGCTTGTAGGTCAGCGAAGAACTACTGCTGTTTTTTTGTGCGGCGGTGCCGCGAATTGCTGCCCCGTCGGACGGCCGGCGGTGCGTGGCGGCCCAGCTGCGGCCCCGCGCCGTGCCGTTCGGTCTCACCGCGTCCGACTGAGCCAACGAACCCCCCCCTTGGAGTCGAGGTGATGCGGGGCTGCTTTCGAGGACGCTCCTCGCCCTGTTGGAATCGCGATCACATCCACGGCAGCGCTCGGCGCTGTCCCTCCCGAGGCTGTCCGTGCGTTTCTGCTCCCCCGCGCCGCGATCGATGGCCGCGCAAATCACGCGTGGAAGCTACTGGTGCTCACGCTTGATGTCGACCCACTTGACCATCTTCAGGACCTCGGACTTGCGCCGAATGTACATGCGCGTGTCCTTCTCCTTCAGCTTCTTCATCCCGGGGGGCACCGCGTACTTGCGAGCCCTGGCAAACCTGCAGCAGAAGAAAAACACATGCGGCGACTCGTAGGGCCCCGCAACGCCTTGCACGGACGCGCGAAACTATCTGTCGCGTGCTGAACATGGTCGTGCTGGACCGGGAGGGCGTCTCGGGCGCTCACTTGTCGAGGCGCTCGCCCTGAACAAAGGTCCGCAGTGCATTGATCGCCTTGTCAACAGGCTGGCCGGGCTCGACCGGTATCGACACCTTGCTCCTGCACAATCAAGCGAAGATGCAGGAGAGTCTCGAACGCAGGGGTTCGCGCCGTCCTTTGAGCGCAACAGCCTGCACAGCAGCGGCGCCCATCAGGGTCGCACCTCCGCTGCTCAGAGTGGGCCACCGCCGCATCCAACTGCGCCTGGGACCGGCTCCCCGTCCACGACACTAGCGGCTCGAGGGTACCGCGCAGGCATCTAGCTACAGAGGTGGTGGCGCTGCGAAGGGAAGCCATCCTGTGCCCTTGCCGCTCTCGCTGTCTCCGCCTCAGACACGCCCGGCGTAACGAGGGGCTTCCCGGGTGCTAGAGACCGGCGGCACGCTGTAATGGCGCCTACGACGATTGGCAGAGGTGTCAGTGCGACCCAGACAGCCCACAAGGCACTCGTTACCCTCACGGCCGATTCAATCGACCCACAAACTGCGCTCGCGGTGGAAACGAACCTCTGTGACACGCAGGAGTGCCCCGCGCCCCCGGTAGCCCGCGCGACGCGCTGACGTGAGCGTCGCCGGAACACCCCAAGTCCTCTGGACAGGACCCTCCGAGCCGCCTGGGACAGACCAGGAGCCTCGCCGCGGCTGATGTGCCGGCGCCGCGGGGGCGCAGCGGCAGAAGGAACCGCCCTGAACGGACGGCTGTGTATTAGGTGTTCGTACACGTTCGTGCGTGTCGCTGCCAGCCACCCATTGGGGTTCCCCGGTCCCGACAGCGTCCAGGTCGCAGGAGACGGTCCCCGGACGCGTCTAGCGCGCAGCAACCATCTTCATCCTCCGCGCGATGCGCACGCGCCTGCTTGGCGGAGCCCGCGCGCCGAGCGCCGCGGAGGCCCGGCGCACGGGGCCAGCACGGGAGGCGGCCCCGCGCCCGGCCGCGCGGCAGCCCGGCCATGACGCCCGGCGAGGCATGACGCAGGTGGCGCACGCCGCGACCACCCGCCGGACCGTGGACGCCGCCCTGCGCGACGCCACGACGATCAAAGACATCAGGTGCGCTCAGCAGGCCTCGCGCCGCACGCACGCACCGCCCGCGCCGACCCACGCCGCCGCAGCGCCCGCACCGTCGCACACGATCCCAAGCACACCGAATTGTCCGCCGATGCTCCTGGTCACGGCCGCCGCACCTCGATCGACGCACTTGCCCAAGCTGGACCGCGCAATCCCTAGTTGGCGCCGTGCGGCCATAAGAGAGACTTTCCCGCCCTCCGCGTGCAGCGAGCTGCGCGGTCTGTCCGGGAAGGTCGACTCCTCGACGTACGACATCGACGACATCGACCTGCGCGACGTGACGGACGTGTCGTACGTGTCGCGGCGGCGCATGGACGACGCGACGTTCGACCCGAACGCGACGGACGAGGAGGGCCTCCCGCTCGTGTACAACGAGGACAAGATCGCCAACTACTGGAAGGGGCGCCCTGGCGAGCTCGCGTCGCGCTGGACGCGCTTCGGCGCCATCTCGGCGCCGTGGCTCACGTCCCTCGCCAACGCCTTCATCCAGGGCAAGCTCGAGGAGCGCCAGGCGCAGATCGCCGCGGACGCCGTCTCCAACCTCGAGAAGCTCGGTCCCACGTTCATCAAGCTGGGCCAGATCCTGTCGATCCGCCCGGACGTGCTCCCGCCGCCGGTGATGAAGGAGCTCGCGAAGCTCCAGGACGGCCTGCAGACGTTTCCGACCGACGAGGCGCGGCGCGTGATCGAGCAGGAGCTCGGGCGGCCCGTCGACGAGGTCTTCAGCGAGTTCAGTGCCGAGCCCGTCGGCGCGGCATCGCTCGCGCAGGTGTACCGGGCGCGCATCCGCGAGACGGGGCAGGAGGTCGCGGTCAAGGTGCAGCGGCCCGGCGCGCTGTCGACGATCAGCAAGGACCTGTACGTCATGCGGCGCGCGGTCGGGACGTACGAGGGGCTGGTGAAGCGGTTCTCCGCGCAGCAGACCGACTACCAGGAGCTCCTGTCGACCTTCGCGGAGGGGCTGTACACGGAGATGGACTTCCGGAACGAGGCGCTCAACGCGATGCGCATGAAGCAGGTGCTGGAGGAGTCGGAGTTTGCGTCGAACGAGCTGGTGATCCCGCAGCCGGTGCTGGAGCTGACGACGCGGCGCGTGCACACGATGGAGTGGATCACGGGCGTGAAGCTCGTCGGGCTCGACCCCGCGGAGGTCCGCTCGCTCGTCAAGGTCGGGCAGGAGGCCTTCCTGACTCAGCTCCTCGAGGTGGGGTTCTTCCACGGAGACCCCCACCCGGGCAACCTGCTGAAGATCACCGAGGGGCCCGAGGCCGGGAAGCTCGCGCTGCTCGACTTCGGGCTCGTCGCGGAGATCCCGGCGCGCGACCGCGAGGCCATGGTGTCGGCCACCATCCACCTCGCCAACCGCGACTGGGACCAGCTCGTGACGGACTTCGTCGCGCTGGGCTTCCTCCCGCCCGACGCGGACCGCGGGCTCATCATCCCCGTGATGGAGCGCGTCCTCTCGCCGTACCTCCGCGGCGGCGGCGCCAAGTCGTTCAACTTCCAGGCACTGAGCCAGGACCTGCTGGCCGCGACGCTCGAGATCCCGTTCTCCGTGCCGCCGTACATGTCGCTGCTCGCGCGCTCGATCGCGACGCTCGAGGGCATCGCGCTCGTCGGGGACCCTAACTACCAGATGGTGGCGCAGGCCTACCCCTTCGTGGTGCGCAAGCTGCTGCGGAACGACTCGAACCGCACGGGCGCGATCCTGCGGGAGATCCTGTACGACGGCGAGGGGCGCATCAAGACCACGCGGCTGTCGTCGATGCTCAACGCCGCGCTGGGCTTTGTCGCCGACGAGGTCGACGGGTTCGTGGACTTTGACGCCGTGCCCGACGACGGCGCGTCGCTCGCCGACGTGCTCAAGTTCCTCCTCTCAGGTGCGCACCCGCTGACTTACGCGCGCACGCCTGCCCGAACGCTATGTCAGAAGACCCCTCAAATGCGTCGTTGTCAACACCCGAAACCACCGTTTCCCGTTCCCTGCTCGCTCGGTTCCCGCAGAGGAAGCGCGCGACCTCCGCCCGCTGCTCACCGCCGAGCTCGCGTCCGGCATCGACCTCTTCCTGCGCGACCGCGGACGCCGCGCCTTCTCCCTCCTCCCGACCCTCGCGCCGCGCCTGCCCTTCATCGGCGCGCTCCCGCAGCCCCCGCCGCCGCCGCTCCCCGTCCCGGGCCTCGGCCTCGTCCCCGCGGAGCGCGCCGTCGACATGTTCTGCCCCAAGCTCGACGCGTCGGAGGAGATTTACCTCCAGAGCTACGTGGACCTGGCGGCGACGCTGCTCGGCGTCGACGTGGGCGACCTCGAGGCGGTCGTGCCGCCGCCGGACGCGGTCGCGCGGCTGCTGTTCTCGCCGTCGGAGCAGGCGCAGGAGCTGCAGCAGGCGCTGCTGGACGTGGTGGGGTCGGGGCAGGACTCGCGGGAGGCGGCGGTGGCGCAGGGGATCGCGGAGGACGTGATCGAGGAGCTGATGGGCCGCGCCGCGGACCGCGCGGGGGTGAGCGTGGAGACGCTGTTCCCGTTCTTGCCCGCGGGGGGCATCCGTAGGGAGACGGGCGGCGCGGCGGCGCGGCCGACGAACGGGGCTGCGCGGAACGGGAGCCGCAGCGGACGTGCGCGGGCGTCGTCGAACGGCAACGGCAACGGCGCCTCGTACAGCAACGGGAACGGGAACGGGAACGGGAACGGCAACGGCGCGTCGTACAGCAACGGCAACGGGAACGGTGCTGTGTACGCGGGTGCCGGGGCCGCGATGACGTCGGACGCGAGCGACGTGCACAAGAACACTGTGGTGATGCGCGAGTTGTAGGGTCGTACGTCCCGAGTTTTGTACTTTCGGTATTACCTAATAGGGTAGTTTTTTGACGAGGCATGTGACTGCTGTGCAAGATTGACGCAGAGGTGCCGCGCGGGCAACAGCATGCGGGAGGACCTGGCGGCGCCACACGACACGTATCGCCTGATGCAAGGATCGCGTCGGCCCGAGCGATTTAGAGTTGATCTGATCGAAACAATTCAACCCTCGTTCTCGTGGAGCCGAGCTCGTTCTATCGCCACGATGCCCCGCAACGTGCCTCCTCTCCCGACCGTCCTTCTCATCGCACTCGTCTGCGCCGCAACGGCCGCAGGTACGAAACGCGCGATGCGATGCGCCGCGTCGTCGAGTGATTGCGCGATCGCTTGATTCCTGCGTCGAGCCGACCGCCTCTCGCAGGATCGCGGGAGAGCTTTGGCGCGCACGGCTCTTCTGACGCGAGCACGATCCCGCCCGCGGGCGCGGCGTGCGAGCGTCCGGCGCCGCAGTATCCGCTTTACAACCAACTGAGATGCGCTGACGTGTCATGCGCCGGCACGTGCGTCGACAAGCCCTGGGGCCTCGAATGTACCGCCGAACGCACGGTACGACGCCCGACTCCGCATGCGGCGCCTTGCCGCGCGCTCGCGCCGCGATGATTCTTCCCCACTGTTGCTGTTTGCCATGTCTCGCCCTGCCAGCGCTCTCTCTCGTGCGTCGTCCCTCGCACCGCCGACGAGCACCTTGACGGGGATGCCGCATCCGTGCGCGGATGCGTTCCCACGGTGTTGCAGAACGAGCATTCATTCAAGCAGAAGACGTACTGCCTGTGCGTGACGATGCAAGAGTTCGACTCCGAGTCGGACGCGGATCCCTGAAGCCCACGACGACTTGGCGGGGCGGCCGTCGCCCGGACCACGATCAGATAATCTCCACGCCCGCTCCATCGGCAAAACAAACTGCATGTCCACAACAACCTCACCAAAGGCGATGACAAGATAGGCGCAGTGAGCGTCGGCTCCCCCCGTTGCCTGGAAGTCGCTTTGTGTGGCACCGTGTCGTTCGCGGAGGGTCCGCCTCCCCGAACGGGTCGCCATGTGACGACGTTTGTGGTACACATGGTGGTCGCCATGCTGGAGCTGCAGCGGCGCCTGGGGTCGGACGTTGGTCCTGCGCGGCTGAATGTCGAGCCAGACAAAGAACCACCACTTCGACTTGACCTTGGATCACGAAAACACTCGCTGTTGTGCGGGAGGACGAACACCGCACCGATTTTCCAACTCACTCAGTTCTGCGGCCTCGTTCGCGGATTTCCGGACGTTCTCGGCCCAACATGCAGAAAAAGTACCTTTTCGTACTCCTGTGCGCTGTACTCGCTGCCGCTGCGGGCTCAGCGGCGGCCGCAGACGACGGTACGCGGCCGCGAACTGCAACGCTGCAATGGCTCCGCTCCCCGCCTGCTCTCTCTCCACACCTCGCGAACTCCCCTTTCCTCGCGCACAGACGCAGCTCCGGAGCTCCTTTCGCGGCCCGAGGTCTACCCGCCGCCGGAAATCAAGCCATACCCGCGCCCTCCTCCCTACGACCTTCCAACGCTGACCTGCGCGAACGTCCGGTGCGCCGGCCCCTGCATCGACACCCCCTGGGGCCCGCGCTGCAGCGCCCCGCCGCCGCCGCCACCGGGGCCCACGTGCAAGATGCTCTGCCCGCCTGGCGAGGAGTGTCGGCGCGGCAAGTGCAAGAAGGTGCGCAGCTCCGCGCCGCAGTCGGCAAGAGCCCTCTGCCGCCCACAGCGCCTCCGCACAGATAGCCTCGTCCAGCGGCGAGCGCCCCCGCGCCCCCGCGCGCCCGTGTGTCTCGCAGATCAAGCCGCCAAAGGACATGTGCGCGACGATGCTGTGCGCGCCTGGTTACGTCTGCAAGAAGAGCCGCTGCGTGCCGCGCGGCAGGCCGTCGTACGACCCTTGCCTGTACACCAAGTGCTCGGAGGGCTACAAGTGCGTGTGGGGGACGTGCAAGCCTGACGTCAGCAGGCCGCCGATCACGCCGAAACCGCGCCCGACGTGCAGCCCGTGCCCGCCTGGCGCTTACTGCATCGCGCTGTGCTGAGCACCGGGCGAGGCCGGGCCTGGACGGCGCGCCAGGCGCAACTGACACGGCGTCCTCCTGCGAGCTGCATGCCACGGACGGAACGGTTGTAACCTGCATTGGACGAGGCGCGCGATGCCTGAGCCGCCGTTCCGCCGTTTCGCGCAAGATCGCGCGCTCGTGGTCGTCGCGGCGCCCCCGCTGAGTCATGTGCACTGGCACACCCCTCTCCGTGCGAACGGCGCTCACGCTGGCCGCAGAATGCATCGCCGACGGTCCGCACGCCCTCGACATACACGCAATCGCGTGCAGGACGTGTTTTTATCCGCGCTCGACCCCTCACGAGGCTCGTTTCGTGGGCAGAAAGGCCAGGGTGCCCACGCGGCCCGCACCGCGCGCGGCCCGTGGTCCTTCGGCCGCGCCCTCCTGCTCGCGATGTCGTCCGACTTCATCGCGAGTTTGCGGCCCGGCGACTGGATACGTCTGCGGTGCACCAAGAAGAAGGGTTTCTTCGCATTCCAGCACCACGGCATCGTCACCGAAGTGCCTGCGCCCGACGCGCGGCGAATCTTGGTCGTCCACTTCACCACGCCACCCGGGGAGTCGAAAGACGCACCGCAGCGCATCGTGGAGACCACGTTGGCCGAGTTCCTGCGCGGCGGGAGCCTGCCGGAGGTGCTGCGGGACAAAGAGCGAGCCTTCTCGCCCGAGGACGTCGTCAGACGCGCGCGCTCGTGCGTCGGGAGGCGAGCGCAGCAGTCAAACGACGCGGACGAGACGAAGGAGGAGGAAGAGAAGGCCTACGATCTCATTGGCAGGAACTGCGAACATTTCTGCAGTTACGTCTACTCGGGCGAGGCATGTTCCGAACAGGTGCGTTCCGGACGCGCGGCCGCGTCGAGGGCTTGCTGCTGCGCTTGCGTGCGTGTGCGGCGGCGACGTGCGCGCGCGAACGCGACGCGATGCGACCTTCTTTCGCCGCGTGTCGCTGCGCAGGTACACAGCTTCGGGGACGGCCTGCTCCGCGCGGGCGGCTGGACGACGCTGGTGAACCCGCTGCTCGGCGGCATCCTGGCCCTGGGCGGGGCGATCCTCAAGGCCGAGAGCAAGAAGTCCTGGCACGCGTAACGTGACGCCGCGCCACGACCCACAGCCACGGTGCGGGCGCCCCGGACCGCTGCCGAGGTCGGGCCTCGCGCACACGCGGCGCCAAGCCCTCACACGCGTACGAGGGGCTGAGCGTCAAGCGTCACCCTCGCGCTAGGCACCCAAAGTGGTTCTGCATGTCTGGTTGCCCAATCGAATGTTTGCTCGCACGCCGGCCCGCCGGATCGCGCACGACGTTGCGGAGATCCACGGCGCAGGTCCTCGCCACCATCGATGTGATTTCGCGCAGTCCCCCGCCGTCGCCGCGCACCCTCTGCGCAATCCCAGTCCGAGGTCCGGCGGCGCGGTCTTCCCATCTGTTGTGCCCGCGTCGCAGCGGGCCCGCATCCGTCCGGCGGCCTCGCCAGCGCCGCGTCCCCGTTCGGCGCGGCTACTGGTTCCCTTCATTGCGCCAGCGCTTGACATCCTCCCACCCGCGCACCCACTCGGCGCCGCGCGCGGCCCGCGTGGCGGGGTCGTGCTTGCTGAGGTCCGCGTCGACCTCGGCCTTGATGCGCTTGAACACGCGGTTGTGCAGCACGTCCTGCGGCGCTGGGGACTGACTGCTCAGCCACTTCCACAGGTCCGGGTTTTCCTCCGCGAGCAGGTTCTCCATGTCGATCAGCTCGTCCTCTGCGACCAGCGCGGCGGGCGCGCGCGTCCACTCCAGCGCACGGCGGTGGGTCGATGTCGCAACAACGCAGCTGCGATCGGTGCCTTTGCGTGACAGCGACGTCGCGGGGCGGCTGCCCGCGTGCGGCACTGCCGATGAGACATGGCGAGGGAAGGTCCGCGTTGAGAAACGCCGCGAAAGGTGCTCCAGCGGGGCGCCGGGCGCCGCTCGCCACGCACCTGGCAACTCGTCCAGGTTGCGCTCGGCCCACTTGCCCACGAGGAGGTCGAGCTCGAGGAACCCGCGCTGCTTACTGCGGTACAGCATCCTCCCGATCCGCTTCTTGCGCTCCTCCGCGTCCCCGGCCGTGCTGCTGTGCAGCTGCGCGCTGGCGTGCAGGGTTTCCCGGCCCACGCGCGGCGCAGACGCTCCGAACAGAGGCGCGGGGCCCGCGCGCGCACAGAACGTTGCGCAGCGCTGCGCGAGCGACTGCGCGCCGGCCTCCACCGCTCCCGCAGCGCAGGTGGACGCAGGGACCCTCTGCGGCCACAGGGCCGCGCACCGCAGCAGCCCGGCGTAGCGTGACGCGCTCATCGCACACAGGGCGCTCTCTAACAATGTTGAGCCTGGCGCGAAGCCGGAGCGCACTTGTGGCGGTGCCAGGCGCCGCAGGGGCCCGAAGTGGTCGCGGAGTCTCCCACATGAGGTCGCACTCGAGACCTCGAGACTGTCCCCCCACCAACAACTCTCGACTGGACCGTCTGGTCTGCACCGCGCGGCAGCGCACGCAGCCCGGCACGCCGCGTCGCCGCACACCTCCGCACAGTCACCGGCGACCGCAGCGCGCCCGCACACGCGACCCCACGCACACGGGGGGGGAGTAACAATGACGACGTCACGCCACCACGGCACTCACAGACAGCGCGGTAGCGCCACCCTAGTACGCGAGCGTGTCTCGGCACAGGTGCCGCTTCAGCAGCGGCTCCTCGAGCCTCGTCCGCCGGTACCGCATCCACAGCCAGCGGCCCACGTGCCACGGCGGGATCGCCGCCGTCGTCCGCACACTCACCGCGCGCAGCGCCGCGACCGCGGCCGCCCGGAACGCCGTCTCCTTCTCGCCCTGCGGCACGAGCTGCTCCGCCTCGATCGCCGCGGCCAGCTCCGGGCACGGCCGCAGCACCCCACGTGCGGCGAGGACGGCGGGAATCAGATTGCCCACTGGGCCTGACAGCTGGTTCACGTCCGGGAAGTCGAACCGCTCGTCCTCCTCCCGGAACCTGCACCGGCACTCCCGCACGCCCAGCTCGTCGCTCGCCTCGACGCAAAAGCAAACGGCAGCGCACGCACGTGACGAGCAGCGCCGCGCAGCACGCAGTGCACCGGTACAGGCGCGCCGCGCACCTGAGGTACAGGTCGAGCGCGACGTGCTGGGCCTTGCTGCAGAGCGGCACGTCCGCGCCGCCGACGGGCGTCGCGTCAGCGAACGCGGGGAGCGCCTGAGTCAGCCCTTCAACGAGTGCGCCCGCGGTTGGGGTGCCGGCGTCGAGGATGGCGAGGACGAGCTCGCCGAGGCTGTCGTGGCCGCGCGACCGCAGCGCCTCGGCGGCGGTGTGCATGGCGCGCACCACTTCCCGCCCGAGCGGCGCCAGCGGGCCGGGCTCGGACGCCATGATGCCGGGCGCCACCTCGCGCTCCTCGCGCGTGTCCAGGCCGAAGTACTGGTAGAACGAGAAGTCGTTGAACGTCGCGAGGTCCCCCGCAGCGAGCTTGCTGCCCTGCACAGCGCCGGCACAAGTCTCGCGCCGTCGGGCCGCCGCAGCGCGCTGCCGCGAGGCAGCAAACCGCCCCCGAAGAGCACACATGCGGAGAGTCTGCCCGGCACCTCGAGAAACGCACAGCGCTGCAGTGGGCGGGTGGGAAGCGCAAACATAAACATAAACATGATGGAGATAGAGATAGAGAGATAGACAACAGACGTCGGTGTTGTTGTTGTTCGGGTGGTGGTGGGGGGGCACCGAGAGGAGCATGCCGAGGCAGCCGAACTGCGTGGTCTCGAACGCGCCCCTGCCCGTGCGCTCCCGGATGAGCGGGGTGTATCCAGACCCGAAGCTAAGCAGGCCCATGAGGCACATGAAGTTGACCTCCTCCACGGTGGTCGAGAACCTGCGAGGCGGGCGCGGGGCGGCGTGGGCGACGAGGGGCGTGCTGGACTGCCGCGGGCCGCGGCGTCCGGGCCCGCGCGAGTGAGCGAGGGAGTGCGTTGGCCCGGGACTTCAACGGCGGTGCGCATTCGGTCGCGTATCGCGGCCGCCTGCTTCGTATTGGGTGTGGGCGTTCGGGGGCGGAGAAGGGGGGGTACCTGCAGGGCAGGCGCTGCGGTGCGCTCGCCTCCTTTAGCTCCGCCTCGCTGGCGTCGATCTCCCTCGCGAGCGCGTCCACGGCCTCCTGGGACGTCGTGCAGGCTGCGTCAGACGTGGCTACAGCGCCACACCTGGCCCACATGCGCTGCAGGATCGTTTCCTGCTCCTCGGGCTGCGTCATCGGGCAACCTCCTGCACTCCACGGCCCCGCGCTCGCGTCAGCGGCCACTTCTGCCAGTTCCGCGGGTCAGGCACCCAAGGAGAGCTCACAGACGAAGGTTTGCGCGCGTCCGCGGCCGCGAGCGGCAACGGGCGCGGCGCGGGGTGTCGTCTGGAGAGTGTCCCACCTGACGAGCCCGCCCTCATGGGCGCACGCCGGCCCCCGCCCGCGCCACAGGCTGAACCAAGATGAGCGCTTCGCTGACGTTCCGTGCCAACGTGGCCGCCACCCGGCCCCTGACCGCCCAGGGCCCCGCCCGCGCGGCCACGGCACGCACGGCCCTCAAGGTCGAGGCACGCGTCGTGATCCGCTTCATGCGGTTCGGTCGCCGCTACCAGCCCTTCTACAGGTCCGTTCCCGCCCGCCCGCGCCCCGCATTCCCCCGCGCCGCGCCCCGCGCGCCCCCGATCGGCCTGAGCTCTTCCTGGCCTGGCGCTGTGCAGGCTCTGCGCGGTGGACTCCCGGAAGCCGCGCGACACCCGGCCGCTGCAGTTCCTGGGGCACTACGACCCGTTCACGAAGGAGACGAACCTGAACGCGCCCGCGATCAAGGAGTGGCTCAACAAGGGCGCCAAGCCGTCGGAGTCGGCCGAGGCGCTCCTGAAGAAGGCCATGGTGATCATTGAGTGAGCGGCCAGGCGGCCGGCGCGCGCCGCAGCGACCTCCCTAGCATACGGTCGTCTGCGGCGCGCGGCCGCCCGGCGAGGGCGGGCGGCGGGCGAGGGCGGGCGGCGAGAGTGGATGGCTCTGAGGTCCCGCGGCGCCGCGCGTCGGGGTCTGCGGGTCGATGTCGCGACGAAGTGGGCGTCATCGTTTATCTTCGATCGATTGCGGACGAGGTGGTGGTTCGAGGGGCGCTGGCGTCGGGCTGCTCAGCGGATGGGAGTGTCGCTGTGCCCGGCGCCGTGCCAACGGGACGGGGGGTGCGAGCGGCGCTGCGGCGTCGCGGATGCCCCAGGTTGTGCTCGTGCAGGAGCGGCGCCCATCTGGGCGCCAGGGAGCGGGGCGCCGGCCGGAAACGCGGGGGGGTGCAGTAGCCAAGGCACCCGACCTGCGGTCTGCTCCAGAGGCACTTTGGGAGTTTTGCGTGCGCAGGACGCAGACTATGTGTAAGAAACGGCTTCAGGACGACAACAGACCCGCACCCCGTCGCGCATCCGCGCGCTGCCGCGCCTGGAGAGCACTGCTGCTGGCGCTCGCGACCCGGCGCACGGCCGCGACCCGGCCGGCCCTGCCCGCGCCGCGCACGCCGGCTCGCGCGCCGCCGCCGCCGCCCCTGGCTGCGCGCAGCTCACGAGGGAACTGTTCCGAACAGCGACATCAGCTGACTGCGCCGCAGCTGGCGCTGACACGAGTGCTACGCGGGCGCGCGCCCGCACCGCCGCCCGAGCTCTCTGCACCCGCCCCGGCCCCTCCGCAAGCGCCACGGCTGCCGACGCAGCGGTCTGCGGACACCCCCCGGTGGTGCAAGGTATGTGTCTGTCTGCTCGGGTTCCGCTCTGAGCGCGCCGTCATGATGCGAGCGCGGCACAGGTTGGCGCCGAACGACGGAGAAAATGCCGCAGCTGCTCTCGACGCTGCGCAAGCTCGTGGTGGGCGGCGGATGCATCTGGGGATTGACGTCGACGTCCTTCACATATCGCCGAGGCGTGGGAGAACGATCGGTCGCTGGTGTCGCTGCACACTGAGGGCCGCGGCCCGGCTGAGCACACAGCGAAGCGCCTCGTGCGGTCGCTAGAAGAGAACACGACGCTGCAACACGTCGAGTTGCTCACACACAGCCTGTACATGTACACAGCCCGACACTGGTAACCCCGTGAGGAGCCTCACTCCTCTGGCCCAGGAGCTGCTGCACGCGCAGCGCTACGCGATGGCGACGAGGCGTCTCAAGTCTCGTCGCAGGACCGCTCCAGACCCGCCCTAGGGGCGGTGTTGCGTGCCACGCCCGCCGTGTGACAAACGAGCGAGGCAAACGTGTCAACGGAGGGCCGCATTGTACTGCGGGAAGGCGCGGCCGAGAGCACCGACGGCGGCGGAGCCGTTGCGACACATCGCGGCCCCTGCCCGCTGCTGCTAGCACTCGCGCCCATTGCGCGGCATCGGACACCGCCTGCCGCCGCTAACGCGCACCCCCGCGCCCCGGCCGGCACATCGCGTCCATCCACGCCCGCAGGCAGCGATCGCGCCGAGCCGCGCCCGACGGACCCCCTGCACAACGCGCAGTTGACCATGCACGCAACAACAACGCGTCGTACGGCGTGCGGGCGTCCCGACCAGCGCCGCGCCGCGCGGCAGTCCCTCGCGCGTGGAGCGCTGCGTGTTCGCGTCGTCGTGCGCTGGCGGCGCTGCGACTTGCGCGCGCATAGATGGCTGACGCGCACAACATTGGACAGCTCGCAACTGACACGCAGGGCGCGGGGCGGATCCGTTGCAGGCGCGCGACAGGCGCGGAGCACGCGTTGCGCGACGGCAGCCGCGGTGCGCGGCGCGGCGCCCGCGCGGCGGTGCGCGCGGCGGCCGCGGACGTGGCGGTTGCGCGGCGGCGCGGGTGGGTCGTGCGGCGAGCGCTCATTCGTCACAATCTAGGGGATGGAGCTACATGAATGTATCAGGCTCACTCTGGGACGTGAGCCCGGTGGAGCGCTTCTAGGGGGTCTTTGGGGCGCGGGATGCAGGGTGCGGTTGACCTGCCTAGGACAGCCCGCGCGGAAGAGGAATGTTGAATGCGGTGTGCGCGTGCCCGACTACAGCGTGGAGTGTGAATGTATGCGTCGCGAAGGGGGCGCTCCGGCGGTCGATTGGAGGCCAGGCGCCGCTCAACGGCGCGGCTGGGCGAATTCAACGACCAGTGGAGGCCCCTGCAGACACTCATGCCGCCTCAGCTGTACGTGGGAGCCGGCACGTGAGTTGCCCTCCACTTCGCCATGAAGGTGTCGCCGCTGACCCTGCGGGGACGCGGTGCGGGGGCGCGGCGGGGGCCGTGAGGGGCGGCAGCGGGCGGAGGCGCTGGGGAATCGTCTCGGGTGGGTGGCGGCGCGGCGCGCACGGGACGTGCCGTGGGCCGGGCCGCGCGGCTGTGGATTTCGTGCGGAAGTTTGGCGCGAACGGACCTGCCCTTGGTCGCCGTGCGCCGCTGCTTTCCAGAGTGGGAGGCGGAGAGCGAGCCAGCCGACCTGCGCGGCACAAAAGAGCGGCATAACCGGTCACTGAGCGCGCACTTCGTCCGTGGCGAGCACAGGCATCTGAATCCCGGGGGCGGAGCCCGTGCGCAGCGCCCGTGCGGCCCGGTTCGGAGGACTGGTTCTCTCGAGAGCGGTGTGGCCCGTGCTGGTCGTCCCAAGCGCGGCCACGTTGCATACAGCGCGCGACGGCGTCGTGGGAACGAGGGCTGTCGACCGCTCGCTGATTCGCGGCGTCTTCATCGCGCCGCGAGGAGGAAAAGCGGCACGTCCGCCCGTCGGTTGGGCGCCGAGCGCCGTCCCGCGGCTGCGTCGCGCACCTCCTTCCCCCCTCGGAGGAGGACTTCGGGCTCTCGGGCTGCGGCGAGGGCTGCTCCAGGCGCCACTCCAGCGGCGCAACGTCGTCGCTGGTGATGAGCAGGGCCTCGAGCTGCACGGGCCCCTCTCTGGGCTCGGCGTGCTCCCTCACGTTGAGGTGCTCCACCTCGAAGGAAGAGAGGCTCATTTCGGAGTTGGCGGGTACCGTGTGTCGACGGGGAACCGTGCCGAGAGCTGGCACGAGCGCCGTTCAACTGAGGCGGCTTTTGCAGAGCTGGAGACGGACGACGTCCGCGCGAATGAGCTCCAACGCGCAAGTGTGCTGCTTCGACAATACTGCGCGGCGCCAGGCGCGCGGCCGGGGCGACGTGCCCGGCCTGCGCGGGCGAGAAAAGCGGGGGTTTCTACGCACTGAGCTGGCTCACGAGGCGGCCCGACTGGCCGCTGCGCCCGTGGGCTCGTCGGCGGCGCCCGCGCGCGCGTCGAGCCAGCTCGGCTTGCGGTCCCCACGCCCTTCCGGTAGCAGTTCGTCGGCGCAGGCTCCCGGCGACCTCGACGGTCGGCCTTTTGCGACAGCGGATCGACCGGCCCTCCCCGGCTCGCCGCGCGACGACCAACCACCGGGGGCATTGCGAGGGGCGTCGGAATGTCCTACCTTTGCAACATGGCGCCGTGCCCCATGGCCGCCGGCAGGTGCAGCCCCCGCCCCGATCCCCCGCACGGATCCCTCCTGCGCCGCGAAATTCGAGCGATGCGGGCCCCCTCGCCGCGAAAGCCCGAACGAGAGTTCTCCCAGGCAGCCGCCCGCGCCGACGTGGCCGCACGCCGTCCCGTCGATGGCCCGGGCAGCCCGTGTGGATATAGCTCGGGACCGCCGCTGCGACGCCCCGGGGGTCTCTCCTGCGGGGCCTCACTCCCCCCAGGCGCAGTGCACATGTGCCAGAGGCCCCTGAATCACGCCGCTCGGCCGCCCAGGCCCCGCCAGCGCCTCGCAGCGTCCTTGATGCCACCCCGCACCCTCTCCCGCTCTCCCGCGGACCCCAGACGGCCCTGCGCGCCGCCAGCGTCGACCCGTGCGCCCTGCGATGCACCGTGCGCGCCGTACGCGGCGCCGCGGCCCCATGCAGCGCCCCCTCGACCGCGAGCCGGGACCACTGAGACGTGCCCCTGCCTCGCCTGAGCCCTGCTCCGCGCGACACGACGCCGCTGGCCCCTCCGCGCGCGCAGGCGGCCAACCTTCCGGCGCACGGTCGCTCCAGGACGGGCCATGTCCCGCGCGCAGCGCCCCACGACCTCGCAGCGCGCGGCCGCGGAGGCAGCCCCGACGGACGTGCAGGTGGGCACGCAGGGGGGCGACGGGTTCGACTTCGCGGGGTACATGGGGGAGAAGGCGGTGCTGGTGAATGCGGCTCTTGACAAGTACTGCCCCGAGATGGTGCGCGCCCACGTCGCCCGCGGCTCCCCCGCCCTGCGCACGCGCATTGCCTCGCCGCGCCTCGACGGTGTCGCGGCCGGCCTCCGCGCGGCTCACGGCCGCCCACGCGCCCCTGCGCGGCGCAGGAGCCAAAGCTCGTGTACGAGTCGATGCGGTACTCTCTGATGGCGGGCGGCAAGCGCGTGCGGCCGATGCTGACGCTGGCGGCGTGCGAGATGGTCGGTGGCTCGGAGGAGCAGGTGATGCCGACGGCGTGCGCGATGGAGATGATCCACACGATGTCGCTCATCCACGACGACCTCCCGTGCATGGACAACGACGACTTCCGCCGCGGCCGCCCCACCAACCACAAGGTGTTTGGCGACGACATCGCCATCCTCGCCGGGGACGCGATGCTGACGCTCGCGTTCGAGATCATCGCGCGCGAGACGAAGAACGTCGCGGCGGACCGCGTCCTGCGCGTCATCGTCGAGACGGGCAAGGCCGTCGGCGGCGAGGGTCTCGTCGGCGGCCAGGTGGTCGACATCAAGAGCGAGGGCAAGGAGGTGCCGGTCGAGACGCTGCAGTACATCCACGAGCACAAGACCGCGGCGCTCCTCGAGGCGTCCGTCGTGTGCGGCGCGCTGTGCGGCGGCGCGTCGGACGCCGAGGTGGAGCGCCTGCGCCGGTACGCGCGCAGCATCGGCCTGGCCTTCCAGGTCGTGGACGACATCCTGGACGTCACGCAGAGCACCGAGCAGCTCGGGAAGACGGCCGGGAAGGACCTCGACGTCGACAAGACCACCTACCCGAAGCTGTATGGCCTCGACGGGTCGCGCAAGATCGCCAACCAGCTCCTCCAGGAGGCCAAGGCGCAGCTCGAGGGCTTCGACCGGGCCAAGGCGGCGCCGCTGTACGCCATGGCGGACTACATCGTCAACCGGCAGAACTGAGCGGGGGCGAACCGGGGCCGCCGCCTGCGGCGCGTGTTATTTGCCCGGCGCGGGCTCTGAGGCCGTCCGGGCGCTGCGCTCGACGCGCAGCCTGCGTGCTCGCGCTGCGCTGGCCGGCCTCGCGCAGGTAGCGACGGATCTAGGCGCACCCAGCCGGAGCTCACGGTGGCCGGAGCCGGTCGCGGCAGCTCTTGCCGCGCTCTCTGTGAGGCGCAGGCACGCGTGGACTCCCGCCGACGTCCCGTCACCGCACGCACCATCGTTCACACCCGCCGCGAGATCATTCACCTATCCGCTTCGTTCCCGTCGTGACACCCCCCCTGACCAGCTCATCGCCCCCTTGCACGCCCTCCGTCTCCGCCACGCACCTCCTCCTCCCTCACGCCCACCACCTCGCCCCGCTCCGCCCCCGCACCCGCGCCGCAGCCGTCCTACCGCTCCAGCGCCCCCAGAATGTTCCGGCGAACGTCGACGGGACTGAACGGGTCCTCGCCGTGCGCCGCCCCGGTCGCCTGGCCCGCTCCCTGCGCGCCCGCGGCGACCTGCGGGCCCTGCAGCTGCGCGAGGAGGCCCGCAGCCGCGTTCGACATCTTCAGGAGGTGTTCCGGCGGCGAAGACCACGACGCCCACAGGGGGCTGCTCGATCGCCCCTGCGACTGCGCGTCGAGCAGCTGCGCGTGCTCCGGCGGCGTGGTGAGCGCCGCGCACGTCGTAAGGTACGGCACGGGCAGCCGGGCGCTCGGCGGCGCGGCGGTCGTCTCTGGCGCTGCGCCGAGCGTGCCGGCAACGGTCGCGCGTTGCGCCCCGGGGCGGCGCATGACGCTGCGGACGCTCTCGATGCCGACGAGCGTGCTGGCCGGGTCGGCGTGCGTCGGCGCGGGGGCGGCCTCTGGCTGCGCAAGGGACAGCGGTGGTGGCGCGCGTGCAGCTGGATCCGGGACGAGCTGCGTCTTCGCGCGCACCAGCTCGGCTGCGGCGCCGAGCTCGAGCACGGAGATGCTCGTGCCGCGGCCGGCGCGCCCGCCGCGCGCCTGCACGCGCCCGGGCGCGCGCCCGCCCTGCATGCCAGTGCTGCCCACCGCCGCTGCCGCAGCCAGGCTGACCAGCGCGTGGCCGTGGCCACAGGCCCGTCCACGCCCGCGGCCGCGCCCACGGCCGCGTCCCCGGCCCCGTCCACGGCCCCGCGCGCCCCGCCCGCGCCCCCGCGCTGCTTGCGGCACACACGCGACCGCAGGCGGAGGCGAGAGCTCCCTCGAGATCGGCACGCCTTCCAAAGGCGCCGGGCTCCGCCGCTCGAGCGTGCCGTCGCGCGACGGCTCGCTGTCGGAGAGGAGCTGCGCGGCGTAGTTGACGGCCGCGGCAGCCGCAGCGCGCAGGGGGCGGCCGCTTTGCAGAACCGTGCGCACGGGGGGCGGCGGGGTCGCGGGCGCGGTCGTGGCGCCCGCGGGGGCCGGGCTGCGCGGAACCTTGAGCACGGCGAACTCAGGGATGTCCGCAGGCGGCACAGACTTCCCCTGAAGTCTCGTGACCTGCCGGACACCCAACGTCATGCTGCGCGCCTCGCCCAGCAGCGCGGCCTCGCCGCGCGAGTCGCTGTCCTCCGGCTGCGGCTCGGACGCCCAGGAGGACGCCCCTCGCGCGGCTGTGAGGTTGCCGCCGACAGTGCGCGGGCCCTTGCAGGGCCGTTGCCAGCCGGCGGCCTGCGTCGCGGCGCGCTTCCTCGCGGACTTGACGTCGTCCTGGCAGTGCTGCTGCGCCCGCGTCGTCCGCGTCGGGGGCCACCAGAAGCGCGTCGCGAACAGGTCCAGCACGCGCACGTCGCCGCCGTCGAACCTGACGCTGTGGCGCCGGCTCTCCGCGTCGTACGACTTCACGAGGCCCTCGCGAGGCGCCCCGTCGTGCGCGGCCGTCTGGCCCGGGAGCGCCTCCACTAGGATGCGCCGGCCGATGATGCCGGAGGCCATGAGCTGGACTGCGTTGTCGAACAGCGCCCCCGCAGCTTGCTTGGGATCGCTAGAACACGCAGGGAGCGTGGCGTTCGGGGCGTCTGCGAGCCGCGGCGAGCCGCCTGCGGCGCCGGGTGCGGCCGTGACAGCGTCGCTCTGGTCCTGGGGCCAGCTGCGGAACGGTGCGACGTGCTCGGGCAGCCCTGACGCCCGCTGGGAGTCCAAGAGACCTTGGAAGAGCTCCTGGTGCCTGCAGCGGCGCGGGTCTTCCGTGGAGAGAGCGCTGATCGCGACGCAGTCGAGTTGAACAGGCAGACGTTGCTTGCAGCTTGCTGCTGGGGCGCAGCGAGGGTTTTCCCGCTGGATTCTACTCTTACCTGGCCGGCGAGTGCTTCTTGCACGTCGTGAGCCCCGGAAGGCACGGGCGCCAGCAGCTGAGCGTGGCCTGGCACATCGAGAGGCCCTCCAGGGGGCTGCCGGCCCTGCCCTTCACGGCGCCGCTGTTCCAGTCCACGAGGTGCCTCTGCTCGTCGTCGTCCGGGGCGTCGAAGACCGCGAGGTCGATTGCGCAAGCGGCGGACTCGACAGAAGCTACGAAATCGAGCAGGCCCGCGCTTCGCACGCCGAGACGCGGCACGATCGCTTGGGCGTTCATTCCGACGGCGTGGCCTGGAGGGTGACGGGGCGGCGGTGCAGGGACGTGGCAGGAGAGCGGGCACGCGCGGGCCGCGCTCACTGCAGGTAACGTTTGAAAGAGGCGCGCGTGCTGGCGGGTGGCGGCAGCGGAGATTTTCCACGTGGAAGCTGACGTATGGATGAAATAGATGCAAGGCAAGCACGTGGGTGGCGGCGGGAGAAGCCGGCGTGTCGAGCGCGTCCTTGAGGCGGGTCCACGTCATTCGAGCTCAGTGCGACGCCGTCGCCGCGCGTTGCGTCGTTTCCTGTTCGGCAGGCGTGTTTCCACATCGAAACACAGCATCGTGCTCGATGACGCGTCGCTCCTCACCTTGCATGCGCGCCTCTGTTCAAAAGAGCCTAAAGCTACGATTCTACCTCGGCCCACGGCACTGCATCACGAGATGTATCGCGGTGGCTCGCCACTAGCTCGCAAACTGCCGCCCGGAGCGCGTTTCGCGTTCCGAAAGCGGGCAGGAGACAGAGCCTGGGGAGACAGAGCCGGTATGACACAAGTATGACAGGCCTGCCGCACCGCCGCACGCCCCCAGGCAGCGCGCAGGTGCCGCACAATTTACGTCCGTGTGACGAGGAGTGCGTCGGCGCGTGAGGCTCCGACCACCCTGCGAATGAGCCGTGCAAGCGTGCCTTGATCTACGTGGTGGAAATCACCCCCCAGTTCCGCTGTGGCGCGCCGCGCCAGCCTCCTCCTCAACGCCTCAGAGCTGTCGCGAATATATTCGCGTCCATCCGGGCCCGTCCAGCCCCCGTCTGCCCCAACACTCCCCCCCCCCCGGGCCTGCCAGAACAACGCGTCACACCCCCCTCATCGCGCCGCATCCTCGTCGTCTCCCGTCATCCACCACGGCTTCGCCTGCACTCGCCGCCGCGACGCCCGCGCCATCGACCCCTCACTCCCCTCCCGCCCGCTGTGGCCCTGACTCAACCCCGCCTCAGACCCCCCCCCTCCCCGACGTCCAGGCCCCCCAGACCCCGTCCCCGCGCGCTGCGCGCTGCTCCGCGACGGATCCGCGCTCCGCTCCGGCCGCTGCGCCCCCGCGTCCAGCCGCGCGCGCTTCTCGCGGACACCCCCCCCTGTGCGCGGCCGGCTGCCACTCCCCTCCCCCGCGCCGCCCGGCTCAGAATCCGAGTCCGGCAGCGACGCCTTCCGCCGCGCACGAGCCACGCCCCCGACCCCCGCCGACGCCACCGCGCTCGCCGGCGTCGCTGGCGACCCGCCGCTGCCGGTGCTGCCCGCCCGCGGCGCCCCGCCCGGCGCCGCAAGCCCGCGCCGCCCGCGCCCTGCCGCGCCGCCTTCGCAAGCAGCCGCGCCTGCCACGGCGCGTCCCGCCCGCCCGCCGCGCCGCCCCGTGCGTCAGCCGCCCCCTGCGGCCGTCCCGCTTGCGGCTTCGCCACAGCAACGGGCGCGTCCTGCGCGGCCGCGAACAGCGCGGACGCCGGCAGCAGCGGCGCCAGGAACGCGTGCTGCAGGGCCTGGAGCGCGGAGGGCCGCTGGGCGGGCTCCGGGTGCAGCAGCGCCAGCGCCAGGTCTGCCAGTGCGGGATCGACGCTCGCGAGGTCCTTGTGCAGCTGGAGCGGCGCGTGCGCGGACCGCGGGGCCGCTGCGAGGCCGCCCAGGCCGGCCCTGCCCCTGCGTCGCAGCGGGAACGGCGGGCGTGCGGGGTTGGTGCAGACAGACTGACTCAGTGGTGACTGACTTGACTTGACTCAGCGGCGAAGCGATTGCGAGGTCCGTGGTCCATGCAGGGCCGCGGCGACTGGCGCGCCGGCTGCGCGGGCGTCCGCTGCACCGATCACGGCCGCCCTGGGCAAGCCCGTCGCACGGCGCGTGCGGGCACTCCGCGCACCTCACGAGCGTCTCCGGGAGCGGTCCGACGGTGCGCGCGATCGCCGCGAGGACGCCCGAGGGGTCGTGTCCCGGGAAGCACGGCCGCCGCAGGGCCATCTCGGAGACCACGCACCCGAGCGACCACAGGTCGATCGCGGTGCCGTACTGGGCGCCCAGGAGGACCTCCGGCGCGCGGTAGCCGAGCGTCTGCACCTGCCATCGCGCGCGCGCGGTGTCGACCGCGGTCGCGGAGAACGCGTGCCCGTAGTCGGCGAGACTGACGTGCGTGCCCGCGGCCCCCGACAGGACGTCGTCGAGGGGGTGTCGCAGGAGGACGTTGTCCGGCTTGATGTCGCCGTGCACGATGCCCTGCGCGTGCATCACCTGCGCTCACGGCACAAGGACACCCCCCCTTTTTCGTGCGCGGCGTCACGGCACGTGCGCGCGCCAGCAACGCCCGCCCGCGCGACCGCGGCGCACCTGCAGCCCGATCAGCAGCTGAAGCGTGATCTTGCGGACCATGCGGAGGTACCGCGGCGGCGGGAGGGAGTCCGCTGCCGCCAGCAGGTCCAGCAGAGACTCGTAGCATCTCTCGAGGACCAGCACCACGTGCGGACCCCAGCGCAGGCACTGCAGGACGCGCGGGATGCACGTCGCGCCGTGCGGGTCGTTCCGCGCCAGGAACCGCATCACGTGCGCTTCGCGGAGGCCTGCAGTTGCCATGTGTGCCCGCAGGACCTTTGCGACGACCATGCGCCCCCCGGAGGCGTCCTGGCGGGCTGCCGCGCCTGCGTACATGCGAGCGGAGCGCGCGTGAGGCGGGCAGTCTGAGCCGCGCGGCGGCAGTCGAGGTTTCGAGACTGTTTGTGAATCTTGCCTTCTTGGTCGCTCGGGCCCTCGCACGCGTCCGTCCCGGGCGGCCGCGCGGTGTCGTGCATGAGGAGCACCTGCGCGGACCCCCCCGCGCCGACTTCCGCCACAAACTTATACCGACCCGCCAGCATCGGCATGTCGGTCCCAACGACAACCCTCCCGCACGGCAGCGTGTCGGGGACGGTGTCCGCGGACCCCGCCGCGAGCACGTCCCGGCCGTTGCTCTCGATCGAGCCGTCCGCGCGGCCGTAGACGTCGCGGATGCCCACCGTTGCGCGCGTGAGGAGTGATCCAGTGCCGCAGGCAACTGGCGCGGTCTGTTCGAGCCTCTCGCGGCGACCGACGGGCGCGAAGAGGGACCCGGGCGCCCGTGCGAGACCCATCGTGCACTGGGCTGCGTCGCTGCGGTCTACGGCGTCGCGGCCGCGCTGCTGCGCGCGGCTGCTGGCAGGCTTGCCTGGGCTCAGCTCTCGTCCTGCGGGGCGCGGGCACGCCAGCCGGGCGTAGCGGTGGGATGGAGTAGGAAGTGTTGCTCGCTGGCGGGCAGGTAGAGGCGAAATGGCGCTCTGTCAACACCAGGAGGAGGAGCAGCAAGTGCGGTGGTGGTTGCCTCCGGCGCCGCCGGCCGGAGCGCGGCACACGAGCGCGTGCGGGTACGTCCGACCGCATACGCGTGGGGCTCTCGAGCCCGTCGTTGAATCTGCCAGGTACGTCGCGTGCTGCGCAAAAGCAGCAGTTCGGCTCCGCACCCTCCACCGGGCGTGGCGGCGCCTGTTCTAACCGCGACCGTCCTGTTTACCTGGCATTTTTCGGATCCCTGAAGCATGCACAGACTCATCGCGCGCTCTCGCGGCATCCCACCGTCCAGGGCTCCTGCACGGGACGTGTTCTCTCGCTGCCAAGCCCCTCACAACAGGGCGTCTCCCGCGCCGCGCAGGGTTGCGTTCACCGTCCCCGTCCGCCGGCGAGGTTCCCCGTATATGTTCCGGCCTCTTCCTCGCGCAGCAGCGACGGGAGGGCCCGGAAACGGGCGCCCATGAAGCCTCCGCTGGCATGAGGCCCCAGTGGGCCTCTGGTGCGTCAGGGCACTCGCGCCCGGGCCAGGAGGCGTCGCCGGGGACATGGCCGCGCCGCCGGCACCCACGAGAGGCAGAACCACAGTCGCGAATCGTCTTCGCGCGACACACTGCGACGCGAGCGGCTCCCAAAGGAAGCACCCTGCAGGCCCCGTTTCTTCCGCGACCCCGCCGAAGCTGGGCGTTTTCGATCATTCGCGAGGTGCATTAGAGATTGTTCTGTTCGGAGCGCGCCAAAGGACGCCGCTCGAGACGCGTGCGCGGCGCTGGAGGCGCGCGTAGCACTGGGAGGGCCTGTTCGGGCGCGGTGGCGATAGAGACGGGGCGCCATGCAGTCGCACAGCAGCCGACACTGCATATCGGACCACCTCCGGGACCGTCACCCGGATAGCACGCCGGCGGAGGCCACGGACATCATCCCCACGGAGATCGCAGTGGCCTACTCGCGCCGCGCCGTGCCCAAGCTGGTCGACGTGATGCGCCTGGAGGACGGCGTGCTCTCGGACGAGGTGCGCCGGAGCCGCACGAGCGCTGCCGCGCGCGCACGGGCGCGGCGGGCGTCTGTGCTGCGCGGGGCACCCACGGTCGCACCGCAGGGCATGTCCGCACGCATGTTTCGCGGCGCAAGCGGGCGCCGGCCGCCCCGTCTTCCGTGAAACCATCCGGTCTTGTATCTCGCATCGATGGACGGCCCGTTCGCGGCTGCGAGGTCCGTCGCGGCGCCGGCTGCGGGCGTCGCGGGGAGGGATTCTCTCACAGGGTGGGTTGCGCCCTCCGCCTCGTTCGCGCAGGAGCTCGCCCACTGTCTCCGGGTGTTCAACGAGCTTCTCTCCGACCAGGAGGCCAAGGCGGACGCCATCGCGTGCGAGGCGGGCAAGCAGCTCACCCGCCACGCCCGCAGCACTGTGCTGGAGGTGCAGCAGCTGTGCTGCCGGGGCCTCACGTGCCTCGCGAAGACCATGGTCGGCCGCTTCCACTGCATCGAGTCCGAGGCGATCGAGGTCATGTGCAGCGTCCTCCCGTCGTGCCCCGTCGAAGCCACGGAGTGCCTCCTAGCTATATCACAGGTGCGCGCGCGCCCGCCCGCTCGCCGCCGCACCGCCCACGCCAGCACTCGCACCGCTCGCCGGCGCGCCCGTCCCCGGCGCCTCGGCGCCCGCAACGCGCGCCCTGCCCCTGCACACCTCCACGCGGCGCGCACCTCCCGCCGCGCATTGCAGGGCCAGGAGGGCATCCTCGCGATCATGGACTCGCCCGCGGGCGTCGTCGCGACTATCACGGACGGCGTGATAGCGAGCAAGACGCACTCCCCGCCCGCCGCGCTCGCCAACGCGGTGAACATGGTAGCGCGCGTGGTCTCCGTTGACCGCGGGATCATGCAGGCGCTCGAGGCGCACGTCCCCGCGGCCGTCGTTGCGCTCGCGGACCACACCACGCAGGGCGCGCTGCGGGGCAGCCTGGGCCGGACCGCCCGCATCGGCTGCGCCGACGTCATGCGCCACCTCTGCCACCACCCGTGGGGCAAGGTGCAGCTGCTCGAGCCGTTCCCGGGCGACCGCCCCGTGCAGGCGACGACCGTCCTCGGACGCATGCTCGCGAGCCCGGACCTCCCGGTACGCAAACGCGCCGCCCAAGCCCTCATGGGCCTCAGCGTCGAGCCACAAGCGAAGCTCCCCGTCGCCAACGTACGTCCGCCCCGCCCCGCACGCACTCCACGCGCCGCGCCCGCGATCCGCCCCTGCCTGGCCACCGCCCACCGCGGCGCGAACGACAAGGAACGATCTTTGTTGGTTGTGCTCTTTGTTGTTGCGCAGGAGTGCGGGGATCTGCTCATCGGCATGATGAAGGACGCGACGGGGCTGCTGGAGCGCGGCGCGGTGGACCTGGAGATGCTGGAGAACGCGCGCGACGCGCTGCTGAACTGCGCGGAGCACCCGCGGTTCCGCACGGACTGCGCCATCCACTTCAACAAGCAGGAGTGGGACCTGCTCGTGGGGGACCCCGCGGGGTCGAACCTCAGCATGTCGATGCTCTAGCGGCGCCCGCGGTGCGTGGGTGAGTGAGTGGGGTGTGACTCCGGGCCGTGTCAGGGGGGGGGTGTCAAGTACTTGTACTTCTGTCCGACTGGCGTGCGGCGGGCCGTTGCTCGGCGGCGCTGCGTGGGCCGCGCGGTGCCGTAGGACCTGCGCGCGGTGCGGAGAAGGAGTGGCGGGCGCCGAGAGCGGAAATTCTGAGCAGTTGGGTGGCGTGCTGGAGCGCTCCCGCGACGCAATCAGGGGCCGCGGAAATAGAGCGGCTTGGTGCGATTCCCGGCTGAGAGTTGCCCGGAACTGAGTGAGAGGCCGCGCCGGGCGCTTGGAGGCGCCGCAAGGGAGCACAGGCGTGGAGGGGCGTGGCGATGATAGTCAGGGTGGGGTGCAGCTGCGGGGAGTGTCCTGAGTGGACGATCATCGAGATGCAGGGGGAGCTGGACGTCACGGTGCGCCGGAACGAGCCGCAGCGAGTCGCGGGCGGCGTTGGCGCCACCCTCTGTTCGGTTGCCTGCCCGCCTCGCCGCCCACGCGGGGTCATGCGGCTCTTCCGCCGCGTTTCGACGAAAACCGATTCGTTTCCGTGTGCAGCGCACCAACCGTCTTGAATTTCCGCAGCAGCTCGCTCGCGCGGAGCTCCGCTGGCCTAGCACAGCGCAGCCCTCCATGGTCGCCCGCCGCGCTGCTGCAGATGCCGGAGGCGTGCGCGGAGGGCTTCGACGTGGGGAAGATTTGCGTCAAGGGCGGCGGCAAGGTCCAGCTCACGATCGGGCACCACCGGCTCGAAGGCTCTGTGGTGCAACTGCCCAAGCCACTACTCGTGATGGCGCAGGTGCGCCCCAGCGCCGCCACAGCGCCGCGGCACGCGCAGCGCGCAGCCGCGGCCGCGCCCGTGTTCCTGACTGCACGAGCCCCCCGCGCCGCGCCGTTTCGTGTCGACGAGCGCACAGTGATCCACACTTGCACACACACGCGCGCACACGACGCGCCGGCCATGAAACGCGCGGCGCGAGGCGGCGGCGGCGCGGTGCAGGTGCTGGCGCAGCAGGGCGGCGCAACGGAGTACGACGCGGTGGGCGTCGTGCGGCAAAAAGTCGTGTTCAAGGACCGCCCTTTCGCACTGATCTCGGCGCCGGCAGCGCGGTAGCCGCGGCCCAAGGCACCCCGCAGCCACGGTGCGGGATGTGGCAGGAACGCCCCGTCGGTGCGGGAGCGTTGCGCGCGCGGGGGACGCGGCACTTCGGCAACAAAGCTGGCGTGTCGTCGTCGATGCTGTGACGGGTCGGGCGACCCCTGCGCGGAGCTGCGCTCCGCATGCGCAGTGCCGCGAGGCCGGGCGCCCTTGTGGGACCGCGTACGGGGCGGCAGGGCCGCTGTGCGGCATGAATGTTCGTCTCCATGCGCTGCGTGCGCTGTTCGTGTTGCATTCCCGGCGCTGGGCGCGGCTGGCGGGCCGGGCCGGGGGCGGGGCTGGGGAGCGGTGCTGGGGAGCATGCGGGTGCGCCGCCGCGGTGGCTGCGTGGGCGCGCGAGCGGCGCTCGAGGCGCGCTAGAGGGGTGGGGTGTGAAGGGGGAGGCTCAGTCGGCCCAGGCCTTCTGGCGGCGCCTGGGTTGATCAGGGGCGCGGGGCGCGCGGTCGCGGCACGATCCGGCCCAGACTCCGGTGCAGGCAGGCGGCATCGCGATGCAGGCGCAGGCACCCACGCTGCGGGCGAGCCCCGCCGCGCCGCGCGCGCCCACGGTGCGCGGTGTTGCTGCCCGCCGCCCCCTTGGGTCCGCCCGCCTCCCGTCCACCCCGGTCGCGCCGCGGCCCCTGAGCGGGCCCTCCGCGCCCATGCTCCCGCGCTTGCCCGCCCCCGCGCCCCGGCAGCCCGTCGCGGCGCCGGCAGCGGCCGGCGACGCGACGCCGGTGGCAAAGTCCGGGTACGAACAGCTCGTCGAGGTTCTGACGACCATGTTTCCCGTCTGGGTGTTCCTGGGCGCGGCCATCGGCATCATGAAGCCGAGCGCGGTGGTGTGGTTCTCGAACGACCTCTTCACGTACGGCTTGGGCTTCCTCATGCTGTCAATGGGGCTCACCCTCACCTTCGACGACTTCAAGCAGTGCGCAGCCAACCCCGTGCCCATCGCGGTGGGCTACCTCGCGCAGTACTGCATCAAGCCGCTGCTCGGCTACGCCATCGCGTCGGTACGCCCCGCACCTGTGCAATCCAGGCCCCTCACTGCTGCGGCCTCCCGGCCGCCGCGCGCCCCGTGCGCCGCGCGATCGTTGCCGGCCGCGACGCATGCGCCGAACGACGCCCTCGGCACTCCGCGCGGCGCGTGTTTGCAGACGCTCGGCCTCTCGCCAGCGCTGGCGACGGGTCTCATCCTGGTGTCCTGCTGCCCCGGCGGGCAGGCCTCGAACGTCGCGACGTTCATCGCGCACGGCAACGTCGCGCTCTCCGTGCTCATGACGACCGCGTCCACCATCGGCGCGATCATCATGACCCCCCTCCTGACGAAGCTCCTCGCCGGCACGCTCGTGCCCGTCGACGCTGCGGGCCTCGCGCTCTCGACCTTCCAGGTGAGCACACGCGCGCGCCCGCACCACGACGCCATCCGAGGCCAAATGCCGCCCCTGCTGCCCCTTGCTTCGCCGCGGGGCGGAGCGTGGTTCGAGATTCATCACTGGATTAGCACACCGTGCCCCCCGCCGGGCGCGCCCCGGGCTGCCCACACAAGATCTCGCGCCCGCGCGCCCGCTAGGATCCACCCGAGCGTTCCCGGCCGCGAGATCGCTTTTTCGCGGACCGCCCGGGCCGTGACGCGCGGCTCTGTGCGTGGCACAGCACCACGCCTCTCGCGCCGCCGCCCCCCGCGGCCGTCCTGTCCGAATCCGCACAGCCCGCGGCGCTGCTTCCTCTGGGAGAATCGATTCGCCACGGCCCGCAGACCGCCGTCACCGCCCCCGCCCGTGCAGGTGGTGCTGGTGCCCACGGTGGCGGGCGTGCTGCTGAACGAATACGCCAAGCCGCTGGTGTCGAAGATCCGCCCGATCCTGCCGCTCATCGGCGTCGCGCTGACCACGCTGCTGTGCGCGTCGCCCGTCGGGCAGGTCGCGCAGGTCCTCAAGGACTCGGGCGGGTCCCTCATCGGGCCGGTGGGCCTCCTGCACGCGTTCGCGTTCAGCATGGGCTACTGGCTCTGCAAGCTCCTCGGCTTCTCCGAGACGACGTCGCGCACGGTCAGCATCGAGACGGGCATGCAGAGCGCCGCGCTGGGCTTCATGCTCGCCATGCAGCACTTCAGCGACCCGCTCGTGGCCGTGCCGAGCGCCGTGAGCGTCGTGTTCATGGCCCTCGGCGGCTCGGGCCTGGCGGTGTTCTGGCGCGGGAAGCCCATCGACCCTGCCGCGGAAGCAGGCAAGAAGTAGAGCGGGCGAATGCGATGCAAAGCGCGGACAGCATCGCGCGCTTCTCAGCGAGGCGTTGCGTGGAGAGCAGTGCGGGTGGCGCGGGACGGGGGGGCTCCATGCTGAGACTGGAGACTAGCTGCAGGTGGTGAGGCGAGGGCGGATGGCGGGCGTGGTGTGGTGCGGGACGCAGCTTGCATAGAGCGAGGGTGGTGTGCGTGATGTGACGGCCCCTGGTCTGAGAGCTGGAGGTATGGGGGTGACGCTGGGGCCTGCGGACGCGGCGCGCGTGGGAGGTGGGTGCGAGGCAGCGTGCTGTGCCACGCTGATGACAGGACGTTCCTCCGGGCCCGCGAGCGCCTAGTGGGAGCCACGTGCGGCTGGAGCCCGGCGGCGTCGCAGCGCGGCCGCAGCGGTGGGGGGGTTTCCGTTTGAGATCCCCCCCGTGCTGTGAGAAGCCCGCACGACGACGAGAGCGCTCTCTCGCGCAGCTCCAATGCAGATATTCAACCACTCGATGATATCGTCGCGTAGTAAGTAACAGGGAACATGCGTCGATAGCGAGGGAGGGCATCGCGAGGCCATTGCCAGTCGCCTTGGCTGCCCGCAACACACGCGCCGAAGCCCAGGCCTGGGCTCCTCTGACGCACCGATGCCATCTCCACTCATCTTCCAGTCGATTTCGTCCACGCACCATGCCGCTTGCGGCCTGCTCCGACGTTGCGCCGCACACTCCACCGCTCTCCTGCTGCCCAGGATGCCGCCGCCAGGCTGCCTGCACAGGCCCCGACGACCCAGCGTGTCTGCCCGAAACAACGTGCTCGTGCCGGATACGAGGCCAGGGGCGCAGTGGCGGCAGTTCGCGGCTGACAGCGGGCGCAGGAAGAGGGGGGCCCGGCAGTTCATTGATGCGACGAGTCTCACGGTGCGCGGGGGCAAGGGCGGGCCGGGCAGCATGAGCTTCGTGATGGCGTCGGGGCGCGGCCGCAACCTGCGACCAGGTGACGACGGAGCTCGCCGCCGGCGCGCGACAACCTGTCCTGTGCCATTCCGCCATTCCCGCGCCAGCGCGCGGCGAGGTTCCGACATCGAGCGCGTCGCCGCCTCGCACGGTGCGCTGCAGACGGCGGGGACGGGGGCCGCGGGGGGGATGTATTGCTCCGCGTCAGCAGGAACTTGTGGGACCTCTCGCACCTGCAGCGCTCCGTCAAGGCCGAGAACGGCGCGGCGGGGAGCAGCAACCGCCTGCGGGGGGCCGACGGGCGCGACCAGGTGATGCGCGCGCGTCCTTCCTCGCAACACGCCACCCTGCCGAGCGTCTCTGCGTTGCGCCCACGAGACCACATGCGCGCGTCGGCGTGCGTCAGGCCCGAGTCCGACACTGCATCGGCGTTGGCGGCTCGCAGGTCGTCTTGGTGCCACCTGGGACGGTCGTCAGGCGCGTGCGCGCGCCGGGGGGTGTCGGGGGGGATGTCGCTGCCGATGTCGACATGGCTGGTCTCCGCGGGGACCTCGACATCGCGCAGATGATCGAGGACCTCGACGCGCAGGAGGCGGCCACTGTACAGGCACGCGCTGCGCGCACTGCCCGGGCCGTAAAGTCGCTGTTTCGCCCGCTTTGCAAGACACCCCCCCTGACGCAACTGGTTGCCTGCAGGCGATACACGACGTGGACCAGCAGGACCTCGTGGCGGAGCTGCTCGACGACGGCGCGGAGATCACCGTCGCGCGGGGCGGGGCGCGGGGCCACGGCAGCGCCTTCCTGAAGCAGCCGAACGTGCCGTTGGACCGGGCCACTGACCACCACGGGCACGCCGGCGAGCACCACCGCCTGGCGCTCGAGCTGCGGCTCGTCGCGGACGTCGCGCTCGTCGGGCTCCCGAACGCCGGCAAGAGCAGCCTCCTCGGGGCGCTCACGCGTGCGTCGCCGCGGGTCGGGCATTACGCGTTCACAACAGTGCGACCGAACCTCGGCGTGATCCGCGCGCAGGGCCTCGCGGGCGACGATCTGCGCGTGGTCGACGTGCCCGGGCTCGTCGCGGGCGCCAGCCGCGACAGGGGCCTCGGTCTGACGTTCCTGCGCCACGTCAAGCGGTGTCGGGCGCTGGCCTTCGTGCTGGACATGTCGCCGGGGCTCGCGGGGGGCGCGGGGGCGGGGCCGCGGCCGTGGGAGCAGTGGCGGCAGCTGCACGCGGAGCTGCGGGAGTTCGACCCGGAGCTGCTGGAGCTGCCCCGGGTGGCGGTGGGCACCAAGATGGACCTGCTGGCGCGGCCGGGCGCGACGGTGGCGGCGCTGAAGCGGCACGTGGACGCGCACGTGTGCGCGGTGAGCGTGCGGGCGGGGGCGGGGATCGACCGGCTGCGGCAGGCGCTGGTGCTGCTGGCGGAGCAGTCGGCTGTGCGGGACCTGCGACGGACCGCGTGATCGTGTGACGTGAAGATCGGGGAATTGAGACTGAAGATGAGTCGAGGGTGTCGACACCCCGGGCTGACGCGGCCGGTCCCCTGCTAGTGCGCGACGCTGTAGGCCGGCGCTCCCGGGTGCTTCGCGGACTCTCTCACGAGCGAATCCACGGTCGCGAAAGCTCGCGCGGTTGCCTACGGGGGCCTGGTCGCGAAGGCAGCCCTTCGCAACTCACCAGGGCGCCGCAAGCGCGTCCGTGAACGGGTTTGCCGGCTCCAGAAGCGACTCAACCCCGCTCACACCAGTAGAGGCGCAAGTTCGTGAGGAGACAAGCGGCGCGTTTGCCTTCTCCGCGATGCATGCGTGAAATTAGGCACCTGAAAAGAGGCGAGTGAGCGGCGCAGCACGTAGATCTGAGGTGCGAGACTGAGGCACGCGCTTGCTCCCTCACATGGTTCCCGCGTCGTCCTTGCCACGTCATTGCGCGAACGGGCGGCCTCGGGCGTCCGCGCGGCAGCTGTCTTGCTGGGTTTTTCGCAGCAGCCCCGCCACGGCGCGTTCGGCCCATTCACGCGCCCAAAGGCCCGGAAGCATCGCTCCCCTCGTTTCCAAGGCCCAGAACACGTCGGGGCCGCGCGTTCAAGCCGTTCGGAGCCTCCTCGCTGCCGAAACGGCCAAGCGCTTAGCCCAGCAAGCAGCCCATTGCCTGGTCGAAATCCACGCTCCACGCCCGCCGCAACGGCTCAACCATCCGCCTGTACACAGTCACACTCATGACCGATCGTTCCTCCCGGCCGAGCTGCGTCGGCGCCGCCCCTTCCCTTCACCGCGGCCCTGTCCAGCACGCGTGCAGGGACTCGAGAGAGAGCACGCTCGACATGGCCGCGGACGACGACCTCGCCTACCTCCTGTCGATCGCTCCCGACGACGACGAGGCGTCGGGCCCGGACTCGCCCGCGCCCGCCCCCGCACGCGACCCCACACCCGCGCACCCAGCACCACACCCGTCCGCAACACAGCGACCGCAAGACCCCCCCGCACGCGCGCCCGACGACGACCCCCCGCCGGCGTCCGTCGCTCCGGGGGCGTTCGCGGCCATTTTCGGCGCCGGGAAGCCGCCCCAACCCTCCCAGCGCAGCCATGTGGCAGCGGGACAGGCTCAACCCTCCGCGCGCCCGTCCGCGAGCGGCCGGACCGTGCCGCCGCCGCAGAGGGTGCCGCTGCCTGCGCACATGGCGGCACAGACAAGCGCGCGCCCCGCCGCGGCAACAACGTCCGCCTTCGGCATGAAGCGCGCACAGGGGGGGGTGTCCGACCGCAGCCAGCAGCCTGACGAGGCGTTCCGGGACCCGCTGACAGGTGCGTGCGCCGGTTCCAGCGGCCGAAGAAGACGTCCGCGACCTGCCTGGTGTTCGACGCCGCAGAAGACACCGTTTCGTGTCTGTTGCAACTACAGGTCTCCACGTCATCAAGCCCGTGTTCTCGCTGATGGCGCTGCGTACGAGGTTCGAGCTGTACCAGTACTTCCAGCTGGGCACGCACCCCGCCGCCGAGAGCCGCGAGGGCCGCGGGCAGGGCGCGGGGGGGGACCAAAGGCCGTGGGGCACCGTCGGCGTGCTAGTCGAGAAAAAGAAGGCAGCTACGACGAAGACCGGCGGCGTCTACCACGTGCGTGCGCCCACGCAACGCGCGAGGAGTCGATTCGCGCGGCTGCATCGCGCCGGGGCCGCTACGTCGCTGCCCCGCCGCATTGCTGCGTGTGGTGTTGAACAGGCTCTCGCTGTTTCGACTGAGCTGCAGGTGTGGGGGCTGCGGGACGCACACGGCAACAGCATGACGCTGTTCCTGTTCGGCGACGCCGTGAAGGCCCACGGCACCATGCTCGACGGCACCGTGCTGGCTATCTTTGACGCGCGGGTGCGGGCCGGGAAGGGCGACACGACGATCTCGGTGGACCGCCACGACCAGATCATCAAGGTGGGGAGGAGCGGGGACTTCACGCACTGCCGCGGCGCCGACGAGGACGGAGCAAAGTGCAGGGTCGTTGTGGCCTCGGGGGAACTGTACTGCCGCCGGCACTTGAAGGCGCGCAAGGACCTGCTGCGGCGCTCGCGTCGCCCTGACGTCACCGGGGCTCTGCACGTCACGAACATGGGCAGCACCATCCGGTATAAGGTGAGCGCCGTCGTCAACAAGATGAGTGTGCAGGAGCGCTGCGTTGCCGCGTCTGCGCGGCTAGCGGGGCCTGACGTTCGCTGCGGCACTGCGATCGGTGCAGGATCCAGCCCGGGCGCACCTTGTTGCGTTGGGCGGCGAGGTCGGGGCGCGGCCTGCGTTTGCGGATCAGGGGACGGACTCAGCGGTGCACAAGCGCGCGCTGGCGGCCGGGAAGACGATGGGCGCGAAGTACCTGACGGCGGTCACGGAGGCGCAGCAGCGGGAGCGCGAGCGCGAGCAGAGCGCGCGGTCTGCGGCGGGGCAGCAGGCCACGGAGGACGCGGGGCTGATCCAGCGGCTGATTCGCGCCCAGCGGGACCCGAACGACACGTCGCGCATAATGCCGGAGCAGGCGAAGCTGCAGGCGCGAAAGCTGCTGGAGCCAGAGCGCGACAGCGCCCCCGACCCCGACCCCGCGGCGGCGCGGCTCGAGAGGGCAGTGAAGCACGACCCCGGGGGGAGTCGCGGGGGTGCTCTCGTGGTGAAGCCGGCGGCCTCGGTTTCGCGCCAGGCAGCGGCGGCAGCAGCGGCGCGAGGGCCGCTCGAGGCGGCCGCCGCGCGCCTCAACGCGGGCGCGGCGACCGCAAGGACTGGCGGCCCCCTGGGGAGGGTGTCGGCAGGCGGCGTCAGGAAGAAGACGTCGCGGCCGGCGCCCGGCTCGTTCGCCGCGGCGTTTGCCGGCGCGACCGCGCTGGCCGGGGCGGCGACGGCGCTCGAGAAGAAGCGCATGATGATGGAGGCTGCGGAGGACCGCGCGATGCGCGTCGTGGACCATTTCGTGGAGAAGGAGGTGATGGAAGAGGGGGAGAACGGCGGGAAGGATCCGGACGAGGTGCAGGCGTACTACTGTCTGACGTGTCGGACGTGGTCGCAGTATCGGCCGAAGAAGGATTGCCTGAAGTGGAACCACAAGGTGGAGAAGAAGACGGCGCGGCAGCGGTGGTTCCGTTGCGTGGAGTGCCGGGCGATCGAGTGCGCGGTGGGGACGATCGTGCCGTCGGGCGGGTGCAGGAAGTGCGGCGCGGTGCGGTGCTGGAAGGCTTGCGAGCGGCCGCAGAGGCGCAAGCGGGCGCTGGACGCGCTGCTGGAGGAGCGCGACAAGCTGCAGGTGACTGTCGATGGGCAGAGACACGACTACGACGAAGTCAGCTGAGGCGGGCGGGGGGGGTCTCGAGGAACACGTGTCACACGCTCTGATTTGCTAGATGCGCGCCGCGAACGTGCCAGTCGGCGTAGGCGTGTGAGCCTGTGCTTCGAGATGCGCGCCGGACGCTCTGTGCACATTGGCGGCGATTTCGGTTGAGCGGTCACGCTGCATCCTATGTGAGAATCGACTTTGGGATTCCCAAGTGGAAGAGTGAAGGGAGCCAAGGTGGGCGAGGGAGGGGAGTGGAAATCGAGGGAGCTTGGCGGCCAGCGAGCGTCGGCGAGGGGCTCGTCGGGCGCGGAGGATCGCAACAGCTAGGCAAGCCTGCGAGGGACCCTGGGAGGGAAGAAATACCACACACGCGCAACTTTGAATGCGGGTGGCGGGTTTCTTCAGCAGCGAAGCTACGCGAGGAGTTCGCTGGGGAGTTAGCACACGGGTTGGTAGCGTCGGCACGCCACAGCGTATCAGATTGCGTCTCTTCGACGGGTAGTGAAGGCGCCGACTGATGCGTTGGAACACCGCTCGATAGGGGACGAACATGCAGAATGCTGCTTCGACGTGCAACAAAGGGTACGACGAAGGGGGTTAAGAGATAAGGGGGAGGGGGGAGTTGAGGTGAAAGGGCTACGCCGTGGCAGGGCGCCTGCTCCGTTGCATGAAGCGGCGCAAGCCCGTCGAATCCAGCCGGGCGTCAGCCACGGGGCCGACCTGGGGCACTCAGCGTCGTCAATCCTCGCGCAAAAGCGACCTGAGTTCCCCTGCGACGAGGGCGCGCAGCAGGTTCCGCAGCGCAGCGCGCATGCCTCATCGCATCATCCGCGCGCTCTCCGGCGTCCGCGGCGTCAGCGCCCCCGGGAGCGACGCCTTCGGCAACGCCGGCCGCTGCAACCTGACCACTGGCGCGCTTGCCTCATTGTCGTCGGAATCGTTGTCTTCGACGATCGCCTCCAGCAGCGCCGGCGGAGGCGTGCGGCTGTCGAGCCTGCCGGGAGTTCGCCGCGGCGACACGCCGCTCGCGGAGCCCTCTGGTGTGCTTGGCGCGATTCGCCGGTGCAGGTCCGCCAGTCGCTCAAAGGCCTCCATCATCCGGCGCGTGGCCGTGCGCTCCGCCATCACGCGGCGCAGCTCGTGCTGCAGCCGCGGGAAGGCCTCGGCGAGCTTCTCGAGCCCCGAGCGATCCACCTCGAGCGCCTCCACGCGCGTCACGGCCCGCACAGTCGCCGTCCGCACCTCCGCCTGCCCGAGCAGCGCAGCCTCGCCGACCACGTCGCCCGCCTCGCGGCGCGCCAGCCCCCGGTACCCCACGTCCGGCTGCAGCAGCTCGCCCAGGCTCGCCGCGCCCTCCGCTGCTCGCCTCACCAGAAACTCCAGCGATTGCCGGCGGCGGCGCGGCATCCGGGCGCCCGCCACGAACACCGGCGCCCCCGCCGCGGTGCTCTCCACCGCGCTGCACGGCCGCCCGCCCTCGTCGCCGCCCGCGTCGGACAACGCCCCCTTGTCGTCATCGTCCAGTCGCAGCTTCTTTCTGGTGTCGCCGCCGCGGCGAGACGCGCCCGACGCGGTCGTCTTCGACCCCGCGGACGACCCGGACGGGCACGAGTTGCGTCGCCGCCGCGCGGGCTGTTTGGAGTCCGGGTCCAAGTCAAGGACGCGATACGAGATCTCACGAACCTGGTCCTCCCCCCATCGCAGGCCCTTGCGGCGCGAGCGCGTCCGCGGCGTCGTCGTGGCGAGCTCGTTGCGCAGCAGGTCCGAGGGCGTGCGGGCGACGGGCGGCGTCGTCGCGTCGGGCAGCGGCGACGCCTTGAGTTTTGGCGGAGGAGAAACGACGCTCAGGGCCGGCGCTGTCGGCCCGCGCCGCACCTTGGGTTTGCTCGTGTGCGAGATCTCCGACAGGTTCGACGACCGCTCGCTCAGGGGGGGTCTCGGCAGCGGTGTAGCCCGCCCACTGCGGGCTGACACCGGTTCGTCCCCGGCCCACGCGGTGGGCGCGAGGCGCGAGCTGCGCACAGAGCTCCTCGCTGACCGGTCGGTCATCGCGCCGCTCGTGGCGATCGACGGGTTGCGGCTCGAGTGGAAGGATTGCATGGCCGAGCCCGCAGCCGATGTGCCGTTGGTGTCCGAGCTCCCGGGCCGCTGCCTGCTCGCGTGCGACGTGCCGGGCGCGCGGGAGCTGGCGAAGGAGGTGCGAGGGGCCCCGGAGGTGGCGTTGGACTGCGCGCGGCTGTGCATTGTGCGCACAGAGTGCGCGGTGTTGCTGTTCCCCGGGCTGCTCTTCTCCTCCGGGATGCCCATGTGGTCGAGGAGGTCCTCGAGGTCATCTGCGGGCAATCCGAAAGATCGCGACGGCGGGCGTCACGCGCCGGTGCTGCGTATCAAACAGATAGCAAACATCATCATTGTGTCGGCACACTGCGCGGCACGAAGGGCCCGGACCTGAGCCGACGTGGCGGTCGAGCCTGCCCGACGTGTACCTCCCGAGCGGCGCCTTCGGGAGGTTCAGCTCGATCTCCTTGCCCCCTACAACGATCCTGGGCTTGCTGGGCGTGGCGCCGAGGCGCGGGCTCAGCATCGCCGCGGCGGTCGACGGCGGATCCGCGGTGTCCGACGTGCGCTTCAGAACCTCGGCCTGACCCGACAGTATAAACAGCATGTGGTCGCCTGACGACCCCTCCGCCATTAATACATCCCCAGGCTCGAACGTGCGCCGCGGCATCGGCGCGCCGCCGTGCTGGCCGTCGATCGCCGTGCGGATCACGGACAGGAGCGGCCCGCCCGGCGCGCCGCTGGGGGACATCCCCGTGCCGCTGAAAGACCCCCGGGGGCCTGCCGACCCCGGCGATGTCAGGTTTCCCAGCGCGCGGGGCGTGCGGCCGTCGAAGGACCGGTTCGACCAGTCGCGGCTGTCGCCGGGGAGCGAGACCGAGTGCGCAAAGTTCTGTCCGCGGCGCACAGGAGAGGCGTTCTCGTCGGGTGCGTGCAGGGATCCGCCATCCGCGCTCGCGGGCAGCAGCTGCAGCGCGGACCTCGTGGCCTGCGCCGAGGGATCGGAGCGCTTGCTCTCGAGCGGCTGGCCTGGACCGGGCGAGCGCCTGTCTGCACCCAGCGCGCTGCGACCCTGCGCGCTCTCGCAGTCGACTCCTATCCGGCCGCTGACGCCCGGAGACATGGCGCTGCGGGACGCGTGCGCGCTGGCAGCCCCGCCGCCGCTCGGTCCCTCGCGCACGCGCTGCTCGACGGAGGAGGCGCGCACGCCGCGCGCACTGTCGCACAACACTCCTCCGGGGTCGTTCGCAGAGCTGTAGGACCGCTGCGACGTCGACAGCTGCACCGCGTCGGCGGCGTCCCACGCAGCGTCGACTGCGTCCCAGCCGCTGCCAACCCACGCGTCGCAAATGACTTCGTCGAGCGTCGCGCGCTTCTTCGGGTCCTTTTCCAGCAGCTTGTGCAGCAACGTTTTCACGTCGTCCGAAAGAGCGACGTCGTCGGGGAACGTCAGCTCATCGTCGATGATGGCGTCGTACAGCCGGAACATCGTCATCTTCGGCCCCCCGAACGGCAGCCGGCCCGTCAGCATGAGGAAGAGCGTTACGCCAGATGCCCACACGTCCGCGGCGCGGCCGGAGTACTCCTCGCCCATGCAGATCTCCGGCGCGAGGAACGCGGGCGTCCCACGCACCGCGAGCATCGTGTCGTCGCCCCCGCGCCCGAACGCCGTCGCGCTGCCGAAGTCCGCCAGGCGCACGTTGCCGTCGGCGCCCAGCAGCAGATTCGCAGGCTTGATGTCGCCGTGGACGACGCCCATGTCGTGCAGGTAGTCCAGCGCGTCCACGAGCTGCAGGAAGTAGTCGTGCGCCGTCGCCTCGGACAGCCGCTCCGCAAAACACCCCTCCCCAAACTCCACCGAGGTGTGCTCGCCCTCCTCCATCTGCACGGACCCGCCCTCGACGTACTCCATCACGCACAGCACGTGCGGCGCCTTCTCGTCGTCGATGACCTCGTGCACCTTGACCACGTTGGGGTGCTCGAGCGACGTCAGCACCGCCGCCTCCTGCTTGAGCGTGGTGGCCTTGCACGGCTTGCGCGCGACGCGGCGCGACGCGGACCCCGCCTGGCCCGCGGGGGCCTTCTGGACGAGCTTCACCGCCACGAGCGTCGACGTCGTCATGTCCATGCACAACTTCACGTCCCCGTTCGCCCCAGACCCTGCAAACAACAGCGCCAACACAAACCACCTCGACACATGCGCTTCGCGTCGATCTGAGCCTGGGTGGCACGGCCGAGCAGCGTCAGCGGGGCACGTTCTATCCTCAGGGCGCCTCCGGCGGTGCGCGCACCGATCGTCTTGACCACGGCGTACTGATTATAGAACCCCGCAACCTTCCCATCGTACGTCCCGACGGCGAGGTGCTTGGTCTCGGTGAGCTCCTGCCGGGCCGTCTGCCCCGTGGTGCTGCTTCGGCGCGACAGGTGGCGGTCGCGCAGCGCCGCGCCAGAGAGCACGGAGCCTGTACGCTGGCAGATGCTGTTGCTCCGAGACAGGCCGTAGGCGCTGGAGTCGACGCCCCTGCTCGCGTCGGCGTTGCCAGCGAAGGACACCGCCCTCCCGGACACGCCGGCGCCGGTCGACGACGCGAGGAGGCGCGCCATGTCCTCATAGGTCGACACACCATGCGCCTCAACAGCGTCCTTGATGTTGCCGTGCAGGGACCCCTCGCGGTGCAGCGACGCCGCGGACTTCGGCCGCGACTTCCGCGACTGGCGCTCCGGCGACGAGCTGCGCGAGCTCTTGGCTGCAATCGCAAGAGCGCAATGGGGCAGGGGGGGGGGGTTTATGCTTCGCTGGGGCAGCAGCGCGCGGGGAAGCCACAGCCCCACGACCGGCGGGGGCACCGAGGCTGCGGTGACGCGAGGCCGGGCGCGATCGCGGTCAGGGCGGCGCACCGATGATCCTGACGGACTTGGCGCGTTTCTTCTTCATGACTTTCTCTTCTGTGGCGTGCTCCGTGAGCTGCTTCGACAGCTCCTCCGCGAAGTGCACTCCCGGGGCAGGGGACGGCTGTCCGGACGACGTCAGCGCCAGCGCCCCCGCCATGCCGACCACGGCAGCCACGTCAGGGCGCGCTGACAGCGGGTCGCCGTGCGACCCGCCAGCGCAGTGCGGCAGGATCGGCCGCCCGGCGTGCAGCACGATCTCCGCCGCGAGGCTCGTGCGCGCGCAGCGCACCGCCGTTTCCGCGCACGTCAGCACCGACAGCCCGACGCTGCCGCCGTTACCGCTGGCGATCGTCTCGACCTGAGCGTGCGGCGCCGCGTCGGCGTCGCGCGCGCCCAGGAGCGTGTTCCCCGTGTTGATCTTGCGCAGCAGCGCGTGCTCGGCCCGGCTCGCGACCGACGGCGCCGCCGACGACACCCCTGTCCGCACGGACCCGCCAGCGAGGCTGTGCTCGTCCGCGAGCCGCGACGGCGCGCCGAGGCTGCTGCGCGTCGAGAACCGCCGGTTCTTCATCGCCTCGTACTGCCGCAGCGGCCGCGTGCGGTACCCCTTGGCGCGCGTGCCGTCCGCGTGCACCAACACCCCCGACTTCTCAGTCCGACCGGCCTCAGACCCCCCCTCGCGCACCGATTTCGTCGGCTGCACCCGCTCCGGCCTGCTCTTCCGGAACCGCCGGCCGTCCGCGGGCTCCGCGGGCGCTCCGCGCGAGCGCCCCGTCACTATTCCGAGCAGCGCCGCCACGGCACGCCGTCCGCGCGAGGACCCCTCGTTGGCCTCGCTGCGGACCTGCGGCGCGCGCCGGGGCTGCGCGGGCACGCTGATCGGCGCCAGCCGCAGCGGGCCGTCCTCGGGGGGCGGCTCGAGGCTCAGCACCCGGCTGCTCGCGGTGTCGCGGCGCACGTGGGCGCTGGGGGCCGCCCCGGTGCGGAGCACGCCCGCGCTGCGGTGCTTCGATATCCGCGGGGGGACGTCCGCGTCGGAGGGGTACGCGTAGACCGCGGTGAGCTTGCGCGAGGTCCCGCGGCGCCGCAGGACGCGCAGGAGTGCGCCGGGCAGCGACAGGAAGCGGACCCGCCTCCCCGTGACGACGACGCGCGGCCAGCGCACGCAGAGCGCGGCAGCGCATCCCGGCGACATTTTGTCCCTGGAGTCCGTCGAGCTGGTCCGGACCATGGACGCGATCGGGGCCGGCGGCGGCCGGGGCCACCCGCGCTTGTCCAGGCTGCCTCGTGGGCGCGTGCTGGTCGTCCTCGAGATGCTCCCGGTCGCCTCGAGCATCCTCTCGGTGCTGATCGTCCGGTGGCGCACCGCGGCGCGACTCCCGAACCTCCGCGACGGCGGGCGGCTGCTGTCGAGCAAAACACCAGAGCCCACCAGCCTCGAGCCCGGTTCGTCTCTGCGAGGGACCGAGGGTGCGGAACGGTCGCGCACGATCCAACACACGTACACACACTGCACGTTTGCGGGCCCGACGCGCCGGACACGCCAGCAGCGGCGCCGCAGAGCGCGCTGTTGTTGGTTGGCTGTCCCTGCAGCGTTCAAGGCAACGTTTGGGGGCACGGCCGCCGTCCGCGGTGGTGGCGGCGCGACCTGCCCGCAACGCGGGCTCCGGGGAATCTCCAGGGCATACCTGATATTCTGCGAGCTTCGGACCTTCAATATCGGCCCGGACGGCGCGCTCACGGGCCCTGAGTCGCGGGGTGCGCGCTCGGCCGCCGCGCCCTCCGCAGCGCCCCGCCGCGGCGCGGGCTGCACGGGGACGATCTCGTTGGTGCGTGGCGGCACGTCGACGCGCAGGTGGGGGAAGACGGACGGCGCGGCGAGGGCGGCTGCGGCCTGGCCTGTGGGCACGTCCATGCGCCAGGCGCGCGCCCCGCCGTTGGGGGCTTCGGCGGGCCCGCGCGCGGCGGTGACCACGCGGATGTGGCCGAGAGGGTTCCTGTGGTCCGCCATGCTTCAATAACTCAGTCCAGAGTCATGGCGGCGCGAAATGTGAACGTGCCCCTCGTGCCTGCAAGTCAAAGCAGGCGCGCCGCCAGCTCGCGTCTCTCGATGCGAAAGGTCGCCGCGGCGGACGGTCGCGCCACTCGAAGTCCCAGGAAGGTGGGCGTGACGTTTGCCCGTGCCTGGGACCCGCACGGAGCCTGCGGCGAGCGAAGCCGCTCGTCGGCGATCGGTGCGCCCCGCACGGCCCTGCCGCGACTGTGTTCGGGGCATTGACGCACCTTACGCCTCAACCGAGACTCAATCGACCTTTTCCAACCGTAACTTCGAGCTCAATCGATTCCGTCGAGGGCCTGGCAGCTCTCGCTTGTCAACCAAACAGTCGGTGCGCTTTGTCTCTCGCTAGGAGCGGACAGCTGCGCATCATGTCCGTCACGGCCTCCATGCACACGCACGGCGCGCTCCTGGGGCGATGAGCCCCGGCGGGGCGTCCGCGACGCCGTCGTCGACGGTCGTGTCATGTCGGGCACACTAGGAGGGTCCCGTGCGCCGCAGTGTGCGTCCGACTGACACAAACAGCGATGTACCGCGGTGTTCACTTCGTAATCGTTGCGAAAATTTCAATGCGAACCAAGTATGACGCCTGAATCGCGCGCCCTGTAGCTGGAGAGGGGCGCCTGATGCCTCGGCGCCGCCCGCCCCGGGCGTGTTCACCGCCGTGCCCGCCGTGAGCCCACGTCGCCACATTCGCATGTCCGGGCCTGGCATCCGGCCCGGCCATCCATGCCCCTGACCTCTGGCCGCAGACACCAATCGTTGCTGCACGCGGCGCTGCCCTCTGTGCCTGGCTGCACGCCGCGGCCGTCGCCAGCCGCCACGAGACCCCTGCCTCCCTCTGTCCGAGCGCAGGTTGGGCCGCTCGTCGCAGCTCGGTCGTCTCACGTCACGTGCTTCTTGCCCATGACGACAGCAGACCGCCATCCTCCCTGCTAGTAATTCGTTGCCAGACCTGCCCCGCCCACCGGGCTTCCCGGCACAGACAAGTGCGGCCACGCGCTCCGGCCTCGTTCCGCATCACATGAGATCCGCGTCGAATTGGTTGGCCGCGAAGGACAGCCTGCGTTTCCCCGCGTTGTCCTTCTGCCGCTCCTTCTGCGCCGCCTCCTTCTCCAGCTGCTCCAGCTGCGCCTGCTTCAGCCGCTGGTAGCGCTGCACGCGCGCCTTGTTCGCCACCCACGAGCGGATGGCGGTGTTGGACAGAACGATGCCCTGGTCCCGCAGCTCCTTCCGCGTCTGGAAGCCGCGGTACCACGCCTGCGCAACGCAGCGGAGCAATGCGGCGGAGGTGGGGCGCAGACGGGCGTGGCGCGGCGGCCAGGACAGTTGCTTTCCACGTTGCATGCATGGGCGTGATGCGCGGACAGGTTGGTGCGGTTGCGCGGACGGCGACGCGACGTGGACGACAGCGCGCGGGCTGTGTGCTCGCGCACTCGGGCCCCGCATGTGCGCGCGCTAACGCGAGGCGGAGCTCTGTCTGCACGACATACTGCGCGCCGAGCGTTTGCATATGTTGTGTTGGGGCAAGTGCGAGCGCCGCCGCACCTGGATGCGCACGATGGTCCTGACGAACAGCATCAGGCGCCGCGCGAGGCGCGCGCGCCACCACTTCTGGATGGTCGTCGCGGCCCACGCCGCCCGCGTCCACCGCGCCCGCGCGGTCAGCGCATGCACGTTCGTCACCTCCTCCGACCCCACCGCCGCCCGCATCAGATCGTCCGGCTGCAGCACGGGCTTCCGCGCCTCGTCCGCGTCCCCCTCGCCCTCGTCCTCCTCGATCCGCGTGAAGCTCGCCATCCGCGTGAGCATCGCTCGCTTGCGCCCGTCCAGGCCCGCGCGGCCCAGCCCGAGCGGCCCGACGGCGCCAGGGCGCGTCGCAGCGCGGATCTCGCCCTCCGCGCCCTCCTCCGGCGCCGCAGCGGGGCCGCGCCGCCGCGGCCGCTCCACGCCGGCCTGCGGCGCGCCAGGGCCCTGGTCGGCGGTCTGGTCCGACCCGACAGCGACGGCGAGAGCGAGCTCCTGGCCGATGCCCTCGAGCGGGCCGCCCATGTCGATGAGCGCCGACACGGCCTCCTTGCGCGCCTTCTCCTCCTTGGTCAGCTCCTCGAACCCCCCCGTGAGGACTAATTCGTCCAGAGCCGAGTCCAGCGCGTCGGGGTCGGCCAGCAGCCGGCGCTCCAGCGCCAGCAGCTTCGCCTCCTTCGACAGCTCGTTCTCCGCCGCCACCTCCTGCACGCACAGCCGACACCACCGCGCTCAGGCGACACACCACGTGACAAAACAGCGCTCCGCGCGTCCGGGGCGCCGCACGGCACGTGTGCAGAGAGCGCGAACTCACGTCCGGTGCGAGGTTCGGCGCGGGCGGCACTGCGTCGAGCCCGTTGCCCTCCAGCTGCCTCAGGTTTGCCATGATGCGCGCCATCAGCTCGGGCGTCTCGTGCCCCTCCGCCACGGCATGCGCCTCCTCGGGCGTCGCCCCGCCCTGGATGCACCGCGTCACGATCTTGTTCCGCATCTCCACCAGCCGCCGCTCCTTCTCCCGCTGCGTCGCCAGCTCGTGCTTGCGCTGCTGCTGCCGCAGCAGGATCGTGTTCGCCTGCACGATCGTCCGCGCGTCGCCGATCTTCCCGTCCAGGTCCTCCAGCGACTCGTAGTCCCCGGGCCGCAGCTGCCGCACCGACAGCACCGCCGCCATCGCTGCGCGCCGCTGCGCCTCCTGAAGCTCCTCCTCCTCGCCCGCCTGGTCGAACTGCGACTCCAGCCGCTCGAACAAGCCGTGCAGCAGCCCGCGCTGCAGCCCGCGCAGGTCCAGCTCCAGCAACAGCACGTCGGCGGCCAGGTCCCCAGTGCCCAGGGTGCCGCCGATCACGAAAATCCGCTTGTCGCGGATGAGCGTCGCGGTGTGGCCCGCGCGGCCCTTGAACTGCGCGCCCCGCTGGTTCACCTGCAGCCACTTCCAATCCTTCTTCGGGTCCCCACGGACGTCCAAAATGAGGACCTGCGCAGGAAGGGGGGGGGTGTTCATCAGGCGACGAGCATCAGCGCAGGGGCGCTCAGGGCGTCCCCGGTAGCGCCTCGCCGCTGCGCACAGCGATCGCGGCGGCCCAGCAAGAGTGGTGTTGCACTCACGTCGCCGACCATGGAGGACCCAGTCCAGCCGCCGAGCAGCACGACGAGGTCCTCCTTCGGCAGGTACGTCATCGTGTGCCCCGACCGCCCCGGCGGCGTGGCTCCCTCGATGATCGGCCGCGTCCACTCGAACGTGCGCATGTCCAGGATCCAAGCGTCGTTCCGCTGCCCCTGCGCGTTCTGCCCGCCGTGGATCAGCAGCCGCTGGCCCGGCAACACGCAGTACGCGTGCGACGCGCGCCCCGCCGGCGCCGCCCCGACCCTGCGCCGCACCCGGGCAACACCCCGCCGACTCTCAACGCAAGGACAAGACACCGCGGGCCGGAGCGAAGCAGCGCGCTGCGAGCCCGACGTCGGCGCAGCACTGCGCGCGCCCGCACCTGCCGTTTTCCGGCCGGACCACCTTGTACGCCCAGCGCCAGGTGTCGGTGTTGAGGACGTACACGTGGTCGACGAACGACGTGTTCCAGCCGCCGTGGATGAGCACGAGCTTCGCGCCCTCGAGCACGCACAGCGCGTGGTTGCTGCGCCCCACGGGGACCTCCCCGGAGGTCTCCTGGGTGTACTCGTACCAAATGTCAGACGTGTGGCCCTCGGGGGGCACCGCGCCCGGCCGCGCGCGCAGGAGCGTGCTCTTCGCGTTCACGCCGTCCACGAACGGCTTGAACTCGTCCAGCACGAACACCGAGTCCAGCACCGACCCGTTCGCGAACCCGCCGTACGTCAGGATGCGCGGCACTGCGCCTTTCCCGAGCTTTTCGCGCCGGGGCGCGATCAGCCCGAACCCGCGGTACGCCGCGGGCTCCGGGGGATAGAACTGCGCGGGAGGGAGCGGGCGCGCGCGTTGCGGCGGCGCGCGGCGCGGAGGAGGCCGGCCCGACGAGCGCACGGGGGGGGTTGGCGCGGGGGCGCGCACCTGTGCCATCGAGGCCCAGGACCGGGACTTGGTGTTGTAGACGAAGAGGTCGCTGGTGGCGCCGCTGTCGTCGTTGCCGCCGAACACGAAGATGCGGTACTCCTTGTTCGAGAAGGTCAGGGCGCTGTGTCCGGCGCGCCCGGTGAAGTTCGGGTGGCCGGGCGCGGTCGTGGTCTTGTTCACCGTCCAGATGGCGTCGACCGAGCCCTTCGTTTCGAGGAGTTCCTGCGTCGCGGGGGTGCGCGGGCGGCGCGTCGGGCGCCCCGAGGCGCGGCGGGGAGGGGCAAGGTGCGTGCACGGGCGGTGGGGTGCTGCGGCGCGTGGGAGGGACGCGCGGCGTCGAGGGCCGCACCCTGAGCTTTCCACCTCCTCCCATCTGTGTAACGAGCGCCATTGCCTTCTCTCGTCGCTTCTCCTGCCCCCGAGCGGGCGCATTCTCCCCTTGGTCAAATTCGCTCCTCTGCTTCCGTGACTTCATCCTGCTCGTCCTGCACGGTCGCAGGGTCACGAGGCTGTCGCGTTCGATCTCGCGCGCGCGTGCGCGACCACACCGGACGCGCCAGCCGCCCAGCACCAGTTGGCACTTGCGCACGAAGTTCCACGAGCTCCGGGGCGCATGCAGGTTAACCAGGAGTGCCAGATATGGAAACAAACGCATGCTTCGGCGGAAGGAGAAGGGTTTGGGGGAAAATTCAGCGGACGTACATGCTTGCGGACGCCCTGGCGACGATGTTGAGCTGGTCTGCCACTTCGTCGAGCAGCTCGTCCCGCGCAGCCTTCTCCTTCTGCTTCTCTATCTGCAGTGAGCCGCGCAGTCAAGGGGGCGGCCGTCTCGCACGGCAGCGCCGTCCAGCCACGACGGTGCGGTGGACGACGCGGCTGGGCATGCCACGCTGCACTGCGCCCTCGCTCGGCGCCGCGGGGCACGCACGGGACCAAGTCAGTGGCGCAGCCACACGTCCAGCGCACGAGGAGGCTGCGGCCTCGAGCACCGCGGGCGGGGGTTCCGGCGCTGCGCAGCATACCTCTCTGTCGATGATGGTCTGGATTTCCGTCCCAGAGGCGCGCATGCTGTTCTTGCGGGACAGCCCGCCGAACAGGCTGGCCCTGGCAGAGCGGCGCTGCTCGGACGCCATCTTGGTTCCAGGCGGCTGCTGGCCAGCCCGCCCTGCCCCACCTTCTCACTGCTCTCTCTCCGCCCTCCGCCCGCGCTATCGAACGCGAATGTCGCAAGCGCGATGACGGGTCAGCTACACCATGTCGAGACCCCGCAGCGGGCGCAGCTTGCGTGCGTGTACGCGCTACGGAGCGACGTTGCGCGGCCCAGATGCACTCTGCGGTCGTTCTTGCGCGCCCTGCGACGCACCACGCGCACACCAGGGACGTCGCCACGCGCAGGGGCAAGCACTGTGGCCGTGGACGCTGCGCAGCCGCCCCACGTCGCGATGCCCGCCAGCAGGGGGAGTCGCCGGACTGTCCGTCAACTGGGAGTCTCCGAGTCCCCGCACGTCGCGGGGGAGCATGGGGCCGCCTGGGCCGCAGGCCCGGTCAGTCAGGCGCTTCAGCGCTCATGAACTGGACACGCACCACGACGTTCGTAGCATCGCCACGCCTGGGGTCGACTGCAGCGCGGCGCGGGCTTGGACAGCGGCCGCGCGTGGCGAGAGTGCAGCCGGAGGTCGCGCAGCCGCTCGCGCGCAAGATGGCGTGGAGGTCGCACGGCAGGGACAACGAGACGCTCGTCGAAGCCCTCACGCGCAACAAAATACTCCGCACGCCCGCTGTGGCCGAGGCCATGCGCGCCGTGGACAGGGGGCTGTTCGCTCCCCCGGGGTGAGCACCGGCCTACCCACTCGTGGACTTGCGGACGCACCCTGCGCGCGTGCCGTACCGGCGCCGCCGCGACGGTTGGGCGCCGTTTTCCACCGTGTCCATGTGGTTGGCTGCCCTCGCCGCGCCTCTTGTGCAGCGACGGCGCCGCTCGCCCCGCCGCGCCCTGCCGCGCCGCACGTGGACCAGGCCCATCCGGCCGCGTGTACGTTCTGCGCCGCGACGGCGCCGCCGGAGGGGCACGTTCACCCACGACCAACCACCTTGCGCTTTTCGCCCGCCGCGGCGCCGCCCGTGGACCGTTTCGGCGCGGCCTCCGCGAGCGACACAACCTCACACTGACAGCTCACCAAGCGGCCGCGCCTCGCGCGTCGTGACGGGGACGAGCGTGACACTCGCAGCACGTCCGCTCTTTCTCGCAGCATTCGACCCGGGTCGATGTACGAGGACGCGCCGCAGCCCATCGGGTTCAGCGCCACCATCAGTGCGCCGCACATGCACGCGCACTGCCTGGAGCTCCTGCGCACGCACCTCGCGCCGGGAATGGCCGTCCTGGACATTGGCAGCGGGAGCGGATACCTCCTCGCGGTAATGGCCCACATGGTCGGACCCACGGGGAAGGCCGTGGGCGTGGAACACGTCCCGGAGCTGGTCGAACGAAGCTCGTACGCAACCCGCCCGCGTTGATTCGTTTCAGTGGCGTGCCGCCCCGCGCGTCCGCCACGCGCACACCGAAGCGTGCCGCCGCCCTCTGCCCCGCAGGGACGCGCTGAGCAAGATGCCGGAGATGTGCGAGATGGCGGCGGCGGGGTCGCTGCAGGTCGTCTGCGGCGACGGGTTCAAGGGATACCCCCCCGGGGGGCCCTACGACGCCATCCACGTGGGCGCTGCCGCGCCGCACGTCCCCGCGGCGCTCGCGGAGCAGCTCAAGCCCGGCGGGCGCATGATCATCCCCGTCGGGCGCGAGGGCGAGGCGCAGGACCTGGTGGAGGTGGAGAAGGACTCCGGGGGCACACTGCGCCAGCGCAGCCGCATGGGCGTGGTGTACGTGCCGCTGACGACGCTGCAGCACCAGACGGGCCGCACGTGGCGGTGAGGGCCGGGGGTTGGCGCAGGAGGGGCTGCAGGTGTTTGTTCGATCGATTGCTTCGCGAGTCTGTGCCGCAGCAGCTGCGCGGACGGAACTGCATACACAGAAGATGATGCTGGCCAGCCTGGACCGGCTCGCTGGATTGCTGTGCGGCATGAGAGGGCTGTGAGTGCCCGCGCCGGACGTTGGGGAGGGGGTGTGCCCGAAGGACCCCACACGACGAGTCGCGGAGAATGATTCGCAGCACTGCAGACACTCGAGCTGGCGTTCGCAGGGGTGCTCGTAGGTCAGCGAAGAACTATCGGGACGGGGCGCGGCCATGCAGCGAATTACAAGCGCCTCGTGCGCAACACCGTTCGAATGCTCCTGGCTCAGTCAGTCAGTTTGCAACACGCTCGCTCGCTCTGCTGCAAGCTATTCAGTCCCACTGCCGCCCCTTTCGTGGCGTCGCAAGGACGGGCCTGCAGGTATTACCTGCAATAATTCTATTTCATCGCAGCCCTCAATCAGTATCCCTGCGCCTGCCTATCAGACCATACTATCTGTCCATGTCGAGGATGCCTTCGACGTCCGCGCGCCTAGCCCACCTGGTCCCCCTCCGCGGGCGTCTCGCCCCCGCCCAGCGCCCCCTTGCCGTCGGTATGAGCCTTCAAGATCGCCTGCAACACCACCACGCCGCCCTCCTTGTTCATCGACCCGTTGTACGACCGGCACTCCGTCAGGTGCACGCAGCCAGGGCACCCTCCCACCGCGGTGCACGGGCAGCCCGAAATGATCTCGATGGCCCTCTGAAGCAGCTTGCCAAACACCTTCGAGGCCTGCCGCGCGAGCCCGACGCCGCCCTGGTTCTTGTCGAACAGCAGCAGCCGCTCGGGGCGGTAGTGGCGGTCGCTGAAGTCGCCGCACTCCGCGCCCATGTCAGTCGGGGAGCACGTGACGAGGAGGGGCAGCGCGGCGAGCGTTGCGTGCGCCGCGGCGTGCAGGCTGTCGGAGAAGGGGAAGCCGAGCGCGGTGAGCTGCTTGCGGACTTCGTGGGGAACGCGGATGTACGTCGCGAGGGTGTCGAAGCTGCTGTCGGGGAGGTGCAAGTCCACAGAGTCAAACACAACACCGCTGCCCTGCACGAGCAACACAACGCGAGACAGCGCTCCTCTAGGACTGCATCGCCGCGTGCGATCTCCAGCGCGTACAGCCGGGCACACATGCGGCAGCCCGACACGCAGGGAACACGTGCGCGCGTGCATGACTTTATACGTGTGTGGCAGGGGCGGAGCACGCACCCGCCAGATCCTGTTGAATCCGTCCCAGTGCGTGACGACCGTGCAGCCTGCGCAGGGCGTCGTGATGTCGCCCGGGTCGTCGAAGACCGCCGCGGACGCAGCCGAGTAGGCCGCGTTGCCGGTGCCGCCCTGCACGTACACGCGCGTGCGGTCGCGCGGCCGGGTGTAGTACTTCACGTCCGCCTGGCGCACGGTCGCCACGTGCGTCTCGAGGTCCACCTTCTTGCACAGGTACGTGCGCCCCTGGTACATATACACCGCACCATCATACACCTCGAAAAAGGCCTTCGAGGACTCGATCTCCTCCAGGACGATCCCCGTGGCCTCGTCCACGATGATGTAGCGCTCCGGGTCGATCGACCGCAGGCCGATGTCCGCGGCCGGGTTCGCGGCGGCCCCGATGTAGCGCAGCTGCGGCAGCGACCCAGGCCGGCCCGAGTCGGGGGCGTGCCGCAGCCAGCCCTCGCGAATGAGCACGTCTACGGTCTCGCGCATCGCGAACGCCCCGAAGTACTGCGCGTCGACCGAGCGCACCAGCGGCTGCTCGTTCGCTGCGCAACGAATGTGCTGCTCCAGCAGCTGCGGGTTCTCCGGGTCGATGCACGCGGCCTCGACCGACAGCGAGAACAGCCGCTGCGGGTCCGACATGAAGTACTGGTCGAGGGGGGAGTCGAAGCCGATGAACACCGCCAGAGAGTCCTGCCCGCGGCGGCCCGAGCGGCCCGCCTGCTGCTTCAGGGACGCCGCGCTGCCCGTCAGACCGAGGTGCAGCGTGACGTCGAGGTCGCCGACGTCCACGCCGAGCTCGAGCGCGTTCGTCGCCGCGACGCCGCGCAGGCGCCCGCCGAAGAGAGCCCTCTCGATGTCGCGACGATCCTGCGCCGCGTACCCTGCCCGGTACACGGAGACCGTGTTGACGAGGTGCGGCGCCGTCGTCTGGAGCGCCTCGCGGGCGTACGCCGTGACCAGCTCGCACATCTGCATGCGGGGTACCAGCGCTGACAGCTGTTGACGCATTATGCGCTTTGACAATCGTGAAAGGAGTTGTGGCGAGAGGGTCCTCTGCCTGGAGCCCTGTCTCAACGGCTGCCAAGAGCAACGGTGTGGGCGACATGTCCAAGAGCTTGTTTGCCACCGTGACAGGAGCGCACAGGTCCGTGATGCGTCGAGACAGCGGAGTGTGCGACCGCATCACGGACCTGCGGCCTGGCGAGGGAGGCAGACACGCCCTCAAAGCTGCCGCCCACAACGCGGCCGGCAGCCGTCGGACTCAGGAGGGGGACTCTCCCAACACCCCTCCGTGCAACGCATGCAGCGGGCACGGCGTCGCACCTTCCGCGACCGGCAGAACGCGATCGTCCTGAGATTGTGCTGGATGCATTCGACCAGCAGCGTCGCGATCTCCACGATCGGGCTGCACCGTTTCTCTGCCGGGTCCGTGCCCCACGGCGTCACCACGCCCCCGCCCTCGTCCTGCTTGCTCGCAACTCGCCTGCCGCCGCGACTGACTCTGCGGTACGCCTTCCGCGGGCTCGAGTTCGCGTTCGCGGCCATTTCTAGCCCGTGGCGCTTCCCAAGCGCCGCGCGAGCCAGCAGCTCCGCCTCCTTCGAGGAATCCGCGCCAGCGCCCTCGCCACGCCTGGCCTTGGCCGCCTTCTTCATCGCGGCTTCGGCAGCCAGCCGCTGCGCCGCGGCGGTGAGCGGGGGGTTCCACAGCACGTACTTCTTCGCGCCACATGGGCTGCCGTCCTCGGAAATCACTTCGACGCCCGCTGCGAACAACGCGCCGCGGATGGCACGGCTTGGTGGCGGAGACAAAAGCGGTCCGGTGTGCCGTGCTGTGCGTGCTGCCTCGTGCAAGTGTGCGTACCGGGGTCGCCGATGAGCCGCGCGGAATGCACCTCGGGGTTCGCGATCGTCGCGCTCGTCACGATGAAGACGGGCTTGCGGCTGTAGGTCTGCTCGCAGATGCGCCGCAGGCGCCGCAGCACCAGCGCAGTGTGGGACCCAAACACCCCCTGGTATGAGTGGCCCTCGTCGCAAACGACGAACCTGGATACACGCGACGCAACAGGCCCGTGAGCAGCGCTCCACGGGGCTGGTGCGCGCATCGAGGCAGACAAACAGTCATTTGCCCGTGTTCGAACGCTCGCACAAGATTATCTCGTGAAGGTGAATAATTCACCTGAGGTTCGCCAGGAAGCGCGTGAAGGACGCATGGTCCGGGAGGATCGTCCGGTGCAGCATGTCTGGGTTGGTCAGGAGCAGCTGTGCGCGCTGACGCAGGATGGGTCGCTCCGACATGGGGGTGTCTCCATCGTATATTTCTACCGCGGGCGCCTTGTCGCCGAAAGCAGCGCGCACGAGCCCGCGGAGCGCCTGCAGCTGGTCCTGCGCGAGCGCCTTCGTCGGGTACATGAAGAGCGCGCACGTCTCCGGCTCCGACTCCAAAGCTGCCACGATCGGCACGTTGTAGCACAGAGACTGCAAAGGACAAGTAGAGAGCCAAACCACGATGTCTCGCGTGGGTGAATACGAGCTTCTGGCCCCGCTGCCCGCGCGCCGATCGCAGTACTGTCTGCGGCGCCGGCCCGGCTCACCTTGCCGCTCGAGGTGCCAGTGCACACCACCACGTGTCGGCCCGACATCACTGCGTTGATCGCCCGCGCCTGGTGGACGAACAGCTTCGGCGCCCCGCGCTGCGACAGCGCCTTGAGCACCACGTCCGGAAGCGGCACCGCGGTCTCCGCGAATCGCGCCAGCCGCGGCGGCACGTCCTGTACGCACACAATCTGATCCTGGTACCACGCCTGGTCGCGGAGGTGGTCCAGCAGCGCGTGGCACGCGATGGCCTCCGTGCCCGTACACTTCCGGTCGTCCGGCGCGCCCCGAAGGTGCCGACTGCCCTTCTGCGGCGAGACCGCCGCTTTCAGAGCCCGCGACACCGGAGCACCGTCGTCCGCCTCCGCCTTCTGGCGCGCGGCGTCGTCCCGTGCCTCGCCCCCCTCCTCCTGCTTATCCTCCGGCTTCTGTTTCGGCCGAACCGCGTCCACGGCGGCCGCGAGCGCAGCCAGCGAGTTGCCGCGCCGGCCCTCTGTAGCGAGGCCCGCCGCCACGGCAAGCGCCTGGCGCAGCGCCGCCACGCGCCGCTGGTGCTGCCCGATCGGCGCGCCCCCGCGGCCGCGCCACGCCTTCAGCCCCGGGTCCGGCAGGTCGATCGCACTGCACCCATCCGGGCAAGCGTTGCACCACGCGGGCGCCATGACGCCGTTGGTGCCCGTGCCGCCCTCGGAGCGGTCGCCGCGGCCGAGGTAGATGCTTCCAGGACACGCGCGTGCAAGCGTGCGCACGTGGTCGGCGGTTGCGCCGCGCCCGTCGCCCAGCGCGGCGGCGGTCGCGGCCGCGAGGTTGCACGTCGTCGGCTGCACGCGGTGCCGCAGCAGAAGGTCGTGCGCTGCAAGCACGCGGCACGCGGGTCGTGGCAGTTCAGGCCCCGGGGCGGCGCGACGAACATTCTATGCAGCACTCCTCGTTGCAGACAAGAGCTGTGCTCACCCGCGCTCATGGCCGTGAACCGCTTGATCGCGTCCTCGGCCTCCTCCCCGACGTCCGCGCCCTCCAGTGCCACGCCGAGGGGGCCTTCCACTGGCTTGCCCACCAGGGACGCAAGCGGCGGCGTTGCCCCCGCGCCCGTCGCCGGCGACGCGCCCGCCGTGTCCGTCGCATTGACCGTGCGGCGCACCCGCTTCGGCGGCGCGGGCTCGGCGCCGCCGCCGGCGTCGCCCGCGTCCGCTTCCGGTGCCAGCAGCCGCCGGGCCACTCTGGATGTGCGCGGCGCCGTGCCGTGCGGGCGATCCCGCGGCTTCTGCGGGGTGGCTTTCGGCGAGGGCGCGTCCTTGGCTCCCTCCAGCTCCCCCAGGAGGTCCTCGTACAAGGAAGAGTGCCGCGTCGCGGCGGGCGCGGCCGAACCCTGCTCGCCGCGCGCCGCCTTGTCCGCGCTCGGCACGTCGCGACGCGGAGCGGAGACCGCGACAGGCACAGCCGTAACGAACGAGTCGATCCCGAGGTCATCGATCTTCTCCGCGGGGGAGAGCTTCCGTCCGCCCACGAAGAGCATCGGGGGCGACGTTCCTGTGGCGGTGCCCAGCAGAGCGGCCGCCTGGTCGACGCGACATCCCGGGGGGCATTCGATGTGGAACGTCTTCCCGGTCACCAGGCGAAACGCCACGCGACGCCCCCGCGCATCGCCGCCGCCCGACGCCATCCCACACGGCACCTGCGCCGCAATGCGTCACACTTGGGCCGCGCAGTGCCTCGGGGCGCGACGCCCTCGCATCTCGTTGCGCCCTCCCTTCTCGTTGCGCGCCGTTGTTGTTTGTCGGCATTGCCTCTGCGCCCCCTGAGCTCCCAGGTGCCGGGCTGGGGGAGCTAGGTCAGGGGGGGAATGACCGCAGGCGCCCCCCCGCGCGTCCGAGCACGTGCGCGAGCAGCGCGGGGGCACAAGAGCGCCCCGGCATCGGCTCCGCGGACAGAAAAAGCACGTCGCCCCCCGCTGGCCTCGGCGCGCGTTCAACTTTCAGTCCCGCCCTGGGCGCGCGCTGTGCACCGCTGGCGCGACCCGCCGCCCGCCCTCGCCGACCCCGCCGGCCGACGTTGGTCCCAAATGTCCCCGCCGTTCCCGCTCCGGTGGGGCAGACCGGAGGCGGAGCGGGCGCACGTCAATAACCTGGAGAAAGCCCTCAAGGCGGGGCCTAACTACCCGAAGGAGTGCGTGGGGGCGTCCGACGCCCTGTTCCCGGTCCCCGACGCCGTGAGAAACGTGAGGGCCCCCGCGCGACCCGCACCGCGCCGCTCGCGGCCCGCCCCGCCGCGCCCGCGCGCCCTCGCGGCGTGCAGCGCGGCACCCCTCGGGCGCTCCCGCGGGCCCGCACCGCGCCGCCCGCCTCGCATTCGCCCCCCGTGCGCGCCCTGACGCTACGCTCGATCCGCTCCGGCACCCCGCCGCGCAGGCCGGCCCGTGGTGCGTGCGGCGCCTGGTCCGTGTCGTTGGGAACGGCGAAGACGACTACGACGCGGCCAAGAACGCGGTGGAAAGCTTCAAGAACTTCCGCGTGCGGTGGCCCTTCGGCTTCGGCGGGGCCTTCGCGGCCGCGGGCCTGCGCCGCAACGGCCGCGGCACCGTCCGGCCGCCCCCCGCGAAGCCCGGCAACACGTACTGCGTCATGGCGGGCCTCGCGGGCATCTGGTCGATCGGGCCGCTCCGCGTGCTGTACAAGAAGGAAGGCCCCGTGCAGGCGGGGTCGAGCGCGGCGGAGACGATGACGCCCCCGCGCGGGTGGCGGCCGGGGAAGGACCGGCGTAGATTCAAGAAAAATGGGAAGCGATTTGCGGTGGGGAGCGGGTGTCTGTCGGGGCACCTGCTGTGCGGGGAGGAGCGCTTCGAGGTGACGTACGACGGCGACACGGGCGACGTGCGGTACGAGGTCGCGTCGTTTTCGCGCCCTGCGGGCCCGCTGGGCGCGGCGGTGTACCCCGTGGCGTGGCTCCTGCAGGGGGCGTTCGCGCACGCGTCGTGCCGCGCCGTGGAGGACGCGGTGCGCATCGAGGCGGCCGCGGCGACGTGACGGGCGCCAGCAGGGCGCGTGTGACAAGTCTTGCACCACGACGCATCCTACCCTATCTGGCAGTCGGGCGGGGATGCATGAGTTCGACTGGCAGTCAAAGGCGGGGCCACAAGGCGCTGCGGCGCGCCCGCGGCCGACCACACGGCCTCTCGCAGTCACCGCACGCACGCACGCCGATCCCTGCCGCGTCCCGCGTCGCCGGGCGTCGCGGCACCCCGCGCCCCGAGACGGGAGAAGCCGACGACTGCCAACATGAATGCCCCTCCGGGCTTCCTGGCCTTCGTGGACCAGCAGACGCCCGGGACGTCCCCGAACAAGCCGTCGCCGCTCTCGAGGACCGCCCCCGCGCGGGCCATGCAGACGGAGGTGCGCCACCGCGGCCGCACGCGGCGCCCACACGTGCTGTGCCCCCGGACCCAGCGCGGCAATGACGACCGCGCGGCCGCCGCGCCCGGAGCGGCCACCCTCGGCGCCCAGCGACGCAGCGCACGTGTGCCCGCTGGCAGCGCGGCATGGCTCGATCTGCGCGACGGCAGCGCGCCCGTTTGCGGCCGCCATGGTTGACCGGGTGGTCTCGGGTCAGCGCGCCTGCGGAGCGGCTTGGGACCGCGAACGAGGGCGCCTGGGGCCAGCGTCTTCGGCTGAATCCGGGCCGGATCGCGACGTCGCGCCGAATGCCGGCGTGACCCCGCCCCCCCCGCGACGCCAAGCCTGGAGTCCCACCTGCCGAGGCGCCGCCCCTGCGCCCCGCGCGCACGAGTTCGCCGCCGATCGATCCCGCTGCCTCGGCCATACGCCTGCCCGCCTAGCCGCGCCCCGCAGCCGACCTCTCGGCCGGCGCACGGGCGCTGGGGCCCCCTCCTGCCCCCAATGCACCCTCGGGCGCGTGCGCGCGCGTGGCCCCGCCCCAGCGCCCCGACAATGCGCACGGCGCTCCCTCGCGAGCTCGCACGCGCGCCGCCGCCCACGCCCCGTCGATCGGTGCGCTCGCCCGCAGCCGCTCCAGGGGACCCCAGGGCCGGGCACCTACGAGGCTGCGACGAGCTTCGTGCCACGCCACGCCATCATCGCGGGGAAGAGCATGGCCGCGACGGAGCGCATCGCGCGCGTCTTCATGGAGCCGTACGCCGCGTCCATCGTGAACAACCCCGGGAAGCAGATCCTCCGCGGCGCCCCCGCGTGGCGCATGGGCGTGCGGGACCGCTCGCCCGGGAAGCTGCACATGGGTGCGCACGCCGGGTCCGGCTCCGGCGCGCACTCGCCGGGCCCCAAGTACTACCCGAAGACCGAGAGCAGCGCGGTCGCCGCGCGCCTCGGCACGGCCGACCGTGACAGGGATGCCAACCTGCGATACCTGTCTGCCGGGCACTCCGAGGTGGGTTGCCCGCGCCGGGCCCTCCTGGCGGCCGCCGCGCTGCCCGCCGTGCCGGCGCTCGATCGGCGGCCCGACCGATTCCCTGTCTGACCGCTTCTGGACGCCCCCCCCTTGCGCGATGCAGTCCCTGAAGGGTCACTTGTCGCCCGGGCCGATTTACCGGTCGCCGAGCGGGAAGGGCATCGCGAAGACGATCGGGGACGCGCCGGTGACGGTGTTCGGGACGAGCCAGCGCAGCGAGGTCGTTTCGCGCGCCTCGCTGCACGTGCCCGGCCCCGGCGCACACGACGTGCAGTCCGACGCGCCGTCCGCGCACGTGCGCGGCGGGCGCTTCTCGCCCGTCAAGTCGCGCCCCACGTCGCCGATGCGCTTCGACCGCTTCCAGACGCCCTTCATCTCCGCCGCGCACTCCACTGCCGACAACATGCGCGCCAAGTACAACCCCGGAGTGGGGGAGTATTTGCCGTGCTCGCCAGGCGCGCCGCCCACGCACGCACGCACACACCGCTGCGCACCCGCACCGTCACCGCGAGCCTCAACGCCCCCCGTCCATCGTCCCCCGTTGGCCGCAGAGCAAACGTCGCGCATGAAGCGACAGGGTGCGAGCCCGTTCGGCCGCGCGCACCGCGACCCGGGCGTCGTCGGCGAGCAGCGTGCGTTCGTCGACGAGGGCTTCCTGCGCATGGGAACCTCGGGCGCGGAGTACCAGGACGTGCCGGACGAGTGGGCGTACAAGCCCCTGGTCAACCACGCCTCGTTCGCGAAGGGCGAGCGCTTCGTGCGGCCGGAGCTCGGGACCTCCAAGGCCGGCCCGCTCATCTCCTCGCTGCACGCGAAGCACAGCCAGTGCGGCGCGGAGGGTCCCGGCCCGCAAGCCTACGACGTGCTGGCGCTCGAGGAGCACATGCGCGCGAAGCGCAACGCGCTGTCGTTCGCGCGGCAGCCGCGCGACCTCGCGTCGCTGCGGCAGAACGAGACGATCGGGCCCGGCCCGGGGGCCTATTACCCGCGGGCGGGGCCCGACACCCCCGGTTGGCGCATGGGGTCGCGGCTCGAGAACGAGGGGGCGCTCGGGGCGGCGATGAAGACCGCGGACGCGCCCGGGCCCGGCGCGTACGAGGTCGACAAGGCGACGAGCGCGCAGAAGAAGGCCGGGTACTCCTTCGGAAGCGCCAAGGACCGCCGCAGCTTCATTCCTCCGAGCGTTACGCCCGGGCCCGGCGCGCACCACCCGGACGAGCCCGAGACGTCGCGCTCGGCGTCGCCCGTGAAGTTCGGGAGCGAGGCCGGCACGGAAACGCGCAGGGGGTCGCCTGGGAAGCAGCGCGGGCAGAGCTTCGGCGCCCGCACCGAGGGCGGCTTCATCTCGCAGGCGCACTCCGCCGCGGACGGGTGCGCGCCACGCCGACCTGCTCCTGCCGCGCGGCCCGCGCGCGGGCGGGAGAAGCTGCCAACAGTTTCGCTGACTGCACTACACGCGCCGTGTCGCGGCTCCCGGCGCGGTGGTTCTGACGTTTGGTTCTAACGTTTGGTTCCTCGGAACGCGTGCGTGCAGGTATGCGAAGAACAGCCCCGGGCCGAAGTACAGCTACGGGCTGGAGCACACGCACCGCCGGGCGTCGATGCACCGGTTCGGCAAGGGCACGCGCGACGCGCTGACGAAGCTGTTCACGGGCCACAGGTCGGTCTCGAGCGGCTCGAAGGACGCCCCGGGCCCCGGCGCGTACGACGTGCGCGGGTTCCGCGACCCCCAGGGCAACAAATTCGAGAGGCACGGGGGCTACTCGTTCGGGACGTCCAAGCGCCCTCCGCTGGCGACGGTCCGTTTCTAAAATACTAGACAACCTAGGAAGAGCCGGGCGGCCCCGCCGGCGCGGAGACACGCGGACTTGGCAACTGGCGACACTCTGTACAGAACACGGCCTTGTCGCGAGGACGCAGCTCCACGAAGATGTGACGTCTGTATTACACGAGGAAAACTGCACGGATCCGGGACGACCGTGCGGACCTGCCGTGGCATGCAAATCGGCAGTGCCAGCGAAGCGCGGTGTCAGCCCGCATCGTTGCCGCTCACTTGTCGCCCGAGCGCGCCTCCGCGGCGTCCTGGTCCAGGTCGCACTGCTGCCCCATGGAGTTGAGCAGCGCGGACAGCTCCTCGGCCGTGGGGAAGGTGCCGGACGACACCTCCAGGGGACTGCGCTCAAACAGCTTCGTGCCGTCGTCGAGCTCCACGTCGAACTGCGTCTTCGCGCCCTCGAACCCCTCGACCTGCACGGCGGCGCACGGAGCCCCCGGACTCGGAAAAGACCCATCAGAGACGCGCGTTGATGCAGGGCCTTGCAGGCTGTTGCGCGGCGGCGCGGGAGGTGCGGCGGCCCACCTTGATGTCCTCGAACTCGTCCTCGAGCGCGTCCGCGATCTCGATGTAGCGGTCCACCTCGTCCGGGTCGTAGCGGACTACGATCCTGCACAACGAGGGAGAGGCGTCCACGTTCCAGGAGTCCGAGCGCGAGCGATCGAGAGGGCGCTCCGTGGCACGCAGAGCAACGTACAACGACGAGGCGGTGCGCGACGAGGCGGCGGTGCGCGCAAACGAGAGCGAGGCGGCTTGCTAGGCCCCTCTGTGACGTTGTAGGCCCGACGCGGCGCGGGCAGCGCGCGCCGCGCGGCTCTGACGCTCCGCTGAGCACCGCGGGACGCGAAACACGCGAGCGGTGGTCCGGGCAGGCGCACCTGTCCGGCGGAGGCTTGTCGAGGCCGTGACAGCAGGGGTAGCCCCGGCGCTGTTCGGCAGGGTGCGCCGTGGCGGGGGAGAACGGCACGTTCAGCGCGTTCGACCTGACAGGAGCGCGGAACGCCGCGCTGCTGCGCACCAGCGCCGCGAACGCGCGCACCGTCGTCGAAACCCCCTGCGGCCTCGCACCGGCCGAGAACAGCGCGGCTGGCTCCGCAGCGGCCAGGAACGGCTCCGCAGCGAGCGCGGAGCGGCCGAGCAGACGAGCGACCGCCCGCATGGCGAAGATTCCTCGCGAAAGGCGCCGGGAACGAACGCCCTGCGGGTAGGAGGATTCGACCACCACCCAGGCAGCTTCTTCCGGTCCTGACTGTACTCAGCGCGCGAGTTCGCGATGCGCTGCTATCCAGGAAGCCGACGGAGCGCACGGACGGAGTGGCAGTGTGCGTTCGGAGAGGAAGTGATGCCCAATTATGCCGGAACGGGTCGAAGGACCCCCTCCGTTGCCTCGGGATGAAAGCCCCCCCCGCGCGTCGCCATTGTGACAATGAGTCGCCCCACAGTAGGCGCTCTGGCAGTCGACTTTGTCATACTTGATCGCAAAGGTGTAATCATAGGAGTTTACCTCGTCCTGGAGCTGCATTCCGCGTTCGGGCACCAGGACGTGATGCGCACCGCCGCGGCGCTGCCCGCGATGGCACGGAGGCATCTGCCGTCCTGCACGCTGCTCACTGGAGCGAGGAACCTCATCCCGCGACTGTTTCGGCCGCTCGGTCCCGGGGCGGACGCGTCAGCCGCAATGCACGCACGCCTGGTCTGCGCGCGGTCGCGGGAGGGGGGGAGTGAAGCCGTGGAGCCGCGCCACGGCCGTCAGGACGCTCGCTGTAGCTCCGCGGCGCCTGCAGCGCGCAGTCCGCCGGACGTCCCCGCGCACAGCCCCGCCGCGACGAGGCGTGCTATGCTGTCCACGGCCGGAGCGGCAGCCGTCCTGACGGGGGTGTTGCCGCCAGGGCTCCCCTCGCACGCCCGCAGTGCGGTTCAGACGCGCGAGCTGAGCAGCGGCACGCGCATTTCGCGATCGGTGGAGGTAGGGCTGCGGGAACCAGCTGGCGGGCCTGCGCCGTGTGGCCTGGCGGAGGACAACGCGACGCGCGAGGCGCTCGGGACGAAGGTGCGCGCAGGCTCTCCGGCGCTCTCCTGTCCGCGCCCTCGACAGCAGCCCCGCGAGCCAACACGCCCGCTGGAACGGCACCGGAACACCTCACGCGCAACACGATGTCGTTGCCTGTCAAGCGCGCCGCTTCTGGGCTGCATACTGGAGCCGAGTGCTCCGATGTGTGAGCGCACGCAGGTCGCGGCGTAACCAGGACACCCCCCGCCTGACACCCCCCGTTTGCAGAACCTGCTGCCGCCGGCGGTCACGGACCGCGACACCGAGGTGCGGCGCGCGATGGCGGCGCTGAACGCGCGCGAGTCGCTCATCGGCAAGTACTCGACCCTGATGACGCTGTTCGAGACCGACCCAGCCACATTCACCGACGTCGTGCGCACCAACACGGCGCAAGTGCTGCCCATCGTGTACACGCCGGGCGTCGGCGAGGCGTGCAAGCAGTGGGGCACGCTCGTTCCGCGGCCGCCGGGGCTGTACGTCTCCGCCGAGGACGCCGGCCGCGTCTCCGAGGCAGTCGCGCGCTGGCCTGCCGACAACGTGCGCGTGGTCGTCATTACCGACGGAGAGCGCATCCTCGGGCTCGGCGACCTCGGCGCGCACGGCATGGGCATCTCCGTGGGCAAGAGCATGCTCTACACGGTCGCGGCGGGCATTCCCCCGGGCTGGGTGCTCCCAGTGTGCCTCGACGTGGGCTGCGACAGCGACGCGGTGCGCGACGACGAGTTCTACGTCGGGCTGCGACGGAAGCGGGCGCGCGGCGCGGAGTACAACCGGCTGGTGGACGAGCTCGTCGCGGCGCTCAGGTGCGGCTGCGCGGGAGCGGGTGTGCTGTGCTGTGTGTGCTGTGGGCGCTGGCGCGTGGCGGCCCCACGGAGCGCTGCGTGCGTCTCGTGCGTGCAGGCAGCGGTACGGGACGGACGTCGTGCTGCATTTCGAGGACTTTGGCCGCGCGAACGCGCTGCCGCTGCTGGAGAGGTATCAGGACGGCCCCACGCTGAACGACGACATCCAGTCGACGGCGGCGATCACGCTCGGCGCGCTGCTGGGCTCGCTGCGGCTCGAGAACGTGCCGGCGCTCGAGAAGCAGCGCGTGCTGCTGTACGGCGCCGGGCAGGCCAACCTGGGCTTTGCGCGGCTCTTTGTGCGCAAGCTCGTGACCGCGGGCGTCCCGGAGAGCGAGGCGCGGAAGCGCGTGTGGCTCGTGGACTCCAAGGGCCTCGTCTACGACGGTGCGTGCCCGCACGAGGCGCGAGAGCCACGCAAAAGATCCCTGTCTTGTTGCGCCACGCGTTGCCTGACGTGCGGGGCGTTTCTCCCCGCGATGCAGGGCGCAACGGCGTGAACGAGGAGAAGGCGGAGTTCGCGCACCCGCTCTCGGACCTCCCGAACGGCCGCGACGTGCCCGACGGGCTCGCGGCTGCGGTGGACGCGGTGCGGCCCACCGCGCTCGTCGGCGCGTCGACGATCCGCGGGGCGTTCTCCGCGGAGGTCCTCAAGACGCTGCACCGCGGCGTGATGGCTGCGCACGGCAGCAGCGCGCGTCCCATCGTCATGGCGCTCTCGAACCCCGACACCAAGGCCGAGTGCACGGCGGAGGAGGTCGTGGCGGCGATCGGCGACGCGGTGGTGTTCGCGAGCGGCACTGCGTTCCCGCCGGCGAAGCTGCCCGGCGGCGGCCAGCTGCGCGCGGCACAGGCGAACAACTGTCTCATTTTCCCTGGGGTGGCGCTGGGGACGCTGGCGGCGCGGTCGCAGCGGATCACGGAGCCGATGTTCCTCGCGGCGGCGGAGGCCGTCGCGCAGATGACGAGCGCGGAGGAGCTGGCGGTCGGCGGGGTGCTGCCGGACGTGCAGCGGCTGGACGAGGTTGCGGACGCCGTGGCTGCGGCGGTGGCGTCGACGGGCGCGAACAGCCCGGTCGGTAGGATGCAGGAGCGGCTCGAAGAGCTCGTTGGGTCCGGAGCGGGCGGCTCGCAGTGAGCTCGGGCCAGCGACCGTGTGAGAGTGTTTGTCGGCAAACCGCGCTCGCGCCTACCAGCGGCCGGACGAGCGGGGCGCTCGTGCAGGGTCGAGGCTGGCTCGCCGGCGTTGCGTGCGCAGGGTCCGACCCCGCCCAGAGTCTGGACATTCCGTGGGGAGGTGTCTGTGGGGTACTGTTGCGCCGCTTTCGGGGTTTGTGTGCGCCACGCCCGCGGCTTGCGGAGCAGTCGTGGTTCGGAATAGGCCTGTCGTCGTGGGAGTAGCAGAAGTTTGGTAGCGATGCAGTCGGTTCGCGGGTCGATGCCCGCTGTCGTCGCGGCCCGTGGCAAGGCGTGCCGGGCCGCGGTTGCGCCTGCTGCGCACGCCATCGCCAGGTGAGTATCTTCGCTGCGCGTGACAGCGATTTGGTCGTATCCAACGCACGGACGGTCGCGCTCGCTCGACCCGAGTTGTCTGTGGCACATGCCTTGCCGTCGTCAAGCCTTCTGAAAGGTCCTTCTGTCGGTTTTCGACGACTGCCGATGTTCGATTTGGGGGAATCCGTGTCGATTCGACGCGAGGACCCGCATAGGGCGCGCTCGGGGCGACCTCTCCACTGGCTGGCTCTCGTTCGGGACGCCCCAGACGCCCCGCTGGCGAAGATCGGTATTGCGCCACGGCCTTGCACACAAAATGCCCACCCGGGCTCGTGCCGGCAACCGCCGAGCTGCGCGCCGCGCGCGGGACCACCAGTGCTCTCTCGTCCCTGCTCTTTGATGCCCGCGTTTCCGACGTCAAGCCGCACCCGCCGCGCGCGGTCGGCGAACCCTGAACGCGATGTATCGCCAGAGCGCCGGAATCACGCACACCACCCTCGTTCCAAGTCGAAAAAGCTGCTTCTTCCTCCTCCACCCCTCCTAGCAGGCCCTCCCGCCCGGCTGGCGCGTCCTCGCAAGACCGCGCCGTCTCGCCTCGCTCCGTCGTGGTCGCGGCCAAGCGCCCCGAGCTCGGCGAGACCCCCCCCGGCGAGGTGGACAAGTTCTACGAGGTAGGAACTGGCCCTCTTCCATCGCCCGCCTGCGTCAGTCACCGCGACCCCCCTCGCGCCTCCCCGTCGACCACGCCCCCGCCATATCACCACTGGCCCACTGCGCTCGCCATTCGATCATCGATGCGCGCCGCCCGCCCGGAACCGGCCGTTTTTCCGTGTCACCACGTGCGGAGGTCGCTTCACGCGCCCCCGCTCGCCGCCCGGCCGTCCTCTCGGGCCACGTCCTCACGTCGCCACCGCCCGGTCGCGTGCGCAGTGCGAGCTGGTGAAGCCGATGGGCATCAAGTTCGCGCGCGGCAACGACGGCGGGTGCTACATCCTCGACATCAACCCGGCCGCGGGCGACTGCGACGAGCGGATGCAGCCGGGCGACAAGATCGTGAAGATCTCGGCGTCCTTCGGCGCGGACGTGTGGGACGCCATCAACTACGGGCAGGTGATGTACGCCATGAAGACGCGTAACGGCAACGTGTACATGAAGGTCGAGAAGCGCTTCGGCGACATGTCGGCGCTCGAGGAGGAGGAGCTCACGGAGGCGGAGCGGCAGTTCCGCGCGGAGCGCTCGGGCGGCAACTACGGCGCGGGCACGCAGGAGATTCAGCAGCAGCGGTACATTGCCAGCAAGGAGCAGGAGCGGAAGCGCAAGGAGCTGTTCGACGACGGCCTGGGCAAGTTCCGCGCGAACAAGCCGGAGGAGGCCATCATCGACTTCGAGAACGTCATCTCGCTCGAGCCCAAGAACTACCTGGGCGACGACTTCTCGCGGGTGACCAAGATCTACCGCGTGACGCAGTACAACATCGCGTGCTGCTACAGCGCGCTCGAGCAGGAGCAGGCGGGCCTCGAGGCGCTCAACGCGTGCATGGGCGCCGGGTTCGACGACTTCGCCAAGATCCGCTCGGACCCCAACCTGGCGTGGCTGCGCGAGAGCCCCAAGTTCGTGCCGCTGCTCGAGCGCTACGACGAGCCGATCCTGAACCGGGAGGCCGTCGACGCGATCAAGAGCTTCTTCTCCTTCGGCAAGAAGTGAGGAGGTGAGGGCGTCGCAGGTGGGGAACCTCGACTGCCGGGGACGGTGGGGGTGTGGTGGCGCGCGGACGCGCCGGGGAGGTATAGCGGGGCGGGTGCGGCTGTGAGCGCGACCAGGTCGTTGCCAGGTGGCGTGGCGCGCGTGCTACTACTGTGGTCGGTGGTGTCGGGGTACAACATGAGCGGTGTGTCGCGCGCGGGGGACGAGGGTCCGGGCGCGTGAGGGTGCACCGCAGTACGTGAACTGCAAGTGCTAGAGACGCACGTTGGTTGCGTGAACCGGGCATTGCGAGTCGTCCATCGTCGTTTCGTGGGAGTGGTGCGCTTGGCAGGTCGCGTGAGGGATAGAAACGCCCCAGCGGAGCGCGCCGCAGTGAGCTGTTAGGGTTCGGGTCAGCGGGCTGCGATGAGCCAGGGCGGGTGGCAGGGACGGGAGGGCGCGGGGAACCCGATGGGCCCAACGCGCGCGCCGTGGGCCGCTGGGGCGGTGCAGGACCCGGTGCCCCCGCCTCTGCCGCAGGGTACGCGAGGCCTTCTCTTGAACGCTGAGCCGCTGCGCGCGTGTGTGGTCCGTTTGTGACGCGCGACCCGCGAGCACGGCAGCGTTGCTTGTGCCAACAGGCCCTGTGCTCGCGCGTGGGCTCGCAGCGCGTCGGCCGGCGCCGTTCCTCATCAAGACGTCGCCTAAGATGCCGGAGGTGATGGACATAGCCAAGGAGGGCGGCGCGGCGGCCGCGGGCGGGCACGCGTGGGTCCCGGCGCACCGGCGCATCACCGACCAGAGACAGCTCGAGGCGTTCCTGAAGAGCCCCGAGGCCGAGAGCTACATGGCGTTCCTGCTCCTCTGCAACGAAGAAGTCAAGGTCCGCCGCGAGCCCCCGCACGCACCACGGCGACCACCTGCAGCGCAGCCAGCCAGCACCCGCGTGCCGCCGCGACACGCCACGCCATCGCGCGGCCCTCCCATTTCCCCACGCACCACTTCGCCCCCCGCAGGGATGCGCGCTCTCGACGAACGTCGAGCTCTCCCGGACGTGCCAGCAGCTCCTGGAACTTCTGGAGACTGTTGAGTCGTGGATCGCCGAGTTCCCGCCCGTGCAGCAAAGCATGCGCTACGGCAACCCCGCCTTCCGCGACCTCTTCGACCGCATCGCCCAGAACGCCGCCGCCCTCCTCGAGCCCCTCCTCCCGGAGCACCTGCGCGGCGCGGCCGCGGAGCTCGCGCCCTACCTCGTCGACTCCTTCGGCAACCGCACGCGCATCGACTACGGCACCGGGCACGAGACGAACTTCGCGGCGCTCCTGTACTGCCTCGCGCGGCTCGGCGTCGTCACGCGCCCGGACCTGCGCGCGCTCGTCCTGCGTGTGTTCCACCAGTACGTCGAGCTCATGCGGCGCATCCAGACCACCTACTGGCTCGAGCCCGCGGGGTCGCACGGCTGCTGGGGCCTCGACGACTACCAGTTCCTTCCGTTCCTCTTCGGCGCCGCGCAGCTCCTCGAGCACCCCACGCTGTCGCCGGCGTCCATCCACAACGACAAGGTGCTGCGGGACCACGCGGACGACTTCATGTACCTCGCGTGCGTGCGGTTCATCAAGAGCGTGAAGAAGGGGCACGTGAGCGAGACGAGCCCGATGATCAACGACATCTCGGGCGTGCCGAGCTGGACCAAGGTGAACGTCGGGATGGTCAAAATGTACCAGGCCGAGGTGATGGCCAAGTTCCCCATCATGCAGCACTTCCTCTTCGGGAGCGTCCTGGACTGGCGGCCCCCCGACGACCGCGCGGGCGCCTAGGCGTGTGAGCGGGGTCATTCAAAGCGGGACAAGGGTGGGCAGCCGAGGTCAGCGGCGGCGGCGGACTGCCCGCGAGAGAGAGAGCGCGAAGCACAGGCACACGGACGCGCGCCGGGGGGTCCCGAACGCCCCTGCGCGAGCAACTTGCATAGAGTATTAATTGACCACCTGCGCACGAAACTGCATGCAGCAGTGCAAATGAAGCAAGTGAAGTGCACACTGGCAGCGGAAAGGCGTGCGACGGCGCCGCACGGGCGGTGCGGCGCTGCGAGGCGCGTGGCTTCGCCGCGTCGCGCGAACCAACGTATTTACATCATGCGTTGTGTAATCATGAATGCGCCGTGCCGACATCCTGGCCCTGCGACCCAGACGATGAATGCCTCGCGACCCTGCGCGAGTGTCGACCCAGCCCGGCGGCCTCGGCTCTGCGGGCGCGGGTCCTCGCGCCTCGCCGCGCGAGCGCGCGTCGCGACTCCTCCCCCCGCCGCTAGTCAGTGATGGACTCGACGATGGAGGGGCTCGCGCCCTTGAGCAGCTGCTCCTCGACCTCCTGCGGGTCGAACGGCTGCGCGCCGGGCTGGCTGCTCAGCATTTGCGCGGCGACGACCTTGGCCTGCCCGCGCGCCTTGTGGCCGTGGCACGAGGGGCACCGCACGTACTCCTTGCCGAGGCACTTCGGGCACTTCATGCCGTCGTGCGCCATCTTGCCCTCGAACGACACGAAGCCCTCGCCCGCGCACACGTCGCACACTACGAAGCCCGCGTTGCCGCAGCACGAGCACAGGTCCCGCTCGTCGCGCCCGTCGACCTCGCCGTCCGCCAAAAAGAACACTGCGGGCAAGGAGGGGGGTGGGGCGAGGTGGGCGCGGGGCGGGGCGGGCCGCGCGGGCCGCGGGGCGCGCGTGCGAGGGGGAGTAGGCCTAGAAGGGGAAAACTAGGGAATTGTAGACCTTGTTTTGTGGGCTAGGGTTCGCACCTGTCCGCCAGGCGGCTATGCCCGCCGCGGCCATGAGGACGACTATGGCGGCGAGCCCGATGCGTCCGGAGCGCACGGTGCCGCTCGGGGCGACGATTTTCGCCAGCACGGAGCCGGCCGCGCGCGTGGGCGCTGCGAGCATTGGCGTGGCACGGGAGATGCTCGCGGCGCCGTTCTGGGCGCCGGACGCGTTCGCGGCGCCGGCCTCGTGCGCGTGGACCTCGTCCTGAAGTACCTGAGCGTCGCGCTGGCTGCCACGATGCCGGTCGTGGGCTGGCCGGTGGGTGTGCTCCTCAGCAACAGACGAGGACTGCGAGGCCTCGTCGCCGCGGCGGCCGATGAGGGCGCGGCAGGCCGGCCCACGCTGACTCGAGGAGGCCGTGCGCCGCGCGCGACGGTGCTCGCTGGCGCTGCGCGGCCTGAGCGCGGGCGGTCGATGAAGCGCTCGCGAAAGCGGGGGAGCCGCGCATGCAGCATGTGTCGCGTATTGCGCGCCGTCCACGAAGCTCATTGTCGATACCGTTGCTTCATTCACCGCGAAGAGAGGGCGCATACACGGTTTCGCGGCCCGAACGGCACGGCCTAGCGTCACTCGTCGAAAGCCGCGTAATTGGGCGGGGAAGGGCACGAAGGTCGCCCGCCTCGCGTTCGCAGCAAGACTGGGTCGCCGAGGGTGCTGTGGAGGCGAGGCGAACCGACACCTGCACGCGGGGCAGCGAAAGGAAAGGGCGGTGGGCTTTTGCGGGCGCTGGCCGCCTGCCAGGCGGCCACGATGCGTTGCGACCGCAACGAGTCGCAAAATGCGTCGACCCCGGCCCCGCGCGGTGCGCATCACGCGCCGCCGAAGCCCCGTCGGGGCCGCCCCGCGCCCATTGCCTCGCCTGGACGAGACAGCGCCGCGCGCGTGCCGGGCGCACGGTGGCCGCGGCGCGCGACGGCGCGTCGGGGGTCACGCGGGGGTCTTGGGGCGCCACCCCGCGCGCACAGGTCGGGGCAATTACAGCGCGGGGCAGACATTCACACACACCTGGCTAGCCTGGGCGCGTGGGGGGCGTGGATCCGTGTGCGTGAGGAGCGGGCTGGCGGGTCCAGATCACGGCGAGGGCGGCGCGCGGCGCGGGCCATTGAGCGCGCGGATCGCGCGGAGCTGGCGCGCTGACAGCGACGTGCTACTACTACTGAGGTCAGGGTCGTGGCGCCGGTCGCGCGCACGCGGGGACGCGCCGGTCGGTGGCGCGGACAGAACGTGCTGTGTTGGAGTCAAGGGCGCAGGCGACCCGGCTTCTGCGGCGATATGGCGCTGCGCAGGGCGCTCGGCGCGCTTCGGGGGCGATGTGCGTCCATCGCTGCGGAATGTGACGGGGTCGCGGGGGCACCGGGCGCGGTCCTCGCGAGCGCATCTCGCGTTGCGCAGGCCCATGCAGGTGCGCGCTACCGTCCCCCCGTGTCGCGTGCGCTGTCGAGCCAACCTGCACTCCGGACCCCCTTCCCCTGATCCTCCCCGGGCTCCCAGCCCTTTTCCGTGGCCCGAAGACGCAGCAGATCTCAGACATGCTGGCGCGCTGACGTTCGTCACCCTGCCGCCCGGCACCGCGCAGGCACGGCGTCGCAACTGCCTGCGCACAAGCTGCACACGTCGTGCGGCGCGCGCATGCCCTGGCGCCCGGAGGAGGAGATCTACAACAGGCAGAGGACGCAGATGGTGATCGGGGACCGCTGGCCCGTGGTCGACGCGGACGCGTGGCTGGCGCCAAACGCTGTCGTGGTGGGCGACGTGGACGTCCACAGCGGGGTGCGCGCCCCCCCGGCCTCCCGCCGCGACCAGGGCGCCCGCACCGGCCGCACACCGCTCCCTGCTTGTTCGAGGCCCACGAACCCGCCGCGCTGTCCACGCACGGGCCCCGTACGGCTCATCAAAGGAGCTGGCCGGCCCCCGCGCGCGCCTCGCCGCCTCCAACGCCACTCGCAGCCTGTCCTCACAGCACTTGACGCGTACGAAGCGCCACCGGGGGCTCGCCCGGGACCTCCGTGCACCCCGCTGCCCCCAGGCACCCGTGCTCCCTCTGCCAGCAACACACCCGAACCCGCCGACCGCTCCCCGGCCCGCAGTGCTCCATCTGGCACGGCGCGGTCATCCGCGGGGACCTCTCCTCGGTCAAGCTCGGCGCCAACACCGTCGTCGGCGAGAACACGGTCATCCACGCGGCCCGCAGCGTGCCCACCGGCCTGTCGCCCGCCACCGCCATCTACGGCAGCACGATCATCGGCCGCCGCTGCGTCCTGCGCTCCGTGCGCACCCGCGGCCGCGCCGTCTACATCGGCGACCGCAGCATCCTCATGGAGGGCTGCATCCTCGAAGGCAACAACATCCTCGCTCCCGGTGCGACACAAACGAGACACCCCCCCCCGCCCTTTCTAACATGCCTCCAACCTCGCCGGCGTGCGGCAGATCCGCTGCTCCGTGCGGCCGAGGCCGGGACCCTCGCTGTTGCAGTGCGGTGCGTGGCAAAGGGGTGGTGGTTGTGGTTTTTTTCCCCCTCGCGCGGGCGCATGTGTGCTGCCGACTCCCGTCGCCGTAACCGGGGCGCGTCGCGGCGAGCCAGAGCTGGCGCTGCGCGGCGGGCGCTGCGTGACGGGCGTCGCCGCGCCGGGTGCGTTGCAGGGACGGTGGTGCCCCCGGGGCGGCTGATCCCGGAGGGCGAGGTGTGGGCGGGGAATCCGGCGCGGTTCGTGCGGAAGATCCGCGTGGAGGAGATCAAGGCGATCACGCGGCTGGCGAAGGACGGGGAGCGGGAGCTCGCGCGCGGCGTGGAGGAGGAGTTTCTGCCACACTCCCCCGCCTACATCGAGGCCGAGAAGCTCAAGGGGCGGCTGCACACGTCGGGCGTGCGCGACATGACGCCGCACTGCACGCCGCCGAGCCCGTGGTACCCGTTCGTGGATGGGAAGGGCTCGCCAGACTACTAGGCGCTCAGACTCTGTGTGATGCATGTGGTGCGACGACGACAAACACGAAGGTCGCGATGCTCGGGGCGCTCCGCTGCGGTGCGGGTTCGAGCGTGGCGCGGTCAGCGCCCTCGAGAGAGATGGGCAACGGCAGCGGTGTGTTGTTGTGACGGCGGCCGTGGGCCGGAGGCGGTGCGGCGGCGTGCGTGGGCGTGGGCGCGGCAGCGGCGCTGCCGCGCTGGTGGGCGCGGGCGTGGGTACGCGTCGGGGGGTGTGGGGCCTGACCGGGGCTGTGCTGGCCAGTAGGCATCCAGCGGGCGAATTCAGGCTGCGTCGGCACCGGCCCGGGCAGTTTTGGCGATTCGCGCTGCGCAAGTGGAGTGAGGGTTCGTGTCGTTCGCGAGCGGGTCGCATCGGTCGACGTCAGACGGTCTTTCGGGTCGGAGAGAGCACTGGTGTTCAGGACGCTTGCGCTGGTGGGGCGTTGCGGTGCAATGAACGCCCTCAATTCTCCACATCCCGCTGTCTCCAGCAGCCATGTAGCACGTCGCGCCGCGAGTCGGTCGCTCCAGGTGCCGCTGCGCACGGGTTCGGCCCCCAGGCTGCCTCTGAGGCTCGTCGAGCGCTCGCGGCTCGCTCTGCATGCGTCCACGATCGAAACAGTCGACACAGCCCCGTCCCAGAAGTTCGACGGATTCGAGGTGACTCCCCGCGCGCGTCGCACGTGCCACCCGCACACCAGCGCCAGCACATCGCACAGGGCAGTTTGTGTGTGCACTCACTCGCGCGCACGCCTTGTTCCTCGCAGACAATCGACTGGCGCGACCAGTGGTGGCCAGTGCAGCTGGAGGAGAATCTGGACGCGGACAAGCCCAACGCTGTGGTCTGCCTCGGCGAGGCCATCGTGCTGTGGAAGGACGGCGCGGCGTGGCGCGCGTTCGCGGACCGCTGCCCGCACCGCGCGGTCCCGCTCAGCGAGGGCCGCATCAACGAGGCGGGCCGCATCGAGTGCCCGTACCACGGCTGGGACTTCGACGGCGCCGGGAAGTGCCACCACGTGCCGCAGGCGCCCGAGCGGACGCACGCCAGCGCCGCCGGGAGCCCGCGCGCGTGCGCGGTGCGCTTCCCCGTGGCGGTGCGCCAGGGCCTGGTCTTCGTCCACATGAAGCCGCTCCCGCCCAACACGCCCCCGGGGGAGTCCGAGCCCGACCCGGCGGACATCCCGCTCCTCGACGACGTCGACACCGACGCCGGGTGGGTGATGGACACGGTCGTGCGCGACATGCCCATGAGCGCCGCGACGGTCTTCGAGAACGTCCTCGACGTGTCGCACGTCCCGCACACGCACCACGGCACCGTTGGGCGCCGGGAGCGCTCCACGCCCGTGGAGCTCGAGGTCACCGCGCGGCGGCGCGACGGCTTCGACGGCGTCTGGGCGCAGGGCCCGCGCAACGGGATCTACGGCCCGCAGACGACGGTGTTCCGCGGCCCGCAGCTGATGGTGCACTCGCTCGACTGCGTCGACACGAAGGGTTTCGCGACCAAGACGGTGGTGTACGCCACGCCGACGACGCCGGGGCGGTGCCGGCTGATCGCGCGGTTCCCGTTCTACTTCAAGCCGGCCGTGCCGCGGACGGTGTTCAGGCTCACGCCCAAGTGGTGGAGCCACCGCGGGGCCAACCGCGTGCTTGAGGACGACCAGATCTTCCTGCACAAGCAGGAGCGCACGGTGCTCGCGGAGCGCCTGGAGGCGGCGTCGCTCTCGAAGATCTACTACATGCCGACGACCGCGGACGCCTTCGTGACGGCCTTCAGGGACTGGCTGGACAACGTGGCGGGCGGGGGGCCGTTCGGGCCGCCGAGCAAGGACCTGCTCGCGGCGATGCCGCCTGCGCAGTCGCGGACGGAGCTGCTGGACCGGTACGGATCGCACACCGCGCACTGCAAGGCCTGCAGCGGGGCGAAGCGCAACATGGAGGTCGCGATCAAGGCGTGCCGCGTGGCGTCGCTGGCGTGCCTGGCGGCCGCGGCTGCGCTCGCGGCGATCGCGAGCGTCGGCGGCGCGGCGATCGACGGTGTGTCGGGGTCGGACGGGCTCGCTGCGCGCGCGCTTGCGGCGGCGGCGGGGCTCCTTGCGCCGGCCGGGACGACGCCGGTGGAGGCGATGGGGCGCGCGGTGGGCGCGGGGGGCGCCGCGGTGGCGCTCGAGCTGCTACGCGCCGCGGTGCGGAAGCTGTGGATGTCCATGGTCAACGGCGAGCCGGACTACCCCCCCCCGAGGAACCGGGTCAAGTAGAACATACAACAGCCCGCTCGGCCTGACGTGCTCTGCCTCGAGACTGCGCGCGGTGTGAGGCGCATGTGCCGGACGACCACGGCGAGATGTGACACGTCCGCACGCGTCTGTCCTGCGCACCAAGCACCCTCGAGACTGTTGCACACACAAACGTCACGGGCACGCGACCGAGGCAGCCCCCGTTTGCCCGCCACTCGCGTGCCGTGCGGTGAGGGCGCCGCTGCGCATGCGTCGGCGCCGGGTGCGTCGCAACCCCCGCGGGGGGAGTCCGCCAACAGATGTCGAGAGAAGAACACGTGTCAGGGCACTCCACCGTGCCGCTGCGGGCGGGGCCGAGGTCGCCGCGTGCTGCCGCGTGCGGCCACTCCAGATCGTGCTGCCTCCGTTCCGCGTCGCAGGAGGGGAGTTCGTGTACGGCGCGCGGCTCCCTGGGACGGTCCACACCTGAAGTAGGGCTCGGTCTCGAATCCCCGTGCTCGCTGGGCGCGCCGGCTCGATTGAGCGCTTTGTCGAGCGAGGGATCATGCTGAAGACGGCCAGGGCGCTCCGCGCCGTGGACGGCGAGCTGCTCGCGCGGCTGAGGGGCTTTGCAGCTGTGCCTGCGGTTGCCAAGGCCGGGTTGACGCCTTTCACGAAGTTCGGCAGCCCGGTGCCGCAGGACAACCAGGGACCGTTCTACAACAAGGCGCTAGGCCTGATTCCCGAGTGCGAGGTGCGGAACGGGCTGCCCTGTGCAGGGCCTACCTGAAGCGGCCCGTGGCGCGCTCCGGCGCGGCTTCCGCGGGCCGGCGAGCGCCTCGTCGCATGATTCGCATCCACCCCGCCGTTTCCGCCGCCGCAACGCCGGGTCGTGCGCGGAGCGCCCCCCTTGCACGGCTCGACGTCGCCACCGGCCCGCTGACGCTCCCGACGGCCTGCAACGCGGCCCAGCGGGCCGGTCCCCGACCGCTCCCCCTTTTCCTGCATCGTTCCGACCCCTGCGCTCGCGCGTTTCGGCCCCGGTTACTCTCAGTCAGAGCCTGCCGGTTGGTTGAGTGCCTTCACCGCGCTCCACACCCTCCGCCTCGCCTCCCCTCCCCCCCCTGGCCCGACACCCACACCACCGACCCCCAGAACGCCCCCCCCGCGCCGTCCCGGCCGCGCTCCGACGCCACGCGCCCCCCCCGCCGCGCAGGTCTCCACCCTCAGCAACGGCCTCCGCGTGGCCACGGAGACCATCCCCTGGGCGACCACGGCGACCGTCGCGGTCACCATCGACACGGGCTCGCGCTACGAGGAGCGCCACACCAACGGCGTCGCGCACTTTCTCGAGCACCTCAACTTCAAGGGCACGGGGCGCCGCTCGCGCTCCCAGATCGAGGTTGAGGTCGAGAACCTCGGCGGGCAGCTCCACGCGTTCACGAGCCGCGAGCAGACGTGCTACTGGGTCAAGGCCGAGCGCTCCGCGGTCCCCGCGCTCGTGGACGTGGTGGCCGACATGCTGACGGGCTCCCAGTACGAGCAGCGGAGCGTCGACGCGGAGCGCTCCGTGATCACGACCGAGATGGAGCACGTGTACCAGCAGCCCCACGAGGTCGTGTTCGACCACCTCCACGCCACCGCGTTCCAGAACACCGGCCTGGGTTTCACGATTCTGGGGCCGCGGGAAAACATCATGGCGATCTCGTCGGGCGACGTGAAGACGTTCGTGAAGGAGCACTACACCGGGCCGCGCATGGTGCTCTCGGGCGTCGGCGCGATCACGCACGAGGAGCTCGTCAAGCTCGGCCAGGCGCACCTGGGCGGCGTGCCCAGCGAGGGCGCGAGCACCGCGCAGCAGCTCGCGAAGAAGCCCGGGTTCTTCACGGGCAGCGACGTGCGCATCCGCGAGCCGGACGAGGCGTCGTGCCACTTCGCGGTCGCCGTCGAGGGCTGCTCGCACAACGACCCGGACTTTGTGGCGCTGGAGCTCATGCGCATGATGCTGGGCGACTGGGACGCGTCGTCGAGCGTGGGCATCAACAGCGGGTCGCACCTCGCGCAGAAGGTCGCGGCGGGCGGCTGGGCGGACCGCGTGTTCGCGTTCAACACGGCGTACCACGACACGGGCCTGTTTGGCGTGTACGCCTCGGGGCCCGCCGCGCACACCAAGGACCTGTCGTGGGCGGTGATGAAGCACCTGTCCGGCCTGAGCTACTCCGTCTCGGACGTCGACCTCGTGCGCGCGAAGAACATGCTCAAGGCCGAGCGCCTGAGTTACTACAAGAACAGCGAGAGCGTGGCCACGGACATCGGCGCGCAGCTCGCCAAGCACAACCGCCGCGTGCCCATGGACGAGATGTTCGCGCGCATCGACCGCACCACCGCCGAGGACGTCAAGCGCGCCGCCCAGCGCTTCGTGTACGACGCCGAGGTGGCCATTGCCGCCTACGGGGAGACCTTCGACCTCCCGGACTACATCTGGTTCCGCCGCAGGACCTACCAGCTGCGGTACTAGGCGCAGAGCGCCGGGGGCGCCGCGGACCGCGGCGTCCTAGACTGTGACACCGCCGCTGCGTGAACAAACCTGCGTGTGTTGAGCGGGGGGGTGTTGCTGGGGCGGGCGGGGACAGGGGGCCTCCCGGTGCGCCAGAGAGGGCGATTTTCAGGTCCGTGGTGCAGCTCATCGCCCAGCGTGCGGCGTCGGACCGGGACGGACAGACGGTGTGCGTCGGGGGGCCGACAGGCTGCACCGCGCGTCCCGGGGCGAAGGGTGCGGGGCGCGCAGGGCGGGGCGCAGACACCGCGGCTGCTGCGAGCATCGACGTAGGTCAGGACGCGTGACACGCGCGCGTAACTACGCGACAGAGGACAGGTGCACACCACCTGTGAGGAAACGTACGGTTGAGGCCCAGCGGCCGGCCCGTCGCGGCGCGTGAGGGGTAGTGCACGATGGATCTTCACCACCAGCTGCGGCGCAACCCGAAATGGGCGCGCGACGGCTGCAATATTTGCGGAGAGGTGCGGGGCCTGCTCCAGAAGCGGCTGAGGGCCCGGCCTGCGGCCTGACAGGGGGCGCTGTCAGCGACGCACGGACGCTCTGCTGCGGTTCCGCGCGTTTTGCCTGCTGAGCTCCGCGATCACGAGCGCGCACGACCGGCCGGGGCCACTCAGCATTGCGCCGCCCTGGGCCCGTCTCCGCGCAGAGGGGGCACCAGGCAGCCTCCTGTCCAAACGGCAACATCAACTGGAGCGAGAGGTGGGGCACGCTGCGGAGCAAGGTGTTCCGGCTGGACCCACCGCTGTACTTTTCGGAGGAGGTGAAACGGTGCGCTTCGTCCCCCTCCAAGCCTGCCACGCGGCTCGAGCTGCCCGCACGCTCCGGACGCGAGCACAGAGTCTGTGTAGGGGATCACAGTCGTCCGCGCTCAGCCTGCAGCGCCAGCAGCGGGGACTGGCTCTGAGCCTGCCCGCAGCACGGACCAGCTCCGCGCCACCGAGCACGCGCTCAACCGGCAGCGCTCGAAGCCCCGCATATGTGCGTGGTCGTTTGCGAGCGATGCGGATGGCAGCGAGCACGCAATGCCCCTGGCACTCACTGCACAGTGCGCCCTGCGAGCTGCTGCTTCCAGTCCACTCTGTCGTTCGTCAGCGGCAAGCGGTGACCCTGCCTGCGCAACGTAGCGCGCCCGCGTGTTCGTGCATCCCCTGGCGACGCACGCGCGCATCGAGTGCGCCGCCGCTCGCTTCACGTCGCTGTTGCAGCACCTACAGAGCTCGTTTTTCGCACCCTTGCATGCCCTGGGACTGTATCTCAGACGCCAGGCAACGCGCACGGTTCGAGTGCGACCTGCGTGGACGTGCACGGCAGGAGCGCGCGTGCGCCCCCGCCCTCGGTGCACTAGTGCCGACAGAGCACCATCACTGAGCAGCTCGCGCCCGGGCCCCTGGCGCAGGCGGGCGAAGTACATCGACGTGGAGCAGGTGGCGAAGAAGGCGCGGGTGTTCGTCGAGGAGCGCTTGCAGGACTCCAACTGGGACGGCCCGACCGAAGAGGAGGTGGCGAAGACCGCGGCAAAGTCCCTCGCCATGTCGGAAGCAGACATCGCGAAGCAGGTGCGACGCGGAGCACCGCGCGTCGTCGTCGAGCTCCGTCCCGGTGTCGCTCGCGCGGGGACCTTAGGGGGGGGGACTCTGCACACACAACACCCACACATGTCTTTTTTAATTGGCGTCCTCCTCTCGTGGCCGCGCAGGCCGAGGAGCTAGGCGCGAAGGAGGAGGAGCGTATCCAGATCCTGGACGAGCTGATCGAGCAGGAACGCGAGCGGAAGCGCGCACATCGGGCGGAGAGAGCTGTGGAGGACGCTGCAGCTCCGACCACCCCTGCCGCGGCTGCCCCGACGCCGACCCCCGCCGCGGCGGCGCCCGCCGCGTACGGCGCGCCGGGACAGCAGGCTATGCCCGCGCAAGGCGCTGCGCCGCAGCCAGTGCAGCAACAGCCACAGCCCATGCAGCAGCAGCAGCTGCCGCCAGCGCCCACGCCTGCTGCTGCGCCGCCCGCGGAGCAGCCGCTGCCGGAGGGCTGGGCGGAGGCCAAGGCGCCGAACGGGAAGACGTACTACTACGAGAAGGCCACGCGGAAGACGCAGTGGACGCGGCCCACTGCATAGGGGGGGAGTTGGCCCCATGACCGACCGCGGCGCTGCGACCGGTGGGGCGCAACACGGAGCACGGCCACGAACAGTACTGTTACCAGTGATGCGCGTGCAGCGAAGGGTGTCGGGCTGGGGTCAAAAGTCCCCCAACCTTTGTGACAGCAAAAGTCCAGCACGGGCAGCTGGGGGGACAGAGTGCCCCAGAGTCAACGCTGCGGCTTCGGGGCGCACAGCTTGGGCCCCGACGACCTTGCATTTGTCGCAGACGGGAACCATGCATCACAGCCTCGGCGCGGCCCGCGCCCTCACTCGACGACGTGCGCGCCGCTCCCCACGTACGTGTCCGGGCGGCCGTCCGCGTTGGGGTTCCCGGACCCGGGCTTGCCGCCCGTGGCCGCGAGCGACGGCCCCAGCGGCTGCGTCATGCTGGCGTTCAAGCGCGACTCCGGGCGGCGCAGCGTCGGCGCCCCGCTGGACCGCAGCGACGCGGACAGGTGCTTGATCTCTGGCCGCGACGCCAGCTCGGCGAGGCGCTTGGAGTCCTGCGCGAACTCGTCGAGCTTCTTGGAGGAGTACAGCGGGCGGGCGTCCTGGATGCGGCGCAGGATGCCCTCGTTCTCCTCGACGATGCGCTGCGCCTCCTGCTTGCGGCGCCACTGGTGGCCGTGCCGGATCGGGCTCGGCGGAGGCTTGAGGATACAGTCGACGTAGGGGTAGGCCGACTTGTCCGTGGCGACGCCGCGCGTGGCGGCGACGGTGTGCAGCGACGTCCTGCGCGGGGGTCGCGGGGCGGGCGGTCGGGGCGGGGCGCGGGGCGGCGCGGGGGCGGGGGCGGGGGCGCGCGCACCTGTAGTAGGCGGGCTTGGAGGACTTGGCGATGTCGCGGGTGTAGATGGATTCGAGTTTCTTCAGGAGAACCTGGTTCTCGTGATCGATGGCGACCTGCCGGTCGGCCTGCTTCTGTTTCTGAGCCGCGCGGGTCTTCAGGTGGGTCAACTTCATACAGTCCGGCTCCTTGTTGTCCACCGTCTGCACCAAACGCGGCTCGCGGAGCAGGATGAGAACTACGGAGTCCGGGCGCGCCCCCGCAGCGGCCGCTCACGGAACGCTGGCGGCGCCCGGAGCAGCATGGCTGTGCCTGGAGCGGATGCCGGCCCCGTGGAGCCGCTGCGGCGCTCTCGGGGTCCGCGCGGCGTCGCGGGGGCGTGGAGGGAGAGACGGAGCGTACCTTGCAGCGGACGGGAGTCTGTTTCATGTTGCGCAGCCGGTCGTGATGCAGCTGCATGGAGTGCTGGGCCATGCGCTCCGTCACGAGGCGGTTCGCCGAGGGCAGCGCGCGCCTGCCCCGGTCAGCCATCCTGATGCTTGTCCCCGACGGGAACGCTCCTCGCAAGCCGCGCCCGGGCCGCAGGGGCCTGCAGGATCGAGGAGCAAGGCGGAGGGGGTAAGAGACGGTGCGGAGGACAACCGACTGCGGGAACCGCCGTGATGGATGGGCACCAGGGCGGAGCTCGTCCAGGAGCAGACAAGCAGGCCGTGTGGCCACTGGGCCTCAGTGGCGATGCTGGCAGGCACAGGTCTACCCCTGGGCGCCCATCACGCGAAACGTGGCCTCGCCGGCTCTTAAACGGGCGCTGCGTATTCGCCCCCGGATCATTCGATATCGTGCTAGCGCTGGCGGCGCTGGCGCTGCGCCTGGCCGCGTCACGACGGCGCAAACGAGGGCCGCAATGTGCCCGAGCCTGCGAGCATGGCACAGCGCACAGAGGCTGCGCCTGCCCGAGACAGCGGCGCCTTTCGAGGGTACACGAAATGAACACTCACCAGCGATCCAATTCCCCGACGCCAGCTCCGCCGCGAGGCGCCAGGAATCGGCTCCGAGTGCGAGTCCTCAGTGCGCCAGATGTCGGCTCAGCTGGCTCGGATATCCACCACGAGTACGTGAAAGAGAAATATGCCGATGCGTCGCGTCGACGCGCGGCATCGAATCGGGCCTGGCGCGACCGCGAGGACCCCTCAGGCGGAAGGCAGTTGAGGTGTGTCCGAGCGGGAGTGTCTCGCCGCGCGCAGCCGCGGAAATCGCGGACGCTCGCTCGGCGTCCAGGCACGAGGACGCGCGGCCCGACGCGGCCCGCCCGGCCCGGTCGTCGGCTGCCGCGAGGCACGCCGCACGCACACACACCGCCCTGCCAGGGCGCACCATGAGGGCACCGCGGCGGTCGCTGGCTCACCTCGGTGCGGCCACGGAGGCTCTGTGCCGCAAGTTTCTCGGGCAGCGGTGGTGCTCGCAGCCGGAGCGGGGCGCGTATCGGGGCAGTTCCGCTCGTGACCGCCTGAGTGAATTCGGCAATTTCACCACGACCCGTGCCGCGCCCCAGGCCCGCGCAGAGGCCCGGCGGCTGCGACGCGCCGCGCGAACGCGTCCTCGAGCGAGGTGGCATGCGGGTTGCGCCGTGAGCTGCACTTCGCGCCGTCCCCGCGACGCGCAGCGGCGTGTGCCCCCTGCCATGACTAGGATCCTTGGTCCCCCCCGTGCCTCGGCGACGCGGCTGCGCGCGATTCGGGCTCGCCGGGGGGCGGCAGCGCGCCAGATGAGGACGCGAGGGCACCTCACCGAGTGAAGCGCCCTGCGCACGGGCGGTGGCGTGGTTCTGAGCCGAGGGGTGGAGCGTGCGGGTCGGCAGCGCGGGTCTGAGCCGTGGCGCACGGTACCACGGCTTGAATTTACTGGAACATTCGCGGCTCTGCGTTCGCGGGTCGCGATGGGCGCGCTCGAGGCGCTTGAGGCCGCGCGGTGCAGTCGGCCATGCAGCCAGCTGACGGGTCGGCGCGCGGGGGGACTGGCGCACAGTGGCGCGCACCCGGTCGGGCAGCGGTGGCGGAACCGCACCAGCACGACTTGCCGGGCGTGGGGCAGGCGGCGGGGCAGGGGCGGGAGGGATGACAGCGAAAGGAAGCCGCCCACAGACATGCGGGAACTGCGCAACGCGGACGCGCAGTGGGTCGCGAGGAACATCGACAACTCCATCGTCGTGCCGGGGTGAGCCGCTAAGCGCGCCGCCGCGCCCCCGCGCCGCATTCCCGCCCACTGCACTGCGCGTGGCTCTCACGCGGTCACGCGCGGCGACCCAGGGGCGACGGCGCATTTCGCGCGTCCTGCAGGCTCGTCAAGAAGCGGATCAAGAAGGAGACGAAGTCGATAGTGGACGGCGAGCAGGTGGAGGACGACAACCTGTCGCCCGAGGAGCGCGACTTCCAGGTGGGCGCCGCACGCCAGCGGGCGCCCCGGGACCCGACAGCGCTCCGCGGCCCCGTTCTGGCGTGTCTCTCCCGTTCACTACGCAACGCGCCCCGTTCGAGCGAGTATCTCGCGCCCACGCCGCCGCCGTCCCCAGCGCCAGCCCACCGCCAGCCCACACATCACGTTTCGTCGCGCGCGCGCGCCCATTCCGCCGCCACGCGCCCGCCGCCGCGCGCAGGAGTTCCTCCGGGTGTGGGGCGCGGCTGACTGGTCGGACTGGGAGGACGTGACCGTGTACGAGGAGCAGGCGGTGCGCAAGATCACGCAGGGGGCGCCGGGCGAGTGGGACGAGGAGGACGCGCGCGTCCCGCGGTCCGACTGGGACGCGACGCCCCGGAACATGGCCCGGCGCGCGAACCGCAACAAGCCCCGCAGCGACGCGATGAACCGCGACTCGTTCCTGTCGCCCATTGTCGACATCCGCAAGGTGTTCGACGTGGTGGACCCGGATGTGGACGCGATCGAGGCGGACCTGCGGCTCGAGATGCGCGCGAACCAGTGGGAGACGCAGCAGGCCTTCCTCTTCGCGGGCGTCCTCGCGACGGTCCCGATGCTCGTTGCCACGGGCGTGCGCTGGTTCGTCGTGGAGCCGATTTTCGACGACATCGCGATGCGGGACCCGGAGAGCTTCTCGCTGTCGCGGCGGCAGCGCATCGAGGGCGCCGCGAAGGTGCACCACCACGAGCAGCGGCTGCGGTTCGAGGCCGGGGTGGGGCGCGCGCCGCCGATCGAGCTCGACGAGCTGCAGCTGCAGCTGCGGAAGGAGGCGGTGAAGATCGAGCACGAGATGATCGAGGAGAACAAGGAGAAGGTCGAGAACCTCGTGTCGGACTCGGTCTTCGCGCTGGCCTTCGCGGCGGTGCTGGTGCGCGAGCGGCGCGGGCGGTCGCTCATGTTCCGCGCGCTGAACCGGTTCTGGAAGTCCGGGCTCTCGGAGACCGCCAAGGCCTTCGCGCTCATCACCGTCGCGGACATCCTCCTGGGGTACCACTCCGAGGAGGGTTGGCTGACCCTCATCGATCTGATTGTGCGCCACTACGGCTGGGAGGTCGAAATGGTGCGCCCCGACGCAGCGAGCGCGCCCCGACCCGCCGTGCGTGCTCTGCGGTGTGCGGTCGCCCATCCTCCGCGCCGCGCGGTCCCCGTGCGCTGTGCAGGAGCCGCGGTATATTTTCACGGCGATCGTCCCCGTCACGCTGGACGCAATCTTCAAACTGTACCTCTTCAGCACGTTCACCAAGCAGTCGCCGTCCACGGTCGCGACGATCCGCGAAATGGACCGCCACTAGCCCGCGCGGGCGCACCTGCAGCATGCACATTGTTGCCGACCATCGACTTGCACGCCTGCCGCGGGTACAGGTCACGTGTGACGCGAACGACGCCGCGCTGCACGGCCGCCGCGTCGCGCACCGCACTGCTGGCTGCGTGTCACAACGCGGCCGCGCGCACGAGCGCTTGCCTCTGGCTGGCTCGCCACGCGCGTCCGTGTGTGTCCGCCCAGGCACTCGTCGCCTGCGTCGGCGCCGAACGGTCTGCGCAGATCGCAGCCGCAGACCTGACGGCCGGCTGCGAAGCCATTTCGGATCTCTCGGCCGCCGGCCGAGAGGGGGGGGGTGTGTCATCGACATACTGCACGTGCCCGACTGCGTCGGGGGCGAGCGGCAGGCGCTCTTTGGGCCGCACCCGCGGCACGCGCGCCCGAACGACCACTGTCGGTTGAGCGACGAACCTCGCGGCCCCTCCTGCCTCCTCATCCGTCGCACAACACACCGCTGTTGGCGTTTGCCTGCGTGCTGCTCTATCTGAGGCCCGCACCACCGTTGGGCGGATGTTGTAGCGGGAAGCGGCGATCGAATCGAGCAGGGCAGCGCCATGTCCGGTCGGGATCGCAAAGCCAAAGCCGAGAAGGCCCCCCCGAAGCCTTCGGCCGAGGACATGAAGCCGTCGGAACTGATGGGGGCTCTGACGAAGAAGACTCCCTTCTCGTGCATGTTCAGCTTCATGCCCGACCTGGTGGAGCCGCCATGTTCCAGCAAGCTAATCGTGGAGCCGCTGAGGCACGAGGAGGTGGCGCGGTTCGCTCTCACTCAAGCGGAGCGCAACCGGCGCTACGGCCTGCCCGTGGACCTCGTCGACGCGGTCCCGCTGTCCGTCTTGGACTGCTCGGCGTTCCAGGTGAGGCTGGGCTGCTCGTATTGCGCGAGGCTCGCGGCGGTGGCTTGCACACACGAGCCTGTGTGCAGGCCGCCCATCTGTGGCCCGCCGGTGGCAAATCCCGGCTTCGAACGACCCTGACGCGAGACTCCATATACCAAGCATGCTCGGACTGCTCGATGCGCTCCTATTCTCTCGCGTTCAAGCGCGCAAACCACCTGTCTGGGCACCCAGCTCCTACGCGGCCGCCCGCGCTCAGCATGGCGTTGCACTTCGCCGAACGCGCCCCCCGCGGGATCCGTCACGATCCAATCTCCCACGTCCGCGCCATCACCTCCCCGCAGGTCCGCCCGGGCGCGAGCGAGCGCGACTTGCACCCCGACGACCAAGCCATCCTCGACCTGGCGGGCGGCGCGAAACGCCGCAAGGTCGGCGCCGCGGACACCACGCTCGCCACGGGCCACGAGTGGATGCGCGCCAACGTCCCGGGCCTCCACGTCGACGGCGGCGACTCGATCGGCGCGCGCGCCCTCGCCCAGCGCCTCCGCGCCACCAAAGCCACCCGCGTCACCCGCCTCGACCTCGTCGGGATCATCGAAGAGCAGTTCGAGGCTGCGCAGCGCCCCCCGAAGCACCCCACGAAGCCGGACCTCGAGCCCGTGGAGGTGCACAACATCCTGCCCGACCTGCGCGGACTCGACGTGGCCGTGCTGCGGTGCGACGTGCACCCGACGCTCGACGCCGCGGCGCTCCGCGGCGAGCCCGACGAGCGCAGGCGGGCGCTTGCGCGCTCGGGGGTGTTTAAGAGCCTCAAGGTTGAAATCGAGGGCTCGGAGGAGCCGCTGCCGTTGGTGGCGTATCTGTGCAAGGAGGCGCCCGAGGTGCAGGACCCGGACGCGGCGATCCCGGCCGCGGTGCTCGAGGGCCGCGCGACGTGGCTGCAGCACTACCAGCACTCGTACCGCAAGGCAAGGGCGGCCCGACCTCTCGCGCCGCGCGCCCGTGACTGTGTGCGTGCTCTGAGCGCCGCGTGCTGACGGGGCGCTGCGCGACGCACGGGTGCAGGACGGCCGCGTGCTGCTTCGGGCGGACCCGGACGGGACGGTGCGGTTCACCCAGGTGCCGCGGCTCACGGAGCTGCGACGGATGCGGCAGACCGACGACGACGCGTTCCCGCGGCCGCGGCACGTGTCCATCAAGCGCCGCCGCGTCGACGACGCCGACCTGGACAAGGCCGAGCGAGGTGCGTCTGACGCCACGCACGAGACACCCCCCTCTCCTCCTGCGACCCCACACATGTCCTCCCGTGCCCGCGCCACGACCGCTGGCTGCCTCGCTCGCTCCGGCGTGCACGCACGGCCCCTGAGCGGCTGTTTCGCTGCGCCGGTGCGCTGCAGCGAGGGACGCGATGTTTGGGGAGATGCCGGAGGGTGCGGTGCCGATGGTGTGGCAGGAGCTCGCCGAGGCGGACTTCGACGAGCTGCCGGACAGCGAGAGCTCGGAGGACGAGGACGAGGACGAGGAGATGGAGGAGCCCGACGCGCGCGAGGCGGCGCCGGCGCCGGCGGAGGAGGAGGAGGAGGGGGAGGAGCTTGCAGGGGGTGCCGGGGAGGGCAAGGAGGGCGCGGCGGCGCAGCCCGAGAACTCCGAGGACGTGTACGCGGCGTACTTCGGGGCCGGGGACGACGAGGAGGACGACGACGAGTACGAGGCGCCTGCCACGCCGCAGCACAGTGGTGGGGGCGGGGGCGACGAGGGCGGGGCGGCGGAGGAGGCTGGGGAGGCGGGGGAGGGCGGGGGCGGGGCCGGGGACGAAAGCTGACGGCTCGTTGCGGATGGGGCGTGGGGCGCCGGGCCTCGGCGTGTGAGCAGTGCCGTGCAGGGGTGTTTTGCGCGTCCTGTCGCCTGAGTCAGCTCACGGCCGGCGATGACGGCGGGTCGGGCTGGCGGCCGGAGCGCGATTTCGGTTGCGGCGGCAGGCGTGCGCTTGCAACATCGGTTCGGGCCAGGCTGCCCGGTGAGCTCGTGCCGGTGCGGCAGGTGCGCGGGGCTCCGTTCCCGGTGGATCGCGGCAGTCGCGTGCGTCGGTTTTCGAAAGGTTCGGCGCGACTGTTGCAAGGGAGGCCGGTGCGCAACTCTCGGGGCGACGGGACGGCGATCCGCGCCCCGCTGCGGCTTCATCGATCGGCCTGTGTGCAAGGCGTGAGGGGGGGCCGTGGCATGGCTGCCGACCGCAGGTTTGCGTGCGCGACGTCGGGCAGCCGCTAGCAACCAGCTGAGAACGTTCTCCCCCAGAATGGCGCGAAGCGGACCGGACGCGCCCGCAGCGCTCCAGCGTCCGCAACAAGGTGTGCCGGGCCCCAGCTGTGCGCGCCTCCAGGCCTCAACTCCGATCGAATCGACAATCCTGCGCACCTCATCTTCTTCACCATCCTGTTCCTCGCATCGCACGGCCCCCTTCGCAGCCAGCGCTCAGTCGCGGACACTTGCCCTTCGCTGCCAGGCATCCCGCGGTGGCGTTCCACCTGCGCCGATCCAACGCACCCCGCTGTGCCCACCGCCCGCTGCAGATGCGCAGGCGTGCGGGGCCGCCGCGCACGCGGAGACCGAGGACCTGCTGTCCGCGCTGCTCCCTGATGCTGTTCTGGAGCTCATTCTGCGGCGCCTGCGGGGCGGGGACAGAGTCGCGCTGGCCAGCTGCTCCCTGCGGTGCCTAGCTCGCGTGCTCAGCAACGCACGCTGCACGTGGGAGCCCGCCGCGCTCGCCGGGACCTTGCTGCAGCGGCTGGCAGCGCTGCACCATCCAGCGTCGTCGCTCGGGATGCTCGGAGCGGCGGAGGACGATGTCCGTGTCCGTGTTCCTCTGCGTGAAGTCGGGTACCTCGCCGACGCCCTCCGTCGGCGGGGAGGGCACAGTCCACGACAGCACCGCGACGCGTGTCCGTCCCTGCTGCAGCTCCTGCGGTCCGTCGGCGGCCTGCAGAGCGTGCGCGAGCTCGTCGTCGACGACTGGAAGCGCGTGCCGGCGGGGCTCGCGAACCTCGACCGCCTGGAGGTCGCGCAGGCAGCAACGCCGCCGATCAACGTGGTGGCAACGGGCGAGCGCGTGGCGGCCGACGCGCCGGCGAGCAGCGTGGCGCGCCTGCGCACGCTGGTCGTCCGCTCGAGCGTCCACAGGCTGCCGGAGGACATGCGCTGCGTCGAGCGCGTCGAGTTCTTCAGCGGCGCCGTGCACCGCAGCCCCGCGCTCCTCCCCACGCCGGACGGGTCGCGTGTGCTGCCGGAAAGCAGCGCGCAGGCCGTGAAACGCATCAAGCTCGGCCACTGGAAGCAGCTGGCGCTCCCCGACATGCCGCAGCTCGAGGAAATCGAACTGCGGTGCTGCGCGCTGCCGCCCGACACCCGGCAGTTCCTCGCGGGCAGCGAGCGCGTCCGATCCTTCGTCGCGGAGCACTGCGATCTAGTGCCGCTGCCAGACAACCTCCCGCTCGAGGAGCTGCAGTTCCCCGGCTGCAACCTCCCACTGCAGTTCCGCCACGCACTGCTGCCGCCCGGGAGCGCACGGCGCGTGCGGACCCTGCTGGCCGCGCAGTCGCAGGTCGCCGCGCTCCCGCTCAACGACATGCAAGCGCTGCGCGAGCTCGACCTCGGCTGGTGCTTCAGCCTCTCCACCTCATTCTTCCAATCACTCCCCACCGCGCACCTGCCCAACCTCGTGCGCCTTCGCCTGTCCGGCACCATCGTCGAGCGGCTACCGCCGCGGATGCGGTGCCTCCGCGAGCTCCTCCTGGACGACTGCTCCGCGCTGCGGGCCGACTTTCTCCCCGCCTGCAGCGCAGCGGGCGTGCGCGTGCTGTCGTGCGAGCGATCGAGCGTCGTGCGAGTCCCGGAGGGCATGCGGGCACTGACGCGGCTCACGCTGAACCGCTGCCTCGCGTTGGCACCTGACGCGATCCCTGAATCGTCCGCCAGGGCGGTAAAACACCTCGCGGCTGCTGACTCAAGCCTGGTCCGACTCCCACCCGGCATGGCCGCGCTGGAGCGGCTTCAGGCCGTGCGGTGCCGGTTCCTGGCCCGCGACGCCGTGCCAGAGTCGAGCGCGCGCGCCCTGCGCAGCGTGGATGCCCGCGCATCGAGTCTGGCTCGATTGCCGCCCAACATGGCCGCTCTCGAGCGGCTGTGCGTCGACGGGTGCGCCGCCCTCGACGAGGACTTTTTGCCGAGCAGCTCGGCGGCCGCGGTGCGCGAACTGCATGCCTCCATGTCGAACATCGTCAGAGTGCCGCCCTGCATGGCTGCGCTGACGTTTCTCGACATCAGCGAGTGCTGGTGCCTGGACGGCGCGGCCGTGGTCCCGGAGTCGAGTGGGGGCGCGCTGGAGACCGTCAACGCCTACCACTCCAACCTGGAGATGCTGCCACGCAACATGACCTCGCTGACCTCCATCGACGTCTCGGAGTGCCGCGCGCTGCACCCGACGCTCTGGCTGCCGGAGAGCAGCCGGCAGCACCTCCGCATGTGAGTGCCACCGGCGTTGCTGTGGCGACGTGCTGCCAAGGTGCAGCGGCCTCACTTTGCCTCCCACGTGCGCATCGACCGCGCCGCGTGCGCACTCGCGGAGCCTGCCCAGCTTCCGGCGGGCGTCGTGCGCCTGTCAGGTCGATGATGGGGAGTCCACTGACTGTCCAGGACACCCCTCGTCCCTGGCGGCCAGTGGCCCGGTCTCAACGCGCACGGTGCATCCGCGCGCAGTCTAGAACCGAGCCGGTGCGTGGGACTGCTCTGCGACATTCCAAATTGGAAGCAGAGAGCGCTGGTCATGGTCTGCAGCGCGTGCTGACGCGAGAGAGGCGCTCATGGCCACAGAGGAGCTCGTTGCGCGCCTGGGGCGGCTGAGAGCGACCCAGGCAGAGCAGTACGACACGTACGACCTCTGCGTCAGAGGCGATGATCCTTCCGGTGGTTCCGAGCTGCAGGAGCTGGCCTCACGCATCCCAGCGGGCGCTGTGCAAGTAGCAACTCTGCAGGTGCGGGCCGTCCCGGCCAACCGCAGCTCTACTACTGCGCTCTGCGAATCCCAGCGCATTGTCCATCTACTGACGCACGGAAAGCGCGCGCATCCCATCGTCGTACCGCTCTACCCGTGTTGCGACAGCTGCGAGGGCTCAGCGGTAGCTAGGATCACGAACCGAACCCGTTCGCAGGCGAGCGGCGACCCGACCGGCCCGAGACCATGCGAGGGCGACCTCGTTGTTCTGCGCTGGGCAATCCTGCCCGGCGGATCCAACGCCGACCCGAGCGCGGGCTTTGGAGACGGAGCCAGTGTCCCACCAGTGTCCTTCTGTCTGCTCGGCAAGTCTCCACGGTACGTGCGCCTCTCCCGCCTCACCGTTCCACGACCGCCAGAACCGCGCGTGCCCGCGTGATGGGCGCGGCATGCGACGCCCCACAAGCCTTGCGTGTTTGCGTGACGCCCGACGACCTCGCGTCTCCGCAGGGTGCCACCGTGCGTGGAGCTGGCCCTCAGTAGCATGACTCCCGGACAGCGGTGTGCGATCCGCTCGGACCCCGCGTACGCCATAAAAGCACCGTCGTGCTCTGTCGCACCGCCAAGAAGCCTCGCGGCCTCGTCAGACGACGTCACCACCATCCTCGTCGAGCTGCTCGCCGTCGTGCCAGGTGTGCGCGCGCGCTGCCCCGGGCCGCACCGCGCCCTCTCCGACGCCGCCCAACACCCCCCCACCAACCCACCCGCCGCGGCCCCCCCCGCAGGTGATGCCGTGTCCTCGTTCGAGCTGGGGGAGCCGGAGCGCCCCGAAGACTGCGCAGGGTGGATGCAGCCGTGGATGGGCGTGCGGAAGGTGCTGCGCGCGGGCGGCAAGTTCGAGCGCGCGCTGGAGGGGTACAAGGCAGACGTGTCGTGGCGGTGTCGGGCGGTGGACGGCGACGACGCAACGGCGGCCGTTCTCGCGACCCTCGGAGACGAGGCGGAGTCGTCGGAGCTAGCGATGGAGGGCGGCCACGTCGTCGTGCAGATCGGCGGCGACGGCGGCGCTCCGGCGGCGGTGGCGGGCCTGCTCCAAAGCATCGTGGCGGGAGACGTGGCGTTCGCGCTCGTGCCCGCGGCGGCGCTGCCTGCTGGGGACGGCGGCCCGTTCGCGGTGTCGGAGGCGGTGAGGAGCGGGAGCGCGTTCGTCGCGGCGACCTGTGGTCTGCACGCGGTGAAGCAGGTGCGAGACGTGTTCGGCGACGGGTCGATCGTCAAGGAGAAGCTCAGGGAGGGGGAGGGGGACTTTCCCATGGACGCGCCCGTCGAGGACTGCCCGGCGAGGATCCGGTATCGCGTCATCCAGGGGGATTTCACTGGAGGTGAGGGGCGCTCCACTCAGGGCGGTTGACGCGCGCTGCTCACGTGCTCCGCGTTGCAATGACACGAGGCTCGTTGCTCGTGGTCCGCCGTGCAGAGTGGGAGGAGTGCGAGGTGAACCTGGGCGACGGCGACGTGCCCGAAGGGGTGGAGTTCGCAGCCAAGCTCATGTGCCCGCGGGAGGTCGCACGGAGCACCTGCCGCGCCGACCGCGCGTACGCGCAAGCGCAGCACCTCACGCCCCCGGAAGGTGCGCCGCGCACAGGGCGGACACACGCACCTGCGCGTGCCACACACAACCACACCCCCTGCCGATGCTGCGCGGTCGCCTGCGAGGCAACGCGGCCCTCGCTGACATGGCGCACACCTCACCGACTTCTTCTCGGCGTCTCCGCCGCCGCAGGGGTCGACGCGAGCAAGGGCGTCATCTTCGAGATTGAGCTGTTGTCCTTCGAGCGCCCGCCCAACATCACGGACCTCGACAGCATGAAGGAGCAGCTCGGTCTGGCGAACGCCGCGAAGGAGTCCGCGAACCGCTGTTTCCGGCGCGGCCTCCTCCGCCAGGCCCGCCAGAAGTACAACCGCGTCCTGACCATGCTGAAGCACACCGGGCTCTCCGACCCGCTCATGGTGAGCGAGGAGCCCGACGGGAGCGACGACGCCGTGGCGGTGCAGGCCGGGCTGCAGCTCGCGGTCACGCTGCGCCTGAACCTCGCCGCGACGGCGCTGGCGCTGCGCGAGTACCGCGAGGCGGCCGTGTGGTGTGGGCAGGCGCTGGAGGGCGTGGACAGGGGCGGTGGCGGGGATGCGGCGCGGTGCAAGGCGCTGCTGCGGCGCGGGAAGGCGCACACGGGGCTCGCGGAGTACGGCGACGCGGCGCGGGACCTGCAGGAGGCGCGGGTGCTGGCTGAGGCGGGCGGGGACGGGGTGCCGCCGGTGGAGGAGGTGGAGCGTGCGCTGCGGGACCTCGCGGAGGCGCAGCGGAAGGGGGCGCAGCGGGCGAAGCGGGATTTCGGGGGCATGTTTGACAAAGCCAGACCGGGGGCGGCCTGACGCCGGTGTAACTGCAGCTTACAGCGCGCGCCCGCGCAGAGGCTGCTATCGCACGTCTTCGATCAGCAGAGCGAGCCCGTCCGCGCGCAGGTCCTCCTCGTACTCGCCCACGGTCGCCGCGAGCCGTTGCAGCAGCGCTGTTGGCCGCGGGCCGTGCGCAACGAAGTCCACCTCGCGCCAGCGCACGTCGTCGTAGTCGAACGAGTCCTCGGGCGGCTCCTCGTCGTCGTCCTCGGCCGGCAGCGCCAGCCCCGTCGCGCGTGCCACCGCCTGTGTGCGCGCGGCCTCCACAGCGGCCACGCGCACGTCGACCCGCTCACGGGGCAGCGCGTCGTCCGCGAGGAGCTCGGCCCACTCGATGAGGCAGCAGGCCGAGCGGAGGGAGTCGCCGAAGCCCATGCGGTCTAGGTCAGACGCAGGCACTGACTCAGGTTGCTCCGCGCTGCCGCCGAGCCGGTACAGGTCCATGTGGTGCGTGGGCGGGCCGCCGTCCGGGTCGTCGTACTGGTTGACGAGCAGGAAAGTCGGAGACGGCACCGGAAGCGACGGCGCGTCAAGTGCTGCGCGTATGAAGGCCCTGCGGTGGTGCGGCGCCGGGGAGGCGGCACGTGAGCGGACGAGGCCTGCGACGGACCGGGTGGCTGCGCGGTGGTGCGTGGTCGCGACGGAGACGATGTGCGCGTGCAGCGACGCGGGGGGTTGCGATACCTGCACAGCGCGCTTTTGCCGGCTCCCACGGGCCCCGTCAGGCAGTACACGTCGCCGACGCGACGGTCGAGGCTCAGGAGCTCGCCGAGGATCACCATCGCGTCCTCGTGCGTCACGACGAACCGCAGCGCGCACCCGCCGCGCGCCCCGCTCACTGCACCGGGCGAAGTCGATGAAACGCACCGGACGGTGCGCGTGTCCGTGCAACGCGCGCCCGCGCGCCTCCACGAACATCCCTCAGCCCTCCCGGCGCGCCACCGGCGGACGGCGCCCCGCGCAGCCCTCACCCGGGACGCCACGCACAGCCCAGAGTGCAGAGCAGGCCTGCTCCGGCCCAGCGAAGACAACCGCTGGACCAGCACCGCGGCACTCATATCGCGTAGCTACCCGTGTCACCTCATTCTGCGGTCCGCTGTCTGGCTCTTCGGCTCCCTCTGCGTCCCCGGTCGCCGGGGCAAGCAGCTTGCGTGTACACCGCGGGGTGCGCGCAGTCGGCCTCACAAGTTCCGCGCGAGTACCGCCCTCGAGCGCGCCCGTGCATGCACCGTCCCCCGCGCGGGCCCATTGAGCCGTGTTTGCGCGGGGAGGCCTGACCCCAGGACGCGTCTGTCATGCGCACCGCAACCCACCGACGTCGCTGAGGCTGACTGCGACGCCGTCACGGCGGGTGAATGCGTCGCAGCCGGCCCCGACATCCTCATAGAGCGGTCCGTCCGAGTGTCGAGGCCCTCGTCAGACAGCCCGGTCGCCAGGTCTCCCTGCTAGCTGTTTCCACCAGCAGCTGGCCTCCGCGAGCGAATTCGTGCCGCGAGCGCGCACCCTGGCTGGAAAGGCCCAACGCGTCGTGGAGAGCACACCGATAGGGGCGGAACCGACGCCGGGGACCTCGGCTGCGCCCCCCTACCCGGCCAGTACCCCCAGGCAATTGGCCTCGCGAGGCGGCCAAGAAGCGTCGGGGCACCATGGCGTACATCACGAACCGCGCAGCCGACGTCGGGAGCACGACCGCGGCGCTCAAGGCCGCGACCAAGTACGTGTTCCTGCGCCCACGCTCGCACTCCCCAGCGCGCCCCGCGACGCCGCTGACGACCCCGGCGCTGCCGTTCCGCGCAACGTGGCTGCGAACACGCCACCTCCCCTTCTCTCCGAGCGACCATTCCCTACACAGCCGCCCCAGGGCCCCGCACGCCCGGGTTTCCCACTGTGGCACGTAGGGCCGAGGGTACCGGCGGTCTCGGGCGGCTGTGCGCTCGCACCGCGCGAGGGCCGCCTCCGCCCCTGCCTGCCGTATCGTGCGCAGCCACGCGGCATCCTCGCGGCCTCTGGCCGCCCGTCTCGCGCGTGAGGGCGCGTGTGCCTGCCGCCTGGACGCGCCCAGAGCGCCGCGCGCTCTCCTCGTGCCCGCGCGCCACGGGCCTCTTCCGTATCTCGTACGCGCGTTGAGCGCCCCGTCTTCCAAACCCAGCGGTTGCGGGCCCGCCTGCCGCGCTGGCGCCGCTCGTCCGCGGGGCTGGGAACGTGCCCCAGCGGGGACCTGCATGTTGCGCCCGGGCGGCGTTGCGGCGCGGCAGCCTGGCGGGCGCCGCGCCAGCGAGGTGTCGCGGTTGCGATACCCGCCGAATCCGGCTGCCCCGAGCCCGCGGGCGGAGCGACGCGCGGCGCCGCGCTGCGCTGCTGGGCCAGCGGGCGCCTCACTCGCGGGGGCGCCGCCGCACCACGCGCCGCTCCGCCGCCTCGCCGCCGCGCCGCGCTCGAAGACGGCGCACGCAACGTTTCCGCGTGGCTCCGCGGCCGGCTCGAGCGCCCCCCGCGTGCAGGCGCCGGAGGTCAACCTGCCGCGCACCCACCGCCCGCTCGCCCGCCGCGCCCGCTTCGCAGGACGCTGACGGCCTCGACGACGCCGGGAGGCATGCTGGTGCTCGAGGAGGGCCGCGAGGTGCTCGAGCTGCTGCACCGCGTCGCGAACGGCGGCACATCGGGGCGGCGCGTGGCTGCGGATGACGACACGGATGCCTTCCACGCCATGGCGCGGGCCAAGGTCGCGGCGCTCCTGCGCGCGACGTCCACGCTTCCGGACTACCAGAACGCGCGGGACTTCGAGGACTTCGACCTCGTTCTCGAGGAGCCGTCGTTCCGGCTGTACAGCGCGCGGTGCGTGCACACGGCGGGGCTGCTGTCGCTCAAGGAGTACCCGAAGCGGCAGGTCGCGCAGCTCGCGCCGTGGATTCTGCACGAGATCATCAACAACCAGGCGGCGCAGCAGTGCAGCCAGAAGGTGCAGGGCATCTTTGGGCTGTTTGAGACGCCGCGCTCGGTGATGATGGTGCTGCAGCACATCGGGCTCGGCAGCGTGTCCGAGTGCCTCACGGCGCGCGGGTGCTTCCTGGACGAGGGCTTCGTCGCGCAGTGCATCATCACGCCGCTCCTGCAGGCGCTGGACTTCATGCACCGGCAGGACATTGCGCACATGAACGTGACGCCGTCGAGCGTGTTCCTGAAGCCGTCGGGGAACGCGGTGATCGGGGGGTTCTCGTGCAGCATGGAGCTGTCGTTCAAGCCGCCGCTGAACCCCACGGCGTGCGTGCAGTACTCGCCGCCCGAGGTGGTGCGCATGCAGGTGCAGCAGATCAACAACATCGAGTCCGCGAGCGGCGGGAAGAACTCGAGCATGATCGGACGCCTCCTCGGCGGCAAGTCCGGCCGGCGGTCTGCCCACAACGGGGCGTCCATGCGGGGCATCAAGCAGCACCTCGACGCGCTCTCCCACAAGGTCGACATCTGGCAGATCGGGTGCCTGGCGTACGAGTGCATCACCGGGATCCTGCCCTTCTTCATGCCCGACGCCGAGGTGCGCCCGCGCCGCCCACCCCGCCCGTGCCCACGCCGCGCCACGCTGCCGGTCCGGCGCAGCCCACGCGGTCGGATCGGAGCGCGAGAGGCACACCGCGGGCGCAAGAGCTTGATTTTGGCCGTTGCGCCGTGCTGCGCGCGTGAAACGGACAAGACGGTCCCACGCGCTGCGCGCCGCTGCGGTGCCGTGCAGGGGCGCGACATCACGAACGGCATCATGCGGTTCCGGACGTCGGACCTGGAGTTCCCGGACGACATCAGCGAGGAGTTCCAGGACTTCATCCGGCAGTGCCTGCAGCCGTCGCCGGAGGACCGCCCCGAGGCGGACGACCTGCTAGCTCACCCGTGGCTGCAGGTGGGTCCGCTGGTCGACGAGGAGTCGCAGCTCGTGGAGCTGTCGCAGGTGCTGATCGCGCTGACGGGCGCCGGCGAGGCCGGGCGGGACTCGGAGGCCTCCGAGTCGGAGGACGGCGCGCCGTTGGCGTCCCCTGCGAAGAAGCGCTTTGGCGGCTCGAAGGATGCCGGCGGGCCGGCGGGGGCGTTCTCGAACACGGTGAAGAAGTCGCAGGGCTACGGGAATCAGGACCTGGGCGTGCAGCGCCGGCGCATGACCATGGAGGTGCAGCGCGCCAGCGAGCGGGCGACGGGCTCGGGAGCGCCGCTGCAGTCGCGGAGCAGCGTCCAGCAGGACCGCAACACGGACCACGGCAGCACGCGTCGCAGCAATCACGAGGCAGTGCCGTCGCCCGCCGCGCGCCGCGTCAAGGGCAGCGACAACCCCGATGCCGAGGGCGGGCTGCTGACACGCATGTCGATCGCCGACGTGCAGGCGGCGCAGCTGCGGAGCGCGGCGCGCAGCATGGGTCTGAAGATGCACAAAAAGGCCGGCGCCGCGGAGGAGCTCGTGAAGAGCGTGGCCGGCTCGCGCCCGTCGGGGGCGTACCCGCGTTCGCGCAACCACGATGGGCCCGGGCCGTCGCGGATGGCGCAGTCGTCGAACGTGGAGCTCAAGAGCGCGGACGCGGACCAGGCGCTGCTGCCGGGCGGGGCGACCAGCGGGGGCGGCCCGCAGCCCTCCGCGGAGCAGCAGGGAAAGCCCGCGGACGCAAAGCCGGGCAAGCTCTTCCGGTGCTGCAAGGGCGGCGCGGCGCAGGCGGCCGAGCCGGGCGCGCTGCAGGCGCCGCCGACGGTGATGCGGCGGGACGAGCACGCGCAGCGCGTGTCGCTGGACCGTCGGCGGTCGCTGGAGGCGCGGCGTGCGGCGCGCAACTCGCTCGAGGTTGGGAAGCGGGCGACGAAGCTGCGGTCGGGCGCGTCGCAGCGGAACCAGCTGGTGGTGCGCTCGAGCGTCGAGCGTCCGCGGCCCGGGTACGCGCCGCCGCGAAGCTCGCAGGCCACGCGGACGATCAACACCGCGGAGGAGGGCATCGGCGCCGGGGTGGACACGTTCGTGGACAACACGCTGAACCAGCAGATCCACAACATGCGCGCGGCGCTGGCCGCGACGGCATCGGAGCGCAACATGGAGGCGCGGAAGGTCGGGGAGGCAGCGGGCTCGCTGCCGCCCGAGATTGCCAAGGCCGACGCGTTGCGCGTGGTGCAGAGCAGCGCGCGCGACCTGAGCAAGAACCTCTTCAAGAAGCCCAGCAAGCAGCGCATCGAGCTCGGGGAGAGCGCGCAGGCCGCCACGGGCGTGCCCATGATGGTGCGCACACGCAGCATGCAAAAGGACGGGACGTCGGCCCATGCCCCCGACGGACTGGCGCTGTCGGCGATCCGCGAGGACGAGGGCGGCCTGCAGAGCCGGGACGGCGCCCGGGCGCCGTCGTCGCGGGGGTCCAAGCCCAGCACGCCCAGCGGCGCAGGGATCGCGTCGGCGTTCGCCGGGTCCGGGATGCGCGACTCGGCCACGCCCGGCGTCGTGCCGGAGGCGTCGGAGGGCGACGTGGGGCGCAGCATGGTCGGCAGCATCATTGAGCGGCGGAGCAGGGAGGTGAAGCGCGACAGCAACAACAGCGCCTCGGCGCACGCACACAACCCGCCGCACCTCGACACGCTCGCGCAGAACGCGTGACGGTACGCAGCTCACAAGTAGAACAGGACACCGCCCGCACGGCACACCCGCCGGCTGGGCCAGCGTTGCAACACACACCTGAACCCTAACCTACGCTAATGCCGGGTGGCGCCCTGGCGCTGTGACTCGAGACCCGCTCCGCCATGCGACGCCGCCTCGGCTCGCCCACTCAGCCAGGACCACGCCGCTCCCCGGCGCCCCTTGCGATCACCTGACCGGCCCTTTTCCGATCTCCGTATTCCCAACGGCCGGTGAGAGCCCGCACGCGGGGGTGCATGCAAGCCTATGTGGAAGCAAGGACTGCCGACCCGTCAACGCCCGGTGCCGATGTCCCGGTGGCTCCGGGGCCAGCTGGATAGACCGTGCGGGTGTTCCGCGGCCCTGGAGCCCCCGTGACAACATCATAGGCATGCTGCAGCACGGACCACACGCAGGAGCTCCCATGGCGCTGCACCCCCACCCCTGACAACCACCACGCGGGTCCGCTGCTCAACGTGTGCTTCCAGGAGCGGCCCGAACAGCGGGTGACGTGAGGGGCTGTCACCTGATATGCGTGATGTCTTGCGTATGTCTTGCCTGGGCAGGGTCGCCGGCCGACGACATCGGGACGCGTGGTGGGGCTTGCCGACGAGTACCCGCACGCCCGCGGGACTCGTCACTCATCGAAGACTTCACTCGAGCTGCGTGCGCAGGTGCTGGGACCCCGACACCTGTTGCTGCAGCTTGCTCATCTTGCGTGCGGGTACTCCACCGCGTCGTTGCTCTCGGCCACCCCTTTCCTGGTTAACGTGACCTCCGGTGTGACACGTTTGTCACACTGCATGTTCAATACCTTGTCGCACAAGCAGACACGATTGTCGCGCTGGCTCCTTGTTACACACGCCCGCGCCTACATGGCCGCGAGCCCCCTGCCCGTGGCCGCCTCGCGGTGGTCCTTGAGCGCGTGCTGGACGAGGGAGTGCTGGACGACGCCGACGCGCACGTCCATGTCGCGCACCTCGCGCTGGAGGTCCCGGATCGCGGCCTTCATGCGCAGGACGGGCGAGGAGTCGCTGATGCTCGAGCCCTTCTCGTCCAGCATGTTGCGCACGTCCTCGAGCTCCGTCTCTATGTGCTGTAGCTGGTTGGTCAACTCGGCAAGCTTGTCCGACTCGCGGTTGTGGTTGGCGCGCGTCGTGTCGAGCTTGTCCTTCGCGGACTGGTAGTCCATCCGCTGCGTCTCGAACTGCTCGTTCAGGTTGCGCTCCCGGCTCGCCAGCTTGTCCAGCTCCAGCGTCACTTCGCTGATCAGCTTGCCCAGGTGCGCCTTCGAGGGCGGCAGCAGCCGCAGCACCTCCTCCTCGTGCGCCTTCGCGCGCTCCAGGTGCGCGCGCCAGTCCCTCACGTCCGACTCCACGCGCAGCCGCAGCTGCGGCGCCACGCGCTCGGCCTCGATGCGCCAGCTCTGCACGTCGCGGATGCTCGACTCGATCGGCGCGGCCGCGGACCGCGCCGGAGCAGCCGCGTCCTTCGCGCCGTCCGCGACGTCGCGCCCGCGCCCGCGCCCCGTGGGCACCGGCGGCGCCGCGGTCAGCGACGTCAGCCCAGAGTCCCCCCCCGCCTCCTCGAAGCTGTCCGCGAACCCGCCGACCTCCTCCTCCTCCTCGCTCGTCATGTCGATGTCCTGGTACTCCATCGACGGCTCCTTCTGCCGCAGCGGGGGCTGGAATTTGAAACCCTTAACTTCCAATGTGTGGTCCACCAGCGCGTCCAGCACCCCGCACACCGCGTCGCCGACCCCTGCGGGTAGCCAGAGGGCGCGCGCTCTGGTAAGATCGGCCCGCGCATTGGTGGCGCGCGGGGGCGTCGGCAGCCGTGTAGCAGACGGGGGGGCGCGCACCGCTGCGGAGCTTTGACGCGGAGAGCTGGCCGGTGTTGAACCCGGCCTTGCGCAGCGCGGAGAGCAGGCCGCTGATGAGCACGTTGGGGTCCTCGAACTGTGCGGGGCTCTCGTACTGGTGCCCGCCCTCGCGCAGGAGCCACCCCGCCAGGTACACAAAGTAGTAAAACGGCTGCACGGCCTCGCGGGAGCCCGGGAGCGCGAAGAACCCGCGGCTGAGGGCCGGCCAGGCGGGTTTCCGCGTCTTGCAGAAGGTCTGCTCGTACTGCAGGAGCTTGAGCTTCTCGACGATGCCCTCCATGAGGACGTCCGCGGGCGCCGTGTGCTCGAGGGGGATCCCGCGGGCGGTCTCCTCCTGCTTGGCCTTGAGTTGCTGCAAGGCGCGCGCGAGGGGCGCGGTGCGGGGTCAGGCGCGGCGTCGCGCGGGTGCGCAGGACGGGCAGCTGGTGCGGGGCCGGCCGGGTGGCGGGGCCGGGCAGCGTGCAGTTTTCAGGCGCGAGGTGCCTTTTTGGCTACGGCTGCCGCGCAGGAGAGGGCGCGGTGCCGTGTGGGGCTGCTGTGGTCGCCGTTCGCGGGACCCGTGCTGGGCGCGGGACACGCGCGTCGGTCTCACGCGAAAACGGCCGCGCGAACGCAGCGCGCGCTGCTACGTGGCGAGCTGCTGTGCCACGGCCATCGCGGTGGCGCCGCGACAAAGCCCGAGCGGCCGTGTGTTGCGCGCAGGCGCCGCGACACATGCTGTTCGTGGACACACCGCCACGCCAGGCGGTACGTGGCAATACGTGGTGCTGCGTGGCGGCGGCGCGGTCGCCGGTGCACGTGATCGCCGTTCCGTCGCGGCAGCTGGGGCAGTCGGGCACGCAGGGGGCGGGGCGGGCGCTCACTCTCTGACTGCTGTTTCGCGACATCTTTCCCGCTATACGCCGCTACCTGGCCCGGCGGGCCGCACCAGGAACGCCTGGCCTGTGCCCGCCCCTCAGGCCCACGCCGCGATCGCTCGCGTCGGGACTGGCGCGTTGAAGCGAGGACAAAACGCCTGGGGCGCGGGCCAGACTCGTCTCCGACGCTGCACGCTGCGGACGTCGCTAGTCGCCCCGTGTGCGAAATGACCTCGCTGCAAATATTCGCAGGGACCCGTGGCGGCCCCCAAAGTCGGCCCCGCGCGCCCACGGAGGCGCTCGTGCGCCATAGGCCCCGTCGCACCCGTCTGTCCAGCCCAGCCCGCTTTGCAAGGCCGCGTCCAGGTCGTTGCGTTGCGGCGGCCGATCGCCCACGGACTCTGGAGCCCGCGACGCGCACTGGACGGCCCGCTGCGACCCGTACGGATCGAACGCCGCGCAGTTGGAACAGGACCAGGACATAGATCGCTGCGGCAGCCTCTGCCTGCGCCTCGGCCGGCTGGCCGGCTCGGCCAAGATGGCACAGATTAGCTGGGGAAAGGTTGGGACGACCGTGAAGGAGAAGCTGCTCACGCACTTCCTGCCTCTAGGTGACTGCCCTTCGCGCTCCACCACCACCCTGCAGCACGGCGCGCGGCTGCGGGCCTCGGGGCCGCTCAGCTCGCCGTTGCATCGCAACGTGCCGGGGCATGGCCCTGCGAGTGGATTGCCCGGGCCTGCCCTGCGCTGCGCGGCCCGCCACCGCCGCGTGCAGCATCCTCGCAATGTTTCTGTCGGCGAGCGGCCTCTCGCGGTTGACACGGTCCTCGCACCGGGTAATTTCGGAAGTTCACTACGACGGCCGAACCATCGCGCAGTTCTCGACCCCGCAACCACCACGCCCGAGCTGCTCTCGGCCCACTAGGCCCAGCTGTGCATGTCCTGCCCGCCGTCAGCGGGGCGGCCGAACGCGTGCGCGCGGTGCGCGAGGGCCCTCCCAGTCATCTCACCCACCGGCGCACCGCCGTGCGTGGGCGCGTCGCAGGCCTCCTCCTCGCTCTGCTCATAGGCCTGACCTGGCCCTTCCCGGGCAAAGAACTCAACCAGCTCAAGAGCGGAGACTACAAAATCATCTCCACCATCAATGTCGTCCTCATCTTCTTCCTCCAGGCACGACGCACCCCGCGCCCTCGCCCCCGCCACCACCACCACGCTGCACCTGGCTCACGCTAGCAGCAAGCACGCGACGGCCGCCCCCCGCCCCCACGTCCCCGCGCCGCGCAGGGCCTGTCTCTGCGCACCGACGAGGTCAAGCAGGCCATCCGCGCGTGGAAGGCCATGTCGTGGGGCATCTTCTCCATCATCGCCGTGACGGCGCTGACGGGCTTCGTGCTCTTCGAGCTCCCCGTCACGCCCATCGAGTTCCGCATCGGCCTCGCCGTCTTCTGCGTCGTCCCCACCACGCTCACCTCCGGCGGTGCGTCGCCCACACCCAGCGGGCCCTCACCCCGCCCCGCGCTGCGTCTGCGCACAAGCCCGACCCCGCCGCGCCCCCCCGCCCCCCGCAGTGACGCTTGTGAACCAGGCGAAGGGCAACGGCGCGCTCGCGCTCATGCTGACCGTGGTGACCAACCTGCTGGGCATCGTCACGTCGCCGTGGTGGCTCAAGGCCATCATCCGCGGCAGCAACAGCTCCGTCGACGCCGTCGACCTCCTCCTCAAACTCCTCCTCACCATCCTCCTGCCCGTGACCGTCGGCAAGGCCCTGCGCGAACTCATCAAACCCATCCAGGCCTTCGTCAAGGTACGCGCGCACACAAACGCACAGCGCCTGCACCCCCAGCCCCGCCGTGCGCGCTGCCTCGCCGCCAGGCCCCCGCACAGGACCCCGCGCGCGTGCTCCTGTGTTGCAGAAGCACAAGCGCGCGATATCGCTGACCACGAACGGGCTGCTGATCATGATTGTGTGGATGTCCATCTCCGGGAGCGCGTCGACGATCAAGTCCGTCGCGTTCGGGAAGATCGCGCTCATCATCGCCATCGAGGTCATCGTGCACGGCTACTACCTCGCCATGAACTTCGGCGCCTGCAAGTACGCGCTCCCGCGCACGCCCCGCGCACACCCCACACCGCACGCACGCACGCCGCAAGCCGCTCACCGCCGCGCCCGCCCGCCGCGCCGCAGGGTGCTCCGGCTCAACAAGCAGGAGCTGCGCTGCGTGCTCCTCCTCGCGTCCCAGAAGACGCTCCCCGTGGCCATCACCGTCATCAGCTACCTGGGCGACGCCGGCGACACAGGCCTCATGGCGTTGCCGTGCATCGTCGGGCACCTGTCGCAGCTGCTGATCGACTCGGGCATCGTCACGTGGTGGCTCATCCAGGACAAGAAGGCCGGCGCCGCGGAGGACGAGGAGGAGGAGCTGCCGATGACTCCCAAGGAGGGAACCTCTCAGATGGAAAAAGGCGACATCGAGATGAGTCAGGGCTCGAAGACCCAGGTGCGTAGCGCGGGCCAGCGTCGCGCGACGACGGCGGTGCTTGCCCCTGTGCGATCGTTGTCGCGCACGGCCTCTGACGTCGGGCTTGTACTGGTGTTGCGTGTTTGCTGCAGTCTCAGTCCAACGGGATGTACTCGGACGACGCGAACGGGAAGCAGACGACGGTGGACGACCTGGAGCACCGGACGCAGACCGAGCACCTGCACCAGACCTGAGCTCCGTCGCCTGAGCGTTGCATGCTTCAGCGGCGCGCTGCGTGCAGTTGCCGCCGCGCCCAGCTCGCCAGCTGTATTCTGGCCCGCTTGGTTCCTGCGAGAAGATACCTGAACGGAGACGGCCGCTCGCGTCGACCGAGGTCGTCGCAGTTTTGCCCCGGCCCTCCAACCAACGACCCACATACGACGGGTGCGTGTGAACCACCGCGCGAGCGACGACGACGGAGGTGCCTGATGTCCGGACGGGAGCGCGCGTCTGCGACCGCCTACCGCGACCCCCTCCGCGAGCAGCGCCCCCGCGGCCGTGCGTCAGGTCGGACCGTGGCTTAACTCCCCCTGACAGAACCGACCCGCGGCGTTCCATGGCCGGTGGCGGCAGCGTGCGCTGGCTACACTTGCCGCTGGACGACCAGCGGCGTCCCTCGAGTGCTGCGCGCAAGGACTAGTAGCGGGGCCGCGCGCGCATCGGTGTGTTTGCAGGGGGCAGGATGCTGGGGCTCGACTTGCAGCCCGTGGCGTCCAGCCTGGGGTTGTCGGAGTCGGAGTTCCTCTTCGGGATGAGCTTCTTGGCAGCGCTGCCTCTGAACTGGGTGTGGGGGCGCTTGCCGCACGGAGCAGGTGCGTGTGCTGCACGCTTGGCAGCGCGCAGTGCTAGCCGCGCGACGACTTTGAGCCCGCTGGGCGCGGCGTGCGATCGCCCGGGACGACACCTTACTTCTTGTCCTGCTTTGCTCTGACAGTGATTGTCGCCAGCGGCCACGCGTCGCGCAGCGCACAGCGCAGGAGCGCACTGGTGCCCTCCGGTAGCGCGCCTGGGTCCGTCCCGACGCGCGGCCGCTGCATCGCGCTCCCGATGTCCCGTCCGTGTGCTGCACTACTGGCCCGGGGCGACAGACGTCACATCTGCCGCGTGGAACCCACGAAGACCGAAGCCCTAGCATGCACTGAGTCCCCTCACCGCTCGCCGCCCGCGCACGAGCGCTTCGCAGTGCGGCATCTCTACGGCATAGTGATCGGTGCTTCGATATACGTGGGGCTGTTTGGGTGGGAGAGCTTGGAGATGTTCGTGCCGGCGGGCCTGGTGTACGTTATGATGCGGGTGGACAGGAAGCGGGCGTCGCTGTACGGCTGGTTGATTGCCTTCCCGTACCTCATCTACCTGCACTTCAAGGAGGCGTCGGGGTCGAAGTGGGGCGAGGGCGTCATCGACTACACCGCTGGTGCGCCGCCTGCACGCTACTCGCGGTTGCACGGCAGCACCGCGCAGACCGTCGGTGCTCTCGTCCGCGCGGCCCGCCCGCCGCCAGGCACCCCGCTGCGACCAGCGGCGCGCTCTCACGTTGCTGCACGCCCCCGCGCGCCGCAGCGGCCATGGTGTTGACATTGAAGGTTCTGTCCTGCGCCATGTGCTTCCAAGACGGCATCGGCGACAAGGACAAGCAGACGTCGTTTCAGAAGATGCACGCCATCCAGAAGACCATCTCGCCGCTCGAGTACCTCGGGTACTGCGTCGGCTGCACCAACCTTCTCGCAGGCAAGCGCCACGACGTACCGCCGCGTGTCGCCGCAACTGGGGACGCACGCGAGGCCTCCAGCCCGCCCCGCGCGCTTCTCGCCGACTCATCGATCGTTCCGGGGCGCGCAGGCCCGTACATCGAGATTTCGCGGTACCTGAACTTTTGCAATGGCGAGGGGCAGTGGAAGGATGGACGCCGGTGGACGGGCCAGTACAAGGCCGGCCTCTCGAAGGTGCGCGCACGCGGTGGTTGTCTGCGCGCTCGCGCTGCTTCAGCGGTCGCGCCCCCCGACCCAAGCGCCTCTGGCGTGCCGTGCGCGTTGCAGATGCTCTTCGGCGTGGTGGCGTGCGGCTTGCACGCCGTCATCGCCCCGGTGTTCCCGTCGCAGGACCTGGCGAGTCCCGCGCACGTGGCCCTGCCCGTCGTGCAGCGGTTCGCAGCCACGTGGACGGCCCTCTTTGCGCTGCGCTGCAAATACTACTTCGCCTGGTACCTGGCCGACTCCGCCAACGCCTTCTCCGGCCTCTCCTACACGCGCACCGACAAAGGTCCGCACGCGTCGTCGCGCCAGCGCGCCTCCCGGCCACTTACGGCAACACCGCCTGCCCGTTGCGCCGCCGAGCGCGGGCCGACGCAGCCGCCCTCACGCGCGCGCGCCCCCGCGACGTGCAGGCGCGAACTGGGACCAGGTGCTCAACGTGCACCCGCTCCAGGTCGAGTGGGCGAGCTCCTCGGTGCTCATCCCCACCGACTGGAACGTGCAGACGGGGGAGTTTCTGCGGCACTACGTGTACGAGCGGTCCACGCTCGACGGCGCCAAGCCCGGCGCGCTCAGGTACGGCGCCCGAGCGCGGCACCCCGCCGCTGCGCCGCGCGCTGCCCGCCAGGCTCTCACCTCGCCCCCGCCGCCCGCTGCTTCGCCGCAGCCTCATCCTCGCGCAGACGGTCGCGAGCCTGTGGCACGGCATCTCCTTCGGCTACTGGGTCTTCTTCATCACCTCGGCGATTTGGATCCTGGCGGGCAAGGCTGTGTACAAGCTCAGGCTGACCACGGAGGGGACGATCAAGACGGCGTGGGGCGTCTACGGGCGGGTGCTGGCGATAGCGGGGCTGAACTCGATGGCCGTGAACTTCGTGCTGCTCGACGTGCCGCGCTGCTGGGTGGCGTACAAGTCGGTGTTCTTCCTGTGCCACGTGCTCGTGGTGCCGCCGCTCGCGGCCAAGGCGCTCGGCTCGAAGCCAAGACGGGCGTCCGCGGCGAAGAAGGCTGCGTGAGCGCGGCCGCCGGCTTCGCGACCGCGGCTCATGCGTGCACGGGGAGCGGCGGTGCGTGTGATCCGCAGTGGAGCGCCGCGTGGTGCGAGGCGTCACAGGGCTCTAGTAGAAGGGGTTGAGGGGCGCTTTCCGCCACTTGTACACGCCGAGCATGAGGATGACGTCCATGGTCCACACGAACGCGAACGACTTCCACGCAAAGGGCAGCAGCACGTTCATGATCGGCATGGCCAGGAACAGGATGTCCAGCGCCGACTTCTCCTCCGCCGTGCACTCCTTCGCGCGCAGCGACGGCACCGTGAGCATCCAGATGGACCACATGCCCATCAGGCGCCACACGTCGGGGTGGTCCGACGGGAACAGGACGTTGAAGGCCAGCAGGCCGCCGAACGCGGCCGACAGGTACGCCTGCCACACGAACACGTCGTACAGCACCGTCCCGCGCACCGCCGGGTTCTTGCCCGTGTTCCCTGACGCCCGCGGCGCAAACGTCGCCGCCGTCTTCCTGCGCGGGCACTCGCGCGGCCCAGACGCGGTTACGGCGCGAACGCAGCAACGCGAGGGTCATCGCGGAGCGCCGAGGCGCGGGAGGGGCTCTGCGGCCGCGAGGGCCGCGCACGCGGGGGCGCGGACGCAGCTTGTGGGGCATGGGGCAGGGGCGCTGGGGGCGCGGCTGGGGGCGCGGTGCGAGCGCGCTCGCGGCGCAGGGGCGCGTTTGGGATGTACTGGGCGCCGGCATGCGGGCGGTTCGTCGCGGCGGGGGCTGTGCGGGCGTCCATGGGCAGATTGAGGGCAGCGGCGACGCACTTGGCCAGGCTCGACGCGTCCACCTTGGCCGATCCCTCCTTCGCGCCAGCCGCCTTCTCCGGCTCCTGGGTCTCAACCTTCACCCGGCCCTCATCCGCCGCTGCAGGTTCAGCACACACGGGCGTCGAAAGTCGGCACCGGAAATCGCACCCCAACTGCGCGTTGCCGCCTCCCCGGCGGACGCAGGCCGGTCCGGATCGCGCTCTCCGGCACGCATCACTCTCTCATCGACGGGGCGAGCGATGTTTCCAAGGTTCGTCCGCACGGAGCCCGGCGGTGGCGGTAGATGCTGCAGTGCGCTTGGCGCGCACGCGCCTGCGGCCCGGCGGCCAGCGAGCAGTGTGTCGCAAGGCAGGCGTCCCCGCTGTGCGCGGGAACGGCGCCGGCGAGCGCGAGCACAACGCGTCGGCGGCCACCGCAGCGGCACGGGGCGGGCCCTACTCAGAAAGACGATCTAGCGTGGAAGCGCCGCAACGGGCCGCGCAACGCAGGCGACGTACCGCGGACGCGGGTCTCCCTCCTCGTCAGTGGCTTGCGGCACCGCGTGGTGGCGCCAGCCCGCAGGCCAACGACTGGCCGACCCAGGCACTGCATCTCGACTCGAGGCACGCGGAAACCGTGCAATGCCTACTGCAGATGCTGATTGGTCCTACCGAGGGGAAGCGACGCGATTAATCCAACGTGAGCTGGCCGCGCGCGGTCGTATCCTGCACTCTTCACGCGCGCCGGCCCTCGTGCCTGATGCAGGTCTGCCGGCACGCCCCGTCCGCCGCACAGCCGACGGAAACGTTGGCGCGGCCGTCGGCGCGTCGCAGGGCATTCGACGGGCGGGGCGCGCCGCACGGAGACGACGCGTCGTCTCCGTCGAGCTTTGCCGCGCTGTTCGCAGCCTGCAAAAAGGGGAGGATGACGAACTACGTGGTCCTGGAGCCGCTCGAGTTCGGCAGCGCACCGGTCGGTAGCCATCAGGCAGAAGCACCCGCCGACGAGGCAGGAGGGTCGCTGCGGGCCGGGAATCCGGCGTCTCTGGCGGAACCAGACCTGTTCGGCGTGCACCTGCAGCGTGACGTCGCGAGGGCCCTTGAGGACCGCAGGCGTGCGGCACTGGAGTGGAACAGCCAGGAAGGCGACTTCGAGGCGCGCATCGCGGTCATTCACTCGGCCGCGACGGCCCAGGGCGCGCCAGTGTGGACTTCCATAGCATCGGGGCTCGGACTCGGGTCGACGCGACCAATCCAGGTCCGTCATTGACGCTCGCGGTCATACACAGCATGTCCTCCCTCATCCCCGGTGCTCGAACAGCGCAGTCATGCACTCCCTGGAGCGCGCCCGTGTTTCCCGCTCAACGCACACTTGCTTGCTCCGCGTTCCGCCCGGCGAACGAACCTCCGACGGCGTCCTGACGGTCCCGCGGCACGAGCACGCCTCCTGCAGGCGGGGGCGCCGATCTGGCAGGGATACGAGGCCGCGGCGCGCGAGCTGTCGCACCAGCTGCCGGCGAACGCAACTGTGTCGGCCATCTGGGTCGCGCCGGCGCTCACCGGCCCGCCGAGCACGTGGCAGACCGGGCGCGCGACCTCGCACTGGGCCCTCTCGGAGCGGCTGTCGGCGCTCAGGGCGCTGGCACACCTCCGGGCCACGTGCCCGCAAAGCACCATCACTGTGGTTACCACCGGCGCGCCGGACGCCGGCCTGCGCCCGTGGCTCTCGGCCACGCTCCCCGGTGCGCAGCTCGTCGTAGCGGACGCCGACGCGCGCTCGACCGCCGCAGCGGCGGTCGCAGCAATGGGCATTCATGTGGCGTGGGCGGGAACGCTGACGGGGCCCAGGGCGGCGACCGCGCAGCGAGCGCCGTCGCCGCGCAAGTCCCCGGACGCCAGAGCTCTGCCGCGGATCGCGTGCGGCGCGGCGGGCGGCGTGGCTGCGGGCGCAGCCTGCGCGAAACACTCGCTGCACTTGCTCCACGTCGTGGACGCCGGCAGCACGCAGTGGCTCGGACCGGCGTGGGTGCAGCTCAGCAACGGCGTCGTCGCGCTCGAGGAGCACGCGGGGGGCGCGTCGGCGGAGCACGTGCTCGGCAGCCTCACCTGGCGCGCTGGGCGCGCTCTGCTCGGACACGTGGCGCCCGCAGATGCGGCTGCGCGGCCGGACGCAGCGGAGGGGGGTGGTTCAGTCGGTGCTGGCGACGGGGCCGCGCAGGGAGGCGTCGGTCGGCTGCCCACTGGTGCGCGGACGCAAGAGACATACCAGGAGATCTCTGCGTCTGACATGGGGGTCGAACAGCCCACGGTGGCGATAGTGGGGCCACGGCACGACGGAGAGGCAGCGGGCAATCCAGTGGCGCGGCTCGCGCGGCCCTGGGAGCTCCCTGGGCGCGTGGTGGCCGCTGTTCTGCTGGACGGGGGCGGCGCAGACGACCACGCACCGGCCGCGGCGGGCAGGAAGCGGGCCGCGGGCGCCGCCGACTGCACGCCCTCGAAGCTGCAGCGCGTCTCGGGGCACGAGCCGGAGTCGCTGGGGCGGGTTGCTGCGTTCCTGCACGCCACCAACAAGGTGCGCGTGCGCCGTGCTGCGACACCCCCCCTGCGCGGGTGTGCGCGTTGCCCGACACGGTGCCTTGCACACTCTGTCGTCCCCGCTCCTTATCTCGTGCTGCGTCCGCGTGGCTCCGCGCAGGATGGCGACACGCAGCAGAGCTGTGCGGCAGCGCAGCTGGCAAGTTTGCAGCAGCGACTCGACGACGGATTCCGCGCGCACGTCGCCTGCTCGATCGACACGCTCGGCAAGGTGTGGCAGCGCCTCGCGGGCGCCAACGGGCAGGCAGCGGAGGGCGGCCGCAGCGCCGCCGCCCCCCCGCAAACACGTTTGACCATGAAGGACGTGCGTGCGCCCTGGGTGCGCGCCGGGCAGCCGCTGCGCGAGCTCTGCTTAAACCCCATTGTGTCGTCGGCGCTGCGCGGGCACGACGGGCACCCGCGCCCCGCGGACGTGGCGGCATGTGCATCCGCAGCGCTACGTGCGTCGGAGGCCTGGGAGCTCAGCGGGGACGCCGCGAGCGCGACGTCGGGCATTGCCGCGGCGCAAGAGGCGGCGGGGGCGGATCGTTTGGGGCCCGAGGGGGCCGTCCCGTGGTGGAGCACCCCCGCTGCGAAGCGCGGCACATGGTGCGGGCTGACGGTGCTGAGGCCGGCGCACGCGACGGAGGCCGCCGCGTCGGCGCGGACGAACAGGGGCAGCGAGCGCACTGCGCCGCGCAGAGACAGCCTGCTCGCACGCGCTTTGGCCAAGGAGCGCAAGTAGCGGTGTGTGCTGGGAACGGGACGGGCGCCGCGGGGCGCCTTGCGGGCAGCTGCGCGAGCCGCGTGTGCCTCTCGAGACGGGTGTGAGTCGACCCGCGAGCTCCGCTGTCCGACGGCGCGTGCCACAGCGACGTGAGCTGACATGGATTGTGTTGTCGGTGGCAACCGAAGCATTGGCCGTGCTCCTTCTCGGCACGCTCCTGGCCGCGAAGGCTCGCTGCGGACGGGCGTGGGGCCACGCTCCTCCGTATTTCGCCGCCACACACTCGTGCGAACAGTCATGGTACAACTTCCACTGACTCACGCCTGCCCTGATGTCAGCGGTCGGCGCGTGCGGCTCCACACCCTATGTTCTCACGCCTGAGTGTACGTCGTCCAATTTCGGCAACCTCTTCCGGCCGCCGCGCGCCCCCCCTGGTCCCGGAACGACCAGCCGTTTCCCATGCTCACTGGCCGATAGCGCGCCTGTTCTCCACCCCGAGTCCGGGTCCCTGGCCGCCGCGATCTCAAGTGCGATCGCCCAGCCACGTCGCGTGTTTCGTAGCTGCCCCAGCCCGCCGGCCCCGCCCCACGCTGCCCTCCACAGACCTCAACCTCTGCCTTCGGGTCTGCGAGAGCTTTGGCCCGCGTCCGACCGCCTCTTGCCTTTCCCGCTCAGTTCAACTCCCGCTTCAACGAACTCGCGGTGCGCTTCCTCGTTTCTCCGCGTCTCCGGGCCATCTTGGCACCATCTGCAAGGATTGGACGAGCTTCCGCAGCGTGTTTTCCGCAGCTCTACAGCGACTGCGCGCAACAGATCAATGCTCTCAGCGTCACCGGCCTCGACGGGCGTGCCAGCACGCTGCGCGCGCGCGGCTGCCCTGCCAGTTCCAGGTAGCCTTCTGTCGCTGTACGTGTGCGCACCGGCATCCAGGGCCCGCCGTCCGTCGTGGACGCAGCACTCGGTCGCGGCGTTCGCTGCTGTAAGCGGAGGCGCGCAGGGGCTACGTACTGCCATTGCTTGAATGACATGATTCTGTACTGCACCTCCTCTCCGGCGGGGACACTGGCGCTCACCGTGCCACGATCACTCGCCGGAGGGAAGTCGCGGACAAGATCATGACGTTCAAGCAGTAGCAGTACGTGCCCCCTGCGCACCTCCATGCAGCGGTCGCCGCGAACGAGCCTTCGCTGCGGTCACGATGAACCTCGCCCAGCCGCCGCGTGTCGCCGATGTGCCCGGCTCCTGCGTCCGGACAGGTGCGACGAGGCCGAGGTGTCCATCTGGCTCGAACACCCCACGGCAATGCTCGCGACTGTGGCAGTCACCTGTCAGAGTCCCCATGGCGGGGTACGCCCTGTCGCGCCAACCTTCCCGTCCTACTCTGCAGATCGCGGCGCGGCAATCAAGGCGGACGCCTCCGGCCTGGTTCCAGGCGTCGGTTGGCGAGCACCGCGTGGCGTTCAAACACCCGTTGTGCCTGGGCGATCATCGCGCAGCCAACGGCTGTGTTCGAGGGCCGCCAGATGCCCGCTGACCCGAGCCCAAGCTGGGAGCGTCCTCCTTGGTCGCGCGGAGGCCAAACGCGCTGACGGCACGCGGAGCCGTCCAAGCCGCGCTGCCTGACGCCGACCGACAACTGCGCGCACGCGCACCGCACGCGACCCCTCGGACCAGCCGGCTGCAATGTGAAGTACGCATGCTGAGCTTCACGCACTTCGGGCCGCCGGTCGTCTCATCAGGAGTAGAAAAAGCAGAAAGGGGGGTTGCGAAGCGTCCGAGACTGTCCCGGGGGCGGTCTGCCGGCGTCTTGATGTCGGGCGCGATGCGCCCACGCGCACACGGACGTCCGGCTGGACTTCGCGCCAGCACCTCGCACAGCGCGACACGCGGCTTGCTCGCGAGCAGGGACGAGCAGCGCTGCCAACGGCGGAGGTTGCGGGGGCTGTCATGCCGCCGCGTGGCGCAATGAGTACCTTCTGACCGGAACTCCGTCGTCGCTGCGATGGCGGCCGGAACAGCGGGCCGGGCTGCCCGCGCGCAGGACGAAAACATTGATCCGACAGATGCGGCGCTGTGGGGGCTCGACGCGCAGTCCTGGCTCCCGTCCGACCTCACAGCTGCGCACATCAAGACGAGCGGACGCGCCGCGGTCCGCGTGGAAGACCCGGACACAGGTGCGTGGCCCGGCGGGCTCGAATCGACCCAGCGCGTGCGGGCGCTCCCGGGCGCGCCGGGCGGCTCGCACCAGGCTGACGGCACAGCAGCGGGACACGGCGCTTCCTCCGCCGCGGCCGCGCTGCAGGGGCGTCCCAAACGTTCCAGGTCGGTCTGTCCGCGATGCTTCAACACATGCGGTACTTCCAGGATCACCTGCCTCCGCCCGAAACGATGGCGAAAGGGATCCCCATCGACATCACCGTGTTCTGCGACGTCAAGATATTCGCGTGGCTCCTGAAGTGGGTGACCGCGAGGACGGGCGACCCGCACTCCCGCACCCTGCCCTCGCGCAAGGAAACCGACTCGGGCGACGGCTCGCCGCCGCGGCTCACCGTGCCGATCTGCATCCCCGTCCTGATCTCGTCCCACTTCCTGAAGATGCACGAGCTGGCCAGGGAGGCTGCGTCCTTCGCGGCGGAGCGCCTCCCGGAGGTGGCACTGTTGGGGCTGGACCTCACCGGCCTCGAACCGCCCTTGCTCGGCATGCTCGCGTCCTTCGCCGACGAACGCGCGCTCGAGGCGACGTGGGCTGCGGCACAGGACCCCCAGCGCATCGCCGCGGGGCTGGTGCGCCACCAACCGCCGCGCAGAGCGGCCGCGCAGCAGGGCAGCAGCGGGGCGACCGTCATGGCCGCCGTGCGCGACAAGATCCCGCAGGGCGACATCCAGCAGCACTGCCAGACTATCCGGAGCCTCGTCCAGAAATTCTACAGGTCAGACACGCGCGCGCCGCCCTTCGACGCGACTGCGAACACAACGCGTGCACCTGCACGAAACACACCGCTCCTGTCGTGGCGCTCGCAGTCACAAGGTCCGCCGGGCCGTCGCGGACTGGGGCCCGGGCCTGGCGATGTGCGAGGCGTGCAGCGAGGTCTTCCCCCTCTCGCACGCGCCCCTCCTGGAGTGCAAGGCAGCGCGCATGGCCGTGGCGTTCCGCGGGCAGGCCGAGCTGCGGCACGCCGCCAAGGACGGCTGGCACGTGCAGCAGCACGTCGACAAGTGCGCCCCCCGCGCGCCAGCGCGCACGCCGCTCCCCCACGCACGCTCCATTCAACCCCTTGACTCCCGCGCTGCAACGCCGCGTGCCGCGTGCCGCGTCCGTGCAGGCTCCGCTCCAAGGGCCTCACGTGGCGGCAGGTGTACTGGGAGCTGTGGGGGTCGCGTCACGCCCTCCCCTGCGCCCGCTGCGGCAGCGCGTTCACGCTAGGGACCGGGTTCGAGTGCCCGGGCGCCGCGTCCGACTCGGCGGGGGGGTTCCACACGCTCCCGCGCGCGAGCAGCGGCAACGAGAAGAGCCTGCGCAGGTCGCACGTGCCGCCCCGGTGCACGTGCCCCGCGAGCGCATGCCGCGGCTGCCAGCCCGACCACGGCGTGTTCCCGCAGCTCGCGAGGGTCGAGCAGCTCGCCCGGGCACTCAGCGCGCTCCCCGGCCGCGGCCCGCTCGCGTGGGCGCCGCCGCAGCACGCGCCACCCACGTCAGGCCCCGATCAGTCGGACCCAGGGTGGGGGCCTGTGTGCCCGCGGGCGCGCCTGGTGGGGTCGATGCGGCGGCAGGCTGCGCACGCGGGGCGCCGCATGACTGCGCGGCGCGGGCCCCCGAGGGCCGCGGCGCCGGGGCTCGCGCGCCTGAGCGAGCCGCCCTCGCAGCGCGTGACGGCGACGCAGGACGCGATACTAGACGCGCTGCAGGCGCACAGGGAGCGCGCGGGCAGCGCAGCGACGCGGCGGGCGGAGTCACAGCACGCACAGCGGAAGCGACGCGGGCCCAAGGCCGGCCGGGGCGGCGGCGGCAACACCGACGGTCTGCTGGACAGCACCAGCGCACTGCAGGCGGACCTGCTCCGCGTGCTGGGCCTCGCGGGGGGCTCCAGCGCGTCGTCGTCGCGGTCCTCGTCGGTGAGCCGCGCGTCGTCGCACGGCAGCCTCGCTGGGTGGGAGGAACCGGACGGGTCGATGCGCGCGTCGCTGCTGCTGCCGCGCGGAGACATGGTGATTGCGCGGGACATTGTGCGCGAGGACGACGACCGGCGGCTCGCGGTGCTGTCCGCGATGTTCAGCTTGCGCGACCAGGCGGGCGGCGTGGAGGTGCCGGACGCGCGGTCGCCGCAGCACGGGGCGGGGGGTGCGGAGAGGGAGGGCCGCGGGGGAGGGGGGCGTGGCGGGGGGGCGTCGACGCCGGTGGGGCGGACGGCGAGTCAGGCGAGCTTCGACCTGCCGAAGCTGCCGATGCGGCCGTCGAGCGTGCGGGCGGGGTCGCGTGGCGCGAGTGCGCTGGCGCGGCGGCCAGGGAGCGCGGGGGCGGAGCTCACGCGGCGGGCGCGGTCCGGGTCGGGCGCGGGGTACGCGGGGTCGGCGCTGCTCGCCCCAGGCGGCGAACGATAGCCCGAGGGCGCTTGCGAGGCAGTTCAGTCGCCCTGTACACATCCGTGAGACAAGCACACGCGCAGACGCGGGGTGTGGTGTCTCGTCACATGCTATGTGTCTATGCATGCCCGCAGCGCTAGCGCGCGCCCGCGGCCTACGCGCCGCACATGAGGCACTCGTCCTTGTTGGCGAGCGAGCAGACCATCGCCGCGCGCTCCTCCTCCTGCTTGGCCGCCCCGCCCTGCGCCCCGGCCGCCAGCGTGCTCTGCGTCTTCTTGAGCGCCTGCGCGTCGACGGTGAACTTGATGGCGTCCGCGGCGGCGCGCGTCCGCAGGTAGTACATGCCCGTCTTGAGGCCCTTCTTCCAGGCGTGGAAGTGCAGCGAGGTAATCTTGCCGAAGTTGGGGTCCGACATGTGCACGTTGAAGGACTGGCTCTGGTCGATGAAGGCGCCGCGGTCGGCGGCCATGTCGACGAGCGCGCGCTGCTTGATCTCCCAGACGGTGCGGTACAGGTCCTTGAGGTGCGGGGGGATGTCGAGGTTCTGCACCGAGCCGTTCTCCGCGATGAGGTGGTTCTTCAGCTCGGGCGTCCAGAGGCCCATCGAGGTCAGGTCGGCGAGGAGGTGCTGGTTGACGACGGTGAACTCCCCCGAGAGCACGCGCCGCACGTAAATGTTGCTCGTGTACGGCTCGAAGCACTCGTTGTTGCCCAGGATCTGCGACGTCGACGCCGTCGGCATCGGCGCGACGAGCAGCGAGTTCCGCACGCCGTGCTGCGCGATCCGCGCGCGCAGGCTGTCCCAGTCGAACTTGCCCGAGAGCTCGCTCTCCTTGACGCCCCACATGTCGAACTGCAGCACGCCCTTCGAGACGGGCGACCCCTCGTACGTCGAGTACGGCCCGTCGCGCTCCGCGATCTCGCACGACGCCGTCAGCGCCGCGTGGTACACGCACTCGAAGATGTCCTTGTTCAGCTGCACGGCCTCGGGCGAGTCGAACGGCAGGCCGAGGAGGATGAAGGCGTCCGCGAGGCCCTGCACGCCGAGCCCGATGGGGCGGTGGCGCAGGTTGGACCGCCGCGCGGTCTCCACGGGGTAGAAGTTGACGTCGATGATCTTGTTCAGGTTCCGCGTGACCTGCCGCGTGACCTCGGCCAGCTTGTCGAAGTCGAAGAAGCGGTTCGGGGCCTGGAGCGAGCCGAGCAGCTTCGTGCGCTGCGACTCCGCGCCGCGCTCGCGCACGAACCGGGGCAGCGCGATGCTGGCCAGGTTGCACACGGCCGTCTCGTCCTTGGAGGTGTACTCGATGATCTCCGTGCACAGGTTCGACGACTTGATCGTGCCGAGGTTCTGCTGGTTCGACTTGCGGTTGCACGAGTCCTTGAAGAGCATGTAGGGCGTGCCCGTCTCGGTCTGCGCCTCCAGGATGGCAAACCAGACCTGCTGCGCCTTGACGGTCTTCTTCGCGCGGCCCTCGCGCTCGTACCGCGCGTACAGCTCCTCGAACTCCTCGCCCCAGCAGTCCGCGAGCCCGGGCGCCTCGTGCGGGCAGAAGAGGCTCCACTCGCCGTTGGCCTCGACGCGGCGCATGAAGAGGTCCGGCACCCAGAGGCCGTAGAAGAGGTCGCGCGCGCGCTGCTCCTCCTTCCCGTGGTTCTTCCGCAGCTCCAGCCAGTCGAACACGTCCGCGTGCCACGGCTCGAGGTAGATGGCAAAGGCGCCCTTGCGCTTGCCGCCGCCCTGGTCGACGTAGCGCGCGGTGTCGTTGAACACGCGCAGCATGGGCACGATGCCGTTCGACGTCCCGTTCGTCCCGCGGATGTACGAGTGCGTCGAGCGGATGTTGTGGATGCTGAGCCCGATGCCGCCCGCCGACTTGCTGATCATCGCGCACTCCTTGAGCGTGTCGTAGATGCCCTCGATGCTGTCGTCCTTCATGCAGATCAGGAAGCACGACGACAGCTGCGGGCGCGCGGTCCCGGCGTTGAACAGCGTCGGCGACGCGTGCGTGAACCACCGCTCGCTCAGCAGGTGGTACGTCGCCAGCGCCGACTCCAGGTCCGTCATGTGGATCCCCAGCGCCACGCGCATCAGCATGTGCTGCGGCCGCTCCACCACGTTGCCGTTGATCCGCAGCAGGTACGACCGCTCCAGCGTCTTGAACCCAAAGTAGTCGTAGTCGTAGTCGCGGTCGTATATGATCTCGCCGTCCAGCCGGTCTGCGCACACGAGGGCCGCGGACGGTCGGCGGGGCGCGGCGGGGGCGCGGAGCGGCGCGCGGGGCGGCGCGGGCGCGGCGGGGCGCACCGGCGTTGGCCATGACGATCTGGTGCAGCTCGTCCGAGACCAGCGGCGCGGGCTGGCCGTTCTTCGCGTTCTTGTGGTGGTACATGAGGTCCACGGTCTGGGAGAACGACTTGAGCGTGTTCTTGTGCAGGTTCGACACGGCAATCCTGCGGCGGGGCGGCGGAAGCGCGCGGTGAGTGGCCGCAGTGGTGCACGAGGCAGGCGAGGCGGGGCGGGGGGCGGCCGCACCTGGCGGCGAGGGTGGCGTAGTCGGGGTGGGACGCAGTCATCGCGGCGGCGGTCTCGGCCGCGAGCTCGTCGAGCTCCGCGGTGGTGACGCCCTTGTACACGCCCGCAGTGACCTTCTGCGCCACCACGACCTGCGGAGCGCGGCGTCGCGGACGGGGGGGCCGGTGGGTGCGTCTGAGGCTCGCTGGCTGCGAATGCGCGCGGTGCTGGGCCGCGGCGGGCGGGGGAGCGCCCGGGGGGCACAGCACGCCTCAGCGCTGGGCGAGGTTTGAGAGAGGGGGCGCGTGCGCCGCGGCGCCGGGTCCCATGCGGGCGCGCGTGGGCGCACTGGGGCGGTGGGGTGCATGGACGGCGGCGCCGGGTCGGAAACGGACATGCCGCGGCCCGCGAGCGCGGGAGGCGCTGCGCGCCAACGCCTGAGTTTTCGTGGAGGGTGCTGGGCGATTTCCGGCGCGGAAGGAGCCGTACTGCCGCCGTTCTTCGCCTAATTTCGAATGTCAGTATCGTGTGCACGCTCTTCGCTGGAAGTGACGCGTCGAGAAGCATCTCGCGGCACGGTGGCGCGCTCGACTCGCCGAGGAATTCGGGCGGGGCTGGCGATGCGCCCTCGCGGCTGGACCACGCAGCGTGCCACGATGGCGAGGCCAACCACTCCATTGGGGCTTCGCGCTTCGGCCTTCGCGGGGCCGCGCGCAGCCCTGCACGCGCGCGTTGCCCCCCAGCCAAAAACCACCAGGCACAACGCGCGGACGCAAGCGGCACGCACCGGCTCGCAGAACTCGTTGTTGAGGCCGTACGCGAGCTTGGTGATCCGCGCGGTGATCTTGTCGAAGTGGACGGGCTCCTTCCGCCCGTCGCGCTTGACCACGTACATCGAGGACATGGTGCGAGGCAGTGCGCGGCTCGCGGCGGTGCCTCGGGATCCAACTGCGTGCGTGCTGGCTCGGAGAGAGTGCGCGCGGGGGCGGCGCCGCGGGGCGATGGCCGCCGCGGCGCGCCGGGCGCGGGACCGAGGCCGGGGAGTGTCGGTGTGCGACTGTGGTCAGGGAGCACGCCGGCCGTGCGCGATGCACCGCGCACCAGGCTAGTTGAGTTTGAAGCGGCGGGTCACAGGTCGATCGAGCGACCCAGCGCTGCGGCGCAGGGGCCGCGTGGTCCGCCCGGGTGCGCCCTCTGCTCCCCCCGCCTCTGCAGCTCACCGGGCCGCTCAACTCAACTCGCCGCCGCCGGGTCCGCGCCCGCGTCCGCCGCGCCCTGCTCGTCGTCCTGCCCGTCCCCCACGTCCCGGCCCTCCTCCTCCATCGTGACCTCCACGTTCGCCTGCACGCGCACGAACGGCGTCCACGTTTCAGCCTCGCAACCACACGCACCACGTGCGCGTGCAACACACCCCCGCCCCGGCCCACGCACGCCCCCGCCGCTCACCTCGACGCCCGGCAGCGCCTCCGCGTCCTTCATCGCCTCGCCGATCTCCTGCACGATCGCGTCGTGCCCCCCCGACAGCGCCTGCAAGGCAACACATCATGCTTCTCCATCGTGACGGCGGCCGGAGCGCTCGCGGCGCCGAGCGACGGCGCGGGCAGGGCGGCGCGCTCACCTCGTCGACGGGGGTCCTGTCGGCGGAGTTGCAGACCGTGGGGTTGCCGCCCTTGGCCATCAGGAGTCTGACGACGCCGACATGGCCGTTCAGACAGGCCCAGTGCAGCGGGGTGTTGCCGGACTCGTTCTGCGCGTTCACGTTCGCCCCGGCTTGCAGCAGCGCCAGGCACACGTCCTCCGATCCGTTCGCGGCGGCGGCGTGCAGCGCTGCAGGGCGCACACACCACAAGACGTACGTCGGTGAGTCGGCGCGCGGGACCCGTTCGCGCACAGCGCGGAGGGAGCATGGTGTATGGGGCTCCGCGCGGCGGCGAGGCCGGGATCGTTCGGTGGCGCCCCTCCGCGCGGGGGTGCGCGCAAGCGACGGGCACGCATGGCGGCTGAGCGCCCACCTGTCTTTCCGCCCCACTCGTCCTTGTGGTTCACGTCCGCGCCGTCTCGGAGCGCGGCCATGACCTCTTCCAGCTCCCCGTACCTAGCGCCGTCCAGGAGGGCCTCGTTGACATCGCCGCCCTCCGCCGCGTTGCCCATCTGGTAGGTAGTGCCTCCGCGGGGCGCAACCAGGGGGGGATTCGCGCCGAAATCGAGACGGCCTGCGTCCAGCCTACCTCGAGAACGCGGCTAGGTCGTTCAGAGGGCGCTCAGGGCGGCGTGCTCCGCGCAGGCCGAGAGCAACTGCGGCGCACGCAGCGTCTCTCTTGTGTCAGCACGAAACGTTCGTGAACACCGCCTGTTTGCTGCGAGCTGCATCTGCGATGTACGCGGCTGTCCGCTCACTCATGCCGCCGCGTGCCCCGTGCTCCGCAGCCGGCGGGGTGTGCAACTTGTACTGCGCGAGGGGGGCGCTGCGCACGACGCCCCACACCTCCCCGGCTCCAGGAATGCAAACGCGATGCTCGGTGCCGCGCAGGGGGCACTGGAGCACGTCGCGACGGCTCGTTGATCGGGCACCCTCCGCTGCGTGTCGTTGTGACGCGAGAGCACCACCGCGGTGGTCACTGGGCAAAATGGCGCTTTCGAGCGCAGCTTCGGCGGCGCGGCGGACGACCGCGTGCCTGGCCGGCAGACGGATATGTGCTGGTGCTCAGGGCGTGCTCGACGCCGCGGTTCAGCGGGAGCAGGGGGTCTGGGACGAGGGCGCAAAGTGTGGGCCAGCGGGCGCGGTAGCTGCAGCTAGCCCTGGCGCGCAGCTCCCCGTCCGCGCCGGGGAAGGCGCCACGCTGGCGTGCCTGGGCCGGCAGTCCCGCATGATGAGCAGCTCGCTGTCGGGCGTCCGTCGCGACGGTCCCCCGGGCGCGGGGGCGCTCGGACCCTTCACGCGTGGCTACGTGCAGAGCGCTGCGTTCGCCACGAACGCGGAGGAGGGGTGGCACTGGGCGAGCGGCACGCCGCAGCCCGCGTCGAGGCGGGCCGACGAGCAGGAGGAGTTCCAGCTCCCCGCGTCCCTCGAGTCGCTGTTCGCGGGCCCCGCACACTCCCTCGAGACACCCAAGCCGCCGCTGGACCTCACGGCCTCGCAGCAGGCGGCCGCGCAGAGGAGCGTGCTCGTCCGGATCGCGCACGCGATCAGCAGATTCAACTCCGACGAGCAGGCCCGGATGCGGGCGTGCAGGCGAGCCGCGCAACCCTAGCACGCAGCCCCGGCGCGGCCCGCGGCGCCACACGCGCTCCACACGCGAGGTGACCGTTTCTCCCGCGTTCCATCAGCACGAGGCTCACGCCCCTCACGTCCGCGACGCGCTCCCTGCTCGCAGGAGCCTCCACTGGGCGCTGGTGCACCAGGCCCTGGACAAGCACCTGTACGACGCGTTCGGGCTGCCCTACATCTTCCGCTACCAGCACCCAATGCTCTGCCTGCACATGTGGATGTTCGTGCGCCGCCTCGCCGTCGACGAGGAGGCCAAGCCCTGGGTCGAGGACATCTACGGCATCTTCAACCGGGTGCGTGACCCCCGCACGCCCGGCACACCGCGCGCCGCGGGCCCCGCGTGCCCCCACGACGCCCGAGTCCTGTGCGCGCCCGACACACCGCCGCGCCGCCCGCCGCCGGTGCTCCGTGCGCGCAGGATATTGAGAGTCGGACGGCGGACTGGGGCGTGAAGTTCCGCTTCGACCACTGGCTGAAGGAGCAGGAGAAGAACTTTTACGGGGCGGGGTACGACTACGACATGGCGCTGGGGCCGGCGTCGCGGCCGCCGTTCGACGGGCCGTACGAGGGGCGCGACGCGATGCACAAGGCGCTGTGGAAGTGGGTGATGGTCCGGGACGGGGACCCGCGCAAGGCGCACGCGCTGGAGAGGTGCGTGCGGGCTGCCGGAGCGCATGTGCCAGGTGCGAGGCCACGATGTTCGACATGGTGTGCACACGAGTGCGTCTTGGGGGTTGTGTGGCGCAGGTACGTGATGCACCAGCTGCACTGCCTCTTCGCGACGCCGATGGACGCGATCAAGGAGGGCCGCGTGTGGTTCTCGCGGTCCGGCCTCCCGCTGAAGCCCTTCGCGCCGGACGCGGAGATGATGGGCCTCAACATGCGCGACGAGAAACAGACGCGCCGCATGATGGTGCGCCCGACCCGGACCAACAGCACGTCGCTGACGCCTGCGTGGGGCCCCGTCCGCTCACATGCTCCGCGGACACGTGCGTCACGCTGAACGTTGTTGTTGTACACACACTGCCGTCGGTGTCGGTGTCGGTGCTTGCAGGATGAGCGCGCGGACATGGAGCGCAATGAGCACCTTACGCTGTTCGCGTCCGTCCTGCGCGACGAAAGCCCCGCCGCCGCGGAGAAGGCCGTGCAGCGCGCCCGGGGCGACGCGGAGCCGACGTTCTAGGCGCGCCTGTGCAGCCCGTGGGGATCTGTGCCCGCACCGACTCCGGATCGTTGCGTGTGCGCGGACCAATCAAGCGATGTGATTCCGGCATTGTCTCCCAGGCGAGCTTGTCGCACGCCTTGTCTTTTGCCGCCGCCGTTCCTCCAATGCACACCTGGCCCATCACCTGCCTCACTACGATGCTCCAGGCCGCAGCGTCGCTGACAGCGCGCCGTGTGCGACGCGTGAACAGGGAGACACGGCACCCCACGCACGCAACCTCGCGCCCGTCCGTCCGCTCGGCGCCATCTCACAGCTGTGGCGCCTGCCTCGCCGCATCGGCGCACGAGCTCCTCCGATCCCATCCCAGCACGATCGTCCCGGCCCACCGCGCCTCCCGCCCAGCGTCCGCGCTACCAGAACAGCTCCTTCAGGTCTGACCGCTGCTCCTTAGTCAGGTAGATGCACCGGAACCCGCGGAACTCCTCCGGGACGGCGCCGGCGTTCAGCAGCTCGGCGTTCTCGTGCATCACGCTGACGTTGCCCATCAGCGCGCGCGCGTTCCACCGCACCCGCGCCTTGCCCAGGTGCCCCACTAGCTCCACGATGAACTTCAGTATGTCGCACCGGGCGATCCGCACCTGCGCCGCACGCGACGCGCCGCTGCAGTGAGCACACGGGCGCGTAGCGCAGACGGGCGGCGTGCGGGGCGGCGTGCGGGCCCACAACTTGCCTTGTCGGTGTCGAGCAGGGAGAGGTGGCGCAGGCACCCGAGGGCGCGGTCGACAAGGTCCTCGCCCTCCGGAGTGAGGCTGAGGCCCTTGCCCTTCTTGCCCTTGCCGCCAGCCTTGCCCTTCTTCTGCTTCGCGCCCTCCGGGATGTGTTCGCAGCCCGCAGCGAGTGCGCGGCAGATCCGCCACGCGCCCGTGTTCGCGCTGACGAGGTCGCGCACCTCCTCGCGGTGCAGCAGCGGCCAGAGGGCGCCGCACGCCGCCGCCTGCGCCGGAACGCTGTGCGCGAAGCCCGAGCGCGGAGGCGCCCGGCGATGCACGCGCAGCGATATGCGGCTCCGGATGCGCGAGCGCGGCGGCTCGTAGTCGATCGTGATCTCCGGCAGCTGCACTGGCGCGGACTTGCCACCGCCGCCCGCCTCCTCCGCGCCGCCACCGAGGGCCGTGCGCGGCGCTCCTGCCTTTGGCGTCGGGGCAACAGAAGGAAGCTCCTTCCCGCCAGCGACGCCCCCCCACGGAGTCGGCGGAAGCGACCCCGTCGCCGTGCTCCCGCGCGTCGGCGCGCCCGTCCCGCCCGGCGTCGCCCCGCTGCCCCCCGCTGCCTTGAGGTTGGTGTTGATCGGTGGCGGCTTGTTGACGTCGACGCCGAGGCTGAACGCGTCCTTCTCGGGCTGCTCGGGGATCTCGGGGAGCTTCGGCGGCGGATCAGGCTCCTTGAGGACGGTCTCGATGTCCTGCGACGACGCGCAAGCGAACCAGGCGGGTGAGTCGTGCCTCACCCACCAGGGCGCGGCCTGGATCCTGCGCGCGGACAGGCCGCACCTGGGGCAGCGGCGGGGCCTCGTTGGGGTCGCCGAGGATGTCGAGCACGTTCAACGTCGCGTTCGCCTTGAGGAACTGCGAGTGGTTCTCCTCGACCGTCATCAGCAGCTCCAGCAGTCGCAGCGCAGCCTGCAGAGGGGCACGGGCCGAGGTGTCGGTGGCGCGTCGTGCAGGAGCGGCGCGCGGCGCTGGCGCGTCCGGGGTGCACGCACCACGATGGTCTCCTCCTTGGTGGCCTCTTGGACGATGCCGATGAGCACGGAGAAGGCGTACGGCGGGCAGGCGGCCACGTCGACGATGAGCTCGTCCTGCCCCTGCAGGATCATGAGCAGGAACTCGCACACGTGCAGCTGGATGTCCTCGTGCCCGCTGGTGCGCAGCGTGTCGAGGTACTTGCGCCACCTGCGCGGGGGGTCCCCGGGGGCGGCGCTTGAGCTCGAGCGTGCGCGTGTGCGCGTGGTGCGAGCCAGGCGAGGGGCGCGGCGGCCAGGACGGGGCCACTTACGGCAAGAGGCACTTCTGCAGGATGGACCGGCCTCTGTCGTGCTGCACAAGGTTCCTCAGGATCGCGGCCGCGGCGACGCCTTGCGACTCCGTTCCGCTGAGCATCCCGGCGACGATGTACCCGCACAAGTTCCCGCTCGGCGCCTTGCCACCTGTTGGACAGGAACGGAGCAACCAAGCCCGTCATGCTCCTTGCCGGTCGCGACGGGCGGCGCCGCAACGCGCCCGTGATAGCGCTGGCGTGGCAGCGCGAGGCCCCGCTTCCGCCGGCACCGCGCGGCGCCACAAACGCGTGCAGAGCGTTGCAGGGTGATGCGCAGGTGTCGGGCGGGGCGCCCACCTGCGATGATTCCCCGCGCGTCCGGGTCCGCCTCCTCGGCGCTCATCACGTTGAGCAGCCCCAGCGCCGCGGTCTTCTCGGACGTCTTCGCGTCGTCCTCGAGGACGCGCAAACAGATGTTGCTCCCGTCTGCGACGCACCACGGCGCGGCGCACCGAGTATGCAGCGGGCCGCGGGGGAGCGTGTGCGGCGCGGCGCTCCGAGCCGGTGCAGCGCAGGGCCGCATGTGCGCCGCGAAGCTGCACTGCCATGCCGCCAACCGACTCGGCAGCGGGCGTCCGCGACGCCACGGCGTTCTCCCGGAGCGAAACGGCCGCGACAGCGTCGAACCTTCGAGGAACCGTGAGAGCGTGCAGCGGGAGGGAGTGCCGCGCGCAGCACGGCGCTGGAGGCCGCACTGGGGGCCACAGGCACTCACTGGAGTTGATGATTTCGAGGCGTTTCGCGGGGTCGTTCATGGCGTGGTGCCACAGCATGAAGGCCGCAGTTTCGCGTCGCATGCCGCCCTCCTTGCCGCCCGTCTTCATCGCGTCCAGCAACGCTGGCAGGTCATCCTTCAGCTCGCTGATGTTGTCATTGTACACCACGCTGTTGATCAGACGCGGGTCAGGCGGCTGCTCCTCCGCCTTCGCAGCCATACCGTCCCGGTCCGACTACAACCCCCGCCTCAGCGCTCCACCCTCGCGCCCAGGCCCACCCTGCAGACCGCAGCGAGCGGGTTCGAGCGCCCCGCCGGCGCCTCAGCGTGCGCCTCGCCCTTCCACGTACCTGGCGCGCAGCCGACGGCTATGCCTTGCAACTGCCCGGCGCCCGCGGCGCGGGCCGCCGTCGTCCGGCGCGCGCCCAGGCGCCACATGGTGTCCCGCCATCAGGGGCTGCACCCCACGCCCTCCGCGCCACGCCTGCCCGGCCGAGCCTCGACGGCGCGCACCGCGGCCGTCGCGGCACACTTGCGCGCGCCGCGAGCGGCCCAACTCCGCAGGACTTCGGGCGTGCGACGCGTCTGGTGCAGCGATGTGGTCTCCGCGTCTGTCGGCTCGGTAGGTAGCTCGCAGCGATGGCGTCCGCGCCGCCGCGGCTGCGGCGGGCCGTGGCGGACGTGACGCAGGAGTTCGGCAGTAACAATGAGGCGGAGAGCAACCGAGTGATCCTGGAGTATCTATCTAGTGAGTCCAAAGCCTCCTTGCAGCGTGCACCAAGCGAGGGGGGCACGTCGTGCCTGGCCCGTGGTGCCGGCTCGTCGTGCTGTCCGCCACGCGATCGCCGCTCGCGGTGCGGCCGCCGGATCTAGCCGCGTCGCGGGTAGGGAGCGCGTTCAGTCCCTCTCTCACGTCCTGACCGTGAAACGGCGCCCGCTGCGTCCCCGTGCAGGCCCGACAAACGTTGACACGGTATACATGGAATTTTACAACCGTGCGACTGTAGAGCCGCGGTCATGGGAGGTGAGAAAGCGCCCTCGCCAGCCCCGTAGCGCTCCTCCAAGAGCTGGCAGCGGAGGGGAGCACCCGGCGCTCGTTCCGACTGCGGGAGCCACCAGCCTCGACGCGTGTCCCCCCGTTGGCCTCTCGATGGTGCAGGTCGTCGCGAAATGCGTGAACTTCCTGAAGGGCCACGTGCACAAATACGCACCCTCTCCGCGCATGATGCGCCAGTTGCAAGACGTGCTGCAGCGCCTCTCCAAAGAAAAGCCGCCCGCGGCGCACAAGCGCGCCATTCAGTACCTAAAGGTGCGGCCAGCCACGGCCCTTCCCTCGCCCACTCCCCCACGGCGCGCCCCGGCTGCCACGCACCAGCCACGTTGCTCCCCCCGCCCGCACTCGCCTCCACGCCGCGGCCCCGCGCGCGCGCCGCGCAGCCACGGACCCCGTGCTTCACCCTGCGTCCCGCGCCCGTTTGAACGCCGCCGCAGACGGTCATTGACAAGCAAGTCAGAGCCAGCAAGGGGTCCAGCAGCGGAGCGCTCCTCGGCGTCACCCCGACCAGCTCCCCGACCGCCAGGTGCCGCCCCGCGCCCGCCCCGCGCCCCGCGCCCCGCGCCCGCCCCGCCACCAGCGCGACGCGACCCCCGCACGCCCCCCTTCCCGCCACGCAGAGGCATGGGCGACACCCCCGATGCCCTCGGAGTCCCCCGTGAACCTCGCGGACCGCGGGCTGGCGTCGCATCCGATCCCCCCGGACATCGCCGGGTCGCCCGGCATCCCGGACCGCGGGCCGATCGCGCCGGGCAGCATGCCGGTCAGCACCAACGTGCTCGCGTGGCGCTGGGGGCTCGCGACGGAGGGCCCGGCGTGCGAGGGCGCGACGCGCGCGGACCCGGCGCGGCTGGCCCGCGCGAGCGTGGCCCGCAGCGGCATGTCGGGCGCCACGAACCGGATGCTGGCCAACAGCATCGCGCGGGAGGCCGAGTCGACCCCGAAGGCGTTCGTGCACATCCAGTCGCTGGTGCAGCGGCAGCAGCAGGACCGCCGCAAGGGCGACGTGGCGCGCCCCACGCGCGGGATGTTTATGTTCCAGCCGTACTCGCAGCAGCCGCCGCTGGACATGTCGACCGAGGAGGTGGAGGCCGTGGTGGAGGCGGTGCTCGGGCCGGGGCCGACGGGGCGCGCGAGCAACGGCACGCTCCCGGAGGACATCCCCGCGGAGATGGAGGAGGTGTTCACGGGGCTGCTGGTGAAGCTGATCGTCGACATGTGGCTCAAGTGCGGGCCCGAACAGGCGCTCCCGCTGGCGCTGATTCTGCTCGTCAAGGCCCTCGGATGCACGCACATGGCGTGGCGGTGCCGTGTGTTCGACGTGCTGTTCAACCTGGCGCTGCACGGGTCGCTGCTCGAGGCGCCGCCCGACGCCGGAGCGCAGGGGCGCTCGCTGTCGGACCACTTCCGCGCCATGCTGCGCCCGATCCTCTGGGAGCTCCTCACGCAGCTCGCGGAGACCGAGGAGTCCGAGCCGCAAGTGTGGCAGTCGGCCCTCAGCTGCTTCCTCCTGGTGCGCTCCCCGCCGCCTGCCTCGCCGCGCGCCGCACCTGCGCCCGCGTCCGCAGATCTTGACTCTCGGCGCGCACCGTGCGCCCGCCGCGCTGGCTGCAGATGGCGAGCGAGGGCGGCGTGTTGTTGCGGCGGCACTGCGAGCACGTGCCCATGCAGGCCCTGCGGCAGTTCCTGCTCTTCTGCCAGCTCCAGTCGTGGAGCCCGGTGCTCTACCAGCACCTCCAGGCCCTCACGTGCAACCTCCTCTTCGTCGTCCAGTCCCCGTCCAGCGCGCCTCTGAGCAAGGTGAGCCTCTCACGGCACCACGTCCTTCACCGTAGCCCTCCCGCCACCGGCGCCGCCGACACGTGACCGCGGCACGCTCGCTGCAGGCGCACTGGTCGGAGATGCAGCTCAGTCAGAAGCGGCTGGACGACCTCGGCGGCATCACGTGGGTCGTCCAGCAGTACCAGGAGGCGCAGGAGGCCCCTGCGCGGCAGGCCTTCATGACCGTCATCCTCGACTACACCGTGCAGAAGGTGCGCCGCGGACAGCTGCGTGCGGCATGGTACAGCTGGGACGCGGCGCATCAGTCGCGAACGCCTCCGTCGGCGTGTGGCGCGTGGGGCTGAGTGCTTGTGTTGTCGTTTGTCTCGGGGTTGCGTTGCAGGTGTTCTCGGAGGAGCTGGACGACGGCGCGTCGGACCAGGAGCTGGTGCAGTGGATAGCGACTGTGTGGAACAGCCTGGCCATGTGGGACGTGCTGCACCCTTACGCCGTCACGCAGCGGCACAACTGGAAGACGGACGTCCGCACGTGGACCGAGTCAGCCATCGAGCGCGGCCCCGCGGAGAGCTCGGTCTCCTCCTGGGTCACGACCGGGCAGCGCCCCGGCCGCGTCGCCGCCGGCGCCTCCGAGCGCCGCCTGCTCGAGACCGTCCTCCGCAAGATGGAGAGCCTCTTTGCCGGCGACGACGACGCCGAAGCCGCAGGTGCGCCCGCCGGGCCGCACGCGCCCGCCCCGTGCTCGATCCCCGCACGGGCGCCTCCTGTGCAGTGTCCGAAACACCCCCCCGACGCCCGAACCACCCCCTCCCTTTGTGCAGGGTTGCCGGAGGAGTTGGTGGAGCACAAGAACGCCACGATAGAGAGCGTGCACTTCCCGCGGCACCCCGGCGTGGAGGAGTCGTGGGAGGCGCTGGAGAAGGCGATGTACACCATGGGCGAGCAGCGGGACCCGCTGAAGGTGTGGATCGCGGAGATCCTGGAGCGCGTGGCCACCAAGGAGCACGCGGCGTACTGCTCGCGGGGCAAGGGCGACCGCGACAGACCGCAGCCCATCCCGAGCGTCAAGGTGCGTCGCGGCCGCGTCTGTCCCGATGCGAGGCTGCACCCCGTTGCTCAGTGTGCTGAGCCTGAGCCTGTGTGTCGTTGTGCGGTGGCGCGCAGGCGGCCAGGGGCGTGAAGGAGACGGAGGTGGAGCGGCGGATCCGGAAGGTGCTGCACGCGATGTTCGAGCGCGGCGGCCCGGACGCGCCGCTGATGTTCGTGCACATCGCGCAGCGGCTCGCGACGTTCGTGGGCGGGTGGCTGCACAGCGGGATCGAGATGCCGCGGCCGCCGAACCCAGGGTCGCTGCTCAACGGCCCCCCGACGGTCCAGAGCCTCCCGATCCTGCTCAGCACCGTGGACTGGCTCATGCACTACCGCGCCCTCCCCGGATGCCAGGCTGCCTTCCTGCGGCTCACGCGGCACCTGCTGGCCTGCGTGTGCCGCGGCGACACGTCGATCGGCGGCTCCGAGACGCTCGTCGCCAGCGAAGGAGCGCCCGCGAGCCCCGGCGGCAACGGCATCGGCGAGAACGCAGCGCGCACCGCAACCGACATGATGGGTCAGCTTGGGCCCAGCATCTGGCAGGAGGTGACCGGGTCGGTGGAGTCGCCCACTGTGTCGGACACGGCGCTCCGACAGATACCCGCGGCGACGCTCTACAGCCTGTTCGATGTACGCGGCCCGTCACCCACTACGCCGGCCTTGCCACGTGCAGCTTCGCGCGCTGAGTGACGGCATGCGCTCGCCTTGCCAAGTTCCGCGTCGCTCGGCTCCGTTCCGCGCAGGTGCTGTCTCGGTCGGCGTCGCTGTACACGGCGAGCAACACGTCGGCGTGCGGCCTGTACGCGGTGCCGCTGGAGGCGTCAGACATCGGGCCGGTGCGTTGGGGCCTGTGGGCGTCGTCGATCGAGGACCTGCGCCTGCTGCTCCTCGTGCTGCTCCTGGGCAAGTCGGAGGAGAGCCCGGCGGAGCTGGTGGACAGCAAGGGGCAGGACCTGGTGCAGCCGCTGCTGCAGCAGCTGCTCAAGGACGCGGACCCGCGGCTGCAGTACTACGCGTCGGCGTGCCTGCTTCGGCGGATCCAGGTGAAGAGCCCGGACGTGTACTCGCAGGCGATGCGGCGGCTGGTGGTGCACGCCCAGCACACCAACGACGAAAAGATACTCGAGAATCCCTATCTGCGCCTCATGGCCATGAAGGAGCTCGACCTCGTGCCGTAGGGCGCGCGTGTGAAGCGGTCGGCTCGCGCGGGCGTCACATCGACGGCCGGCTCCGACTCAACCCACGTGCCGGCCGGCGTCATGCATTCGTGTATCCCTATTTGTTATTTGTTCTTCTTCTTGTTGTTTTCGGCCTCTTCCTTGAGGTCGTCCATCATGTCGCGCACCAGCTGGTGGCCGATGACCGCGCCGATGATCATGCAGACCACGCCGATCATGTCCGTCACGCCCTCGAAGACATGGCACGCCTGCACGCGGGCGGCGCAACCAGACACAGCACGCGTCAGAAGCCGCGCCGCGGCCAGGCGGACTGCGCGTGCGCGTGCAACGCGTCCCCGGGCGCACCGACACGAGCTCCTTGGGTCCGACGGACAGTCCGACGAGGTTCAAGAGCCTGTTGACAGTGTTGTGGTACTCCACGCCAATCACGAAGTACATCCGGGAGGTGGTCGGGATCCGCAAGTGCGTGAAGGCGAACGCCAGCACCTGCGCGCACGCCGGGGTACGCCGCGGTCGGGGGGGCGGCAGCGCGCGCGTGCACGGCCTGCTGGACGCAGGACACGGCATGCGAGTGCGTGCGTGAGGGCCGCACCTGCTGCATGCCGGTGAGCAGCGAGAGGATGTTGTAGGCGATGACGTAGTTCTTCTCCGCGGTCTTCGAGATCGTGCCGGGCTTTTTCTTCTGGAGGGCGTACCACGCCACCTGCGCCACCACGCCCAGCCCCAAGATCATCATGCTGGCGATCGGCGGCTCGCGGCCCGTCGGACGGATGAGCATGGTGTACACCACGCGCGTGACGAGCCACGCGATCTGGACCTTGGTCGCCACGTTGAGATGCTGCCGCCACAGGGCCATCCGGCTGTACTCTGCAGGGCACGGAACAGCGCTGGGCGCAGTGAGCCGCGCCTACCGACGACGAACGCCCGCGTCGACGGAGCCGTGAACGCGACCTCGACGTTCCAGGGGCATGGCGTGCCGCAGAGCTCCAAGGTGCGCGAGAGGCGGTTCCATGAAGCAGGCAGCAGGTGCAGTCGCCACCCCCACGGGTCGGTCTGCGCGTACGCTGCCGCAGCGACGCTGCTCGCTGTGTTGCGATAGACCGCAGGACAGCACCGCGTGGTGAATCTGCCGCAGTCCTTCGATGCCGGCAAAGATTCCGTGCAGTGGGGAGTATGCAGGTGCTCACTGTTGGCTATTTGCATCCTATAGGTGCCATCATCACCCGCCGCCGCAGAACTCATCACGCCCCCCCGCCAGCGATCAGGCGTTGCCCTCCGCGCGCTCGACACCCGCAGCGACGACGTCCGCCACCTCCCAAGCCCCACGGAGCCCTCGGAGAGCCGCCGGTTCCGGGTGCCTGACGCCGCACACGATTCCTCTCGACGACGTCAGGCCGTCGGGCCAAGCAGACAGAGCGCCGGGAGGCTGCCAGCCCGCCGCAATGGCCCGTGGTCCAGGGAGACCTCAGGGGCGTCGCTGTGCGCCGTCTGCCCGGCCGCGCGCCGCTCGTGTGCGGCTGGTTCCGGCTGGTTGCGGCAGTATCGTATAGTAGCACCGCGTCCCAGGATCTCTTGCGCGTCGTCGTTCGTAGCAGTGGCCTCGCACCAAGCGCGCTGGAGACAGGTGGCGGAGCGGCTGTAGCATTGCGTGGGGCCGACGCGGCCGGGGAGCGGGGGCGCCATGGACCCTGCCAGAGACCCGAGGTGAGCGAGGCAGTCGCGCGGGAATGCAAGCGACCGAAGAGGGTCGGTAGTTGCGCGAAGCTTTTTCCGCCACCCCGTGGACGTCCTCGTCTCCCAGCGCTGCTCGCCGCGCCGTCTCTCTTCCGGCAGACCTCATGATGGCTTCAGCCGCGCATGCTGCCCCTCAAGGGAGTCCGACGAGCCCCACTGCGCCGCGTTCGTCCTCTGCAGCCCCCCTGCCGAACGAAATGGCGCAGCTAGCAACGACCCAAGCGCCCACGGCAGTCGCGAGGCGCCGGGAGACGTGATGGGGACCCCGCTGGCGACACCAAGGACCACCGCGTCGCGGAGGCTGCCCTTCGGAGGCAGCGGCATCAAGGAAGACAGGGAATTCAGGTGCGCGTCGCGCGAACTGCGCACTCACGAGGCCTCGAGCTCGAACGGCATTCTCGTTCTCTGCACCGACCCGGCGCGCTCGTCTCCCGCCCTTGAATCGGCGCACGCGCAGTACGCTGTCGCCACAGGGTGGCCCACGCTTCCGAGCTCCGCGTGCTACTGCAGCCATCCGGCTTCCCCGGACAGCAGGCGGGGCCTCACGTTCGAGCCGGACGCGTCGGACCACGGCACTCCGCGGCGCGAGCGAGCGAGGGGCTCGATGGAGGCGGCGCCCACGCGACGGTCACGCTTCATGTCATTCATGCAACGGGTGACGACGGGGGGCGGCACGAACGCGCGCGCGCGCAAGATACCGATATTCTTCTGCCTGGGGTCGCGGATACGGCTGCACCAGTGGCCCGTGAACGGCGACAAGGCGGAGTTGAACGACGCCATGGCCAGCTGCCTTGGGCTCAGCACCAGCAGCAGCCAAGTCAAGGTGCGGACCCTGCCTGCCTCGCGACGCCTCCTGTGGCTGTTCGCCGCTCGGTCGCCGCGCGTTTGGCGCGCGTCGGCGCTCACGGGCGGCTCTCCGGGCGCCCGCGAGCTGCAGGGGAGGGACCCGGCTCTGGCGATCTGGGTGCCGGAGAAGTACCACCTGCCGCGGGAGATGTACGAGGGAGCAGAGCCGGAGGGGATGTGCGGGCACTGGGAGGTGCTCGACGACATGGAGAAGGTGCACGCGGGGTGCAAGCTGACGCCCACCAACCTGGTGTGGCGCGCGGCCATCCGCGTGGACCAGGTCAGCTACGAAGAGAACCGCCGAGTGTTCGCCAGCATCCGCCAGGCCGCCTCCGGCTCCACCGAGGCCCGCATCTGGCTCAACAACCTCCTCAACGAACCCTCCTCCTCCAAGGTGCGCCCCCGCCGCCCGCCCGCCCGCCCGCCCGCGGCCGCGCCCGCACGCGCCGCGGCCGCGCACTGAGCCGCGCCCACTCCAACCGCCCGCAGGTCGCCGCGTGGGTGTCCGTGTTCATGATGCTCCTCATCCTCCTCTCCACCGTGGCCTACATCGCCGAAACACTCCCCCACGAATACACCGACGAATCAGGCGCGCACCCGAACGCAACCACCGCGCACGCGCCGCCCGCAGCCACGCGTCGCGCAGGCCGCACCACACCCCAACAACAACACCCCCCCCCCGTGGTGCAGTCATGAACGAGTACTTCTGGATCGAGACGGTCTGCATCGCGTTCTTCACGCTCGAGTACCTCTTGCGTCTCCTCGCGGCCCCGAACGCGTGGAAGTTCGTCCTCGGCACCATGAATCTGATCGACCTCGTGGCCATCATACCCTACTACATCGAGGTCGCGCTCACGGGCGTGCAGATCCCGGGGCTCCAAGTACTGCGCGTCATGCGGCTCGTGCGCGTCCTCCGGCTCCTCCGGGTACGCCCCACGCGCGCCCGACCCCCCCCGCGTGCCAGTGGCGCATGGTGCGGCGTGGCTCTCACGGTGCCTCTCTCGGTCGGTTCGCGGCGCAGGTCGGACAGGGCTCCCTGCGCGTGCTGATCATCACGCTGCAGCGCTCGCTGCGCCCCATGCAGATCCTGGTGTTCATGCTGGGCATGGCCATCCTGGTGATGTCGTCGCTGTTGCACTTCCTCGAGCGCGGGCGCTGGAACGCCGGCCTGCAGACGTGGGAGCACCGCGTGGCGTGGACGTGCTCCTTCGTGTGCAGCGCGGGCGACCTCGGGGACCGATTCGGCATGTGGAGGGACTGCCGCCAGGCGGGGGACGTGGTGGACATCCGCGTGCCCATGATCACCGGGCCGTTCTCGGTGCGACCCCGCGCCCCGCCGCCGCTCGCAGCGCGCACGCCCCGCGGCCGCGCACACCGCCTCACGCACGTGCACTCGGCGGGTGCGGTCGTCGCAGGAGGACTGTCGGGAGGTGTGGGAGGAGTCCAAGTTCGCCTCCATCCCGCACACGTTCTGGTTCTGCGTCGTGACGCTCACCACGCTCGGATACGGCGAGGACATTCCGTATTCGCCCGCGGGGCGCATCGCGGCCTCGGTCACCATGATGTTTGGCCTGCTCACCATCTCCCTGCCCATCTCCGTCATCGGGTCCAGGTGCGGTCGACGCAGACGCCGCGCGACGCCCCCCCGCCTCCCCGCGCGAGCCGCACGTTCGTCCGACGGCTCCGGCGTCCGCCCGGTGCGCGCTGCAGGTTCCTGTCGGTGTTTGAGAAGCTGGGCGGGAACCGCAATCAGCTGGTGGACGAAGACCTCACCGTGTCGTCGGAGAGCGTGGATTCCGCGGGCGACGGGATGGACATGTTCCGCGCGCACCGCCTGGAGTCCCTGCGCCTGTCGTCGCACACGTCGGACAACCTGTCGCGCATGAACGAGCGGCTCAAACGCCGCGCAAAGCGCAAGGGCGATCTCGCCCTGCCCAACGTGTTCCAGCCGGGGGAGTGGTGAGACAGGGCCCGGGGGCGATCCGATACCGCGGGGACCAGCCGGGAGCTCCCGTCGGAGCGGCTCATAGACGCTCGTCCGGGTGTGCGTGCGGGGCAACGCTGTAGGTTGTCGCGCGGCGTCAGCCCGTGCGTGCGAGTTGTTTTGATTCAAACGTACGCGCTGGGGTATTCCGCGTCGGCGATGAGATCGTGCATTTCGCCCTCACCGACCGTACTGAAGCTAGTCAGCCTGAGGACATGCACACCTCAATGACTCGTTCTTGCGGGCATGCGTTGCGACTGCGGACGACAGCGTTGCGCGCGACTGAATGAATCGGACCACCACAGGGTGCATAGAGTCAGGGCCCACATTCTCATGATGTGCGCTGCGACGCGTTGTTCCCGTGTGATGGGGCGCGGCGTGACGAGGATTGCGCCGGCAGCCAGCCATGCATTCTCTCGCAGATACGGGTGCTCGCGCGTTGTCAGATGCGAGTGCTGACGCGGGGCGGCGGCGGGGGCTGTGGGGCGTTCGATTCGGTTTTGACCCCCTACCGACAATGTCCGACAATGTCGGACATCGCTTTCAGTTTCCGGACTCATTGCTGGTTCGGGACCGCGGCGGCACCAGACCAGCCGCGCCCGTGAGCGTCCCCGGAGCAAGGCTTTCGGCTCGTGCACGCCACCTGGCGTACTTGTCGGGGCGTTGCTTTGAATCTCGACTGGCAGCGAGGCGAACGCCTGGTGGGGTGGACTTGGACGCGCTGATGTCACACTCGATCGATAGCTCGCTGACAGTTGAGCAGGAGTTGCTCGACATCGTGGACGAGGGTTGGGCGCGTGACAAGCTACCGGACGAAGGTGACGCTCTCTCAGCGCGTGCGGCCCTACAACGCCCGCCAGCGCTGGCCGTTTCGCTGACGCCGCCTCGCCTCCTGTTCCTCGTTGCGCAGCCATCCACCTGCCGGCGCACGTGGAGCCTGAGCGCGGGGAGGACGAGGGGGAGCGTGCGGACGGAGAGCAGGACCAGCGGGACGACCGGCGCGCGCCCGCGTGGAGGGACCTCGGTCTCGCCGACCTGACCATCCCGCGTGCACAATGACGGGCCGCGACCAGGTGCAGCCCCAGACCTCGGTCTCGGCCTCGCGACGTGGCGGAGCGTCCCCCGCCCGTGCATGCATGCTGCGCAAAGCACGCGAGGCCCGTGCGCGAAGCCGGCTGCACGGACCTCGACGCCCAGCGTCCACGCCCTTCCGCAACTGAGCGATGCTCGCAGGACGCGGTGGGCCCGCCGAGCGCAGCGGGCGCTGACCCGGGCGCAGGGCCTCGGTCTCAGGCGGGCGCGGAGCCCTCGCCCGCGGCCGCGACGCCGGCCCGGCCCGTCGAGGCCAGCCCGACGAAGCCGCACCGGCACCGTCCGCTGAAGCACGCGCAGATACTGGTGCTCGGCCAGGAGGGGGCCGGCAAGACGCACATGGTGCGGCAGGTGGTGCACTACGCGGAGCCGAAGCGCTTCCCCGAGCAGACGCAGGGGCCCCACTCGACGATAGGTGCGCACGCGAGACAGCGCGGCGCGCCGGCGGGGCGGGGCGTTCGCGCGCCCCCAGTGCGATCCGGGGCGCAGCGTTGCGTTGCGTTGCAGGTGTGGAGAAGCGGGTGTGTAAGTTGAAGGGCGGCGTGCAGGCGATGTTCACCGAGGTGGGCGGGTGCATGAAGGAGATCTGGGACGACTACTACGCGGAGAGCAGCGCAGGTGGGCGCCCCCCGGCGAACGCCCACCTCGGCGTGCAGCGTCCTGGACTTGAATTGACCGGCCGCGTTCGAACCGAGCACGCGCGCGCATCCGTCCGCAGTGATCTACGTGGTCGACGCGGCGGCGACGGATGAGGAGCTGAAGGCGGACGCGCGGAACTTGCTGGAGTTGCTGGACGCGCCGGCGCTGGACCTGAAGCCCGTGATGGTCGCGCTCACCGCGTGGGACCGCGTGGAGGACTCCCTGACGAGGATGAAGCAAGTCACGCGCAAGCTGCGCCTGCCCAGCCTGTACGACAAGTGCGAGGGTGCGTGCTGTGCGCGACGGGACCAGTCGACCACGAGTCGCGTGCGCGGGTGCCCAGAGGGGGTGTGCGTTTGCGCTGTGTGCAGGGATGCGCGGCCGGCTGACTGTCACGCAGATCTCGGCGGCGACGGCGTGGCAGCTGGATCAGGTCGCGACGTGGGTGTTTCAGGCCGCGAAGATTGGCGTGGACACCAGCGCGGTGCCAGAACCGAAACCGCCGAACGGCTGCCTCAAACGCCGAGCGAAGGTCGCGGTCGTCAGCAAGTGAGCCTCGGCACCCCTGCGTCCGAAGCGGGGGTGAATGGGCGGCACATAGCGGGGCAGGTCACGCTCCGCAGGGCGCCGCGAGCGAGTGTGACGTCGCGACGCGCGCGCGCCGGTGGCGCCGGTCGCCCTGTCGTGCGCGGCGGTGCAGTGCGTCACAGAGTTCGTGCCGCGCCCCAACCCCCCTAAATGACAATCTCCCGTGGCTTGGGCTGCCGGATGTGGCGCGCGGTGGCGCCGAGCGGCGTCGGCTTGTACGGCGGGTGCAGCGGGAAGGGCTTGGGCAGCCCGATGGGGTCGTCCTCCGGGATGTACGCGTTGGGCCGCTGCTCGGCCGTGGTGACCAGCCCCAGCGCCTCGAGCTCCTGCTGCTTGGCGAACTCCTCGCCGCGCGCCCGCATCTCCTCCGCGACCTGCCGCTCGCGCTCCCGGCGGTACCACTCCCGCTCCGCGTCCTCCGTGGGCGCCAGGCCCTGCTCGAGCCGCCGGTGCGCCACCCCGAGCAGCTGAGTCAGGGACTCCTTGTCGGCCTCGAGCTTGAGCGCCGAGGCCTGGAACATCGACAGCTCGGACACCGCGGCCATCATCTTGCGCGTCACGTCACGCAGGCGGTGCTGGTACGCGTTGGCCTTCTTCGCCAGGTCGAGCGACTCCTGGCGGCCCTCGACGGCCTGCAGCTGCAGCCGCTCGGCGAGCGCGGAGACCTCCGCGAGCACGACGTCCTTCTCCGTGATCTGCTGCTTGAGGTCCGTGAGGCGGTCCTCGAGCTGCGTGCGCCGCGCCTTGAGCTCCTCCTTGTCCGGCACGCGCGCGTCGAGCAGCCGCCAGCGCCCCTCGTTGCCCGGGTCCTCCAGCGCGGCGGTGAGCTCGTCCGCCTTGGCGCGCACCTGCAGGAGCTGGTGCTGCAGCGCGGCGATCTCCTTGTCGTACTCGGGCATGCGCGGCGCCTGCCGCCGCACGATCTCGAGCGACCGCTGCACCTCGGCGCGCTGGATGCTGAGCATGCGGATCTCGTCCTCGCGGCCCTTGAGCTCGAGCTCCCCGCGGCGGAGCGCCTCCTGCTGGATGTTGGCCTTCTCGTACAGGATGCACAGCTCGTCGTTGCGGTCGATCAGCATGATGCCCGTGTAGTTGCGCGCCTCGACGATGGTCTCGTACTGCTTCTTCAGGCGCAGCATGTCGCGCTCGGCGCGGTTGATGATCGCGTTCAGCTTGTCGATCTCCGCGATCTGCTGGTCCACCACGTCCTGCCGCCGCTGGAACTCCTGCACCGACCGCGTCAGCTCGTTGCGGACCTGGTCGCGCTCCGCCTGCGCCAGCTGGTGGTCGTGCTCGTTCTTCTGCAGCTTCGAGTCCTTGTCGTTCGACTCCGTCCGCAATATGTCGACCTCGTTGTCCAGGATCTTGAGCTTCTCGCGCATCTCCGCCATGCTCTGCTTGGCCGCCTGGATCAGGTTGACGAACTTGTTCCGCTGGTTCTTGACCAGCTCGAACAGCTGCTCGAACTCCCGCACGCGCGACAACACCTCCTTCCGCTGCTTCTTCAGGTCCTTGATCACCATGTCCTTGAGCCCCAGGTCCTGCCGCGCCTCCCGCAGCTTGTACAGCTTCGACGCCACCTGCCGCGCGAGGCGGTCCCGCGACGACGCCAGCTCGCGCAGCTCGTGCTCCACGCGGTCCTGCCCGCGCTTCAGCTGCACGATGCGCGCCTCCAGCTGCCGCGCCTCCGCCGCGTGCGCGTTCAGCTGCCCCGCCGCCTCCTGCGTGAGCGTCGTCTCGCGCACCAGGACGTCCTTCACGCCCGCCACGTCCCGCCGCAGCTCCGACGTCGCGTCGCGCAGCCGCGCGAGCTCCGCCGTCGACTTGGCCACGTCCGACACCAGCCCGTCGCGGATGGTCACCAGGCTGGGCAGCTGGTTCTGCAGGCCGCCCAGCTCGCCCTCCGCGCGCTTGAGCTTCCGCAGCGCGAGCTCCTTCTCGTGCTGCTTGCGCGCCTGCTGGTCCTGCTCGCGCTTGAGCTCGCCGACCGTCGCGCGGATCTGCATGTCCAGGTTGACCTGGTCCGACAGGAGCTTCTCGTTCTCGATGGCCGCGAGCTCCACCTGCCGCCGCATGTCGTCCAGCATGCGCTCGTGCTTCGCCGCCTGCGTCTGGATCTTCTGCGCCTTGAGGCCGTTCTCGCGGTGCTCCTCGTCGAGCTGCGCGTGCTTGTCCGCCAGCCGCATGTACTCCCGGTCGTTCTCCTGCACCTTCTGCCGCAGCTGCATGTCCAGCCCCTGGTAGTTCTTGATCGCCGCGCCCACCAGCTCGATCTGCCGCCGCGCCGTCTCCGGGATCGCGCTGGCCTTCTGCAGCTGCACCAGCTCGCGCGCCTTGAGCTCCTCCACCGACGTCATCTCCGTCAGCAGGTCGTTGTGCAGGCCCGTCATGCGCCGCTTCTCGTTGCGCGCCGACGCCAGCTTCGACGAGTTCTGCGCCACCGCCTCCCGCACCACCCCGATCTCGCCCTCCAACCCCTTGATCGTGGGCATCAGCGCCTCGCGCGCCTCCCGCATCATCTCGTCCAGCCGCGCCTGGAGCATGCCGCGCTCCTGCAGCGTCGCGCACCGAGCGGGACGGGCGCCGCGTGAGACGGCGCGCCTGGCGGGCATGCGGCGGGGCGTCTGCAGGTCCCGGGGCCGGAGGGGCCGCCGGAGGGTGCGCGGACCTGCATGAGCTGCTTGATGTCGATATCTGCGCTCATCGTGCGCTCGCTCAGGAACACGAGCTCGCTCTCCGCCTCGTCGCGCTCCTCCTTGAGCTGCAGGATGTAGAGACTGCCGCCCTTGCTGCCCACGTCCGCCCTCCCCTTCTCAACTTCCACCTGCGGGATGTCTCAGAGGACGCAACGTTGCCCTGGTGGGCGCGACGGCAACAAGGGCGACGACGCACGCAGCAGAGCGGGTGGAAATGCCTGCAGGCCTCATGCAGACCCTCCAACGGGGCAGGAAGCGACGCTGACGGCACATATGGCGCAGCATCCGCACTCGTTCCAGCCAGGTTCGGTGGGTCCGCGCACAGTGGGTTCGCGAGGTCGCCGCCCGGCTCGTGCGAGCGACGCCTGGTCCTGGGCATGCAGGTGCGCTCACCTTGCGTGCTAGCCGCACTTCCTGCTTCTCGAGGTCCGCGGAGCGCTTGATTGAGTCCTGAACTACCTTGCGCAGCGCATTGCATTTTTCCCGGAGGAAGTCCGCGCGCCCTTCGCCCACCTTCTTCGCTGAGACCAGACGCTCCACCTCGTCGAGCATGCGATTGCTCTCCAGGGCGCCCTTCGCCGAAAACCCGTCGTCCACCTCGCCGCCGTCCCCGCCGGCCCCATTCGCCGCCTCCTCCTCGGTCACAGGCAGCGCGCTGGAGTGCTCGCGGCTGGGGTGGCTCCCCGCCATGGCTGTCGCGCCGCTGCGACCCCGCCCCGCGCGCTCAGAAACACAGCCAGCGCCAGGCGTCTCACGAACGTCGGTGTCGGTGCGGTGGTGCCCTGCTCAGCGCATGGCTCCGCGCTGCCGCGACGCGCAGGGCAGTCCTTTTGTGCGTGCCCCGCAACCGAGAACGCTCGACTGCGTTTCGCTCAAACTACCTCGCCGGGACGCTTCTGCACCGACGCGCCGCCCAGGCCTCCCCTCGTGCGCACGCGGCGCCGCCGGGCAGTGCCCGGCACTGTCCGACTGCCCAGGACGGCCCGGGCATCGGCCGACCCATGCATGACTCGGCGACCCGAGAGAGAGCTCCGGCTCCCGCGCTGCGGAGCGATACAGAGGGCGCGCCGCGCGGCTGCCGCACAGCTTCCGTTCCTCGCTCGTCGTTTAGAACTAGCGTTCGGTGCCGCGTTCTCGACTGGTGCGCGCATCCTGGAACCACGGACCTCTCCACGGCCCTTGGTGCGGCGCGTTGAAGGCCGCGATGGCGAACGTACGGGCGCTGCAGGAGGCGCTGCAGAAGGAGGTCGAGGAATTCAAGAAAGTCCAAGAGGGTGCGAACCGGTTCCTCGCGGCGCTGCAGCAGGGCCCGCCACTTTGGCATGCGCGCCCCTGCCGCGCCGCGGCGATGCGTCGCGATCAAACAAGCAGTCACCTGGTTTCTCCACGCGACGGACTGCGCGAGCGCGTCCCGGGAACCCGCGTTGCGGCGCTTCTGTCCGCGGGGCACGGTGCCTGCTTCGGTAGCGCCATGCTGGGCCGCGGGGCCGAGGCCGCACCCGCAGCGCGTGTGTGTGGCCGGCTGAGCTCCAACTGATCCCGAGAACCGAGCGGTCGCTCGCCGCCGGGAATTTGCTCGCCGCTGTCAGCGCACGAGCCCGTGCACGATATTAAAGGAGGTTGCTCGGCACGCGCGCGACGCAGACATCAACAAGAACCACGCGGCCAGGCAGAAGTTTCTAGAGCAGAAGAATGAGAACGACATGGTGAAGAAGGAGCTGGGGCTGCTGGAGGACGGCGCGTGCGTGTTCCGGCTCGTGGGCCCGGTGCTCATCAAGCAGGCAAGCGCGCAGCCCCCGCGCCCGCGGCACGCACGGCCCGCTTGCATGGCTCGACACGGTGCTCGGCGCACGCTTCTGGGCGCGCAGGAGCAGGACGAGGCGAAGAGCAACGTGGACAAGCGGTTGGGGTTCATCAACGGGGAGCTGGAGCGGCTGGAGAAGGCGTTCAAGGCGTTCGAGAAGAAGCAGGCGGAGAAGGAGAACGCCATCCGGGCCATCCAGCAGAAGCTCCAGAAGCAGCAGCAGCAGGCCCAGGCGACGACCGCGCAGGCTTGATAAGGCACTGGGGTGGCGGCGCGACTCGCGCGGGGCAGCCCGCCGACCTAGGCCACGAGAACCTGGCCCCGGGTCGGCGCGGATGTGACAGACGATGCTGCGCCGGGCCTGAGCGCGCGATGGGCGGGGGTCGCACGCACTGCACCCGCGCTGCTGCTGCTCACCACGCACCACGCACGGGACACCCATAGAGAGTAGTAATTGACCACCCGCGCACGAAACGAAATGCGGGTGTGCTATCGTCCTGATCAAGGCGGCAGCGTGCTAGGAGTACTCGCGCGAAATGCCATGTGAGCGTGCCATCATGTGCCAAGGGAAGGCTCTGACCTGCAATCAGTTAGAGTGAGTGGCGGGCGTCGTCAGCAACAACGCGGCGAGCCGCGCGAGTACTGGACGACGCCCGCCAGCCGACGCGCCGAAGTGCTGGTCCACGTCCTAGGCTGCTTGTACCAGGGGGTGTCGGCAGCCGGCTGGGTGACAGCGGTGACTGAGTCTGCGGCATTGTCCGCGTTGTGTGGCGACGCGCCGACGGCTACTCAGCTCTCCTCGTCATCGCCGTCCCCGCGCGTGGCCTGTCATGCGAAAAGGGATCATACCTCGGTCTAGCGGCCACGGAATACGCGCATGGCCAACATGTCAACATCGGGGGGGTAACAGAGTGCGTCATGTGTGCGGGCATGGCTGGATAGTTCCGAGCCAGCTTCGCAGCGCCGGGATCATGTATGAGGGTGACGAGTTGCAGGGCGCCGGGCACGCCCTGTCAGCAGGTTGGCCAGTATGGTCTGCAAACTGCACGTGGCGACGCACGAGGTCAGCCAGGCCCGCCGGCGTGGCAGGGCCAAAATGCGGGCTCGGGTGCGTCCGGCAGGCGGCGCGGTGGATCGCCAGGACCTGTCGCATGCAGTAACCTCGATGCGTACGCATGTAGCGCATCATGGCCGACATCTTGGCTACGTAGCTGTCGCGGTCAGTCACCTCGCTGGACACGCGGATGTGTTCGGTGCGGACGATGTTGTAAAGGTGTCGTCGCAGCAGCGCACACGAAGCGTGGGGGTACTGTATGAGGTGAATGTTCTCAGGAAACAGACCGCGTTTGTCATAGTGCGAGATCAGGAGGAAGCCCTGATATTCGGGATGCGGACGCACGCGGAGGTCTAGGAAGGAGACACCGTCGAGCGGGTTCGCTGGGGCGTCAAATTCGACCTCAAGACAGGGGGGGTACATGTTATGTATACCAGAGATGAGATCTACGATCGACGACGGGGTTTCGGGGGGCGGGGTGGGGGGGCGGGGGTGGGTGTTGAAGTAGCGGTACAGTGCGTTCGCGAGAGAGAAATTGTCGTCGATGTAGCGCCTGGAATAACGGAAAGACCCCAAGACCTTCAGCCAAGCGACGTCGCCAGTGCTCAACCAGCGGTCGCGAAACTGGCAGAGGAACGCGAGCTCATGCCGGAACATGTAGCAGTTCGCGAGGTGGGGGGAGGCCGAGAGCCCCATGGGCACACCGCAGGTCTGGTGATATACGACGCCCCCGAACACCACGTAGGCGCGTTTGACGAGGATGTGCACGAGACCATGAAGTTGCTCGATGCTCGGTGCCCATTTCCCAACCATGCCGTCCGCGTCCGGCAGCTGCGCCACCCACCACCACGTCTCCCTCGCGTCAAACGCGGGTTGCAAGTCGATCAGGAGGTGTTGCCCTGGATGCAGTGCAAAAACAGCGTCGATGTGTTCGATGACGCAGTCGATGAGGCCGGTCCCGTGGTCCGCGCTCGTCTCGTGCCGGATGTGCGTGTAGAGCCGCTTGATGTCGGCGCCCAGCAGCAGAGGTGGTTGTTGAGCATGTATCGCTGAGCGTGGTGGGTTGTCATGTAGATACGCGGTCACCATGTCACGCATGCCGCGGCTGGAGTCCACCAAGAAGGGCGCGAAGCTGCTGCAGAGGTCCTCCGGGACGCCGTCGAAGATGGAGCTCCAGACCTCCACGAGGGTGGCGTGGCACATGAGCGCGCCGAGGGCCTTCGTCAGCAGCTGCGCTGCGGGGCGCGTGATGTCGCTCGAGCAGTCCGAGATGTACCGCACGTCCACCTTGGCCTTGTGAAGCTTCATCGTCCCGTAGTAGTGCGGTAGACCACCGCACTCGCGTTCGGTGCGTATTCCTGGTAGCTGCAGGTTGTCCAACATAGCCTCCGTCGTGTTAGCGACGTTCACCACGTGCCTGGCATGCGTGATGTTGGCATTTGCCGGCTCGTTGACAGCGAAAGCGTCGTTGCTGTGCAGGTCGTGCAGGAGGACCTCGATGTAGGCGCGCCGACACACGAAAACCAAATTCCCGGCGTTCTTGTCCATGGTCGTGATGGTGAGGCGTGTCGCGTCTCGCCGCAGAGCCACGCGATCGTCGGGCTGAATGTCCGCCAGCGGCGGGGGCCATGGAAGGCGGAACCCGGGTTGAAGAGCGGGTTGGAGTGCCGTTTGCGTAGCAGCAAGTATAGCATCAATGTACGGCATGCACGCTGCCGCGTCCATGTCGGCGGCCTTGCTGACGCGTTTCGTCCACCCGAGCAGCGGCTTCTGGTAGGCTTCAACGATGCTAGCTACGGTCGCGCTCGTGGCTTGGTGCAGCTCCGGGACGTGTCGGTGCTTGGCACCGCCGACGGCGAACAAACGGCGGTACGCGGTGCTCTGGATGCCCGCCGCAGCAGGGTCCAGCGTGCAGAGGTGCCGCACAGGCTCGCCGTCGATCTGCCAGTAGGGGTCCTCGAGCGTGAAGTGGCGTCGTAGGTCCGGTCCTTGGTGTTGCGCACAGTCGCACTGCGTCGCCATGATGTCGTACAGGCGACTGCGTGCAAACTTGGCAACTCCGCTGTGCGTGCACACCGAGCGCGACAGCGGTGGAAACCTGACCGAATAGCGCGGGGCCACCAGAAACAAGCCATCCATACCTTCGCGGATACGCTCAGGTAAGAGGTTGAGAAAGTCATCATTATTGACGAGGGTTTCGAGGGGGGCGAGGCTAGCCAGGGGGGTAGGGAAGTCGTGGATCATGAGGGTACGGCTCCCGAGGTCGATGTCTGCGACGGGAGGGTAGTGGTGGTTGATGGCGGCCTGCAAAACGGTGCGGGCACTGTCCAACATCTGCTGTGTGTAAAAGGGCTCGTCGAGACCCAGGTTAAGCGCATCGGGATGCATGTGCGACACGCAGTGATGGAGGGAGAAGAGGTATTTTCCGATGTTCGCTGCCGTGCAATGGTTCACCGCGCGTCTCCAATGATCGTGCTCTGTGTCGCCGGCGCGGCGGAACAAAACAACGTCAAGAAGGAGGCGAGTCTGGTAGATATACTCGCGTGTACCGAGGCGCGGAGACATGCCTGCGATAGCGGGGGGCAGGGACAACGCTGGTGCCGTAGTTGTGAGGCAGTTGTCAGCGTCGAGGTGGATGGTACGTTGATGCGTGGAGGAGATGGCAAACGTTGGCTGGAAGAGGGTCGCCAGCGCTGGGAGCCCACTCGGGCCGGGCGGGACGGGGAAGTCGTTGTGGGGGATCGCTACGGGGTGGGGGTCAGCGGCGATTTGGAACGCCAGGGGGGATAGAGGCCATGGGGCAGCATCAGAGTGGCCAGCTCCGTAGCCGAAATTCCACATGCCCTTGCAGTAATTGAGGCCGCCGGGGTATGTGGAGCCCAGACAGCGTATCATGGTCTGCTCCCAGGCCAGGGAGTAGGTGCGGAACTTGTGGAACCAGGCCTTCAAAGCGTCCGGGCTAGTCGCCGGCGGGATGGGCACCTGGCGTGCGAAATTGATGCGAAAGAGGGGCACGATGGTGAAGTCGCGCCACGGGACATGGCCGTTCGGCGACTGCGCCCACACTCGTCGCATAAACTCGTAAAGCGGGGTGTGCACGGCGTTCGGATGGTGCGTGAATGCTGCATCAAAGTGCTCCTGCAGTCGTTCGATCGCTGTGCGGTATGTCTCCCCGACATAGTAAAAGAAGGGGTATTTCCGGCACAAGAGGACATAGACAACCCCGCGCGCCGCAAGCGGGGGGTTTGCCGTGACCGATGGTAGCGCGGCGAGGTCCGAGAGCGCCGGCGGGGGCGGTGGGAAAGGAGCGCTCGGTGGGGGGCACGGGTGCGGGTATGCGGGCGCCCGTTCGTCGCGGGGCACGTAGTCCCAGTAGGGTCGAGGGGCTAGTGCGGAGGCGGGGTGGGAGGGTGTGTGGTGGGGGCTAGGAGGGGGCCAGGCACGGGGAGATGCCTGCGGAGCAATAGCGGCCGCGATGCGGCGTGCGTGCGTGATGCTGGGTCGAAAGTTCGGGTCGTGGTCATTTAGATTTGCGACATGGTGGAACAGGGTGCCATTCGAAAGGTGGCCACGCAGCGTGCGCGCCTCGGCGGTGCCGGCCTGGTCGCTGAGACGCAACGCTGCTTGGAGCCGTTTCCTCCGTCGGCGACCGATTGGAGTGCGCATGGTGAGAGGTTTTGGGGGTGAAAAGAGGGTGGTGTGCGGAACTAGACCGAGGATGCAGTAATCAAGCCACGACGGGAGGGCGACGATGACGGGGAGAGCTCTACCTAAGTTGCGCGTTCCTAGCACGCCGGGCGGTGAGCCACGGACGTGAGACGGCGGAGTCAGTTAGCCGGAGGCAGGCTCGTCTACGCCGACGGTTGAAGGCCGGAGTAGGGAGGTAGCTCTCAGCTGGCACTGCGCCAAAGCCCCATGTTCGAGGCCCGGCGCAGCACAACACGACACACAGAGTAGTAATTGACCACCCGCGCACGAAACGAAATGCGGGTGTGCTATCGTCCTGATCAAGGCGGCAGCGTGCTAGGAGTACTCGCGCGAAATGCCATGTGAGCGTGCCATCATGTGCCAAGGGAAGGCTCTGACCTGCAATCAGTTAGAGTGAGTGGCGGGCGTCGTCAGCAACAACGCGGCGAGCCGCGCGAGTACTGGACGACGCCCGCCAGCCGACGCGCCGAAGTGCTGGTCCACGTCCTAGGCTGCTTGTACCAGGGGGTGTCGGCAGCCGGCTGGGTGACAGCGGTGACTGAGTCTGCGGCATTGTCCGCGTTGTGTGGCGACGCGCCGACGGCTACTCAGCTCTCCTCGTCATCGCCGTCCCCCGCGCGTGGCCTGTCATGCGAAAAGGGATCATATCATAGCGGGGCGGCGCGGGCCTGCGCGTCACAGCCGCCGGCCCCACGTCTACTCGCCCTGCGTCTTCTGCTTCTTCCACCGCTGCGCCGCCTCCAGCAGCTTGAGGTGCGGCGCCACCCTGGCCTCCTCCGGGAACACGTAGTCCCAGTACTCCTCCTGCCCCGCCTCCGTGCCGTCCTCGAGCAGCACCGGGCGCCGGCGCTTCACCCGCTTCGGCATCTTGTCCGACACAACCTGCGCCAGCTGTGCGTGGTCCTCCCCCTCCGCCACGCACTCCTCCTGCAACGCGGACCTCCCCGGGGACCTCGGCACGTGAGCGCACCGCGGCTGCACGCACAGCCGCAGCGCCGCTGAGCAAGGGCCTCGTGCGCACCTCGAACGTCTGCCACGCCTCGAGCAGCATCACGGCCTCCTCCTTCGCGTCCGGCAGCTCCTCGCGCAGCGTCCTGCGAGCGACGGATACGCGTGCGCGATTGTGCGCCGTGTGGGCACGGAGCACGGGGAGCTCCGTGCGCGGCGCTGCGTGCGGGCAGGGACGCACCGGAAGGCGCGCTCGTAGATGCCGCGCGCGCGCTTCTCGCGCGGGCCCGGGGCCTCGTCGCCCTCGCCGCCCCTCGCAGCGCGCTGCCGCGCCTCGTCGTCGACGTCGTCCGCGCCGAACAGCTCGACGGGGGAGGCCTCGAACCGCGCGAAGGAGATCCACACCTTGACGTGCTTGGTGCGCTCGAGGAGGCGCTCGTACAGCGACCGCACCGTGGGCCGGCCGCCCTCCTGCGCCTCCATGTCGATGTAGCTCTTCCACACGAGCTCCGGCATGTCGAGCGACGGCTGCTGGATGGCCAGCTCGAAGATGGCGCGCGCCCGCTCGACCTCGCCCAGCGACGCCTCGAGCTCGCCGAACCGGCACCACGCGCCGCAGTTGTGCGGCGCCAACTCCACGAACTTCTCGTACAGCGTTCGGCACCGGTCCACGTTCCCCAGCTGCAGCTCCATGTCGATGTACGCTTTGAAGACCTTCTCGCGCGGACACAGCCCCAGCGCCGTGCCGAACAGCCGCCGCGCGCCGTCCAAGCTCAGCCGCCGGATCTCCAGGTGCGCCGCCGCAATCCAGATCTTCGCGAACGTGAACGTCTTGTGCGGCACCACCTGCACAGCGCAGCACACCAACACGCGGCACATCGGACGCCGGCGCGGCCGCACGCGGGGGCGGCGCGCGGGCGGAGACAGCAGAGCGCGCGCGGGGTCGGGGCGGCGCACGTTGAGGCAGGCGGCGTACACCTCCTTGGCGCGGTCCAGGTCCCCCGCCTGGAGCTCCTCAAACAGCGCGTAGTTGATCCACAGGTAGATGTACCGCCGCCAGTACTGCTTCTCCATCGCGGGCGGGATGTGCGCGATCGCGCGCTCGTACACGTCGCGCACCCGCGCCGCGTCCCCGCCCGACTCCTCGAGCCGCGCGTAGTCAAACCACGTGTCGTAGTTCATCGGGTTCTGCGACGCAGCGCGACACGAACACGGGCCACGCGTGTGTCTCTCTCCGCGTCGCGCACCGCGCCGCGCGTCGCACGTGTTCCTGCGCGCGCGTGTGTGTGAGTCAGCGCACCTTGGTGACCTCCTCCTCGTATTCGAACCTGCGGCGGCCGAGGACGGCGCCCTCGACGGCGTCGTGGTCACCGTACTGCTTCTCGAAGGCCATGTAGGCCTTGTAGAGCCCGGGCGCCTGGCTCTTGGGCACGCGGTCGAGGCCGAACTTGTACAGGGCGCGCGCGCGGTCGTACTCCTTGACCATGGTCTCGAAGGTCGCGAACGCGCCGAAGTACTCCTCCGTGTGCGCGTCCTCGCCGAGCTCCTGCGCGCACCGCTCGTAGACCTCCCGGCACAGCTCGCGCGACCCGTGCTTGAGCTCGAACTTGGCGTACTTGATCCAGACGGGCACGCGCGGGTGGCACCGCACGAACCGCTCGAAGATGTTGCGCACGTTGTCGACCTCGTTGTACCGCAGCTCGAAGTTGACGTAGTACTGCCACCCCTGCTCGTCGGGCTCCCACTTCATCCACCGCTCAAACACCCCGCGCGCGCCGCCCACGTTGCCGAGCATCTCCTCCATGTGCACGTACTTGTACCACAGCTGGTCCACGCGCGGGAGGTACGTCACCGCGCGGTCCCACACGTTGCGCGCGTGGTTCACGAACCGGTTGCGCATCTCCATCTCCGCGTACTGGAGCCAAAACGGCACGTGCCGGTAGTTGATCTCCAGCGCCCGCTCCCACACCGAACGCGCCCTGCACCCACCGCACGGAACCGCGCCGCGTCGGAACGCGGAACGCGCCGCGCCGGCGCGCGCGCGGAAACACCGACGTCGCAAACCACGACCGTGCGCAGTTGCGGGCGCCGCGCACCTCCGGAAGTCCTTCTGCTCCTCCTCCCACTTCGCGTACCGGATCCACGTCGTCAGGATGAACCGCCCCGACCGCCGCACCTGGTCCTCGAACTGCATCCTCTTCTTCAGCCGCAGGTCCGCCAGCTCCTCCGGGTCCGTCACCATCGAGTGCGGGGCCGGCGTCTCATCTTCCAACTGCGGGCACCGCGGGCGCGGGCGCGCGAACGGGCTGTAACGGGGCCCGCTATCGAGCGCGCAAGCAGGGAGGGCGCCGGCGTGGTGTGGCGCGCGCTAGCGTGCTCCCCGGGACGGAGCGGCGCGGGGCTGGCGCGCGCTGTGACCGGAGGGGATCGAAGAGCGGTCTGAGCCGACCTCGCGTCCCGTCGCATGCCGCAAGCGGGGCCAGCCACGCCGAGAGAGGACCACGCGCAGGCGGGAGCGGCGCTGTGGGGCCTCCTGCGCACCTGGATCGACTTCGCCTCACGCAGAAGCTGCTCGGCGGTGATCTGCTGCGCGGCTGGCTGCTTGTTCTTCACGACGGCCGCCTTTGGCAGCTTGACCTCGAGGTCCTGCCGCCGCGTCCCGGCGTTGAAGCCCTCGTCTGGCGCAGACATCGCGCCGCCCGCCCTCAGATGCCGCTCCGCCGGAGCTCTCTCGTCGGGTTTCGACCTATCCCGCGTCCCGCGCTAGAACAGTGCCCAGCGGACTCCGCGCTTCCCGAGCAGCTGTTGCACCGTGGGGTCTCGAGCGGCGTGTGAGGGACGCGCGCGTGAATGCGACGGCTGGCCTATGCCATGAGCCTCGGGCCCGTCGCAGGCGACCCGCCGGTGTCGGTGTTGGCGCCAGCTGTGGGCGCTCCGCCCGTGCGCGGGAGGAGATTCAGCCCCAGCAGCTTCTCAAGCCCCTGGTCTCCCTCCGGTCGCAGTGGGCTGCTCTCCCGGTTCGCTGCGTTCAGCCTGCGCTGTGGAGCCGCGGCGCGCGAGGCTGGGCGTTAGTCGGCCCGGAGCTGGCCGGGGGATGTCCGGGCTTCGGTCAGCCTGCGTCGGTCGCGCGAGTCGCGGGGCCTTCATGGGCGCCACGGACGGCGCCGGCTCTCTCCTTCTCCTAGGCCAGGCCAGCTCTTGTTCACACGGACCCCAGCTGACTCGCACCGGCAACGACAGCGACGGAGCTCTGGGCGGCGCACCTCCCGTCCGTTCGTGCTTTCTGGAGCAAACGATCCTGTCGCTGCTGACTTGCGGCGATCGTCCAACACACATTTTAAAACAAAACAAAAACAACAACCATGTCCGCTCCCGAGGCGAAGGCGCCTGAGGCTGCGTCCAAGGCGCCTGCGTCCGCCTCCCTCTATGTGGGCGACCTCCACCGCGACGTCACTGAGCAGGACCTGTTCGAGCAGTTCTCCCCGGTACGCGCCCCGCAGCGCCTCCCGCCGCGCACGCTGCGAGATGCCCGCCAGAGAAGCCTCAGGGGGCTGTGTCAAGCAGCCGGCGCCGCTAGCGCGCCGGGAACGCGCGCGCAGCGCCTCCCGCGCCGTCGAGCTCGCACGATGCGAAATCGTGCCGCGGTCCGCGGCGCCCCGAGGCGCGGAGGGCCCGGCGCCGCCCCGCACGGCGGCCCCAGTGGCGGCGGGCCGGCCCCAGCATGTCCACCTCCGCCCCCGCGGAGCTCCCGGCCGGCACGACGAGCGCCGCCGCCGCCCCCCGGCCCGCGCCCCATCGTCCCCGCCCCCTCCCCGCCGCCTGCAGCATGGCCAGGTCGTCTCGGTGAAGGTGTGCCGCGAGGCTGTGACCAAGAACTCTCTTGGCTACGGCTACGTGAACTTCACGCCCGCCCAGGTCAGTGCGGCGCCCCCCCCGCAACGAGCGCGCTCCGTTCTCCCCGAACCGCCCGGCGAGGGGCGCGGCGGGCGCGGGGAGCCGCGTCCGCCCGCCCCCCAGATCTGGGCGCAAGCCTCCGACCCGGTCCCGCGGCACGGCGGCCCGCGTGGCGCCCCGCCCGACCCGCCCTCTTCCCTGCTCGCGTGCGTTGCGCAGGCCGAGAACGCCAGGCGGGCGATGCAGGAGCTGAACTACACGCCGCTGCGGGGCCAGCCCATGCGCATCATGTGGGTGCGGCGTGACCCCACGCTGCGCAAGTCCGGGAAGGGCAACATCTTCATCAAGAACCTGCACCCCGACATCGACCACCGCACGCTGTACGAGACGATGAGCGAGAACGTCGGCCCCGTGCTGTCGTGCCGCATCCCGATGTTCCCCGACGGCACCTCCAAGGGCTACGGCTTCGTGCACTTCGAGAACGAGGAGGACGCCGAGCAGGCCGTCGAGAAGCTCAACGGCAAGGTCCTCAACGGCCTCACCGTCGTCATCGAGCGCTTCAAGCGCAAGGCCGAGCGCCCCAACGCCATGACGGACTTCAAGAACGTCTACGTGAAGAACGTCCCCAAGGCCTGGTCCGAGGAGGAGTTCCTCAAGCGCTTCAAGGAGCACGGCGAGGTCACCAACGCCAAGCTCCAGGAGGTGCGCCGCGCCCCGCACCCGCGCCAGGCGCCATGCGACATGCCCCACCCCTGGCCGCCGACGACGGCCCGCCGACACCCCCCTCGCCCCGCCCGCGCGCCGCAGGACCCGACCGGCGAGGGCCACAAGGGCTTCGGTTTCGTGAACTACGCGACGCACGAGCAGGCGCTCAAGGCCATCGAGGCGCTGCACGACTCGGACGTGGGGGAGGGCGTGAAGCTGTACGTGCAGCGCGCGCAGAGCAAGGCCGAGCGCGAGCGCCTCCTGCGCCAGGAGAAGGAGGAGCGCCAGCGCCAGTGGATCAAGGAGATGGAGGGCCGCAACATCTTTGTCAAGTGAGGACCCCCCCTCCCGGGCTGGAGCTCGCCGCCGCCAGCTGGCCGCCCCCGCGCGCCCACCGCGCACCTGCGCGCCCGCGAGTTGGTGTTCTTGCAGGAACCTGCCGGACACGTGGGACGACAACAAGCTGCGCGAGCTGTTTGAGGACTACGGCACGATCCAGTCGGCCAAGGTGATGATGTCGGACGACGGCGTGTCGCGCTGCTTCGGGTTCGTGTGCTTCTCGACGCAGGAGGAGGCCCAGAAGGCCATCACGGGGCGCAACCAGACCACGCTGGAGGGCGGCAAGCCGCTGTTCTGCGCGCTGGCGCAGCGGAAGGAGGTGCGCCAGCAGCAGCTGCAGCGCCAGATGAACATGATGGGCGGTCCGGGGATCATGCCGTACAGCTTCGCGCCGTTCGGCATGCCGGGGGCGGCGCGCCCGGGCATGCCGCCCACGATGATGATGCCGCCCTTCATGGGCGGGATGCGGCCGGGGCGCGGCGGGCCGATGGGCCGCGGCATGGGGCCCGGGTTCATGATGGCGGGGCGGGGGCGTGGCGGCAGGGGGATGGGCATCGCGGGGGGCCGCGGCGGGCGCGGACAGGGCCCGGGGCGCGGACGCGGCATGCGGCCGCCGGTCGTGCAGCCCGTGTCGGCGCAGGGCCGGCCCGAGCGCGCTCACGCGGTGGACGAGCAGGCGGCGGTCATGCCCGCGCCGGACGCGCCCCAGGCGCAGGTGCCCGGCGCGTCGGGCGCGCAGCCCCTCACGCTGGCGCAGCTGGCCTCGGCGTCGGAGGGCGACCGCAAGCGCATGCTGGGCGAGCGCCTGTACCCGCTGGTCGAGCAGCACCGCCGGGACATGGCGGCGAAGATCACGGGCATGTTCTTGGAGCTGGACACGAACGAGGTGATCAACCTCATCGAGGACGGGTCGTACCTGCAGACCAAGATGCAGGAGGCCGTCGAGGTGCTGCGCCAGCACGGCCTCATCGCGCAGGACAGCGCGTGAGGCGGCGCGGGCGCGGACGACGCCAGACGCGGCCGCGAGCCGGCTGAAGTGCGCAATTGCAGCCGGGGGAGGCGGCAACCATGGTACATGAACGCGCGCACGCGCGTGCCGTGCGACAGGGACTACCCTGTCGCACCTGTGTGAACGGCTGGTGAAACGGGCGACCGCAGCGTCACCCGTCTCGGCACCGCGTGCAGCTCTCACCCAGCGTTACGTCCGAACAGCGGGCATGCACGGCGCGTCACCCGCCGCGCGACATGCTGAGCCAGGCGCCAGCCCACGCCGCAAGCCCGGGACGGCCCGGTCTAACGCTTCCGCATCGACGCGAGCTCCGAGCCCCTACTGCCGCGCTCGGCATGGGCATCGGCACCGAGGCACAGGACTGGGCTATATCATTGCATTCACACTCCAGCCTAGAAGGTCAGGCCCCCCTCGCGCGCCGCCTCGGCCACAGCAGCGACGCGGCCGTGGTACACGAAGCCTCCGCGGTCGAACGACACCTGCGCAACAAGGACACATAGCGCCGGTGTCGTCAACACCGCCCCGCGAGACGAAGCAGGGCGGCAGCGCGCGACCACGGCGTGCAGCGGGCGCGGGCACGCCGTCTCACCTTGGTCACGCCCGCGGCGGTCGCAGCCTCGGCGATCTTCTTCCCCACAGTCGTGGCGGCGTCCACCGTCGCACCCGTCGACAGCTCCCCCTTCAGCTGCAGCGAGTTCACCGAGCAGATGGTCTTGCCCTCGACGTCGTCGATCACCTGCATTCCATCCCCGCACGGAGCCGCAGTTGGCGCGACACAACAGAGCACACCAGGTGGGGTCGCACGCGTGCAAGCGGGCACGACGTGCTCCCGAAGCCCCCGCAGCGGCGCACAATCAGCTGCAGAGTCAGCGTTTGACGGCTGGGATCAAGGGGGCCGGCGACTGCGGCCCATCGGGCGAGCCTGCAAGCGCGGCACCGTGCAGCCTGGAGCGTACCTGGGCGTAGATGTTCTTGTTCGAGCGGTACACGCTGAGACGAGGCCTCTCCGCGGTCCCAGACACCTTGTTCCGAATCCGGTAGTGCGCCCTCTTCCGCGACGTCATCTTTTTAGCCGCCTCCACCACCACCTGTGCCCGGCCGCCTGCGGATCACGCGGGGTCATTCGCGAAGCAGAATGAGCGTTCACGATCTCGGTGCGGTGCATCGACACGCGCGGACATGCACGGAGTGCGCTGTGCGGGGCAGTTGCACGGCCAGACGAGGCGAACCGGCCTCGTGCGCAGGGCGATGCGGCATGCAGGCCATTCGACGCGCTTGAGACGCGGCCTCTCCTCAAATGTGACTGGTCGCATCGCGTTGCACGTTCGAGCGCGCTTGCGGGCGCGCTGGTGCAGGCTGCGAGGGGCCTATCCAAAGCTGCGGGCCGCGAGGGTGTTGCGCGCGCGAAGAAACGCCCTCACGTCGGAGCATGAAATGATCGCACTACGGTTGCGCATGTGGCCGGCGCCGAAGGCCGCGCTTGACGCGGGTGGCCGATGTGGTTCTCCTGGCCAAGCAAGTGCGATGGTGGTCGGTCACCGCTGCCGGCCCCTTTGGGGCTTGCCAGCGAACCAGGTGCGGCTGTTGGGACTCACCAGTGCGCGCGACCGCCTGCTTCCCCACCAGAGCCTGCCCCATCATGGTCGAAGAGGACGACTGCATGATGCCCACTCCGCCGTCTCACGATGCAGGCGCCCGCGAAAGCTCTGAGAAAGCACTGCAGAAGCGCGGTGTGCCGCCTGCTGCTGCTGGCGCGGGCCCAAGTCCACGGGGCCGGCCGGGGACGGTCCGCGGCGTGTCGCACTCACCGCGGTGGCACAGGGCCCCGAGGGGTGCCCCGCGCGCCTGTGCACCCCCGCTTGGTTGCAGGGGCGCCGCGCCCTGCCCCCAGCACTGATCACGCCGAAGTCGATCGAGACGGGCTCGCGGCTCGTCCTGCACGGCGCGGCTGCCATCGAGGCCCTATCCGAAGCCCCTCGGCCCAGCTGGGTGGCTCTGAGACGCAACTTGAGCACTGCTTCGTGGTTCTCCGACATGCATAGACGCATGATTGTGTCGCGGAGTGGGTGCGGGAGGCTGCATCATGCCAGGATGCAGCGCCGCGTGCGTTGCAGTGCCATCAAGAGCTTGCAGGAACAGCTCAGGAACAAGGAGCGCTCCGCGGTGGAAATCGCCGAGGAGTTCTTGAAGAGGATCGCCGCGACCGACAACCAAGTGCGCGCATTCATCACGGTCGACGAGGAGGGCGCGAGGAAAGCGGTGAGGCGTCCTCCTGGTGCACGGCGCCCTGCGCCCTGCGGCAGCTGCCCACCGCCGCGGATGCAGCAACGATCGGGCCAGCGCAGAGAACCGCCGTATGGCGTCATGTCACGGGCCGTGCATCGCCGCTCGAGCGCGCCGGTAGTCTTTGACGCTTGTGTTTCACTTGAACACTTGCTCTACCAACGATGGAGGCGCAGGCGGCGAAGATCGACGAAGCCATCGCGGCGGGAGCGAACCTCGGACCGCTGGCGGGGATCCCGGTCACCATCAAGGACAACATCTGCGTGCGCGGCCTTCCGACGACGGCAGCATCCCAGATTCTGAAAAACTACCGGTGAGGCCGCAGCCACGACGCGCCGCACCGGAGACCGGCCGGCACGCGCGCATTGAGACGATGAGCGCGAACCGTGCGTCGTCGCCGCAGGCCCACCCACGACGCGACCGCGGTCCGGAAGCTGTTGGACGCGGGGGCCGTCCCGCTGGGGAAGACCAACATGGACGAGTTCGGAATGGGGTCCTCGACGGAGAACTCGTCCTTCCACGTCTCCTACAACCCCTGGGACGTGTCGAGGTCCGTTCGCTCCCGCGATGATCGGCCGATTTGCGTGTGCTGCGCCACGGGCCGACCATGGGGCCAGGCCGAGTGCGGTCAATGTTCTCGCCCAATCGATACGCGCAGAGTGTCCGGGGGATCGTCGGGCGGGTCTGCAGCGGCTGTGGCGGCGCAGCAGTGCGTTGCATCGCTAGGTAGCGACACGGGGGGGTCGATTCGGCAGCCTGCGTCGTTCTGCGGCGTCGTGGGCATCAAGCCCACGTACGGACGTGTGTCGCGATGGGGCCTCGTGTCGTACGCGTCGTCCCTCGACACGATCGGTCCGCTCGCGGCCACGGTGGAGGACGCCGCCATCGTCCTCGACGCCATCTCGGGCGTAGACCGGTTCGACGCGACCTCGGCGGACACGGCGGGCCCCTCGACGGCGGCCGGACTGCTCTCCGTCGACCAGCTCGGCAGCGCGCCCCTGAAGGGCAAGAGGCTCGGCCTCGTCAGGGAGGCTCTGGGGGAGGGAGTGGACCCGGGCGTGGACGCAGCCGTCCGCGCCGCCGCCGCGCACATGCAGTCTCTCGGCGCAGGTAGGATGCTGCAAGCCGCTCCGCGGGCCTGACTGGCGTCGGCACGGCCGTGTCTGCAGCCTGTTGTGTGTTGCCCACACCCGGGACACTGGTGCCGTCCGATGTCCGCGCAGAGGTCGAAGAGGTCTCGCTCCCGATTTTCGACAAGGGGCTGCCTGCGTACTACGTGATTGCGCTCTCCGAGGCGTCTTCGAACCTGTCCCGCTACGACGGGGTGCGCTACGGAAGCCAGGCGGACGCGGAGGACCTGCGCGGCCTGTACGGCGCGTCCCGGGAGGCGCTCGGCGCGGAAGTACGCCGCCGCATCCTCATGGGGACCTACGCGCTGTCCGCCGGCTACTACGACGCGTACTACAAGCAGGCACAGCAGGCAAGTGCCCAGCGCTGAGGCCCTCGCGTGCACGCGCGCCGGCTGCTGCTGGTGCTCTCACGCCGTGCTGCGCGCGCTGTGCTGTACCTGCAGGTCAGGACCAGGGTGCGCGGCGAGATCAACGACGCCCTGCAGGCGTTCGACGCCCTCATCATGCCGTGTGCACCCACCCCTGCGTTCCGCGTCGGCGAGAAGACGAAGGACCCCCTGAGCATGTACAAGGGCGACCTGATGACGGTCAACGTGAACCTCGCAGGCAAGACCCCCGCAGCTTCGCCCGGGCTGCCGATGTTGCCTTGTTGTGTGGCGCTCACACCAGCCAGCGCCCGTGCCCCCGCAGGCAACCCCGCGATCTCGGTGCCGTGCGGCTTCGTCGAGGAGGGCGGCGTGCGGCTGCCCGTGGGCCTGCAGCTGATCGGCCGGCATATGCAGGAGGCGGACATCATCAGCACCGCGGACGCGTACCAGAAGACGGCGAGTCTCGATCTCGCGCTGCCGACCTTGTGAGCCGGAAGCGCAGGGCCGTGGATTTCCCTGCGGTTGCTGCGGGCGTGCGGGCGTCCTCGGCGTTTTTCGCGAGCCGCGCCGGGTGTCAGGCGGGGACGTCAGCCGCTGGAGTACGTCCACGTGAGGGCCCGGAGGGGCGATCCAGGTGGGCTCAGGGGGCGCGAGTCGAATGGTTGGCGGACAGTGCGCGTATGTGCGTGAAAGTCGTAGGACTTGAGCGATGAGAGCCGTCCCCACGCGCCAGGCCCATCTGGGAGGTGCACAGCTCCACCGTCCGGACCACGGTCAGGGCCGTCTGCGCTCATTTGTCGGTCAGGCAGAGCATCTGCGAGTGAGGCCGCGGGCCGGACACACGAGCAAGCCGATCTCGCCCGTTCGACGTGGGGAGGCGACTTTGTTGCAACAGCCGTCAAGCGTAGTTGCCCGCGTTGCTAGCCTCGACGCTCCTGCCCTCCCAGCCGCGCCCGATGCCCGGCAGAGGAGAGTGCGTCGATGGATTCCGGTGGTGGTGGGGGCGTGCGTATTCGTGGCCTGGGCGATGACGGTTGCTCAGTGCGGTGGCTCTGGCAGCGCGCTGCCTTTCGCCTCGGTTTCGGGCTCCGCGGGGGCGACCGCGCACCACGGTACGTTGCAGCTTCATCCTGGGGAAGAGCACAGTGACACAACAGGCGACTCCAGGGCCGCTCGCAGCGAAACATGGCGGAGTCTGCCAGAAAAGTGCCTGCGACCGGATGACGCCGCGCACGTCGTGTACGTGCGCCCGTGGCCGCCGGGAACGAGACCATCCGCTATGGGATTCCGTTTTCTTCGTGCAGGTCTCTCCCTCCCGGCCAAGTCGGCCTGGGCTGGCCTCCTCGCGGGTGTACTTCACACCCTGGCGGGCCCCGACCATCTCGCAGCGCTGACGCCGCTCACGATCGGGAGGGACCGCTTCAAGGCCTCGCTCCTCGGCGCCCTGTGGGGCTGGGGCCACTCCTGCGGCCAGTTGATCCTCGGGCTCGCGTTCGCGCTGCTCAAGGACAGGATTGAAGGATTCATGCCGGCGCTCACCAAATACTCCGGTGCGTGCCCGCGGCCGACGCAGCGCGGACACGCAGCGGTGCTCCGCTCCCACGTCGCTCGGGAGCTGCGCGCCGGCTCCATCGCGACCGGCTTCCTCGCGCGAGCACATGTTTGTGCGACGTGGCCGTGTGCCCCCGTCCGCGCGCGTGCAGGCACCCTCGTCGGGCTGATCCTCGTGGCGATCGGTGTCATGGGCATCTACGAGTCGTTCTTCGAGGGCGACCACCACCACCACCACCACGACGAGCCCATGGAGGTGCGCCCCAACCACGCGCGTCGGACCGCGCAGGAACGCCCCTCCCGTGCCCGCGCCGGCCGCTCGAGCCGCTCACAGTGCTTGCGGCGGCCCGCTTCGTCCGCAGGTCGGCCCTGACGGCACGGTCGCGCTGAAGGAGCGGAAGTTTGGCTTTGCCACGTTTATCACTGGCATCGTGTACGGCCTGCAACCGGACGCGCTGTTCGTCATCATCCCCGCCCTGGCGCTCCCGACGAAGCTGGCGGCGGTGGCGTACATCATCATGTTCGTCACCGGGACGGTGGCTGCGATGGGCGGCTACACGTTTGCCATTGGTGAGCGGCCCCGGCGCCGACGACGCAGGTGACGCCCAGCCCCTCTCGAGCCTTGCTGACGTGCCACACGGAGCGCGTGCGACGCAGGCACCGCGACGGACTCGCTGAAGAAGTCGAACCCGTGGATCTTGAAGCACCTGTCCACGATTGCGGCGACCATCGCCATCACCGTCGGTGTCGCCGTGATGCTCTCGGGCTGGGGCATTGTGGAGGTGCCCGGCTTCGGGTGAGCGTGGGCGTTGCACGGAGTCGGCAAGGGTGCAGCGGCAGCGCCGCGGCGCCCAGCAGCTCTCTGCGCGTGCAGCAGTGGTGTCAGCGCACGACGCCCGAGAGTGGCACGCGGGCGCTCTAGGTAGCGGCTCGCCGTGTGGGCGTGGCTGGGCCTACGATCCTGTGACATGAACGACGTCGTTTCGCCAGCCGCCACGCAGGCACAGCGCTGTGCCTGAGAAGTGGACAACGCCACGGTGTTCGCGCCCTGCTGCCGCGCGGGAACGTCGCTGTCGCATCTGCGGCGCCGACTGCAGCCGCCCGGTGGCGCTCGTGCTCGTTTGGTTTCACGAGGACGAGCCGACGTGCTGCGGGGGCTCTCGGGAAGATCTGCTGCTCTGCAGACCTGGAATCCCGATCGCGGAAGAAACGGCTCGGACAGGCCTTGCCTGGCAGTCTGGCTAGGCTTTGACCCGTGCGCGGGCTGCCCGACCGGACGGTCCCCCCGCCGCAGCACCGCGGACATGCGTTCACGGCGCGCAGGACATTACGCAGACGTGTCGCATTCACGCTCGCAGGGTGTTGCGCAACAATGCTGAGCGTGCAGGCAGTCGGGCCAGCAGGATGTGCGCGTGTGGGCCTGGCACAGCGCCACGCACGCGCCGGTCCTGCGAGAGGCTCGTATAGGGCCTACGTGGGGCAGACGCGACCTGGCGCTGGTCGCCGGCTGCCTGACCGGGCGCCCAACCGCGCGGGCTCGATCCTCCGGTGGGCGCAGGCTGCTCCGATCCGCCCAGATGTCCAGCAGGGCGGCACCGCAGCAGCCCCGCGCGGCGACAAGAAGTACACGTATCATCTCATGAACGGCGGCCGTGTGATCGTGGGCGTCACGGACAAGGTGCGAGAGAGCATCGCCCCTGGTCGCCTCATTGACCAGCAGTGCGGCGACATGCGCGCCCCTGGGTGCCGACGACGGGCCGCGGGCGCGGAATTGAGCCAAATCCGGACATGAGGAAGAGGTGTCCGCAGCGAACGGCCCTCGCCGCCCGTTTCGCGAGCACCCTCAGCTTCTCACGTGCTGCAGGGCGAAGGGACCATCACCGTCGACGTGTACGTGGACATGAGTGGTACGGAGGACGCACATTCTCACACGACTCTCAAGTGGGGCATGTATCGGGCGACGCCGTCGCAGTGGACCAACCCTGAGCAGGTATGTGGTGTGGATCTGGCTCTCACCGCCCGCCCCAAGTCGTGCCGGCCAGCAGACCGCCCGCTCATGGGCCCGGGGTGTAGCTGCGCTCGTGTTCGACGACTTCCCGCACCTAGTCGTCCTTGCGCGGCCGCAGGTGGTGCCGGACGGCAGCTTCACTGACTCTACGGGCGCCACGCGGTCGCCCATGGCCAAGGTGTCGGAGGGAGTGTGGACCGCCTCGTTCGCCGTCCCGGGCGCCCTGGCCCCGATCACCTTCGGATGCGTGCCGTGCGTCCACCGCGGGCCGGACGACGAGGGGACGCCCGTGGATCCCCGCCACAGCCTGTGCGCCCCCGACCCCGGCACACGCGCCGCGAGCAGCCCGCCGGTGACTGCGGAGCGCGCGTCGAACGCCGTCGCGCCCTCCCGCGTGCGCTGCAGGCACTGCGGTGTTCCCGTGGGCATGACCACGGGCGGGCCGTCGCCCCTGGGGTGCTCGGTGGTGTCCAAGGCCAAGGACGGGGCCGGCGTGACGCGCTACAGCGTGAACTTCGCTCTCTTCTCCCGCGTGGCGACAGGTGAGCTCCGGGCCCGCCATGGAAGCCGTTCTCGACCTGGCCCACCCACAACGCACGCGCGTCGCCTCGCTGGTGCGACCCCGCGGCGCTGCCCGCCCTGCTTGCAGGCGTCAACCTGGTCCTCGTGAGGTACGACCCGCGCGGGACCGGCGGGGCGAAGGTGATCGAGACCAGCTTGGACCCGCACGTCAACCGCTGGGGCGACGTGTGGCACGTGCAGCTCGACGGACTCAAGGACCTCGAGACGCTGTACTACGGGTTCCGCGTCGACGGCGACATGTCGTGGGAGGACTCGAGGTGCGGGAACTCCGCGTGTCGCTTCGGAGAATCATTGAATCAATGATGTTCGTTCGTTCCCACCGCGTGGTGTAGAACACGCCGACCTTGTGCCCCCGCCGCAGGGCTGACCCGTCGAAGGTCCTGCTGGACCCCTACGCGACGCTGGTGCGCCACGTCCCGGAGGACGCGCTGCCTGAGAACTTCGTTGCCGAGGCGGGGGGGTCGGTGATCCTGGGGTCCCTCCTCGGCGCCCGCAGCCAGCTGCCGCTCGTCGGCTTCGACTGGGGCGAGTCCCGGCGCCCGAACAGATCCTTCGAGGAGCTCGTGGCCTGCGAGATCGACCTGCGGGTGGTCGCCGGTGAGCACCGCACGTGCTTCATGTGCACGCATGCCTGACTGTTGCGCGTCCGCCCAAGCCAGACCGAGATCGACGCCACCGGTGACTGCAGGCTGCTCCTCAGTCTCTGAGGCGCGTCGCGGGACGTACCTGGGTCTCCTGGAGGTCGTCGGCCGGATCGCCGACCTGGGCTTCAACACGGTGGTGTTGTCCAACTGCCTCACGTTCACGGTCGACGGCGAGCGCCCTCTCAGCTTCTTCGCGCCCAACGTCGACTTGGCGTGCGCAGGTACGGTCGAGTTGCCTGAGGCAAGCCCCACTCAGATTCCAGCATGAGGGACCCTCGACTGACAACACTACTACTCACCGCCACCGTGATGTGCAGACGAGTCTTCCGTGCCTGAGCTGGCAGGGCACGTCGATGCCAACCATCCTGTGTACGCCGCTCAGCAGCTCAAAATGCTCATCAAGGGCTTCCACGAGGTGGGAATCGAGGTTGTGCTCAGGACGACGTACAGCCAGACGTGCGAGGGCACGGACGACATGGACGCACTCACGCTGTCCTACAGGGGCATCGACAACAACGTGTACTACCGTCCAGGTACGGGGCGCCCTGTTCCACCCTCTTGGCGACCCGCGCCGCCCCGTGCAGCTCCACGAGTCAACTCACTGCCATTTGCCGCCCCGCCCGGCCGGTGCAGGCTCGCTCCTGAACTCCAACCACCCTGTGGTGCGCAAGATGATCGTGGAGTCTCTCCGCCACCTCGTCCTCGAATACGAGCTGGACGGCGTCATGGTGGGGGACGCCGAGAACCTGTGCGCTTTCACGGACGGGCACGTGATGGACGCGCCGTTCGTTGCCGAGGAAATCGCGTACGACTACCAGCTCGGCCGGGCCTTGCGGCTGGTGGCCATGCCGTCGGCCAACAACCTGCTGCCTCGCGGGGGAGAGCGGGGCTTCCCCCACTGGGGGCGCTGGGCCGAAGTGCCGGCACAGGTGCGGGGCCCGCCGCGCGCGCCATGCGGCCGAGTATCAGCGACATGCCGTCAACATGATCGGTCGGCGACCTCGGGTGCCCTTCGTTCGTTCCGAGCAGGTGACGAATGACTGGCTGGACTACATGTTTCATGGGCACGGGCAGTTGTCGGCGATCGCGACCAGGCTGACGGGCAGCCCGGACTTGATCGCGGAGTGCTTCGACAACCCGCTCCCGGGCAACCTCGCCGCCGGCCGCCGGCCGTCGTTCGTTTGGTCCCGGCCGATACCAGCCAACGAGAAGTCTCTGCTGCAGCTCGCGCAGCGCACTCCCGACGGACTCACCCGGCTCAGGAGTCTCCTCTCCGCGTTGCTGCTGAGCCCCGGGATCCCGATGATCCCCATGGGCGCATCGCGCGAGGATGCGACGCTCGCAGGTGCGGAGACATCACCGACGCACATTCCTCGCCCTCGATCGCAGTGTCCGACCCTGCACGAGTCAGACATGCGGAGCCTCACCGCGGCCCCCGCTTCGTGCGACTGCAGAGAGCCTCGTTTCCGACGGGCAGGGCGACGGCGACCCCATCTCCGAGAGTCTCATTGACCTCATTCAGCAGCTGCATAGAGTAGTAATTGACCACCCGCGCACGAAACGAAATGCGGGTGTGCTATCGTCCGATCAAGGGGCAGCGGCGTACTCGCGCGAAATGCCATGTGAGCGTGCCATCATGTGCCAAGGGAATGACCTGCAATCGAGTGAGTGGCGGGCGTCTCAGCAACAACGCGGCGAGCCGCGCGAGTACTGGACGACGCCCGCCAGCCGACGCGCCGAAGTGCTGGTCCACGTCCCAGGCTGCTTGTACCAGGGGGTGTCGGCAGCCGGCTGGGTGCTCTACATCCGGTCGGTCCACCGCGTGGTCCTGCAGCCCTTCCTCCTGGACCAGCCAAGGTGAGTCGCGATCCAACGCCCAACAGTTGCTCGGCGGCGCCGTCTGCCGCGGAGGCCCGACCGCCCTGCTGGGATCGATCGTCTGTGCGCAGGGAGATCACATGGCACGGAGTGGTGGCGACGACCCAGCCCGCCTGGGAAGGAGGCGTGGGCGAACACGCGAGCTACATCGGCCTTTGCGTCAGGAACGACCAGGCGGGAATCTACGTCGGCTTCAACCCTCACGGCACGCCCGTCACCGCGTCTCTCCCGGGGGCCCCGCCCGGTGCCGACTGGAGGCTGACGCTCTCCACATCCGGGCCGGGAGTGGCAGCCGTCAAGCAGGTGGCGCCCGCCGCTCCGGTGCCGACCGCTCGGGTGCCGGGAGGGCCGCCGCCGCCGCCTCCGACCAGGACCGTGTCGGCCGCCCAGATCGAGGTCACTGTGGGCCCTGGAGGCGTGGTCGTTGCCGAGCTCGAGGGCTCCGCCCCTGTGGACCCCGCTGCTGCGTGATCCCAGTCGCGCCAGCGGCGGTCGAGGAGCCGGAGCGCCAGAGCGAGGAAGCTGCGCCTGATGATGTCACGCGTCGCTGGAGGTGAAGGGCTCACGTCAGGACGCTTGTGAAACGATAATGCTCATAATGGCGAGACGCCGAATTCCATTTTCTGCATCCACACCAGTCCACGACACCATCAGTCGTTACGCACCCGTTGCGCGCGAAGGAGCGGATCGCACTGTCCAGGACGACGGCACATTCAAGTTCTGTTTCTTGCGCCGGTGTACCCGCTCTCTTTCATCCGAGCCTGCGTTTCCTTCGTCGCGGGATCTCACCTGGCAGGAGTTGTAGGGAACCCAGCCCATGGCGAACGGGGCCATGGACATGGGCGTGCAGTACTGCATGTCCTGCATGGTGCAGAGCCCCCAGCGCTGAACGTACCGCTGCACAGACGCCGCGCCGTACTTGACACACCGCGCATTGTGCAGGTGCACGAAGCACGTCATCCGCTGGCGGGCGCACTCGTCGTCGCCGCGGCACTCAGGGCTGCGTCGCACAGGACCGCGCGAGCGACGTGAGGCAGCGGCGCTCGGTCGCACCCCAGCGGGCGGGCACAACCATTCCCAGCCGTCGCACCTGGACTGCAGTCGTTCCGTGTCCATGAACGTCAAGCCCGTGATGTTGCCCGCCAGCTCCCCCTGTACGAAGGCAGTCTGGTCGCTCGCTTCGCCGCTGGTGACGTAGTGGTGCATCCACGCGGACAGCGTGTGCGCGGAGTGCTCCTTGTGCACCAGGAAGATGCCTCCGTGCGGCTTGATGCTGGGCGGGGGCTCCTCCCTGCGACGTCGACGGCGCGAAGCGAGGTCGAGGGAGCAGCAACACGGTGCCAGCGGGCTGATGCGGGAGGCTTGAGGTGCGACTTGTGTGGCGCACCGAAAGGCAAAGAACGTCGCGTCCGGCCCAAGACGCGGGACGTGCGACTTGAAGAAAGACTCCAGGCACATGGGCTCCCCAATCAGCACGTCTCCGTCCATGAAGAGCAGGGCCTCGATGGACGGATCCACCTGCAGCAGAGACAGCGGTGCAGGAGACGCTTGGTTCCGTGCACGCAGCCCGCACGAACGACGTCGACAGAACGACGCGGCGCACATGGGCTGCACCTGTCCGACGATTTCGAAGATGCGCATCTTGAAGGTCTTGGACACAGAGCGCACGCCCTTGGTGTTGCTGAGGCTGGGCATGGTCCAGTGCGGGGTGTCCACGTCCACGGGGATGATCGTGGCGTCTAGCTCGCAGTCTCTCCATCGCTTGTGTCGGAAACACTGCTCCGAACTCGCGTCTGTGATCACGAACACCTCGCCGCCCCATCCCCCCACATCTCTGTGTGGATGCGAACGTGCTCGCAAGGGGGGTCAGCGACCGCGCCGGCGCACAGAGCAGCACACCACGGCAGCGGCGACTGTCACGGGGCGCTGTGCTCACCGCACTGTTTCGACGAGCGCCTCGCATTTCGTCTGCCTTGCAAAGCGGTCCAGACACACGGTGACTATCCCAACACCTGGCATGTTGAACCGCCCGGAGGTCCGCTCGACGACCGCGTTCCGGGCCTCCGGATACCGCACCGCATCCCTGCAGGTCGTACGGGGGGGTGGCACGGGAAGAAGGCGTCATGGTGAATACCATGTCACCTCCGCGGGCCGCGTCGCAACGCAGCGCGTGCGTGCGCGGCACCTGCCCATGATCGCAGACTCGTCGTCGCGAACGCATTTCGCGCACGACTGCACGCGGGCTCACGGAACAGGGCCTGTGTTCATCGCACTGACCTGTGAAGCGGGAATCCCGCGATGTCGAGCCTGCTGTATTTGATCGACCGAGCGATGAAGTAGCAGATTATCGCGATGCCGAGTATCACGAACGAGCGGCGCCTGCGTGAGAACAGGCCCGCTGGCTTGCTCGCTTTCAGGCGCGGCAGCCCCGCGAGAACTCTCCGCGGCCTCCCCTCCATCCCAGCCAGCATGGTGTTAAGCTGCTATTAGGTCAGAAGCTAGCGAGGGGTATGAGCGCCATCGTCGTCCTGTCCTGCCCCGCGCAGGTGACCTGCACTGTCGTCGTCTCCTCCGAGGGTGCTCCCGAGATAATTACGTCGAGTGTCGATGCCAGAAGCTCGCTGCCAAAGTGTGCAGCCCATCACCAACCCCGTCCTCATGACGCGGGCACGTCGACAGACCGCGGGCTCCGGACAGCTCGCTCCTCCCTGAGACCGCGGTGGTACAAGCCCGGAAAGTACAATCCTGACGCCGAGCTGCGTCCCGGACGGCGCGAACAGCGCAAACGAGGGCCTCCGGACGAGCGTGCGTCCAACACAGCGCGCCAAGGATCCTCCGCTGCCTAGATCCCCGACGCTCGCCTGGCACTGCAGGGCCTTGGGGCTCCCGGCCTCGTAGCAAACGTTGTCGACGAAGGTGCGCATGACAACGGCCGATATCCGTCCCAAGAGCGTAGTGTTTCGCCTGCTGTGAGCGCTACAAGCGCACACAACGACGGAAGGATCTTGTGGAGTGTTGCTACTAGCTAGATGCACCGCCGCCCTCTTGGTGACTGCAGGTGAAGGCCTGAGGCGGGCGCGACAGGCGCAACTGCGCAACATGATCAAGGCTCCGACTTCGCCGCTGTCCGTGTCGGCGCGGCCTTGCTGGACGAGCCGCGGGGCACGGAAAACCGTCTCCGTGGCCCGCCGAGGGTGCACAGCACGCAGCTCCCTGGTCAACACGGCACGCGACGTGCGCCGCGCTCGCGGAGGTGGCCGCCTGATTGCAGGCACGCATGCGCGCCCCGCTGCGTGTTCCTGAGCCGAGAGCACCTGGCGTCGTGTGCTAGCTCACCCCTGTGCTCGCCCTTCGCCTCGCACCGCGCAGCCGTCAGCCCGCCCGGGACGGAAATGCAGACGGAGATGCGGACGGTGACCGTCGATCTGAAGGACCGCAGCTATCCGATTTACATCGGCACCGACCTGATCGACCAGCCAGAGCTGCTGGCGCGCCACATCCGAGGTGAGGGGGCGACCGCTGGGCCACCGCTCGCAGGCGCACGCGCGTGCCCGCGCTGACACCTGCGACGCTGTCCGGGCGTGCCGCAGGAAAGAGCTGCCTGGTCATCACCAACACCACGCTGGCCCCCATGTATCTAAACCGCGTTGTCGAGGGCCTGCGGGGCATCGAGGGCATGCGCGTGGAGGAGGTCGTGCTGCCCGACGGCGAGGAGTTCAAGTCGGTGGAGGTGCTCGGGAAGATTTGGGACAAGGCCATCGAGACGCGCCTGGACCGCAAGACGACCTTCATCGCGCTCGGCGGGGGCGTCATCGGCGACATGACGGGCTTCGCGGCCGCGGCCTACCTGCGCGGCGTGGACTTCATCCAGGCGCGGCGCTCCCGGCCAGGCCACGCGCGTGCGAGCGCGCAGCCCCATGCCTGCCTCCACAGTGTTTCTGCCGGGCGCGGCGCCTCACCCTTCCGGCGCTCGCACGCCCGGCGCTGTGCAGATTCCCACGACGGTGATGGCGATGGTGGACTCGTCGGTGGGCGGCAAGACGGGCGTGAACCACCCGCTGGGGAAGAACATGATCGGGGCGTTCCACCAGCCGCAGTGCGTGCTGGCGGACATGACGACGCTGCAGACGCTCCCGGACCGCGAGCTGGCGTCGGGCATCGCGGAGGTGGTCAAGTACGGCCTGATCCGCGACGCGGAGTTCTTCGAGTGGCTGGAGAGCAACATGGAGCGGCTGCTCGCGCGGGACGCGGACGCGTTCGCGCACACGATCGAGCGCAGCTGCGTCAACAAGGCGGAGGTCGTCGCGGCCGACGAGCGGGAGGGCGGCGTGCGCGCGACCCTGAACCTAGGCCACACGTTTGGGCACGCCATCGAGAACCACCAGGGCTACGGGGCCTGGCTGCACGGCGAGGCCGTCTCCGCAGGTGAACACCGAGCGCGCGGAGCGATGCGGCGGTCCCGCTCTGGCCGTGCGGCTCCCCGGGTTCGTGTCTGCTGCCCTCACACCAGGTGGATCCACGTCTTTGCTGCACAGGCATGGTGATGGCGTCCTGGATGTCCTGGAACCTCGGCTGGATCGAGGAGGATCTGTACCAGCGCACGCTGGCTCTGCTCAAGAGGGCGAAGACGCCGACGGAGGTGCGACGCCCTGCGGGCTGTCCCGTCCCGATACCCTTCGCTCTCCTCAGCCTGCGCCCACTCGCGAGTGCGCGGGCAACCTCGAGCTGCGAACGGACCCCGCCCCGCGACCTTTGCGTTCGCAGTCTCCGTCGGACATGAAGCCGGAGGACTTCATGCGCATCATGGCGGTGGACAAGAAGGTCGTCGACGGCAACCTGCGGCTCATCCTGCTCAAGGGTCCGCTCGGAAACTGCGTCGTCACGGGCGACTTCGACCCCGCAGTCCTCCAGAAGACTCTGGAGCACTTCTGTAAGTAGTCGGCTGTGCGCGGGACACGTTGTCCGTCTTGCCGCCTCACCAGTGTCAGGCCGCGGCCGGCGCGGAACATGGATGCAAACATTCTGCCGCATTCGCGCGATCCCGATCGACTACTGTTGCGCTGAGCTCTGCTGCGCCGCAATGCGGGCTGCCAAACCGGACAAATGTGCGTTTGCGTCCAGCCTGAGCAGCAGGGCCGACACTCCCATAGCCGGCTGGTGGACCCTGGTCCCGCGCAGGGCGGTGAACAAACGAACAAGTGACGCCGTCCACGATTGCTCCAGCTTCGCAGTCGCACCTGGCGCCGCCCCCTGCGCATGAGCCGTCGGTGACCACGGTTTTGCCACGCATATCGCGAAGCGACGTCCAGCATCACTGCTCTGTCCTCCGCGCGCTCGCACCTGTCCTCGCCGCTCCTGCTGCGCAACTCCCGCGAAAGCGATGCAGGTCTTGTACATGTCCGACAGGATCTCCGAGAAAAATTGCACGTCGAGCAGGCTGTGCGCTATCGTCCTCTCCAGGAACGCCTTGTGAGCCTCCTGCGAAAATACGCACACCATTCGGGGTTCGCGGGGAGGGGTTCGTTTGACGTCTCCATGACTCTCCGAGACCGGAACGTCGCGTGCCTGCCCGAGCGCGGCGCACCTGCACGTCGACGAACGACTCCGCCTTCGCCACCGCCTCGAGCAGCGCGACGTGCCCCACTTCGATCACGTCGATCTGGGTGTACATCAGGATGTTCTGCAACACGTTGGCCATCTGTTGCCGCAGACGCCACAGCCCGGGGTCGCCCGTCGAACCCGCCCGAGGCTTCCGAAGATCCCACCACGCACCCTCGAGGATGTTCAGCACCCTCCTGCGTGCCACGTGAGAGACAAAGTCCTTGAGAAAGGCTGCTGATGGCTCAAGGCTTCAACGCAGGCGGTCGAGGTTCGATGTCCTCGGCGGACGAGCCGCCCTCGCACCTCAACCGGAGGAGGTGCTGGAAGAGAGCTTGGTATGCCGCGACTGCGGACTCGGGCAACGCGATGCCTAGCGGCCACTGGACGTTGATCGTCAGGACGAGCCCGTCCCACGAGTCCAGGTGTGGCAGCGTCCAGGTCGTGCCGACGCGCCAGTCTGCACGCACGACACGTGGAGACGTTTTCAGGGGCTGCGCGTCAAGGTCGTCGGCACGTGGGCCAGCGCGTGGTCACTGCATCGGCCTCACCGTCCGTCACGAGCTCTTTGTTCTTCCCTACTGGCGCGATCGGTGCAGGGGGGCTCGCTGCATCGCAGAAGTCCAGGCCGAAGCACCGGAACGCGTGGTCCGTGTCGACCCCGGTGTGGGCTGCGGCCAAGTTCAGGTGGGCCTTCAACCCGAGCAGGGCCCCGCCTTTCCTCCGCGCGTGGTATGGCTGCTGCATGGCGCCGTGCGACGCTTGCAGGAAGGCGTGCCACAGGTCCCCTCGCCCGAGCAGCGCGTAGTCCTTCAACGCGACCAGCAGCTGGTGCAGGTGCACTGCCGCGGCACCTTGTGTCGACGCGCCGTCGACGCGGGGCGCTGCACGGAGAACCTGGCCGTCGCCGCTCCGGCCCGCCTCGCGCTCCTCGGACCGCTCACGCGCGTCCGACTGAGGTGGGTCTCCGCGCAGCAGGGACAGGACGCAGGAGCTCACGCGCGCGTACGCCGACCGGATGGCCTGTTCGAAGTGCAGCCAGTTGAGACCGGCGGGGTCCTCCTGCGAGGGAGAGGGCCCCGCGGGTTCCCACTCTGGTCGGCGTTGGGTGTCGTACGTGCGACACGAATCTCCGGGTTCCTCGGTACGAGACGACGACGCACAGGGCTGAGACGCGCGACGCGGTGCGTGGCCAGAGCGGGGCGCGCACCTGTAGGCGCAGGACGTCCCTCGCGATCCGCAGGCTGTCGCTTGTTCCAAACGTGCAGCCCGTTGCTGCCAGCGGCTCGCACGTGCGGTGCGAACCCCGCACTGCCTCGAAGGATCTGAGCAGTCTGACCCCTCGCCCGCAGTTGACGACCTGCCACGCGATGTTGCGCGGGAGCTGCGGGGGCAGGGCGTCCCACTGCACAACGAGGTCCTCCCCCCACCCGCGCGACTGGCGGGGGGCCGCGGCGCCGCCAGCCCCGGCCACGCGAATGAAGAACCCGTGCGCGGGTCCCAGGGTGCGGCCGAACGCCACCCACGCCGCCACCTGCCGCAGGAACACCCCATGGACGTGGCGCATCATGAGCCGCGCCGCGCCCTCCACGCCGACGATCCCGCAGCGCGACCGGCGCTCCAGGCGCGCGAGGACGCTCGCCAGTCCCGCAGCCGCCGCCCGGGGCCCCTCCGCCGCGCCCCTGGCCAGCCGGCATCCCGTCTGCCCTGGGAGGACGTCGTGGCACAGCTCGTGCAGGTTCGGCAGCAGCGTCCTGAAGGCCGCGATGTGGTGCAGCGCCGCTGCCGTGGGCGCGTCGGGCTGCTGGAGGTAGACCTGTTCGAGCCCCAGCACCGCGGACCGGTACATGTCGAGGACCTCGGACAGACCCTGCGCGATGGCAGCCTGGTGCGTCGCGAGCGAGGGAGCCGCCGCGCCGGGGACAGCCGCGCCGTCGAGGGCGAGGAGCGCGGCGCTGTCCGCAGGGGCTCCGCGCTGGCCGTGCTGCAGTGCCCGGGAGGCAGTGCAGGCCCCCACGTGCTCCCGCACCAACGCCTGCGCGACGCGAGCGGGTACGAGCCGGTCAGCGAAGGGCGCGCGCCAACCGCGGTCCCGCGACCGGGCGCTGTGGCGACGACGCGGGAGAACCAAGGCCCCTGAGGGCCGTGCGCTCGGCGCGCCGTGTACCGGGCTCACTCACCTCCAGGCAGCGGAAATGGCAGCTGAGTTGAGCAACTTCCTCGAGGATGAGGCCAACGTCGCGCCCGACCACGGAAAGCGCCGCTGCGGACAAACGGACAGCTGGCACGAAGCCTTCCCCGGGCTCGGCGGGAGCCGGTGCCGCGCCCCGGGACGCGTCGTCTGAAGGCTCCCCGGGCTCCTCAATCGTGAACGTGCCCCCGTAGTGGCCGAGCAGGCAGTACGCGAGCTCGCGCATGACGCCGGGGACGCTGCACACCGCGGCTGTCATTGCTTGGCCGGCTCGCGCACTCCGCGGAACGCGCACAACCGCCGCCGGCGAGCTACCGAGTGCAGTGCGCAGAGTTCAGCAAGGCGGATGACTGTCCCGCAAGCTGTGCAGGCGGCACTCGACTGGGCGCACAGCGAAGGAGCAAGGTTCCCGCGCGGCGCTCGTCCTCGCAGGCGGGGCGCTCAGCGAGGGTCGCGGAACTGTGCAGCGCTCGCACTCGAGAGCGCCCTCGTCCGGAGCGGGTCTCGGCGCGCCGCGTCAGCCCCTTCAGGCCACGTGCAGAGCCCGGCTCGGGCCAACGGGCCTCCCGGGGTCTCGCGAGTGACTCGGGAGTCCCGGGGAGTCGCGTTGCGCGGCCCGCAGCTCTCCACCGCCCATCGCTGCCGGCTCACGGCAGTGACCCACGAATTCGGACGGGAGGCCATTGCACCGCGTATCCTAGCCTTAGCAGAGAGACACGGGCGCCGTCGACGCACACGCCCTCCTCGAGCGGCCCGCGCGACGCTCCGGATCCCACGTAGTTCTTAGCTCGCGCGAGGCTCTTAGGTGTTGCAAACCAAGAAGTAGAACGCCCACGCAGCTCCATGACCACACGCAAGTAGCTTTTTTGTAGGCGAAATGGCCCTCACCGGGCGAATAGCGCCGAGCATCAACGAGGACGCTGCATACGAAGAGAGCTTCGAGAATCCCGGCCCATCGCAGGTCAGCCTTCCTTCACCGCAGCGCTGGCAGGCGCTGTTGACTGTACAGCAAAAGGCACGGCCCTGGGCCGCCGCGACACGGCCTGTTCATGCCCTGAATCCCGGTCGAAGGACGTCTTTCGTCACGCCGGAACCCAGCGGCCGACTCGAAACACGTGGCCATGATGCCGGTTGCGAGGATGCGGCCATCTTGCATGTGCAGGCCTTCCTTGCTGAACGAGCGTTCCATATTGCCCTCGATCGCCAATTTTCCTACGGTGGTCTGGTATTTCGACCATGAACCATGCGCAGCGCGTCCTCGCTGCTCGTGACATTGCGCGTGCTGTGCAAATTCGACGCACAGACAGCACTGGTCTGGGATCCGGAACGTTCGAGCCGCCAACTTCGCGCTTGGCCAGCCCTTGCCGCAGATCGCCCACGATGTAACCGGCAAGATCGACCTGCGCGAGTCGGACAAGTTTCTTCGTCGTGTGAAGAGGAGAGGCGCCGCTGTGCGCGCAGCTCGTGCCGACACCGCGAAGCGCGAGGCGCAAGAGGCGCACGAGGCGATACTCGAGGCCAAGCAGAAGCGGGTGAGTTGACACGGGGCGCCGGACGGAAGCAGCGGCTCACCGGCGGCGTGACCGCGCGGCTGACGGCGCACGCGACCCCGGTCCTCTGTTGCAGTGGCTGCTCAAACGCGGGCACCCGGAGCCACCGCCGGAGCTGTCGGAGCAGCAGAGGCGCGAGATCGAGATGTGCTTCAAGCTGCTGGACGACGACGGCAGCGGCGCGCTCGACGCGGACGAGCTGTACGACGCGTTCAAGGAGCTGGGCTTCAAGCCCAAGAAGCAGGACATCGCCAGGTGCGCGCAACACCGCACGGGGCCCGGACGCGCGCCGCGCCCCCGCGGCCGCCGACGCCACCCGCTCCCCGCCCGCGGCCCCCGCGCAGGATCTTGATGGAGATCGACTCGGACGGCAACGGGCTGCTGGAGTTCGACGAGTTCCTGTCCATCATGGGGCAGCAGCTGGCGTTCACCGCGGGCACCATGGAGACCAGCGCCACCGCGAACCTACTCGCGGGCGGGGACCTGGACTTCCCGTCCGCCGTGCAGGTGCGACGCGCTGCGCTCTCACATCGCCTGTGTTCGCGCGCCGCCACCTTGCTGGCTGCACCGAGCCCTCGGTCGACTCGTTGCCGCAGGCGTACCGTCGCCAGCGGACGCTGGAGTCGTTCTTCGCGGGCGGGGAGGGGCGCGAGCAGGCAGTGAAGAGTCTGGAGGACGTGAGCCAGTTCGCGCGGGAGCAGCAGGACGAGGACGTGCAGGACCCCGCGGCGTCCGGGAGGGACAACCCCGCGGCGAGGCTGCTCGGCTGGAAGTGGAAGACCTTCGCGCAGGGTGCGGCGCGGCGGCGCGAGATGGCGGAGTCGCATCCCGGGTGGAGCGCGGTGGTGGCGAGTGGTGAGCCCCGCGTCGTCCGCGCCGCGCGCTCGAGCCCCCCCCCCCAGCTTCGCACGCTGACTGACGCGTTCTGTCTCTCCCGCAGTGGCGGACGGGCGACGGCTGCGGTCGATGATGGGCACGGAGAAGAAGGCCATGAAGTCGGTCATGGGGCGACTGGACTCGGCGGAGTGGGAGAGCCCGGAGGTGCAGGCGGTGCTCGACAGCATGCGCTCGAGCGCACGGGAGGGTGCGGCCAGCAGCGCGGCGAACGAGAGCCACCACAGTGAACCTGCGGCGCCACTGCGGGACGACAGCACGGCGAGAGACTCGGCCGCGGAACTCCCCCTGATGTCGTCCAGGGACTTCACGCTCACGAGCATCGATGCAGCGGTAAGCGCAAGCCGACATGCGGCGCTGATCCGTACGTGGAAGGCTGTCTGTCACGGCTCACCTCACGCGTGCCTCCCCGTCTGCGCGCGCAGATCGACGTGTCGAGAGAGGCCTTCGCGATGGCCGTGGGTACGTCCGGCAGCGCAGTCGGCAGTCCGCAGCGGCGCGCCCGGACGGCAACTTGCCCAGTCAACGCTCACTTGTCACACACCGCGCGCACGCCGCTCGTGTGGGAGCGCGCGCAGTCTTCGAACGTTCTCAGGGGACCGGCATCCTTATGGGGCCGTTCTCACACGCCCCTCCGCGAAAGTTTGCTGCGTCAGCGGCAGACCCCCCCTAAGACTGCTCCCATGCGGAGTAGCGCGAACGAGATGCGTTCGAAGGGACGCACGCCGCGTTCGAGGTCCTCCAGGTTTTCGACCCGAGAGAGGTCCGTCGTCTCGGGCACGGAGTCCTCCATCCACCAGAGCTGCGCCGAGCGAGACTCACGAAGGGAAGTGCCGCCTGCCACAGGACGGCCGGACGCCTCGCCGCGCGTCCGGTCGCAGAAGGCAGCCGACTTGCGTGAGAGGCTACCGAAGCTTCGAAGTCAGGTCACGCGCGACCCGGTGCAGCGACGGCCATACACTGTAGCCGCAGTTCCTGCACGAGAGCAGTGGGACAAGATCTCTGGCGATGCCGCCGCGCTCTTCCGCGAGCCACGCAAGCCGATATCGCAGCAGCTGAACGACCGCTACAGGCGGGCCTTCGAAGCATCCCACAAAGACCTCATCAACGTTTGCGCCGGATCCGCTGTAGAGGACCCTGCGCAGCAACGAGCAGCCGCGGGGCCGTCCTTGCGAAGCACGTTTCCACGGGTCGTGTCGAAGCGAGGGACAACGTTCCACAGGTGACGCGTCATGCCGGCCTGAACCACTCATGCCGCAGAGCGCTCTCGTCGCACCCGGGGGAACCGCGCATGGTGGTCCTCTCCCGGCCCACACGGCGAGACAGCGCGAGCAGGGGCACTGATGGTGCAGCGAGCTCGGTCCCGGGAGACACTGCCTCGGACTGACGCAGGTTGTTGACTTGCGCGATGCCACCAGGCCAGCCCATCGCGTCAGCTTGATGTGAGACGTGCTGAAGGTAGACTCACACGAGGCTGCGTCCATAGAACGAGTCTCAGACAGGCGCAGCCGCCCAGGGTTCACTGCACACGCCTGCGATCGTCACGGCTTGACGATGATCATCGGGTCGCCGATGCTGACCGGCGAGGCGTTGTCGAGCAGGATGTCGACGACGGTGCCGGACACCTCGGCCTCGATCTCGTTCATCAGCTTCATGGCCTCGATAATGCACAGAGTTTGACCCTTCTGGATCGTGTCGCCAACCTTCACGAAGGGTGGATCGCTGGGAGACGGCGACCTGCACAGCGCAAGTCACGGGCCAGCAGGTGGGCCGGGGGGGGGCGAGGCGCACGCCGACATGCACGCCTGCGTCTGCACATGCAGCAACGAGTCTCTGCACGCACGTGTAGAAGGTGCCCGCCATGGGCGACGTGATCTCGACGCCGCCCGCCTTCGGTGCCGCCTTCGGGGCCTCCGGAGCCGCTGCCTTGGGAGCAGGGGCCGGCGCGCTTGGTGGCGCTGCAGGTGCAGGTGCCGGGGCAGCAGCCTGCACAGGCGCGGGCGCAGCCTGCACGACCTGCACCGGCGGCTCCAGTGCCTCCTTCTTCCGCATCACCAGGTTGAACTTCCTGCTCTTCAGCTCCAGCTCAACAATGTCCGTGTCGTTGACCTTCCTGCACCGGATGGGGGGCAATCCTCCGTGGGGACACTGCGGCTCCGCCGGCGCAGAGACGCGAGTCGCCGGAGCGCCGGCCTCAAGTCGGTTACGTGCGCGCGACCGCCGCACATTCGCTGCGGGGCAAGCCGCAGCCCCGGTACGCAACACCAAGCCACGGCGAGCGTGCCACAGCCGTGCGACAGGTGCGCCAGGCTCGCGCGGACCGGGTGGGTGCCTGTGCGCGGTGTCGCGCTCTGGTGCTAGCGGGCAGATCGCGCTGGTCGGTCGCTCCTGCGCACCTGACGATTTCGGCCAGCTCGTCGAAGTCCACCTTGCCTTCGAACACGGTGTCGGCACCGTTGGAGGTGGCCTCGGCCTCCTCGGTCGACTTCGCGCGACAGATAGCCTGCATGCATCAAAGGGGTGGTGGCATGTCGGCCGGGCGAAGGCGCGACGCGACCGCAGCGCCGGCGCATCCGCGGATTGGCGCCGAAGACGTCGATGCCAGGGCACGGCGAGAACGCCAATGAGCGGCCGAGCCCGATTAAGTCAGGGCAAAGAAATCGCGGTCGACGGACACGGCGCCCGGGACGAATCCAGGCGTGGGACGGCACATGCAATCCTATCGGTGTGAAGTTCGACGCGCCGCGGCCCATGCTGGGTTCGGCCCGCCATCGGTGGCGCAATACGATTACGTGCTTCGTGATACAGCGGAGTCCCGCCCCGGCCGCTGTTCGCGGGCGGCGCCCTCGCAGCCCCATTTCTCACGAGAGTGTTGTTGGGCACGCGCGGCTCCGCGAGCTCTACGGAATGAAACAGCACTGGTCGGATGGTAAATGCCGATGCCATGCGCCTGTGAGGGTCCTCACCGTCAGGCGCTTGGCGGCACAGCGCTGGGAGGCGCCCCTGCAGCGCTGCGGAGCCAGCCCCGGCTGGGCAACGCGAGCAAAGACCTTCATGTCGCTCAGGCCTTCCGGATGCTCGAGCTTCGAGAGGAAGTGCCCGGTGACCCGCCGCACGAGCGCCCACGGCGCCTCCGGGGGCCGAGCAGGGGGCCCGGGAGTGGTTGCGAGGAGGACTCAACGTGTGAAGATGGCGCCGCCTTCGTGACTCGGCGGGCGAGCTCGCCCTCCGCAGAGGATCGCTCGATCTCCGTCGATTGCTTGGGTGGTCGAGGGCCGCATCGTGCGGGACTGGCGATGAGCTTTCGCTGGTGAGTGAAAGCAAGGTAGCCTGAGCTCTCTCCTGGCGCGGCAGACGCGGCGCAGGGATGGCCGGCTCGAGGGGGCACGACAGATTCATCCCTGCACGCCCCCTCTCGATTGATTCGCCACAACTGGCCGGCTCAGACACGTCAGGGAGGGTTCAACCACCCTCTCCAAGTGCGAACGAGCAGAGAGAGGCGCGCTCCCCGCTCGACCGCCCCGTAAGGCGTCTCTCCGCATATTCGCAACCACACCGGCGAAGCGCGCGTTTTACACCGAGGACGCCGGCGTCGCGCCCCTTGTGTCGAGCTGCAAGGCGCACTCCATGGTTCCCGCCCGCGGCGCGACGACGACGACGATACGACGACGCTATGCGCGCGAGGCTTGAAGCCGCATTGACTTCAGCGGCCGTAAACGCGACCGGCTGCGTTTCGGGGGAGGACATGCGCTGGTGGAGTGCCCTGCAGCAGAGCTTCTCAATGTGCCCACGTCCCTGTGCTCACGCCGAGAACGGCCAATCTGGAGTGCAGGAAGCCTCGGCTGCCTACCATGCCCTCCTGAAGTCGGAGGCTCTCGGAGGCTCGCCGTCATGGCGGTCGCCGGGCCTGTCTCGCGACCGGAGGTCTTCGGCTGGGGGGAGCAGGTTGGAAGACACCAGGATGCTGGCGTTCCGGTCCAGAGGCCTCGAGAGTCTGCGGAACAGCACCGAGTCTGCGTTCGCGGTGCGGCCGCCGGCGAGCCTGCTTGTGCTCTGCGCTCGATTGCTGCGCGGGGCACGGTCTGCCTGCTCACTACCTTCCGGCCGTCACGTCGCAGGTGTCTCCCATGGGCAGCCAGGGAGGGCCCGAAAGTCCGCGGCGGCCTCCCCGGAAAGTTCCGCGCGTGGCGTTCAAGATCCTCGACGCGCCGGGTCTCATGGACGATTTCTACCTGAACCTGATCGACTGGTCCTTCCAAGACGTCATCGCGGTCGCCCTCAGTGCGCAGGTGCGCGCCTGGCCTGCGCGCGGCCGCCGCTGTGCCTCCCCCGCGCGCCGCGGTGTCGCGCAGGCGAACGAAGGCCGTGGTGTGCGTGGCCATGACACGCGCGCATGCGCCCGGGACGCAGGTGTATCTGTGGAGCGCAGTGACTGGGAAAGTGGAACGTCTCTGCGAGCTGTCGCGAGGCCATGTGTGTTCGGTGGCGTGGTCAAAGCGCGGGTCGTACCTCGCAATCGGTGCATCAGATGGGAGCATTCAGGTGACTTCGGAACAGACGCGCACCGCGACATCAGCGCCGCGAGCTTGCCTGATGTCGCTCCTGCTGCGTCCCATCCTGCCGCTTGACCCGGCCCCAGGAGAGTGGTGTCCGCTCTGTGCAGGTGTGGGACGTCGAGGCGCGCTCGCGCCGGACCACGGTGACGGGGCACTCTGCGCGCGCCGGAACCTTGGCGTGGCACGGCCACACTCTGGCGTCCGGGTCCCGAGATCGCACGTGAGTCACCGCGTTGCCGAAGTGCTGTGGTGCACAACATCATGCGTGCCGCGCACGTGCGCAGGCTGTCTGGGTCCGCTGCTGCGTCGACAAGTGTATTGACCAGGGGCACCCGTGCTCTGCTCTGACTCCGCGCCCCGCGCTGAACGGGGGTGTGTTTCCACACGCGTTGTGCAGGATTTGCATGTACGACGTGCGCGCGTCGACCCCGATCACATCGCGCCTCACTGCGCATACCTCGGAGGTGTGCGGGCTGGCGTTCGCAGACGAAGACGGGCGGCTTGCGTCGGGCGGCAACGACAACATGGTGTACGTGTGGGATCAGGCTCGGCCCGAGGTGCGTCCCCGGCCCTTCCAAACGCGCGGTTGTGAGGGTGACTGCTGTCGCGCTATGATATTCACTGTGTATCGCCGCGGATCGCAGGCGCCCCAGCTGCGTTTGGGCGACCACACTGCCGCTGTCAAAGCGATTGTGTGGTCCCCACACCAACAAGGCCTGCTGGCGTCGGGAGGGGGCACCGCGGACAAGACGATCAAATTTTGGAGCACCAGCACAGGGACATGCGTCAATTCGATCAACACGGGCAGCCAGGTGCGCGTTCAGTCGTAGACATGCACGCTCAACACACATCCATGGTGCCTGTGGAGACGCCACTGCCGCGCGCTAGGCAGCCCGCCCCACCATGGAAGCCCCTTGCGAGTGGATCGCAGGTGTGCAACCTCGTGTGGTCGCGAACTTGCAAGGAGATCGTTTCGACGCACGGATACAGCGAGAACAATATTGTCGTTTGGCGTTACCCGAGCATGAGCCAGGTGGTGACGCTGCCCGGGCACGACCAGCGTGTCTTGTACTTGGCGATGTCACCGGACGGGGAGACCATCGTGACCGGCGCCGGGGACGAAACGCTGCGGTTCTGGAATGTGTTTCCGCCCCGAAAGACAGGCCTTCCTGGCTCTGAAGGGCACCTCTCGCTGTCAGGTAGATCGTCGCTACGATAGCGCTAGCCTTGCCTGTGAAACCACCGCCGCAGCGACGGAGGCCCATGCTGCAGCGCCTCGGTGCAACGGATGCTCGCCGAGTCGATCTCACCGTCTCCCTTCCTTCGCCCGTTGCCGCTCATGACTTCGTTCGCGCCAGGAAGCGTGCCCGGTAGCAGCCTGGACCGCGCCACGCTGTCGCGTTGGACCCAACGTGAGCGACGCATCCCGTAATCATCATTGGCAATAACTGCAGTCATACCCTGACGCGGCTGCATCACGCGGCCCCCTGCGCATGAACCGCGGTGACAATACGGTCCTCTGGCAGCTCCTCACGCACAGTCGCGCACCGCCGCCCGTTCATGGCGAGATTTCATCACGTTCCACGCGAGGCTCCATCTCCAGCATAGCCGAGGCCCCTTGTAGCAAGCCACCCGGTTGCGGCAGCACATCACGGCGGTCCGTCGAGCATGCTTGCTTCTTGCCATGGCGTGACCCTGCCGTAATCCGCCGGAATTGTGGCCTGCTACGGGAGTGGGGAGCAACCAGGGGAGCGCTGGCGCGCCGGCACGGGTCTGCACAGTCACGTTTACCGCCCCGCTGCACCCAGAAAAGCCGTGCATTCTTGTGCCAGCGGAACTCCGGACTTCGCCGCCTTGTGCGTGAAATCAAAGGGCAACGCAGCAGGCTGGGCGCAACTCAGAGCGCGCTGCCCCCCCACGCTCCGTCCAGCCGCAGCACGAACTCCTGCCCGCATAGTTGCCCTCGAGCTCTTTCATCCGCCGCGCGCAAGCGAGGGCGCACTGGCCGGCAGCGCGAAGTAGAGCGCGTGCCCTAGGGTGCTGGTCAAGTCGCTTGGCGCGATGGCAGGGGAGGCAGAGCAGAAGTCCTACCAGGACCCTTGGAGAGAGGGTAAAGTGATGCTTTCAGGGGGAATTGCAGGCAAGGCTGGCGCGACTGCGCCTTAACGAGGAACGACCCAACCTGCAGTGCAACTCGGCTGCATGTCATCATCCCCGCGCTCCCCGCGGCGCGCAGGTGTCGTGAGTCGTTCGACGACTGCGCCGATTGATAGGGCAAAGATGATCATGCAGGTCGCGGAGGGATCTCACATGAACATGCGACAGGTCAGTGAGCCTGCGGCCCGGCAACTCCACGGCACGTGTTGATGCCCTGTTCCCACTCAAAACGATCGACCCGGACCCTCGGTAACACGCAGGCATTCAAAGTCATGCTTGCCGAAGGCTCCATAAGGTCATGGTTCCGCGGCAACGGGGCGAACTGTGCCAAAATAGGCCCAGAAATGGCGCTCAAGCTGACAATCAACGATGAGATGAAGAAGGCGCGAAACCTCCCTGGCTCGCGTCACTGTTTTCCGCGCGTCTGGTGCGGTGTGCGCCAGCTGCCAGTCCCACGTTCGAATCCGATTTTCTCGCGGGCGCCTCCCCTGGTGTCTGCAGATCGTGTACTCGCGCAGGCAGGACGCGCACATTCCAGCTTGGCAGCGACTGGCGTTCGGAGGCCTGTCCGGCGCCGTTGCGCAGGCGTGCATCTACCCCATGGAGGTCGTTCGCACGCGGCTTGCTGTGTGTGCTCCTGGCTCGTACAACGGCATGCTCAACGTGCTGACTCGGACGTACCAGCAGGAAGGGGTCAAGGCACTCTACCGTGGGCTGACGCCGTCACTCATCGGCATCATTCCGTACGCGGGTGAGGCGCCGTCGCACGCCAGGGTCGTAAGAGCTCGCCCCGCCCGTGTGTGTTCTGAAGACCGGTGCCGAGACGCACGCACGCGCTTTTCTCCGCAGGCGTGGACATCGCGGTCTTCGAAATCATCAAGTCGCACCTCGTGGAAGTATTCGACGGGGACCTGCCGAACTCTTCGTTGCTAGCTGCAGGGGCAGCATCAGCATCCCTTGCACAATTTGTGTCGTACCCCTTCGCCGTCGTGCGCACCCGACTTCAGGTGGGCCGTACGCCACACCTGCAGCTTGCATGTGGGGCCTGGGTCGGTGGTCTCCCAGGCCCGTGCATCATGACACACCAGATGACCCCCATGCCTGCTGCAGGCCCAAGGCGCCAAAGGACACCAGGAGAAATATGAAGGCATGATTGACGCGTTTCGGAAAACGTACCGACACGAGGGTGTGCGAGGTTTGTACAGGGGGCTGACGCCGAACATGCTGAAACTCGCTCCTGCTGCGGCGATCTCATGGTGGTCGTTCGAGCAGAGCAAACTGGCCCTCGGAATCAACATCAGAACATGATTGCAGCACCAAGCTCGCCCTGAGCGAAGTGTGCTTCGCCGGCGACCGGCATGCAAGAGGAGGGTCGTGATGTGCACCGACCGTCACCGTGTGATGTGCAGCGACTGTCTTCGAGAACGGCAGTGGCCTGCTTACGCGTCGACGCACGGTCCAATAGCACATCTGCTGCACGCCTCCTGCGAGAGCAGGCGCAGACCGAATGAGTTTCCGAGTGCGTTCTCCACTGGGGAAGGCACCCGGGCAGGTCGGCAAAAGTGAACGCAGTTCGCGAGGCAAGCGACTCGCGCAATGCCACACCGGCTACTTTTGCAGGGACGCCTCGGCACGGAACCGTTGCGTGGACAGAACTGAGCACGCGAAAAGTTACATGACCTCATGGCCGTGCAGTGCTGGTGACTAAGACTTGCTCTTCTTCTCCTTCTTTTCCTTCTTCTCCTTCTTTTCCTTCTTCTCCTTCTTCTCCTTCTTCGCCTTCTTGCCGTCCTCCGCTGTCTCGACCGCGTCAGCCTTGCGCTTCTTCGATGCCTTTGCAACATCCGCGCCCTGGTTGTATCCGGCCGCGTCCACTTCCATGCCCGCCGGTCCGCCTTGCCGGGCCTTCTGATATTTGGCCGGCTGCGCAGCTGCCTTGTCCACCGCATCCCCGGCAAGCAGCTTCCCTTCGAGTTGGCGCATGCGTGCTTCCACCTGCGGGTCGGCGCGGATGTGCGCAGCAGTGAGCGCCGATGACCCATCCCGCTCGACAGCCGCGCGGTCAGTCACGGCGTCCCGAACCGGTCTCGAGGTCGGCGTACCTTGTTGCGCCCCTCCATGCCTACCGTCGCGTCCTGCGCCTCTCCCAAGGCGTCAACGCGAATCGACAGCGAGCACTTGGCGGCAAGCACCCGCGAGATTTTGCCCTTGTTCTTGGGGGCAGATTGTCCGACGAGCGACGCGTGGTAAATCAGTCCGTACTTGGGCGTCTCCTTCTTCGTCTTGAGAGCCCTGCAATGCAGAGGGGGCACGGACGTCGTGAGCGGCGACGGACATGACGGCGACGCATCGCTGCTGTCGGGGGCGGCGCGGCACTGCACTTGCCTGAACAGGGCCTTCTCGGCGCCCAGGATTTGCACCGTCGAGGCGGGGTGCTTGGCCAGGTTCAGCAGCGTCCCCGCGTGAGCGATGAGGCGAGCACCGACGAGCTCGCCGACCAGCACTGTAAGGTTGGGGGCGATGGCTTGCATGCGCGACTTGAGGTAGTCATACAGCTGGGCCCGGTACTCCGACAGAGAGATGACCTGCACAAGAGCCGGCCGTCAACGTCGCGGTGTCGGTGACGGGCTGTCCGCCAGAGCGGGGTTCGCGTGCGAGCGCGAGCGCGGCCTCAGGGCGCGGGGTGGGGGCGGTGCCGCACCTGGTCGCACAGGGCCTGCACGTGCAGCATGTCCTCCTCCGAAACCTCCGTGCCCATAGAGACCATCGCCGCCGCCGACACCTCCTTCGCAACCTCCTCGTCGACGACGCCCTCCAGCACCTCGACCTTGGCGTTGTCGCGCGTGCCCATCACGCGGACGGCCTTGGCGTACTCGACGTTGTCCGCCACGAGCTTGCCCATCTCAGGGAAGTGCCACCCGTACCACTCCCGGGTGCGCATCGCGTACGTGTTCAGCTCCTTGTCCAGGTCGTCCAGCAGCCCGATCGCCTGCGTAGAGGTGCGGGGGCAGAGAGTGAGATCGGCGTCGACACCAGTGCGACTGATTCGTCTGACGCAAACCTTGCGGGCGCGCCAGGCCGCCTCGCACCTGGACGATCATCGTGTCCACCTTGTCGGGCGAGAACTTCAGCTTGTACCGGGAGAGGGAGTGCGACAGGCCGAGCGACATGGGCGTGATGTCTGTTGAGCCCAGCCCCGACACCAGCCCCGAGATCTGCGACCGCACCCCGCGCATCAGCTCCAGCACAGCGTTGCCGTGGATGCATGGGATCCCCAGCTTCTCCTTGACGATGCTGCCAAGCTTCGCGTCGTACAGCGCGAGTTGCTCGTCCTTGCAGTGCTTCTCCAAGAACTTCTTCAGAGCTGCAGAAAACCACGCGGAGTCCTGCGGTTATGGCCGCGCTTCTCCCGGCGCCGCCGAGCAGCGAGACACGCGCGAACCGTGTGTGTCCGCAGCGTGCCGCGGGGTTGCTCTTGGCGCCGCACAGGGGGTCCCGGCACAAAGACGCAGGAGAGTGGCCGCCGCCGCGCGCTGTCGCTGTGAGGGAAGTGTTCATCAATGATGCGATCCGTGGCGGTAAGAACGCGGCGCCGCATGTTCCGCAGCGGCAGCGCGAGCGCTCGGAGGTGCCGCACAGAGGTCGCTAGCAGGCACGCGATTGATCCGGGCCTCAGCTCCGGTGGTGCCTCCCCCAGACCAATGGTCTCGAGCCTGACAGTGCGTCGAGCGCGTGTCAGCGAGCACGACCGGCTTGGCACAGGGTTCGGGCGGCAGAGAAATACTCCGGCGGCTCACGGGGCCTCGCATGCGGCGAGCGTTCTCACGGGCTGCACATCGCAGGGATGCACGGAGAGTGCAGCTGTCGTGCCCTGGCCGTGCGCGCGCGCCGTACCTTTCGGCAGCTTCGAGTCCGTGAGCGAGGTGGCGGCAGCGAGTGCCTCTGTCGTGTTGTCGAACTTGCTGAACGCCTTGAGCTTGACTACCTGCGAGCCGGAGACAAAAAAAGGGGAAAGCATGAGCTTCCATTTGCAGGCAAGGATATCCCCGCGCGAAGCCGCAGCAGCCCCCGACGTGCGCTCTCGACTGGTTTCACCGCCCGCACCTTCTCCGCCTTGTCCAGCGTCTCGAATTTCGAGGAAAGATCCTGCGCCATGACAGCGTATCACGTTGGTCAGACGTTGGGCGCGTTGTGGCGCGCGACAGGCGCCGCAGCCATTGCGCGGTGGCCGGTTCAGGCACAGGAGGTTGAGGTGCACGAGCCGCTGTGCGTGTGGTCGCCAAGCGCACCTGCACCGGCTCCAGGACGTCATCCTTGAGGACCTTGAACAGCGCGAAGCCGGCGGCCGTCTCAAACAGCAGCAGCATCGCGCCTGCAGCAGCCGAACCGGGTGCAACGCCCTACGCAGCCGATGCTCCGGGACTGAGATGCCGCGCCGTGACACACGAGTGGTGCACGCCTCGGTGGCGGTGATCCCTGGAACGCACCCTAGCTGGTGCAGCGAGTCCGCATAAAGCCGCATGCCCGCAGCCGCCCGCGTCTGACGGCACCCTTGTGAGACCCCGGGAGTCCCAGGACAGCTCAGCTGAGCTGCGGCCGGCTGCACCGCTCCACGCGCCACCTGAGAGGGCGAGCAGCGTCCGGGATGTTCGCGGCGCGTCGCAGGTGTCCTCGGCGAGGTTCGCCACCACAATTTGCATGTCATGTGTGAGGGGGCGCAGGGCGGCGTGACGAGGCGCACCTGCATGCGCCAGTTGACGCCGGCAGGATGTGGTGTGCATTCTCGTGCGGTGGTCGCAGGACACTGCGGCGGCCGCGCCGAAGTGGGCGGGTTCGCCGTCAGGTCGACGTGTGCGCCCGGCATTCAGTGCCGGATGCCCGGCCACCACCCGTCGGAGACGAGGACGCGGCGACCGGCCGACAACGCTCCTGCCCCCCGTCCACGTTCGGCGTCGGCCAATGCCGTTGGTGTCGCAACTTTGCGGACCAGCTCGATCAGTGGACCATGCCAGCTCAGGTGGGCCGCGGGTCAGGCGGCCGGGCAGCAGCGGCCATGGACCGTCCACGGCGCCTCTTGACCTCCGCGCCCGTCGTGAACGATGCATTCGGTGGTTGCGCGAGGCCTGGGCGCGTGCAGCAGACGTGCGCAGCGGCGGGGAGGCAGCGGGCTGATTTTCAACGTTCCGGGCCGAAAGTGTCGCCCAGCTTGGCGCCAGCTGCCTGGCGGGCACATCTAGTTCAACATGACGGACATGGGCGAGACGGCGCGCAGCACGATGGTGCAGAACCGCCCCCACGACGAGGAGTTCGAGCTGTCGGGTTCGCAGGCTAGCATCTCTCAGGAGGGCTCGGGCGCGCCGGCCAACGACGTTGCCGCTTCCAGCTATTCCGACGACATGAGCGTAGGGGACGACGGCGACGTGCCGCCGGTGCGTCCTGCCTCCACGTCGCGTCTTGCAACGTGGCGCGGCGCTGCCGCTGTGCAGGGATGCCACTCGCGCAGCGCGTTTTCGTGGACGCGCTTCCGCTGCTGCGACGGTGAATCAGCGAACCAGATCTTGGTGGCTGGCTCGGCGCAGCGCGCGTCGTCTGGGCACCTGCGAAGGCGCGCATGCGCCCCGAACAGGGTGTGCCGCACCTGCACTCGTCCCTCACGACGGGGCCACGTCCATTCCTGCGCAGGCGGGTCGCGGGGACACGCCGCCCTCTCACCAGATTGACGTGGACGACAATGACTACGAGGATATGCAGAGTGGAGAGGACAGCCCCGTGCAGGCCCACGCTGAGCCCAGCGCCTCTCGCAGCCAGGACGACAACTCGGATTCGGATGCGGACGACAACGCAGGCGAGCCGTCCTCGCGATCGCTGGATGGGCGTGGCAGGAGCTGCGCAGTCACCCGCCGCCACGCGATTGTCCCGCGGACTTGTCTTGGCGTCTGACCCCAGCAGCGTGCCGTGGGGACTCCTCTGCAGATCAAGCAGCTGGGCGGCCGGCGGAGATGTCGCAGGAGATGGCAGCGGTTCCGACGGCCGGCGAGTACAACGCAGCCGACTACGCCGACGCAAACAGGAGGGCCCCGCCAGCGGTGCAACAGCTGTTCGGCTACATCGGCGCGTACCGGCACAAGAACCTGCCACTGCCGGTGCGTCGCCCGCCCTGCACGAGCGGCGCCGCAAAGCGTCCGCCGCCACGTCGCCGGCCCAGGGGCTGGCGTAGCACGACGTGAACGGTCACCTCGCGACTGCTCATGTCACTGCGGGGACCTGACGGCGGCCCGCTGTGTCCTGCCTCCGCAGCACCGGCTGAAACCGTTCATCCCGGACTACGTGGCGTCGATGGGGGACGTCGACGAGTTCATCAAGGTCCCACGACCAGACGCCAAGCACGACTACCTGGGCCTCGTCCAGCTGGACGAGCCAGCCGCGACGCAGTCCAACCCTTCGGTGCTTTTCCGCGAGCTGAAGCAGATGTCGAAGATCGCAGGCGAGTCTCGCGGGCCTGGCCGACGTTGTCGCCTGTTGTGCACGTCCGCTCGGGCCCTGACGCGAAGGTCACGCTGCCTGCTGTCGCAGTGGACTCCGAGGGGATGTTCGAGGTCTCAGCGGTGCGCGGGGAGGACCGCGACGCACTGCGGCAGAAGGTGGAGGAGCACATCGAGGCGACAGACAAGGTGCACAAGAAGAAACATCAGAACGACTTCACGCCGCGGCACGTGTACGCGGACATGGACGTCCTGATGCAGCCCTGGGCGCCCGAGATCGAGGAAGTCGTGTCCAGGATCAAGCTTCCCGACGGCAACCTGCCGATGTCCACGCGGGCCATGGCCAAGATGATGTGGTGAGCGGCAGCATGCGGATCGACACCCCTGCCCCCCTGACGCACATCCGTGGTGCGCCCCCGTGACCTGCACACTCACGGCCCGCGCCCCCCCTTTCCACGCAGCGCGATCCTGGACATCCCCGTCCACGACGACCCCATCGAGCCACTTCACGTCATGATGTCGCTTCTGCTGGAGCTCCGGAGCTTCCATCAGAAACAGGCCGAGGGCGTGCCCGTGCCTGGCTTCGCAGGGCGCGGCGTCGCTGACAGCTTGCAGATGTGAACCTGAGGCGGCTGTGTACGACTCACTAGCAGCCCGGTCGGACCGGCTTATTCGCCGCGGTTCGCCATCGACATTGCAGCACTGCTTTGGTTGCATCTTGCAGTCACGCACGACGCGCTTGTCGCCCTGAAAGTAGTTGGTGCGGGGCTCATGCAATGCCTGGCTTTCCAAGCCCGTGTGCCCGCTCAGCACGGACGCGCAACTTAGATACCCCTGCTGCGTTCGGAACATCCAGACACTCAGATCAGCACGGACGAAAATGCCATGGCAGAAACGGGTTATCTTGTCGAGCTGTGCGACGTAGAGATGCACTGCTTTTGACAGCTCCAGCCCTCGTCATTCCCGGCGCTGCATCGGCAAAGAAGGTCCGCAATGCATGAATACGATGATTTACATGTCACAGTCCCAGCCGACGGCTGATAGGCGCGGCCACTGCCGTGCCAGCGAAGCATGGAGAGGCTTGTGCTGCTCGCAGACGCCAGAGGGCGCACGCCACGGCGCTAGATGCCGCGCGCTGCGACACGGCTTTTCGTGCCAGCGGAGGATGGCTCAATCATACAAGCAAGGTGACCGTTGCGACCAGAGCGGCGCTCTTGCAGGTTCGCTTGCCAGATGGTTCGGAGGAAGAAATCGCGGCCACGCCGTTCGATCTGCGTCTTTGTGCACTCAAGGGCACTGTGCCAACCCAGTGGCTTGCCGACTTCAAGCTTGCCGCCGGCACGCAGCTCAAGGTCTCGTTAGAAACGAAGGGGACGTTGCAAGACATACTCCAGGTGCGCCCCCGCCCGGACGAACTCCGCACACCAGCCGCGCCGTCGCCTGGCCAGCACGGCGGTATGCCTCGATGGCGCCCGGCGTCCGCACAAAGTGTCTTGACGTTGCTGCTGATAATAGGGAAGCTTGTCACTTCGGCGTCTCGCAGGACCTTGAGCGCGGAAGTGCGACGTCCTCGTCGCGAGGCACGTGGGGTGCAGATGCAGTTACGATCGGAGATGCCTGGTTGGGGGAAGCGATTCGCCGCGGGCTCGTGCAGCCAATCACGTGAGTCTGTCGGCATGTTCGTCGTGGGCGGCCCGGCAGACGCTGCCGGCGGCGACCAAGCGCCCCTCACATCTGGTGCGCGCGTGATTTTTACAGGGACGCCGAGTCGTGTCGCTGGTGGGCGGCAGTCGGACCGAGGTGGCGGGAGCTCGTTTGCCGCCACCCCACAACGGGGCTACCGGACGCTAGCGGGAAGGTGTTCGCGGCTCCATACCGCTGGGGCAGTACCATCGTCGCCTTCAATCAGGCGCGATTCGACAAGGCGGGCCTGCGACCAGTCACCGACTGGACGGACCTGTTCCAAGAAGGCTTGGAACGCAGGATCGCCGTGGTGCAGAGCCCGCGGGAACTCGTCGGGATCACGCTGAAATCGATGGGCATGGGTGCGTGGGCACTTGGCACACGACAACAGCGCGAATGTCCGCTGCGTGTGGTCTCTCATAGTTCATGGTTGCACTCCTGCATGCAGGTTTCAACACCCCGGAGAAGGTCATCGCGAAAGGGGTGGGGCACGATGCGGTCACGGATCGCTTCCAGCGCCTGAGAAGGTGAGAGGTCGAGCAGGCAGGAGGCCGCCGCGATTTCAGCATGTGTCATGCAAGTTTTCCTGCGGTGCCCACTGCTCCGGCTTCGCATGCCGGCGCTCAGTATCACGTTGGTTGACACAACGGCCAGGTGGCCGCTCATCTTGCAGACAAATCATCGTTGCCAGCAACGAGGAGCACATGAGAGCGTTCAGCATGCAGGACGCTTGGGCGATTGTGGGATGGTCGTCCGACGTCCTTCCAGTCGCGCAACGGATGGCCAACTGCCGCGTCGTCGTGCCGAAATCAGGTGCGCAGGCCGGCTCGGCCACTCAACGGCGAGCGCAGGCGCGCCGCAGTCAGCAAACATCTTCCACTCATCAAGTGGGTTCACTCGCCTCAGGATGCGATTGAAGCACCGCGTCTCAAACCACGTGGATTGCCACGCATCGGTGCTCACGCAGGGACGGCCCTGTGGGCGGACCTGTGGGCGGTCCCAGGGGGTGCGAGGAGGGGCAATGGGATGAAAGGACCGGGCCCGCTCCTGCCGATGTGGCTGGATTTCTGCCTGTCACAGTCGCGAGCCCGACTACATCCGGGCGTGTTCCGCTCAGGGCTCCACCCGAGACTCCTGCCCAGCGGAAACGCCTTCTCCAACGAAATGTTCGAGTATGCGCAGTCTTGGCAGCAGGCGAGCCACCCGTCCCGCGACTCGCACAACCTCGAGGCAGCATGTCCTTCGACGGCGGCGCGCGCTGCCGTCACCTCGTCGCGGGCGAGAAGCGCTCGAAGCCCCACTGTGTTGCAGGAGAGCGATGTGTTCCCCGAGCGCGACGTTCTTGAACGATCGGAGTTCCTTCTTCCGCTCGATGATCCCACGAAGGCTCTCTTCAACAAAATTTTGTCCAGCGGAGCAGGATCGCGGCGTGTGTGAGCTTGTTCGGTTTGATGCACATGGCCATGGTCCAAGCCGCACGTCGACGGAAAGGACCTCTCGTGATCGTCAGGCGGCATATGCATCAATGTGGATCGTAGGATGAGGGCGCGCTTTCCACCTGCGCAGCAGGGCAGCGAACGCGCCAGCGTGGGGTAGGGGACCACATACTTCCTCCGCCCCCCGATGCAGGCCCTTTCGAGACTTTACGGCGAAGCCTGGTACATGGGCGCTCCGATGACGAGCTGACGTCTGTCTCGGAACGCGCGTGGCGCCTGGCACGGCGCTCGGCAGCGCTGCAGAGCGCCTGGTGGGCGCTTCGGCGAAGCATGTGAAAATCCATGGCCACGTACCTCGTGAAGTGCGTGGAACGCAGGTTTGCGGGGAAATTCCCCCCAAACCGATAGTGTTCTAGGCATCGTGCATGTCGAACCGCGACTTCAGAGGCCGTTTGGCTTCATCGAAGGCTCCGAGTTCCAAGCGTTGCTCCCTTTGATGGCCGCAAATTCAAGCGCGGCTGAACCCTTCCCGGCACCTGACGCCCTTGCGTGTGACCTGGTCGACCACTGCGGGCCACACGGTAGAGCGACCGTCCGAACTCAAGCCACCAATCGAGCCTTTGGAACATGGTGAGGCAGTTGGTTGTAGCCGGGGCCTCGACGTGCGACAACGGAGGTATCCTGGACAAGCTCCAACCTCGGTCTTCCAAATCCTCGCGTATGCGACCTGGCGCCGTAATATCGCGAGCTGCGCGCCCGCCTCTCCAAGACGGCCGCCCCCGGCACACATCCCCATGGGCCCTGTTGACTGGCTCACAGGTCGGCATCTGGAGGACACAGTGCCGAAGGGGCCGCGCAGTACGCTCTCATCAGTCCAGCGAACACCGCCTCGGCGGCCTCCAGTCCTCTGCTGGGCGTGCTGCCTTAGTGGCGCCTCCTTCCTCGTTGTGCACCGGAGCGACCCCCGGACAGAAGGGTCGAAGGAACCGAGACCTCCGAAGGCCTCAGCATACTCGCTGTCGGAGTTCGCCTTCGCGCGCCTCATCGGTCCCGAGAGCTTCTCGCGCAGGCTCTGCACACGGGCACTAGGTGAATTGGGGTGAAGCGGGCAGCGGCTCGTCGATTCCCTCGCGATGCCTCTCAAGCGTAAGGGCGATCCGCATGTAGACAATGAATCGAAGTCCATGCGAAAGATCGCGAAGAAGGCTGGGCCGGGACGAGATCGACAAGAGAATGCAGAAGTGGTCTCTGACAGGGGCCCGCACTCGTCGTCATCAGGCGAGTGGTGCTAGCTGTTGAGATCCATTCATACGTGTCATATTTGCGTCAGGGGTCGTCGTCAAGCACACCGACATTTCTTCGTCTCCGAGACCATGCAAGCGCCGGTAGCTTGATGACGCGTCGCTCGTGGGAGGTCGCAGCGCCTCCAGTGCCCATCGAACCACGCAAACTCACGCCCGCGACTGTGTCTCGCATACCGCAGGAGGATCGAGCGATTCTTACCCGACGGACAGTTCGAGCGAGGGAGCGACCGACTCGGGGAGCAATGACAGTTTGCAAGTGGACTTTCGGTTCTTTCCACCCGCGGACGAGGACTATCACAGTTGCAGGGCGCTGTTGCAGCCGTTCCTCGAGGACAGAGAGTGGAATTTGTCACAATTCACCAACCTCGTCGTCGGGCAAACACACGTGGTGAGTGACAGCGCGTGTCCTCTTTTTCAAGTCGACGTGCAATGCTGTCAGTCCGCGCCCGTGCATGTGTCCCGCCTGTTCACTGCGGTATTCTGCGGCCGTGTCGCCGCCTGGCGGAAGTGCCCACTTGTGCGCGCCGACGCGCATGATCGCCCATCGTATATGTATGTACAGGGGCTTGGGGGCACTCGGTGAAACCGTATCCGCCTCACCCCCTGAATACGTTGCAGGGCACGGTCGTGAAGACTTCGGGGGCGCCCGATGCGCTCGGCGTGATGACGTGCCTGCCCCTTGCCCAGCTGCCACAGGAATGTCCAGACTGTTGCAAGCCTCTCCTTGACTTTCTGATCGACAAGTGCGCCGACAGCGAAATCCGCGAGAGAATAAAAAGGGCGTTCAGGGATTCGAGTTGCGGTCTAGTTGTATCCGAAAGGCTCATGAATTTACCCGACGAGGCAAGGCTTGTGCTTGCAAGTGCCCAACATCCGGTGTACATTGTCCCGCAGCCATGGGCGGGTTCAGAGATCGGTCGACAGAAGAGACCTGTGCGGTTTACTTGCAGGTCGCCAAGGTTCTCGTGCAGTCTCTGCAGAGCGACATTGAAGAGGCCGCAGTGGACAAAGGGCTTGACAAGGAGGAACGCCTCGCTTTCTCCGGGCTAGACAGCCTGCTTGTGCTGTCAAGGGCATACCGGGAGCCGCAGGTAGCACACGAGGCGCAAGCCGTACACCGTTGTGGACCGATGCTTTCATGCCGCCTTCGTGACACGAGCGCAATCGTCGCTGCGTGCAGTCCCCCATCCCAAACAACGCGCTGCCAGCGGGTGTAGTGTTCACACGGTTCGAGGACGAGGCGTTCAGCAAGGCGGCGGACTGGTCGTTCTGTTTCAGTAGCATGTCGACCGCAGTGGGTAAAAAAGAGCTCCAGCCGGTACGGCTCGTGATGATGATCAAAATGAAGCAATTCAAATCGATCGCGAACTCCTTTGGCGAGCCCGAACGGCAAGGTTGAAGTCTGCACAAACAGGAGATGCTTCGGAATCCTCCATGGTGCCACGTACTTGAAAGCGCCATACAACACATTAAGGGGAGCAAGCGTGATCTCAACACGCGGCGTCGACATCCACCCGCTCGACCGTACGCCGGCGGCGATCGCTTCGAATGCCTGAGCACAGCACTTTCGCCAAACGCGACTCACAGGTCGCCTGACTCAGAAGCGCAGACGTTGCCGCATGAGCGATCTTGCCGCCTGCTCGGACCCGGCTTGCAACAAAATGACGGACAAGTTGAACGCCGCTTCCGTCGCGTTTGTGAACGCATTGAGCGGAGCGCCTGTAGGAGCCGAGGACATGTCCGTACGAGAGGTGCCCTCTCCTGCCACGACACATGCGAGGGTGTGCTGATACATTTCCGCCGCAAGGAAGTTGAGACCGAGTTGATGCATGCCCCGTCCAAGGTTGAAAGCTCCCTGAGGAGATCGCTGTGTAGAGGAGTGCGTTGACAACTCTGACAGCCCCTGCGCTTCTTGTGGCGAAGTGGAAGCCGTCGCCGATGAGGAGACGCGTGAGAAAGGCTGCGAACAGACGCGATCGCGGCACGCATCGTCCCCGCGCACCTGCATCGACGCCGCGTGCCTCTTGCAAGCGACGCGAGCCGCCGTCCAAGTGCAGAAAGCAGTCCCAACGCAAAGGCGGCAAAGCGGCTCGTGTTGAAGCCCACCTCGTCTAGCCTGAAGGTACTCAGCAAGTGCATGCGGCACTGCCGGGCGCAGGTCGACGTACGTGCGATGATGACCAGACTGCAGCGATGAGAAGGGCGAGCTCGCACCCACCGACCGGCTTACGCTCACCAGCTTGGTCGACCTGCATGAGATGTTGTTGGGCGGCTCCTGTGCGAGAGCGAACGTGATTGTCGAACCGACGAGCAACCGAATCCTTTTGTTGGACGAGCAACGAACAACATCGCTCGCACCTCAGAACGGAGTTCGCAGGCGGACTGAACTTTCCGATTGCCGCTCGCAGACTTGCATGAATCACCTCGCTGTGCACATTCCAGAGTGCGGTGGCCTCAGGCCAGCGCGCTACAAGTTGTTTCAAGCCACGGTGTGCACGTACGACGTCGCCTCGTTGAACATCGATACAAACCCTGGCGAAACGTAGCCTGTCGCGAAATTCTTGTGAAGCCCGTTTCTTCGCCGACGCCTTCAGCGCATCGTCCAACAACTTTGACGCCTGCAAGAAGAGGCAGCATAGTAGTGAAAAGGCCCTCAGGTCCTGGGCCTTGGCGGTGAAAGAAAGTGAAGGCAGAGCATCAAATTTTTCTTTCACTCACGCGCCCCGTCTCGTCCAAGTCGATCAATGCCGCGATACATGCCATAAGCAGCTCGAAATCTTCAGGCGTTGCGATGACGTTGAGAGCCTCGGAACCATCGTTCGCATCCACCAAAGCCGTCCAACCTGTCGGGTTGCTTCGCAGCAGACCGACAATCAACCGATCTGCCTCTGCGACATTCGCAGACCGACGATCGCGTCGTGCAGCGACACCTTCTCGGTCTCTCTTGAAAACTGCACTCTTAAAAAGCACAGTTCAACGAAAGTCAGATATCTGAGCATGTGGAGTACTTCTCCATTTCACGCTCGGGCAGATATGTTTGCTGTACCTGCCGCGTGAGCAGTGGATTGCATGCGGGGCCCTTGATACCCTGGCAGCTCGACTCCAGCATCGACAAGTTGCCTCAGGACCTCATCAGGGAAGTGTCTCCACTGACCGTTCTTCATCATTCGCAGCCGCCTTCTCAAAGCAGACTCGACTGCGGCAGGGATATCATCAGGCTGCGCAGCAACGGGGAACCGCTGTGGAGAGGTTCCTGCGCGGACATTTTGCTGCATTGGCATGCAGCGCCACCGCATGTTGGAAACCAACTCACCAGTCCGAGATCAACATGGCTCAGTGGGGAGGTCAGCGTCGCGTTCGCGCAGAGCGTCTGCAAGGATTCTTGCACAGCGCCTATCAAGACGTCGAGCAAAAGTTGCTGATTGTCGAGCAATCTCAACACAACTGCAAATTGCAGCAACAAGCGTCGCTGCTCCGGTGCATTCCTGTCCGAGGCTTGCCGCTCTTCGTCGAATTCCATGAACACTGCGGGGTGAGCAAAAATGTCGGAACGGGTCTTGGAGCGGTGGTTATGCGTGACGGGCAACGAGAGTCGAGGGCCTGCGCTGTACAGCGCATACCTGCATCTGTGACAAGCTCTGCGGCCCGCTTGATGCTTTCGTCATCTCCGGAAGACCCACGGCGAGCAAGCATCTCTGCCAGAAATAGTTTTGCCTCCACGATGTCCGCATGTTCAGGCGGAAGACTTTGAAGGATGCCCTGCGACGTTTGGACGCATGTAGACGTAGATTGTGAACGACAGGCAGGTCCAGGCGTGCTGTATCTCATCATTATCTGATTTGACGTCGCCAATGGGGGGATTGGAATGTCAGGCCGAACCTCGAATGTTTCGACAGCAGCAGCGAACAGTTGGTTGTCAGCAGGCACCGTTCCCTCCAAAAGGGCACGATAGCATTGCGCCAATTTTGTCCACAGCACAGCTGTGTTGTGCTCCCGCACACTCAGCAGCCTACTGTACAAGTCTCGCGCAAAGGCGTGGTTCCTGCAAGCACACGTGAAAATTCCCAGAAGGGCTTTCTCAACAGGGTCGAATCGCCTCCGACCGCGTGCGGAGGCGTGCACTGCTAGATCTTACCCCGCAGCGCTCATCATGGCGTCAGCTGCTTCGAGAAGGAGGTCATCCAAGCCGTCCACAGGCTCTCGAAGGAGGGCATGAAGATGCCTCCCCGCGCCCTCCGAGTCCTCCAGATACGCCGCACAGATGCCGGCTTTGACTTTCAAATCTATCGGGAGCATGCCCATCCCGCAGAGTTCTCTGCAGAGGCGCCGCGAAGCTAGTGCACTTCTGCCTTTTCGGCAGAAAACGACGGGGGTGCACGGTCCAATCTACACACGATGCATCCTCGACGAGATTCCACAAACCTTCCTGTGCCTTCGATGAGGTCTCGCGCATTGCTGAATCGCCCTTGCTCCATCAGCAGCTGCGCCAGCATGTTGACCATGGTCAAGTCTCCCGCTTGCGAACTCAAGTGCGCCTCGAGAACTGACGCCGCCTTGTCGGGTTTGTCCATTTGGTAGTAAATCTTCGCGAGCTCCTTCGGATACTGTATCGAATGGCCCTCGGAGGTGGAACCGGTCAGCGCCCTGCGCGCTGAAGGGCTGCTTGCGGGGGCCAGATTGCTTTGGATCATTCTGCTGCCGATGCGGCAGACGCACCTCGGAATCTTCCGGGAATTGCTTCACCAGCTTTTCCATGTCGTTGGCCCCTTTCTTGACTTCACCAGACATGACAAATAGCGCTGCTCGTCTGCTGCGCGCATCCGCGTCTTCGTGTCTACGGCGAAGCACTTCGGACAAGCAACCGATCGCGTCACCGATCATGCCTTCTTCTTCGCACCTGCGGACCGGTGTGCAAACACTTCAGGGACCCGACGCCTCGAGCAGAGCGTCCAGGGTGAACGCGACAAATCTGCGTCCCTGGACAGCGCCTTGGAGCTATCCAGCCGGACGATAGTGGCCGACACGGTGAGGATATCTGCGTACTGTGGACAGTAGCAATTATTACTTGCCTTGTTGCAAGCTGCAACCAGCGATCGACGTCTTTCTTCTTTATCGTCGCCTCGAGAATGAAAAATCGAAGCGCGCGATGGGAGTCTCCTCGACTTTCGTGAACTGTGCCCATCAGGTTGTATGCTTCCGGGCTCGACGGCTGCAGCCTGATGACGTGCTTCGCATACTGCGGGTTCCCGTGCCCAGTCAAAGCGCGGCCGTGTCTGTCATGCGACAGAGGACGAATCACCCATGGCAAGTTGCACAGTGCGCGATGCAACAAACTCGATCCAGTCGTGCATACCTCAAGTGCTTTCTCGTAATCTCCGTCCGCGAAGAAATTGTTGGCCTGGCCCATCAGTCGATACGCTTCATCGCGTTTGCCCGACCTCGGCGTACGTTTTCGGCGGCCTCGCCTGCGGTGTCAACACACTGTTGACATGCACGTGTAAATCTTCGGGCACCACAGACGGCCGCGTGAGCAGTGTGGGGCTTGCGCTCGCCTCTGTTCGAATTCTTCGAAAGAGCCTTTTTGTGCATCCGGGTGAGCGCGAGGCGTGCGTCGGCAAGAGCTGCAACTCACCCGCCACGGCCACGGCCACGGCCACGGCCACGACCTAACCGAGGCGCCATGCCGATCTCTTCCAGCCCAAGCAAAACGCTGTCGTCCATGGCATCCTCGTCGGATTCCGCCCGTCCGCGTTTTCGACTTAGACCTGCACGCGGTGTCGACTTGTCTCATCAACGAGTGATGTGGCATCAGCGGGGCAGGCACATCTGCGCCAGATCTACGCGGGATCTCCCCACACGTAGCGGTCAATGGCCTCCCACGGTATCGCTCCATGGATCGTTCACCGTTGCCCGGGAGCGGTCCGAGGGCTTGTGTGGCGTCTTCGAACACGTTCATGGGAATTCCATGTCAGCAATCGGCGAAACAGTGCTCAATCTGAGCTCTCGCGCACCTCCATGTTCTAGGGTTTCGACCATTTTCAGCGCGGCATCAGATCCGCCTTCGTCGCCGTCTTCACCGGCCGACGTTCCATGAGATGCACTGGAGGGCCTTCCCGAATCCGACCCGTCCCCGGCGTCACCTACGAGTGTGTGCGGGTATGGTCGTCGATGTAAGTGAGCCTGCAGCTGCGCCGGCCGCCAGACCCACGGTTGCGGCCCGTGTGTCTGGTCGGCGGCGAAGGCACGGTACTGCGATGTCACCATGCTGGGGGCCACAATATTTCAATCGGCCGGGGAGACACCTTCGCCGGGAGCTCTTTTGAAGTACATGGAATCTCCGAAGAAGGCCCCGTTTCGAGCAGGGTCTTCAGCAGCCCGTGGCGAAGAGTCACCACGGCAGCTGCAAGCGGTCCCCGTGACGCTTGTTCTGCACCGCCTTTCGGTGGTCTTCGTGCACCTCAGGGTGAAGAATGTGGTATGTCGCGGCTCAGGTCTTGAGCCAGCCGTCCTGACCGAGATGCAGGCGAGAGAGACGCGCTGGTGCAGCACACCGGTGTCGAGACACCTTGCACCGTGTCATTCAAGGCCCCCGGAATGCCTCCAGCACTGCCAATGTAGAATATCGTTGGCATGACGTCATCGCTCCCGTAATGCGCCCCACAGCTCAGCTGGTCGTGAAGCTTTCACCAACCGACTCAGTGCACAGCCCCAACACTCCTGTCCGGGACCCGGGCCGCACAGGCGTGGGCGGTCACGAAGGTCGGTCAGCATTTGCTGCCGGCACCATTTCGATGCTCGGACTCTTGCTTTCGAGCGTCGGCTCGTTGGGACGGGAATCATACGGAACCTCGGGACAAAAAACAGCTGCGTCCCTACTTTCCGACGCATTAGTATCGGTCCAGTGGCTCGCTGAAGACATTCGAGGCGACTCTCGATCACGTCGACTTCCATAGTAGTCTGGCTGCGGATTGCGGGGCAATTGGCCGAGTGCGGTGGGCGGAATCGGGCGCCTGAAACCCAGCGGGAGCAGTGTCGAGGGCGGGAACACGGATATGAAGGGCGCATCGTCTATGTCTGCCTCCGCCAAGCGGATTCAGAAGGAACTTGCCGAAATCAGCATCGACCCACCCGCGAACTGCTCCGCGGGGCCCAAGAACGACAATATTCTTGAATGGGCTGCAACCATCATCGGCCCTGCAGGTGCGCCGCGGCGCGGGCTGTGCGAGCAGTGCGGCAGTGTCCTTGGTGCCCGTGGGCAAGGTGGGGACGGCATCGTCGCCACAATGACGGCCCTCTGGCCGGAAGCGAGTGCGAGTGGCCATGACTGCCACTGGACCGCGAGGTCCTCGGCCGCTTGTATCCGTCGCACGGGGAGCGCGTTTGCGCGATGCAGCTCGCCTCCGGACAGAGGCCTGTTGGCGCTGATTTTGTCGCGTGCAGGTTCGCCGTATGCTGGTGGAACGTTCTTTCTGGACATCGTCTTCCCACCAGACTACCCTTTCAAACCGCCTAAAGTGTCGTTCAGGACGCGCATTTATCACTGCAACGTGAGCACATCTGGGCAAATATGTCTCGACATTCTGAAAGGTGAGTGACACTGCAAGGCTTTACGTTGCAGTACCACACAGCGTTTTGACACTCATCGCAAGGCTGTCCATGTGCGCCGAATGTGCAGATCAGTGGTCGCCGGCGCTCACGATCAGCAAGGTCCTCCTGTCGATATGTTCGCTCCTCACTGACCCCAACCCGCATGACCCTCTGGTACCATCCATTGCTCAAGAGTTCATGGCGGACCGCAAAGCCCACGACAAGAAGGCCAAGGAGTGGGCAGAGCGGTATGCGAAGTGAGATGTGATGGGGGTCGCATGCAGGCCTGAAGTCGCGCTGCCGGACAGTGACTGTTTGGCAAATTGGGGTGCGAGAACGTCACCACATCGCAGCGAGTCACCTTCTGGGCGCCACGATCATCCCAGTCTCCTGGGTGGCCGCGCGAGCGGTGAGGGTGATTCGTTGCGCTGGTATGTCCATTGCATACCGTATGACGCGCGTGCCAGACACAGTGTGCACCCTGGCTGTTTCTCGCGCTTCCTCACGCCCGGCGTGGCTGGCCGAGAGAGTGCGGACAACCCGCGCCCCGCCTAGACAGCCCGCGGCCAGCACTGCTAGGCAGCCCGCGGCCAGCACCGCACTCTGGCAGATGGATGGGGGGTTGTGTGGCAAGGAAAACGTCCCGCGGGCACCCTGAGTCCGACGGACAGTCCGAGACTTGCTGTGATGGTCGCCAACAAGAGTGTTGTGTCCCGGCAGACATCGGGACACTGGACAACGCATGCCTTGCTTCGTAGAAGCCCCAAAGCCCTGGCAGTTTCGCGTGCGGTGGTTGTCGCATCTGTCCAGCGCGGCGACCGTGCCAGGATTTTCGGGCCGCAACCGCTTTCTCCGTCGGGTCAGTCCGTGACAGACACAGCACAACATGAAGGCAGCAGACAAACTGTCGGAGATCGCAGAGATAGCCGACCAGAAGGAGCGCACCAGCGCATACGCGCGCTTTCTCACTGAGCTGATTTCGAACGTCGATGGGGACGGGATACGCGACCTCATCGAGCACATTCTCTCGGATGCCGTTCCCCTGGTCGTGTCCCGGCAGATCATGCTTCAGCTTGCGGAAGGGCTTCGGCACCTGACACCCGACCTTCACAAGAGGTTTGCAGGTACTGAGCCCTCGCACAGCTGCCTTGTTGTGCGCATATGAGACGATACAGCCTGCCTCGACGCGATTCCGCGTGGCGTTTCGCGCGATGTACCGGTGGTCACCTGCAACGACACCCGTGCATTTGTGCGCCCGAGGGTGGCTTATGACGCGCTTTTACGATTGCTTTTTCCGCTGCAGAGTATTGTCTGGAACAGGTTCAGGCCAGAGCTATCAGCTTCGAAGAGTCAGCGGCCACAATACGGGAAAATTTGTCTGCACTGCACGAACAAGAACGAAGCTGGTCGAAAGCGGCACAGGTGCGCCGTATGAGGCTTCCTGATGGACGCATCATAAGTCTCCCCGACTGGCGGCGGGAAGGGAGCCGCGGCGCCCGAGGTGCTTCGGGGGGGACTGCGCAACTGTCGATCCGCCGCCAACTAGTGGGGCCCGTGTCGCCTGTGGCTGCAGGTTCTGGCGGGAATCGACCTTGAGTCCGGCACGAGGGTTCTTGACCACGAGTACAAGCTCGGGAGGTACGTACGGATCGCATTACTGTACCTCGAGGATGGCGACACCACGTCGGCGGAGTCGTACATCAAACGGGCCTCTCCTCTCCTCGGCCACTGCAAAGACAAGAATCTCGAGATCAAGTACAAGGTCCGCGCCATGGCCCGAAACAGTTGCGGGGAGATTCTCATCCGATGAGATCCCCCCCCGTCGCGACAGTGCCACGTTTTGTGTTTGAAGCCTTGGGCATCTAAACGTGAGTTGGAAAGTCCTGGTCGCAGACGTGCTACGCGCGCGTGCTGGACTCGAAGCGGAGATTCCTGGAAGCGGCCACCCGGTACTGCGAACTTTCTCAGACGAGTGGCGTTGTTGAGGACCATGATCCTGTAGCAGCTCTAGCAGCGGCGGTCACGTGCACCATCCTCGCGCCAGCTGGACCACAGGTACGGGGACACGCCCTGGGTGCGACTGCTCGGGTCCCAGTTGCAACCTGACGGAAACGCATCTGGTAGTCGGCTACCGTTCTTTGCTGCAGCGGTCGAGATTGCTGGCGACGCTTTTCAAGGACGAGAGATGCCAGAGTCTACCTTCGTTCACGATTCTGGAGAAGGTCTTCTTTGAGCGCATATTGAGCCGCGCCGAGGTGGACACCTTCGCTGCCACCTTGAAAACTGATCAGACCTCACGGACCCCCGACGGCACGTCCGTTCTCGATCAAGCAGGCAGGGCCGCCCCCGTATCAGCGAGACATGCATTGTCAGAACACGCTGCTGCTCTGACGCCCAGGGCGAGGGTCTCGGGCACTGTGCGACGATGTGCTGCCACGTTCCCATGTATGCAGTGCTCGAGCACAACGTGCAGGCGTGCAGCAAGCTGTACGCGAATATCTCGTCCAATCAGCTCGGATCGATTCTGGGCGTCGAAGCGTCGCGAGCAGAGGAGATTGTCGGGGGCATGATCTCTGAAGGCAGGCTGTCGGGCCATATCGACCAGGTTGGGGGGGCCGTGGTTTTCACGGACTTGGACTCCAGGAAAGCGTACATACAGCATGTGGAGGGTGCCTGCAACGCGCTCAACAGGATCGTTGAGATGCTGCACGTGCAATGACATGCATGCTGTCAAGCTCCACTGGAAGCGCCAGGAAGCGATCATATCGTCCCGAACAGTGTTGAAGCTACGAAGCTAGGCGAGCGGTCGTCGGCAGTTTCGCTTGCAGGCATGAACGTCCCTTGGGCCCCTGGTGCCTGAAATGCTCGCAGCTTGTGCCTGGTGCACTCGTCAACGTCATTCGCATACCCCGCGCGGCGCACAGGAGTGTCGGCATTTTCAGCGGGCGTTTTTTGCGACAAGCCGCTTACGGCGGCATCCTGTGAGTGCGGCATCCCGTACAGGCAACACATCTCACGTCGCGTGGCAAGAAATCGTGACCGTGCAACAAGGGACGCGTCGCTTCGGGCAACGTTGCGTCGCCTGCACTATTGCGTAACGTAGCGAACGCTGCCCGTCTGTGTTGGCGTCAACATGCCGAGTCCCGTGCTGGTTCCGCTGCATTTCAGGTCCCGAAGCTTGAAAGGCGACGGCGCGAACCGTGTGACATTCCATCTCACAGTTGCCCCGTGCCGGCTGCGAATGTGGAAGCAGGGAGGATAGCCACGGCATGAGCAGAGTTCAAAAGCCCAGTTGGTTGCATGTCCGTGCATCAGTTCTGCCCAGAGATAATGCTCCAGATTGAGCGAGCTGAGGCCGCGCGCGGATGGCTCTCCTCCTCTTGAATCTTCCGCTGCATGATTTCGATCATTGAACGGTGCCGTTCCAGCTCTACCTCCAACCCTGACAGCTCCTCAACCCGGCGCTCAAGTTCCGCGACCTGCAGGCAGGCACTGGGAACGACCGGTTTCGAGTCATGGCACGGCGATGCAGGGCGGGCGAGACGCCCCGGCACCCTGGACGCAGAGCAGCACTTGCCTTTTGCTTCAGGGCAAGCTTCTGATCTTGTTCGTCCTTCAGCGCGGCCTTCAGGCTCGTGACGTCCTCGTTGCTGCCGTCGCCGGCGACTGGCGACTCAACTTGCGAGGCACCGCGCTCCTCGTGACCGTTCCTAGAAGGATCGGACGCTACAGATTCCTGTTCACCACGCTCAGGCACATCCGCCTGGTTCTGTCCCCTGAGCTTCAAGATCTGCGGTGTCAGACGGCAGCGATGATGCGCTCGAACGCGGCAAGAAAGGATAGTCCTCCAGGCGGCGCACATGCCGGCAGTCCCACGCATGCGTGCGAGGGCCTGCACCATTGCCGAATTCCGATAAGAGCCGTCGTATCCACCGAACGCCACGATAGATGACCCAGACGTCCACGCACAGACAGTTTGCCCTTCGCATGCGAGGTGCGAGTCGGGATTCAGGATGCATGCCCTCTCCCACACTGCAAGGGCACCGCCATCATCTGCAAAGAGGCACGTGAAAGAACCGTTCAACCTTCCCCGCCCCACAGCACTCACTGCTGCAAGCAGCCACGGGCAGCATCGTCTCGCCTGTGGGTCGCAGGAGGTCATCGACATTGACAGCAGACACATCGCGGCAGCCCCCGTCGTTGTCCCCGCCTCCGATGATCGCCCAATATCCGTCCACGAGGACATCCGCATGCCCAGCTCGCGCAGAAGGGGGATCTCCCTCCTGCTCCACAAGAATCCACACCCAGACCTGCGATTCAGCGTGGCACAGTCCAGGAAGGAGGTCAGCATAGCTGCCGGTGCCGTCGCGTCGGGCATCGTGCTCGATTGTTGCCGGCAGTACCTCTGTGTCCAGGATCCACAGCTCATCCAGGCAGCGCGAAACGCTGCCCCCCCCAAATATTGCGACGTGCCGGGAATCAGGCAGGCACACTGCTGCGTGGCCACTGCGCGGCGCTGGTACGACTTCATTGCTCGGTGCCAACGTCACCCTTGTCCATCGCATGCTGTCAAGTTGCAGGACCCATGCGTCGTTCAAAGCCCTGCAAGAAGAAGCGGCTCCCTTGCGCTCGTCGGGCGAAGTGCGCTGAGCACATGATGGCTACGGCACATGCATGCTGTTGTCTGTTCGACAGCAGGGCCGCGAGCCCGCGCGGCGACCAACCTGCGGCGCGAGTCTTCTCCTCCGAAAAGCAACACCCTGTCCTTGTTGCTGCCGAAGGCTGTAAGCGTGAAGCCACCGCGCCGCGATGGCCGTTCCTGGCCTGCGCACCCACCAGGCGAACGCGCACGTGTGTGGCCAGCTGCCTCTGTCAGGCAACGTCGGTATTGACGGCGCGAGGCTCCTCAAGACAAAAGACGCACCTGAACACTCGACGTCGCGCCACTCGCGGCGATCGACGTCGAAGAAGTACAGCTCAAGGTGCTCTGTCTCGGCATCGGACGACGACAGGTGCCCGGCGAACACCAGAAGGCCTCCCTGGTAAGGCATGACCTGCAAGTCCTTGCGACTGGCTTGATTCAAGCGCACGTGCACGACAGAGCACGCAGGGGACGTGCCACGAGATGGCCCGATCTGTGTGTCTGACCTTCATCCCAGCAGATGGCGGCACGACGGCACCGTGGCGCGTTTGAACGCCGGCTGTCGGCCACAGCTGACTCCACTCTTTTGTCTTCAAGTTTAAGCTCCACAGATCGCTCAAGTACCTGCCCCGACAATTGCCCCCCACCACGTACAAGGTGTCGTCCACGATGGTGCATGCATGTTCGTGTCGTCCGATCGGCGGGCTGCCTGCTGTAGCTATTTCAGTCCACCTGTCGTCACTCAACTCAACCGCTGCGTCCACGCTGGATCGCGAGTCCAGCGGATATGTCGCCAGTCCGTCATCCTCGGGAGGGCATGGTACAGCTGTGTGCCACGAGGGCCACTCCTCGTCCATCAGATTCACGAACCTGAACATCGCTTCTGTTTTGGCCAGTGAGGACAGCTGATTCCAGACCTGCAAGAGCGCGCAACACACGATGCACTCGGTTCGCTGCATTCGCTGCCAGCTTGTGCCAGAATCTGCATATGTGATGCGATAGTCTCCGCGATGGCAACCTCGCACCTCCCATTTCGCCGTCTTGATCGACTGCCCCCACTCCTGCGGCTTTGGTTCGCGGTTCGGGCCCTGCACAGCGACTTGCTCCAAAGCCCACAGCGCCAATGCGATCTCCGAGCTGCTGAATCCCCGCGACAGTCCGTCGGAATCGACTCCTCGGGACCTGGCAGCTGCTTGCGCCCACACAAACCTCTGGGGGTACGGGACAGCTTTTGCCCCCTGCGTCACATCCGCAGAGCAGGGTCAGCGCTGATCGAGAGGCGTTTTCGTGGACGCGAAGAGCTCATGCGTCCATTGCCACGTTGGTTTTGTGGCGTGACGAGCGTTCATGTCGCAGTGACGACGTCGGAAAGGACAGCTGGAATTCAAGGCTCGGGCCGCAAAATCGCCCTCTTGGAAAGCGGGGATTCGCAAGACTACGCACAGCCGGACACAGTGTACAGCCAACCTGCAGTGTGGCGCTCGGCCGGGAGTGAACGCCCCGCAGGCTAGCATTGCGGGCGTTGCTCCCCGGGAAGGGAGCAACGTTGGCGACGCGCATCTTCGCGTGCGGGACGCAAGTGAGTGCGCTGCGTCGGACCTGTGTCATCTTGTGAGCATGTGCTGATCGACTACGTCCAATATCGCTCCTGTCTACGTTCGACGCTACCTTGCACGGCACTAGCACTACTCCGTCACTTCAACGTCTCGCTGCACGCTACGCACGTCGCTGCTTCGGGATCGCAGCAGTCGCTCGAGTTCAGATGTGCGCCGTGCGCGGGGCTCGCGAGCCCGTTGAGGCCACAACGCTTTCGGGCGCCCTGGCCCAGCTGGGGGGGGAGTGCTACGGAGGAGCCCACTTGTTGGCGTGGCCTGCTGGCCCACGTCACGGTCCGGGAGATGATGGAACTCCGCGTGCGAAGGCCCGCTGAGAGCGGTCACAGCGTCCGCCCGTTCCAGTGGATCCTCGGACCGCGAAAGCAGTGCGACCCGCATGCCCGCGGCAGACTTGACAATGAAGTCATTGACAATGATTGCGCCGCACTCAACCATCATTCAAGACCGCTCACTTCGCCACCGTTCTGGCAGTCGCTGACACCCCACTTGTTCCCCGTGGCTTCTACATCCGAGCACTCGCACCTCCCATATGACGCCACGACTGCTCGACCTGCAGCGCGGACCTTGGCAAAGCCGGCGTCGGCGCGCGAAAAGCGAGTGCGGAACACACGACTGTCGCCGCCACACGGGTCCAGGCGGCGCCGCCGGGGCGCGGGGACGGACCTGCGTTGTTCTTGATGCTGCATGCCTTCAAGGAGATGGAAGAGCCCTCTCCCATCGCGTACACGGCGCCCCCTCCAGCGGGCGTCAGACAGTCAGTGACCTGCGTGCCCTGAACTTCCGCGGTGGCACCGTCGTACACTCCAATCCCACGCTCGCGACAGCGAGAGACCTTGGTGGCACTGATGTTGGCAAAAGAGCCCTTCCGCGCAACTGCGATTCCCGTCGTGCCGCAGCCTGCAGGCCGGGACTCGTTCGAATTCGTTCGGACGCCGGCATGCTCGTATGCTTCGTCCGCGCAACAACGGCACATGATGAGAAAGCCTACCCTCGATGTCGCACTTGTCAATCCTCACTCGCGCTCCGTAATCGACTTTGATGCCATGCGCTCCTGGATTGCGGATTATGCATGCATCGACCAGCAGGTCCGTGGCCGCTTCCGTTACCAAGACCGCCATGCCACGCGACGCCCAGATTTGACAGCCCTGCACACAGGCAGGAAACGCTCAACATCGCTACTCGACGGCTTGGCGCACGAACGTGACCCGTGCCGATCGCGACAGCCGCACCTTGAGGACAGCTCCGGGCGCCTTGTTGACGACGATAGAGATGCCCTGCACGCCTCGCAATACAACCTTCTCCAACACACAGTTGGGCGCATCGACGACGACCCCCGCCACCCAGCAGGACACGTCGCCCTTCGCGCTGCTGACCTTCACATCACCGCCTGCAGGCCAGGGACGCAAGCGCGCAGAGCGCCGTCGAAACTCGTTAGAGATGCCGTGGCGTGTTCGTCATGACTCGCCCCGCGTCGCAACAGCGTCGGCGGACGAACAACGCGTCCGAGAGCCGGGCAGGTACCAGTATTGAGAGCCGGTTCTGCGCCTGCCTGCGACACCGTCAGCGCGCCACCCGGCGTGCACTGCGACACCTGGTCAGGAGTTGACGGCCTAGCGCACCTGTGATTGCCAGAGTCCCGTTCTTCACCCGCAGGCCCTCTCGCCGGATGTGTAGGCACCCTTGCGTCTCGACGACTCTGCCGGCAAGATCGATCTCGGACACGTCGGGATTGTCGATGAGAGCACACAGGTCCTGCAGGGATGCCCCCTGCACACCGAGCGCGGCAAGTGACAGGCACGACGTGAGTTCGCCGCAAGAGCAGCACATCCGCTGATCCATGCGCGCGTGCGCGGCACCGCGTCTTCAGCGAGCCGGCCTGCGGCCCGCCCAACCGGCTGGTCATGCCGACGGAACCGAGTCGCCAAACAGGGGCTGGCGGCGGCGTGATGAGAGCGTCAGCCGCAGCAGACGAGAAGCTTGATGCATGAAGCATCATGATGCGTGTGATTTCACCTCTCCGAGCACCTCGACGCGCCCCATGACGGCTGTGAGGGCAGCGATGCACAGACGCAGCAGGTGAAGTTGACGGGCGTTTGGAGGGATTCAACTGTCTTCTCTGATCCCCGTGAATGTTGCGTGCAAGTGAGGAGCTGGTGAATGGGCTGCGACGACACGACGGCGAGGCCACGACCGAGTCTCTCCTGCCGAGGCCCTTGGAGGGCCCGGAGGCTTTTTATCGGGGTCTCGCGCCCTCGGCTGAGCCCGGCTGTCATTCGTCGTTACTTGAGTGACGCGCCCGCCCCGTCGCTGGGTGGTTCGCGACATTTCGCACCAACGTACACATCCTCGCGCATCCGAGGATGGCGGCACGGCGAGGGCGCTAGCGCACAGAGTGCATCCCACTTGTAGCGGATGGACGACCCACAGCTTCTTCAAGAGCTTCTCGGCGCGGTTCAGTTCTATGAGGAGCAACTGGCGTCGCTCGAAGAGCGAGTTGCAGGCGGAGACGCGGAAGCAGCGGCGCTGCAGGCCGAGGTGCAGCAGGCCCTGGATGCCACGCAGAGCGCCCTGAACGATCTGCGAGGAGAAGGGAGCGACGAGGTTCCAAGCGCAAAGCGCCGGCGTGTGTCGGCGACGCCAGCCCAGACGCGTGCGGCGAGCGGAGAGCGTTCTCCAGAGCACACGGCGGAAAGGCCGGCAGAGCAAGGCGATGCAGCTGCCCTGCACGAACGTTCTCCGTCGAACGCACACCGTACGACGTCTTTCGACGCGCCAGATTTTCACCTTCTTGCGGAGAAGCACCCAGCTTTGCGCCCGCACGTGAAGTTCCAGCGGAAAAGCGCACCGCACGGGAGTGCGGGAGCTGGCTTGAAAGGGCCCGACAGCTCGCCGAGTCGAGTTCTCATCGACTTTCGAAGTGCGGAAGCGAATCGGGAGCTGACTCGTGCCCTGTTGATGGAGGATTTCGGCATCGCGTGGGATGTCCCTGAAGGCAACCTGATACCTCCTGTGCCGAATAGGTGAGACAAAGCGCTACGTTGGCGCGCGTGGGCATGCAGTGTGGCATGTCGCCGGCGCGCAATCGAGGCCACGGCGTGCGCGATCCGTGCAGGGCGCACTACATCCAGTTTCTGCACAAGCTGGTCTCCCTGTCGGCCCCCACGACGGGCACCGTCACCGCAACCGGCATCGACATAGGGACGGGTGCCAACCTCATTTACCCGCTCTTGGGAGCAGGGATGTACCGGTGGAGCTTCGTCGCAGTTGACGTCTCTCCTGCAGCCATCCAACTTGCGCATAGAAACGCGCGTGCGAACGCACACGTGCTCGGTGAGGGTGCCGTCGAACTGCGCCTCGTACGTCCGGCCAAGGGCATGAGCGACGACAGCATTCAAACAGAGTGGGACCGTCCGGATCGCGTGGCCAGTGTGGCCGGCCTGTCGAACGTTCAAGTTCTCGAGGTGCGTGGAGACACATTCATCACGGCATCACTGCGCCACGCTGGTAGATGTGGGGTCGGGAACAGGCGGGTTCACTCGCGCGCCCAAAAGCGAGCGCGGGCGAGAACAAATACGTGCAAGCATGTCGTAAACACGTGCAGAGAGGCGACTCATGCATCAGTCTGGCCGACCCGACGGACGCCTGCGAAAGCACAGTCCTTCTGCCAGCCGTCAAGCCGGACGAGAGCTTCGTTTTCAGCATGTGCAACCCTCCATTCTTTGAATCCATGGACCAAGCATCTCAGAACCCTTCTACCGATTTCCAGGTGAGGTCTCACTTCGCTTGCGACACTTGTGGGCGAGCATGGCCACACGCGCACCTCGCACACCGTGGAAAGCATGCGCGCGGGCGTCCGCGGCACGAAAAGCCCTTCCGTGCGATACTCTGAGGGAACTCGCAGGGCACACCGGGGGAAATGACCGTCCCGGGTGGCGAGCTGCGCTTCGTCGCGGCAATGGTGCGCGACAGCAAGCTGCTGGGCGGCCGCATTCACTGGTACACGACGATGGTAGGCAAGAAGGCAACCCTGAAGAGAATCAAGAGCGATCTCCAGAAGGTGCGATCGAACGCATTCTCGGGCGATCTCTTGTGTCGCGACATTTGCCCGGCAAATGCGTTTGCAGCGCTGTCGAGGACATGCGTCACACACGGTTGCCGCCCCCCATCCACGTGAGCACAGACTGGGCCGTCTCCCGTCATTAGAACGACAGAGCTGACACAGGGACGCACTTCGCGATGGGTTCTCGCTTGGTCCTGGAGCGCACCGAGGGCGGTGCAGTTCCAGCAACTCCCACGAACATAGGAGCGTTGACCTGGAAGCCCTGGTTCCTCGACCTTTTTGCGCACTTCCAGCGACAAAACGTCAGCTCGCCTTCGCTGCCGCCTCCAGCTTCGCCAGCCCGTTTTTGTATGCGCTCTCGAAAGCCTCCGCAACATATTTGAACGGGGCAGAGTAGTTCTCGGCTCCCTGCACGACAATTGGGGCGCGCAACCGGCTGTGGTCGTGACTTGTTGCCGCTGTGAACCCCCGACCGCGGGTCACTGATCGCCACTGCCTCCCGCCAAAGGTTGCCTGCGCGGACGCACCTGACTCGTCCCTAAACTCGACACCTCCATGTACGCTAGGCCCTGGTCGGCCGCCCACTGGCTGATCTCCTCGTTGCTGACGGGCCGCAGTCCAATGTCGGCTTTGCATCCGACGAGCACGGCGATGGCGCCAGCACCTCTGCTGCGCATCTGAGACCTCCCGACGTGCAACAGCTCCTGCACGTCGACACTTCGCAGCAGTCCCCGCTCAACATCGCTCCACGGGCCGCATGAAGCGCAATGCATCGTCGGCTCGCGTGCGGGCGTACCTGGCACTGCCTGAAGGACTCTTCCGAGGTCAGGTCAAACGCAAGGATCAATGCCGCCATTTTGCCGCCGTAGAATTTCGACACGAGGTCGCCATAGACTTCCTGCCCGCACGTGTCATGGACATACAGTTCCACCTGCATCCCGGCGGACTGTAGTGGCACTGGCAGCACCTGCGCAACAGAGGTCAGGAAGGCTGCTGAGGGGGACAGCACCTGGGAGCCGGGCGGTGGTCGAAGGGTCGCAAGCGCACGCGCTGGTATCGAACCATCCATTCGCGGACACCGTGCCGGCCCAGTCCACCGAAGTCCGTCAACGGACGCAGGGCCAAAGCGCACATGGACGCAGCAATGCGGTTGGTGCATCCGACGACACAATGAACTCCAACTGCCTGAACCCCACTGCGGTCTCGTTGTGAGCGACAACTGTAGCTGTTTGAGCGCAACACCGAGCCTGGTACGCGCCTGAACATCCACTCCAGCGGTCATGGTGTAGTCCTTTGGTACATTGCGCCCGCCACTCGCTGTGGCCTGCAGCATCGTCGTTTTACCACACGCAGCTGGACCCAAGAGAGCTACCTGCGAGAGGGATAGCGCAATAGTAGCGTGAGGCGTGTCATTGAGCCCTGAAGCGCAGCTCTCTCCAAACACAGGGGCCGCGCGTCTCCGCGGGGCAGAGAGATGGACAGCACTCGCGCGAAGAAGTCGCGCAAGACGTCGAGGTCATACCTTACATCGCAGCGTCCCGAACTGAACGCACTCGGCGAGGGATGTCATCCCGCGGCTCGATCACAGGCGAACGCAAGCTGAGAATGTCAAATTAGGCCAGTACCCGTGCAGCTGTTACGAACGGCGCTGTGTCGCGAATATCATGGGCAGCTCGCAGCATGCATTGCGGCGATGCGGGGGCATCACGGACCCTTGTGCGCACGAGGCGAGCGATGCAAGCCTTGCTCAGCATTCGGGGGGGGAGTATTGGCATTCGCGCGCAGGTGACGCAAGAGCTGAGCGGCGACGTCGCACAGTCACGGCGGGGGGTGTATCGAGCGACCTGCGGTGGCCGTGCGTGACACGGGCGCACGAGGCACACGGTTCATCTCATCTCACTGATGGGTCGTTGCGCACGCAGGAACCGGGACAGCATCGGTCACATGTGGGGACACTTCTAGTCCCCGCCGGAACGGCGCGATGCCGTCTTGCCCGCCTTTGTGTCTCGCCTCCGCAGCCCCCCATCACTTCGATTCGTCCCAGTCGTCCATCGAGTCCAGCAACCGTTTCCGCGCCTCCATGACCTCGTCTCGCTCGCGGTCGCGCATGCGATCCAGCATTTCGCGAGACCATCGCGCGATGATTCGGTCGAGTCCGAAGATCCGCTCCACGGTAAAGTAGAGCAGCACTGCGCCCAAGATGAGGGACGCAGCAATGGCCTGCGGGTCGACGTTCGCACCGGCCTGCTCGCGCATGCCCGCGAACTCTTGCACCGTCGTCCGTTCAACGATGACCGCCTCACTCGCCTGCGGCGCGCCAAGCCCTGACAGTACGCCGAGATTGTCCCGCGCAGCCGCACAACGTGTGCGTCTCGACGACATGCCGGCAACTCGTCCGGACGTACGGCCGCGGACGCCGCCCGCCTGGCCCCGCCGCCCGGTCGTCCACTGCGCTTGCGCACAACCTTCCCGCGCTAGTGGCGCTTGAGGGCCCCGCATGACCTCGAGACACGCTGGCCCGCTGCCGAGACGCATACTGTGCAGAAAGTGTCGCGGTAGACGGATACGATCTCGGCGGTCGCCGCGCGGTGCCAGCGACGAGGAGATGCAGAAGCCACTGGTCGTTGCGCACTTCGCCGCTGCCGGCGCCGGCGCAGGTTTCAGCCGTGCTCGCCAAAAAGGGCAGGTCCGGTGCGATGTGGGACACCCGCGCACCGTTTGGTTGAAGCGGCTACTCGCAACACGGTTTGGCAGATGGGAGCCACGAGAGCCTGCGTCGATGCAGTCCCACGCGACAACAACGGATGCGCCAAAAGCTTCACCTGAAGGCAAACGCGTCGCGGCCTTCGTTTAGGAGCCCGTCGGCTCTGCCAAAAAGCCCCTGAGCGGCAGCGCGCGCCGAGCCCCCCCCACGGACAGACTTGCTCAACGTCCCGGCTTGGTGCGCACGCCCGATGTGCGGCGGCTCTGCTGCCACCGCGGCACACTCACGCGACTGTCATTCCGCGCGCCGTCACTGCCGTCGTCCATCGCGACCAACAGCGAGTCGACGTTCGCGGGCACACTCAACCAGCAGGAATCCCAGCCGCTGTGCGCCGTGCTTGTCGCTGGGGAGCACAGGCACGATGGACAGGGGCAGGGATGAAAACCAGGAGTTCCTGGTGCCGGACCTGGTGAAGCAGTTCGTGGTGTACTTCTACAGGTGTGCTTCGGGGCTTGCAGGCTGCACCCGCGCGTCGCGCGTCCGATCTGCGGCGCAGACGCGGGCCGTGTGCTCCTCACCCCCGTCTCCCGATGCGATCATGCTGGCGGCCCCGGCATCCTCGACCCGGCAGAGCGCGAGCTGCGAGGGCTCCCGGGCAGCCGCCGGACCACCTCCTCGCTCCGCGCGACTTGCGCCGAAGCAATGGCGGCCGGCGTGGTGACGCTGCGATGCGTTACGTCACGTGCGGCGGACATGCAGCCTAGGCAGGGCGCAACGCTGTCCTGGCCCGCTGATGCGCACCACCTCCCTGCTTTCGCGGGCCCACGAACCAAGTGCTTGCCAGCCGCGCGTTCGCCGCGAAACAATCTCTACCGGCGCCTCGCCGGACACAAGATCGTGTACTTCACTGCTCTGTGGGGACAGCCTGACCTTCCCGGCGCGTTTCGCGGCCGCGCGCTGCTCTGCAGCAGAGGTGCCCTGCCTCGAAAGCCGCGGCCCGTAGTCCCGCCGCACCTTTCGCCGGGGACGGGCTTCGCTGACGTGCGCTGTTGCTGCGGCGCGATGTGCAGGCACATTATGGAGCGGAATGTTTCGGAGATTTGGTCGATGTACGATGTGTCGTTCCACAAGCTCTCCGAGCGCTACTTCAAGACCTCGTCTTGGCCGCCGGTGCAGTTCGTGTCGCACCTGGTGGACAACGACCACGTCTTCTGCCTGCTGTACCAGGAGATGTACCACAGGTGTGTCGACACACACGTCAGCACCGGCGGCCTCGCGACTCGCACCCACGCGCCCGTGCATATGGCAGGCCGGCCGCGCGTGTTGGGCGTCGCCACGCTCGCTACCGGCGGCGGCGCCCGCTCCAATCGGCCCCTGTGGCCCGCGCCGCTCGCAGGCACCTGTATTCGAAGACGATGCCCACTCTCGAGCAGCGCGCCAGGTCCTGGGACACCTACGTCGACCTGTTCCAGATCATCTGCGGCGCGACGGTCAACATGCGCCTGCCCACCGGGTGGCTGTGGGACATGGTTGACGAGTTCTGCTACCAGGCCCACTCCTACTGCCAGTTCAGGGGGAAGGCGTCGAGGCTCAAGCCGGACGACTTCAGCCTGCTGCAGGTGCGACCGAGCTGTACGGCGCCGCACCTGCCTGCCACCCCGCTCGCCGCGCACTGCCGCACGCAACGGGCCGGGACGCACCGTTTGCCGTTGGCTCGCAGAGGTGCGAGGCGCGGGAGGTGTGGTCCATGGAGGGTGTGCACCACTTCCTGGAGATGCTCATCGAGCGCTCGGGCGTCGTCGCGATGCTGGAAGCCGAGGGGGACAAGTGCGTGGCGGACATTCCCGAGAGTGTGTCCAACGTGCTCCCCCTCATGGGCTACTTCGCGCTGCTCGGCCTGTCGAGGATGAAGGTGCGCAGCCGCAGCGCCCGCGTGCCGCGCTCGAGCTCGAGGCTGTTCCGAGAACGTCCGCCCCGAACGCATCGCCTCGCCACGTGTCCTGCGCGCAGACACTCCTTGGCGACTACGAGGGCGCCCTTCGCGCGCTGTACCCGGTCAACGTGCACGAGCGCAAGAGCCCGATGACCGCGCGGATCAGCTCGTGCCACATTGCGCTCCTGTACTACTCGGGCTTCTGCTACCTGATGCTGGAGCGCTACACGGACGCGGCCCGCTGCTTCAACAGCGTGCTCTTCTACATCGCCCGCGTCAAGCAGGGCCACATGCGGCCGCAGCAGTTCGAGCAGGTGCTGAGGAAGAACGAGCAGGTCTACGCGCTCCTCGCGCTCACCGTCGCCCTGTGCCCTCGCACGCAAAAGGGCCTCGAGGAGCAGGTCGCGCAGAACCTGGTCTCGAAGCACAAGGAGGACCTCGCGGCGCTCGCTCGGGGCGAGGAGGCGCCCCTGGAGGTGCTCTTCGCGTACGGGTGCCCCAAGTTCGTGGCCGGCGGGCAGATTGACCTCACGCAGAGCCGAAACCCCAACACCGACGTGCACAAGGCGCAGCTGCAGGTGCGACGCAGCCGCCGACGCCCCGCGCGCCAACTGCGGCCCCAGGCACCGATTCGCTGACCCGACCTAGGCCGATCCCCCCGCCGTCCTGCAGCGCTTTTTGGACTCGGCTCGCCGGCGGAAGCACCTGCCGATGATGAAGCAGTACCTGGCGCTGTACTCCACCATCCCGCTGGCCAAGCTCGCGAAGCTGATGGACATGGACGAGAACGAGCTGCGCGGCGTCCTGGCGGGGTACCAGGACCTGACCACCTGCACCACGTACAAGGCTGGAAACGACATGCTTTCGGGGGAGCCGGAGAGCACCGCCGACCTCGTGTACCAGCTGGGCCGCGACGACGCCGGGCGCGACATCGTTATCGTCCAGGAGACCCGGCAGCCCCGGAAGCACAACGACGTGTTGCTGCGGCACATCAACAAGTTCAAGGTGCGCCGACACGAGCACTGCGCGCGCGCGAACGAGCGACGTACCAACCACCAGACCACCAAACAGCGTCCTCCGTTCGCCGTGCCTTCTGCAGGAGATCACGAAGGACTTGCAGGTTGCCGCACGGGGTGTCAACCCCGCCCAGGCGTAGTGGTGCGTGGACTGATCAGCCCCCAGCTACGTGCTGCAATGACCTCAACCATTCCGTTCGGGGCTCGTGAGCCCTTCAGGGCACCTGCCATTGAAATTCGGCAGGTTGTGTCTGTGAATGCACCTGCTGGCGCCCGTGAGCCCATGCGCTGTGTCGTCGCGAGTCGTGTGCGTCCGAGCGTGCTCCACGCCGACGAGAGGCGCACATTCGCTGGAGCGATGTGGCCGCGACACCAGCCGCAGTTCGAACAGGACGTGTCCTGCGTTGCTCGCGCGTCGCGAGCGGCGTGACCACTGCGGCGCGGTCTCTTTCGCGCGGGTCACATGGAGGCCCCTCTCACGCTTCCTCTTTCTGCGCGGCCTTGCGACGCGCGAGCTCTTTCTCTAGGTCTGCAAGCGAGGCCTCTGCCAGGGGGTCGGGCTTCGCCGCCGTGTCGCTCGCCACCTCCGCAACCGGCTCGGTGTTGGCACGCTCGGCCGGCGGCGCGCCCCCCCACGCAGCGGCGGCACTGGCCGCGCGCTTGTCTTCGATGTTTGGGTCCACGGCCTTGGCCATCTCTTCCGTCGCCTCAACCAGCTGAGGCTTCGGCTTCTCTTGACTGGCCTTCCCCTCGGCCTCGGGCCCTTTGTACCCTTCCTTGATCCCCTGTGCGCTCGTGAGGGGCGAGCAGCGGAAGGCGGTGTGGCGTCACTCCAGCTCATGGTGGGCAAACAGCCTGCAAGGCTGCAGCTGACTCACCTTGAACTCATTCCTGATCTCATCGACGCCGAGTTCGTCCTCCAATGTGCTCTTCAAGTCGTTGGAGATGGCGGAGATTTCCCGGATTGTTGGCTGCAGGCCGCGCAGCGCAGACCCGAGCGCCTTTGCGGCGTCTGCGAGACAAGCACAGTGCTTCGTTGGTTCAAGTTGTGCGACTGATCGAGGAGTACCCGGTTTGTTGACGCACAGATCGAGGGAGGCAGTCTTCCCGGAGCGCCGGCGCATCGATTCTCCCACGCAGCTCGCAGAGCCACCGAGGCGTCCATCGGCGAAGCAAATTACCTGCGAGACCCTTCGGCCCGAATACCGCGAGTGCTACAATGCCTACCAAGACCGCCTCTGGAGCCCCCACCCCCAGGAAGGACTGGCAGGGAGCCTGCAAGCCGGGTTGGATAACAAGTCGCAGTTTTGTGCGTGCAGTTGCGGCTGCAGAGCGAGCCAGACCAAGGCGCTGATCTACAAGGAGAAAACAAGTGGGTGCTTGGAAATTTGCCACCGCACATGCCGCCTCGTTGGTGCACGATGACCTACAACTAGGATCCTGGCTGTTTCATGCATGCAACCCCCTCGGAGATGGGTCTCACCGGTCCACGACGGTTGCTGGGCCCATGTTGATGCAGGAACGACGTGCGCCGACGCTGTCCGTCAACTCGGGAACTCCGCTGCCGGAGCACGGCAGAGCTGCATGGGCGCAAGCGCAACGCCGCGGGGTGCGCGCCGAGGGATGCCATCGCCGCGAGTCCAACCGTACAGGATCCTATGGCATGTCAGTTCCGTCGGCGACGCGGTGCCACGCCCTTGAGGGCGTTCCCGGCCGGGCCGGGCCCCGACCGGGTTCGGTCCCCATGGCTGAGCAAGGCGCGACGAGTCTGGACCGCGCGATGGCAGCACGCGGCGCGGCGTCGACGGCGTCCGCGCGAGGGCCGCCGCCGTCGAGGGAGCACGGGTGCGCGTCCAGCGCCAGCGGAGCGACGACACTCGAATGATAGCGTGCAGGCGGGCCGTTCCCTCGCCGGTGGGCACTGCGTCGGTGCGGTGTCACAGGCGGCTATATACAGAATATCTGCGCACTCACGGGTTCGCGGTCGGCTCTGCTGCCAGGATGCGGGACAGCAGTGGTGAGGGGCCCGGCGATGTGTCGAGGATGTTCGACATCGGAACCAGGGGGCAGCAGCTCTGCCCGGACAGCGGCCACCCCCCGGTCGGCGGCGCTGCGGGTACGGGGGACGCGGCGAAGGCCAGCGCGGGCGTCATGTGGGACAGCCCATCGCCCCACAACCCGTCGCCCAGCACCCGCGGGATCAACGGGTCGGCGCCCTCCCTCACGCCGCCCGCACACCTCGAGAACGCGTCCGTGCCCCCCGCCAGAGGAAGGTATCCGATCGGCACTGCAGGTTGCCAGGGCGTGCGCGCACCAGCGTGAGCTCTGGCTGCCTCTCACCAAAGCTCGCGAAACGGCTCGCGAAACGGCGCGTCGCGTGCCAGCAGCTGCCGCGCAGGCGCGCACAGCTCTGTGCAACGGATCGGGCCCGCACCGCTCCCGAACTTGCTTGGTTCCCCCCCGGTGCCACCTGCCCGACTGTCCGGAGCCACCCCGAGCGTCTCCTCGCCCTCGAGCTCCTCGATGTCGTGCGGGATCAGATGCAGCACCGATGACTCGGATGCGGCGTCGTCCCAGTCCGAGCACTGGATGCGCGGGAACCCCTGCTACCAGGACACGGGGGGGGGGCTGTGTCGAGCGCGAGGGGGGCGGGCAGGGGAGTCGCGCGCGCAGCAGCAGAAGAACGCGTGGCGCGCACCTTGAGCGCCTCGCCCGCGCTCTTCTCGACCATGCGCAGCAGCGCGGCGCAGCGGTCGCACGCACTCGACCCCTGGCACTGGTGCTTCAGCTTGCGCAGCTGGTCCAGCGTGTACGCGCGCCGACTGAGCTTGGCCGGACGCCCCTCCTCCCGGCACTGCTCGTGCTCGGAGTTCTGACTGGCCGCATCGTCGGCGCCTGCGCTGCCGCCCTTGCGCACCGACACCACCTTGGCAGGCGCGGCCACCACCGACACCACCTTCGATCGCGGCCCCTTGCCCGCCGCAGCCCGCAGCTCCAGCGCGGCGTCGCTCGCGGCCGGCGCCGCCTTCGCACGGATCACCGCGGCCCAGCTGCAGGCAGGCCCAGGTTGCGCGTCCTGCTCCGCACCTGCCGTGCGGCCCGCCTCCGCGTCCGCCGCCTTCGCCACCAGACCCAGCGGCCTCGACCAGGGATTGGCGGGCCCCTCGGGCGCCTGTGGCGGCGCGCGCCGGATCGAGGGTGCGACACGGTCGAGCCCACTCGGCCGCTCAGGAACCACTGCCCCACGCTTCGTCCCCGACTCCCTGCGCGGACAATCGCATCGACGTGGCCCGATGGGTGCGCGCCTTGGCAGCAGGGATTGTCGGCGAGCTCGTTCGAGCGGCGAGTCGCCGCGGCAGGCCCTGCGTGCAGCTCACCGCGTCTCTTCCATGGATGCCTCGAACGTGTCCGTGGGCGGCAGGCCTTGTTTCCACTTGTTCCACAGCGAGTTCACTCGCCGCATGATGTACGGCGTGGGAGCCCTGCGGCGCAGGACGCGCGGGCGCACCACGTTCGGGTGGATCGCGCGAAACAGCTCCTCATCACGCACGCGCCCGCGACGCACTCGCACGCGGCGCCAGCGGCGATGCGCATGGACCGGAGTCGAAGCGCAGTGGGAGGGCGATAAAGCTGCGCCGCGGCGCATCTGCGGCCATGCCGGGCCGAGGGGCCCAGCGCGGCCTGCCATTTCAGGCACAGGGCAGAGTGGGCACGAGCTTGCCTGACGGTGGCCCAGTTGACGGACGAGAGCGAGCGCAGCGCCTCCAGACTGTACGACTCCGGCATGGCGCAGAGCTGCTTGCGGATCTCCTTGTCGAAGTGTTCCTCGAGGAGATGCGGACTGCCTGCCTTGATGATGTCCATCATCGGCGCAAGCAGGGCTGGCTTTCCGGCCATCGGGTCCCCGCTGCGTCGAGCGCTGCAAACACAGCACATCAAACGCCCTCGACCTCGCACACGGAGGTTATAGCCCAGGGAAAAGCCGCGACGCGCAAAAACGCAGATGTGGGGCGGGAGACGCAGCGCGGCCGTGTCGCTGCGGGATCCCGCATCGCGCGTCGCGTCGCAAAAAGCTCAGGGAGGATAGCCGCGTTCGCGGCGGTCGGAACGGGTCGAACCTGCTCATCTCGCTGTGCGAGGCGGACTCCAGTTGGTAGAGAGCTTCCTGTCGACGGCGCGGGCGGGCGGGTGGCCAAGAAGCCCTCTCGCGCTGCCCATTCGCGTCACGCTTCAGAGTGGCGCGAGGGGGTGGCGACGTGGTGTGTATCTGCGGGCCACGGCGCGGGTCCAGGCCTCCGCCCGACTGACTCGGGCTCCTCAACACGCCGAAAATCGCGCGACAGCCAGTATGCGAGGTCGAGCTGCGGCGCCGGGGCAGCTGGCGGACAGCTCGCTATGGAGATGTATCCTATGGCATGTGCAGGGCCCGCGCCCTGTGGAGGAACTGCCTTCCTGAAATTGCTCGCCGAAGCATCAAGTCGCGCCTCTGCGTACGCCTCACGCGGAGCCACGAACGCCGCGATGCATGCGGCGCTCCCCACACGGTTCGTTTCCGGCGCCGAGACGCCGCGACAGCATTGCATCATTCACACCGCAAGCGCAGCTGGCCACTCACGGCAGAGGCGGATCACTTCCCCTCGGCCATCCAGCGCGCCGCTTCCATGGCGTAGTACGTCAGGATGAGCTCCGCACCGGCCCGGCGGAAGCACACCAGGGTCTCCATCGCCACGTCCTTCTCGTTGATCCAACCCTTCTCCGCAGCGGCCTTCATCATGGCGTACTCGCCTGCAACGATCGCGGGGAGGCACGGCGCCGGGTCACGCAGCGCAGGGATGGACGGCGAGCGCGGCGAGGGCTGCTGACGGCCCGCGCGAGCGTGAGCAGCCTGTCGTGAGGCGCACCCGACACGTGGTAGACGGAGATGGGCAGCCGGCTGTTGTCCTTGAGGTAGCGCACGACGTCGAGGTAGGGCAGGCCGGGCTTGACCATGAGGATGTCGGCGCCCTCGACCTCGTCCAGCTCGGCCTCCCGCAGCGCCTCGCGCAGGTTGTGCGGGTCCATCTGGTACGTCTTCTTGTTCGGCGGGATCACGCGCCCCGCGCCGGCCGCGCGCGGGTTCGAGTCCAGGGCCTCGCGGAAGGGCCCGTAGTACGCGGAGGCGTACTTGGCGCAGTAGGACATGATGGACACCTCCGTGAACCCCTCCCGGTCGAGCGCGTGGCGGATCGCACCGATGCGGCCGTCCATCATGTCGGAGGGGGCCACGCAGTCCGCGCCCGCGCGCGCCTGCGACACCGCCTGCCGGCAGAGGAACTCGACCGTCTCGTCGTTCATGATCACGCCGTCGTCGCGCACGATGCCGTCGTGGCCGTCCGAGCTGTACGGGTCCAGCGCGACGTCGGTGTACACCTCGAGGTCCGGGAACGTGTCCTTCAGCAGCGAGATGGTGCGCTGCGACAGGCCGACGTCGTTGAAGGCCTCCTCCCCCGTCATGGTCTTCAGGTCATCTGGCGTCTTCGGGAACACCACCACCTGGTTGACGCCGTACGACCGAGCCTCCGCGACGTAGTCGAGCAGACCGTTCTTGAAGGACAGGCGCTCGATGCCGGGCATGGAGCTGATCGGGATGTTCTTGCTGCCCTCGTGCACGAAGAGGGGCATGATGAAGTGCTCCGGGCCGAGGAACGTCTCCCTGCGACACGGAAACGGAGAGGACGTGCATCGTGACGCCACACTCAGGCTTCAGGGCGCCTGCAGGGCGGGTTGCGGCGCCCCTGGCCGCGCGGCCGCGTCTGCTGGGCGCAATCTGTTGCACCTCGCCTGCCGCGGGCCCCGCACAGGGCCGGCTAGGCTCAAGATGGATGAGTCATCGCGAACGGAACAACCCATCCCGCCACGCTGATGCGCCTCACGCTTCTTCTTGGCGCGTTTGCTGCCCAAACGAGCAGGCGGACAAGACAAGGCAGTGCAGCGGCGCAGTGCGCTGCGAGATGAGGGCCGTGATGACCCCGTGGGGCGGTTCCGCTAGATGTCAGTAGATCGTACAGGACTTATGCGAGGAGATGTTCACGCTCAGCCAGCATGAGTGCAGCGAGAAGAGAGATATGGTACCTGATGGACTTGCGGATGGTCTCGCTCCGCCGGTTGCGCCTCGGCCGAGAGGGGATGTCCAGTGGCGTCACAACGGGCGTGCCTTCAGGAGCCGCGGGCTTGGGACGACCAACGGCCTGCAAGCAAGCGCCGGTGGCTGGTTGACTTATGATGTGCCTTGCCTGCCTTCATCCGAACGGATTCGCGCCGCCGACGGCCTCGAAACTAGGGCGTTCGAACATGTGCGACCGTCAGGCAATTACCTTGGGCGGAACATCGGCAACCGCAGACACCTGCACGCCCAGCCGCCTCGAAACGGGCCGAGACGAGATCGCCCTGCGACTGCAGGCGGGAGCTGGCGCCTGAAGGGCGCCCAGGCCCGTGGAAGAAGCAAGGAAGGACATGTTGCAAGACAGACGATCTGGACAAACAGGCAGTGTGGGCAGCGGGGTGGGGACAAGAAGCGGGGGCCGTCCAGGACTGGGACTGTCCTACTTGCCTCACAAACTCGTCTGCGCCGCCGGCACCGACGTAATGTCGCAAACTAGGAGCCGCACCGGCGCCTCGCAACGACCGTGCTGCGAGCACACGTGTTGTTTTCCCGCAAAAACAAAAACAGCGCGCCGAGGTACAACACCGCCTCCATGCAGCTGCTTCGTGTCCGCAACCGACAAAATGCCGGGCCGCTCCGCTATCGCAGCCCGAAAGACGTGGCTCCTGCCTGCGGTGGCGCATCCTGAAGGTGTCCTCCGGCTCGAGCGAGGGACCGCTCAGTCAGCACGATCATTCCCCCAATGAGCACCGTCATCACGACCGACACGGCGAGCACAGCGACGTCAGTCGACTCTCTCTCCTGCAGCGCGACGGATATGCGGCGAGCGCGGTTCAGGAGGCGCCCCGACCTTCGTGTCGCTAGGGCGACCGACGCAAGATGGAGATGTCGAATGGAAAAGGATGCGGCAGCCCTGAACAGGTCCTCGACGATGGACTTCGCGGGCGGCACAACGTACCTTGAGGTAAAACTCCATTTCCGGGTCTTTCGGCCAGTAGGACTCGGTGAAGATGTCATCCTCAGCGTGGTCGACGCCCCCGGAGCGCTGAATCTGAGCCGTGGCCCGCACCGTCCACCAGCCACCACCGTTTCGGGCCGCAGGGTCCCACTGGAGCCGCGGGCTGTACCCGGGCACGTACTGGACCGAGGTGGCCGTGCATGTGCCCGCCCCATCAGGGAAACTCCGCTGGTGCAGCCAACCGATGCACTGTTCGCCCCCCTGCACAGGCGCACGGACACCCCACACGTGCGGTCAGCGGCCGACTCTGTGCTGTAGGCTGGTCCGGCAAGGGTGCGTCGGGGCTGTCTGTACCTGGCAAGGGTTGTTCCCGAGCTGGTCGCAAATGCGCTCCGTCGGCGTCCCGAAGTAGCGTCCGAACGCATTCCAGAAGAGTCGGGCGATGTCTGTCTTCCGGCGAGGTCCATCGACGTCGGCTCCATTTTGCAGGATGCCCGGGAAGCCGGGAGTGGTGCCGATCAATTGCAACAGGTCGGCAGTGAGCGCCCGGCAGTCCGCCGACCCGGCGCCTTGATTCAGACATCCCGCCCACTGCCGCACGTACGACGGCGCCGCGCCACACTCGACGGCCTCCGCGCCAGCTTGCGATGCGCGTGTCTCGTCAAGCAAGTACTTTGCCACCGAGCAAGCCACGTTCCCAAGAGCTGCAGCGCAGCACGGACATGTCGCACAGGGATCACGATTGCAGCGATACAGTCGCGCTGGACGACGGCAGGGCCGGGTCGCGCTAGGTACGAGCTGCAGTGGCGCTCACCGTCATAGTCGGGAAGCACAGCTCCATCGGTGTCGTACGACGACCCAAGGAAGGCATAGTCGATGCTACTTCCGAAATCGTTCAGGGACACGACGCGGATGGAACTGCGCATAGCAAGGAACGTCTGCAAGAACGGGGGTGAAACGAAGTCGTCAGGCCTTGCTCGGCGGCACCCTGCAACGGCGTCGGGCAACCAGGTCAGTTCGGAGTCACCTGTGCAGGGCTGATCGTCGGAACGCCTTGCTCGGTCGACGTCGTCAGGCCGTTCTGCTCGAGCGCGGCGGACAGACCTGCCGCAAGATTGGACGAATCTGCAAACGCACTGCCCTGCGCCGTGTGGAGCGTGACCCCCGTCCGTCCGACGCGTCCGAGCAGTCCAAGGTCGATGACGATGTCGACCTGATCGCCTGCAAGCCAGGAACCCTTTCGCCTGTCGAGACCCAACACGTTGGCAGGACCTGCACACAGTGTGTTGCGGCGTGTGACACCGACACTCGCCTGTGATGTTCAAAGCCTTGGGCGAACCGTTCTCGAGTTCGTAGACCAGCCGCCGCGAGCCCGCATGTCCCCAGAGCTCGCCAGCGAGAGGCGCGAAAACAATGCGCCTCTGCCACATGCTGTCACTCCTCGGGGCCCCGGCGAACGTGTCGCGGATGATGCCCCCAACTGCCCCGAGTACCGCCGCACCGCTCATCGCCTCAAAGCCCCCCGGTGCATCGTACAGCCAAGTTCGCGTGTCGAGCATGGCTGTGACCAGAATCACCCGCAGGCCTGATGCAGGGAGCCCGGACGACACGGCTGGCGCTGCCGACACAACCGAATGGCCAGCTATCGGAGCGCATGTCGCAAACGCGGAGGACGTGTCCAACAGGCAGCTTGAGGACGTCACCGGCGCGTTCGTCGACGGGTCCTTAGCTGTTGCGAACATGCGGGCCTGAATTTCGACGTACTGCAGGGTTCCCTGGAAGCCTTGGTCGTCGTTGAATCGCGCCCGCTGCAGTGCGACCTGCAAACGGGCTCCCGCGGCAGAACATTAGCCGCCGAGGCGAAGGTGCGGATGGACAGAGCAGGTGGTCTTCAGATCGTTGCACGAGGAAGCACCTCGGATGAAGCTGGCGACAGTCGCAGTATCGGGACGGGGAAAGAAGCAGAAGCCCATCCCTGACCGCTCGGGTTCCACACACGGTCCGACGCGTCAACCGACGTCCCTGCATGACGAGGCAGAGCAACATGTGGCTCAACGGTCGTTTCGGCTCACGTACGCGTCGCGCGTAGGTTCAGAGCCCCGCGCGAGATGGACGAGTGTGTGACACGTCGTCCTCGCCTGCCAGCGGAGTAGCGTCGAGCGGGCTCACGGGCCCTTGTGGGTCATCCAGAAGCACGACTGCTTCGACGCCCAAGTCCTCCCCGGCCGCAAGCCGCCCGAGAACGGATCTGCATGCGACCGCCCCCGACAGGAGCGCCACGCTGCCACGCCTGGGATCTTCGTCCGCCGAGGAAATGAGCTGCGGACACGTTGTGGCGACCACCGTACATTGTGTTGCACATCGTCAAGCAACGTCAAGGGAGGGACAATGCGACCGTGAGCACCGGGATCGCCACCAGTGCCGCGACACGCGGGGAGACGCGACGGGCGCAAATCAGAGTGCCTGCGACTCACGTGCAGGGGCCCGCGGCGTTCCAAGTTGCCCTCGGATGCGCATCCCACTGGACCTTGAAGATCGAAGCGCAGCACACAGCTGGAATGTTGTGCTTTTAAGAAAATCTCGTCCTGAAGATCACGAATGCTGGAGACGTCCGCTGCCGCAAGTGAAACGCTCGTGCACGCTACCAGGAGTGCCGCGAACAGAGGCACCGTCCAGCGGGCCGCAGCGGCGCACGAAGACGAGGTCAAACTTTGAAGGAACACCATGCTCAACCACCGCCTTCGTACATGCCGATTACGGCGACGCTATAAGGCGCTTCCCCCCCTGTTCCTCTCCCTGCTCTCCCGTCGTCAACGCAACGTTTTTGGCAGGCGCGTGCAGAGGGATTGACGGAGCGAAGCCAGTTCGGAACGATCGGATCGAAAGCGGTGCCGCTCGTCGATGCGGGAAGGGTCAGGGGAGGCAAACTGCCACTTGGAAGTGGAAGCGACGCGCGCAGCCGTGAAACACCGAACCGTCCAGATGCGGACCGCAGCCGCTGCAGGACATGATTCTGGTCTGCGCGACGGATGAGACGCCCACAAGGCCCGGCCTCGCGAGGTCGGAGCCGCCCGGAGCACTTGCTGGAGTCGGCATCAGGGGACGACCACGTCACACCGTGGGCCTTCATCACCTGCCTACGCCGCGTACCGGGCGAGACGGCCCGCCAGCCGTGTACTTGCTGGTCGCAGCGAGCTGCCGAATTCACGACGAGGCCTTCACGCTTTGCCAGCCTCGTGCCAGTGTGCAGCTGACTCTGAGCACTCAGAGATAACGGGGCCCCGGCGCACGCCGGGAAAGTACATCGCTGAGTCACCGAGCACATCGTGTCGACTCGTGGTGGAGGCGGACTCAACCACCGTGTGGAGGCGGGCTCGGGGCAGGACGCACTCCCGCCAGCACTGGCGCGAAAATCTGCCGCGTGAGGTCCGGGAATCACGCCCCTGTTGGCGCGGAAATACCGCACAATGCGCGGCGCCGACCATCGGGAAGAGGCCATGCGGGCGGTGGCGGAGATGGCTGGAGCTGAGGCAGAATCTGTGCACGTCGAGAAGATTTCCGGTGCGGCTGGAGACACGTGCTCGTGCGTGTGTGGAGTGGCGCGAAGGCAGGTGGGTCTGTCATGAACGTTCAAGCGCCCCCCGAACCGCGGTGCGCGCAGGTGCGTGGAGCAACCACGTGTTCATTGCAGCGGTCACCCAGGGCGACGCTCGGCAGGAATTCGTGGTGAAGATCTTCGGTAGCGGAGGCACCTCGGGCGGGGAGGACGAGGCCGCAATAGCAGAAGCAATGTCTCTGTCAGGCCAGGGGCCAAGGATTCTGTCGGTGTTCAACCGGGGGGAGGGGCGACCCTCCGGGAGGGTCGAGGAGTACATCCGAGGAGAGACGTTCAGCGCGGGGTCGTTCCGATCCTCCTGGGGTGCCATGGCTGGGCAGCTGGCGGCGTTCTACGCCCTTCTCTCTCAGCAAAAAATAAGGCCGCGCATGACCGTGTGGAGAAGAATGGCCCTCTCCATGCAACAGGCGGCCGAGTGCGCCGAGCAGGATTTCCTGAAGCGCAAGGCCCCTGACCTGAAGGACACCATCGCCCGGCTGGCCCCCGTCTGTCTCTCGCTGGAGGCTGACTTCAAGCGCAGGTATATGGACATTCCGGACGTGGTGTGCCACTGCGACGCCCACATGGCGAACTGGATCACGTGCGCGGGCCACGAGTCCGAACGCAGCACGGCTCTCCGGCTCATCGACTACGAATACGCTGCTGTCGGACCCTGGTGCGCACAAACCCATCTGATCGCGCACGCGGGGCAGGGAGTCTTCGTGCTGCGCCGCTTTGCGACGACGCAAGCATCACGCATCCTCCCGATCCCGCGCCGCAGCGTGTATGACCTTTCGAACTTCTGGGTGGAGTGTGGCTACGACTACAACGCGGGGGGTGGAGTGGGACACCTGCTTGATCCGTCTCGGATGCCTGACGAGTCGGAGCGACGTCAGCATGCAGAGCTGTTCCTAGACGCTCTTCGGCGGAAAGGCATCGTGCTGCCGCACTCTCCCGCAATGTTCGCGCAGGCCGCGGAGGTGCTTCTGGCCCTCTCACACCTGACGTGGGCCGCGTGGGCGACGAAGATGGCAGCCGAGCGAGGCGACGATGCCGAATTCGAGTACTGCGCATTCGCGATCGACAGGTTCCGCAACGCCGAGCGACTCCCGCCCGTTCAGCTTTGGTTGAGAAGCAATCACTAGCCACCACATGCCTTCACGTTGGGTGCAAGCAAGCGCTGGGGCAAAGTTCCACCTTGTAGAGAGAGGCGAGCGAGACTTGCTCGCTGGGACGTGTACAGGGCCGTCACAGAATCGCTCCTTCCCACAACCCCTTAGACGCACAGGTTCCCCTTGTTCCACTTGAAACCGATGAACCGCGAGCCGAACCACGTTACGAGCGCTGCGGAACGTGACGCACCGTGCGTCTTGTCGGTTCGTGCGCGATGCGGGCGACGCTGCCAATTCAATGGTGCGCATGATGTCGCGGCAAGGTCAACTGTGCCCACAGGGAGCCCTCTAGGAGGCAGACATGCATGACTTGCGCACGACGAGGCGCGGCGGCGAGGCGTCATACCTGCATAGTACACAGTAAGGCCCCACCAGACACCTGGCAGACCAAAGCCCAGGCTGTAACTCATGCCCAGGACAGCCAACCCGAACGATACCGCCCATGGGTAGGTGCCCACCTGCACACGGTCGGGACACGCGACTAGGTATGCACGTCAGTATCTGCCAGCACACTCGGTCGCAGTCCACGCGCGGGCGGCGGCGCAGCATGCAACGCACCACGTAGCCCTGGTCGTCCGACCCCAGCAAGCAACCTTCGAGGGCGTTGTTCCACGAGAAGGCCAACATCGCGCACGCCGGCAGCATCGCGCTCTGGACGATCTGGAACACCCCCTCGTCCTGGATAAAGATCCTTGGCAGGATGTCCTTCATGGCGAACGTGAAGACGGCGAGGACGAACGACGTCATGGCCCCCCAGAAGATGACGCGGTTCGCGACCTTGCGCGCGGGGACCGCGCCGCCCGTCTCGCTGCCGTAGACGTTGGCCACCATGGTCTGCCCGACGGAGAGGAAGGCCCATGTGACGTTCAGCTGAAGCTGCTGCAGCTGGTTGATGACCTGGTGCGCGGCGATCACCTTCGTGCCCAGGTTCGTCGCCACGATCGCCGCGAGCGTGTACGTCGTCAGGATCAGCACGGCTCGGACGGCCAGGATCTGGCACCGACCAAGGTACTTTCCCCAGTCCAGGCTCTTGAGCAGGGTGCCGACCTTGGACAGCGCGCTCGGTGGCCGCCGCGAGCTCGCGCGGCGCCGCTTCTGTGCGTCCTCGAGCGCCTGGGGGAGTCCGAACTTGCTGGAGTTCCGGTAGATGATGCCAATGAAGATGAGCACGCCGGCGTACTGCGAGATCGTCGTCGCCCACGCGGCGCCGGCGATTCCCCACCCGAAGGTGAACATGAAGAGCGGATCGAGGATGAGGTTGAGGATCCCGGCCGCGAGGACGACGAGGAACGGCGTGCGCAGGTCGAGGAGTGCGCGGAAGGCCGCCTGGAACGTCACCATCATCAGCGACGCCGGGATGGACAGGGAGCGGATGACGCAGTACGTCCGCGACGCGCCCAGCATCTCGTCGTTCACCTGGAACACCCGCAGGATATGGTCCGGAAACGCTTCGATCACGCCCGCGCAGATCAGACCGACCGCGAGCGAGACGCTCAGCGATGTCACCACCGCGCGCCCGATGCCGACCTTGTCTTTGCGGCTGTTCGCTGACGCGATTTGGTCCGTCGTGACGACGGCCATGGCCATGAAGGCAATGAAGAAGACGACGTTGAACAGAGCCGCGTTCGGGCCCAGCGCGGCGAGCTGCACGACGCCGAGCGTCCCCACGAACGCCGTGTCCACCAGCGACATCAGCGGGTCCGCCACGGACGCCCCCGCCGCGGCCAGCGTGTTGGACACCACCTCCTTGTCGATCTCGGTGAACATCTCCGAGCGCTTCCCACCACCCGCCGAACCCCTGCCGGCATCGCGAGAGAAGCCAGCGTCGCCCGCCGCGGCCTTCGAGATGTGCGTGGCCTGATGCTGCCGCCGGTGCGCGCGGGAGCTGCCTGGAAGGCGTCCCGGTGACAGGAAACCGTCGGTGCGCTGGAAGCCTGCGGGGGCAAGCAGGGCTCCAACGTCGTCGGTGTGGGCGAAGCAGCCGGTGTGTGCGTGGCCAGCGGGCGCGAGCAGACCGAGGACGCCTCACGGCATCGGCCCAGGTCGGTGGTGCGCACAGGGCACCGCTGTGAGGCCCTGAGCTGCGACAGATGTCGTGCGTACAGCGAGTGCCCTTCGCGTGAGACTCAAGGCTGCGGCGGCGGCCGAATGAAAGGTGGGCTCCCGGAACGCGCGGGCTCCGCAGTGCGCCTTGTTGCTGCACCAGGCGGCGGAATCGCACATGCCCGCCCTCTGTGCGGGGGGATGGCTGGCCCTAATCGGCCCTATAGTATGGCATCAGTGCGACATGACATGTGTTGTGGCCCCCAGGGGGCTCCATGGCGGGTCCATGGGCAAACTCCCATTCGGTGGCGCAGGACGTTGCACGCGGCGGGAGTGAGCGTGTCGTTGGCCGTTTCGCGGCGCCAGGGGATCTCGCTAGCTCACTGACGACAATGGGGGTGAGACTGATGCGACTGGCGCCGCAGGACGCGCGCGCAGACGGTGGTCGCCGTAAGAGGGTTCCCGGGCGCTGCCGTTCTTCCGTCGCTGCCGGTCCGCAGCATCGACCGGAAAATACTCGTCACTGAATACATTTCTTGCAGCGCGCGGGACGCCGCTCGGTCGCAACGACGTGCACCGGGGCGCCTCGGGCCGAAGAGGCTTGGATAGGTTCTTGCCTGGATGCAACGCCGCCATTTCCGAGTCATGCGGCCTCTGGCTCGCCGGCATGACAGCTTGACGAGGACCGCCGCCCTGCGAGACCGTCTGGCGCGCCTGGCCGAGGGATAGGCCGGCAGATTTCCGGCAGCTCCTGAAACTCTGAGGTGGCAGCGGCTGCGCCTTGCCGCTGAAAAGCATGCTCGGCCGGTGCGAGGGGAACATCAGAGTGCTAACTATCCGACCGAGGCTGTGCGCCGGGCATCCGGGTCGCCAGCGAGACTGCGCGCGGCTCGACAGCAGCTGCGCTCTCAATCCTCGTATACGTTGCCTCGCAGCGGGGGGGGGATCGGGAGCGAGAAGCGCCGGACGCGGAACACTGCCGGGCACAGGCGCTGAACGAGCCGAGAGTTGCGAGCAGCGCGCGTCGAGGCCGCCCTCGAGCCGCCGCAGCGCCCCGCGGCGCGGGATGTACGAGGCTGGACCGCGGACTCCCCCGGGCACGTGCGCGGTCGCTGCAAGGGGGGTCGGCAGCTCGCTGCGCAGGCGCGGAGGTGGGACCGTGTCCACTGACTGCATTTCACAGCGCGGCGGGGGCAGCGGCTTCCCCGGAAGGTCACCGGCCGGCTGAGTGCCCACAACGGCGGGCGCGCTACACCAGGACGTGCCGGAGCTCACGACGCCGCGCTCCCGGGGTCCGCTCGGACGCCCGCCCCGTGCTCGTGCCTCGCGCGGTAGGACTGGAACATGAAGTGCTGCACGTCGTGCGCCCACGACCCCGGACTGGCCCCGCGCAGGCCCTCCAGCGCATCGAGCGAGCCGTCCGACATCATGCTCGTTCCAAGAATCTCGTGGCCGACGCCGACCGCACAGAGCTCCTCGACTCCGCTGCTGATCCGCCGGCCGACGTGCAGCGCCAGGTGCGACGGCTGCTGCCAGCTCATGTGCTCGGCAAACACCTCCGCCAGGTCGCCCAGGGCGCCCGCCTCGGAGCCGGACGGCGCCGGCCCGGCGCGCACGGGCCGCGCCTCCGCGTCCTCCGCGCCCTCGCCGGCGCCGGCGTCCTCGCTGTCGGAGCTCGACGTGCTGGCAATGCCAATGGTGTCCGTGGGACGCGTGCGCGCGGCGTACAGCCCCACCGCCGGGGTGTTCCGCAGCTCGCGCGGACCGAGCGGGCCGGGTGCAGGGATGGGGCTGTGCGGCGACGCGGCCTCCGGGGAGCAGCACAGCACGTCGCTGAGAAACACCCCGCGCTCGACGTCCAGGCTCCCCGGGTACTCCGCCTCGCGCCGACTTTGGCCGCCGCCGCGCCCGCGACCCTGCCCGCGGCCGCCCGAGGTCGGCTGTGGGGTGCGCTTCCGCGGCGGCGCGGCCACGGCGACCGCGGGCGACCGCGGGATGAGGGTGCTGGGTGGCGCTGCGCCCGCCGACGGTGCCGAGCACCCCGGCCGGGCGTCCGTGGGCGGTGCGATTACGCTCAAGACGGGCGGGGTGCTCGCGGCGGGGACGACCGGGCCCGCGGGGACCGGCGACGACACTGGGGGGAGGACCGTGAAGGGGAGGGGGGCGGGCAGCGGCTCCACGGGCGCGGGCGTGCTTGGCGGGGCGACGTGGAGCGTGGGCATCGGGAGCCCTGCGAATGCGTCCTGAGCGGCTGCGGGTGTGTCGCGGGCGGACGACGGCCGCGACCCGCCCGACCCTGCGTACACTCGCTGCGCGCGGGTGCGCATGCCCCCGTCCCGGCGCTCGACCTGGCGGCGGATCGGGTTCTGAGGGATCGCGCCCCTGATGGCCTCGCTGTCCTGGTTGCGCGTCTTCTTCTCCCGCCCGGTCGAGGCCCGCCGGAGGCTGTACCCTGAGGGGCCCGCAGCGATGGCGGGAGCCCGCGCGGCGGAGGGCGGCCGGTCCGTCGTGGGGATGCCCGCCGCGGCCAGGTCCATCACCTTCGCGCAGGGCTTGCCCTCGGGGTTCCCCTGGGCGCTCTGCACGTCGGGGTAGTAGAAGTTGGTCTGTGCCATGGGCCCGCGGATGGCCAGCGCGGCCGCGTCGTAGGCCATGGCCGCCTCCTCCGGCGTGTCGTAGGTGCCGAGCCAGCGCCGCGTCGACTTGTTCGGGTCGCGGATCTCCGCTGCCCACTTGCCCCAGGGGCGCTGCCGCACGCCGCGATGGGCCACTCTTGGCCAGGCCTTCGCGTCACCGTGCGCGTCCGGGGGCAGGCCCGGCGCCGCGACCGAGGTCGGTACCTGTGGGATCTCGCCGGTCTGCGCGGGCCACATCTTGAGCACCGGCACGTCAGGGCCGGGGAGAGCGCCAGGCGGCCACGGTGCGCCCGGGGGGAACACAACCGGCTGCCCTGCTCCCGCAGCGGCAGCCTCGCCGCCCGCGGTGGCGGGCACGCCCCCGGCGGCGGTCGCAGCCTGCTGCGCGTCCGCGACGGGGGGCGCCGCTCCGTTCCCCGTGGCATGTACTGGCGAAGCGCCAGCGGTAGTGTTGCCAGATGCACCTGCAGAACAGCCGCGAGCCACGAAGAGACCCTCGGCGATCCGGGCGCGGCCGCACGGTAGATCGTGCGACACGCCGCGCCGGCAGGGGACCCAGTGCGCACACAACAACAACACGCAGCACTGCGGCCATGTTGCAGGCAGCCAAGGGGCGCAGGCCGGCCGCGATCTGCAGTAAGGACCCGTACGCGTCGCCGATCGGATGCGTACCTACGCATACGTCCCCTGTGCTGGCGCTGCGGCCAGAGTCGCGACTGACGTCGGCCGCATCCTGCGGTGCACGTGTCTTCGAGTCATGCGCGCCGGCCGCCGCGCGCTCGTCGCCCGGCCAGTCGCTGCAGCCACTCGCCCCGCGGGCCACTGCGGAGGGGGGCACGGGCGGGTGCGGCCGTCAGCCCGGACGTTGCGCCGCGGGGGGGGAAGTTGCATGTCCGCGCGATCCTGGCGCAGAGCCGGGAAGGTCTCCGTGCCCGAGCGCGCAGCAGGGCGCGCGCAACGCTTCACAGGGGGGTGCGGTCCCGTTACCTGCCGTGTGCCCGCGGGATTCCGGCGGCCGCACATGTGCCTGGCCCGGCGGTGGTTGTGCGCCTGGATCCGCCGGACCGCCCTCTTGTGCCGCGCTGGCCGTGCCTCGGAACTCTATTCGAGTGCCTGCGGTGAGTTTCTCCAGCAAGGCACGCGTGAGGACTACCGGCCGCGTCTGTGAGCCGCAGGGCTGGTTGGAGAGAGCTGCCCCCGCTCTTTCCGGGCGATTCTGGCCCGATGCTCGGACCATCGGCATTTCTCGCACTGGTTCATGGCTGGCGTGCAAGCCAAGGCGCGATTATCACCGCTGCACGGCCTCGAGGACCTTATCATCTAGGCTCAACAAGCAGCGCGCCGAAAACACGGCAGCGCGCGCCCACAGCGCAGCGCACAGCCGCACGTCGATGCAAGACGTCCCGGAGATGCGGCGCGCGCGGGTTTCGTTGGACTGTCGCTGCGGAGGGCGGCCCGCGCGGCGGGCGCCGTCGCAGGTGAGTTGCTGGGCTGGCGCCCTTGCCGCGGCTGGCTGCGTCCTCCAATCACTCCAAATCCTGGCCAACGCGCGGATCTTTCAAGTTCTAGCGGGATCGTACCTGAATCAGGGGTCGTCAGCTGCTGGCAGCCCGCCGTGAGGGCGAAGGGCGGATTCGCGAATGCGGGGTGCACTGGAAGAGGCGGATGGCCGGCGCCGATGCCTGGTGCCCACAACTGGACGCCTGGCAAGTTGGGGGCGCTTGACTGCGCGAGCGGGGGCTGCGGCCCCGCAGCCACGAAGGCGCCAGGCCTGGATGGCGACCCCATAGGGGCCGGCGAGGTGCAGGCGCCTCTTGCCGCGGCTTGGGGGCCTATATGCATGGGCTCTGTCGCCATGTCTACGCTCTATCTCGCGTTCTGTCCGAAAAAAGGCCTCTCATGCACGTTGGGCGGGGGCGGGCTGCGCGGCACGCGATGATGCAGGCTGCTAGGAACACACGCTCGTCGGCAGCCCAGGGGGTGCACCGTCACCGCAGGCGCGTGGTGACAGAAGGCCGTGCTGATCAGGGGGCGACTTGCGTGGGCGCGCCTGCGTCACCGCGCCATCACGCCGCCGGCACTCGACACGCTCAGCTGGGACTGACGTACCCTCAGGTGTTGGGGGCACCCTCCCGCTCCGTGTGCCGTGGACGCTGCGTGCGCGGCCCACTGTTCAGACGCAAGGTCACCTCCACAAACTTCGCGAACCTGGGGGCAACCGCCTCAACCTGCGGCGATGCCAGCTGGCACTTCCCGCGTCCGTCGGGAAACACGCGCTGTCTTGGCGAATTCCCTCTCCGGGCTCGCCCCCCCGATCTACCGGTGCAGCTAGCGGGTAACCCGGGGCAGTGTCGCGCGTGTACGGAACCATGTCGAGCTCCCTGGGCGCTAATGGTACGCTCGCAGCGAATATCGCCAACTCCTCGAACGAAGACCTGAAGGCGATGGTGCGAGGACTCGAGCACGAGCAGGCTGCGATCGACTTGGAGGTGAGCTGGTGCCCCCACGGGCGAGCAGCGTCTTTACGCGCGCAGGCTTTGACCGGCAGAGAGAGGCATCTCCGCCCCAAGCTGCGCGCCGCGTTCGCCGCACGACTCCCGCAGTGTACGAAGCCCCGCAGCACAGAGCCTGCGGCCGGCCGGCAGAAAGCCATTGAGAGGCGCAGGAAGGAGCTCCAGGCGAAGGCTGAAGCACGGAGGCGCGCGGAGCAGGAGTTCAGCGCGGCGACGTCCTCAGCCGCCCCGAGCACCTCGAACGGCCAGAATCACTCGATCGTCAGCTCTCCGAACGCGCTTTCGGACGCCACTAGTGTGCGGGCCGGCGCTGGCGACGTCCAGGGCGACGCGCAGTTTGGCGTGAGCTCTCCAGGCCACGGTCTGCGGCTCACGAACCACGCCCTGCGCCGTTCGCCCGACCGCCGCGCGGCAGCGCGATCAGGGCATCCGCGCGACGCTGCCAGCGCCGACACGGGCTCGCCTCCCGCACGCGGCAGGCCGCCGAGTGCTGCGCACCCCGGACTAGCAAAGCGGGCCTCCTCGCGGCGGCACGCCCCGGAGGGGTACGCGAGGTCCGCGTCGCTGAAGCGAACAAACAGCAACGCAGCTGCGCACGACGCGCGCGAGCGTCCGGCGGCCCCCCGCCCGGCGCGCTCCACCTCCCGGAGCAACCGCGGCACCGCGGGCAGACGCGCGCGCCGCGCGGCCGGCCCACCGGGCCGGGCGGCGCACAGGGCGGCGCCCGCGGGGACGTACACGCCGGCGGCACCGCCCGCGGCCGCCAGGGTGCCCCCGCTGCGCTCCCGCTCCCAGCAGCAAGTTGCTGTGTCCGCGAGCAGTGCGCCGCGCGACGGCAGCCGCCGCGCCCGGACGAGCATCGACAACGGTGCGCGCAGTCGGTCGGAGGAGGTGGCGTCGGCCGAGACGCCGGCGTCGGCCCCGCGCACGCGAGAGAGAGACTTCGAGGCGACGGTGTTGGGGCGGCGGGTGGTGGCTCTGTCTGCGGAGTGCGACGCGGCGTTGCGCGAGGTGGACGAGCTACAAGAGTGGGTGGTACTGCAGCCGAACTTCGAGGCGCTGCAGCTGGAGCTGCTGGACGCGTGCTCGCGGGTGACGGGCGCGCGGCAGGCGCTCACGCAAGCGGCCGCGGCGCCCGGGGCCCGGAGCACGCGCGCGTCGGAGGCGGGCGGGGCCGGCGGGGCGATGCGCAGCAACACGCTGGGGTACGCCACGCAGATGCTCCGCGAGGCGCACAAGACGCTGCAGAAGCTGCGCGTGCTGACCGACCACGGGCGGGACGCCTACCTGTCGAGCCCCGCGGGGCCCATCGAGCACCAGCCGAGCCAGGGGCAGCAGGGGTTCCGGTTCCTGAAGCGCGGCGGAGGCACGATGGCAGCCCGCCCCGGCGAGCGCGACGGCGCGCGCCCCATGCGCAACGGCGCTCCCAGCGGTGTGGTGCCGCGCATCCCGCTGGGGTCGGGGCCGCGGCTGCCGGGGCGGCGCAAGAGCAGAGGAGGCAGTCGGAAGATCCTGCTGGACCCGAAGGAGGTGCTGGATGACGACGGGGAGGGTCCTGCGCCGTCGTTGATGGCGTCGCACGTGCTGGAGACGAAACCGGTGCTGGAGAGCCCGCCGTCGGAGGCCGCGGGGAGCGACAGCGGGACGGACACGTTCGGGGTGCGACGCGAGCGCGGGAGCGACGCCGGGTCGATGGCGGGGTGGGGAGAGGAGTCTGGTGGGGCGGCTGCGTTGTTCTCACCGGAGCTGGTGGCGGAGCGGCTGGAGGTGCTGCGCGCGCGCATCGATATGCTCAAGGAGGGCCGCGTGCCAGACAGCTCGCAGCCCGAGCAGCGGTCCGAGGAGGGGCACGGGCCGAAGCGGCGGTTCTCGCTGCGCACCGTGGGCGCCATCGTCGGGTTCGTGGCGAACGGGGCGGGGAAGGTCGTGGGCGGGGCGGGCGCCGTGGTGGGTGCGGTGGGCGGGGCGGTGGGCGGGGCGGTGAACGGGGCGGTGGGCGGGATGCTGCGGCGGGAGTCGCGGGACACGGCGGAACTAGAGCCCGAGAGCGCCCAACATTAGGAACCACCGACTGCATTGTTCGTTTGCACGACACGCACCGTTCGCGTATGCGCCGATCAGCACGGTGCCGGTGGTCGCGGATTTGTCGGAGGCGGCGTCGAGGGGCTCGGCGGCCGACGCGCTGGAGGCCGCGCAAGCGGCGGCCGACCGGATGAGGACCTTCGCGAACCAGAGGCAGGCGGCAGTTCCGGATGCTGCGGCGCAGGCGGGGAGGCACAGGATCAACGCCCGGGCGCTGGCGGAGTGGGCTGCGCCGGCGACGACGAACGCGGCCCCGGGCCCGGGGATGCCGTCTCGGCAGGGGAGGCGCCGTGCGGCCGGTCCGTCGCGGTCCCGGAGCCCCCGTCCACCGGACAGAGGAGGTGACCGACTCTCCGGCGGACCCAGCGCACGCGATGCGTCGCGCCGATGGGCCGTGGGGTTGTAAGACACACATGATGCCCGTCACGCTGCGCGGTCGGAGTCACTGTGCCGCATCAATCGTCTAAGTCACTGTGCCGCATCAACACCTCCCCCGCCACTGCACGCAACTCGGGGTGGGGGGTGTCTCCCCGGCTTCCGCGCCTCGCCCGGCGTCGCCTCCGAGCGCGCCCGCGCCGCCCCCGCACTACGCCCAACAGTCGCCGGGCATCTTCCGCCTTCACCGGAGGCACCCCAGGTGCGGCCCCCCAGCCTGCTGCTCCCGCTCTCTGCTGCTCCCAACGAACCGACGCGGGTCCCCAGATGTTCGGACGAGGGCCCCGGAGGGGTCGATCATCGCCCTGTGCGGCCCCCGCGCGGCGCTCCGCCCGCGCGCGGGCGTCGCGCGCGACCGGAACGCAGCGGGAAGCGAACAGACACTGCCCGATCCCCGCCCCACGGACGATCCGATGCCCCGCCCCCCCCACGCACCCGGCGCCCCATCCAGTCGCCATGGCCCGCCCGCACACTCCGCGCGCCGCCCAGCGCGCCGCAGGCCGTCGGACGGAGCTACACAGCGCGCGCCGAGCAGCGGCTCGCGTACCTACAAGGCAAGTGCGGGGGCCGCTTTCTTTGATCTCCGGGCCACGTCCTCCCGCAGTCATCAATGTTGCCGACATGTTGGTTATTTCACAACGTGCAAGGGGGGCTCGAGGGGCCCGCGAGCGCGCCACGACCCCTCTCTCGCCACCGCGCTGCCCCGGCTCCCCGCGGCTTCATGCCGCGTCGTCGCGGCGTTGAGGCGCGATCTCCGACGCGATCCCGACGAACTGTTGGTTGTACTCGAGTGTCCGCGCGAAAGACGTTCCTGAGTCGCACGCACAGCGACGGCGCGGACGACATTCCCCCTCCAGCCAACCTCGCCCCCCGCAGCGCGCTCATCGACGCCATGGCGATGCAACACGCCTTCTCACCTGCTCTGTATCTCCACAGACTTCGAAACAGTCAGCATGGACGGCGGCAGCGAGTCGAACGGCGGCCCTGCGAGCGGGTCTGGGAGCGCCGTTGCACCCACACAGGTCTACGACGACGTCGCCGCGCCGGAGGTGGAACAGGCGGCCGGGCCCTCCGAGGCGGAGGTTGTGCAGGCAGAGGCCGAGGCGGCGGCGGCGAGGACCATCAACACGGCGTTCACCAATGCGCGTGACCGGGGAGCGTTGCAGGGGTCGTGTCTTGGGGCGTCTTCTGGCAGTCCTCGCAAGTCCCGGCCTCCCTGCGAAACCAAACTGGCGCGCGGCCCATTCAGGGCGTCCAGGACACCTCAAACGTGCTCTCATCGTCAGTCGCGCGAGGAGCCAGGCCGGCACTCACCTCGAGAAGCCGTTCTTGACGACGTCCGCAACCTCCTTGCGCACTGCTTTGCGCACCGCCGATGCACGTTCCTCTGGGAGCGGCTTTCCGTCCGCGCCCAACACGCGCGACGGTTGTTTTGACGGTACTTCTTGCGACTTCCCCGCAGACTGCTCGTCCGCTCCTGTCTCCGCGCTCCGGAAGGGGTCCTGAAGGCGGCAGAGGGCGGATGGCGGCCGCATTCCCTGTCGCTCGCCGTGCACGAGGTCGTGGGCGTACTTCTGCAACGATGTCAAGAAGCACCTGGAGAGCTTCCAGGTGTCGCAGAAGTACGCCCACGACCTCGTGCACGGCGAGAGACAGGGAATGCGGCCGCCATCCGCCCTCTGCCGCGTTCAGGACCCCTTATGGAACGCGGAAACAGGAGCGGACGAGCAGCCTGCGGGGAATCGTCCCGCGCGTTGTTGAAGTCCGGCACCGACACCCACGTCCCCGGGCGGACCACGCGTCGCAGCTCGCTCAGCGCTCGGGAAACCCGGTTTGTAAGTCTCAGTCTGACACGTTGCGCAGGTCCGACACGTTGCGCAGGCCGTATCCGATCGTGGCGCAGTCGAACGTCTCGTCCGGGAACGGCAGCGCCATCGCGTCGCCTTCGATCCACCGCACCGTTCGCGTATCGTACGGTTTTACGCAAAGCACAGATGTGACGACGACGACGGTTGAGTTCACATCTTGGCTGCTTGGGGCGCCGGCCCACCGTCCGCTGCGAGTCAGAACCCGCCCTCGTCCGCGCTAGGTTGATTCGGATCGGGTGCGGTGCCGAGGTACACTTCGTGCGCCACCGCGAGCGGCACGCTGCCCCCGGAAGTGCTGTCTGCCCCGACCGACAGCACCATGTGCCTGTCCCCGCCGAGCACGGGCCTTAGGAGCGCCGCGGCGCGCAGCCCCACGGACGCCTGCAGGGCGGGGCGGTCGAGGAAGGACCGCAGCCACTCGAGCCACTCGAGCAGCTCGTCCATGTACCGCTCGTCGCCAATCTGCATGATGCCCGCCTCAGACACCAGCCCCTGCACCGCCCGCACCATGCCCGCGGGCGACATCAGCGTGTGCGCCTCCAGCAGGTGCAGGTGGATCTCCGCGCGCGACATGGGGGACGTACGGAGCGACAGCTGCATGTGCTCCTTGCGTGCACTGGCCGCGCCCGCGCGGTCGCCGTCGGCCCCAGAGGGCGCCTTCGCGGGGGCCTTGACGACGCGGCAGTCCAGCTGGCCGACTTGGCTCGCGCCGACGAGGCACGCGCGCACCGCCGCGAGCAGCGCCGCCTCCACGCCCTCCCGCCCCCTGATGGGCCCGCTGTGCTGCCCCGGCGACGCGTCCGCGAGCGCCCGCATCACCTCGTGCACCACCGACGACGCACCATCCGCGCCGTTGCGCGCCTGCTGCAGCGCTCCGCTCCCGGAGTCGGCGATCACGCGCGCGACCTCGTCTGCCGCCACCGACAGGGACCGCGCGAGCCGCTCCGGGATCACGTGCAGCGACGACTGCAGCCCCTTGAGCCGGATCTGTGCCATGTGGCCCGAGATGAGCCCGAACCGGCGGTTCGGCGGCGGCGACCCATACAGGTCGGGCACCCAGATGTCGAACGTCGCCAGCCCGTCATCGTCGATCTGCCGCGCGACCGGCACCTCGACGGCGAGCGGGCCCGCGTACGTCACGTCCCGGACGGCCGCGTGGATGCCGTCGGCGTGCGCGAGCGCCGACGCCGACCCCACGGCGCCCGAGTGGAAGGTCTCCTTGAACTTGGACAGCCCCGACGACACCCCCATATACCACTCCCGCAGGTCGTCCAGCTCGATGCCCAGGCCCCGCAGACCCCCGGGCTTGGCCGGAGCTCCGTCGGCCGGCGCCCCCGAGGGGTCGCTGGGCTGGCGTCCCTCCTTGAAGGCCTCCTCCGCCCACCGCATGCTGGCCTTGTAGATCTGCGGGGGAAGGGCGCGGGGGGCGCACTCGTCGGGGTGCTCGGGAACGTGCACGTGGATGGGGCGGGCGGTGCCGGGTGCCGCCTGGCCTGGCTGGCGACGGGGGCGGCGGGCGCGCAGGTGGCATGCGCATGCGTGTACAGGGCGCGTGCGTACCTGCAGCATAGCCTCGTCCAGGTCCGCCTCGACGTGCAGGTGATCCAGTCGCGCGCGGATGCCCATGGGCTGCATCACCGCGCGCGTCACCGGCCCGGCAACGAGCGCTGCGAACCCCCCCTCGCCAGGCCCCGCCGCGTCCGGCACGCGCGACTTCTTCGCGAAGCACCGCCACGCCGCGTCGAGGCAGCTGCACACCGACAGCCAGTACTGCTTCCCGAACGGCGCGCGCCGCCGCAGGAACCGCCCGAGGTTGGCGATCGACATGGGCACGCCGTCGATCTCCAGCATGTCCCACGCGCGCCCGAGCGCCTCCAGGGCCGGCGGGCTCAGCGACAGCACGCGCCCGGCCTCCGCAGCCTCGATCGCGCCGGCGCCCATGAGCCCCCCGCCGCCGTGCGCGCCAAGGCGCTGCCGCGACAGCACGCACTCAATGACACGGTGGGGGAGTCCAGCGAACGAGAAGGTCGCACCAGCCTCGAGCGGCACCCGCACCCCGTACGACCGCGTGCGGTCCCAGGGCCCCGCGTGCGGCCCCCCGGGCGGCCCCTGCGGCGCGGGCACGCAGCGCAGCAGGTAGTCCCCCAGCTCCGGGGGCACCACGCGCGTGAAGAAGCGCTCGAGGACCTTGGGGAGGACCTTCGAGAGCACGAGCTTGATGATGGCGTTCGGGACGGGGATCGACGCGCCCACGATCTCCTTCGTGATCTCGCGCACCGTGAACTGCACGCCCTTGGGCATGCGCCACCCCGCACCGTACTGGTACACCATCTCCGCGTGCAGGTCGAGCCCGACGCGCAGCGCGAGCTTCTGGATGTTGAAGTCCGGGACCATCGTGCCGGCCTCGCCCTTGATCAGGAGGCCCTCAAGGGACATGTCCAGCAGGAGGTGCTCCTCTGGGGGGCACACCACGTCCGTGGCCGACAGCTTCGGGAGGATGCGCTGGGGCGGGTCCGGCGCCGGGGACGCGACGCGCTGCCTCGCGTCGCCGTCGACGGGCGGCCGGGACGCCGCTGGCTTCGGCGCGGCGGCGCGTTGCTGTGCGGGAGGGGGAGCGAGGCCCGGCGCCCCGGCGGGCGACGCCCGGCGGTGGTCGTCGTCGTCGCTCGACGCCAGCGCCTCGAGCGTCTTCGGGGACAGCGGCCCGGGCCCGGATACGGCCAGCGGGGGCCTGGCATTCCCGGTGGCCTTTTTCTTCACTCCGGTGAGCCACTTGGAGAACTTCCCGGCCTTCTCGGGGGGGGCGCGGGGCCGCGCGCCGCCCTTGTTCAGCCAGGGACTGCCGCTGGGCGGCCGGCCCTGCCCGACCCACGACGGCCCGAACCCCCCGGCAGCGCCACGGGCCTGCGGGTGCTGCTGGGCCGCCTGCGCGCGTGGGCCGTCCGTTCCGTCCGAGTCTGCGCGAGTCCTGGCCTCGCTCCCGGCGGTCTGCGCGGCGGTGGACATCGCGCTGCCCTCCATGCGCGACTCGCCCGCGACCGACTCGATGTCGTCGTCGTCGTCGAGCACCGCGTCGCGGAACCACGCGTCCTCGAGCGTGCCGTCCGCCGTGGGCGCGATGGACGACGACGACGTCTGCCGGCCGATGGAGTTCGCGGGCGAGGCGCGGCCGGCCGTGAGGTCCTGCGAGGCGCGCGAGCTGTGCGCGGCCGCCCCGGAGGCGCGTTTCCGCAGCGCCTGCACGGGGCTGGCCTGCGCCGTCGCCCCGAGCGTGTGGTGCGAGGGCAGCCGCGCGCCGGCGGGCTGGTGGTCGGAGCCCCCGGCGGCGGGCGGCGTCGCGATGGTCCCGTGCTTCTGTCCGATGTGGAAGGACAGGAGCGCCGCGGGGACCCCCTTGCTGCTCTTCAGGCCCGTGGTGGCGCGGCAGTGCAGGTTCCCGCCGATGTGGCTGACCGCGATGTTCTTCGCGCCCCCGTACACTCCCCCGGACCCGAACTTGAACGAGTACCCGTCGATGTCCGGGCAGTAGCACCGCCGCTTGATGTCGTCAATCTTCTGCACCGTCAGCACCAGCATCTGCTTCAGGCCCGTCAGCTGCCGCCACCCGGCCTCCTCGATCTCCCGGTGCGACGCCGCGGCCTCCGAGGCCTTGATCGCCGCGTGCAGGTCGCGCACGTCCTCGCGCAGGATGGCCACCGTGTCGCGCTGCACCGCGATGCGCGACTCGCACAGCGTCACCTCCTGCGCCCCCGGGTCCGCCCCGCCGCGGTGCATCTCCGCGAGCCGCGCCACCGCCTCGTGCGCGTCCCGCTCGCACTCCGCGATGCGCTCCTGCAGCCGCGCCACCTCCGCGCGCATCGCGGCCGCGTCCAGGTCCTCGGGGCCGACGTCCTCGGGCTGCGCGGCGCCCGCGGGACTGCCCTGCCGCTTCCGGAAGCGCGCGCGCAGCCACGCCTTGGACCGCGCCGCGCCGCGCCCCGCCGACTGCTCGCGGTCCTTGCGGGCCGTGGCAATGAACTGCGCCAGGCTCTGCTCTGCCGTGTGCATCTGCATCTTGAGCTCCTTCACCGTGCCCTGCGAGCCGTGGCGGTGGGCGGCGTTGCGGTCTCCGCCGCCCTCGGGCAGGCCATGGGCGCGGCGCGCGGCGGGGCGCGCGCAGGCACACCTTGAGGCCAGCGACGGTCTGCTTCAGCACCGCGTGCTCCTCGTTCCACTCGGCGGCCCGCCGCCGCTCCATCTGCTGCAGGAGCTGCGATCGGACATGCGGAGGGGCGGCGAACATGGATCGGCTGGCGCAACTGGTCGGTCTAGCACATGGCGGGGCAAGCGCGCAGCCGAGCGCTTCTGCACTACCACGACGTCATTCTCCGCACGAACAGCGCCGCGGGGCATCAATGAGCATTCCCGTGTGCGCGGTCCCTCGGGGACCTGCTTCGTGCCGCGGTGGTGACCGCGCGCTCCTTGCTGCACGCGCATTCCCCACGCTGAGGTGCGCATGCCTACCTGGTTGAGCCCCTGGTACTGCTCCTTGATACATGCTAGCTGCTCGTTGACTTCCATGTTTCCTCACGCTTCGGGCGCCGGCGGGGAGACCCCAACTCTCCTTGGAGAGAATTCCACCGCCGCGGGCGCGCGTGAGGCCGCGCAGCTCCCCTCTTCCCGTCGACAACTCCACGTTTGAGATCCCAGTCGCAACTGCAATGCGCCCCGCGACTGCATCAAGCTGTCAGCCCCTCGGCAGGCCACCTCCCCTGTTGCAAACCACCAGGCATCGTGATCCCGACAGGTGCGTGCACCGCGAAGCGTCGAACCAACCCCCCACGCTCTCTCTCGACCGCACCCGCCGGCCGTCCTGTGCGTGGCGTGCGCAGCGACACCTCGACGTGCCACGGGGCGTGCAAGCAGCTGGGGCGCGTTGGACTGCATTGTGCATCACCTGGGAGCCAGGCGGGGCCCTGCGACTGGCCCTAGGTCCGACGAAAGCGGGGAGCACTGTCAGCGCAGCAGCCCGTTCGCCCACCCCGCAGCTGCCCGATGCGTGCTCTCACACGCGGCGTGTGCGCATCGTGATGGGTGCGCCCTCCGCCCCCTCGGTCGATGCGCGGAGCGCCACATGTACGATCGCGCGACTGTGCGAGGCCGCGTGTCGTGGTCCCGACAAATCGCCGCCCCCCCCCCCACGTCCCTGGGACTGCCCTGTTCGCGGGGGGGGCCAGGAACAGATCCCAGAGCCCGTGCCTCCCGCGGTCCAGGCCATGGGCCGCCGTTGCGGCGTGCGCCGCGAGAGGCGCGGAGTCAGGAGAAAGGGAGAGCAACCGCTCGAATCCTGCACGTGCGCCCCGGACGATCGCAGTGGTGAGGGATGGGCGGTGGTTCCAGCACCGGGCCTCCGTTGCCCTGGTACAAGACCTTCGGATCCAGCGCTATCGCAGCATGCACTGCCGAGGTACGAGCCCATGCTGTGCGCGGCACCATGGCGCCAGGGGTGGGTGCGGCCTGTGGGCCTCGGCTGGCCCTTGCTGGTGCCCATCGCGCTGCCTGCCAGCCCAAGTCAGGCGCTGGTCGCGTGGCGCTGCACGGCCGACCGCATGCTCCGGTCAAGATGCGCAAGGAGCGCGCAATGCGCGGCCCGAGAGGCCTGATGGCGGACCGCAAAGCCCGGTGCACTTTGCCAAGGGCAGTTTGCCAGCGCCCCGTTCACGACCTTCCCTCCGCCCACACGCCTACCTCATCATCCAGCCTGGCCGCATCTTGCGCTGACACGCTGCGTTCCTGCGACGCCGCGGCCGCCTCGGCGCGGCACGCAACACGCGCGAAGTCCATCCTGCTCACACTCGTCCGTTTCCTGGCCGCAGATCCTCACGCTGCCGATCGACACCGCCAAGGTGAGGCTCCAACTTCAGAAAGGTGGGGCCGCCGAGGCCAAGTATAAGGGCATGTTCGGCACGATGGCCACCGTGGCGAAGGACGAGGGTCCCGCCGCGCTCTGGAAGGGCCTCGTCCCGGGGCTCCACAGGTGCGCAGCGGGGGCCCGGCGCGCACGCGCAGCACCCGGCGCAGGGACGCCGCACCGCGGACGGGGCGCGCGAGTTCACCGCGCAACCGTGGGCTGCACCATGCTCCACTGCGCCAGGCCCCGCGCCTCGCCCACGGCGCACCCACGCCCACGCTGTGCGTCGCAGGCAGTGCCTGTTCGGCGGGCTGCGGATAGGCATGTACGACCCCGTGAAGCGGTTCTACATGGGCGACATGCCCGCGGACGCTGCGCCGCCGCTGCACCTGAAGATCGCGGCGGGCCTGACGACGGGCGGCCTGGGCATCCTGATCGCGAACCCGACGGACCTGGTCAAGGTCCGCATGCAGGCGCAGGCGAAGCTCCCCGAGGGCGTCGCGCCGAAGTACCCCTCGGCGGTGTCAGCGTACCGCATCATCGCGCAGGAGGAGGGCCTCCTGGGGCTGTGGCGCGGCGTGGGCCCGAACGTGGGGCGCAACTCGGTCATCAACGCGGCGGAGATGGCGACGTACGACCAGTTCAAGGAGTTCTTCTTGTCGATGGGCATGGCGGACGGCGTGGGGTGCCACGTGCTCTCGGCGCTGGGCGCGGGCTTCGTCGCCGTGTCCGTGGGGTCGCCCGTGGACGTGGTCAAGTCGCGCATGATGGGGTCGAGCGAGTACACGGGCGTCCTGGACTGCTTCGCCAAGACGCTGAAGAACGACGGCCTGTCCGGGTTCTACAGGTGCGGTGGACAATCGACGCCCGCGCTGCACGTGACTGTCTCGCGTGCGGATACCCCGCCGTTGTTGCCGCTGCCCAGCCACCCTCCCCTAGCCACTGCCAGCGTCGGTAGATGCGTTCGTCCGGCCAAGTGTGCTCCAGCCCTCCTTCTTGCACCGATGACGTCGAGCGCTCGTGCTCGTTTCACTCCAGGGGGTTTTTGCCCAATTTCGGGCGTCTGGGGAGCTGGAACGTGGCAATGTTCATGACGCTGGAGGCCGTTCGCGCCAGGATGTCTGCGTGAGCCGCGCGCCTGTGAGACTGGGACACGAGCGTGCGTCCCACTGGCGTTCGGGACCTGGTCGCACTGGACCCCGCAACGCAACCATAACCCCCCTGTTCTCGTGCGTCACTAGTTCACATCACGACCGCTGGCTGCTGCGGCTGGGCCCGCGCAGACTTGCTTGGTACGGTCGGTTGAAATATCAATGCCAGCAGTAGCGTGCGCGCGAGCCTGTGGAAACTCGCGCTGGCTGCACGAATGGTTCGTCAGGCAACTAAGTGCAGGGGCGGGCCCGGCGGTGTCCGTGGGTGCCGCACACACCGGTCGATCACGGGTCGGCCGCATGGGCCGCGTTGACTGCAGTCGACGGGATCTCCTGGATCTGCGTGAGACGCCCGCGGGAGTCCTCCTGGGGCAGCGAGGCGGCCGGCTTGGGGCTGCGGTCCGAGTCGAGGCGGAACACCTGCTTGGCGGCCTGCTTGCTCCCCAGCAACGAGGTGCGCGCGGTCGAGGCCATAGGGTGCATGCCCTGCATGGTCAGGTGCCCCTGGTGGTGGTGGTGGTGGTGCGGCCCCGAGTGGCGGTGTCCCGAGTTGTTGTACGCCTGCGCGTAGCTCGGGGCCGCGAACCCCGCGCCCCCACTCGCGGCCGTCACCGCCGCCCAGGAGATGTTCTTCTTCATGCGCCCCGCGCCGGAGGGGTGTCCGGCCCCGAGCGTCAGGTTGGGGAAGTTGTTGCTCCAGCTGCCCTGACTCGAGCGGCGGTGTCTGCCGCGCTGCCCGCGCGGCGACGCGCCCCCCTGCTGGGCCGCCGGTGCCGCGGCCACCGCGGGCACGCCGGTCTGCAGCGCCGCCGCGCTCCCCGCCGCGCTCCCGTCGTCGACCCACTCGGTGCCGCTGCTGGCCTGGCTCTGCGCGACGCTGCCGGCCGGGGCGTCGTCGACGCCGGAGACGCTGGACGGCCGCGACCCGCCCGCATTGCTCGCGGCGCGGCGGCCCCCGGTCGGGTACAGGCGGGACATGAGGCGGCCCGTCAGGTTGTTGCCAGACGCAAAGTCGCGCGAGCTGCCCAGCACGCCGCGCAGCGCGGACGCGGCGGGCTTCGGTCCGTGCTGGCTCGCGCTGCCGGCGTGCGTGGAGTCGCCCTCCTTGACGCTCGCGGGCGCGGGCGCGGGCGCGAGCGGCCACCCGGCGAGGGAGCGGCGCACCAGGTCCATGACGCGCTGCTGGTCGGCCTCGGAGAGCGGCTTCCCGGCGTCGTCGTGGACGAGGAAGCGGTGCACCTCGACGACCTTGCTGTCCGGCGAGTCGAGGAGGCTCGTGTCGGCGGCGAGCGGCACCATGTCGTCCTGCCGCGCGTGGCCCTCGGCGCCCGCGCGCGTCTTGCGCAGCTCCATGGTCATGTCGCCCATGAAGACGCCGAACCCGGCGCTGCTGAGCGCCCGCGTGACGTCGTAGATCACGCGCGGGCGCCCGCGGCCCCCCGAGTCGACGGGCGCCTTGACGGTGAGGTTGGTGAAGGCGCCGTCGTACACGGGGTTGAGCGTGATGCGGACGGGCCACGCGATGGCGTGCTGCACCTTGAGGCGCAGCTCCTCGGTCATGTCGCGGTCCTGGATCTTCGTCCCGTCGCCGTCCTCCTCCAGGAACACCTCCATGAAGGCCTGGTGCGTGACCGGGTCCGCCTCGATGCGGCCGTAGCTGATGCTCACGTCCGCGTCCTTGAGCACGCGCAGGATGTCGTACAGCAGCCCCTTGCGGTCGGGGCACCGCACGTGCACCACCGTGTGCTCCGCGCTGATGCCGTTGTCCACGGCCACCGTCACGTCGCGCGCGGGGGCCAGGCCGTCCGACGGCTCCAGCGCGATGCCGGCCTCGCTCAGCGCGCCCGGGTAGCTCGCCTGCCTCCGGCGCCCCGCCTGCACGCCCAGCACCTGCGGCGGCCGCAGCGGCGCCTGCCCCTTGGCGTCGCGGTTGAGCACGCGCACCGACCGCGCGTCGCCGCTGGCCATGTCCTCCGGCGCGACGACGGAGAAGAAGCACGACGCCTGCGGCTGCTTGAGCGCCTCGCGCACCCCGCGCACCACCTCGAGCACGCGCGGCTGCGAGGGCAGCTCCTCGCGCTGGTCCGACACCCAAAACATGTCCACCACCTCCCCGCCCGGGTTCGTCGTGATCTGCGCGCGGTGCACCACCAGCTCCGCGTCCCACAGCGCCTGCACCAGGTTGTGCAGCACCCCGCACCGGTCGTACGAGCGGACCTGCAGGATGAACACGCGCTCCGCCAGGGCCGTGCGCCGGCTGTTGCTGCCGGAGCGCCACAGCGTGCGGCTGCTCGGACACTGCGCCGCCAGCCCGCGGAACAGCCGCGGCCAGTTCGGGCGGTACCCGGACGTGACTTGCACCTGCGGCGGTGGGTGAGGGTGTGGGTGCAGCAGCAGCGTGGGGCCGCGGCGGCGGCGCGGGGCGTGCGTCTCGGGCGGCGTGCGTCGCCGCAACGGAGTGCATGTCGACAGTCGTGGCGAGCGAGGCGCGAGCGGGGGCGGGTGCGCGGGCCGCGAGGTGCACGACGAGCTGCAACTGCCATCCGGGCGGGCGTCGCCGCGTGCCGGCGGAGGGCCCCGCACCTGGAAGATGACGAAGGCCCACTTGCCGTCCGTCGAGAAGTCGCCGCGCATCACGGCGAGCCCCGCGTCGACCAGCGTGCGCGTGAGGTCGCACCCCAACCCGGTTGCATCCGGGCAGCAGATGCGGATCTCCCTGCGGTCGAGCCGTGGCCAGGACGCGGCCGCGAGGTCGGCCGGTCATCGCGGGCGGCGGGGAGGCGATCCAGGGGCGTGCGTCGCGCGGCGGGGCCGGCTGCGCGCGGGCCGGGTGGTTGGGGAGGCTCGCTGGTTGGTGTCTGCGGCGCGAGGCTCCGACCGCCCGCGTGCCCGCGCGGCCGCCGCAGGGGGGGGTCTCGCTCACCTGAACCTCTCATCCTCGGGCCGCCCGGGGATGGGGAGGATCTCGAGGAGGCCTTCCTCGTCCTCGGAGGACCGAATGGGGAAGTTGCTCCCTGCAGAGGTCACCGAGGCGCGCGCGTGCAGCGCCGTCAGGCCCCGCGCACGGCGCCGCGCGCGTCCGGCGCGTGTCACGGGCGCCCATCGAGCGATGCGCGTCTCCGCGCGTCGGGGGCGATCGGCGGCGCAGGCCGCGGCGCGACTCGGCTGGTGCCCCACGCACGGAGCGTGCCCGGAAGCACGTCGACGCGCCGCTCTGGGGGCGTCAGGTCGCGCCGCCGGCCGCTCCATACGCGACGCGACACTGCGGTGCACCAGGGCCGGGCCAACGCACCGCGCTTTTCCTGGAACGAATCCGTCTTCTGTGGTGCGTCCTTGACCGTCGAGGTGCGCGCGCTGGTCGCCCGCGCCTCGCCCGTGCCGGCCGGCTGGACGATGCGCGCCGTGACTGTCGCCATGGCGGCCCCGGACCGCCCTGCAGCGGGCTGCCACCGCGCACGAGGGGTGGTCCTGAGGCTGCTGCTGCTAGGCAAACATCCGCTCGCTCGCTCCCGCGGAACTGCCCGCGCTCTTGCTCTCGAGCCTGACCGCGGCAAGGTGTGGCCCGTACGCGACCTCGGCGCGCGTGGTGTGCCCGCGCGGGCGAGAGAGGGGGTCTCGAGGGCGCTGCCGTCCGACCGTGGAGCCCTGAGCTGGAAGTGCTGTGCCAGCTGGCCCCGAGGTCGGCACGCAGGCCGCGGCGGAAGCGGCGGCCACGCGCACGACCCGAGCTGGCCGCGCAACGCCGTCGTGCGTGCGGCAACGCAGCTGCGCAAACACGAAGTCACGACCGAGTCGCTGAGACACCCTACGTCTCATGCTCGGCGGCGCTGGACGCGGCCTCGCACCATACGGTATCAAGAGCGTCGAGCGATCGTGGACGAGGGCCAGGGTGGCTGCCAGTGGACGGGCCGGCTGCCAGTGGCCGGGTCGGGCTGGATGCTGGAAGCGCAACGGACGGGGGTCGGACTGCCCGGCGGGGCTGCCTCTCTCCCCCCCCTCGTCCCCGCCGCCGCGGGCCCATCGGGCCGCCGCTCGACCCCTGCCTTGAATCGCCACGCGAACGCGGACTGCAGGTCGCGCCCACGGCGTCGTCGTCACGGAGCGGAGCCGACCGTGGCACACAGCAGCACACAGGCAAGCAAGCAGCTCCCGCCGCCCGGGGCCGCTCGCCAGCGCCGAGGCCCTCGCATCGCCCTCCTTCGGTGCAGCGTCTCACCGCGCACCGCCTCGTCCGCGCGCCGCCGCTTCCGCGCCGCTGCCGGCCCGCACGTTCGCCGATTCGGCGACGGATCAGAACCGTCGCGGCGCCGTGGCGCCGCGACCGGCGCCGCGAGCGCACCGGTCGCACTCCGGCCCCGCCGCACGTACTCTTGTGGTCGCTTCCGCCGCCGCGACCGCGCCGGTCGGGGCACCAGAGCGCGCCGGGCGCCGGCACCTCTTCAGCTCTGAGCACTGCACGCCCCCGCCGTTCCCTGCTTCCCCCCGCGCCGCTCGCGCGCCGCCCGCCCGCCCGTCGCTCGCGCGTGCTGCGCCCGGCTGCGTCGTGGCACAGCGGGCGCGCAGGCCGGCCCACCAGGCCATCCAGCATCACGCGTGCACTGCAACACAAACATCCGGCCCCTCCGCTCTCGCCCCCCCTCCGCGCGCGCGACGCCGCGCCGGCCCGCTCGCAGCCCCACCGCGCCAACCCCATCGCCGTTTGCCCCCGCTCGGCGAGAGAGAGACGCTCCTCTCCAGGCTGGGACAGCCTCGCCAGCCGCCAGGTCCATGGCTCCCGTATCAGCGCCTTTCGGGCATCTTTCCATGCAATTCATGCGTCGGAAGTTGTGCGATTCGCTCACCTGAAGTCGCAGGAGTCTTCCGGAGGGGTCGCGCTGCGCGCCGCCATCTGGGGTCAGAGCCTCCGTTTCCCGTCGCGGTGACTGGCGCGCCGAAATGGCCGTCCCAATGGTCGCCTTTTGTTCTCCGTACCAAGGCACGCGGTGGCATCTGGAGAGACAAGATGACCGTACGCGTCAGCGGGTGCTCTCCCTCGGACAGCCCGCATACATGCCGTGCGGAAATTGCATGTTTGTATTGTGTTGCACGATATTCCCATTTACGTCCGAAACTGATTATCGCATGGCGCAAGCCTCGTAGGTTCAAATCCTACTACTGTCGAAAGACGCGTGATCTGAGCGCTACTGATGTCTCTGTACATGTGCGCGCCATATCTCGCGAAAAATGGACAGTATGCCCGAGCGGTCCAAGGGGTGCGATTAGAAACTGAGCGGCGTTTTTTGCGCGTCCTGAGGGCGTTTGCGCGACCACAGACGCGTCGGGGACCGCAGAAAAGGTGTGGAGAGGACATACAAGCACTCGGCGGCCCCGCACGCCACCCGCAGCCCCTGCCCGTCCGATCACCTGTTGTTCTCATGTCTTAGGTCCTGCTCACGCTTCCGCAGCTGCAGCGCCGGCCGCACGACGCCTGCGGAACACGTTCAGCGCACGCACCCTCCGCAAGGCCGCCCGCGAGCTGGGTGCGCGGCCCTCGCCACGACGTGCGGACGAATCGAGCAGCGGCTGGGCACTGCGGCAGCGCCGCGCACGGCGTTCGCGGGACGCAGCAAGGCCCATCTCAAATCGGGGCATTCACATCTCGCATCTCGCACATCTCCCGTCTCCGCAGCACGCCCCCCGCGCCGCCTGCCGCGTGCGACCGCGCGCGCCCCGTCTCTGTCGGTCGCGTGCTCACAGCCCGCTCGGCGCTAGAACATGAACCACACGTTGCTCCCGGCGTTGACCCTCACCCGGTTCTCCACCAGCGCCTCGAAGTCCAGCCCCTCGTACGCCGCCCCCTGGACGCCGAACTCGTCGCCGAGCTCCACCCTCCGCAGCCCGGGCATGTCGAAGGGCGTGTCGTCGTGCAGCAGGACCGTCCTCCGCGCCGCCTTCTGCAGCCTCGCCAGCGCGCCCGTCGCCTCCGACGTGTCCCCGCCGCGCCCCGCCCAGCTGCGCGGCATGACCTCCACCACGATGTTCTCGATCCTGCCGGCCTCGGCCAGCGGCAGCAGCTGCGGCAGGATGACCGACTCGGCGCCCTCGGTGTCGACCTTGACCAGCACCATGGGGTCCCACGTCGGCTGGAACAGGTGGCGCACGGGCACGATCGCGACCTCGTGCGACGCCCCCCCGGCCCGCGGCCCGCCGTCGGGCTTGGCCTCGCCCGCCATGCCGAAGTCGCCCGCGCAGGAGTCGTCGTCGGCGAGGATGACGTGCGGGGGGCCGAGCCCGACGTTGTACACGTTCACGTACGGCTTGAGCTCGGGGAGCGCGACCAGCGACGTGTCGTGCATCAGCCGCACGCACCCTGGCTGCGGGTCGAACGACTCGACGCGGTACCCCAGGCTGGCCGCGTGCAGGGTGAACGAGCCGAGGTTCATGCCCACGTCGATCACGCGCGCGTCCCTGCAGCCCAGGCGGAGGACGACAGTGAGGATCCGGCCCGGACCGGCTCGCCGGGCGCGCGGGGCGAGGGTGCGCGACGGAGCCCAGGGTGCACGCCGCCCTGCATCGACAGCGCGGCGCACGACGCGCGTGGAACGCCGTGCCGCAGCCTCGCGCCGAGCGACTGTAACCCTCGCATGCGTTCGCCGATCGCGGCGCGCGCTCACCGCGCCGCGTGGCGCACGAGAGAGAGGGGCTCACTTGCTCTTTGGCGGACTCGACAAAACGTGGTCGAAGATGGACAGGATCTGCCGCTCGACCTCCCCCTCGAACGTGACCGACTTGAGCCACGTCTTCTTCTCCTCGGGGATGCGTGGGGCGAGGCCTTGTGCCTCCGCCGGCTTCGGCTTCGGTGTTTCAGCAGCTGCCGCGGAGGTTGCTTGCTGCTGCTGCTGCTGCTGCTTCAGTTCCTCCAGTCGCTGCGCTTGCGCGGCTACTTCTGTGCTGCACGAGTTGCTACTCGCCCTCCAGAGGAAGAAAAACAGCGCCGCGAGGCCCACCAGCACGGCCTTCATGGCCAGGTCCCGCCTGAACCCTCGCCTCCTCACCATCTCCGCGTGCCAACGAGCAGCAGAGGCAGGTCTCCTACGCGAACGCCGGCATTGACCGGTCCCATCGCCGGCCCAGCGCGGACGTTACCGCCGTGCATCCAGATGAGCGCGGCAATGTTCCCCACAGGGCACACCACCGCGGGCCCGACCAGTTCTTTTTTGTACCCCAAAGGCGAGAGGGGCGCCCGGCGCAGCGCCGACGTTGCACTCACACGGACCCGCGTCGACTGCCAGGTGCGCTGCCGATTCGGCAGCTTGTTGAGCTACGCTGCTGGGCTTCCCTGGTCCGACGGCTCCGACGGAGTCTCTTGCGGCCGGTCGTCCCCGTCCCTGGCCCGCGACGGATCGGCGGAGCTGCCGATCACCATGGCGTCCTCGTCGATGTGCCCCTTGCCCATCCCGATGGCGATCTGCAGCTTCTCCTTCATCTCCGCCTTCGAGGAGAAGCGCGGGAGGAACAGCGTGTTGAAGCACGCGCCCGCTCGAGGCAGAGAGTCCGTGCCTCTGCGGCCGGAGAGCTCGGAGAGGGTGAACGGGTGGTGGGTGCCGTGGGCCGACTGCAGCTGGGAGAACCCGCCGACGGGGACGTTCGGTGACGCCGTCGCGAACTGCAGCAGATTCCTGCGCGTCTCCTGCGAAAAGTCGTCGACGATCTCCCAGAACCACTCCACGATATGCTTGCCTGCACGGGCGCGGCACGCACGTCGTCAGAGCAGCCGGGAAGCGCAACGACGCAGATCGAGGCGGGCGCGGCTGCAGCGCAGCGTCCGGGCGCACGGGCCTCACCTTCCTCGGACGTCAGGTACTGGCCCTCGACCTTGGAGTGCTGTCGCCAGTCCGACACGTCGATGCTGCGGACCCCGGAGAGCACGCACGACAGCTCCCCGGGGCTCATGAAGTCCCCCGACCGCTCGATGATCCGCAGAGGCGCGACGGCTGCGACCCCGCGCCGTATCGCCTCGAGGTGCGGCAGGACCGCGTCGCGCTGCCGCCACCGCACGAGCGCGGCGGCGAACTCCGCCTTGTTGGCGTCCGTCACCTCGTCGTCGGGGCACCGGCCGGCCAGCGCGACCTCGCCCCGGAGCACGCCCGCGGGGTCCACGGCCGCGCTGAACGTCAGCCCCAGGCACAGGTCGTCGATGGCGTTCTCCTCCAGGAAGGCCACCGTGTACCGGTGCGAGTCCGGGTCGTCCGCGGCGAGGTCCTGCGCGCACGGCTCGCCGCCCTGGAGGAAGCGCAGGACGGAGTGCGAGAGCGACACGTCCAGCGGGACGTTGTGGTACAACCCAAGGCCGATGACGCGCCCCACGGTCTCGAAGTAGGCCCGCGCGTCCTCGCTCTCGCTCCCCGCGCCCTCCGCGCCCATCATGGCCGCCGTCGGACTCGGCCCGTAGCTCTGCCCGCCGTTGCGCGACACGAGCATGTTGAACGAGCTGTCGGACAGCGCCTGCGACACCAGGGCAAACCACTCCCGCAGGACCGCCGCGCCCTGCCCGCTCTCGCCCTTGAACCGGACGCTGATTCCCTTCGACAGGTCGGTCCCGATCCCGCGGGCCTCCGCGACCCCGCGGCAGAGGTCGCGGACCAGCGAGCCTCGCTCGCACTCGATCTCCACCGCCTGCGACCGCCGGCGCCGCCGAGAGGCAGGGGGTGCGCCGCCGGCGTCGTCGGCGTCGCTCCCGCCGCTGGTGCTGCCTGCCCCGTCGCGGTCCTCCTCGGCCGCGCCCTCGTCGTCCTCGCTCTGCGCGTCAAGCGGCGGCGCTCCGAACGCCCGCAGTTCCTGCTGCAGCTGTGTCGCGATCCACTGCCGCTTCTCGGGGACGTCGAGGGACCGCAGCTGGGCGGTCAGCAGCGCTGGAGCGAGCCCGGCGCTCTCGAGGAGTGCGAGGCAGCACCCGTCCCGCCGCCCGCGCAGCGCCTGGACGAGGCGGTCGCGCACGCCCTGCGAGTGCTTCTGCAGCGCCCCGAGCGCGGCCGCGCCCGCGCTGCGCGTGTGCTTGTTGCGCAGCATGCGTAGGAGGTTCGTGATCATCGCCTCCGAGGTGGGCAGGTCCATGAGCGCTGCGGACGCCTCCGCAGAGGCCGCCGCGACCGTGGCGATGGTGCCCGCGGCCCACGTCGAGTCAAACACCCGATCCGACGCCGTGGTGTCTTCCCATGGAACGCTCTCCGCGTCCTCCCCGCCCCCCGCGCTCCCTCTCTCGTCAGCCGTCGGCGCATCCCCTTGGGCGTCGCCGCTGTCGTCGCTGCCGGCGCTGCCGGCGCTGCCGTCGTCCTCGTGCTCCTCGTCCACAGCGGCGCCTGCCTCGCCCGTCTCGGGCGGTGACGTCGCCTCCGAGCTCTCCTGCGCCAGCGCCGCGTCCGAGTCCTCGCGGAAGTCCAGTTCCGCGATCAGCCACGCGGCAAACACCGGGAAGGACGGGTGCGACAACCAGGCCTTGAGCCAGCCGCGCACCGACAGCATCCGGTTGATCACCGGCAGGCCCCAGCGGTGGGCGCCCTGGGTCTCCGTGGTCGCGTACAGGCGCATGATGCGCTCCTCGGTCGGGCCCAGCAGCCGCCGCCACGGACGCCCCTGCTCCACCAGCCGCTGCAGCACGTTCGACCCCGCCGCCACGCAGTCGATGTCGCGCGACACAAGCAGCCCGAACGCGGCCTCCACCAGCGCGGTGGCGGCCGCCGTGTCGTCCTCGCTGGCGCTCTCGTCCCCGTCCCCACCCGAGGCTTCCGCCCCGCCGGCGCGCTTCGGCTGCACGCCTCGCCGCAGCAGCCGCGCGCCATCGTCGTCCAGGATGAGCTCCGTGACGATCACGCACGCCTCCTCCGCCGCCGCGTACCACCCAGCGTACTTCTCCGCCTCGCTCTGCCGTCGCGGGCCGTCCCTGGGGCGATCGGAGCGCTCGCCGCAGCCGCGTTCCATGATTCGGGCGAGCATCGCAGGCAGGTGCTGCGCCTGCGGGAGCGTGTAGACCATGCGCCGCTGCTCGACGCCGTCCTCGGTGTCCGGGAAGGTGTACAACAGGAGCTGCGACAGCGTGTGCGTGGCCTCGGTGCACAGCGTGAGGTCCTCGTGCTCCATCAGCTCCAGAATACGACCTGTGCAACACGGGAATGCAGCGCGGACGGGTCAGGCCGCCGCGGGGCAAGCATGTCTACCTGGGCGCCAAGTCGCACAACGCAACCGGCGAGCAGATCGCGTTCTACGAGGTCGACGGGTCGGACCCGCGTGCGACGCGGCAAGTGCGCGCCAGCTCGGGTGCAGTGCAGCGCACACCTAACAGCGAGTCCCTGGTGCGTTCCGGGAGCCCAAGGACCCATGGAGCGCCCTCGTCCGACTCGACCATCCCCGAGAGCTGCTTGATGGCGATTTGGATGGTGTGCGACTCGGCCATCGCCGTCCCCGGCAGGCGCAGCAGCCGCGCCAGGTACTTCCCCAGGCGGCCCGCGCGCTTGTGCGTCACGATGCGCGCCATGCCCCCCTCGGCGCGGCCGATCACCGTCAGCGCGCACGAGGCGTTCCCGGCCACGTGCGTCGACGTGTTGTGCGACCCGTGCAGGCAGGAGATGAGCTTCCCTATCAGCGCGTCCACGCGCGGGTGGTCCCACTCGTACTCCTCGTCCTCGCGCAGCTGCAGTGACAGCGCGCGCTCCATGCTGAACACGGCGGTCCCGGGCGAGTACCCGGGGTACAGCAGCATCGCCGACGCCGGGTGCGCGCGCCGCACGTACTGCATCAGCCGCTTCACGACGGCCTGCGACTGCCCCTCGTCCTCGCTGCTCGAGCTCTCCGACATGGACACGGCGTCCTCGCCCGAGGCCCCGGGCGGCGCCGCGCGCGCGGGGTCGTCGCCGTCGTCGGGCATGGAGAGGTCCTCCTCCAGGTCCGCCACGGCCGCCGCCATCTCGATCGCCTCCTGCGGGATGCGCCTGCCCCGGCTCATGAAGGAGTCGCTGAAGGCGTGCTTGTCCAGCATGCGGTGCGCCACGGCGTCGTACAGCTCCGTGGTGCGCTCCAGCAGCGCCTCGTGCAGCCCGTCGAGGTGCGAGGCGTCGGTGGCCGCCGCGAGCGCCGACTCCGCCCGGAAAAACACCTGCGGGTGGGTGGCCGAGCGGGGACCGTGAGCGCAGGTGCTGGCGGAGGGGCGGCGGAGTGCGCGGCACGGATCGATGTCGGGAGGCGCCGTGTCGCACCGAGGACGCGTCGGTCTCGCGGACGAGCTTGATGAGGGCCGAGAGCATGCGCGAGGCGACTTCCTTGTCCACCCCGAGGAGCCAGCCCCACAGCGGGTGGCCTGACTGCGCCGATCCCAGGTCGTCCGCCTCCGACGCGTCGTCCCGCGACACCACATCAGAGCCGAGCGTGCCGAGCAAGTACTCGAGTCTGCGCCGGTCGCTGTCGCCGTCCTCCAGCACGACGCACACCGCCTCGACAACTTCCCGCGCCTGCAAACCCACCATGCCCTCTCGCGGTGAACGGCGCCCGCGACACGGGCGCCCGCGTGGACCGCACGGCCGTCGGCGGAGCGACCGCGCGCGGCAAGACCACGCGGGGGCGCGAGAGCGTGCGGTGGCTGCGCCGGTGCAAAAGCGACGTGCGAAGGCGGCGGGCGGCGCGGGGGGCGGGCGGGCGGACCTGCTCGTCCGTCAGGCTCGCGAGGACCTCCAGCGTCTCGTCGGTCCCGCGCGTCCCGTAGATCACCATGTCGACCACCTGCAACGAGGGAGCGAGCCCCGTCCGCTTCTCCGGCCTCTCCCGCCATGGGATGAACAACATCTTAACGAGAAGCGAATCGGCTTCCACGTGCGCGCGGGGCGCGAGAAGAGGGCGCCAGGCGGCGTTGCGCTGCGCGCGGGAGTGCCCGCCAGGTTGGGAACCGTACCGCGGGCACAGTCGGTCGAGCATCGTGTGCGCCTCCAGCCGACTGCACGTAGTCGCGCACGCGATCGAGGAAATTGCGCGCCATGTTCCGGATGTCCACCGCACACAGGCCTCAGCCCGCGAAGAGCCCCTCCGCGCTTGTTTTGGGCGCCACGGCCACCCTAGGCGCGGCCGGCGTGAGCCTCGCGGCAAGGCACAATGCCCGAGGATGTGGCAGTCAGCGGCCCATCGGGGCCTCTCCGTGCCCCAGCGGCCGTGCGGCCGTGCCGTGTGCAGCGCTCTCCCACGGGTCCCGGGCCGCCCAGTGCGTGCGCAATGCGATCCGAGACTCGCCGCTGCCCGTCCCCGTTTCATCACGTGAAGGTCGTGGCCGCGCGACATTGAAACGCAGAGTCCCCCGCCCAGGCGCGGGAGAGGCCCCAGGCTGACCTACCTCGGGGTGTGTGCCGCGGTCCTCCCGGGACGCACGGCCAGGACGTGCGGCTCAGTGGCAGCGCGCGGGCGTCCGTGGGCGCAGAGAGGTTGTTGAGTTGCAGGAAGTGCAGTGCGTCGCCGTCAGCGAGACGCGGCCGGCATCAGGTCATAGTCATAGGAGTGAGGGGGCAGTGACGCTGGCGGAGGCGTGAAGAGACGCGGACGTGAGTGCTCAGGAGCACGGACGGGATATGGTCGAGAAGAGGACTCCTCGCAAGCTAGGTGCGTGCGTGCCGCGGCGCCCGCAGCTCGGTCCCGGTGGTGTCTTTTGGGCTGCCGAGCTAGGGGGAGCTGATCGGACGCTGCTCGTCGCCGGGGACCTGACGAGGCGGACGGCCGCCGAACGCGAGCGCGGTGGGCAGGCTGGCCGCGACTTGCGCGGCCCTTCGGCGGTGCGCGGGCCGCCGCGGTCCGATGCACTGGGGTCTGAGCCTCCCACGGAGCCGCCCACGATCTGAGCCCACGTGCCGAGTGCTGCCGCAGATGGGCCGGCCGCTGGGACGCGGTCGCGTCACCGCACCGCGGACAGCGAGAGCGCGCCCGCGCGCGGGATGGCCGGGCGCGCGTTCGACAGGATGTGCGGAGCAGCTTATGCGGTCGAGCACGCCCTGGAGGACGCCGTGGATGCTGTCAAGCATTTCCCATTGCCAAAGGTGCGAGGAATCCCGCCAACGGCCACCGCCCCGCGAAGCGCGCACCACACGACGCGCGGCCATGGACCTGGCTGCCTGGTACAGCCTGCTTGCCCGCGGCGTTGCTTGCTCCCGGCGGGTTTCAGCCGCATGTCGTGGCCGCGTCCCGGCTGCACCCTCCAATCAGCAGCCGCCAGTGCGCGTCGACGCCTCAATCCGGCTTCCAGGCAGCGCTGCCGCTTGGAGCAGCGTCGCGGGCACGATGCGGTTTGCCGCCCCAGGGTACCCGCGGCGCCTCGCTCTGACTCCCCGGCGCACCGTCGTCCCCGTGTCGCAGAAGCACTTCCGTCCGGCAGGCGTGAAGGCGGGTCATTTCCCTCCGATGCCCTGGTGGCACCATGCCTTCCACGACCCCTACGAGAGGGTCAACGTGTTCTCCCACGGCATCCCCGCGCTCGGATTCTGGATCCTAGCCATCAGTTCCTTCATGGGCTGGTTCCCGGGCGGGACGCCGATGGCCCTGTTCGGCCTGGCGGCCGCCACCACGCACACGGGGTCCACCATCGCGCACCTTTGGCCGGACGACGAGTGGTGCGAGAAGGGCGACCACATGGGCATCACCGCGCTCATCATCGGCGTCCCCATCTCGGCGTCCATGAGTCAGGACCCGGAGGCCGACGTGTCGGGTGCGTTACCCTCGTCCCTTGCAAAAGAGCGGGTGCGAAGGACGCGGCGGCCCGGCCGGTCCGCGGGCCCGAAGCCGCGGCACGCGAACGCTTGCTTCCCATGCAGGCCCGCGCACGCCGATGCAGACGCCCGTTCGGTCGCGGACCTCCCTCGGGCGCGGCCACCCCCAGTTGGTTACTCACCCACGACGCGCCGCGCCCCCGCTGCCCGCAGCCATGCTGTGGCTCTCCATCGTCCTGATGTGTGCGGCATTCACCAGCCACAGGACGCTGCGCACGCTGGGATATATCTTGGGCGGAGCCGGCCTGTTCCTCATCATGCTGGCGCGCGGCGCTGCGACGTCCAACCTGTGCGCGCAGTGCGTGCTGTACCTCACAGGTGAGCGGGTCGGCCTGACGCACGCGCGCGGCCGACTGCGACGCGCTGGATTGCGGGCCGCGTGCAGGGCGCCTGCGACGCGGTGCTGTGCGGCATGCTTGTCTGCAGGCGGCGTGTTTTACATTCGGAGCAAGAACTGGAACAGCCGCGACCAGCACGGACCACAGGGGCTCTCGGACCACCACCTGATGCACTACTTCGTCACCACCGCCTCGGTGCTGCAAGTATACGGCATCCTGCACGCCCACGGGCACATCGAGGCGCCGTGGCCGCACGTGCACTTCTCGTGACGCCCAACGGCGCCCAGCACTGCTTGCTAGCTACGCTCTGCGCCGCCGCCGGCGTTGCGCACGTGTAACGTCGCAGGGGGGTCGTGCGCGAGTCACAGTCGTCCACCGGCATCCATTCCGGCGGCCAGGACCGCGGCCGCGTCACCCGGACGACGGCACCGCGGCGGGCGTGGCCTCGTCGAACTCCTTCGGGGGCTTGGACTTGGGGCGGCTCTCGCCCCACCCGCCGGCCTCCTCGTTGCTCATGTTGGCCAGCGCCATCAGGTCGCGCATGTGGTTGCGGCGGAACGCGTCGATGGTGCTCGCGACCTCGTCCAGCGGCATCTGGATCTGCGTGAGCGCGGCCGCGGCGAGCTGCAGCGACGGCTCGAGCGTCTCGGGCACCACGGCGGTGGCGCCGGCCTTCTCGAGGATGATGCCGTGGTCGACGTCGTGCGCGCGCACGAAGGTCTTGCAGTTCGGGAAGTGCTTGTTCAGGGCCCACACCGTGCGGTAGTTGGCCCCGGGCGAGTCGAGCGCGATCACCGCGCACGCCGCCTTGTGCGCGCCGACAGCGTGCAGCACCTTCTCGCTCCCCGAGTCCCCGAAGTACACCGGCAGGTCCAGCGCGCGGCCCGTCTGCACGCGGTCCGAGCGCACGTCCACGGCCACGAACGGGATGAGGCGCTCCGAGAAGAGCTGCGCGATGATCTGCCCCGAGCGCCCAAACCCGCAGATGAGCACGTGCCCGCGGAGGTCGTCCACGTCCGCCTGCTTGGGCTCCATCGTCGCCTGGTCGTCCTTGTCGAGCATCTCGCCCACGGTGTCGCCGAGCGCGGCGAGGTAGGGCGTGAGCGCCATGGACAGCGCCACCACCAGGAAGAGCTGGTTGCACACCGCGGGCGCGAGCAGGCCGCGCGACACGGCGTCGCCGAGCGCGACGAAGGCGAACTCCCCGCCCGGCGCGAGGAAGAGCCCCGCGCGCGCCGACGTGAGCGGCTTGAGCCCGAAGATGGGCCCGACGGCGGCCATGATGGCCACCTTGCCCACGATGAGCGCGGTGATGGCGAGCAGGATGGTCTGCCACTGCGCGATGAGCAGCGTGGGCGAGATCTCCATGCCGACGGTCATGAAGAAGAGCCCGAGGAGGAGCCCGCGGTACGGCGCGATGTCGGACTCGACCTGCAGGGAGTACTCCGTCTCGGCGAGGAGCAGGCCCGCGAGGAAGGCGCCGAGCGCCATGGAGAGGCCCGCGGCCTGCGTCATGACCGAGGTGCCCAGGCACGTGAGGAGCGTGGTGGCGGAGAAGATCTCCGCGTTGCCCGTCGCCGCGATGCGCTTGTACAGCGGGCGGATGATCACGCGCCCGCCCGCGATGATCGCCGCGATGCACACCGCGGCCTTCACCGCCGCGAAGCCCAGCGCCTTCATGATCGTCGCGAACCCGACCGTCCCGCCGTTCTCGCCCGGCGCGAGCAGCGGGATGAGCATCAGGATGGCCACCACCGCCAGGTCCTGCAGGAGCAGCACCGAGAACGTCGCGCGCCCGTGCCGCGAGGACGACTCCCCGCGGTCCTGCAGGACCTGCAGCGCGACCGCCGTGGACGACAGCGCGAGCGACGACCCGACCACGACCGCGACGGGGCCCGTCATCGTCCCGAGGCTCACCAGCACCGCCGCGATGGCCGCGAGCGACGCCGTGACCTGCGCGGAGCCCAGCCCGAAGACGTACTTGCCCATGGACGAGAGGCGCTCCAGGCTGAGCTCGAGGCCGATGTTGAAGAGCAGGAAGATCACCCCCAGCTCGGAGATGTGCTTGACCGCCTCCACGGCCTCGATCAGGCCCAGCGAGTAGGGGCCGATGAGCGCGCCGCCGACGAGGAAGCCGAGCACGGGCCCGCCGCCCGGGATGCGCGAGATGAGCGGGACGCTGACGATCGAGGTGGCCAGCAGCACCAGCACGTCGGCCATCCCGGGCTCCATGTGCGGCACCGGCAGCTTGGCCAGCCACGGGGCGAGCGCGGCCGAGGCGGCCGAGAGCGCGGCCCCGACGGCGCGGAACGGCGAGATGACGGCGTTGCGCACCGCGGAGAGCACGTGGAAGTGGTCGAGGATGCCCAGCGCGGCCACGACGGCCAGCACCGACCCCGCGGCGTAGGCCCAGCGGTGGCGCATCACGTGCGCGCCGAGCTCCTTGAGCGCCTCGCGCGGGTCCCCGCCGCCCGAGGGCGAGAAGAACCCCGCGGCCAGCTGCTTCGAGCTCCGCGTCGGCCGCGGCGCCGAGACCTTCTCCTCGGGCTCCTCGGCCGGCGTCAGCGCCTTGGCCGTCTTCGACAGCGTGCCCTCCTCGATCCGCGGGAGCAGCTGCTCGCCCTCCCGCAGCGCGCGCGCCACGTCCTCCGCCAGCTCGCCGCCCACCTCCACGCGCGCGTCCTCCTCGTCGTCGGGCGTCATCGCCTTGACCTGCTCCCCCAGCTTGAGCAAAAACCCCTCCAGCTCGTCCTCCAGCTTCGCCACCTCGCGCTCCGACTTCAGCTCGTCCTCCACCGCCGCCTCCGCCGCCCGCATCGCGCCCGACGCCACCTCGTCCGCGCGCTCCGCCGACGTGCTCGCGCTCTTCAGCTTCTCCTGCATCGTGTTGAGCGACACCTCCGCCAGCGCCTTCGCGTCCAGCGCCGCCGACCACCGCTCCTTCACGCCCGCCAGCTCCGCGCGCAGCTCCACCAGCTCCGCGTCGATGTCCGTCTCCGCGGCGTCGTCGATCGTGTCCAGCGGGCTCGCGTCCTGCGACGCCGGCGCGGGGGCGGGGGCCGGCGCCTCCGCGGGCTCCGCGGGGGGCACCTCCGCCGAAGCGAGCGACTCCGCGCTCGCGTCGTTGTCCTGGGACTCGTCCTGCGCCTCGCCCTCCTTCGACTCCTTGTCCGCCAACAGCGCCGAGAACATCTGCGTCTCCTTGCGGACCTGCTTCGCCTTCTTCGCCTTGCGCTTCTCAATGCGCTTGTTCAGCTTCTCCATCTCGCCGTCGCACGTCGTGATCTCCTCTGCGCGCACCCGGGGGAGCGGGGCGGGTCGGCGGGCGCGGAGCGGCGGGGCAAGGCTGGTGCAGGGCGCACCCTGAGGCCGCTCCCCGCGACGCGGTCGGCCGGTGCGGCGGCGCGATCGTGGTGCCCGGGCAGCGGACGCTGCAATCGCAATTCAGCGAACCGCTCGCGGGCGCAAACACAGCGCCGGCGCGCCCGTCTCGCAGCACGTCTCATGAGCCTCGGTGCTGACGACCCGGCCGCGCGATGTTCGGGGGCGAGGCGCACCTTCCAGCGTGTCTATCGTGGCCTGCAGCTGCTCGCACTCGGCCTCCAGCTGGTCGCGCGCCACCTTGGCGTCCACGGCGAGCTGCGCGACTTGTGTGGCCTGCGGAGGCAGCACCAGGGCGTGGGGCGCCCCGCGTGAGTCCCCCGCGCCGCCCGGCCGCCGCGATCGACGCACGACGACAGAGGATGGCCGTGGGCGGCGAGCGCACGGCACGGCAACGCACGGCGAGCGGCCCGGGGGGCGCGCACGCGCGGCAGGCTGTGCACGAGGCGTGATAGGGCTCCACGGGAATGTGTGGCAGGGAGGACAGAGCAAGGCCCCGCGCGGCGTATTCCGGCCCTGGTGACTGGTAGCAGCGCATCCGGGGGAGGGGACGCCTAGTTGATCCCCGTCTGTGCTCAGGAGACGGTCTAGGGGCCAACCGCGGGTGCAGGCGCAGCAACACGCTCGCGCGCCGTTCTCAGGCGCGGATGGGACGAGCGGCGGGGCGCAGCCCCATGGTATGAAGTGGTTCTTGGCGTTGGGGACGGGGGGCGCGCGAAGGACGCGCGGTCGGACGCTTCGCGCGCGGCAGTTTGGCGGGGCAACCTACCTCCGCTTCGAGCGCCTCGCGCACGTTGATGCACTCGGAATTGCGCTTCTTGGCGGCCTCGAGGGATTCCTCGAGCGCGACGACCTGGCTCTGGAGCTTCGAGAGCAGGGTCGTGGACGTGTCGACGGTGTCCTTGATGGGCTTGGAAGCGTTCGACCCGTCCCCGCCGTCGTGCGTCCGCACAGTCCGTCGCATCGGGCTGCAGGGAACGAGAGCGAGGTGAGGACTGGGTGGGGGGCGTCGCGCGGCACGGAGTCGCGGTGTGCGCGCGGGGCAAGAGCGTCGGTCTGTGCTCTCGGCGGCTGCAACTGCCGTCCGCGGCACGCACCAGGGTGGCCGCAGGAATCTGGGCGCTTTTCGCCTCATCGGAGTGGGTCTGGGCAGACTTCTTGTCCCCAGGGCGGCCCGGGAGCGCGGGCGCCCCGCGACCCCGCAGGGTTGCCCGTGCAACATCATCTGGCGTCTGTCCCGTCGGGGACAACGACCTTCTTGCGCAGGCGATGGAACCAGGCGGTCGAGGAGGGAAGTGAGCGCGCATCGCGCGCCTGCCAGGCCACAGGGACCCGCGCGCGCGGCCCGGCGGCCACCCCCCGCACACGAGTCAGCAACGGGTCCGGCCCGCCAACATGCGGGCGGCAGCGTCACCGCCGGCCGCAGTCTGTGAGGGACGGGACCGCCTTGCACGCCCCCGCGCGCCCGCCAGAGACTGCGCTCCCCCCCGCATTGCGCTCGGAACACCTTGCTTGTCAAGATGAGCTTGGCGGGGCTGCGCGGCCCGTGTGTTGTGCGGCCGCCCGGCGCGACGGCGCCATGCCGAGCGTCCCTGGCGAGGATCGCCCTGCAGAGGCCCGTCTGCCGTCACGGGGCGCCGGCGGGGCGCGCCCTGCGCTGTGGTGTCCGGGCCCGGGGCGCGGAAGGGGACAGCGCCGACGCGGGCACATCGCCGGACCCCGTCGAGGCGCCTCAGCTTGATAGTGGAGGAGAGAAGGGCTCGGCGTCGGTGCCGTGGCTCCCGCTCCTGGTGCTGGGCAGTGCGGGAATGATGGAGACAGGGTATCTGACGGCCGCGCGCCTGATCGGGACGGACGTGTCTTGCCCGCTCACGGGCGGGTGTGCGGACGTGCTGAGCTCCAGCTACGCGTCGGTGTTCGGCGTGCCTCTGCCGGCCTTCGGGTTCGCTGCGTACGGAGCAGTCACCGCACTGGCCGCTGCGGCGCGCGCCAGCGAGGGCCCGAACGAGCGCTCCCTCGTGCGCTGGACGCTCTTCGGTACCGCCACGGCCCTGGTGACGACCAGCGGGCGCCTCATGTACCTCCTCGCGACGGAACTCGGCGGCGAGCTCTGCACCTGGTGTCTCACGTCTGCGGCCCTGTCGTTCGGCATCGGCGCCCTCACGTACCGCAGCTTCTCCAAGGTAATCCAACCGCCACTCACCGCGCACCGCCGCCGCGACGCGGGCCGCGGCGCCCGGATTCCACGCCCGCACACCCCAGGCCCACGCACCCTCCTCTGCCCCACACCCGCGCAGCCCGAGCTCAAGTCCGGCGCGGCGCCGGGGCTCACCGTCGCGGCGGCGGTCCTCGCGGTGCTCGCGGTGGGCCAGCCGTCGCAGGCCGACGGCGGGGACGTCCTGACCGAGCTGCCGTACGACCCCCCCGTCGTGGAGACGCAGTCCACGCCGGAGACCGAGGCCCTCGCGCGGCGCCTGAACGCCGTCGGCGCGCGCATGTACGGCGCGTTCTGGTGTCCGCACTGCTTCCAGGAGGAGGAGCTGTTCGGGCGCGGCGCGATGAAGGACTTCCCCTACGTGGAGTGCTTCCCCGAGGGGTGGTCGAAAGGTGCGCGCTCGCGAGGGGCCGCGCGACGGGAGCGGCGTGGGCTCGCGCTGCGCTCGTGCGCGGCGGCGTGCGTTGTCGCGCGTCTCACGTGGCCCCGGGTGGCGTGGAGTGAGTGCAGGGAAGAAGCCGGCGCAGGCGTGCGTGGACGCGGGGGTCAAGGGGTTCCCGACGTGGGTGATCCCGGGGCAGGAGCCGCTGCTCGGGGCGCAGCCGCTGGAGGAGCTCGCGCGGGTGGTGGCCGCTGCGGAACAGAGGGCCTCGGACAGCGCCGTCGAGGGGCGGTGAGCGGCGCGATGATGTGATGCCGGCCCGTGCGCGCTCTCCGGCTCGCCGTCCGCAGCCGCGAGTGCACCAGCCGTCTTGTGCGGTGGATGCTGCTGCGCACACACGTTGCCTGAGATTGTTGCTGTTGTGCCGGCAGGGACTTACGTACGCTCGCTCTGGTTGCCTCGAAATCGTGTCCGCAATTACTACTTTGTGTCCGCCACGAGCGAGGGACGCAGGCAGCGGCCGGCTGCGCCCCGTGCTTGTGGGTCACTTCACTGAAGTGGCACTTCGGGAGGGGGGGTGGTCTGGGACCAGCTGCAGCTCCGCCTGTCTGACACCGTCAGGGGCTGCCGGAAGGCGCGCACTGCACGGGGCCGTTGCACCGAGGGCCCGCCGGGCACGCGCACTACCAGTGACGTCGAGCTGGCTCGCCATCCTCGCGCACACAGATCCCTCGCACGCTGGTGCTGCTGGCAAGCTTCAAGCTCGCGTGGGGTCCGGAACGCGACGCACAGTCGTGGAAACAGCCTTTTTCTCGCGGAGCACCGAGGCACATCACCATGGCGCACGACCCTCGGCTGCAGGACTGGTTCCGCGCCGTGGACAAGGATGGCTCGGGACAGATATCGGCAACGGAGCTCGTGCAGGCGCTCGGGTCGGGTGGCCTGCAGATCTCCCTGACGTTCGGAGGTGCGCGGCACGTCGTCTGGAAACCCCGCGGTGACGCAGGCGGACAGCTCTCGAGGCAACAAAGCCGTTGCCCGCTGGGGCTGGCCTCAGCGCTTGAACGGTCGTCCTGCCTGCTCCGAGACACCGGTTGCCCTGCAAGCTACGCGGGGAAAGGGGTTTGCGCAGCCCGTCCTCCATCGCCTGAGCGCATGCACGCGGCCTGTGCCTGCACCAGCATCCTCCCCTCCGCACGCGGCACGAGGCTCGTGCACGACCTCCCCCTCCGTCCTGCGCATGTACATCTCTCGGTGCAGTCCGTGTCCACGCATGGTTGATCCGCTCGCACGCAGCTCCCGGGTCCTCCCTGCATGCGTGGCAACATCGGCGCACGTCGAGACGTCTCACCGCCGGAGACGCCGCTCCTGTTCCCGCAGGCTCCCTGATTCGGCTGTTCGACAAGAGTAATACGGGCAGGATGGACTATCATGCGTTCTGCGAGTGCCATATGTGGATCATGTCGGTGCGGGAGCACTTCATGCGCTTCGACACGTGCGACCCCGGCGAACACCGCGCGCGCCCGTGCGCAGCTGCACGTGCACTCGCGCCGCCCCGCGCGCCCCTGCGGCCGGCGCACGCCCTCGGCGCTCGTGTCACGTGATGCCGACATGCTGTCATCGCAGGGACGGGAGCAAGACGCTGGGGTTCAACGAGCTGCACCAGGCGGTCACCAGCGCGGGGTTCAACCTCGACAGCACGCCCTTCTACGAGCTGTGCAAGACCTTCGACCCCGACAGGACGGGCCACCTCTCGCTCACGTCCTACCTGGCCATGTGCGCGCTGCTCAAGAGCGCGTCCAACGTGTTCAGGAGCTTCGATCCGCAGGGCTCCGGCCGCATCACGCTCTCTTTCGACCAGCTGATCTACGTTGCGGCCCTCATCCGCTGAACATGACGGCGAGAAGCCACGGCGCTCGGCCCGCACCGCCGTCGAGGGCGGCGCGTGCGCGACCGCAGCACGGTTCCAAGCAATCGAGGGCCGCCTGTGACCCGCGGACACCCGCCGACGCTACTAGTACCGGGAACGACGCGTAGAGCCCCCGTCTTTGAGTCCACGTGTGTTGTCCTCCCCGCGCACGCCCGGGATCCGCGACAATGGCGCCCGCGAACCGTCGTATGCGCCCCTGCTCGTCCCGGAGCTCCGCCGGCGCGGCTGTCCTCGGAACGCGGATACTGTCATCGATGTGTGTAGCACACAGCACGTCGCCGCGCCCCACTTGTCGCGGAGGCGCCTGCTGCCCGAACGCGAGGCCGAGCTGCTTCTGGCGCACGTGGACCGCACGGCGCTGCGCCGCTGCCCAACGGCTGCTCCGCGGCCTTCTCAGGCGCGTCGGTCATGCTGTTTGCTGATGGTGGGTGATGCCGCGGGGCCGGGCAGCCTACAGTGGCCGCCAACGCGCCGCCTGGGGCCACACTGCGCCCTGTCGATCCCACTCTTCGCCTTTTGATCCAGTATTCCGTGGTTCTACGCGGCAAGCAGCTCCTCGGACCGCTCCCCTTTCCCCGCCTCTTGAGCTTTCCTCGCGCTCTCCCCGTCCTCCCACCGACTCCACAGTCATGGCACATGAGCCGCGCCTGGCGGACTGGTTTCGCGCAGTCGACAGGGACAACAGCGGGAAGATCAGCGCGAGCGAGCTAGCCTCAGCGCTCCAGCGCGGCGGACTCAACATTAGCCTCACGTTCGCCGGTGAGCCTCAGTGCCGTGTTCTTCCGCCCACGCCGTACCACTAACTCGTGCAGTGTGCTGACGTGGCCCAACGCGGATATTCGGCGCTGTGTGTACGAGGAGCACAGCTCCTTCGGTTTTCCGGCCAGGCAGCGCTCCGCCGAGGCCTGCGTCCGGCCTTTGCCCGCGAGAGTCGGGCCGCCTGCATGCAGCGTGCGGGCTCACTTGTGCGCCAGTTCACAGCTGCGTCCGTCTCGTCTCACCGCCGGGGACGCCGCTCCTGTTCCCGCAGGCTCCCTGATTCGGCTGTTCGACCGCTCCAACACGGGCGCCATGGACTACCAGACCTTCTGCGAGTGCCACAACTGGATCATGTCGGTGCGGGAGCACTTCCTGCGCTTCGACAGGGACGGGTCGCTCACGCTGGACTACAACGAGCTGTACCAGGCAGTGCGGTGTTCAGGCTTCAACCTGGACTCGCCGCCCTTCTACGAGCTGTGCAAGACCTTCGACCCCGACAGGACGGGCCACCTCTCGCTCACGTCCTACCTGGCCATGTGCGCGCTGCTCAAGTAAGTGCGCCGCGCCATGCCTCGACACACCGACTTGCCCGGGGACCTGCACCAGGCGGCCGCGCCCGCCCAGTCGGCGCGCACGCGACGCGCGCTGATCCGGTCCGCCCGCTCGCCCCCGCGCGCGCAGATCCGCGAGCAACGTGTTTCGCAGCTTTGACCCTCAGGGCAGCGGCCGCATCAGCCTGACGTTCGACCAAATGGTGTACGTGTCGGCGTTCATCCGATGAGCCCTCCCGCAGTTGCTCGCATGGCCGCGCCGCCCGCCGTCGAGTTGACAGGGACTGCGACGGCGTTGTACAGTGCTCACCGCGCAAGGTGCCCCCCCCTCAGTGCGGGTGGGGTTTCGCAACATAATGTGACCCTACACGGATGACGCGCCTCAAGCGTCACGGAAGTCTTTCAAGGAGGCCGGTGCACAGCACGCGGTGGCTCTCTGTCGAGCACTGCGCTGCCATCACTGGGGCTTTTCGCCCACCACTCGCCAGATGTGGATGCCCACCAGCCCGTCGCGGTGCGTGGCTGCGCTGCGCATCGCGGCCGCGCCTTCCTCGAGGCGTCCCCGGGAGATGGACGGCGTTTCCCGCAGCATCGCATCGAACTCAGGCTCGATGAACCGGAGGAAGTAGTTCGCGTGCGACAACACGGCCCCGGGCGCCTGCTCCGCAACGCTCCACACGCCCGACCGCACCTCGTCAGATCGCACTCCGACGAACCCAGCCTGCAGACCGCACGCCCCCAGAGGAGTCAGCCAGTGGCTGCACTGACAGTGCAGCTCGCCGTGGTTCGCCGCGACGGTGGGGACGGGGCGGAGAGCGGCGCGCGCACCTCGGACATCCAGCCCCCGACGTTCGGGCCGCAGACGGCGCGTCCATCGCGATCGAACCGCTTGACGAACGTGTCCCTCAGGTCGGCAAACGCCCCCGATGGGTCGGGGAAAGCTACAAGCGTCGTGTAGTCCGTTTCAACCGCGTACAGTGTGCCCCCGGGCTTCAGTACTCGCCACGCCTCCCTGCACAGCTTGACATCGGGCCCCGTGAGGTGAGTTTCGCGACGCCAGCTGGCTCGAGCACATCAGCGCGCAGACTCTTGCCCGCACGCCTCCCAGCGACCTCCTCCGAGTCGACAGGTGCCCTGCGGTACTCGCCGCACCTGAGCGCCTGCAGCGGGTCCGCCACGTGTTCAAGGAGCCACACCATGACGCAGTGGTCCACGGAGCTGTCGGAAAGCGGAAGGCGCTCCGCTTGACCCACCACGATTGCGTTCCCGCCCTGCGCTCGGTCGCACACGCCGGCTTGCGCGAGCGTGCGCCGCGCCGCGTCGACCTGCCGCGGCTCGAGGTCGATGCCAGCGAGCCGCAGGTCCGGCCTGGCCGACGCGATCAGCTTGAGCACCGCCCCGACTCCGACGCCGACCTCGAACAGCAGTTCACCCGGTCTGCAAGCGGTGAGACGTGGACGTCGCATTGAATCTCCTCAAGGTGTGCACGACGGGCGTGAAGGAAGGTGATCTCCCACCTCGTGCGCGGAAGCCCTGCGAGGATCGACGGGCCCCAGTACTCCGCCTGCTCCAAGAGCCGCTTTTGTTCTTCCGGCGAGTATCCATGAATATAGAAGTCTTGCCCTGAGGCTTCGGCATCATCGCCTCGCAATGCGGCGGTGGTCGTCCCAGCAGCCATGCCCCTGAAGTTCTGCTGGAGACCCTCGAGCCACCCGACGGAATGGACGATGATCGTTGGAGCGTGTCGACGGAATGCGCGCCAATGAGACCCTTCGCCCCCGCAGCCTGCTTCCTCGAACAATCAGTCTGGCTTTAGTGGCCCTCACGACCACCGTGCCATGCCGGAACACGCAGGACGACGTTCTCTGTCGCGTTTCTGCCACATGCTGCAGGTTTGGGCAGCAAACGGCAGCCATGTCCTCGGAAGCGCCGCAAACGTTGGTCCGACTGAATAGGTTTCAGCGAAGCAAACGAGCTCACCGAGGGCCGTGGGAGATGACCAAGGTAGGGCGGCCGAGAGCAACGACAGCGGTGCAGTACCCGCACGCGTGGGAGACAATGCGAGTGCGGGTGTCGATGGTCCAACAGACACCCACCTGCGCAAACAGCTTGAGTATGTCTTCGGTCAGTTGCGAGCCCCGCGGCGCGCGAGTACTCATCCACAGCCCCGACACGCGCCCCGATGGCCCCGTCGGCCGGCGACGCTGTCCGGCATGCGGGTGAGACACGCAGTACACAACGCATGACTGTGTCGCACCGGCAACAGCACGGTGAGCCAGGCGACCGAGTTGCCCCATGCCGTGCGCGGCTGCACCGTCGCGTATCTCACAACGTCTTCTGGAGCGCGCTGTTGCGCCCTGAACATCCGGCCTGCTGACCTCTGTCCGAGGGTCAACCACCTGTGCACCATTCAAGCGCTTTGAAAGTCGAACGCCGCGAAGTCCGCCGGCGCAGCGCCGCCGTGGAGGCCCGGCGGATCGTCCTGGCCGTAGTACGCGACGGGCACGGCGCGGCGCAGCTTGCGCCCCACTTCCCCCTGGAAGAGGCCTGCAAAGGACGCGGCGGCCAGCGGCGCAACGTCGATCTCGCTGGCCCTGCGGCGATCCTCGAGGTCCTTCCCCATGACCTGCCGCGCCATGTGCGCCACCTGCGGCAGCCAGTGCTGCTGCAGCGCCTCCACCTCCCACAGCGTGCTCGACACCCCCCCGGCCTCCGCGGGGTCCGTCGCGTCAGGGTCGAAGGGGTCCGTGCCGTTCCACGGCGGACCCGCGTTTCCGCCGGCCGGGGGAGCCGCGCGGTGCTGGAGGGCGACGAGGGAGGGGTGTCGCCTGACGATGTTGTTGACGAAGGCCAGACACAGCATCGCCCCGTGCGGTGGGGCTGCCAGCGCCATGCGCGCGAACTTCTTCGCGAACGACGCCGCGGAGTACGCTGGCACCATCGGCGAGTTGAGGAACATGTCCGCGAGACGGAAGAACTGCCCACGCTGCCGCAGCGCCAGACTCGATGGCTGCGCACCAACACAACGCACACGTCTCGTTCGGCGGGGACGCACTGGCTGTCAGCCACGCGGCGGGGGTGTCAGGGGGGTGTCTCACCTGGATGAGCTGGTACAACTTCTCGTAGAACTTGGGGTACTCCAGGCCGTGCTGCGTGACGAGCACGAAGATGCCCTGCAGCGCGAGCATCCCCGTGATGCCCCCGCGGTCCAGAGACCGCGTCAGGAAGTCCGACAGCAGCAGCGGGTTGGCCATCGCGGGGATCACCGCCTCGTGCAGCGCCGCCAGCACATTGCAGTAAATGTCCGCCGGCATGGGCGCGCGCAGGAGCGCGAGCCACGCGCCGCTGAACGCACGCACGTGGCTGCCGTGCGAGGCCCACTTCGCCGCCCGCGTCGCGTCGTCGCCCGCGCCCTTGCCCGCCTGCTTGCGCGCCGCGCGGTCGTCGGCCACTGCGGGACGCACCGCGCCTGCCTCGATCGCGCCGCACCACGACGCCGCCTCGCCGGACCGCAGCATCGGGCCCGCGTCGCACTTCAGGATGTCGAAGAGGTTCGACGTCACCTCCGAGCGGTCCATCTCGGCCGGCAGCACCACCTCCTTGCCCCCATCTGCAACGGAACGCGGACCGGCTCATGCAACTTCGGTCGACAGCCGCGCGGGCGCAGCGTTTGGGTTCGCGCATACATACGTGGCCTGCGGTGCGCGCACCCGCGAGGTCCTCGGCGACGTCCTGCACGGCGCGCAGCGTGTAGTAGCGCACGTCCGCCAGCTCGGCGTAGCGCTCCGCGAACGACCCGAGGAGCTCCCCGCTCAGGTCCGGCGATGCGGCCATGCGCCGGATCATCGCAACGAAGAGCGTGTTGCCGAACTGCCCGACCTCCTCGGACCGCACCAGCTCCATCAGCGCCCCCATGGCGGCCAGCTGCACGGGGAGGCGGTCCGGACCCCCGCTCGCGACGAGGTCCAGGCACCGCGCGCGGAACGCACTGTGCTGGCTCCTGACCCACTCCGCGAGGACCGCCTCCGGGTCTTGGTCCGACGCCTGCGGACGTGCATGCTGCGCAACGCAGGTGAATGTAGGGCGGGAGCTCGGCCAGCGGCTCCGCGTCCGCCCTTGGCTGCGCGTGGACGGAGTGCGTGCGACGTGATCGGACCTGCTCGGCGCGCTTGATCTTGAGGTGGCCGCGCTCCAGTGCACCGAGGAAGTAAACGCGCAGCGCCAGGGTGGCCTGCGCGGCCTGCTCGGCCGGAGTTTCGGCCTGCAGGCGCGGCAGATACGACGACACACTTCATGTTCGTGTCGAGGATTGCGGGGAAGACACGCGTTGAGGGTGAAAGAGCTGCTGGCGCTGCGCCGAACATCAGCTGTCGCAGCAGCACGGCCGCTCGCCGGGCTGCGGGAACGACAAAGATGCGACCCCGCCGTGCGGGCGGACGTATCATACCTTCAGGAAGCCCAGCAGGCGTTTGACGGCCCGGACATTCCTGATCGGGTCAGCCGCGAGAGCCTGAGCCAGCTGCTGCACGTCGTTGGCCTCCGACGGCTCGCCACGTACCGTCTTGGCCCGTTTGGCGTCGCCATGTGGCGTCTTGCGGCGCTCATTCCCACTGGAATCCACGGCGTTGGACACAGATCGTTTTTTTGCCTTCATAATGCCGGCGAAGCGAAGGGCAGCAGTCACCACTGCCCAAGCGCCGCACGCGCAAACACCCTCACTTCAGTCCGCTGTTCAATAAAACCGCCACGAATCCGTTGCTTCCGTACGAGAATCGTCTGTTGCGGATCAACAGTCGCTCCGGGTGGCTCACGGCCGCTCTCGCGAGGTGCCAGTGTTGCCAGGGTCACTCCGCCACTGGGCGCGGACTTGTGGCCGCCTAGCCGCGTGTCACCACGAAGTGAGGCTGGGTCGCCAACGCCACGGCCTTGTAAGCGGCATCCGTGACGAGGCGTCATTTACACAGTACAAGGACTGGTCAGACCGGTCAGTTCAGAGACTTTCAGCCGGAGCGACGCGAGCATCGTGGTCAGAGGAGGCGACCCGCTGCCCGCGCCACCCCACTGCGGCCCTTTCGTCCGATCCGGTCCCGTCAAGAGCGAGTCCCGGGCAGTTCTCATTTTACCAGGCGTCGCACGTCCTAGGCGTGCGACACGCACCGCGCCCGCCCCCGCCCTCACGCTTCGACCCGCAGCGTCTGCGCAGCGTCGGCCCCGCGCTGCCCGCCGCGCGCCCCCTCGCTCGGCCGCAGCAGCGGCACGAGTGCGTCGATGATCTCTCCAGTGTAGACGGGGTTGGTCAGACACTCCCCGTGCACGCAGTCCTTCGTGATCACGTGCAGCCGCTCGTCCATCGCAAACCGGTGCTGAACGTACCGGTACGGAACGAGCGAGTCTCGCTTCCCCACGAAGATCACCGAGCCTGCACGCGCGAGCACAGGGACGCGCACGTCAGGTTGAATGCGCGGGCGGGCTGCGTCCCGAGGGCGGCAGTCGGCGTGCGTGGTGATCGTACCTGCTGGCATGTCGCTGGGCGACCAGAAGCACACGCGGTGCCACAGGAAGCGGCGGGACATGGCGTGGGCCACAACGGGGTCTTGCGCGCAGGCGACCTTCGTGACGTCCATCATGAGCGACGAGACGTCGCGCACGGGGCGCACGGTCTCGTACACGAACCGCGAGAGGAGGTCGGGGGCGCAGCACATGAGCGACACTGGATCCAGCAAACAGATGCCGTGCGTCATCTCCGGGTACATCCGACAGAACCGCGCCGCGACGAACGTGCCGTACGAGTGCCCGACGAGCAGCGCTGCGGGGGCAGGGGTGAGGAGGGGAGGGTGTCTGGCATGCAGAGAAAAACCCTCAGATGGGCACGGTTGCGGCAGGCGCGAGGGGGACCGCTGCACACGTCCGTACCTCGCTCGTATCCCAGCGCCTGGAGCTGCTCGTGCACCTCGTCAGCCACCTCGTCCGGCGTCGGCACATGGCCCGCGTGCAAAGACTCGCTGAGCGACGGGAAGCGCAACGCGGCGTGCGTGAGCTCCTTCGCGACGATGGGGCACTCCGGGAACCGCCGCGACAGCCGCCGCATCAACATCGTGTACGGCATCAGGCCCACGCCCAGCCCATGCAGCACCACGATCGCCACGCCAGCCCCGTGGCCCTCGCGCGACCGCGGGACGTCCCGCCCCAGGAACGCGTTCTGCGACGCGTGTCGCGAGCGCAGGCTGCCCCCGTGCGGCGCCTTGCCGCTCCGCCGCGTCACGTTCGAAAGGCTGGCCTCTGCAACAGCATCCTCCGTTGTGTCGCTCGCCGTGTCGCTGCCCGCCGCCGCCCAGCCCCAGGACGAGGTCCGCGAGTGCCCCCTGCTGGACCGCTCGCTCGCCCCCAGCCCCCCGCGCTCGAGCTCCAGCGCGAGCAGCCTGCGCACCACGGGCCGCGCCGCAACCCTCGTGGCGGCCGCCGCGCAGGCAGCGACCTGCGCGCGCGCCCAGGCCAGCCACCCGCGTTGCCGCGCTCCGTCCTGCGCGGGCCGCGCCGGCAGCACGTAGTAGCCCAGCGCCGTCTGCCGGTACCCGTAGAGGGGCAGGGCCAGCTTGGTCCAGTGGCCGAGGAGCTCGGAGAACAGGTACAGCGCGAGCGGGAGGTGCATCTGCCTGACGGGTTCCCACAAGTGAGCCTTCACGCGGATCTTCGGGTTGTGCCCCGCCGGGCAGGAGATGCTCCATGTGTCGAGGAGGCGCGTGACCATGGCGTCGACGTGCGCGATCGCCGCGGGGTCCTCCTGCCGGAGCTCGTCGACAGAGCGGTAGAAGAAGCCGTAGGCGATCAGCTCGATCAGGTTCCCGCGTCGCACGTCCTCGAACTGCACCGGAGCGTTCGCCCCTGCTGCCTTGCTGCCCTCGTTCGGGAGGAACCAGCCGCTGATGAAAGCCTGAGGGTCGACGTCTGGGCCAAGCTTGAGCAACTGCGATGAGAGCGCGCACGCTGGCGTCCGTGTGAGTCACGGGGACGCGGCGGGCGCCAGATACCTCTGCTGGGCGCAACACCTGTCTGCGCACCTGCTCGATCGCTTCCGTCCCTTCCTGCCTCGCCACCGCCCAGTCGAGGGGCTCCTGCTTCTGTGTCGCCAGCCGCCTCATCCGCCGCCGATTGAAGTACACGTGCAGCCCCTCGAGGCACGCCCACAGACCGACCAGCGCCCGCCAGCCGCCCGCCCTGCGCGCCGGGGACACCGGATGCGGCGGCCACGATTCCACTGGACTGTACAAAGATGGCCGTACGGCTTGCCGCGCAAGGGACGCCGCAGAAGCGGTGCGTGGGACCCAGACAGGGTCCCACGATGTACTCGACCGGGCCACGATATTTCGCGGGTGTCATGCACAAACGCCAGAAATTCGCGGCTTTCAGACGTCAGGTGTCCCAGGCGCACGGCGTTGACCGCCGTCCAGGGTTTGGGTGCGCCGGGGAGGCCGGCTGCAGTGGAGCCACTCGACAAGTGCTCCTCGGGACGCTACCGGCGAGGCTCGCGCGGGAAGCGTGCTTCGCGCTTGCTGCTACTTGTATCCTCGGCGGAGAACGCACGCAGCGGTCCGCCGCGACAGCAGGGAGCTCCGCGGCGCTGAGCGAGCGAGGTTGTTGGTCCCAGCGCGAGGTGCGAACGCGAAAACGCACCTGTACGCGAAAGCGCTGGGTGCAAGGAACCCCGCGGCCAACAGCACCTTGAAGCAGATGACGAGGAAGACATCGACATGGTCCACCACCATGTCTTTCCTCTTCATCACGGCGAAAGGGCTACCTAGCAGGTGCATGGTCCCAGGGCTGCAGAACAGAGCAGCGGGAGACCCCACGCTGCCACCACTAGGCAGTGTGCTTCACGACAACGCTGCGGTACCGGCGTGCACAGCTACACGGATCCCATCACGCACTGTCACTGGTGGATGTGCACAGCCTTCTAGGTGATGAGCTCACGGCGCGCGTGGGCCTCGCTGATCACACCGGCGCCGGAAGTGCAGTCAACGCGAGTACTGCGCCGCTGCGCACGGTGAAATGGTGCGACTGCGGCGTCCGGAAGCCCCTTGTCGGCCGGCCCGGGCTGACGTCCTTGGGGGACCTTGCTATCTGACTCAGGTGCCTGACGTACGCGCAACACGCTCCTGCTCGGCAAGAAACACCGCAGGGCACGGCGCTCATTGAGCAGTATCTGCCGCGCGCATCTGTCGATCTCGCGCAGCAATGGAGAAGAATCCGTGGTGGAAGTCTCCCGAGGTGGCTGGCGGCCAGCTGCCCAAGTGGCAGGGGCCGGTAGGGTGCAAGGACGACGGTGGCGGTGCGTCACGCGCAAGCACCTTTCGCTCGCCGGCCGCTTGGGGGCGTGGCTCGCACGCACCGCGCGCGTGTTACGTCCCTAGAAAACAACAGTTGCCCCCTCCCTCCCGCGCCTCGCAGGCTGCCACCGCGGTCAAGGCCGCGTCGGAAGAATGATCATCCATCGTGCTGCGATGAACAAGGATATCGCAGGTAGCTGGTGCTCTGTTCGGCCCCCTAGCGAAGCGTTCGCAAACAACGAGGGTGAGATCGAACGCTTCCGCCGGTCGCCAGGCGCTCGCTCGTGAAAACATCTGATCTCGGCATGCCCTCAGGTATTGCACGGGCCATCGAGGGCGGTGAGAACGTGAACGAAGTCGACGCGGCGGGCAACACGCCGCTGCACTTTGCGGCATGGGCAGGAGACACAGCGGTCGCGAAAGCCCTCCTTGACTCCGGAGCGCTGATCAACGCGTCGAACAACGCGGGTCAGTCCCACACGTGCGCGTGCCTGCGTGGCACGGGAGCGGCGTGGCACGCTGCTGGGCGCCGTTGTCAACTGATGCACATCGCAGCGCGTGATGTATTGCAGGAGACCGGCCGTGGCACTCCGCCCAATGGCTGAACCAGCGCGACATGATGGCCTTCCTGGAGCAGCACGGGGCGAGCGCCGAGCAGGGCAAGGTCATCGTGCCCGACCACGTGCCCAAGGTGCGCGACTTCTTCGCCAAGGCGTGCTGGGAGCACCACCCGCTGCCCTACGAGGACTTCATGGAGTGGCGCGGGCGCGAGGACAAGCGCATTGAGGCCGAGAGGAAGAAGCTCATCCCGTTCTAGTGCGCTCCTGCCCGCGCTCCCTTTGGCTGTGTGAGCTCACGGGGAGATGATATCGCGCTCGAGCACTCACAGCCGCAATTGACGCGGCCGGCGCGTCTCTTGACTGCTCCGCGCGCCGCCCGCTTCCGCCCCACCCCCCTCGTCGTCCGACAGCTGCCCCAGGAGCTCCCCGAGCCGCCGCACCCCGGCCGCGACCTCTGCAACCGCCGCCCGGTCGCCCTCAAGCAGCGACTCCTCGAGCCGCTCCAGCGCGCGCGCGTCCTCCGCCGCCATCCCGCCGAGCCCCTCGAGCAGCTGCCCGACTGCGCGTGTGCGGTGTGCAACCCCCTCCTTCTCGAGGCGACGCCGCCGCTGCCGCGCCACCCACGCGTCGCCCTGCGCGCGTCTCAGGGCCGCCAGAGCCGACACCTCCCGCGCTGCACCGCGTCGCACGAGGCCAGCAATCACCCTCCCTGACCACAGCAACAACCTCGCCACGGAATTGACGCCCAGCGCAAGGGCAGCGCAGCGCCACAGATTATCTCCTCTGCAGTGGCGGTGCAAGCACGACAGCACTAGACTCACCTTGTGCTCGCTGGGCGTCCGCGTCCAGCGCAGCCCCGGTGTTGCGATGCGCGGCGGCCGCGTTGGCCACCGCGTCCGCGATGGAGCGCGGCGGGAAGCGCGTCTCCGCGGCACCGTGCGGTGGTTCGGTGTCGACCTCCGCGAGCGCCTCAACCGCCGCTTCGTGCCGCAACATCCACGTGCCCGGTGCCTCCCCCCCGTCGTGGCCCGCCGCCCGGTCGGCTGCTGCGGGCGAGCTGCTCTGACGCTGTCGCTCTCCTGGCAGGACGCCTTCGTCGACGTACGGCTTCGGCGGCGGCGGCGCCGGTGCCCGTGGCCGAGTACGAGTGCGCGTGCGTGTTCGCGAGGGGTACTGCGGCCCCGCGGACCTGGCAGCGCGAGGGTGTCCCGGACCTGCTCGAGTGCGCATGTGGCGACCCGGCGGGACTGCCGACCTGCAGCTGGGGGGCGGCGGCGCGAGGCACATTTTCATGGGACATGTCATGGGCTAGCCCGGACGTTTGCTGGGTCGGGTGCAGCGACGCGCGGCGGGGCGCACCGTGCGAGATGGACGAGGTCCGGGTGTTCGCGCTCGTCGGGACTGGCCGCGGCATGTGGCGCGTGGGGCGGATGTCTGGAGACCTTCCTGATGCCGAGCTCCCACGCGTCCTCGTCATCGAACCTGCGTCAAACATGTCTCGGCGACCCCCCGTCGCGTAGTGCATCCGCCTGGCTGTACCTCGGGCGGAGGACCGCGGCGTGGCGCCGTCCTGCAGCGAGATGGATCAAACACAGGGGCGGGAACAGGCGACGCAGCGCACCCTAGGTCCCGCTTCATTGCCAGGAGGTCGACCTGGGACGCCTCGAACATCTCCTTCACGGAAGGCCGCGAAATGTCGACAGTGGACAGCACGCGGTAACTTCGCGGCGGGGGCCGCAGTGCTCCATGCTGGAGGGCCCCAACGCGTGCGTCCTCCTGCTCGGGCTGCCATCCACACAGCGGAAAGTGGTGATGGTGGTGATGGACATGCACTCCCTGCTGCTGCTCCTGAGCCGCCATCCTGTATTTCAAGCGCTTGGCCCGTCGAAGCAGTGCAGCATGGACGCCGGTCAGCGGTACCTGGCCTGTCCGCCCGCGATATCTGCAGCTGCCGTCGATCTGAGCATCTATGCTGCTCCGCACGGGAGGTTCGCCCAACGGCCTGTGCGAGCGTGCGCGCGGGCAGACCTCCACGACGGTCAGGGCACCAAGGTCGCTTGTCCGTTCTACTCCCCGGCTGTCGAGCCTACATTGAGCATTGCGATGGTCTGGACCGACACACTCATGCGCGAGCAAGCGGTTCACTCACCCGGATCCCCCCACAGAGCTCGGAAGCCCGCACGCTCGTCAGCGCGCGCTGCCCATGCTTTGCCGTGGAACGGGCAGGACCCGCGGCTGCTGCAGAGGCGAAGGGCTCAGCGGTGTTCTTTGACACATCTCGTACCGACACGTCACCCGAAGTGCGCCCGGACGCCCGCGAGGGGACGCGAGACGCCAAACGTCCAGAGCAGCGGCATTCCACTGCCCGTCTCTCACTAGGCAGCGATTCCGATGACGCGGGCCCCACACGGTTGGGACGATGCCGCGTGGCGGTACTTCAACGCGTACGTGGCCGTGCTCGACCGCGAGACGCGCGGCGGTCCGACGTCTCTCGACTCTGGTGGCGAGGTCGTCGTGATGGAGCCGGACTGGCCCGGCTGGCGCGAGGTTGCGAGGTGCGCGACGTGAAACTACATCAGACGTGCATGAAGATGCGGCCGTGCCCGGAGCGATGCGCTCCAGCGCGGCGCACTCGCCGTGGCGGACAGCACCTCTTCGTGCCCACCTTGCGCACGCGAGCAATCGCGCCCCTCGCGGGGGTAGAGCGGCTTCCAGCGCCACCCATCTCGCCGTGCCGCGCGTCCCGCCCCGCAGGTCGAGCAGCGTCAGGAACGCGTCCCCGCTGGCAGCACGCGACGCAGTGGTGGCGTGCCACTCGATGTGGGAGAAGCACGTCGCGCCGTCGCAGGGCAGGGGCACGAAGCGCAAGGCCGGCGACCCGGGCGGCGTGGGCGCTGGCCGCGTGAGCACCGACCGCGGCGACAGCCAGGCCTCGCCGTTCCAGCTGGTCAGCCAGCTCGACTACTTCGGCACCAACCCGGAGCTCCTCGCGGCGACGCAGGCGCCGGTGCCGCAGTCCACGGGGCTCCTCTCTCAGCGGGGCCTCCAGCTGGCCACGCAGCAGGAGTGGAGTCAGGGATTGCCTGCTGGGACACCCCCCCAGCTGGACGCGCCGCGGGAGGGGAGCGGCGCGGGGCCGGACGCGAACGAGCCAGGAGCGGACGGCGACGACCCGCTGCCGTCAGACAACCACAGGTCGATCGTGTCTGCAGACGTGGGCAACGTCGTGCAGCTCATGGTGCGTGCCTCCGCCCGCGCACGGTCGGAACGCCGTGCACCTCGCAGCCGCGCCTGCCCACCTCGCCTTGGGCGTCCTCGCAACCTCCCTGCGCCGCTGCTCGCCGCAGGAGGACGTGGCGCGCCTCCGGGGTCACAAGTGCGCACCCAGGTGGTCGGCCGTGGACCGGGCGCTCGCGAACAAGCCCAAGGCTTTCGCGCCCCGTGCGCCGACGCTTGCCATGCTCTCGCAGCGGTTCATGACGCCAGGTGAGCTCGCAGACGCGTCGCCCACGCCCGGGGGCGATGGCGGCGGCGGTGGACTCGGCGACGCCCCTGCGCGCCCGAGGGTCGACACAGGCCCCAAGCCACCGCATGAGGACTTCAGCATTCCTGCGCCGCCTCCACGGTGCAACACGGCAGCCCCGGCGGCCGCTCGTCCAAACGAACGCGCCATCGTGCATCCACTGGCACAGTCGCCCGAACGTGCCACTCTGCCATCGGCGGCTGCGACGCCCCCGCCGGCACACCCCTCGTCGAGCCATCCGCCGCGCCCCACGAGGGCCGCATCACCCGCGCCGCCCGTGGTCCCGGCCCAGGCCTCCCAGAGGCTACCCAACGGGTGGTACGACTCCGCGTGCTTCGCCGTCACCCCGGAGCAGTGGCGGCGCGCTTGCCCGGCGAAGCCCCTCGCGCCGCTGCCCGCGCGCTACCGCGGCGACGCGGAGGCGGTCGCTGCGTGGAAGCTGACGGCGCACCGCAAGTTTGGCCGCCCGATGCACCTCCCGCCGCTGTTCGAGGGGGCCCGCGCCGACACACCCGACGCCGCGTCGCCGGCGCAGCTGGATGCACGTGCGCAGGCCGGCGACACCCCGGCGGCCGGCACGCCGCCGGTGGCGGCCTCTGAGGACCCCGGCACCGATGGGCCCTCCATCCCGCCGACGCAGCTGGACCCGATCGCCGAGGCAGACGCACAGGACGACGTGCTCGGAGAGAGCGCTCTGATCGATAGCGAGGAGCGGTGCAAGGTGCTGGAGGTGCTGCAGGACGCACCGGCTGGGGCGATTGTGTCGCCGTCGGGACCTAGCGTGGACTTCTCGGATCTCGCGGCGCGCATGATCGGGCCGATGTGGGACAGCGTGCTCCTGGTGCGTCGGTCGCGCTCGGACCCCGCGTGCGCTCGTGTCAGCAAGAGGCGGGGCGTCCAGCGATGCTGCTCGTTGACACACGTGCGCTGACGACACCCGCTGCTCCACGTGTTTGGTGCAGAAGAATGAGAAGTCGGCGGGTCCAAAGCCCATGATGATCCTGAAGTGGCCCGACGGCGTCACGGTGCGCATGTCGAGGGAGGTGCTCATGAGGCGCATGGAGCTGCGATCGGACGCGTTCGAGTTCCTGCTCAGCCGCATGTCGCAAGACTGACGGCCGGGCGGCTGAGGTAAGGTGAGGTGTCACATTCTTCGCGTCGTCGGCCTCAAGGCTTCAGGACCTTACAAGATCATCCGACCAGTGGCCAGTCATACAAACCCCCCACCGTCATGGTAGCGACAGGCTCGGCAGCTGTGACGCATTACCGCGAGGCTTCTCCGCATGCGTCGCGCACCCGGGCCTGGCAAGAAAGGCTGCCTGACTCCATCGATGCCTTTGTTTGTATTGAACATGCTTTGTTTGTACTTCGCTGACCTATGATGCCGCATCCCGTCTCGTAAAGAAATTGACTCGTCATTCCCGATGTATAGCTCACATGGCTCGTCGTTATACAAGATCCGTGGGGCCAGTCAGGTCCCCCTAGGGGGGCAACTAGTCTTGCGTTTGCAACCCTCAGGGTGGTACATCAGCAGGGGATATTGGCAGTGACGTCTTGGAGGCGGGCGCGGCTGGGTCGATGCCTCGCAGGGACTGTGGCAGGCGTAGCGAAGGCATCACCTCATGTGGACCGTCGCCTCGGGGGAGAGGAAGGGGTGGGGGGGTTGATCTCAATCTGTTGTTCCGTCCTCAGGGACGGACATTTCCCGCATGCGCATGGCCGGTGTTCGCGCGGTCCCGCGCGGACGCGACGACTGCGGCCGCTTCGCGTACGGCGAGGTCGGCCGCGAGTTCTGTAGGGGACTGGTGATGTTGTATCCTGACAGCGCCGACGTGGGCCGCTCCCTGTCCTCCATCCGAACGGTCGCCGTGATCTGCGCGCCGTCCGCCATCCAGGTCGGCTCCTGGCTCGCGGGCGCGTCGTGCCACGCCGTCCCGTCCTCGTCCACCGCCTGCCACACTGTGACGTAGTCACCCTGCGGCGTCCGCCGCGGCGTCCCGACCACCGTCTCCGGCTGATCCGCGCTGCCCCACCACGGCTGCGCATCGCCCGCGGTCCTGAGGTGCATGTGTCCCGGAGCCACGTCGAGCGGGTTGCGCGACGGGTGGTGCGACAGCTCCCCAGTGACGTGCGGCTGCGCAATGACGCCGCGCTCGGACAGCACCACCGTCGTCTCCAGCTCGCGCCCGACGACGAGTACGGCTGGCTCCGGTACGCCGAGCAGCCGCGTCTCGCCGCGCACGCCGAGGTGCGTCTGCCGGCGCGGCCCCGTGAAGCCCGACCGGCCGCAGGCGCCGCCGTGGCCGCCCGTCGTCCACGGGCGCTCGGCGCCCCACTCGCGCGCTTTGGACACCACATCGTTCGGGTCGCGCATCCCTCCGCTCCCCATGAACGGGGCCGTCTTGGACAGGAACGGCACAGTCTTTGACAAGGTGCCGCGCGACACCGGGCGGCCCGCCGCGATGCCGGCGCCGCCCACCGTGGTCGGCCGGTACGTCTGAATATAGTCCCGCAGCCTGCAGATCGAAACAAGGTAAGCTGTCAGCGCTCGTTGTGTCGCAGGTGGGCACAACACTCGGGCGGCGCTCGCAACACACAACCCCATACGTCGGCACGGAACGCACCCTCCAGCCGTCCGCGGGCGCTCCGGCGCGCTCGGCTCCTGCGGCTGCGTCGGCGGCGCGCGGATCTGGTGGTGCATTGCCCTGGGGGAGTGTCCGCCCTCCCGGTCGCGCCCCCGGTAGTCCCACAGCTCCGAGTCGAAATACGACCCCGGGCGGGGCGTCCTGAAGCGCTCGCCGGGGTCCGCCTGCGTCTCCGCGTACGCCCGCGTGGTTTGGTGGTCCATCTTCACGGCCCCCTTGTCGGTGCGGTGCAGGGTCGGCACCGGTGCGTCATACGGGCCCACGTGCGCGCCCGCTGCGCGCGTGGGGAACAGCTCCCCGCGCCCCGTCGTCCTGCGAGAAGGAGAAACGCAACAGCTTGCTGGACGCCGTCGCACCAGCGGGCGGGCGCACACATCACGGCGAGCCGGGGCGGGGCAGCGGGCAGGGTAGGTACTTGAACGACGCTGAGCCCCGCGGGACGGCCCCGGACTTGCTCTTGGTGCGCTCGAGCTTGCTCTGCGCTGTCGTCGGTCGCCGCTGCGGCGACGACGGCGACGCCGGCCCCGCGCCGGGCTCCTCGACCCTGGAGCTGCCATGCGTGGAGGGCTGTGTGCCGCGCTCGCTCGCCGGGAACGCGGACGCCGCGGTGCCCGGCCGCCGCGGCGACGGGCTGCGCGGCCCCATCGTGGCCTTCCCCATCGTCGTCGCAAGCGCGTGCCCGCCCGTTTGCAGCGTCAGGTGCAGCGTGGCTGCCTTCTCCCTGCGCTGCACAAGCCCGTAGCGCGCCGAATACTGCCCCGGAGCCTGCTTCGCGTTGCCGTCGCGCACGTCAAAGAAGCTCCGGTACTTGCGGCCCGCCGACCGGAACGCCGCCGACCCCGCGCGCTGCCGCCCGTCGCCCCGCCGCCGCGCCGACTCCGACGCCTCCTTCGCCCGCGGCGCGCCGTACGTCGACAGCGTGTTCGAGCGCCCCAGGGTCCCCGTCCCGCTGCGCGCCAGCGAGAGCGAGCGCGCGGCGAGCGCCGGCTGCTGGCGCGCCGGCTGCTGGCGCGCCCCGCCCGCGGTGGGCGAGCTGAAGGCCACGCCCTGCCGGCGCGCGGCGGCGGCCGTCGGCGAGGTCGCGGACGGGCCGTGGCGGCCGTTGGGCGGCACGAAGCGCGGGTGGCTCATGCCGTCCGGGATGCGCTTCATCTGGCCGCGCATGTGGTCGGCCAGCTTGGTGTACTTGGCGACCTTGAGCTGCTCCGCCGCGCCCAGGTGCTCGTCCCGCCCCAGGAGGGCGGCGAGGTGCTCCGCGCGCACCTGCCCGCGCTCCTGCGGCCGTGCGGAGCGGGGCGCCGGTGGGTCAGCGCGCGGCGCAGCGGCGGAAAGGTGCAGCAGGCACAGAGCGGGCGCGGCGCACCGGCACGACATCGAGCTTGGCGTCGAGCTCGAGGAAAATCGCATCCTGGCGTTCTTTCTCGGCCTGTTTGAGCTTGGCCGACCGCCCGCGGGTGCTCGGGGAGCGGTTCCGAGGGCTCTTTGGGAACCCCCGACTGCTCGACAGCCCCGCGACGGAGAAACACGGCGCCGGGTCCAGGTCGACGGTGTGATACAGCGGATCCCGCTCCTCCTGCGCGGGGTCGCACCGAGCACGGTCCCCAGGGGTCGGCAGCGGTGCGCATCACGCGACGACGAATCTCCGCGCCGTTGCGCAGCGTGGCACGAGCAGCGCGCGTGGGTCCGAAGGCTTCAGACGAGGCTCGGCTGGACGCAACACGTGGTGGAACCACGGGCGCGCGCCGCAGGGCATTGCCTGGTGGGCGATGGCGCGGCGGTAACGGTCAATGTGTGGGCTGCGCGAGCGTGCCCTGGTGCATCCTGGGAGTGCAGGGCGGACGCAAAAGGCTCGAGGGCGCGCGTGCGCGTGCACCATGGGGCCAAGATCACGTGTCGATGCGCGGGGACCGCCCGACCGCGGGGAGGGCTCCCGGCGGTCGCAAGCAGCATGCACGAGTCATGTTGGGAAAGGGCCGGGCGTGCGCGCGGCCTGGAGGGGGGAAAGGCAGGGGAAACGGAGTGGGTAGGTGACAAGGGCCTGCCCGTGGCTTGAATCGCGCAGAAGGCACTGGACGTGGCCTGTCGAGAGGCACACAACTGCTCTCTCTGTGATGTGCCCGCAGCGCCCTGCAGGTCTTCATTTGCCTTCTCTCGGCGCCGAGGCGCTCAAACGAAAAAGGAAATCTAGGTGAAACGGACGGAGAGGAGCCTGGGGCGGTCTCAGCGAGAGCACTGAGCCTCACGACGCACGGCAGCCCTGGCACCGAAAGCCCCCGGCACGCCGTCGCGCATGGTGCGTGGCACGGCGTGTACGTCCGGGCGGTGTCCGCGCTGGCGCGGCGGCAGAGCGGGCGCGGATCTCTTTAGGCGCCGTGGCGGGCAACGCATGGCCCTCGGACTAGGCCGGGACTCACCGCAGGGCCGACGTGCGACGCCAGCTGATTTATCATCGCCATGACGATTACGCCCCACCAGTCCAGTCAGCGCCGACGGGCGCGGGTCGCTTCACGCCTCTTGCACGGCCGCCCTCATCGACGTGCCCCCCGCAGTGCAACAACTTGGCCCGAGCTCGCAGCGCCCCGAATAGTCCCACAGTGGCGCAGCCGGTGCGACGTGCAGCTCGTGAGCTTCCGGGGGCGGCCGTTCCGCCCCGCATTGGTAGTGGCCGTACGCGGAGGCCACCCCACTGGTAATAACCTCGCCGCGGCTACCTGACGCGAGTGCCACGCGCCGCAGGGCCTATACTTCACCAGTATGAGGTGGTGGGGTCGGGGGCGTTTCAGGCGAGACACAGTCGCGAGACGGCCCGTTTTTTCGGCGCGGCGGGTACGTATCGTCACACCGAAGCTACCTGCGTGCTCCCCGCGGTGCACCGTAGTGGTGGCACGTGCTGTTGCGGGCTCTGCCATCACTGTGGCACTTGCTGCAATCCGCGCTACATCTGCCGACCGGGTCCCACTCCGAGCACCTGAAGTACTGCACAGCGGCCGTCATGGTCTGTACGAACCCGTTGGTCCTCCATTTGCCGCACTCGCGGCACCATCGCCAGCCCTCCCACAACTGCTCGTGAGCAGTCGGTCCCCCGATGGCCCTGCGCTCCGCGGGTACGATGAAACGCTCCCCGAGACAGTCGAACGCCTGGTGCCTCTCGTCGACGCGCGGGTCCAGTGCACGCTGGCCGCCTTGTGTCGCGGGCGGCCCGCCTTGTGTCGCTTGTGCTTGGCTCAGCAGCTGGGACCAGTCCGGCGCCAGAGCCGCGGACAGCACGAGCTCCCCTGCCGCGTCGGGGTCTGCCGGCCGACTCCCACCCGCAGCCGGGCCACCGCCACCCCCGCCCGTGCGCTGGTCAGCATTGTTGCCTGCTGGAGGGGCAGAAGCAGTTGGGTCCCCGGGCAGCCGCGTCTTCGCCCTCAGCGCGTCGCGCTCCTCGTTCGCACGCGGCACCCTCCACGTGCACCGCTGCGCCAACGTCTGGGGGTCCGAGTCGGTCGATGATGACGTTGCTGCACCCTCTCGGGAGGCGTCTCCCGCCACGCCCGAGCGCTGATCGCGTCGACGCTCTCTCTTCGACCGCCGCTTCAGAGCGTACACTTCCCTGCGCTTTTTGCTGCGGATCGCGCCGGCTTCCCACTCTATCCTGCAGGGCAAAAGGTTTGCGTGTACAAGTTGTCGAGCGCGCTCGCGTGCATCGGGGCAGATCGCGCCACGACAACCAGCAGCCAACCGCACGTGGTGCGTGCTCCGCGCTCACCCGTTGCGGCCGCTCTGCTCCCAATCTCGGAACGCCCGATAGAGCTTCATCAGGTGCTCCTTGTTGTCGCACGCGTTGATCCCTTCGATCATCCTTTGCTTCGCAGCCGCGAGCTCCGCCTGCCTCGGCGGCGACGCGACCTCCTGTGCTTCAGCACCCGCCCCCTCCGCGGGGTCGCCGACGACAGCAGCGCTAGCGCCTGTTGCTCTCGCAGCTGCGTTGGTGCCCGCGCCGCCCTCCTGCTCCTCGGAGCTGTCGTCCCCCGGGAGTGGCCTCGCGACGGACGGCCCCAAGTGCGCGACAGCGTCCTTGAACCACTTGTACGTGAAGTTGTACCTTTGACGCACCGCAGCCATGTGATGGCACACCCCATGATGATCGCACGTGCACGTCAGCTTCCCCCCCACGAAGTCCAGCACACGAGAGCGACCGTCGCGCGTGATCTCCCACTTGCCTTGCTCGGGCGCGTCCGTGGGTTCTCGCACCCCGTCGACCAATGGCCACATCACCATCAACTGTTGCACGTATTGACGCAAGGCCTCGCCGCCGTTCTCGGCGACTCGCAGCGCTTCTTGCAGCGCCCTGGGCTGGCGCAGACCCACAGCGCACGCCGCCTCCAGCGCCGCCCGCTCCTCGTCCTGGGAGATGCAGTGCAGAAGGAACTGATCAAGCCGCCGATGATGCACGCACCGCACGCCCCGCGCGCTGAGCATGTCCTTCATCCACTTGAAAAGGCACTCGCTGGCGTTGTCCGTCGTGGGGATGTCCGTCGATCGGTAGCGCAGCATCCACATCGCGGTCACCTCAGATGCACCCCACTGAGACTTGAAGTACTTGAGAAACGACGCAGCGCGCCTGTCGCTGGAATACCGCGCATTGAAGGCAGCGATGTCGGCAGCGGCGTCCTCCGCCACCCTGTCGTCCGCTTGCCGCTGCTCGCGCGCCGAAGATGCAATATATGCTCCCAGCACATCACGGCGCGCCTTCCGGAGCATGTCCACGATGTCGCACCAGATTCGCCTCTTCAGGTCCCCCACCCCCGCGCCCTGGCCGATCTTGCTGTGCAGGTTCTTGAGGACCGCTTGCAGCATGTGGAACGTGCACCACACATGCGTTGCACTTGGAAACGTGGTGGCGACCGCCTGCTTCAGCGCCTCCGCGCAGTCCGTCATGAACACCGCGCGCTTGCCCGGCCGCGTCTCGCCCCAGCTCTCCGCGCCCGCCTTGTTCAGCTCCGCCCGAACGCAGTTCAACGCCATCCCAACAGTCTCTGCCGTCTCGTCGCTCAACACGCAGATCGCGATCGGCCGCCACCGACCCGCCGACCCGACGACGTTCACGGCGCAGGTCTTGAAGTTGTAGCGGTTCGTGCCGAAGGTGACGTCGAAGCAGATGTTCTTCACTGCGCCTTCCCTGTTCCAGTGTGCAACTCCTTGGCTGACCATGTTTTTGGTCATCAGAACCAAGACCATCGGCGTCGTCGCCGTGAGGTGCCGGTACGTAGGGTAGATGTGGCGATTCTCGCGCACCATGTTCTCGCAGCTCCGCTGGTCGTCGGCGGCGAAGCCCACGCCATCATCCCCCCTGCATTTTGCCTTCGCGTTGTGGTAGTCGTCACTCGTCGCGAGGAAGTCGCGCAGTTCTTGCTTCTTCAGGGCTGCGCCGAGCAGGCTCATGGCGGACCAGAAGTTCCCGTACTCAGCGTACAGGCTCGTCTCCTCGGCGAAGTCTGCCATGATGTCCTCCCTCAGGCCCGACAGCGCCCGAGACACGGCCACGCCCATCGTCGCATACGCGCTCAGTACTTCGCGCGACTTGAGACTCAGGCGATGGGGGATGCAGCCGCGGATGCCGTCCATGTCGTGCTGCTGAATCGCCTCTCGCAGAGACTCTCCCACGTCGTGCCCCGAGTGCTGCGGCGGCCCTGCCTCCGAGTCGGCGGGGATGTCGTACCGGACCGCCACAGACCGAACGTTCCCTTCACCCTCGTCGAGCGGGGTGTATTTCAGGGACACCTGGCACCCGCACCGCACGCTCGTCCCGAGTTGAGACTTGGTGAACTTGCGCTTCTTGTACGACCCTCGCGCATCGGCGTCCGCCGCGGTCACGTTGTCTGCGACACAGACTCAGAGCAGGACGATATGTTGGGCAAGCTGCCTGCCAGCGGAGGCGCAAGATTGGTGCGCGAGACGGAAGGTGCGCGCCCATCATGCTGTGGCCAGCGTAGGTCCCTCACCTTGGCGTTCCAGCTCCGCGAGGGCCTTCCGCGACCTGCCTTGGAACCGCGCCTGGGAGGCTCCTCCCCGATGATCTTCGGGCCCGCCCGAGCAGTGCAGTTCGCCTCCTGGTAGGCCCTTTTTGGAGGCATTGCTCTTCCTGATGTACAGCGGGAGGCCTGCGACGCGAGCCTCGCCTTCCTTCATGTCGTCCCAGCGCGACTCCGAGAAGCGTGCCATCGCCGCAAACCCCGTCTTGGATTTCGCCCACGCAACCGTGACCCAGTTGAGGTCAGCGAGCGCAAAGGGACCTGCAGAGAGGTGAAATAGGTCGGGTCGGCCTTGGCGGCGCGGGCGTGGGTTTAATGCGCCTTGCCACCGCCCGCACGAATGCGACGCACCTGGAGAAGGCGTAGACACCGGCACCGTGTGAAACACGCTCTTGCTAGGTCGCTTCGGGCCAGTTGCTTGGCCTGCGGGCAAGCTTGCCGCGCCGTTCGGCGCTGCACCGTCTGGTGGACCCTCATTCGCGCCCGCATTCGCATCCTGCGGTGACAAGGATCACTGGCGCAGTCGGGTTGGTGCGCACTCGCATGGGGATTCCGCAGGCGCACGCTCCCGCCTGTCGGCGCGAAAAAACCAAGTCCTGGCCAGGAAGTGCATCACAGCGTGGGCGGTTCGGGAGGAGGTACGGCATACAGGGGGCGTCAATCAACAAAGTGATCGCATAGCGGTGGCGCACGCGTCGGTTCGTACCTCCATGTTGGCGCCCGCCGACACTGAACCTGCTGAGCAGCACGTACCGCAGCCTGAGCGGTCGGGTCGCGGATCCGTCTGCCGCCGCGCCTGCGGCACCGTTGTGTGGCTGAGCGCGCGTGCCTGGTGGCCACATGCCGCGGGATGCACCAGGCACCCCCCCCCGCGGCCCGTGCCTTATATTGGTGATGTATAGGGTCTGTCCGCGCCGCCCCCGACCGACGCCCCCGCGCGTCCCCGCGCTCTCCCGCCCGCCGTTCCCCTCCTGCTCTGCACTGACGGCCCCGCCCGCGCCGCTTTCGCGGCGCTCCGGGCCCTCCCCGCGCCGCTCCGCGCGCACGCCCTCCCTGGCGGCGCCGGCCGCCTTCCCGCCGCGCGCGCGCCCGTCGCGCTCTCCCCGGCTTCGCGCCCCGCCCGACCGCGCTCCTCGTCGCCAGGAGGGCCTGATCGCCCGCCGCGCGTGGTCCCTCGCCGTCCCTCGACGCTTCCTTGCCCGTTTTCTTGCCTTTTTCTGGGGCTCGCCGGGTCGTCTTCGCGGCTGCTCTTCGTTCCCGCTCTCCGCGTCGCTCCCGTGATGCTCCTTGTCATGTTACCCACCTCATTTGAAATTTCCCAGTTTCGCGTGGCCCCCTCGCGCGCCCGCGTGCGTCTTCCTGCGCCCTCCCTACCGGAGGTCGATTTTGCGCCGCTGCGCCTGTTTCGGCGCCGCCCAGCGCGCCATGGCCGGCCCGCC